TATTAATTAATTAATATATACTTGTATTAATTTATTTTCCAAAATAATTATATAATAAAAAAAAATGGTTACCATTCGTGTATCAAGCAGAATATGTTAAATACTAGTTTTAATTCTAATACTAATAGTTTCTGTGTATTTTTATTTTTGGTATTCAGGGCAATCTATTCCCCAACCAACCTTCCAGAAGACAGGTTCAAGGACTGTGGAACTCATATTGATTTAGTTATTTATTTATGTATCTATGTATCTATGTATCTATGTATCTATGTATGTATATACGATTTTGTTTTATTTTATTTTATTTTTTGTTTAACCAGAGACACTATAAATTTGATGGTGCCACAACGTGTCATTTAATTTCAATTAACGAATAGAACCACAAGCAGTTTTTATATTATATATATATATATATATATATACTATTATTAACTTCCGTCTTCCCCCTTTGTAAATAAAGTAAAAAAGGTAGTATCTTGGCGGCATTACTTCCGCTTTGCTTGTAATCAATAAGTTTACAGCCAAGCCATTATGTACCCTAATACTTTATAACAGTTTATTATGCGTAATTTAATGTAAAGGAACATACTTGCTCACCACATCATCAACAACAGAAAAAAAAAGATATAGGTATATAGACAGAAATGGAACCAATCTGTCTCTATTAGATATCAAGACGATACAATACAATACAATACAATGCAAAGGATCTATTCCATTTTACTCGTTTCAACTCATTCCAAAAGATGTACATCATTTTCAAATGTCTTGATTATTTTTGCTTTATTTTTCATTCTCAAAGGGCACACCAATGACCGTTCACCACCGGTGAGCTTCCGAATTAGAACTTTTGTGCGTGTCTCGGCTGCCAGACCGTGCATTTCACTAATTGGGATTGTTTTACCACATAATATCCCTCTCATCGGCACCGTTTGTTTCAGACGGACCCTAAATATAGAGAGAAAAGAGAGAATACGCAAAGTATAGATTTATAGATCAGGGAGCATGGAAGGGGAGGGAGAGGGGAAGAAATATTTATTTTATGTTATGTTATGTTATTTGTTAATAGTCAAATTTCTGGCTTCCTGCTTATTTATGTGTGAGGCATAATAATGCCAACAAATAGAATATTTAAAGACCTTTTTTTTTAAAGGTATCCATGTATGCACACATGTATTTAAGTATCTATCTATCTATCTCTGTCTGTCTACCTACTTGTTTGTTTGTTTGTTTGTTTGTCCTTCACTTTGACTTTGACTTTGACTTTGTCTTTGTCTTTGACTTTGACTTTATCTTTATATTGGCTTTCAAGTCAAGATTAAATCTTGCTTTTCTCCTAAATAATAATAATCGTAATAATAGTAATAATAGCACAAAAGAATGGATTTCGTGACTATAAGGATCCATTTCTAGTTTTGGCTTGGTATATTAACGATAGGCAAAGGTGTGCGTATAAAATTCCCTGTAGGGTGCACGAGCCTTTTTTTTTTATCTTGCTTTGGTTATTTTTAACTTGTTGAATTTACAGACATCCTCTCTCTCTCTCTCTCTCTTTTCTTGTGAAGCGGACTTGTTTGAATTCGGAAGACCATCCTTTGGCTCCATTGAAAATATGCGGATACCTATATACATCTTTAGTCATTCATCATTTATTGCTTTGCTGCTTTATTGCCTTGATTTATATGCCCAGAAACGTTGGTTGATTAATTGAAGTGTTGAAGTGTTGAATCAATAAATCGTCAAGCAGGACGCCACATTAAACTCTAATAAACTATTCACTTTGCCACACTGAAATTCCTTTCCCCCCCCCCCCCCCTTCTTTCTCTCTATCTTATTTTCACTACTACTTTACGTTTCAATTTTCGGCCCTCATCTCGGCTTTTGTTCCTACTGACTTCATTAACATTTTTTAATGGAACCTTTTAATTATCACGGGTGCAGGATATAAAAAAAAATAAAAAAATAAAAAAGGAAGCTAAGAACCAAGACCAAAATTCGGAGTGGACTGGGTTGTCAAGGAGATGTTCCACAGTGCTTGTATTTATCAGGGTAATCGGGATGGCGGCCATCATCTTCCGGCTCATCATTTCTCTTGAAGTTTGGTATCCTTCTACAACGAGATTTTTTTTTTATCTATTTGACAGGCGATCATCTCTTTCTCCCTTTCTTTTATTTATTTAGAATATTGAGATCTATTGATATAAATATATATATATGCGAGAGTGAATGAGTGTATGAGTGTGTGTTAATTTATATTTATACTTTTATTTATGCGTATATTATAAGATTCCTGTGAGACAGATATCTTATCATTTCAAGCTCGTCTCTTACAGACACACAAACACACACACACACATACATACATACATACATACATGTATACACTACTACGCACACCAGAAATATATATATATATTTATATACACACGTCAGCATAGAAGTAATGTGTATCCCATGGGAAATACATACAATATCTCATTTTTTTTTTGCTTTTACTATCTTGCCTTCATTATCCAAAAACAACAACAAAAACAACAACAACAACGATAAAAGGGAAAAGGAAAATAAAAGGAAACTCAAGAGACTTGGAGTAATTGAATTCAATCAGTCACGCCCCAGATTTACAATTTCCATAAGCATTTTTTGTTCCTTGACTTTATTCTTGCCATGTTTTTTTTTGTATTTCTTTTCTTTTCAAGTAAATAGTGTTTAATAGTTTATACTATATTATATGATATTGTATATGTGTGTCAACCTAATTGAAGCAAAGAAAGACAAACTTTCTTTGTAAACACAACCTACAGTAGATATGTATATAAAGTACAAAAGCAGAAATTCCATATTTGGAAAACGCAAAACTGAGAACAAGGGGTTTCTCATAGCAACCCCCCCCCATCCTTTCTTCAAGGCGTCATCAATACACACTTATCTTTTTTTTGCTCATCATTTAATGAGACCAAATAAAAGCAAAAAGAAAAGAAGGAGAAGATGAAGAAGAGTAGGGAACCTACTTTTTTTTTTAAAAAAAAAAATCGTGACTTAAATTATACGCGTCTTTTATTGTGGTACATTTATATCGGCGATGATATTAATTTCGCAAATAATACTGAAATACATATATATTCTTCAGTATCTATCTAACCATCTAATCACTTCTGTTTTTTAAAAGAAAAAAGCTACTGAAGTATGGTATTTGTATCAAACTCTATAAAGTAAAGATGGGTATATATAAAGTAGAACTTTTATATATTTTAATAGAGCAAATCAAAGTATGTATTATGCCAGTCGCAAAAAAAATGTCTACCCGAGCGTCCTGAAATAAAAATGTCAATTAACTTCATCCAAGAACTATAATCAAATCATTATTGAGCACCATTTACTTCAAACCACGTGAAATGCAAATAATAATAGTAATAGTTATAATGACTGAAGTGAAACGAGTGTATATGCTGGGTTGTACAGTCGCGTTCATATGCCACGTTTTCTGCAACAAAGGTCTGTAAAGCTTCAACTTTATATAAAACACACACCAAGAATAACGTGTCTATATAGATTCATATACATATATATATATATGTGTGTGTGTATGTGTGCAGTGTTCCCTTCCTTATCTCCTGTTTATTTTTTATGTATCTGATAAAATAGTCTATACTGTAGTTGAAGGTAAATGATTTGTTTTTACCTACCAAATTTAAAATATATTTTTCTACAATCAAGTTCCGAGTGTATTGATAAATCTACTATATATATATATTGAAGTTACTTTCCTCTATAGGTAACAATCTAATATAGCAATGTAGTATGTAATCATATAGGCTTGTTTGAAGTTTCTTTTTTTTTAATATTTTTTATTTTAGTTCTAAAGACAGCTTGTGCTCATTAGGTTTACTCAGCATTTGTCCGCAAACTTCTTAGTACAGATAACATTCGTACAAACAAAACAAAACTCAATACAAAAGAGTTGTTCTCTCCAGTCTCCTTTATAGTATTCCGAGGCTTTACTTTACGTCTAAAGTGCAGGCAATAAAATGAATTAGAAAAAATCTTTGCTTTGACATACCGCATCGGCAAATTGTAGATACTAAGAAAAATAAATAAATAAAAAAGCTAAAATTATTATTCTTTGATATGCTACCAAAGGTTTTGTACATTTTGGCGCCAAAAATTTACTATTAGTTATATAATAGAAGCCAATAGTCAAGAACATAAAGCACTTTTACAGTTTACACCCAAAGAAATGTTAAGAGAAAAAGACATTATTTTAGCCATGAACATACTTAAAGATACACTACTTATACAGGCTTTTATAATATACTCACGCAGTCAAACTGGTCTTATTGACTGATTTATTTATTCTCACAATTAATTTGATCAATCATCTACTGTATGCCTGCTCTCTTTCTGCTAATCCACACCAGAGTTTACAATATAAATATACATATATTTAAAATTACCAACCTTTGATTTATGTATCCACCAATGATCATAGTTTAAGTGTGAGAAATCAAGTTGACAGAAGGATCGTACTTCTCACAGTCGATACTCCTCTTTACAGAATATGTAAAGCAAGGTGTAAGAAAAAAAAACCCCTCTTCGATCCTATCCACTTTATTATTATTATTATTATTATTATTATTATTTCACCACTCGTCCCATCCCCAGGCGTATCAATTTACGTACAACAGGAGAGATTAACGCAACCAATGAGTTTTGTAAACTATTTCGAAATTAACTTCTAGCTACTGTTGTCATCAATTCACATTAGAATAGTATAAAACAATATAAAAACTCTCCCAGGCTTTGGTTGTATTATTTTTTTCTTTTCTTTGTGTGGTAAGTATACTGTACTTCTAGAACTTGCTTGAAGTTTCTCACCCCTATCCAGTTTTCCGATCATTTTTTTTTATTCGAGTAAATTGTTCGAACATTCAATCGTGACTCACTCAAAATGATGTGATATCTCATTGTCGCCATTACTCAAAGAAGGGATGCATAAGCTCATGTTTCACCATCAGCCCCCTCAAGCCATATCTGGGTCGGCAGTGTGGCGTGAAAAGGTGTTATTCTCTTTTTTGTTTCTTAGCGAACAAGTATTTCTTTGTTTCAACTACACTTCCTGTATTGCTTGAAATAAATAAATATATATATATATATATATATATATATATAAAAAGACCCGCGACAGTTTGGCTTCTCTTCTGAAATTCTTGCAGCCGGAGATACTATGTGTGCAGCCGCAGGAACTCACGGTGCCAACGGGATACTGGACAAAGCTCTTCCGAAAGTAATATTTTAAATATATCTCTCCATCCCGGACAGGTATCTTTTCTGTTCATATGACCATACCTTTTTCATATCCTTACTGTTAAAGAAGCAATTATAACAACAACAAAAAAACACTAGTACAATATCGGAGTATCGACATTTATTGAAAAGTTGCTCTTCTAAGCTAAAAGCCTAAATCTTTAAACTAACCACCGCAACCTACTTTCCATCTAACCCTGTTTTTGACTAACTTTTTTTTTATTAGATCTCGGATGATGAGCGAGTTTGACTTTGTCAATTAGAATATCCAATGTAGGCAAGCGCACTGATCCCTTTGTTCGCATAGTTGTGAGTATCTAGCCCAGACCATTTACACAAATACAGCAGCTTTGTAGTGCTCTTCACGACCTACTTTCCACTCAACAGCATCCGCTCATCCGCTCATCCGATTTTTTTCTCTCTTTCTCTTCTTCCCTTTTTATTTTTAATAAATTTAAATTCACTCATTGATACACAATAGCCATTTAAGACTAGCACCGAACAACTTTAAAAAAAAACACTCTGCTACTTAAAAATCGTGACAAAATATTCATCTAATTGTGCGTTTCACAACAACTGTCAATATTCGTGTACCAGCTACAAATTATTATTTTTTCAGTACAAAGTTTGATATTTCGGTACCCAAAGAGTCTTGTTTCCTGGTTTTTATTGAACATATCTAAGATTTATTTATTGTATCCCAAGCCTAACCCCTCGCACTTCTTGGGGAAATTGTCTTTTATTTTTATTTTACAAAAGTTATTGATTGATGCTATTTTTCTATATTAAAATCATCTTTTACAGCAGTATTAATTTAAGTGCTACTGGTCTTGATACTTGTATAACATAACTACCGTACTGGATGTCAGTAAGTATCGCTGTATTTCATGTACGTCATATACGTTATATATATTAGCGTCCCTGAAAGCATTCAAAGTACAAAATATTTTGTCAAAATAGAGGAAATATCGATGTTTAAGATACTTCTCCTCTTTATATAACTATCTTGTAGTATTTTCCCTCCTCCACCCAAATCATTTTGTATACTAAGTTTCGATTACATGCAGCATGATGTATAAATAATTAAGCAAATATCCTATTAACGAAGCAACCTAGCAACCAAGAACCAGGCAACCAGGCAATCAACTAAGCAAGTTAAAGTTGTTATAATTAGTATAGGCATATTATTGGATTGTTCTGCCCTGTCATTTTTTTGTATTGCAATAAAAGAGCTTATTGAATTTTTATTTTGTTTCAGTTAAAGTATGTTCGTTTTATTATTATCATTATTTATTTTAATATATTAGGATTCGTATATATGCTTCATTATAGAAACAGTTTTTCAATGTAAAAATAAAAATTGAAAAGCAAATCATCTGCAGAAAATCAAGATATTGTCCTTGTCGGATACAACAATCTCCTATCTCTAAGTATTCATCCAAGTAGCTTAAAGGATTTTCGTAAAGGATGTCTTTAATTGTAACGGATAAACGATACTAGATTTGACATTCCAATAAGGGTTCAATGATTCGCTGATTCAGTAACCATATAATTCTATGCAAACCCTTCAAGTAATGTGAAGCTACACTAGATAGATTGTGAAGAAAAATATAGTCAAAACAATAAGGATAATATATATACAGAACTCAAATATAGCTTAATATTGTGATTAACAATACATCATATACCATTACTAGAGAACACGTTGGGATGTGATATTTTGCTAGACTGCTAAAAAAGAATTATTAGTGAAACCCAGTCAAAAAAAAAAGAAAAAACTCGACCATAGTTGATGAAAACATAAATACTGTGACAAACATAAGAGAGATACATCTTAATAAACTTGGCTTTCCAAGACTTATTCTCTTAAGTAGATATATAGAGACGACTCTTGACTATATTATGTTTATATTTGAAGTTGAAAAAACAAGCTCAATTCTTAATAAAGACTTGGTGATGAAATGGAGTGAAAAACTAGAAAACTCCCAATTTTTCACTCCATTTCATCACTAAATGGCCTCCCTCAGTAAAATTTTACATCTTTTCATTGTAATTTAAATCGCCGAGTAAAGCAAAAGTAAGTGAAAATTTAGAATTTTCACTCGACAACGGGTTCTCTACTTTTAGCTCTGACTCTCTAAATAGAGATAGAAAGAGAGAAATGTCATAAAATATATTGAGCACAACTTTGGGGTACCAGAAATTCTCAACCTTTTATTTACAGAAATCCTTAGTTTTAAGAAACTCGGTTATCCTATGGCACTAGCTACTTGATCAGTGTGATTCGAGAATAGGATGTGAAGAAAAGAATTTGATATTTTACAAAAAATTATCATGTTAACTAGAGTGTTTTTTTATAAAAAATTGTTTATTCTCCTTTAATGATATATACATTGGACTTGTCATAAAGGTACATATACATAATGAATAAGTGAAGGTAGAAATAAAGTGATGAGAATATTACATAGAAAATGGCATAATTGCCTAAGAAGAAGTATTAAGCATTATTGTTATTGTCATTGTTATTAGTTGGCATAGTTTGTCTTCTCAAAAACATTTGTCTGCGTGTCTTTCAAGATTGAATTTACTTGTGTATGTTTTTTCACAGTCGTTGCATTTCCACCTTTTGCGATTTTCATCATGGCTCTTTTCGTGCCTTGTCATATTCCTTTTACGAGCATTCGAGAAGTCACACTGACTACATCTGTATAGTTTTGCTGAGCCACCAGATGCATCACTGTCTTTCCATTATATGGATAATTAATAAAGCTTTTCCCAATAGGTTCTTTGCTCTTTCGTTTGCCTTTTGATCAGAACCAAAAATTTGGGTTAATACATGCAACCATAGACCTTTGATCTATTTAATATTAAATAAAAAATTACCACTCTTTCTTGCCACAGCTTGGGGAATATTTGGACAGTCTGGCTGAAACTCAGAGGATGGTGAATAAACCGAAGAAGAAACCGGAGTTTGACAATGACGCGACGACTGGGTACAAGAGCCAATACCAGCATCGCCACCAGTTTGATTAAGGTTCTTGGTAGCACGAGAAAACAAGCTTTCGACCATTTCATCAGCAGTACTCTCATAACACGAGTCAGAAACTGACAATTGACTTTGGTGAGAGCTAGGACTGAGGCTAGGTTGAGAAAAGGAGCTACTGATGTTTGGACTCTGGTTGAAATCGGGTGTACCAAGGCTCAAAGGCAAACTTTCTCCCGCCCTGAGATTTTGACTGTATAAAAATTCACCGGTGTATAGTGGGTCTGGGCTTCTATAACCCCTGGATTGTTGCAGGTTCAAAAAAGCCAGCCTATTCAGTTCTTGCCAAATCAAGGGTTGTGATCTAGAGTTTTGCCCTAGGACAGCAGGATTGAGCGCATCACTGATGAGAGAAGCATCTATCATGACAGTATCAGAGAACTCAGGTTGACCTTGGGTGAGCTGATAAAGATGTGTATTAAACAACTCAGGGACACCGTTAAAGCCAGTATCTTCGGTTTGGGGATAGGTATTATTGAACATATCAAAAAATAAGCAGAAAAAGGTGGGAGTTTCGTTTGAAAGAAAAGAGTATGATAACAATTTGAAAATACTCGAAAAGTTCATTGTTTTATACTTAATTATATCTGTGCTTGTAAAGAAGTACCAATACATGGATGGTCTTGTCGAAGAGGTCTCTATGAAATGCCCAGTAGTCTTTGTGGAACTTGACCGGATTTTGATTGGCTCACAAAAGAAAAGCTTTCATTTCTTTGCTTGTTAAAAAAAAATCACCCTGGTGGTCAAGACAGAGAAAAGGTCATAGATACATATAGTGAAAGAATTTTGAGAAAAGAAAAAAAAAAGAAAACAAGGTACACTCCCAAAACTGAAATCACCGACAAAATCTTTGATTTCTACCCCCGAATAAACCATACATCAACTTCATTATGCTATATCTTCTCAAGAAGTTGACAAAATAAAACCAAACATTGTGTTGTTATAGAGAAATGTATATATATTATAGAATAAAAATAAAAAAAATGAGGTTTAATATACGGTATGATCACCACGAGCTTTTATGACTGCTTTAACTCTGTCAGGCATACTTGCCACAAGAGTTTGCAGAACTCCAGGGTCAAGCAACTCCCATTCCTGAAGAATACAGGCCTTCAGCTCTTGCACATTGTTAATAGAGGCCTTTCTCTCTTGAACCTTGGCCTTTAGGGCATGCCAGACATGCTCAATTGGGTTCAAATCTGGACTTTGCGACGGCCAGTAGTCAAATCGTTTAATCTCCCAACGGTTTTTCCACCACGTCGTGTAGGACCCAGTATGACAGCTAGCACCATCTTCTTGGAATGTGAACATGGTGTCATGTTCTTCATTCAATTGTTTGTACCAGGGATTGAAGTCCTTAGACAGACAATTGACGTATGCATCTTGGTCTACAGATCCTTCGATAAACGATAATGGCCCAATGCCACCAGCCCAGAAACAACCCCATACCATCACGGAACCTTTTCCATACTTTTCTGTTGTTAGTGTATGGCGTTCCTGGTGCCTCTCCCCTCGTTTACAAATTACGGATGGGTCAGAATCATTGCCTTTCACCATGAACCTCGACTCATCTGACCACACCACTCTGCTCCAGTCTTCGATGCTAAAACTGGCCCTAGCTCTAGCCCAACGCAACCGATTCTTTTTCTGCTCACGGGTTAACTTTGGTTTAGATACAGGGGTGTAAGAACCGAAGCCTTTTGCTCGTAGGTATCGGATAACTGTCTGTCTACAGACAATAACGCCAGCAGCTCCCAAATTTGCCTGGTGGTATCCATAACTCTCAAAAGGATTACGTCTCACACTCAAACAAAGACTTGTAACGTCTGTTACACTAAGTTTCTTTGGTCTCCCAGGTCTGGTCTTTGTCTTGGCTGTTCCAGTAGTCTCCCAGCGCTTTATTGTATCGAAAACTGTAGTTCTAGGAATGTTCATACGGTTTGCGATGTCAGTTGGAGTATGATCGGCTTTTGAGAGCCAAACAATGCCTCCACGCTCAAAATCTGACAGCTCGTGTCTGGAGGGAGTAGTTTTAATTCTTTTATTACTTTTTGACATTGGTGGTTAAGTTTGAGGTAAAGGTGTGAGGAAGAGAAAGGTAAAGAATGTTATAAAAAAAGCAGCATGAATAATGTGGTTCATCGATGATTTTTATTGTCGGAGTGTATATACAGCCAAAAAATACTTGAATCAAGAAAAACTCTTAATGTAAATATCAGGTTCTGCAATTCTCTTTAGTAAAGAGTGCTAGCAAGATAATATAGATGCAGTAGCCTTTAATATGATTTTGTATTTCCGAGACACAACACTAATATTGTTTCCTATATGCCCACACACGAATGCTACTAAGGACCTGTAGCTTTAAGCAGAAACTACCACAGGATTCTGCCGCCCCCCCCCCCCCCCCCCCCCCCCCCCCCCTTTTTTTTTTTTATTAATTCATTGCATCAAATATGTATATTTGTATTATACAACTCCCATACTTTTGTATCCTCTATGCATAAAGTGTCAGAGTTTTTCTCTGCTAGAAACCACCACACCTTTATTTTATTTTTTATGAGTTGTTACGAATGTCATGATTTCCTTTGAAATTTCTAACTCTATAAAGTATCATCAGAGCTTCAGTACAGTCAAACTCCAACCAATTCTAAAAGAAATATTACGGACGAGTATGGTGGTACCTAACACACACTTTTTTTTCATTTTTTGTTTTTTTAAAGAACGTCAATCGTCACTTCAACTACTTTAACGGAGTTGAGTTTTACGAGTTCCTTTTCAGTGAAGAAGACTAAAGTAAATGAAGCCTTCCATCTGCTTTACACATCTCTTGTATCCTTTTATCGCCGATGCATACACCTGTGAAAAAAAAGGAAGGGGGAAAATGCGTGACTATTTTTATATGCATGTGACTACTAGAGCTAAAGACTATGAAAAAAGCAAAAAGTAAACAAAAAAGGACGCAAAAAACAGAAAAAGACGAGCAACAACGATGCAAAACCTTATTTACCATCAAGAACTACAATTCTGTTCATGCGGATAGCTCATTAGCTTATATATAGCTCTCATCATGTTCTTGCAGAAATGAGCTTGTCAGAACATTGCGCATTAAAGATCAATTCTCTATTTTTCTCATTCAGCCTGACGTCCGATGTTGATTCGCGCATCCTTTTAACGAACACTCATGATAGAAAGTAAAAGTTTTCAGGGTAAAAAACAAAGAACACACGCGTTTAAAAATTATTAAGCTCTTTAACGTATCTGGTATATATATATATATACAATCGATGTCTGATCGATTTCTTAGAAATATGATAGAGTTTTGACTATTACAAGAATAATAGGAGAGCTTTTTATGGATGATATTAAAAAATATGTATAGCTTTTAACAGTGAACAATATAAAGTACAACAAAGCACAGAAGAAGGGTCTTTATAAAAAATTGATTTATTCTATAGGATTTAATAAAGCCTTACAAAAGGAATCACTAGGCAAGATATCTGCTTTACACGTTTGATGGTTATTTTTCTTCTTTGAGCCTCAATCTTTCCAAGCTGTTTGAACGTCGGGGTTTATTATCTTTTGCAGGAATATGCTTTGCTCATAATACAATCCGACTTGCTGTCTGGATAGTCACCCTCATGTCAGATATCTCTCGTTAATAATATATGTTTTTAATAAAAGGTGTTAGTATAGTCTTAATATAAGTGTACTTTACTCTTAACAATATACTTGACCATACGTATTCCAATTCATGCTTGTAGCACATAAGAGTAAGGTATGAAGAGGTATGAGAAGGGTATCTGTAGCAGTACGTTGAGTGTGTCTTCAAAATTACAACAATGAACCTCAACTGTATTTATCTATTCCCATTTCTCCCTCTTATTAATTATCAATTATCCAAAGAACTATAGCTTATCACAACATATTGGAAATATCTTTATAAGTATCGAAAGATAAAAGCAATAAATTCCACTTACATATTACTTCTGTTTTCGTTTAATTTTCTTTTTCAAGAGAACAAACTGTCGATTGCCAATATTTGGGCTAATGATTTGTTAGAGAAGATCAATATATATGTATTATTGTCCATTTATATAATAGATTATGTTAATAGTGAGTGAATCATTCACAGTCTTTCAAGCTGCAAAATTTCAAGACAACACTCACAAACTGAAGGTATAAATTATGAGCTTTGAAAAGGTACTGATGAAAAAGCAGTATTTAATATTTTTTATTAGTTTCGGGATGGTGCTACGTAGGTCAATTGAAGGTCATGATATTACGCAGACCAATTGTCAGCTGATAGATCTTACGAGTCAGTTGAAGGCTACAACGTTGTTTGGATCATTTGGAGGCTGGTACTGTTTGTGGGTCAGTTGGATACTGCAACTCCGTGTGAGCCTTTTTGAATACTGGCATATTTTGTTCAGAATCCGGATATTGTGGTGCCATGTAGGTCAATTAGAAGTTGATTCTATTAATCTAAATCATATTAGTTTAGATTGTAGTTTCAGTATCATGGTTAACATAGTTCTAGATATACTTAGTTAAACAAATACATATACTCTGAAGATTGTCGAATTTACTGTTGAAATGAAGAAGTGTTTAATAAGGAAAAAAGGATTGTTTTGATCAAAATAGCAAATCAAATACAGAAAATCTACTATACATCAAGATACATTAAGTAAAAGCTCTTTACATTTTTAAGTAACATAATAAAAAACATTAAAACCAACTATCTAAACGTTGTCTAATGTTGATTGCTTAAATATTGATCAAAAACATCCATTTTTTCACTCTAAAAAAAACATTTATAATTTTTGGATATTTACACCACAAGACCATATTTGATCCCAAAGTTCCCTCAGGACGCACACCTAAAAAATCAAAATGTCTTGTTTTTTTATTAGGTAAAGGTGTGTAAAATGTTAATCAATGTCGGTCAGTGTTTGTTTGATCAATATCAGACGAATATTCATGAAGATATCGATGGATTTAAAAATGACAATACCGATATTTCCACTACTAGTGATGTGATGTAAATGTCCTACCGTAAAGCTGTGTACATCAAAGATTATTCGCATTGTGCGTATGGCAGGCTTTATAATATTATTTCTCAGAGTGTTATTCGTATAATATTGATATTTATCAGAATGAAGTATTATATGTAGCTTAGAAAAGTTTATAAAAAATTAAATAAAATTAAAAGAAATTGTGACGCAGATTGTGGACGCCTTACAGCCTTCATGTCAGTTAAATTAGGTATATGTTTACTAGGTAGCTACATATCACTGGTATATAACTTAAGAAAGCTTATTAAAATCTGGTTCGATTATTTGACATAACTCCAAAGAATAATAGTACAAATAGGTAAATACGCGAGTTTTGATCCTTTGGTGCAGTCATATGGCACTGGTTTGTACTTTTGAACTTGAATAGAAGGGGATAGTGGAATCCAAACTTAATTAACCGTAACTGTATCTCTAATTTAATACAAAATTATAATAATTCTAGGTTTAGATTTTCTTAGATTGCTTTATCAAGTCCGAGGTCTGTTAAGTTTTTAGGCACTAAGCCAAGAAACTAGCTTGGGTTGATTTCTTGTGGTACACATATATTTTCTTGTTTGAGAACTATCTCAGAATATATTGGCAAATAAAGTTTTTATATATGGAGCCAGCAGACATTCTTTGTGAGAACGAGCCTATAAGCCCTCAATTGATCATATACTAAACAGGACAGCTAGATTTAATAATTATCGGTGGTACCAAGAAGTGGTATTATCTATAAATATTACATTTAAATATACAACCTTTTGGTGGTGTATAATATGTAATCCATATAGTTTAATGTTTAATCTCGCGATTATAAAATCATAAAGTTAAATAAACATTTCTTATAATTTTCTTATTTGGTATTAATCAGTTTTTTCTTTCTTTCTTTTTTGGTTATGTAAGCTTTTATTATCAGTATATAAGCCATGGACTTTGATTAGAGAACAAACGTCCACACGGTATATTACAAGCTCATTAGCTCAAAAGCCAAGCAAGATAATGTAATACTCAATTCCCGAGTATTTTTTTGTCATAGCTTAGATACTCAAACAAGAGATACACTGGTTCTATAGATTATACAAAAAAAAAACACTATCTGTCACCAGATTTTGCTCTATATCGAGTAACTTTTTTGTCGTATTTTCTAGATACCTGACGAGCATAGAGTTTATTTGTTAAAAAAATAGAGCGTTTGATCATAAAATAATACTCTTGATAAAGAAGAGCGATCCAGACTAGTAGGCACACATAAAATTTAATAAAAATAACAGTAACACGACAAATAACTGTTAACACAACCATAAAACTTTGGATATGAAGTTGATATTATGAAAATTAAACTTGAATACTATCTGAAAGTAAATGTATGTATTAATGTTTAATCCAAGTTGGCCTAGACTTTCTCGTCTGTGCAACTTGTGTGTAGAATATTGAGTTGTGTCGCTGTTCTCTAACCTAAGATGTATGAGTTGAGACTGGACATTTGAGTAAAGCAATACAAGAGAAAATATATATATAAGAAATTTTGGTGTTGGTGAAGTTGATATTTCTTTAGAAATTATATTTATATATATTTAGTAGATCTAATACTTTTAATTATCCGTAGCTTAGAGTATATAACTAGTGCCTATTAGACTGATATTTGTCTTTGGCATTAAACTTGTCGTGTAACTCTTTGTTAGTTTATTATTATTAGTATCAATGGGATCCTTGTAAAAAATAAAATAAAATCCGTAAACAAACGCGTTTTTTTATACTTTGCTTGGGGTGACCCAAGTGGATTTTGGTAATGTGGCCTATAGCATATTTATATATATACATATATGGCTATCTACGGAAATACACATAGATCGGCACATTGGCGCTTTGTTGTACAATTATATGTGCTGGGCGTGATTTATATTTAAAAAACTTTATCCAGGTGTATTACAACTAATACGGCTTTACAAAATTTATCTATAAACTGTGCTTTCTTAATGCCTTGTCATTTTCTCTGTCATTTTATTATACTAACTCTCCTACACAGCACCTTCTTATGCCCCCAAAAGATATTCCAAATATTCGTTAATAACACCAAAGTCTTGTATAACTGAATAATAGATATTTAGATGATTTATGCAAAAATTATGTTTGGTGTACCAATGTGAATTTAATACTACCGTTACATAACCTTATTATCGTGCGGATTTTGGAACAAATAATTGGAACAAAAGATGTGTGGAACAAGGCTTCTCATCTTCTCACCGTGGTTTGAGGACTATAGAAAATAGAAAGAAAAAGAAATAGCCAATTAACTGGTAACATTTGATTACTAGATGACATATATATATTCATTTATTTATTTTTCTTAAAAAAATACACTCTATATGAGCAATTGTCTCTTAATAATTAATGGATATTTCTGCTATATTCATTTTACAGATATTATTGTCGTTATTTCTTTGTTTCTACCACTTCTGAGCTTGATTATATATTGAGGAGTTACGGAGCGGTCAAATGACTCTTTTTGAAAAGAATTTTTTTTTACATATATTGGCTTAGTGTCTAGTGATTCTCAAACCCTGATGGCCTTGGATACTCGGTTGACACTTTTATAAGGTAGTAGTTCGTGCTCCATCCTGAGTCTTAATTATTTGTACTATGTTTCCGTTACTCAGTGAAGGTAACGTTTATATTCAAAAGACCCTGTTGGATTTTGCAACTGACCATATCATTAAAGCACCATGTTGATTCTTATATATAAGCGGGTATATACATGCGACTGTCATCAATTCAAAAGTTAGCTATACTTGTGCGTTGTATTTGAGTACAGTATTATAAAAGCTGTAGGTGTAATTAAGATGTAATACATAATAGTTTATTACCATAAAACAAAGTTGAAAACAGGCTTGTTTATCGGTATATATATAATTGTACATTATTAGCGATTCATATATGTAACTTGCAGATTAACTGCAGTAAACTGGTCTATTAGAAACACTGTGCTTAAATAGACAAGAAGGGTGTTTATTAATATATCACATGATAGACGTGGATTTAATGTAAAGCTTTCTCTACAGAAAAATAAACTAAATATATCAAAAAGCACCTTAATTGAATATTGATTTTTCCATTGTTCACTGTCATAATAGCTAATTTATCTTAAGCTGTTTTTTTAGAGCTGTGTAGTAAGATCCCCTTCTTTCTTTCTTTCTTTTTTTTTTAAAAAAAAAAGTTTATGTCTGTTCAAGAAATATTTTAATAAGAATAACAATATGAATTTTATTATTTTGATACAAAAGCCAACCCAAGGCTTGTCAACTTTTTTAGCTATACATAAGTTTATTGCCTTGTCCCTGTTAAATTGTATTATATAATGAGATTGAATTAGTCGACATTCACAGTAGTTAAATATAATATAAAAAAGATTCACACACTATAAATTATCACTATTTTCTACATCTTGTGTTTAATATGCGCCAATTTTTTGGTTTCTATATTTAAGAACCCAACCCCTTTTCTAGTTTCACATGTACTCCTAAACCCAATGCCGATTCAACCTGTATTTAGTTTGGCAAATACAGATGTAACATGGTACAGTTGATTAAAGCCCTCTACCTAACAGCTACACGCTGATTTTACGGTAGCAGAGTCGTCTAAATGGGGGAGTTTTACTATATCGAGTGGGTTAGTAGAGCAGAAAAAAGTATAAATACTTGAGCTTACATATTTTTCAAAAATAAAAAAAAGTACTTAGCTTTTTATTCTCTGATCATGACAATTTCTTCGGCTACAAACCAGGCAAACTCATGCTATTTTGGATCAAAGATCAGCATAAACCAAGAAAAGACCCTCAAGGCAATTCTCAGTACCATCTTAGCACCTCTGACCCCCGAAGAGAAGGAGTCTTTAAAGAAGAACTTGTCTGAAATTCCCAGTGTAACCTGCACTCAGAAAGATATTGATGTAATCTCTGACCTTGGTCTGTCCACTCCTGGTGTCTATGAGTCTTTCCTTCAATTTATGTCGGTTAAAGTTCTACCAGAGGATCTCGATGGCGTATTTGGTCTTCTTGATGTTCTTGGTACTCCAGAAGGCACAAAAAGCTTGACTGGAAAGGCTGTCAAATTTGAAGACTTGAGCCATGAGCAAAGAACAGAGGTCTGCCTTTCTTGGAAATTCTCAGATAACCCCCAGCTTGTCGGTATCTTCAAAACTTTCTCTACAGCAATTTTGAGTGCTGCCTACAACATGTCGGACAGTCCTCATCAAGCTGCAATGGGTTACCCTGGCCAGGATCCTATAAGAAGCGCGCCAGGTTATGTTCCCTGCATTGTCCGCGACAGATACAAGTTCATGACAGAAAAAGAGCTACGAGACCCTGCTTTGAAGTTTGATGCGATTGTCATCGGAAGTGGAGCAGGAGGAGGTAATGTGAATTTCAGTTAAAAAAAAATACATTATTGTTATAGATGCTCGCACAAGAAAATAATTCTTATTTGTTTGTTTATTTAAACTTTAGGTGTATGTGCTGCTGAGCTGTCTCAAGCAGGTTTATCAGTCCTTGTGATTGAGAAAGGAAAATACTATCATGAAAGTGAATTCACTTCCGACGTACCAACTGCCTACAAAAACTTATACCTTCAAGGTGGAAGTTTTGCCTCTCGCAAAGGAGAACTTAGCATTCTTGCAGGTAGTACCTTTGGCGGTGCAACCACAGTAAATTTCTTGGCAAGCTTAAAGGTAAACGCGTAAAGCCGCAGTTGCACAATTCTCTTTGATCTGATTAGTTTTTTTGGGGATCTTTTTTTTTTTTAAAAAAAATAGCCTCAGCATTTTGTACGTGAAGAATGGGCAAAATTGGGCTTGACTCACTTTACATCGTCAAAGGTAATTATTAGTTGAATAAATAAAAATAGGAGGAGCCACAAATATGATTATTGACTTCTTAAATATAGTTTTCCGAAGATTTGGACAAGGTTTATAAAAGGATCGGTGCTGAAACATCTGGAATCAAACACAATGAACCTAATCAAATTTTTGTGGATGGTTGCAAGTAAGGCTTCAGACAAATTACATGAATTTTTTTTGTTGACTAAGCTCTATAGAAAACTCGGATGTCACATTGAGGATATCCCCCAAAACACAGGTGGATTATCACATGAGTGTGGATGGTGTCTAACTGGATGCAAGGATGGCATTAAGAATGGTACATCAAACTCATGGCTCCGTATTGCTGCTGCCAACAACGCCCGTTTTGTTGATCAAGCCACTGTGAGCCGGGTCATCATTACCGATGGAAAGGCCACCGGTGTAGAGTTTAAGATCAATGGATCAGATACACCAATCTCTCTCAATGCATCGCGAGTAGTAGTGTCTGCTGGATCATTGCATTCTCCTGGTATCCTTTCAAGAAGCGGACTGAAGAACAAAAATATTGGAAAGCATCTTCGTCTTCATCCTGTAACTGTGATCTATGGTTTGTTTGAAGATCGTCAAGTTAATCCTTTTGAAGGATCTCTTATGACTGCTGTAAGTAATATAAATGGAATATTGAATATAAACAAGGTTGAACATAAGGCGTCGATAATAACTAGAAGTTCTTTATCTATAGCTGAGCAACAGTCTTGAAAACCTAGATGGTGAAAATTATGGATCTAAGCTTGAGGTTCCTCATCACACCACAGATATGTACATCTTTGGCATCCCATGGCAAGGAGGAAAGGAACACAAAGAAAGAATGCTCAGATTTAGACAGTCATCATCCATCATTGCTCTTGTCCGTGACAAGGATTCTGTGGGAAGTGTAGAGCACACCAAAGATGGAAAGGTTATCGTCAACTACAAGTTATCTGACCAAGACAAAATATCGATTATCAAGGCAGAAGAGAGATCGGCTATGATTTTGGTCGCTGCTGGTGCTAGAGAGATCCATACTGGCTTCTTTGGCATGAAGCCTTTTATATTCGAAAAGAATGAACCTACTGAAGTGAATAACCCAAGATTCCTCCAATGGATTGATGCTTTGAATAAGAACGGAATGCCAGATAACGCTATGAATTACTTCTCTGCTCACCAGCTGGGAACATGGTAAGTCAATTATACAGTTCAATCGGTTTTCTTTTATTCATGGATAGTCTGAAAAACTAAATACAATATCTATTCAATTTATGTGTAGCCGAATGGGTGTTTCTCCTGACACCTCTGTCACTCAACCAACTGGTGAGACCTGGGAAATCAAGGATTTGTATGTTTGTGACGCATCTCTTTTCCCAACTGCAAGTGGTGTCAATCCCATGGTCACAACAGAAGCCATTTCTGTCCATGTATCTGATTCAATTGTCAAGTCAATTAAGCTTGCTTAAGGAAGCCCAAATGTATATATTTATTATTTTTATCTCTTTTTTTTTTTAAATAAAAAGTGCTTTACACAGCCAAAATCTACATCGCTTTATTTATTTGTGAAACCGGACAAAACTCTGTACTTCAAGCTATAAACCTTTACTTCTCAGCTACTTCTTTACTTCAAGTATGTACATACCCAAGTAGAGTACACTACCGGATATATAATATATTTTTTTTCTTTAAAATATTTAAATGATACCATCTTTTCAACAACATTCATAATTAAAAATATATATTACATACGCAGAAAAAATTAAGCAGAAGAAACAGCAGCAGTGAGTTGCTCCTCCTTTTGAGCCTTTAGTTGAGTAGAAATATCAAGTATATTCATATAATTTAGTGTAATTATATTATCTTCATAATTACCAATAGTGTTATGTATTGTATATTATCATGTTACGCCTTTCTTGTGTCTGTGCTTGGTATGATCATCCTTCATTGATAAATGAAAAGTCACGGCGTTTAATTTTACATTGAATTGGGTTTTAATTGAAACGGTGTGTTTTTTAAACAATTATTTTTTTTAAAAAAAGAAACTCGAGACTTTCCTTGTAAAGCAATCTAGTATAGTGATTGCAAGCATTGATAATGAATATATCTTCTCTTGAGGTTGTCGCATTGGTGAATCCAAGAAGCCTAAACGATCCAAAAGACACTCTACACCTTACTGTCGGAGGAAATGATTCCCTAATTGTCGCTGATAGTAGTCAAGGTAGTCTACAGCAATTAGATTCATGTTCCTTTTCCACATTACACACGAAGTAGCTGAGAGTTCCCCCCCGTCCATAGATAACAATGTCCATGGCAAACAGTACGATTAATAATATTTTTAAAAAAAATATACATACATGTGAATTGCCCACAGCCAGTCCTAATTAGACATGATTGTAGAACACGTTATACATTTACGCGATGCTTGCATGCCAGTACACCAGTTAGTGAATGTCGCATCCAAGCAGCAGAACTTGTTAATCTTGCTCTAGATGGTAATAATACCAATAATTTAATAATGCAAAAGCAGCGGCAACAACAATAAGTAAATAAATAAAATAATACGTTTTTATTTTATTTTATTTTGACAAGGATTCAATGCGGCAGCTGTTTTCATGAGTGTTGGGTGAGCAAGCGCAATATTTATGTGTATATGCATAATTTGTGCTAACTATTAATATGGGTGTGTATTACTATGATCTCAAATAAAGTGTCGAGGATCCATTTGAGCACAGGTAATTGTTACAAATACTTTTTTAACCTTCTTATTGATATCCAATATATATATATATATAGAATGGAAATGATGGAATCGATCGTACTGTGTCTAAAGACAGAATTGGAAAAAGCCAACAGAAATAGAGAAGAACGTCAAATCAATACAATCAAATTGGATTATGCGTGCGTATTTTTAAAGATAATATATATTAAAGAAGAATTGTTGCATAATTAACAAAGTTTTGTAATCACAGGTACCTTGGAATAACGGACGATTATTGCTACGACATTAGTAATTCTCAAAGATACGAAAGTAAGTGTACTTCTTTTTTAAGCATCCTCTTCAACCGGTCTTTTTTTCATTTAATTAATCAAAAAAATAATACAATTATTAATCTAAAGTATTTCTTTGTATTTTATATATATAAAAGAATCCTACGTACTTGAGGATGGTTTAGACCATATGTTAATTAGAATTCAAGATACAGACGAAATGTGGAATGAAGTTAAAAAGGGTTCCAAATTTCCTTTTGTTGTTAAATTACGGCTCACGGACGATGAATCATTTATGGGCAATATTGTCTTGGCTGATTTAATGCAACCAAACTTTCTGGGAACTGTTAATCAAATATCCCCTCGATATAGCTTTCATTATTCATTTTCCAAATTAAGTATGGCAAAAAGAAGAACATAAGGACTATATCTAGCAATAGACACTTTACTGATACTTTTATCTTTTATATATCGAATTTACACAGAGGATCTCGTCAGCGTGGTTGTGGACCCAGAATATGATGGCTACATGGATATTGATAAGAATCTATTTACCAAACTATTATCAGAATATTTTTGTGGAAAGAGCAAATGTATTACATTTATGTATTTTGATGTAAGTGAATTTGTACAAAATATCGAGTCAATCGATAAAAATAACAATTGGTAATTGAATCGTTGTTATTAGGAACGCTCAAAAAAAGTAGAAGAAGTTACAGAGGCGCTTTCGTTCTCTAAATCCTTACAAAAGATTCGACTTCACGCCATGCGTAACCAAAAAGATATCCGCGTTGAAGACTTTAAATATCTGTACGAATTAGAGCAGGGTAAACTTGCACAAAAAGAGGTGAATTATAAATACCAAAAAATGTTGAATGATAACTGGAGAGACTAAACATATCAGAGTATAGAAAGCACAATTGGATCTAAATGAAGAATTATTAGCTTCAAGAGAAGATCTAAGTGAAATGGAAGATCAATGCAAAGAATGGAAAAACAAATGCAAGTTATTAGAAAAGAAATTAAACTGGGTGAGTTACATCTATCTGCACGCTTACTTTACCTACTTACTTACCATGCAATTCGTTTAAATGAATACATATATGCGTGTGTGTAATGTTAAATAGGTCAAACAAGACTTGGAATTAAAAATTAAGCAAGAAAATGTTACACGCCTCGATTTTAATGCCGCAGTGGCAATACAAGAAGGGTTTCAGAGAAAATCTTTAGTAGAATTAGGTGCGTTTGACTTGTAACTTCTCAGTATGATATATGTACATTACTTATTTACCCGCTTATTTTAGTCGCTACAAGGTACATGCTGGAAAAAAATACTGATCTCGCAAAAAAGAAAACAGTAAGTCAAGTTAATATTTATCTAAATATATTCCTGTTTTGGAAAAAAAAATGGGCGCTGACAAAAATTGTACAGGAAAAACTGAAGAAGGAGCGAATTAAATCAAAAGAGCTCGAGCACATCATAACACAATTGAACAAGGCTCGAAAGAAGCTGACAGTAAAAAAAGAGACACTAGAACAAGCTAACACTGAATTGGATGTAAGTTAAAAAGCTTACATTACATTAATTTGGCTTGATCCCAAATTAACCAATTCATTATCTAATATTTATCAATCGCTTTTGATATATATGTATATATAACAGACAAATGTAAAAGTACTTCAGGTAATAAATAGCCAAGGCTTGCAAATAAATAAATAAAAAAGAAACAATTACTCATTTGTATAATTTTTAGGAAGAAGTCAATAGCCTCAAAACCGAATTGCAAATTTGTAATGAACAGTGTGAACGCTCACTGGTAGGAGAATATTACGGCTTGAATACAAGGCACATACTGTCAAAATATGCTGAATATAATATAAAATGTATATCTTACTATACTTAGGAATACAGAAAAAGAGATGCGAAGTTGCACCAGGCAGAGTTGTCATTTGCGCAAGAACAAGCACAGCAATATCTGTCCCAAATTCGATACTATCTAGCCCAAACTCCTCAAGCACCAATCCCAGCTCAACCTACTCCAGCCGCCCCAGTATTACTTAATACACAAGCTGTTAGTGTATCCCAAAATACATTTAAGCCAACACCCACCCGCACATCTGCATATAAATCTTCACCTACACCGGCATTCACCTCTACACCTACACCCATATCTAGATCTACATACATACCTACAAAAAGTACTACTGCTCCATCAAAACAGCATGTTCCATTTCGTCTGTCAGAATCGCCAAGCCCTATTCTTGGCCCTGTGGAAATACCAGCACCGTCTAGACCCGTTGCTTCAAAAAGAAGCACCAAGGGAAAAGAAAAAATGACAGAAAGCATAGGCCCTACAGCAACAACATCTAATATTGGCCAGGGCATGCAATCGTCATCACGAACAACGCAAAAAAGCTCACTACCATCTTCTAAGTCCATTACCGCCACCAAGCAAAGCGCAAAGGGAAAAGAAAGGGCAACAGAAGAAGTTACCTCCACAACAACGACAACAAGAACAGAAGCAGCGGCGGCGGCAAAAGCAAAAGCGGCAGCAGAAAAAGAAAAAGCAGAAAAAGCAGCAGCAGCAATTGTCATTGATAAAGAGACACAAGACGACGATCTTATTCTTCTTGAAAAAGAAAAATCCTTGAGCCCTCTTCGTTCTCCTATATTGGGTGGGAAAGCTTTTGAGTCTGATGAGGAAAATGAATTTCCTATGTTTGATGAACCAAATGTGAGGAAAAGTTTTATTAAGCCACTCCCAGCTAAGAAACCTCAGCCAAGTAAAAAGGCCAAACCTGTAAAGAATACCAAAAAGACATCCGACGATGAGCCAGTTGTCAAGAAGAAACGTAAATTGACTCAAAGACCAACTCACCATGATATCTCTACAAGAGGATCTGTGAGTCCAATGACAAAGTGGTTAAAGGACAATTGATATATACATATATACTTTATTTATTTTTTACTTATAGTCGATATACTTTATAACTTACTTTATCAAAAATAATAATAGACTTACCGTGTATTTTTTTTTACTCTAATTTTGTATAATATACTTTGAATTCAATGGTGTCTCTTATACTATATATATATATGCGTGTGTGTGTGTGTGTATGTGTGTGTATTTGTATATATAAATTGAATATAAATGAATTCAATCGTATATACAAGCAAGCAAACAAACAAACAAGCAAATAAAGATATTCTGCTTATTGAGATTACAACTGTGAACCAAGAGATCGTCCCTTCTTGTTACTCATTCATCATAGTATTTCTATTGAAGATCCTAAGAATGTAGAATATACATATATACAAGAGAGGATCGTATAGATCGGTAATGACATCTCTAAATATTTATTATTTCTGTTTATTTTGTTTTGCATCTTATCTAATTAACTAACTAAAACATGAGCCTCTCAAGCGTCTCTCCTTTTCCAATCCAACAAAAGAAAAAGAGTACGCTTGATGACCTTGAAGATCTTGTCAAGCGTCTCAACGTACACATCGACACGCTCGACTCTCACATTTCCAAACCTTCAGATGAACTCGATCCTTGGGCAACCCACGTCCCTACCCACTATGCAGCACTACTAGACCGACTCCAGGTTTCTTGTTCATGCACACACAAAAGACCTCCTTGTTCTTCCAATGTCGTTCCGGCCAAAGACGTCCCATGGCTTGATCCAATAGAGCCTTTCCAGGACAAAAAACCGGAAGACCCACTCAGACGCCAATATGCACATTGGTGTACCCTGTTGAGGTGCTTGCCATTTCTGGATTCTAAAGCTCAAGAACAGGTACGCACAGTTGGAGTACACGGTATGCGCGAAATCCTAAAGTACAAGGGAGCCGGCGGGTTTTCCAATGAAGTATCGTACTTTGATAAACACACGACAAAAATAGCAACACCAGCAGCAGGCGAGCAAGAGGGAAATGGAGATAGAAGAGGAGAAGAAGAAGGGTATGATTCTGGACGACTTCGGGATTCAATGTGCTTTCCAAAAAATACCACAGCAAAAAATAATTATAGTAATAGTAATCACAGGGTTTCCGAGCGTATGATGAATGAATATCCCAGAAGCGCCTCAAGTTTGATGAGTAAACTTAATGGGTCGACTACATTGAGTATACTCCATGAATCCGACAACACATTATATAAGATGAACTTGTCGAATGGACTGAGTCGATCAGGTGGATTGTACAGACCTAATGGCAGTGGTGGCTCTGGATCATTGGGATCTAAAATGTCTCCATTGACGCAATCTTCAGTGGAATCTTTGTGTGTACGGAAACCAACCTTCAAAGGGTGGTTGAAGCGTAAGAATAACTCTACAAAAAGACTGTCTCATTCAAGTACTCTTGATAAATTAACCGGTTGGTTTAAATGAGAATAAAATAAAATAAAATAAAAGTTCAAACGACCACCCAACAGATTATTTATTTCTATATACATTCCAATTCAAGATTATCACAATAGTAATAATGAAAAGGATTCCACCTCTCATAAAAGCTGTCAAAATAAGAAATATTTTTTTTTAAAAAAATACCATGCTTGTTTCATCTAATTAATAAATCCTCTAATTAAAAATTCATTATAATTATCAAGAGGGTTTCACCAGTTCTCAATACAACGATAATTTAATTCACCCATATAGAAGTTTATGTGTGTCTGGTGCGTAACAGTTCTGGATGTAATTAACTTGGCATGTTCGTTAACAAGAAAAAAAATCGGAATTTTGCTGTGAAGGTTGTATTTCACTCAATTGTGGTGCGTATACTACACTGCATACACTTTCCACCCAGCCACTGGCAACTAGCTATCTATTTCTTGGAAAATTTTAAAAAAAAAGCTTCAAGATATTTGACAAGAATAGGATCACAAACATCGCTTAAATTATTGGTACGTTTTCTTTTAATCTTCTAATAGCTACTATATAAGTCGTACTACCTTATTTTATTTAATTCTGGCTTTACATTGACTACCCTCTCTTCTATTGCTTTATTCAATGCCTTGTTAACAGTATATTTTACCTGTTACTAAATCGCTAAGTATTGTGTTCTTTTTATTATATGCCCGGATAAAAATGATTTACGTCGTCCTCAGAATCCAGTCTCTTTTATTATTTCACTGTATATGTATATATATATATTCGCCTTCGTATAAAAAGTATACATTCATTATTATAGTTGCTGTCAAGCTAACTTTAATGCTTTATTCAAAATAAAATAAAAACAGGAAAAAGATAGATATACCGAGAATTTTAAATCTGTATATTGACGAGCCTTTATTTTCCACAAATTATCTTGGGACATTGCTTACAGTTAAAATCAATATATCCACACATACAAGAATCAAAAACACATGTTTTTTTTTAATCTTGAATAAACACATGAAGTGATTGGCCTTTCTCTCTCATTATTTCTCTGCTGTGCGCGTGTGCGTGTGTTTATGTATGTTTATGATTGGTAATTACCAAGATAGCTTACTGACACTCTTTCTCTTTATTTCTCTCAAGTATCAATACTCTAAATTAAAGTATTAATTTGTGTGCGGATGTGTCAGCCAAACATTCTTTTTCCTTCTGATCTATCGATCAATAAACTCAAACAATAATTGTAAATATTGAAATTTATTACTAAAAATGATTGTCCAAAGGGACTTATCCGACCCGAAGCAACTACTTTTCCATGGCAACCCCATTTACATTGATATATATATAATTTAGCTTTACGTTTAATTAAATTACATTAATTTATAGCAATAGAATATAATATCAAATGAGAGATCTTGTGTTTACATCGTGTGCGTATGTGTGTGTGCCTCTCTCTCTCTCTTCATTTCATATTATTGTTTAAAGAAAATGTATGTATGCATGTATAGATTATCTGTGATTATTGAATGGCTCATGATTTCCATGAATTTTTTTTATACAAATAAAGTTTTCATTAATCGACCCATTTGGTTCTCATATTTTTATTTCCATTTATATATATATATTTAATACTCCAATTTACATTTGAAATTTTATTATTTGCTTTACATTCATCTTTCTTTCTATTCTACTACTTGCCATATTTTTCTGTCCACTAAACCTGTATGATTGCCTTGGACCCTCTCGAGAGTAACATCTTAGAGCCGGAAGAGCTATATTCTTTCTCTAAAGAACATCTTGACATGTTACAAGACTGGAACGAAACAGACTTTCACTCTGATCACTACTTAGACATGATCGATATTCTTTCGACTGCCTTGGATCAGATCACAAACCAACTCAATGACAAAAAACATGAACTTCAGACAACCTCTTCCGACTGGACGACATTGACCACCGAGACATTCCGTGCACAGATAGGAAAACTCGAAAACCAAAAGACACTCCTCCAGAGCCAGCTACTCACCCGGTATCGAATAATCAATGCTCGTTTAAATCGAGACGAGAAAACAATTCATTTAAGGGATAAGATTTCCTTCCTCGTGGGTGTGGCCAACACTTGCCTGACTCCGGTCTTGACCTCACGCGTGCCAGAATGGATCCCATTGTATTATACGCTTCAATCTGTTTATCTCATTACTTTTCGAGGAATAGTCTATAAATCGCGTCAATGGCATTATTTCATATTTGATCTTTGTTACTTTGTCAACCTTATGACTCTCTTGTTTCTCTGGGTATTTTCATCTTCGACAGGCCTTTTTATCGCCATATATGCACTTACAAACGGTCCTGTTGTTTGGGCGATCATCACATGGAGAAATTCACTCGTGTTCCACTCACTGGATAAGGTTACCTCTGTGTTTATCCACATCTTTCCTGCTCTTGTTACTTACACCATTCGCTGGATGCCTGAACTCCAACTAGGATCAGATGCTACTATCTATCGCAACACTCGATTCCCAGCCCTTGAATCTCTATCAACCATCAGCTTAGAAGATTTTCTTATTTACTCAACATCAGCCTATCTGGTGTGGCAAACACTATATTTCGTTTTTATTATGGTCAAAAGACGTGAAAAGGTTGAATCAGGTGTGCGCTTGACATCCTATTCCTGGCTACTTGATGACTCTCATGGCCGAAAAGGATTCATTCAAAATGCTTCATTTATTTTTGGTCCAAAGTATAAGATCTATATGTTCATGCTTCTTCAATTGGTCTACAACATCATCACCACACTACCAACATACTACTTGTATCAGCATTTTTGGCTCCACGGCAGCTTCCTGTTGACCATGTTTGCCGCAAGTGTCTGGAATGGAGCTAGCTACTACATTGAAGTATTCTCAAAACGGTATAATCTCGAGACGGAACAAAAGACACATGTCAACGAAAGCAGTAACAAACAGGATCATTTGAAATCAACTTGATTAGTCCTCCCCAATTATTTCCTTTCTCTATCTTTTTCTCTCTAATTCAATTATAATAAAATAGAAATTTTTTATCTCATTTATATATATATATTTATTTTTCTATCCTTTTTTTTCTTTTTATATATATATCTCAAGACAAGATAAAGAAAAGGAAGAAGAATTTAATATGCAAAGAGGGAGGAGGGGAAGATAGTAGGGGAATTGGGTAAAGAAGAAGAGACTATGGTTATTTACATGCCCTTGATAAAAAGAGGGTGATCTTTGAAGAAAGCAGTAATGATAGCAATGATCTGCTCGAGAGCAACGAGCCATGCGTTCATGACAGCAAGGTCTTCCTCAGTGGCAACCTCAAGCTTTCCGTAAAAGTCCTTGCGATAAGGACAGGCCTTCATGGCAAGCTAAAGATAAAATAATAATAATTAATTTCTTTATTCTATAATCTACAAACACCCCTTTTTTATACTTACACTGAACACGGGTCTGACGACAATGCTGTGGTGCTTACGAAGGGTAACTTCGTAAGACTTGGTGAATGATACATTGAGTTCCTCGTTAATGTCATCAATAGAGCGACGAAGAGCCTGAGCAGTGAAGTCGAGACCACTAATTAAGTAATAGTAATAATAATAAGTAAGATTATTTGTCTACGCATCAAAATTTAACGCGTGCAGCCCCTCCCTCTTTTTTCTTTTACGTATATATTTAAAGAAAATCCTTACCGAGACAACCACAAAAGACCTTCGGTAGCAACGCGCTTCTTCTCGGGAGATTCGGCAACCATCAAGTTCTCGAGGGTGTCGTTGGCAGTAGGGTTGGACAAGTAACGCTCTCTGATTTTCTATTTTACAAAGTTATATGTATTAAAATAAATGCTCGGTATCATTTATATTTTATTTAAATATCTCACCTTAATGTTACCGTTCATGTCATTCTGGACAACAGAAAAGGCAGTAGAGCCAAGCAAGTCTATAGATGATTGAGATGAGCATCGCGTACTTTTTGTTTTGTTTTTTATTATTTTTGAAAGATAAAAATAAAATAAAAGATAGTTGTTTAAATTGTTATTTACCGAACATCTTGACAAGACCTTCGGTGGCCTCGATGAACTGCTCAGTGTCAATACCCTTGGTAGTATCAACTTCAGTGTAGGAGCGGGTAACGGTGTCAAAGTAAGTCATGGTGGAGGAAGATGGAGCGAGAAAGAGAAAAGAGATGCCCCTCTTTTAGTGTATGTTAATTAACGGTTAAATCGGCGCTGTGAAGTTTCTTGACCCCCCAAAAATGATTCTTTTTAGACTGGAGACCCCCTCGGGGGGTGAATGAGGGAGGGATTATCTGGGCAGTAGGAACCAATCCAGCCTTTCTGTATGAAGAAGTATCTATTTTTAGGCACTCGTGGAGAGAGGCTTATTGAAATGCGTCGCCGGTTGTTGTCATGGATACTCATTTAAACTTTTTTCTTTTTTCTTTTTCTTTTTGGATAATTTGATTTCCTTGGAAACCAGCTAAATAAAACAAATTAAATATATATATATAAAATATATAAAATATAAATTGTAATTAATTAATTAATAAATATAGATACTTTAGAAATAAAAATAATTAAAGTAAATGGGTTGTTCTGGAATAAAAGTAGGTGTTGCTCAAGTATGTATATATCAAACACGCATTATTTTATGGAGAATATCAGGTTTAATGGTTGTAAGTGTGCGGTTCCAAGACAAATTGAGGATATCTACATACATATATGTTATAGTGCTAAAAATAATAAAATATATAGAGAAGTATTCTAATATCAAATTTTTATATACTTGAAATATCAATTGATTGATTGCCTGGCTTTAATTATGTGCCCACATATATACAGCTGGAAACTGTGCTATTTGTAGGTTTATATCTATACTTGTAAAATTAAAGGTGGTACCCCACAAGTGTATTAAAAAAAAACCGTGATTGTGGACAAGGAATGTTAAGTTCACAGGGGGGAAATTGTATATATGTACAAGTGTTATGTATATTTGAACGTCACCATATTTATTAATCTTCTTTGAATAAATTATCACCAAAATGCTGCGTATATTAGATCTTTGATGAGGCTTGAGCTACATTGTATCTAATATATTTAGAACATACATAATGCAATATCTTATAAGAAGAGGCAAGGCGGCACAAGCTTGAATAAGACGGCGACCGAATGAAGAATGAGGTGGAGCATATGGTTTTTTTGGATCAACTTGAATGGATAAATTGAATTGATGGTTGGGATGGGAGACTTTGTGGAGAAATGTATTTCCTTTTGAACCATCAGAGCAGATAATCTGTACCAGAATCAGCATTATTACTGGACTGTTCCTGCTCTTGATGAATCTAGTCCGTGCAATGTATGCAATATGGGGCCAGGTTGACACTCTCTATTTAGGAACACTCCGCTCCTTCCTCCTGTTTAATAGATATAATTTAGCTGGTTACTAACTCTTACTGACCAATACATTGTATTCCTTATCTTTTTTTTTAAAACGTCGTTGATAAATCATGCACTTCTTAACAGTCGTTCATTGACCTGGAGTATAGTACACTTTTGAGATTAAAGAGCAAAGAGAGAGAAAAGAGGATACAAGCAAGAGAGGACCACGGAGTTGAATATCGATAATGGCATCACTGATTCACAAGCATCACGTGAGGAACATCCCACGCCTTTACTCTACTTTCACTCCTTCTTTCAGTCATTCTTTTCTTTCTTTACAAGTGTAAACGGTAAAGAGACGTTACCTCTTTTTATATTATTAGATTGAAATAAAGAAAAATCTTACAAACCACAACTGTATATATACAGTAAAATATAACAAAAAGCATACAAAAGAAAATATAGACTTGTCCAAACTGAGTTGCCAATCCTGTCCCTTTTTTCCTTCTCTCTTATATCATTTTTCTTTTATTCGTTAGGCATCAACAAAAAAAAAGAACACGCTCCTACATAACTTCTCTTATTCAAATCAACAGACCATAAACAACTCAATGGCTAACCACGCTACAAATGCTACCTCAACGGCCAACATAGGCACAAAACAAAACATATCTTTTTCAGACCAGAATGATATTAAGAAGCTCAGGACCAACTATGGATCCTCACTCAACATACTTCGAGAGATGTTCTCGGATTGGTCAGACGAAGATCTCCTCTTTGCAATTCGAGATGCAGACGGTGATCTCGAACTGGCTGTGAATCGGATTAGTGAAGGCATGTTCTTGAGGGTCTACCACTATATATATATATACATATATACATACATGTACATATATATGTGTGTTTGTATATGTATACTTTTCCTCCTCTTTCTCCTCTTCTTTGGATAGTGTTTTTTAATTTCCATCCATAGGTCATTGTACACAGTGGGGCGAAGTAAAAACAAGAAAATCAAAGAAGGAAGTTAAGCCAAAAGATAGCACTTTATACGCATCACAGCTACCGCGAGAGCGACAAGACCGCACGAGTCGACAACCCGTCGAAAGATCATTGACAGAGCGTCGATCTGGAAAAAGTAAGATTGATTTCTTTCTATCTTTTTTTAATAAAGAAAAAAGAAGTTTGGCTTTATACTGCATTAATCCATACCAAAGGCTTATAAAATCAAACCAAAAAAAAAACACCTTCTTGACACACATACACACCCATATATATATATATATATGTATATATGTATGTATGTATAAATATATATAAAAACAAAGCTACGGGTAAACAACCATTAACTGGTGCGAGTGTACGCCAATCATTCACATCTGGCTCACAACAACCACAACCACCGCAACAGCCACAACAACCACAACAGCCACAAACCTGGTATCGTTCAAAGCAAGAACCGCCATTCGAACAAAGCACTTGGGCATATATTGCATCAAATGCATCCCGGGGAGTAGACACATGTGATAGTACAAGTTGGCAAGATAGCTCAGACGCATGGAGCGCGCCGTCTTCTAAAGCAATTGGATCTACCACCACCACAACTTCCACTATAACGACATCTTCTGCTACGACCACAACATCCTCTACAATTGCATCCACAACTACAGCCACAACTACAGCCACAACTACCTCTTCTTTAAATTCTCAAGACACGCCAAAAACATGGGCGAGTTTACTTAAGCCAAAACAAGAGCCTGTACATTCAGAAGAAATAGCACCAAAAGAGCAAGACGTAAACAAGAACAAGAACAAGAACAAGCAAGAGCCAAAAGTAATTGCAGAAATCGAAGCAATCAAAGCTGTTTGGGGGGTTGCTGTAGAAAGCGAGAATCCATGGTCAGATAGTACACTTGCATCACCTACTGTGCATACAGCAGAAGAACCCATCCAAGAATCCAGGAAACCAATTGATGCTCTCCATGAAGAGCCTAAACTACGACAGACAGTTGATCAACTTTTGAAACAAGATTCTCCAGTAATTCTGCCAGCTAATAACATTACTGACTTTACAGTGGATGTATTGTTTGGAAATTTGGATATTGATGATAAGAAAGATACAGAAACACTTGTGTCTGGATTGGTAGATTTGATATCCGAACCAAGGTAACAAAAAGAAAGAAGAGATTTAAAAAGGAAGAGAGAAGAAGCAAAGAAAAGGAACAAAGAAAAGAGAAAGAAAAGAAAAAGAAAGGAAAGAAGGCTAGAAGTAACCTATCTTTATACATATATTTTGCTTTTATGGTTGAGTGGAATATATATTTTACGAGCATAGTGGTTTCTCATATCGACTGTCCACTAGTGTTCCGGAAATGCTAGCTACTACTTCTGCCACTAAAAGTGAGATAACTGCTGTATCACTACCTACCGTTTCTGTTTCGATTATTCCCATCACCCTCGCCACTGCTCCTGCGCTTCAGAAAGAATCTGTATTAACCACACCAGTAATTCCAGTAACTTTCCCGCCATCGTTTATGAAACAGGAGCAAACACATTCTCAGTCGGGCATGGACCATCTTACGTCAGCCTACAGCGCTTACATGCCCAACCAACCTCCTGCAGGTGTAAGTCCCATGTCTGTGCCTGACTATGGGATGTATGGAAACGATGCGCAGCGAACAGCTGCAGTGGCTGCCTCGATGGGATATTACGATACAGTATTCCAAGCTTCCACTAATCAGAATGCATTTACTCGTGATAAACATCAAGATTATAGCCAAACACAACAGCAGTTGCAGCAGCAGCAGCAGCAACAACAACAACAACAGCAACAGCAACAGCAACAGCAACAAGGTTATACTTCATCCATGCCTTACTACCCTTACTACTACATGCCTAACCAGTCTGCTTATGGGCAGCCCAGTCATGGTCATAACTACATGAACAAAAATTATCCAATATATGCCAACTCAGCTGCTCAGACAACAGTCAAGCAGGGAACCTCACCTTATGCAGTGCACGGAAACCCCTACGGCACATCGAACTTTTATAGTCAAATCGGAGGGACAATGGATAATGGGTATGAGGACAACTCTTTCCAACCGATAGGATTGCAGGAATATCACAAACAACAAACTTATGGAGGACTGCAGGGTGGAGGGTTCCTTGGAAACCTGTCTTCTGGACAATCGACTTCTGCAGTTCAAACAAAGGCAGATTTATATAAGTACGAAAAGGCATCCCCTGCCAATGTGATGCATTCTCAAGGTCCCCAGTCATCTTTGAGCTATCAGCAACAACAGAAACAGAAACAGCAACAGCAACAGCAACAACAAGCTTATCTGTTAAATCAAGCTAATTATTTTGATCAGCAGCCAATGTTCTCCTACCAACAATATTCCAATCAACCACAACAAACTCAACAGCAAACTAAATCAACACAACCATCAGCTAATCGACACCAACCTTACTGGAACTAATTAACTGAATAGGTCAAGCCAAGCCAAACCAAGCCAAACCAAGCCAAGCCAAACAAAAAAAAGAAAAAAAAAGAAAGTAAATTGAAAAGTTGAAACAAAATATTCTTTTTTTTTATTGTTTATTATTTATTATTGATAAAAAAAACATATATATATATATAAGTAAATAATTAAATAAATAAATAAATACAATAGTACACCTGTTCATAATAAGCAATATGCATTTTTTTGTGTATTGACAATTTATTTTAAAAACAAGCTTTTGTACCGTTTCACTTTATTTAGCCATATCTTTACATTGGATTGTATACAAACGCATTCCACTGAATATTATTGCATTTTACTGCATTCCACTCTATCTAAAGAATCATTCCACTCAATACAATACAATACAATACAATATGATTTGATTCGATTCAATTCGATTCAATTCAATTCGATTCAATTCAACCCAATCTTTATTCACTTGTACGTTATTACATATATATATATATATATATATATATTATGTGTGTGTGTGCGTGTGTGTGTGCGTGTGTGCAATTATATGTAATGTATATATATATATTCGATCCGCATCTAAAACAGTCGTGCCATTCAAATGTAGGAGACAAGGTCAAATAAACAAAAAACAAAAATAAAGGCAATAGAGAGAAAAAAAAAAAAGGGGGGGGGGGGGAGTCTGTGTAGATGTTCCACATAAAACACTCGGGGTGAAAAGGGGGGAAAAGGACACAGTAAAAAACCAACAATGCCCAATTGTTTATCTATTACCGTTTAATACCGTTTTTCTTTATTAAATTATTTATTGGTGTTTGTGTTTATGTTTATGTTTATGTGTGAGTGAGTGAGTGAGTGAGTGAGTGTGCGAGTGAGATGTGGTGTTTGTATATTGAGTTTGCGTGTATTTGAGTGTTGAGTGAATATATTGAGAATGTAATTGTGGATGTGGGATATGGGATGTGAATATGGGATTGTTAATTTTTTTCTGCTTTGCTTTGTTATTTCAATATCTCCTTTATATATACATATATATATATATATATATGTATGTATGTATGTATATATCATGACATACTTCCAAACAATGTATTTGTATTTCCTTTCTGTTGTTGAATTGTGTTGGTTGCAGAGGAAGTACCGAGGGGCGGCAGAGATGTAGGTGGCACTGGATGTGATTGGGGTAGATGTGAGAGGGAGGTGTGAGAGGGAGAGAGTGGAAAGGGTGAGCGTGGGTTGGGATGAACACCAAGACTTGCTCTCCGAGACGCATCGTCTTGCATCGAAATTCCACTAGTGTATCGTACAAGGCAACCTTGGAGCGCATGTGTTACACATTGAAATCCACTAAGAGGCGGCAAAAGTGCTTCATAGAGTTCCTGTATATCAATTTGATTGTCATAAAACATGTCGCTCATCATACGGTGCAGCTGCACAAGTGTGTAGAATTGGGGAGGTCCTGCATAGTAGTTTGGTTGTGTAATTTCACCTAGTTTACGATAGGCAATCTTGGCGCGTTCAAGAATAACTGTGCTTCGATCAGCCTAAGTTTTGTCATTATAATTGTAATTACAATTGTTGTTTGTTATTATTATTATTATTATTATTATTATTGTCACTTATTTGAACCCCCATTAGTTCGTCTTATTAAAACAGAAACAAATATATCATCATCCTATAACAGCAATCATAACAAAAGGGCTTTTTTTTCGCTTTGCCTTTGTTCAAGCCAAAACCAGCCAACCAAACAAAAAAATAACCAATGATAATGATAATAATGATAGTGATAACAGTAATAGTAATAATAGTAATAGCAATAAGAACCAGAAAAGAAAAAGAAAAAGAAAAGAGAAAAAAAATCTTACCAGTACGTCGCCAAAAAGCTTGCCGTGTACATTGTCTGACAATACTGTCGACGCCGTCCATCCTGCACCCATTGTTAAAACGTTGCTATTTGCCGAAGTTGCTTTACCGTTTGTCCAATGAAATGCACTGCTGTCACTCGAAAACCGTCTCTCTAGACCACCACATATAGAATCTCTTGCTACGCGTGGGTCTTGTTGTTCAGGTATAAGAAAAGAAGGTCGAGTATCTACAAGTATAATAATTAGCTTAACATCAGATAATTCACTTGGTCCTATACAATTCAATCTACCTCTACTAGGCTCGCCAAACAAAAAGTTTGAGAAGAAAGAATGGCCAGCTTCTTCTGCAGCATCCTGCCCAACCTTAGATCCAATAGGTCCTGCATTGGAAATAGTAGATGTAGATGGTGTACTTGCCGCACTTGCTGCAGAAGCCCGTCGTCCATTTGAAGGTTGGCCAATAGGCGTAAGTGAAGTCGACGGTCGGGCAATGATTTTTCGAGAAGGTGTCATACCAATTCCAGGAGGTCGACTTTTTTTCGGACTTGTTTCTCCTGTACTAGGAAGCAAGCTTGGGCCTGCTATGGCCTGTAGAGGAAGCGAAGTAGGAGGGGTGGGAGGATGAGGGAGAATATTTGAACTAGGGGTGCCTACCGCAGGGAGAGAACATGAAAATTGGTTTGGTGCACTGACAGTGGGATTTGTCCACAAAGGCCCGATCAGTACGTCCATCAGCACGCGCTGTCGCTCCTCTGTAGACTCGCGCACGGACATGTCCTGGGTAGGCACACTCAATGGTATCACAGGATCAGGCAGTCGTGCCACCTTTTCTTTCGCCAAGCGCTCTTCTTCTTTTAACCTATGTTCTTCTTTCTCTTTCCTTAATCGCTCTTCTTCCTTTTCTTTCTCTTTTCTCAATCGCTCTTCTTCCTCTTCTTTCTCTTTTCTTAATCGTTCATCTTCCTCTTCTTTCTCTTTTCTTAATCGTTCATCTTCCTCTTCTTTCCGCTTTCGTTCCTTTTCTGCTACTCGTTCCTTTTCTGCGGCTCTTTCTTTCTCTTCTCGCACTCGTTTTCGTCGTTCTTCCTCTTTCCGTGCCCGCTCTTCTTCTCGCTTCTGTTTCTCTTCTTCTCTCTTTTGGCGTTCCTGCTCTCGTTTCTGTCGCTCGATTTGCATTTGCCGTTCTTTCTCAATCTTTGCAGCCTCTTCTTCTGCCTTCTTTTGGAGCTCTTTGGCCTGTCGTTCTTCTTCTCTCTGTTGTTTTAACTGGCTATTCAGAGTTATCACCCCCCTCTTTTTGTAAGTAACTTATAACTTGTAATACATAAAAAAATTATCAGACTTACCGCTTCTGCTCTTTCTTTCGCTCCCTTTCCTCTTGCTTCTTCCGCTCTCTTTCCTCTCGCTGTCGCTGCTCTTCTTCTTCTTCTTGCAAAAGTCGCTGTTGCCTCTCACGAGCTACTTTTTCTCGATATGCAGCTAACACACGCTGCTCAAACATACGAGCCGCGAATATTTGGAACATCCTCCGGCCTTCTTCCATTCTTTGTTCCTCTGTTCGTGTATCCTATTTTTTTTATATGTTTAGGATATAAATTATCTGGACGCTAAATTTTATCAACTTTTTCGTTTACCTCTTCCTCCTCTTCTCCTTCCTCTTCTTCTTCGTAGGCCTCATCGTCTTCGCCTTCTTCATAATACTCTTCGTTTTGATCTGTTTCTGCCTCTTCGCCTGTTTGCATCCTACGTTCAGCAAGACGTTCCATCATGTCAAGAAATTTTTTCCCGTCATTTTTCAATAAATCGTCTGCTACGGTAAGAATTCCGCCTCCACAAAGAGCCATATCAGCCAGCCGTGCTTTCCTTGGAGACTTGGTGGTTTGAGTCTCACCTTTTACGGATAGACTGTTACCAAAATTAAATTCCTCGACGTTTTTTAGTCTAGCAGCGTGCTTAACCAGATCTGTCGCCACATAACGTGCAACATCGCTATATGCACTTTCTCCTGTGTGAGTGATTGAATGATGAGAGTTTTCCGAATGCCGGGAGTGTTTAGATTGTTGGGAATGATCAGAGTGACTCCCTTCATTATTTTCTTCCTCTTCGTCCTCGTCCTCTTCGTCGTCCTCTTCATCCTCTTCGTCTTCGTATTCGTATTCGCTTTCATAATCTTCGTTTTCGTCATCAGGTCGTGTTGGTGGATCCGAAGATTGAGATGGCGCGGCAGTAAGATCCTGCAATCCGTATGGTGCTCCATAAAGACGTGTTTGTTGCTGATGATTTGCGTAACGCTCAAGTTCTTCGTAATAAGCATCGTAAAGGACTTCAAGTTCGTCTTCAATCGCGGTTCTGGATCAGTTAAGGCATAATTTGATTTATAGAAGAATGTGTGTGTACATAAACGCCAAGAAGATCAGATCAGGTCAAGTCAAGTCATGTCAATTTCTTTTTCTTTTTTCTTTATCTTTTCTCTCTAAAATAAAAATAAAAAGAAATACATGTATTGTTTTTTATGGCTAACCTTTTCTTGCCACAGACAGAACAATTACAGCTGTGCTTTTGTTGTTCTTTCATCTTTCGCAGGACGGCTTCCTTTTCAACCTTTACGAGAGACCGGCGATCAGCTTCACCAAGCTGTAGCCAGAACTCTCGGATCTGATGTCGTTCTTCATTATTGCTCATTGTTGACCAGAACTGGTCAGTTTTTTTTGCTGCGCGCGCATTACATATTCGTGTGTCGACAAGCCAATGAGAGCTTTCTTCTTTTAAATCGTTGAATCCTTTGCTGTTCTTTTTCTTTTTCTTTTTTGAAGAGAGGGCGATGCATGGCGATTCTGAGACACAATTGTGGTCGTTGTGCTTATGATGCGAATCGTGGTAATCTATGCTGGGAAATTGAATGGAAATGTCGGTACTGCGTTTGGTGGTGGCTGATTTCTTCTTCATCCTGACGAAAAAAAAAAGGGTATTGTTGGAAAGTAGAGATGGGCTTAGCTACAGCAAAATAATAGCAACAACAACAAATAACAATAATAGTAAAAATAATAAAGTGAGAATAAAAACAGTTAGTTTGTGAACAAGTGCAGGTTTGAGAAGCAAGACAACTATTCTCCTGAGCCGTGATCTCGACCCACAGACCTCCTCTTTCTATTCCTGTCGTAACACACTTTGCTCCTGCACAGACAATGTGATGGATGCATAAGAGTGCATCATCGTCACTAATCTACCCTCAGACAGTCAAACTATACATACCCGTTACTGGTCCAATAGGCGTCTAAATAGAGTACAGAAGATAAGAAAAAAAGGGTAAAGAATAGATCCTGAAAAAAGGGCAAAGGATGGATGGCGAAAAGACAAAAAAAAAGAGAGAGAAGCCAAGCCGTGTAAGAGGGTGGAAATTGGCTCACGCTTGGACGGAACTTGGACCAGACAAAAGCGTCTTGTGAATATGCTGACGTCATGTATATTTGGACGGCCGCCTCCTCGTTTTGCGCGACCCACCGCACTGGCTTTTTTGAGGGGTGTAAAGAAATCCGGATATGGGGGCCAAAAGAGTATTTAAGCACACACACAGACCTGGATTTTGTATTTTTATCTCATTTCTGCTTTATCTTTTCACATTTTGTTATATTTCCTATATTTCATTATATTTTTGGCCTTTTAATTATCACCCGCCTATAATGTCTCTCTCTATTGTTCAATTGCCACCTCTAAGTCGGGACCGACATGCTAAGCACTGCACCTTACCTTCGCTTCGATCGGTTTGTCCCGACGAGCGACCGTTGCCTGTACGCCACCATCACAACCGGACAACTTCTTTGCCACTACGACAACAGGCTCTATCACTCGATATTCTTGTGGACGCAATCGATCTTGATCGACGTCTAGAGAATAAGTACCGACAGCACTGTTCACACTCTCATTTCCGCCAGGCTCTCCACTCACCTTACTCAGCCTCGCTTTTTCGGAAACGGATCCACTCGGCACCCTCTCGCTTGTCCAACCCAGAGACCTGTTCCACCTCAAGTACTTGTGGAACTTCAACTCATTGGCGAGTACCTTTGGCCGAAGGTGAACAGTCTGTCTGTCCAGAAGCAGCAGCTGCGGCAATTGTTCAACAACACATAGCTCGATGCTTAAAACGATGATACATATTTCTTATTATATATACCTTATTCACACACTCCCACATTCACACATTTACATATTTACATATATTATATATAAAATACATAAATATATAATATATAATATATAATGCATAATACATACATTAAAAAGAAGAAGAAAAAAAGCTTAGATTTCTAGTAATATTATATATATATTATATTATATATATATATATATATATATATCTTTTTGGTCTCCTTTGCCTTTAGAACAAGGCGAAAATATTGATGTTGCAACCAAATATACACCTTTGTTTTTGTCACTTGTTATCTTCAGCTCAGCTGATGGATGTTTGCATTTGGTCTTGTATAGAATGGCCATGACACTACGCAGACCCCTTATTTTCCACATAATCGGATACTTTCTATTTACTCCCCCTTTTCCCCTTTATCCCTCTTTCTTCTTATTCCCTCAGACAGAAACACAATAAGACAGTCAAAAGATCATAGGCGAATTCAAGTTCAATGTTATTAAGTAGAAATAAATAAGAGATATATAGATAAATAGATAGGTAGAGATAAAGATAGAATTTTTTTGTTGTTGTATAAAAGAAAAGAAAAATGCAGTTAAAATCAAACAGAAATGAAATGGGGAATATACATGCATACGAAAAATAAAACTCTTTAATCGTGGAAGTCAAGACCAGTGATCGTCTTCTTTACATAGCCAGCACGGATAACCCAGTCACCAAATGGCTCACCGGCGTTGCGCTCAAGTGCGTAGCGCTTAATGATAGGTTTAATCTCAGCAAGAATCTCGGCCTCACGAAGGGATTCCTTGTACAGCTTGTTGAGACGCTCACCCTTGTGGCCACCACCCAAGTACACGTTGTAAGCACCAGGGGCCTTACCGACGAAAGCCAGTTCAGCCAAGTAAGGACGAGCACAACCGTTAGGACAACCAGTCATACGAATCGTGATAGCATCATCCTTCAAACCAGCCTCTTCCATAGTCTGTTCCAAAAGACCAACCAGTGTAGGCAAGTAACGCTCTGACTCAGCCATAGCAAGACCACAGGTAGGAAGAGCGACACAGGCCATTGCATTAAGACGGAGACCAGAGAATGAGAGGTTGTCCATCTTGTACTTGGCCAGATGTGCCTTTGTCTTTTCCAGATCGGCCTCGGGGACATTTGCAATAACCAAGTGCTGGTTAGGAGACAGGCGGAATTCACCAGTGTGCCACTCGGCCAATTCACGAAGACCGGTACGGACCTGGAACTCAGGAGTATCCTTAATCTTACCGTTCTCAACAAACATACAGAAATGCCACTTGTCATCTTCACCCTTGGTCCAGCCATAACGATCAGCATTGTCCTTAAACTCATACTCAGCAGGCTCAGCAAAGGTAGCACCAGAACGCTTCTCGATCTCAGACTTGAAGAAGTCCAAACCATAGGTATCAACAGTGTACTTAAGACGGGCATGCTTACGGTTGGTACGATCTCCGTAATCACGCTGGGTGGTCATGACGGCCTCACCGACCTTGACAGCAACATCGGCAGGAACATAACCAAGCATAGAAGAGGGACGAGGATAGGTCTTCTTGTTACCATGAGTAGCACCCATACCACCACCAATCATCACGTTGTAACCAATGACCTTCTTGTCTTTAACAATAGCAATATAACCCAAATCGTGAGCATAAATGTCAACATCGTTGTTAGGAGGGACAGCGATGACAATCTTGAACTTGCGGGGCAAATAAGTGGGGCCATAGATAGGTTCGTGATCCTGAACGGCATGGCCAGCAACCAATTCATCGGCCAACCAAATCTCGTGGTAAGCGTTGGTGCGGGGAGCCAAGTGGAGCATAACTTCTTCACTGAACTTCTGGACTTGAGCGTGAACCTCGGGAATCTCAGTGACAGGTGTAACCATGATGTTACGGTTGACATCACCACAGGCGGCAAGAGTACTCAAGAGAGAATGGTTGATACCACGGATAGTCTCGCGCAACTTGGATTTGATAATACCGTGCAACTGGAAGGCCTGGCGAGTGGTCATCTTTATAGCACCGTTGGCGTGGGAATCGGCCAACTTGTCCATAACTATCCACTGGGCAGGAGTAGAAACACCACCAGGCATGCGAACACGAATCATGAAGCTGTAAGCCTTTTCAAGTCCCATCTTCTTGCGCTCCTCACGAAGATCACGGTCATCCTGACCATAAGAGCCATGGAACTTGAGCAACTTGCCGTTGGTCTCGGAGATGTCACCACGGGAAGTATCCAAAAGATCCTCAGCAATAGTACCACGGAGATAGTTGGAGTTGATCTTCATCTGGTCATCGGTAATCTTGGGAGGCTCTTCATCACCACCAACATCCTTGACGCCCAAAGCCTTCCAGAACTCGGGTTGCCATGCCTGGAAACCAGTCTCATAACCATCGGCATCCTGATCATCACCAAGACCAAGAGCAAGAAGACGGTTAGCACCAAGGGCCTCGAGCTTGGCCTCGATAATCTTTCCGGGACGGTTGTAGAACGAGGCATCCTCAGCACGTGGCCAGTAGTTGCGATCACCAAGACCAAATACAGCAAAGTTAAGATCACTGAGCTGAACCTCACCAACCAAAAGAGCATTGAGTGCCTTCCAGAACTCACGACCGTTGGATGGAAGTTCACCCTGGCCAGCAGTGGAACACACAATCAAAAGGTTGGTCTCGTTGGCCAACTCCTGGATATCCTCATAGTCATCCATAGCCATAAACTTGACCTTGAGGTTTCTTGCCTTGGCACGAGTAGCGATCTTCTTGGCCAAACCCTCGGCATTACCATTGTCAGAACCGAACAAGACAGTAAGAGGAGGACCCTCAGCACCACCGAGACCAGACAACAACTTGGCATAGTCCTCACGAGCCTTGCGCTTCAAATCTTCCTGACGCTTCTTGACATCCTATTGTTTTAATAATAATAATAAAAAGAGATAGAGATAGAGGTACAAGTATATTAGTTATCAATTCAAATTCACTTTTGCCTTTCTTTTCTTTTCTTTTCTTTTCTTTTATTAATACTTACAGATTCAAGGGAGCTGACAAGAGTCTTGCTGAGAGCAGGCTGGGACAAAACGATCTGAGAAAAGTGGTTCTCACGCTCAAGGAACTTCTCAAGATCCTTCTTGATACGCTGAGAATCGAGAGTAAAGGCTTCCTTGTTCTGAGCCTCAAGGACAGGGTTCCAGCGGTACAAGGGCCAGGCACCAGAGTCAACAGCAACCTTGGTCTCCTTGAGAGTCTTGACTGGATCAAACACCTGGTTGTCGACAGGAAGGTAAGCCAACACAACAGAGGGACCCTGGTAGGCATCAGCCTCAATAAGAGCATGGAGCACACCAGTGTATGAAGAGTAGACGGCAACAGAGGCAACATAGACGGAGCCGAAGCTCATGGCGTAAAGACCGATATCCTTCTTGTGCTGTTCGCGCTCGGCTTCGGTAGAGTAAGAAGTGGTGTCAACAATAAGCATGTTGATGTTTTCACCGCTCGAGATGACATGGTGGACACCAGAAGCGCCCAGATCAGCAGACCAGCTGTCAGATCCAATAAGCCAGTTGGACTTAGGGAATAGAGCGGCCTGGTCCTCAGCAGAAATGGAAGCGATGGGGTTGGCCGACAGGACGCTTACGACAGCATTGGCTGCATCGGTGAGCTGGTTAGGCTTAGTCGAGGGAGACTTGACAAGGAGAAGCCAGTTAGAAAGAGCCTTAAAAGTCTCACTGGGAATAGTGGTGTCCTTGATAAGGTTCTCGACGGTATCAATGAGACGTGTCTGCTGCTGAATCTTGCTGACCAACTTTCCGTAACCGAACTCGGGAGACGAAGCCGAGGGCTGAGCGTCAGAGGCGGACCAAACGGAGGCACTGTGAACAGCGTTGGCAATCTCAAGACGGTCCTGGAAGACCTGGTCCAAAAGACGAATGTAAGGAGTCTCGATTGGCAACTTGGATTGAGGAGCCTTGGAGCGAACTTGAGGAGCCGACACATCAATAGTAGCCCATGAAGCAGGAACCTCAACCAACTCGGCAGTCTTGAGGATCTCGTCAAAGTTGGAGTGAGAGAGAGCCTTGCTGTCGACCAAAACAACCTTGGCACCCTTGGTGGCAACAGCTTTCTTGACAGCAGAAGAGAGTGTGACATCAAGATGGATCGCAGATACACCGCCAAAGGCAACGAGACCGTGAGGAGCAAGGCGGTTGATAGAATCAACAGAGTTGACAGAAGCATCTACAACTACGACGGCCTTGGCCTGCTGAACGAGCGAAGGCAAAAGAGATCCAGGGCGAGTAGAGATACGGATGTGAGAGTGAGTGGTATCATCCTTTTCGATGGTATAGAGCTGGACGCTTGACTCGGGCTGACTCTGGACATACTTCTTGGAGAGACCAGCATCACCAACAATAATAAACTGCTCTGCCTCGGTCTTGATATCCAAAGCATCCTCAGCCTTGACAATCTCATCAACAACAAAACGACGTTCGATAGTAGGCTGACGCAATTGGCGGAGCACAGCGTTGACCATAGCGGGGTTAAAGTCGAGTGAGTGAACACCGTATTGGCCACTAAGGATCTCTACATCGTCGCGCTGAGAAGACTGGAATGCGGCGGTGATATCAAGGAAAAGAGGGTTCCAGGTGGCTGTGTGATCCTGAACAGGTTCCAAAACTGCCAATCGGCGAACTGATTCGGGTAAATGAGCCAAGAGATCAGCATCGGACCAGGGACGGTAGAGGCGGATATTGAGGACACCGATCTTCTGAGGAGAGACGCTCTGGAGGTGAGCCAAGGTCTGCTCGACAACAGCGGCACCAGCACCCATAGCCACAATCACCAACTCAGCATCAGGATGGCCGGTGTACTCGACAGGTGAATAGTGACGGCGTGTCAAAGTTCCAAATTGAGCCATGACATTTTTGACAGTTTCTGACACATCCACCACCACTGCGTCTGCTGATTGATCCTGCGAGGCCTTGTAGCGAAGGTAGGCTGTCTGGGGAGCCGGGAGTGACTTTTGCTTGTATGACTCGATTTGTTCAGGGGTAATGAGCTGTTGGAGAATTTCGGGTGCGACTGTCTGGACGGTTGCGTATTCGCTCGATACACGCTGGCTGTCATAAAAGTGAATGAATGGAGTCGAGGTCTGGATGGCGACGGCGTGAGCAATGATAGCCAGATCATAGGCTTCCTGAACGGTTGAAGAGCTCAATAAACCAAGACCAGCCTGGCGCACGGCCATAATGTGTGAATAATCGCCAAAGCTCTTCTCTGTGGATTCTCCAGCTGATACGTGAAGCACCTGGCCAGTCTGGGTAGCAGCGAGTTGATAGAGGTGAGGAATGGCCTGGAGAAGTTCGGCTGAAGACAAGAGTGAAGCTGAAACGGCACGGTTGGCATCGACAGACACGTCCGAGGTGACCTTGGCATTTTGTCCTGAGAGAGTGTAGGATGTGCTGACCAAAGGTGTTCTAGAGGCGTGTACGTTCTCGCTCAAGGTCAAGGCAACCAAGGCAGTAGCGTCGTCTCCGTTTAGAAGTTCTGACGGCATAGCAAAGAGGTGGGGGGTGTGTTTACAAAAAGTATGTACAGCAAAGGAAGGATAAAAAGAAAAAAAAAAGTTATTAAATGCAACCCCAGTTTAGTATTTATGTTTCATCTATTTTTTTTTATATATATATTTTCATTGGCCTCTTTTAAAGCCACACACACACACACTGGTTTAAACTAAAGCTGTATGGGCAGAGGTTTGCTTTGTTGCGAACATTGCGTCTTCTAGCACACAATTTTCGCCGATTCTTATTGGTCGGTATTTCTCCGCACAATCTCATCGGTCCATATATGTTCAATGTGGATTAGATGGTAGTGTAAGTAATTATTATTATTATTATTATTGTCCTTATTGTCATTATTAAGATGGAAAGAAGAAATAGAAAGAGGGGGTATAAAGAACTAAACTGTTGTACTTGTATGTATATAGTGTATATAATGTCTATGAAAAATATGGTAATTATTACAAAGTCGGACTACCCTTATGACTACTGCCTGAACGGCTAGAAGTAGTTGGTGGTTTCCATGCCGCGGCTTCTGGATTCAATGGCTTTTGGCTACGGCGTCTAGGATTTGTGTTTTGACTCATCGGATGTGTATTACTAGATACTTTTACTGTGTAATGGGATAGTTTTCCGTTGATCTGTGTCATAAAGGTCACATGGCCATCCAATTCATTAGAAGGTCCAGATGTGTCCATTCGATAGCTTAAGCGTTCTGGATGGCGCTCTGGTGGAGGAGTTCGGCAGAATGAAGAGCAAGGGGAGCATGTTCGACTTGTCTGAGGTGAACTCTTGCCACCGAGTGTGGTAGATCCAGTAACATGGGTAGGTATAATTGTGGATAAAGGTAGAGGTATAGTTACAGGTACGGCTATAGGTACGGCCAGATCGGTAGGTACAGATGTTGTAGATATAGATTGATGTTCATGGTCATGTTCAGGTTCAGGTTCACTTGGTACAGATACAGGTACAGATGGTAAGGGTAAGGATATGGGTGAATTGATAGGTATAGAGCTTATGGTTGTAGGTTGGGTTTGCTTAGTATGGCTCTCGAGTGCTCGCTTAAGTTTGAGGATTTCTTCATCTTTACGCTCCAGGTGGCGTTTGAGTCCGGCAGGAGTTAGCTGGTTGAGCTCTCTTTGCATGTAGTCAAGTTGGATCTTGTTGACACTCTCGGACTGTTTGATCTTTCGGTTTTCTTCCTTGAGGCGACCAATAGTTTCCATCATCTCTGCTGGTGTTTCTGGGAGCTTATTGGTGGGAGGGGGTAGACACTGGCTTACCAATCCTTGTCCAAACTCCTCTCCACAGTCGGCCATCCCAATCTCAGGTCGTTCCACGGTGCGGTATTCACACTTGGCCTGGAGTCGCTCCAACTCTCGCTGGTGGCACTCAAGGTCGGTCTCGAGCTGCTGATTACGACTTCCGAGCCGGTTCATCTCCTTGTGGTTACGGCAGACTTCGACTTGTAATTCATCCACTCGGTCTTTTAGGGTCTGTTTGGCTTTGATTTGTTCGTCCATTTCGGCTTTCCATTGCGCCTTTTCCATCAAGATTTCGTCCAATCGCTGCTTGGTACAATCTTCCTCAACAACGTCGGTCAAAATCTTTAGGTGTGCTTCCAACTCCACAACTCGGCTCTGCTGTACTCTGGACTCTTGCCACTCCTTTTGGAAATAAGCGGCTTGTTGCCCCATGGCCTCATACTGTGCTTCTAGTTCGGCGTGACGGGGCTTCAGAAGATCGAATTCTACCAGCTGGCGTTGCAAGTGCAGAATTTCGCGTCGGTTCTCTATGACTTCCTTTTCTAATTCGGTCTGCTTGGATGCAATCTGCAGCGAAGGGTTTGTCTCGGATAATTCGAAACGGTCTTCTATTTTCTCTATAAGGCTATCGCTGAATGCCTGCATGGCTCGTCTCTGGTCCTCCCAGAACTGGCGAGCCTCTTGCTGGATCTGAGTGACACTAGACAGGGATGGATAGACGGTTGACTGTAGTCTAATCTTGATCTGTCGTTCAAGTTGATCTAGCCACATACTCTGTGACACCGACAATCTCTCTTCTGGCAAATCCTGTGTAGCCATCCTGGACAACATTGACTAATTTATTTTATTTTTATTATTATTATTATTATTTTAAATAAGAAAAAAGAAAGACAAAAATTGTTTGTTAAATGATCAACGTTCTATAATTGTACTTTGTACTTTTGTGCCTTGTGTCTTGTACTTTGTATTCCTTATTTCTTTCTGTCTCTCTCTCTCTCTCTCTTCTTCTTCTTTTTTTTTTATAAAATATAGTTTTACCTTTGGTCTTGGTCGGTTGACAATGCTATGAGAGACACTTGATTGGCTACCCCGTCGAGATGAATAGTCTATGCTGGGACGGTGAGGGTGGGCAAATTCGGGTACCGAAGCAGCTCTCGAGGTTCGTCTTTCACGTCTGAGATGTGGTGGTGGACAAAGGGGAGATACGGGTAAGGACTCGTTATAGCTGAATCGTTGGGGTGGGGTGATCTTTGGAAGAGTCTGGGAGGAATTCGGCCGGAATAGATCAAATGAGGACTCGGCTGGTGACTGGACCGGGGTCCGTTGGCCCAGAGAACATGGAGCAGTGTTTATGTGATATGGTTTGTTGTTTTGCTTAGGTTCGAGTGGTGGTGATGCAAGATAGGATGTAGGAGGTGAATTTGGTGTAGACTGTGAGAATGAATAAATTATTATTATTATTATTATTATTAAAAAAAGTATATATAAGTATAAAAGGGCACTTTAGACTTTATCCCCCACTTATTCACACAAACACACAAAAGAGAAAGAGGGCTTTTGTGTGTGCGTGTGTGTGTGTTTATTATATGTACCTCTTTAGCTAATGTAGAGCTTGTATCTTTCCATGAATCTATAGGGGGTGAAGAGGGTTGGGATTTTTTGCTGTTTGACAGGTTGACAATTGGAATTCGATGTACACCTCGAGGTAGACTGACGAGATAAAAGTCTTCTTTAGATCGAGAGGCTGGTTGGTGATATATAGCCTGTGGTAAGAGAGAAAGAGTGTGAATACTTTCAAGACAAAAGGATAAAAAGGATTTTACCTCTGCTTTGGCTACTCTTTCGGCCAACTCAATCTTGTTCTGTTTTTCGATAGGATTCAAAAGGCGTGCATGGGTGTTTTCTGGTAAGAGTACTGAACAATAGTAGACTGGAGAGGTGCGGGTTTGCTTAGGCATAGTGGCTTTCGAGTGGTGAGAATTTTTGGTCTGGTTGTACATGGGAGGCATAAGAATAAGAAGACAAACTTAAGAGATGGTTTCTGACGAGACAGTTTCTGGATGAGATGTAAGTGGTATTTATTGGATTGACGGTTTTTAATTTTAGACGTCCTCTTTTTTTTGGGCTTCTTTCTATAGAAGTACTGAGCAGGGCCCAGTTGTCCAATGTCAAGGTCATGATTAAATAATGTTCATGTTTTTGTGATTTAAACATGCTCCTTGTGGCACGCCATAGATGTCCTATCTTTCCATGTGGCATCGTGTTACCGGGAAGCGTGTAGGACTTGCCTTTTGAAGCAGGCGTCCATTGTTTGAGCCAATATTCCGGCTCATCAAACCAAGTCACTTTATTGGAGATTCTTATTGTTTTTAATGACATTACCCGTCATCGCGTCTTCTTTTGCCATTTACGATCGGCCATTATTCTGAGAAACCTAAGCTTCTTAAAGACTTCTTGCCATACACACAAAAGAGAAAAAAAATCAATTCGAACAAAAAAACAAAAAGCTATTGTTCTCCACGTGGCGTTGTTTTTTTTTATATATCTTTATATTTTATATATTTTTACTCTTTTTTTTTATTTTTATAATTATTTATTATTTTATATTTCTATTCCGTACAACGTGCAACGTTAAACTCTTGTTCAAGGTAGTCCATTAAGCAACACTCGAGCTTCTATAAAATGGCGCGATCCTTATTGTACCTTTGTTTCTGTCAAACACGTTTCTGCATTAACCACGCTGTTTCCTTGTTAACTGGATTCATATTATCGCTTTACATCATTTGTCCCTTTTTAAGCCAATTGTGTTGTAAATCTAATGAAGTGTGTCTGTCTTTACCGAAAAGGTTCTTTTTTATTATTATTCTGATTTCTATTCGGTCTTAACTTGTTCATGATAACTGACCACGTTTCATGAGAGTACAGCAACGATAACAAGCAACATAACAATAAGATATAGAAAGAGAGAAGGACAGTAAATAATGACAATATTCACGGGTGGTATTAAAAGTTTGGTTCCGTTTCCCTCCTCGCAAATCCAGTATTCTTTTAACCGAGATTAGTTGACATGATTTAAAGTGGTGTGTCAATTCTATAGAGTTTGTATGTACCTTGACTTGAATATTATTCTTTTAAATATTTAATATAATGAGAATGATAATCATAATATGAACAGTAATCATAGTAGTAACCATAGTAACTAGCATAATCTAATAGACATAATGATCATGGTATTGACATTGATACCGATACCGATACCGATATTGATATTGATATTGATATTGATATTAAAGATTAATATTAATATTAAGGTTAATATTAATATTAATCTTTAATATTAATTGCTAATATCTATGTATTGGCGTTGGTGTGGGTGTTTACGGGTGTACATACAAACCTATGAATGTATATATGATGGTGGGGAAGAACCCTTGATCTATTTCCCCACCATAGTGATAAGGATAATGATGATGATAGCATTAATAGTAATAACCTATATAGATAAATATAGATATAATATATAATATATAAAATATTATTATTATTGTTGTTTCGCATTTAGCCTTTTATCATTCTTTCCATAATTGTATAGATCCAATAACCTTTGAGTTATTAAGATATAGCATTGTAATTGTAATTATAATTATAATAATTACTGTTAATTTACTTTTTCTAATGGATAAAAAATTTATAAAAATACATTACTCAGAAAAGGCAATCTTGATATAATTGACTAAACTGAAGAAAGATATTTTATATATAAAATATAAAATATAAAGTATTCTGTACAGCTATATATTTATATACTATTACTAATAATTTATTTCTCTGTTGATAATCAGATTAAATAATAAGCATTTATTGCGACTAGTTATAGTGAGCGATTCCACCCGATAGATAGTATAAATAAGGCTTCCCTAGGTATACAGCATAATTATTACTTTACTAATAATGATAATAGTAATAATTATAATAATTATAGTAATATTTGTATACTTTATATATATATGTATATACAAACACATGTTGATTTATATTTTAGACTGTGTGCCTCTATCTCATTCTATTGCTCTTCATTTTACCCTTCCTTTCTTTCTTGGTCAAGATTATATCTAGTAATCGAACCGATGTATTTGTCATTGGCACACTTCCCCTTTGAACAAAACAATACTAGGCTTGTACTCACCTTATACATGAGTTGGGTACTACAAAATAAGAATAAAAAAGGCGTGGGTTATTGACAGCTAGTTCATGCTTCAAGTGTTCATTATCTATAGAATGTGTGCATATACATATCAATAATATTGTGAATTTTCTTCCTTTCTTTCATTAGTGTGCACGGTGCACTTGCCTTTGGAGGCAATAAAAGAGTACTTTTTTTTTATATATATTATTATTATTAATGGTAGCTGTGATCACAGTTCTGGATGTTATTCTGTCTATTAGTATTTCTTATTTCTATTCTGTACTTGATACTTCTTTGGGGTGAGACAAGGGCATACAAAATAAAATAATAAAATAAAGACTAAAGACTAAAGACTTTGTGACAGGTGATCTAAAAGAGAAATATAGTTGCCGTCAGCTTTATTTCCAGACACCAGATTGATGGTACAACGAAATTCCCTGGAAAAAAAATTTTATATAGATGATTTTTTTTTAAAAAAAAAAAGTAACAAATCACAACAATGATAGTAATAGGAAAAGTGTTACTGTTTATAATTCTAACTGTAATTCTAATTGTGACTCTAAATTCAAAAGAAAGAAATCACAATCACAATCACAATCACAATCACAATCACAATCACAATCACAGTTACAATTACAATCACATTTAGAATTAGAATTTAGAATTAGAATTAGAATTATAATTATAATTATAAGCATAAGCATAAGCTTAATTCTATTTATCAATCTATTTTATAAGAAATATTGTATTTCCAAACTCCTTGTTTTCCAAACAGTAAAGTCAGTTGACATAAATAAAAAGATATATATAAAAAAAAGTTCACACCATGCGATATTGAATTTCCTTTTTCTTTTTCATTTAAAGAGTACACAAAATTACATCTTTAGATGGCGCCAACAATTATTATTATTAATTTATTCAAATGGTTATTATTATATAGATAGATAGCAATTATAATAGCTCTTTGGCTTCTAATCATATTATAATATGATGATTCCTACAAAGGTGCTTAGATATGTTATATGTATACCACACCAAAAAAGGGGCTTCATATTCGTTTTGTACCCGTTTCATTATTTCATTACTTTTGTATCTTGGATTTTATTAAACACACCACTTTCCAACCGATCACTACACCTACCTATATTTTTATATGAATTTGTGTGTATGGGTATTGTATTCTATGGTTGTGAGTTGTTGATCAAAATAAATAAATAAATAAATAATCAGTACACAAAATATCAAGAAAAGTACACTGTATATTAATTTGTGCTTGATCGTAATATGTACACAAGCCCTAGGCCTTATTATATTTTGTTTGGCATTGTTCATTAAAGGCAACGACAAGCTCTAGACTAAAAAGTATGACTTGTTTTCTCCTGTTTGTATATATTGATCAGCCAATGTATATAATTATATATATATATATACAAACCTTTTTACATTTGCACAAAATAATATATATTTCTTTTTATTTGGGTATCTAACCATAAGAGTCAGAATACACGGATATGTTCTTGTTGTTTCGTCTAGTTACACTTGTATTTGTTATAATCTCTTTACAGAAATACTAGTTGCCAGACATTTATGTGTGAAATGGTTTGCTCGATTAATTAAAACATCATTAAGCAGCTGTAGTCTTTGTGTACTCGTTCCAAAGTTAGAAGTATATCTCAACTTTTTTTTCGCAACTTCTTCTTTTGAACATAAAACTCCAAGCCAAAACCCAAAAAACAAAAAACAAAGATGGAGAACAAATAAGATTGAGAGGCTGCAAGAATATAGCATTTTCTCTCTCTCTTTTTTTTGTATATATATATATATATATATGTGTGTGTGTGTGTGTGTGTGTCAGGATCTTATATAGAAATAAAAGGCTTTTGGAACTGCTTGGAATGCCAAGAACATCATCATAATCATCATCATCAGCGGTAGTAATGATAACATTAACAACGTTGCTAAATAGCTGTATTTAAATGAAAATCTGTAGAGACAATTTTTAAGAAGATATACAATAAATGAACTCCCTTTTTTTCTTCTTCTTTTCTTTTATTAATCTGCGTTATTACGCTGCTTTAAATCTCGTGCTTTATATTAAAGATCTTTTACCATAAAACAAACCTTTATCCGTCTTGTTTTGGACCTGACATTCCACTATAGGAAAGAGAGAAGAAAGGAACATTGCCTATGGTATTTATTTAGAAATTACCATCGGAATCACCATTCATTTCACCCGTTTGTTTATATCTCATGTTCTACGTCAAAGAGCTTTGCTATCTATACAACGAACCTTGGTCCGTATTGTTTTTGGAACTGATGTCCAAATCCGTCTTGAGAAACAGCCTCGACGAAAAAGAAAAAGAAAAAAAAAGTACAAGGAAAATGCTCGTAAAGATTTGGATACACTATTTGTTGTCATGGAGAGGCATCGACTTTCGAAGTTGTAGAATTCTTTCTCTTGGTCCAGGATGTGCTGCATACAAGATCAAATATAACGCCATCTTGATGAGACCTTTTTTTTTTTCTTTTTTTTTCTTTTCTTACAGAGTTGGTGGTGAATGCCACGGCCACAAACTTTCAAAGGCATTGATTTTTTTTCTTGCCAAGAGGCAGACTCGTTGACGATCCTCGTCGTACCAGTCTGCATACCCCCGTTCTCTCTCTCTCTCTCCTTCATATATGCGCCTTTATTCCAGCAGTAGCCAACCGTGTTACTCTTTCGAAGATCAACGAGTCTAAAATTGAGCTCATGGTCGGATAAGGCTGCCAAACAGATCAATTAACACAACCGTGATAAATGACCAGCAGCACCAACCAAGAAAGAAAAGACTAACCTCAGTCTTATCTCTTTAGCTTGCCACTCAAATACACACAAAACAAATACACAAAAAACATACGCCATAACAAATAGCAAATAGTGTCGTCTCCATATAATAAAAGGAAAACACTTGTTCTTGCTCTTGGTCTTATTATTTATTTGAATTTATTTGTATGTTTGATGAGCCAATCAATAATAGCAATAAGATTTACAAAATAGAAAATATATATATATATACAGAGAGAGGGAGGAGAATGATTATCAAGAAAGTCAAAAAATTTCGATCACCAATAGGCTGTTCGTTTTAACGGGTAACAATGTAATGTTTGGTAAGGCGCTTTTATTTTATTATTTTTGGCAGAGTAGTCCCACAACAACAAAATACATATTTTATTTATTTATATAGATATATATATAAAAAAGTGACTTTTATATTATATCATATTATATATTACTTTTTTTTATATACAAGAAAGGAACGAAAGAAAGAAAGAAAAAGATAGTCATTGGGATTTTAGTGTCACACATGTTACAGGCCAACCGTTGAGTGAAACACAAAATTGGATTATTTTTTTTTGGATTTTTATGTATTACAGAAAAATTGAATCAAAGAAGCAGACGAATGAAAAGAAAAAAAGGAAAATAATACAAAAATAAAATGATTTTTTTTTAAAGTAAAAAAAAGATGGGTAAAATGTACATGTTAAAGAAGTTGGTTTTTAACTAACCAATTGACTTCACTAACTAAATAATTCAATAAAGAGTAACAACAATAAAATTTGTATGTATGTATGTATGCATGTATGTATGTATAGTATAGTATATATATATATTTCTTCTTTCTTTCTTTCTTTCTTAAGCCCAAACAATGGTGTCGTTCCAAGAGTCATCGGCGTAAAGATGTTTGGCTTGAGAAATTTCATCTTCATCTTCATCTTCTAGCTCATCTTCGGTCAGTTCATCGATTTCAATTGTCTCGTAGCCTTGGTTGCTTTGGTCCACAAAGGTAGACCCATCGTAGAAATCTTCTTCATATTCTGACACTTCTGACTCTTCGGATTCCGCATTAGCATTGCACTCAAAGTCTTCAGGGAAGTAGCAGGCCGAAAGTGGACTGCGCGGTTTTGGAAGCTGGGCCAAGATGTCCTTCCAACTAGTCACACGTTTCACGTTGGATGGTAGCGCTCGCACGGTTGTCTTTGTAGGCGGGTAGAGTTTCCGCGATGTTGACGTCAGAGTCAAGCGAGAGTTTGTCGAATGTCGTCCTTCTACTTCTACCGGTGATGCTGCTGATGCTGCTGATGCTTGTGTGTTGGGTTCCAGGTGGTTCCAGGTGTACTGCCCCTTGCGGTCATACAGAAGCACCTTGATCCCGAGTTGGGCACAGTCCAGTGCGTGATCAAGGGAATCATCAATTAAGACATCTACGCCAACTTCTTTACAGATTGTGGCCTTTGATTTTGAAACGTATTCTAATTGCTCAGCATTGGAAAGACCAAGATTACAAAAGTAAATGCTTTCGAATAGACCTAAAAGAAAATGATTATTATTAGTATTATTATTAATATAGATAGATAGATAGATGTGTACATATATGTATCTATGCATGTATATTTTTGGTATATTTCTTGTATTCAACTCTAATTTAAGGCTACACTGCATTACCTGGATAGTGGCGATCAACAAACTGTTTGGTTTGAGCAGCAACGAATTGCTGACGAGAGGTAATGATTACCAGTGTAAATTTACGCTTCTTGAACATCTTTAGGGCCTCGAGCGCAAAGTCTTGGATCGGTGGAATGCGTTCAAAGTATTCAGAGTCGTAAAACGCACGGATCTTATCGCATGTAGATTCCTGAGACCCGCCCCAGACTGCGGCAAAGTCATAGGTATCAAAGTCCTCAATTGTCAGGTGAGTGCTATAGGTGTCGTTGTGCCATTTAACGAGGGCTTCGAGGGTGTGTGACAGAGTCTGGTCAAGATTGACTGCAAGAACTCGACGAGGTTGGTGCTTGAGAATTGTGGGCATGTTATTCGTTGATTATTTTTTTATTATTTTAACTTGAGGTTGTTAATTGAGTTCAATTGAATTGAAATGAATTGTATTTGTGTATAGAAATCAAAATGGATAAGCAATAGAGGACACAAAAGGTAGTAATGAGAAGAAGAGGAAGAGGAAGAAGTGAAATTAATTTTTTTTTATAAAAAAATATAATCTTAATAAATAAATAAAAAATAAAAAAAATAAAAATACAAAATGTATAAATATATAGATACAGATACAAATACAGATACAGATATAGTATGTATATATATATAAAAAAAAAAGACTGCTCTGTTGTAAAAAAAAAAAAAAAAAAATTAAAAATTAAAAAAATAATAAGACTTTGTAGACCCCCAAGATCGGAACTGTCTCAACAAATATATATATTTATACATATAAAAAAAAAGTACACAAGAATAAAAAAAAAAAACTATAAATCGAAAGCCAACAACCAACAACCGAAAAACCAAAAGCATATACAACCCCCTGACTGGAGTGTCTTTGGGCGGGCCTTGGTGTGTTTTAGGACGAATCATCGTCGTATTTTTCCCAAGACAGTCCTTTGGGGGGGGGGGGGGGGTGGAGAAGAGCCGCTTAGACTGGGTTTCAAGTCAAAAGAAAAAGAAGGAGACCACGAGCTTCTTTAACAGCAGCCAACCTGGCCTTCACTACTTTTGCTGCTTAGACGCGTGGGTGTCACCAATAGTGCTTCTTTGTGTACCCTCTTACTCTCTCACTCGCTCACTCTCTTACTCTTTGCTTTTTTTTTTTAGATCTTTGATTTTTGATCTTTGATTTTAGTTGTAAGCCTATTATTTACTTATTTATTTATATTGAGTTGAATTGAATCGAATTGAATTGTCATAGTATCTTATAATATAGTATCTCATAATATATAGATTTTTAAAACATATATGCATATGTACGTATATACACAAATACACATATAGTATTATATATTTATGGAATAGCAATACTCATCATCACCTCCTCCACCATAATCATTATGGTTACTATAGTTACTATAGTTACTATGGTTATAATTATACCCATTATTATTGTTGTTACTTGTTGTTGTTTCCATGGTAATAATAATAAAATTGACATAATATGTCATATTCACTCCATTCATTCCATATTCACAATTCATACTTATGTTCATCACATAATTCTTTTCTCTTTCGTTTTCTCTTTTTTTCTTTATTTCAGTACACCTTACCGGTCCATTTATTGTTTTATCTACTACAAACCACAAGAAAAAAATCACAATAATGACGATGATGATGATGATGGATCTGTCTGTATCGTTTTCCTGGTGATCTTTCTTTCATTCTTTCATTCTTTCTAGATCCTGATAGCATACTTCTCTAGCTGTGCTCGCAGCTCATCCTAAAATTCCCTTTCCCCCGTCAGATAAAAAGATCCATATATGCGTGTGTATTGTAATGTAATGTAATGTAGTGTAATATAATGTAGTGTAATGTAATGTATTTTGTGTGTATGTGTATTTTATATATTATGGTTGTTAGGCTTGCAAATTTAATGCACACTTACCGGAGACAGGGTAGAATGATTGTAGATCAACATGGATTTCGACGCCTTTTTCTTACCGACATCCGCAACCAGGGGAGCTGGAATAGTTTCAGCAGGAATTCCAGAAATATAATCATAACCTCCTCCTCCTCCTCTTACTCCACTGCCTCTTCCAACATTACCTCCTCCACTACCGTGAATTCCTCCATTGTTGGCATGATTGCTGCTGCTGCTGCCGCCGATACTGAGACCGATTCCGGCACCTCCACTACTTCCTACACCTACTATACCGACGCCACCACTACCGACACCACCAACTGCGGCTGATTGTGCAGATTGATGGTGATGATGTTGTGGGTGTTGTTGATGTTGTGGATGTGGATGTTGTTGATGATGTTGTTGTTGATGTTGATGTGGATGTGAATGGTGATGTGGGTCGGTGTGATATGCCTGTGCTATTGGCGCATTCGTAGGTCCCGCTGATATAGGTGGGGCATATGCGACAGACGGAGAGAATGTAGATGTAGCAGTAGTGGTGGTAGTGGTAGTGGTAGTAGTAGTTGTAGTAGTAGCTCCACTGCCGCCAGCATTGTTGATACTGTTACCGTTACTATTGCCGACATTGCTGCCATTATTATTGCTGCTACTGCTGCTAGCACTGCTGCTGTTGTTGGTAGTATTGTTATTTATACTATTGATCGCAGCATTCGAGATATTTTGAGGCGTAGTATTTTGGTTAGGAGCATTGTGAGATACGGGTGGTGCAGAGGATGAAGACGGGGGAATGTTTTGGGTAACAATATTGGGTTGACCAGGTTGCTGACCTGGTGGAATAGGTGGCCAAGGTTGCCCGCCAAATGGAGGAGGTCCACTACGTGTACGTATAAAAGAAAAGAAAAAAGTTTAGAAAGTCTATAATATATATACACACCATTTCTTTTTCCTTTTTTTTTAGAGTTGATTTGCATTTGGATTTCTTACCCTGGTGGACGGAATGAAAATTGTTGGGGAGGAGGAGGATAAGATGGAAACGGTGGTCTTGGCTGATAGAACTGGCTGTATTGTCCAGGGTAAGCAGACGGCATACCTGGTCCCTGAGGTTGATTTGGAATAGGTGGTCCATTAAAAACCTGGGGAGCATAATATGGTGGAGCAGAATATTGCTGAGGTGCAGCAGGAGCCGCACTTGGAGCTGACGGGCCGGCTTTGTGGAGTGCAATCTGCTGCTGGATCTGTTCTGGAGTCAGTTCATCGTACTGTCCAGATCCGCCTGTACGCGCACGCTTTGATGGTTGATTTCCTGACATCTTTGCTTCGTAGGCGACCTGATCTTCGTGTGGAATGCCTTCCATTCCGAAAATCTCAATCTCTAATGTTTCTCGACCAGGTAATGCATTTGGTACTCTTGATTGATGAAGATTGATTGATTAAATCAAAGAAAAAAAAAATTTAAAAAAAAAGAAAAGGTTAATAAATGCAAAATCTTTACCAACTAAATAAATAAATAAATAGAAAACAAAAATAAAAACATAGATTGGAATTTTCAGACTCACTGGGTAATGTCGACCTTGTGTACTTGTTGAGCGTGTACGGCCATACCACCGGCAGTTGCTACAATGATAATAAAGAGTGTTAGAGAGAATTATTAATAGTTGTACTTTTAAAAAGCCTTGGCCAATGTTGTGATTCTTACTGAGTTTCTTGTTGCATACTTCACACTTGAAATGCTTTGCCTATTCGTATGTATGTATACATGTATGTATGCAAGTGTGTATGTGCGTGCGTGTATATACGTGTTGTTGTTGTTGTTGTTGTTATACGTGTATTTTATATAAAAAGTGATTGAATTCATTAGTCATTGTTATTTAGTTTTTTTTTGGTTTGTTTGTTATATATATATATATTATATATATTAAGACATGTATGTGTGTATATATGTATATGTATATATGTATGTATGTATATGTATTTGTACATTTGTGTATATATGTTTTTAGATGTAAAAGTATTAATATTCTAAATATTTTTATTTATTTTTTTGGTTTGGTTTGGTTTGGCTTGACTTGGCTTGGCTTGGCTTTGGTTTGTTTCAATACATCCACAAGTATATTGATAATCTTGATCGGTTTAGTAGATCAATGAGTACATACCCTTTGATGTGTTACAAGAACCTTGTCATCTTCAAAGTCCTTTTCACAATACCAACACCAAGGACGCAATGACTTTGACTTCTTCTTTTTTCCCATACTTGTGAAGTGTCAATCACAAAAGGAGAGGACCAAAAAGTAAACACCACCCAAATTTAGCGCGTGACGAAAGCAAATGTTCGGCGATTTAAAATATTTATACAAAGGACAAAAAAGAAAAAGAAATAATATGTTTCTGCTTTGGTATTATAAAAATCACAATATATATATATATATATATTAATTTATTTATTTTTTTGCTGCGTTTGTGTTTTTTTTTTACTGGCAATTGATTTACTAAAGCAAAATACTCTTGGTCTTCTTCTTGATATTGTATTATTAAAAGACAATGTATAGATATATAGAAATGCATTCAATTAATTCATTAAATCAATTGACCAATTAATCAATTATATATATTTTATGATTTCTGATTTGATTCTTATTTAGTTTGACCTTGTTAGATATTATGAATAATGAATATAGATTTTTAATGGTGATTTTTGGAATATGACGATGGTTACTTTGCAAAAAGAACAAAAAAATATATAACGTATTTATATATTTATATAGTGAGAGAGTCAATGCATACAGAATTATGTATATATCTGTCTATCTGTGTTTGTGTGTCTGATGAGTTTGGATCTAGACTTGAAGTGTTTCACAGTACTGATAGCATAGATAATATATTTATAATAGATCATAATATAAATATACATCAAAGAGTCTTTGATGATGATAATGATGATTGTATTATACAGTAATCTAATTTGTCCCACTAAAATAAAATAGAAAAAGACTGACAAGATTATGAATAATAATAATTTCTTTATTTATTTTACTTGTTCATAATATACAATATATAGAATATGTATACATTACAAATTCTGTTCTCCCCGATCACCTTTTCTTTTCTTTTTTTCTGGGGGGTGGAGGAAGTAATTCATTTGACCTATGAGTAATTCTATGTAATAAGTTTCAGTAAAAGGCTTTAATACTATGGACAGTTTTTAAGATGCGTATATTTATTTATCTGACGTCTTGTCTTGTTTTATAAGAATAATACATAAATTCAATAATTTATTTATTTATTTAAATAAATAAATATATAATTCTAGTAAGTGAGGTGTAGTCTATGAGCTGAAAGTTAACAAGATCATATAGTACAATATAGTACAATATATAATTGATTAATATTCTCACATGGAAACATGAGCATTTAATAGTTTTTGTGTATGAGATATTCTTATATAAAAATTATATATATATATATATATATATGTCCCTTGTCTTGCCCTTGTTTCACAACTCAAAAAATATTATTTATACTTCTCACCTTGTCTTTTTTTGTCGTTCCCATTTAGCAGGACATCTCCGAACACAGATTCTCTCATTTTATATTACATTATATTATATTATATTATATATATATTTTTTGGTCTTCTTCTTCCTTCTTTCTTTGGTCTTTTTGTACGGCCAAATCTGCTCGATGCTCCGTTCTGTTTGACAAATGAACATCAAAGGACTAGTACAAGCATTTTGAGCCCTTGTTTTCTTTCCCTCATTCGTTTATTTTATTTTATTTTATTTTTGGTTCTGTCTTGCCCATAGTAGACCACATAAAACACCAATCATTAAAAGCGTAGATCTCAACTATTCTTTTCTCTTTTTTTTCGCGTTTTTCTTTAAAAGAAGTCTGACAGGACAGAAAGAGAACAAAACAAGTCCTGTAAAAAAGAAAAAGTTTATTTTTATCTTCATCTTTTATTCGGAAGTGTGCCGGTTCAATTGGAGTCCGTTTTCTAGATCCAATAATAAGGATCACACTCAATCAATCGTTTACTTAATTACTTTTTACATTCATTCATTCATGCATGCACTCATTCATTCACACGGAGAAAGAATTAAAGACAGAGATAAAAAAGTGGCTTGTTCTGATCTGTTACAATTACAGATTTACACTTGACAATTACACCAAGTTACAGTTGATAATCTAAATTCGAGTCACAATTTCAACTTGAATCATAATCACAATCGCAACGAATTACGGTCACAGTCACAATTACAGAGAGTTACAATCTCACATACAGTTTTAGTTACGCTTAATAAAATACCAACACACACAAAAAAAAGAGTTTGATGTAAATCCGAAAGGCGTAATAGATCAGTCGAGCAGGCGCAGTATTAGTTATAATGGAATAGAGTAGCATGTATTGCTTATAATAATATACATGTTACTTATATATGAATTGTATTCCATTGTTTTATTAATAGAGAATAATAAAAGAAGTTATTACACAGTTTAATATTAAATAATAGCTAATAATATGTTGTTGTGCCGTTGATAAGCCGAGCTTTATCCTTTTGATAACATAAACTAAAAAAGAAGAAAAAGAAGACAATAGGCACTAGACACAAGACATAGATTTCTCTATATTTCTTTCTTAAGCACACGATACATCTATACACAGTTACTAGATACGCTCTGAGAATCAGCAAGTAAAAAAGAAAGTTGAATCATATGATATTATAACAATTACCTACAGACTCCCAATTAAAAAAATAAAAAAATAAAAAAAATGCTCGAATGCATTGATGGTTTGTATTTCTTGGTTGAATAATAAATTAAATCAAGTGTAATTTGACAAGCCTACAATTCAATTCAACTCAATTGCACTCAATTGCACTCGATTGCACTCGATTGCACTCGATTGCACTCGATTGCACTCGATTCAGTTTCCAAAGATTGAGTTTAGTAGTGCAAATGTTTGTATGTATGTGTATAAAATATATATTGTAGATCTTTGTTAATAATGTCTTTGTGAGTCCAAGATGTTTGTAATGCAATGTATGCAAGTACATACTGATAATAATAACAATAATAAGAAATATACTTTCTTTAATACCCGTATACTACACCGTAATGCAGCCAAAAACTTTAGTTCTCTATAATGTATTTTGCCTTTACAATAGTCTTGTGCTTGTGTTTGTGCGTGTGGTTGTGTAAACATAAACAAAGAGGTGCATAGACATCTTGCTTGGACTCAAAAGAAAAAGAAATAAAGGTTAAGGGTGAATAAGAATAAGAATGCCAGAGTATTCACTACAAGATTGTTCATCTAGTGCATTGAATTGAATTTTTTTTTAGTATATTGTACTATACTATTATTGCAGTCTAATGTATGTTTACACAACACATACAAAATATATCATGACTTTGTTCAACTAAAAATAATAAAAATAAAGAGGGGGGTGGTCAGAATAGGTTCTTTAAAGAGTATTTGTGGTAGACAATATCAAGTAAAGAAGGTAACATTGCTGATAGTCCATTTGATAATCATGATTCTTTATAAATTCAACATATATAAATATAAATAAAAATTTCGAATGGCTTGAAGATCTAGAAAAACAACAACAACAACAACAATAAATCCTGTGGGTCTGGATAAAGGTCAGTCAATACATGATGATTATTCTAAATCGAAATAAACTTCGAGTATTCCAAGATTTTGATATATATATTTCTTATTTCATAAATCACCAGACAATTGGTAAAAATAAAAATATCCCAAAAGAAAGGTATTGTTAATTTTTTTGAATTCCATTAACATCAAGACAAATATTTCCTTTCTTTTTTTAAAAAAGAATGATGGTTGTAGACCAGCAAGACTGGTCTAATTTTGATCTTTTTTTTTTTTTATAAAAGATTTTTAAAACCACAAGCCAAAGATCATTATATAAGTCTCTTTAATGTAACCCTCGTCAGTTTGGTTCTTTTTGAAATCATCAACAAGAAATAAACTAATGATATATCCTAGTCAATATAAATTCAATACGTTGGATTTCCAAGCAGTCTAATTGAATTAAATATTTCTCTCTTTCCCTCTCTTTTTCTTTTCTCTCTATTTACTGTTACTGCTATTATCCCTACTAATAATACTATTACGATTTATTGAAACAGCCACATGTGCATACATAGATATAGATATAAATTTACAGCTATCTATTGGTTAATTGGTTCAATAAATGATGTAAATTGTATATATATATATATTTACAAAATTTGGTAATATATGTGTGAGTACATATACTGTGTCTTGTTTTGAATGCAAATCTCAATACACCTGATCTGATCCGCACATGTAGAATACTGTCGATCAAACGTGGCATTGTAGTCCAACTCTCTTTCACTCCCTAACTTGATCTCAATATGTCCAGTCAAAAAGAGACAAGAAAATAATATGAATACTTGCTTAGTTGATAAAAAACAAAACAAAAAAAAACGGATTTTGCTCGTGACAGGATTGATATGTCAGTTTGTAAAATAAATATTGATCCCTACAGTAACATATGTAGTATGTAATATTATAGGTATTCTTATTGGTATTGGTATTTGTACTTGAACTTGAACTTGCAGAATTTTTATTTGGGGTTTCTGTCAGGTACATATTGTTCAGTCTGCCGATTAAGGAGCTAGATATAGATATAAATATATAAAAAGACTTGGAATACTTTGATTCATCGGCATTAAAATAATATCCCAATCATACTATATAGTTCCAAAGAAGACGGGTTATCGTAGTTACCTCTAGGCAATCAAATAATAAATGAATAAGAGGAATCTGGCTGTCTCACGCGCGCACTTGTATATGTACATCTTCACACCTGACATTCTCTTTGGACAGGATCATTGAACTCTTTTCTCTATATAAATATCTACTATTATTTATTTCTTTTGGATTTAGGGGCAAAGGAGAACTTATTTCCAAATGATAAATGTATATTTAACTACATTGATATCTTCCTTTTCATTTGAGCATTTGTAATCATTAATTGACCCAATACTCTATACAGAAATACAAAATATTATAAGATTTATTTATTTATTTTCTTCTTTTTTTGGTGAATGTTGCCCTTGATGTGACACAACAAAGGCGCAGTTGAATTATTGGCTATAGGCTAGTCAGAATTGGATTCGGTTAATAAAGGACATAAAGCAGGGTCTCTATTGTCAATTTAGTGGTCCAAAGTAAACGATCTGCCCGCCATACTTGTTTCTGTCATTATAAGATGTCTGCATGTTAATCTTTGTGTGCGTATGTGTGTTCTATACAGACTAAGAATATATATATATATATATGAGACAAGCTTTGGATATGTTATATAAATACGCACGCATAAATACATACAAAAATGCATAGGTACATAAACATATATGTACATCCGTGTATCTATCTATCTATATTTTGTTTCTAGTTTCGTTTCTTTGATTGTTTGAAGCTAAAATAGGTATGTTTTAAGGTACATGACACACACACACATTTTTTTTATATACAATGATAATTATATTGATGTTGCTATCCATATTCTTTGTAGAGTCCGCAACTTTAATGCTCTGACATTTTATCAATTGCAAAAAATCGAAAACAAAACAAAAGGAATTCAAACAAGAAATACTCCTTAAAACACCCACCAACACACAGACAAAAAAAAACAGATATTAGCCTTTTTGTTATTATTGTCATCTTTTTTGAATTCTTTGCATATTATTTTTAAAGCTTGTAATGATAATTTCAACATTAGCATTAAAATTAACAAAGATATGGCTATGGAATCAAAGACTATAGCCATGCCAATACTGAACTACAAGAGTCCAATCTTTCAACAGACAAGTAATAGCGATAGTAATAAGATGTAGATGTGTAAATATTGATAAAATGGTCAATTCAATTCAATTCAATTCAATTCGATTGAATTTAGTATATAAAATGTATAATTTATAAGAGTATTGTATTTTTGACAAGCAAGGAATAAAATATTTCCTTTTTCTTTCTTATTTGTAATTTGACATCCAATAATTACAATCACTCATATGTATATATGCATGTATATATATATATATATATATATATCTTGGTCTCTTTTTGGTTTCAATTGGAATGACGCTTTTGTGTGTGAGTATCTGTTTTGTTTCTTTTTATATATATATCTTTACACAAAACCAAGAAACTCCTTTAAAAAAGCAGAAAAAAAAGGAACCTTACAAGATTTTACCATCATTAATATCCATATCATCATCATCATTGTGTTTTATGTCTGTCCTGAATTTTGAAGCCCTTGTTTTTTTTTTAAAAAAAATAAATAAATAAATAGTAATTTAGTATTATCATTATGGTTTTTGAAACCTGTGTCCATAAAGATGTCACATCAAAGATAATGTTTTTCTTGAACCAAGTCTAGAACAACAACAACAAAAACAATGAATACATAAACTGACAATGACAAGTCAAGACTATCATATTCTTCTTCTTCTTCTTCCCTTTTTTTTATGAGCAAAAAAAAAATCATGTAATTTATCAAACAAGATTTTGGGCTGCACCAAATATTATACATTTACATAAAAAGAAAAACGTAAATTCTATCAATTTACATGAAAGCTTCTTTATCAAAATATATGTATATTTATATATTTATATTTTATATTTTATATGTATAATTATAGATATAAATACAAGTCTTTTCTAATCTTGTGCTATAAAAAGCTAAAGTCTCTTGAGTTTTTTGTTTTCTTCTTCTTCTTCTTTTTTTTTTTCAAGAGACTAATAAGAAAGACAATACACATTTAGATTTACTCTCTTATATCACATTTGTATTCATACTCGCATTCACGGTTGCACTCTTCTTGATATACTATTCTTCTTTTCTTTTCTGTCATGGTTTATGCTGGATATTCCTACCCAACTCCACCAACAAAATACATGGAAAAGCCAAAGGTAAATAAGGTAAACCAAGAAAGAATCAAGATCAAGATCAAGATCAATTCAAACCTTCAAGAATTATATAGACAAATAAATATATAGATGGTTATCATTGTACATTCGTACATTTACTAAATAAATTACCTACCTACCAACCAATCAAAAGAAACAAAATTCAAATATATTTACATATTTATATTCATAAACATCTATCTCTATCTCTATGTTTACCTATCCACATTTGAATGTACCCAATCAAAACCAATTATATACATACATACATACATACATACATACATAGCTCCGAGTGTTTAGCCCTATCATTGTCTTTCAAGATACTTCATACACCATGTCACCCTTCTCGACAACCCAAGATGATATTGTATCGTGTAGCTTACTCATAAGAACCAAGAAAGAAAAGGTCGACGAAATGCTAAAATGGAATGGCCGAGTTTGGATGAATGTTCTTCAGCAGCCATCTACAGACTCGCCTTTTCAAAAGCCACTTGCCAATCCCATACCTGCCTCTCACTCTGTCTCTGTCTCTGGTTCTGGTCTTGGTCTTGGTCTTGGTCTTGGTCTTGGTCTTGGTTCTGGTTCTGGTTCTGGTTCTGGTCCTGTTTTAGGTCCTGTTTTAGGTCCTAATTCTGGTTCTGGTTCTGGTTCTGATTCTGGTCCTATTTCTGTTTCTGTATCTGTTCCTGGTTCTGGTTCTAGTTCTGGTGGTATTCAATCAACCAAAGAGTTTCAACAAAGCCATTTACTGCAGTCCTTATCGCAATGCAGCCAGGGGTACCATCACACCGACAATACAGGCAGCATCAGCATCAGCAACAACAATATCACTACGACCAACTACAATCATCACTATTACCAGCAACATCATTATCATCATCAGAAAAGTCATTATGGCAATCAAGCCAATTACCAACACAGTTATCAGCAACATCCTTGTGCGTTCTGTGAACAAGACCAATCTTTAGAGCTATCAGATACGACAAATATAGTAGTATCATCATTACCAGCAGGAGAAGTAGGACAGACATCAATTGTAATGGCCTCAAGAGTAGGACCAGAAACAACACTCGGTTCATCTTCTGGTCTCGCATCTTCCTCAATTGACACCTTCCGTAGACGGCGTGGTAATCTTCCCAAACCTGTCACGGCAATTCTGAAGCAGTGGCTGGTCGGGCACTACGATAACCCTTACCCCAGCGAAGACGAAAAGGGAGCCCTCAAGGAATCCACCCATCTGACACTCAGTCAGATCAGCAACTGGTTTATCAATGCACGCCGGCGCTTGCTTCCCCACATACTTGCTCACCGAGATCAATCCAAAGAAGACAAGCCAAAGCAGATTGTCAGACGCAGGCGTACCAATAGAGTTACTAAACGGTCTTACAAGCGAACCAAGAAGCAAGATGGTTTGGGTAAGTCTTTTATATATTTTTATATATTCTAATGATTATCAATCAACCCTCTTTCTTGGCTTCTTGACTTCTTTGCTTGCTTATTTACCTACATCTTTACTTGCCTGTCTATTTTTCTTGGTTGCTTAATTTTTTTTATATCTATATAATCTATAGATAAACGAGAGTTATCTAGAGGTCACTTTGAGCGATCGTCAGTAAATACAACCACATCTATTGTGGAACAACGACGTGTAACAAAAAGAAATGTTTCAAAAATAAGCTAAAGAAAAAGGAAAATAATGATAATGATAATGATAAAAGACTTGTTTCTTTATTATTCTATTATATTCATTCATTAACTAGTATTATTTTTTTTCATTTTTGATATTTCCGTCACTGCTACTGCTACTGCTACTGCTACTGTTGCTTCTTCTTTTAACTATTGAAAGGATTAAGCTTGATGTTATTTGTATTAGATTAACTATTCTTCTTCTTCTTCTTCTTCCTGTTGTTTTCATTCATTCATTCGTTCATTCATTCATTTATTTGTTTATTTATTTTGAAACCATTTTCCATTATTATTCTTGTAAATACATTATTATCACTGTTACTGTCACTGTTATTGTTATTGTTATTGTTATTGTTATTGTTACTATTCCTATTATTGTTATAAAATAATAATAGAAATTAAAAATTAAAAATTAAAAAATAAAAATCATCCAATTAAATGGATAGTTTAGTGCGTGTGTAGTGTGAAATGGGTAGTGTATGGACAATAATGTAGTTTCTAAAACAAAATTAATAGATACATATATTTTGTATCTGTAGATTCCAATGATAAAGATTGAAACATTATTTTCTCCACTGTTATTTACCTATAGTGTTTCAACCCCCCAAACAGCAAGAAAAGGGCTATCTATTACACGCTAAAATCAACCAAATAGATAGATTGATAAAAGAGTGATTTTTATATATATATTGCTTCCAGTGCCACAAACGCCACGTCCACCTTTATTTTCCTCTTTTAATTATTTCTGTACTGAGTAACCTTGCACAGAACTCGAGATTTTATCTCCCTTTTCTTTCTTTTCTATGATAATTATTCAGCTGAGAGGCGATCGCTTCTAATACTTTTATATCCATTTTTCTATTATAACTTTTTTGTGTCTGTGTACAATAGACAATACTAGATATTTATTGTCGTGAATATCGAATGGTTAATGCTTTAAAACTTGTAAACTATTTTCGTTTGGATAGCTTGGAATAAATTATAACGAATTTTGCTTGATTTTTATTTGATGTCCAAAATATCTTTTATATTCTTTGTAAACCAGTCGAAATCTCGGCTTGTCCTTTTGTAAATAAAATTACATATTCACACACACACAAAAAAAAACAAACAAACATATTATGTATCTTTAACTCTCTCTCTCTCTCTCTTTTGGTCTGCCTGCTTGCCTTCCTGCCTGCCTGCCTATCGGTCGGTTGGTTGGTCCCTTTTCTTCTTCCCTTCTCTCACACATTGTAACATCGCGGCAAACTAAAATATTATATTGTGTACTGCATATAAATAAAATATAATCAAGATACATAATAAAAGGTCCGCTTGGAAACGGATGATCCGAAAAAAAAAATTATAATTCTTTATTTATTCTCTTGCTCAAATTCATATTTTTCTATATAAAACAAAAAACCTCTTTTTTATTTTTATATTGATCTTCTTTATCTCAACAACTACAGTAACAGAAATAAATCATGATGCTTTCTAGCCCTGTAATATTCTCTCAACCCGCAGTTCATGATCGAACCAGTCTTCGCACAGGTCACAGACGAGTGTCTCTTCGCAAACCAGCAGAGAGACGAATGACTCCTAGCCCTGAAGATCCTCCAGTCCGGCGTAATCTTCAAAAGATGGCCATCTCACCTCCTCTTACTCTTACCCTTACTCTTACTAAACAAGACAATAAGAAACCCACAATAAAAAAGTCTGTGCGCTTCCGTGATTCGGATCTCGAGACAGTCCGTCTCTTTCTCAAGACAGAGATGCCCAGTGCAGTCCACAAAGACTCTCTCCCACCATCTCCGGTGCCTGGAGCTCCTCGCTATGAATTAAAGTATATGAATTGGCCTTCAAAGACAATCCAGAACCAGACAACCAAATCAAACACCAACCCTGGCTTATCACCACTCAATAACAACAATATTCGGCTGGAAAACATTCAACTCTCTAATAGCCATGACAAACCTTTTGGGCTGGTCGGGTTTTGCCGAGTAGCCAATCTGGCATTCCAGAAACATGTCGTGGTTCGATATTCTCTTGACACCTGGAACACCTATAGCGAACTAGAGGCCAGCTACCGTGAGCCGATTGTCAGCACTGCAAATACCTGGGAACGTTTTAGCTTCTCAATCCCTCTGGACAAACCAAAACAAGTCCAGACAATCTACATCGCTCTCTGTTACACTGTGAATTCCACAGAATATTGGGACAACAACACCGGCAATAATTATTCTCTTAACCTTATCTGTTCACATCCGACACAACACAACGATTCAAGCAGCGGAAGTGAAGATGAAGATAACACCAATGACGACAATGCTAATGAAGAAGACGATGAAGACGATGAAGAAGATGAAGACGATGAAGACGATGAAGACGACGAAGAAGAAGAAGAGGAAGAAGAAGAAGATACTGATATTGATATTGATATCGAGGAATTTAACCGTATTGATAAACTAAACAAGCCAAAATATAATGATCCAAAGAAACTTGGATTCCGATACAACTTTGGTGCTTCTCTGACTGCGGCAAAACGTGTCTGGTCTCCCCCTCCGCCCTTGTCTCATTCGCCAATCAGTAGCAATAGCAATAGCAATAGCAATAGTAGCAGTGACGATGAATTAAACACAACAAATGGGTATTTTCGACATGTTCCACCTCTGTGGAACACATCACACAACCATCACACCACATCCCAGGCTTATGAGTTCACAAAATCAACATCACAGACATCATCGACAATACAATCAGATAAAAGTCCCCTTTTGGAATCATCGCCAATTCAACACGATTATCATGCCTTTGTTAACAAGTATTGCTTTTACAGCCCAAATGAGGCGCTCTTCTCCCCGTCTGCCCAGCTTGGATTGAAATGATAATTTTATTTTTTATTATTATCCTGTACATAACACAACACAACACACACATACATACAAAAAATTCACACCTCTTCATATTCGTATTCGTATTCATATTCATATTCACACACTTCTTTAGTTTTTTTTTAAAGAAAAGAAAAAAAATCCAAAAAAACTAATGTACATTTCTCTCTATAAATATTTCACAAAAAGATTATTATTATTATCAATTAATTAATTAATTAATTAATAAATAAAAAAAGATTCAATTATTTGAACCAAAAATAAAATAAAATAATGTACTTTATCTACCTTTGCATATTCTGTGTCCAAGAGATTGTAACAGATACGCAAATACGTGGAAAGAATCGTAAAGAAAACAAGAGTAAAGGAGAGAGAGAGAGAGAGAGTCTAGACAAAAATGATAATAATACTAATCTCTGATTTGATTCCGTCCTATCGATTCTAGTCAGCGGGATTGTACAGGCGTGTATTGACACACACATTTAAGCCAATTCTGTTGTATCGTGTGACAATATATTATAGAATTATCTATTAAATCATTTCTATTTTATTATTGTATATATATATATAAAAGATAATGCAAAATAAATAGCAAGAATAAACAGACTACTTAATTTCTTTAATACAATGCAATGCGATCAATAAAAAAGTAGGTCTTTTTAGATGTAGATAGGTAGATATTTGACCCAGTACAATGGATAACTTTCTTTCACACACAATCAAAATATGTATATATTTATCTATATAATTCCCAAGATCTGTTGAATTCTACCTAATAAACCAAAGAGACAAAGACGGGGTAGTCAATGGCATCATTCTAGTGTTTGAAATAAATGAACTACTTGTAATTCTTGACAGTCCATGTCAGCAGATAATTTTATGATCCTTGATGATCCTCAACCAATCTTCTCCTTCTTACCTACTACAATCCTCTATTTTTTTTTTGATGGACGGGAAAGAACTGTAAATTTTTCTTTTTCTTTTAAAATATAATATATATATAAATCTTGTACTACAAACATCACTGCAAACATACACAGATATGTCTTTATTCAAACTGTATCATTAAACCTCAAGAATAAAAACAAAGTTACATTCCCATTCCCACGAATGCCAATTTCGGAAACACTTTATTTTGACCATCGAAAGAAACAAATGATGCTTGTTTATAATCTATCTATGTATATATTTAGCCATTGAATCAAAAAATTTGAACCAAAAATTTGAACTAAATTGAACGAATTGAACTAAACTGTGTGTAATAATGAGTAAAAGAATGTAATAGTGATAATTGTAATTGTAATGGTTAATTAAAGAAAGTAAGAAAAATAATAATTTAATGTAATGTAATTTAATGTAATGTAATGTAATGTAATGTGATGTGATGTGATGTGATCAATTTTGTCTTTATGTGTGCAAAAAATAAAATAAAAATAAAAATAAAATTATAGCAAATATCATTATTCATCATCTCCATCATCTCCATCAACTTCCGGTGCGGCATTGATGTTTGGCCTTGCCCCTTTCGGCAATGACGCTGTTTTTCTCGATGCCGCCTGTTTTCGTCTCAAGGCAGCGGGTACAAACCCAAGTAGCTCCTTTTGGAGATTTCTGAGCTGAGGCTCGGCCGAAATGGTAGCCGCTGGGGTGTACACACCAGCAGTTGTGGATGAAGAAGGCTCGGGAGTGGCTCCAGCTATCGGAAGTAGTTCTGCAGCCAATTCTTCAGCCTCGACTTCCTGCATGTCCTTTAGCATAGGATCCATCTGTCTGGCCCGGCGGTTCTGTGGTCTTTGATGTGTTCGATTAGGCCGTGGATCATAATGAGGGCCTATCAAAATAATAAAGTCAAAAAGAAGACAAGAGTGCTAATATGTCTTCTAGTACATTATAATACATTACATTACATTGCATTACATTGCACTACATTGCACTACATTACACCATATTACATTGTATTCTAGTATACTATACTATACTATACTATAGTCTTCTATTTTTTTTCTTTTTCTTTCTTTTTTATTCTATTCTATTAGAACATCTTGGTTATATATATATATATATATTATTTAGCTTACGTTGGTTCATCACAGGATGCATGTGAGGAAACATTGGTCTGCCAGGAGGTGGAGGTGGAGGTGGTATCATCATATTAGGAAAGCCAGGCATTCCAAAGAATGGCTGAAAGTGGCCAGCAAAAGGATTCTGATGAATTGCCTGTGCTTGCCGAATAGGATGGAGTTGCTCTTGGAATGGTCTCGGGGGTGGTGGTCCAGGTGGAAGTGGGATATCATCCAAGTCATAATCATCACTATCCTCGGCATTCACATCCCCACCAGCCGGACCCGAACCCGAACCCGAAGTTGAGGTTGAGGTTGAAGTAGCTGTCAGATCTTGTCCTGTAAGAGAAGAAGAAGGGGGTGGAGGTCCTGGAGGCAGCGGAATATCTTCAGTGTCACTATCCTTTTCAGAGCCTTCATTGTCAGAATCTGACATATCAGTGTCAGAATCTGAATCAGAACCAGATGATGATGATGACAATGATGAAGAGCTTCCTGAATCAGAATTATCGCCCTGGTCCACCTGTTCAGTCGTTGTTCTCTTTTTTACTTTTGCTGGAACAAATGCTCCAGACTTTGGATCATACACAAGTTTTCTGGTTTCATGTTGTTCCTGTTGTTGTTTTTGTCTTGCTGCCAAAGCCGCCGCTGCCCTATATGGTACATCACATTATTAATAACAACGTTGTATACAGCTCTTAACTAGTAATAGCCAAGTGCAATCTGTCCCAAACTCAAAATTCCCCCATTGTCCTTTTGTTACATGTAGATTTATAATTACCCTGTTAATCCTTGAGACTACAAGTATATATACATACATAAAAGTTATATACACATAGACTTAATCAATCAACTACTTAATTAATTATATACCTTTTTGGCTTTTTCAATCTTTTCAACATCTTCTTTGAGAGTTGCCAATCGAGTTTGTCCGTTTTTATCCAGCTGCTTCAGTCTAGCTATACGTTTCATGATTGGGTTGTATGTAGTTTAGTAATCGATTATTAATCATTAATTATTAATTATCTTTACGGCTATTCTTATTAATCACATATTATCTATCTTTTATATATCGATATATTAAAAATCTACCCAAATTCTCCAATCGAGCAATCTCTTGCTTTGTCCTTCCAGTGTCCTTTTTGGACAGCGCATTTTCACGAGCTCTCTTGCGGTCATCTTTATTCTTTTTAATAGTTATATTATTATTATTATTAATATTATATATATATACGAGTGAGTCAGTGTGAATTATACCTTTTTTATTTCACGTTTACGCTGTGCTTTTCCTAAAAGTCGAAACAAACTGTAAGTATAATGGTTAATTAATTTAAATCATTTTCAGTGTAATGTATAGGAAATTAAGAAGACGAAAAAAAAAAAGAAAAAGAAAGAAACGTACGAGCAGCATCGGCGGGATTAATACTTTTCTTTGCTTTTCCCATTGTACGTAATATCTAACCGTGTCGTGTCGTGTCGTGTCTTGCGATGTGTGCTAATGCGATGATGGAGATGTCGATGCAGATGCAGATGCAGATGCAAATGCTCCACACCCCCCCTTTTTTTGGGTGACCGCGCATCATGCCCAGTAGATCAAAGCCACCCTTCTGGACTATCGTGATTTGAAATTATATAAGAATATTTTTTTTCTGTCTGTCTTGTAACCTGTAACCTGTAACTTGTACCTGTAACTGTTGTACCTGCACTTTTGTAACCTGTGCTTGTGTCTATGTCTGTGCTTGTGTATTAAGAACATATAAAGTACAATGAGAAATATATATATATTATTCTTCATTCGCCAGAGACTCTGGCTGTGTTACCATCAATTCTTTATTGAGACGAAAATTTTAAATAAAAGCTTGCTATTGCTATAATACTATTCTTTATCATCTTTTCTTTCGCTCCTGGTATTCAACCGCTCGACTTTATCGAAGATCCAAGTTATGACAAATGATATCCACGACACTTTACAAGCTCTCCTCGCCCGCATGGAAGCTTTGGAAGCACGCTCTGCTGCTCCTCCTGTGGCCCTTGATGGTTCTTCTGCTGATGAAGACGACACAATGCTACCTACCGACCATATTGTCGAACGACCTATCGCATCTGATCTCACTCCTTTCCCCGAACTTATTAAAGCCATTCCCGGGATGGAGCGCGACTTCTTCAGGCAACCCTTGGACGAAGCCTCTCGCCGCCGATTCCTCCTTAACTGCCCACGAAATGTACTTCGTCAGTACCAAGCCCCTGTTCTCAACTACAGTGGCGTGGGAACTCACACCAAACGTACTGATGCCCAACTCGCTGATATTCAGTTCCGCCTATCTGGTCTCACCCGTCCCATCGACCTGTTCGCACATGATGTGCTTGTGGAAGGATCTATCCAGGTTACACAGGCATTGGGTTTTGCCAACACTATGCATGAATTACTATCAGACCTTGCCTCTGTTGTCACCCAGATGCGTAGTGATAATATCTGCCGAGATGCCAATCTACCTATCACACCAATTGTCACCAACTCTGCCTTGGAGCCCAAACCACTTCTCGACTCTCAACGAATTGTGGAACAAGCTAAGCTCCAGCGTGCTCTGCACGACGCCGCACGACCTTCCCGAACGAGAAAGGGAAAACGCACCGGCCAACCAAACCGGACCAACAAACCCACTCAATCTGACCCGACTTTTGCTATCCCAGTCCCATCTTACCAGCGATCTTCCCGTCCCCACGACTCGAAGAAGGTTTTTCACAGTCGCCCACAGCTGTCCAAGTCTCAGACAACCAATACACCACAGTAGGTGGGCGCCTTCAACTGTTTCGCAACGCATGGACCAAACTCACAAACGAACACTGGATTCGACGCACCGTCGAACAAGGGTACGACATCCCTTTCACTCGTCTGCCACCCATCTCCTCGTCCGGACCGTTGACGAACCACAACTGGATGGACAGCAATGTGATCGAACAGGAGATCATGTCCCTTCTGTGCAAGAAAGCCATCGAGGAAGTACACGAACCAGGGTTTCGTTCGCGCATCTTCACAATTCCGAAGAAGACAGGCGACCTCCGGCCTGTCCTCAACCTACGACCACTCAATCAGTACATCCCGAAACAATCTTTCAAGATGGAATCCATCAAGCACGTCTGCCAGTTGATCCAGCGTGGCGACTACCTCACCAGCGTCGACCTGCAAGACACTTTTCTGCACATCCTGATCGCCAAGTCCTCTCGCAAGTATCTTCAGTTCTCCTGGAAAGGTCACATTTACCAGTTCCGCGTTTTGCCGTTTGGCCTGTCCTTGTCCCCATTGGTATTTACGAAGATGGTTCGCCCAGTACTTCGTTGGGTACGGCGACAGGGGATTCGTCTGTCGGCTTACCTCGACGACTTGATCGTGATTGCCCGATCCCCAACACTGTCCCTGCAGCACACACAGCGAGTAGTGGACAAATTACAGTCACTAGGCTTCTTGATCAAAGCGACCAAATCTCATCTAACCCCCTCAACCTCCATAGAGCACCTAGGATTTGTGATCAACAGCAAGGATATGACACTAATCATCCCTCGCTCCAAGTTGAGAGATATCCGGAGAGAAGCATCTCGCCTTCTCCACAACCCGACAATCACCTTGAGACAGCTTTCCTCGTTCATCGGCAAGGCCCAGACAACCACTTTGGCAGTCCTTCCCGCGCGCCTGCAAACCCGGCAACTGATATCCATACGCAACCAAGCCTTGTACCGCGGATTGCAATGGACCAGTCCGATACACCTCTCTTCCATGGCTCGGCAGGAACTTCAGTGGTGGATCGACCAGCTGAAGGCATGGAATGGACACTCGTTCCTCCCAGAAGTACCTCAAGTCGAAGTGTACACCGATGCCTCGGAGACCGGTTGGGGCATCGTGTACGACAACACCGTCCTGTCTGGCACATGGACCACAGACCAACAAACCGAGCACACCAACTACCTCGAATTGCTGACCATTGCCTTTGCCACCAAGCTTCCACGCCTTCAAGGGAAAGCCCTTCGCATCTACTGCGACAACATGACCACGATTGCCTATGTCAATCATTTTGGAGGAACCCGGTCTGCCAAACTCATGAATCTGGCCACGGACATGTGGAAGCAATGCCTTGTCACTGGCACCCGTGTCCGCCTGGCGTACATTCCCTCGCCCTTGAACCCTGCCGACCCTCCCTCTCGCAGCTTGATTCAGCAGCTGGAGTGGAGTATTTGTCCAACGTTCTTTCGGCACTTGGACTCACTGTGGGGTCCCCACCACATCGACTGCTTCGCATCGAGCCTGAACACCCAGCTTCCGACGTACATGGCATGGAAATGGGATCCGCAAGCATTTGCGATGGACGCACTTTCTGTACCTTGGACAACCTGGCCTCGCCTATATCTTTGTCCGCCGTGGAACCTACTTCTCCACATACTGCAGAAACTACAACGAGAGAAGGTTCCCGCTACGTTGATAACGCCCAACTGGTCGAGCGCCCTCTGGTATCCTCTCCTCCTCCAGCTGTCGTCCCGCCCGCCAATCCCCATCCCTCGTCACCTGGTCCTTCCCGCACCAGGCTGCGCCGGCCACGTTCTCCTGAAGAACCCACACTGGAACATGATCGCGTGGGACATAAATTACGCAGGTTAGAAGACCAAGGATTCGATGACAATGCCAACATCATCATCCTCAACCGCGATCGCAACCACTCCCGACGATCCTATAACCGTATTCAACGCGCTTACATCGACTGGGCACACCACCACGACGTCGACCCTTTCATTCCTAACCCCGTTCATATAGTCAACTATCTGGCCTATGGTGCTACCCATTTGAAATGGAAAGCATCCACTTGTCAAGCCTACCGCTCCGCCATTCTTGATTTGTACTCGGATAAAGATTCTATTGTCAAAGACTCTACCTACATTGAATTCTTTTCCGCACTCAACGAACAGAACCTACTGTCTTTCCACCGTCCAACATATGATATTGCCCCGGTCATTCGGTTCATTCATAACCTTGGTCCTAATGACACAATGAATGCGATAGATCTCACACGTAAGTTGTGCTGGCTACTTGCCATTTGTGGGTTTCTGCGTCCCGCCGATTTGGAACGAGTCGATGACCGCCGTACATCAAGAGACAATGGCATCCTTCGCTTGGTCATTGTTGCCCCCAAAGAAAAACGTTCAGGTAGACGCATCGAAAGGGTTGTCGCCATTCAACCTCATGAAGACCCCTTACTTTGCCCCGTCGCCACCTATCTAGCCTACAAGTCCAACATCGCCTTCTCGGTCTGCGTTCGGCCTCACCCTGTCCTCTCTCAGGTGACTTTGCAAAGATTAGTACGTGACGTCCGTAATTACGATAGACCCATTGGATCAGAACGGATATCCAAGCATATTCAATTTCTCATGGAGAAGATCCCTCGTCCTTCTGGTGCCCTCCTCCCCAAGGCCCGGGCTCTCGGACCTACTCTTGCTTTGGCTTCTGGTGCTTCGGTTGAAGACATTCTTGTACACGGCTCATGGGCTTCCTCCGCCGTTTTTGACACATTTTACCGCTTGTCACGACAGACTGTTAGCAATTTCTCTACCATGACTTTGACTTCTTCTAGCGGTTATCTGGGCACACAGCCAGAGTCTCTGGCTGTCCCCTCCCTTCCCTTCCCTTCCTTATTATAATATATACCACTCGCGAATAGATGATAAAGAATAGTACAGTAGTCCCTCGATAATTTCAAGGCCAAGGCGGGAACTAAGTGCCTTGAAATTATCGAGGGACCACTGTATTATAGCTATAGCAAGCTTTTATTTAAAATTTTCGTCTCAATAAAGAATTGATGGTAACACAGCCAGAGTCTCTGTCTCTTCGAATAATAGGTATAGGCCTTCGGCCTTCGGCCTCGGCCAACAATACCAAAGGTGATAGAAGAGCCAGTCAAACTATGTAGAATCACGTCTTGTTAAAAAAACACACACACGCGAATATAATATGATAAAATACTAAAGCCAGGATTGAAGCCTAATATTCTTGGATCATTTTGTTTGATACCATTGCTTTCCTTTACCTTTTAGATTGTTTTTTTTTGGAGTGCTTATATAACATCAATGTTAACTATTTCTATTTCTATTTCTATTTCGACTTACAAAGCCAATTGCTACTTATTATTAAAAACAAGATCATTTTAGACATTGATCTTATTTGTCTAAATGTTCCCTGAAATAGACTCAATCTCAAATAGAAAAAGTCTATAGTAGACATCTGGTATGTTGTGATACAATAAAGTTGAGCTTATGGTTTGTTTAGTCAAATATTGATCAGCAAAAAAAAATGTCAAATTTCCATGTTTGGCAAAATTATAAGGATAAGTATAATACAGTCAGTCAGTCAGTCAGTCAGTCAGTCAGTCAGTCAGTCAGTCAGTCAGTCAGTCAGTCAGTCAGTGCTCGATTTAGTGATGTATCTAATAAAGTAAAAGATAATATCACAATCACTAAATCAAGTGCTGGCTATATAAATAACTATCAATGCATCCACCCATCTGTATTTTTTAATGTACCAACTTATTGACCAATCCACAGATCTATATAACTAACTCATGTACCATCATCCATCTTCTTTGCTATTTTCCACTCTATTCTCACGTCAGTCTATACACTCAACCTCTCACACATCTATGTATCTATGTATCCATCTATCCATCTATCATTTAATAGTGTAGTCTTGAGGTGGTCCGTGCATAATCATACATATTACTGCATAAGATTTTACTATTTTTTTTCCTATTTAGTATATAATAGATAATACCGGCAATTTTCTTTCAAACATTTTACTACTGAACTCAAGTGTTGAAAATATTGTATATATATATATATATGTGTGTGTGTGTACAAATATCATATAACAAAGATTCAGAATAGGAGTTGATCTGCAGAGGATTCCATAGATAATATTGATAGACAGGAATAAATACAGAACATACAGAGCAAAGAAACAAAAAAAAATGAAGGAATAAATGTAGTATCTCTACTATATCTAACTTTGGCTGTAATGGGTCAGGTTAATGAACCGGGCTAGAAGCAGGTTAATTGACAGACTTTAATTTTTTTTGTTTTGTTTGTCAAACTTGGTTCACACCACAGTTCGTTAAAATAGGTATATTCAACAGCTTTTCACTTTTAACTTTTATATTTCGAAAGCGATATTATTGAACAAAAGAGTATTTTATCAACATAATATTTTACACCCAAAAAAGCTGTTACAAGTCTACACCATCTATATTAAACGAACTTTTGTTATAATAGCAATAATAATCTATTTCTAGGGACAAGATGTAATTATTGGTTTTTTTGTATAGCAAGTTTACCTTTAGGGTGGTCTGGTAAAATTTAAACGTCGGGTCCCTAGTAGTACAGTATTTTTTCTTTAAATTCAGAAGGTAAGATTATAAAGACCGCTGTCTGTGGTTAAAATATGTATGAAGTGAATCCATGGATTAAATGTGTACCAATTTCCTTTTTTTTTTTTTAGGATGATGTGTATATGTAATTGATTAAGGGGTAAAAAAAGAATAAAAAAAAACAAAAGATAAAAAAAAGGAGGGCGAATCACGTGAAATGGATATGATACTCCAAGACTTTGCTACAATGAGGCGCGTCCTGGCTTCTTTTCTTACTCTTTATTCTATTTACTATGACCACTGCAGAGGTCAAGAGACCAGTGTCTGTAAAGGAGACCCAGACTGGGACACTCCCACGTATGGCCCCACTCAACGTACCCTTCTTGCGTCGGATACAGACCATGGCCTTGTTGACCTATTCACTAGAGACCACCATTCTCCTCAGTCTGTTTTCTTTTGTGTGTGCTATTCCTTTGTTCTGGCCACTGGTGATAGGATACATAATCTTCTCTATAATGGATGAATCTTCAGAAAACGGAAGCAGACGTTGGGAGTGGCTTCGCAACTTGACGGTCTGGAAACACTTTGTCGATTACTTTCCCGTTCGACTTATCAAAGTAAAGAGCACTTTATATGTATTAGTTGGTTTATATAAAGAAAATCAGGGATTTTTCTGTGTGTCTGCGTGCGTTTATTGAAGATTATTTTTTTTATTTAACATTTTTTTTTAAAAATCCTCTATTATTATGTTCATCACCATCATTATCACTATCACCATCATTATCGTTATTCAGGAGGCCGATTTGGATCCTACAAAAAATTACATCTTTGGGTAAACAAAATATTATGCGTCAAGAACTGTTTTTTTAAAGCTCCGTAACCATAACAACCATTACATTTATATTCATGTATATATAAATATATATATATATTAGATATCATCCTCATGGTATAATTGCGTTTGGAGCTGCAGCTGGGTTCATGACAGAAGGTGCCGGTATCTCCAAGCTCTTCCCTGGCATCACAGCTACTCTCCTGACACTCAGCTCAAACTTCAAGATCCCCTTCCATCGTGATTTTCTTCTCTGGATGGGCGCATGTTCCGTATCACGAAAGTCGTGCACTAATATTCTTCAGTCAAAGCCCGGTAATGCGATTGTGATTGCGGTTGGGGGTGCATCCGAGTCACTCAATGCGCGGCCTGGCGTAATCAACTTGACCCTCAAGAGGCGGCTCGGGTTTGTCAGGATTGCGGTTGAAACAGGGGCTAGACTCGTGCCTGTCCTGAGTTTCGGAGAAAACGAGATTTACAACCAATTGAATAACGAGAGTGGGTCTTCTATTCGTCATTTTCAAAAGAAGCTTCAACAGACTTTTGGCTTCACAACCCCTTTCTTTCACGGAAGAGGTGTCTTTAATTGTGAGTCTACACAATCTTCCAAAACAACGTCTTTTTTTTTCAAGACTCACATTGAAAAAAAAAATTAATTAATATCTATTAATGTATATTTGTAGATGATATTGGTCTCTTGCCACACCGTCGCCCGATAAATGTTATCAGTATGTATGAGCTGTATATGTATAATAAACTTTCACTAACCTAATATATATATATATATATATGTAAAATACCAATATTTCAGTTGGTGAGCCAATTGTTCCACCGGTCGGCATATCTGAGAAAGACAAGGAGGAGGCAGTGCGTCGCTTACATGGTCAGTACATGCAAGCCTTAAGAGATTTGTACGATAAATACAAAGATACATATGCTACCAACCGTATCAAGGATATGGAGTTTATTGAATAAATATATATACAAGCGCACAAACATATAAACATACAAAAAAAAACATACACAAACGCACACACACACACACACACACACATACAAAGTACACATGCCGGGAAAGGAGGTTATATATACATATGTGTGTGTGTGTATATGTATATGTGATATTTCATATTTTCTTGCACATTTTAATAAATCGCATTTTATCTATCACAATCCTTCCTTATTAACTCTATCCAACACTGTATCAGAAGTCTCCCAGAAAGTGATGTTTGCCTTGACCTTTCCTGCATGCTCTGAACCAGGAGCCAACAGGTTAGATAAAGCCCGTCCAGATCTGGCAAACACACGGTCCGTATCTCTTAAATGCGTACAAGGACAATAGTCGTTCTACTGAAATGTGTTAAAAAAAAAGAGAGAGCTGTACCTTACTTACAGCACCTAGACACTAACCTTTCCATCGCCAACATACATGACCTTTGAAAATGGTCCATGTGTCTCAATATATCGGGTCAATTCCATCCCTGCACAAACATTTTTGAAAATTATCAATTTGATAATCCAAGCAACCAGATAAATGCATATATATATATAATTACCTTTACAAAGATTGGCCGAACATCCCTGCGGGCAATTGTGCTGAGGACCTGAGGCTGGTGTTCTTCTGTCTATACGGAATCTTCCGTGACTATCAGTGTAGAACCTATTGGTGATAATGTCCGTAACAAGATTGCGTACATTGTAGGCCTGTATATGAAACAGAGTGAGAGAAGAATTTTAAAAAAATAATGATAGAGTAGAATTCAAGATATGTAAATGTATATGTATATATCCCTTCTTTGTATTAAATTAATGCATGTATATACTTATTTACCTCTAGGATGGTCTCAATATAGAATGTGTTTGCATCAGACACAATAAGGACGCGTGTGTTGTTAGCGTTGAGCTTCTTGAGAGTGTCAATCATAGCCGATGTCTAATTCCCACAATTTACCAGATTAACCCATAGCTATGTACATTTTGTTTTTTTTTTATTAAAAAAAAGAAAAAGAAAATTGTCTTTCTTTACCATGGGAATAGTCTTGAGTACTTTTTCAAACTGACTTTTGGTAATTCCTTGATCCTGTAGCTTACAAATAGCCTCATCCCTTGATCACAATAATAATAATCATAATCATAATCATCGTCGTTTAGGCACAGGATAAACCAATATGCCTTTAGGTACATATACATTTAATATTCTTACATGGTGTCTATACTGACTCTTCCCCTTTGTGCTAGGCATATTTCCCATTGTTCGGGCGATAGACGGCTGATAGCCCAATGGTCACTATCCTCTTCTATGAGCGACCTTTTGTGTATATACAAAATATTAGCTTTGGTTACCAGGTATTCTTATTTTGTGTCTTCTCTAGTAAACTAATTGATGGCTACCAATCAAAATCAAACACAGCAAGGTTATTTTGAACCATCAGGAAGAAGGTCAAGAAAGAAGAAAGGGAGAGAGAAGGGGAAGGGGAAGGAGAAGGAGGACACTTTAGAAACTTAATCCTATTTATTTGATTTTTTTATTTTATTTTTTATATTTTTGATGATATGGAGCATATTTGAATCACCGAACTACACCTAAATTCCATCGTATATATATATATATATTTCTTTTTTAAAAAAAAGTGAACATTTCACTCTATTGATCCAAAAAAGGTAAGCTGAACATCTGAAAACTAATTTTGATTCGTCTAGATCCAAGGTAGACTTGTACTGTAACATTAAGCCCAAGAGATGTATTGATGGCTATTGATGTGTGTGCACGTGCCTAATGCTACTGGTATCAAAGGCTACATGGTCTATTAAGTATAATGTAGTATGTTATATTATACACCATCTTTGTTAACTGTTCATCATTTATATCTTATTTTCTTTTATTATTATTATTATTAATTAATAGTAATCATACAATATTATTACTCTTCATCATCAATAACATCATCAATGCGGCTCTCTTGGGGAAGTTCATCAGAGAGGAGGTTTCTTACTACTTCAACATGTCTCCAGACCCGCAAAAAGTTCTTTCCTGCCAATCCAACCAATTCCTTGTCTGTCCATCCACGACGGATCAACTCGACAAACAAATCAGGGTATTTACTGACGTCTTCCAATCCTTCGGGTGTTCTCTCGATTCCGTCAAAATCAGCTCCTAATCCGACTCGGTGTCTTCCGGCTACTCGAGCAATGTGTTCAATATGGTCTGCTACGTCGTTGAGAGTGGCAGGGATATCGGGATTGCACTGGACAAAAGAGTTGTAAAAGTTGATCATGACAACACCGTCTGTTTCATAAAGGCGTTTCAGGACCTCATCTGGCACATTGCGTTCAATGGGACAAAGTGCATGACTGGATGAATGGGAAAACAGAACAGGGGCGCGGGTTGTGTTGAGGACGGCATGCATTGTGGCGTGGGATACATGGGAGATATCGACCATCATTCCAACTCGGTTCATCTCCAACACAATCTTCTTTCCAAACTCTGTCAACCCAAGACCCTTTTCGAAAGCTGGAGGGTTGGGATCACAGCAGGATTCGGCCCAAGGTGTGTGGCAATTATGAGTCAGCTTTTTGAAACGATTAAAAGAGCGAACATTTTATATTATATATACATTTTTTTTTCTTTGGGTTAATAAAAAAATAATAATAATAATAGGAGCAAAAGGAAAACGGGAACTGACTTACTGTCATGTATCGAATACCAAGCTTATAAAATGATCTAAGAGCTGCCATGGAGCTGTCAATCATCTGTCCACCCTCCATACCCAACATGGAGCCAATACGGCCCTTGTTGAATGCCCTCTGGAATTGTTTGCTGGACGTGACAAGCTGGAAAGTCTCGGGATACAGTGCAACCATACGCTTCGTCACATCGATAGACTCCATTGCCTTGAGAAGCTGATTATCAGCACTATCACAGTCATAATATATACTCCAGAACTGTCCTGTCAGGCGGCCCTTGCGAAGACGTTCGATATCAGTGTGTCCACTGTCGAGGTGGGTGATGTTGTAGTCATTGATTTTTCCGTATTTTTCAAAAGCAAGGATCCTTTTGTTTCATATCAAAGAGAGAGAGAAAATTAGATCAATAAGTAAGAAATAAAAGACAAAATATGTAAAAATAAATAAATTATATTACATGGGAAAATCATTGTGAGTATCGATTAATGGATGGTGGTTGAGAATACGATAGGCACGGTCAAGGTCCGTAGTCTTCTTTTTGAAGGCAGTGAATGGTTGTTGAGGACTATCGGCAGCCTGAGACCAAGGCAAGGCTAACAAAAGTGGTACAAGAGACCAGTAAACCATGACTATGTTTTTTTTTGCAAGCAAGCAAGCAAGAAAGAAAAAAAAAGAACAAAAAAAGAAGATGGCTGTATTTATTGTATTGCGGTGTTTTTATATTTGAAAAACCAGACTACTGCTTGTGTGACAAGTTCTCTCACGATACACTGTAAATTGGTCGGAAAAGTCAAGATTTGCCTCTTTCTGTAAAGAAGTTGTACGACAAGAGCAACAAAGAAAAAAAAAGAAACTATATATACTTATTTATACAAAAAGAGAGCCTTGTTGGGTTATTTTATCATTGGCCATTCAAAGCCAATCAATCGAGCAATTAAATAAATAAAAGAAAGAACAAAAAAAAAGCCATTGAAGCCTCTTGCTTCCTTTTTGTAGTAGTAATAGTAATAGTAGTAGTAGTAGCACTATTAAGAAAGGCTGATGTCAAGCAAACAGAGTCAAGCAATGAGAATTCATACGCCTGGTTCTTCTGTATTGGCGTTGGTGTTAAAGCGTTAAAGACACATTTATCGCTCCCGAGAATATTTAAACTTTTATCAAAAGAAAAATATAGTGCCCCAAAAATAATGTACATATTACTAAATAGCAAAGCCTTACTGAATTCGCTTTATTTTGTATTATACTTTCTCTGCCTAAAAAAACAAAACAAAAAAAAACTAACACTACGGGAAATGAGTGGTGATTCCGATGGTTATTTTGAAAAGTTTCTTGGACATATTTCAAAATGGACTTTGGAATCACCACTCATTTTCCGTAGTGTAAAAAAAAAGTAGAATCTCTAGCTATATCTATGTGCATGTCTATTTATTTATCTTGGTATTATTGACATGAGGAATGATACTTATGGTGAATATTTAGTTGTACATAAGAGTAAAGAGCAGCAAAATAAGGCCGGTAAGCTATAAATAATATCCTAAAGCTAAGTCATGTAATAATCTGTTCAGATTTTTATGTTATTAAAATAAAGGATGAGCGAAATAAACGCCATTTGAGTAATTATATCGAGGGTGAAATATGAGACAGCACCACTTTGAGGTATTTAAACCTTTATGTCAGGCACATCTAAACATCCAATTCTTACGGCCCAGTGTGGACTGTGTACTAGATTATCTATAGAGCTTTAACGTCTTGTCGAGTTATAGGTGGGGAGGAAGTGATACCCTATAGAAAAAAAATAGGCGATTTTAGTGAATTGTTGCAAGTTTTCCGGGGTTTAAAGTGTCTTATGTTGAGTTTTAATTAAGCACCAATTTCTCTCTTGCTCTCTTTTATATTCTACTTTTTTTTTACCCCACCATGTTTTTTGCAGTCAAAGCAAAACATCTTTTTCTTAGCTTTTTCAACCCATTACAAAACTAAATACCAAGTTATTCAAATCTAATGGCTTACAAGCGGTAGCTTGGGTGGGTCCTAGGCGGTAACCAGGACAAAAATTTCTATCTTCTTTGAATTCTAGTCAGTCTTTGTCTCAAACGACGACCCTCCTGGAGATCTTCTTCTGCTTGTCTTCTGATACATCCAATCCGAGTAACGCGGGTGAACCTTACAGGTATAATCCCATCATACCTCAAATTTTTAAGTATATTTCGGAAGTTCAGGACGGCAGCAAGATCCCGATTCCACAAACGATGCATAACCTCTGACCCGTCCATGTTCTCCAAACAATTTAGATTGGTACATCTAAAAAAGGACTTGTTTCTGTTTTTTTTTCACAAGGGCTAGAATTATTAAATGTCTTTAAAAGAATCATACTTAATAGCTATCAAGGCTAGTATTAATAAAATACGAATCAGCAAAGTTGACAAAAGAAAGTAACTTGAGAAGAATCGACAGAAAAATATCTGCGTCAAGTACAATTCGGTTGTCAAGATTGCTCGCATGCTCATTAGAAATCTCGGTAGATTTAGAAAATTTCAAGGAATCTGTCTTCTTGTTTTTCAAAAGTAGGAATGAGACATGACAATGTTAACACAAAGCAGGTTTATACTCTTTGATAAAAAGAATCAATTAAGCAATATACATACCTTCATCAATATCATAGTACTTAGAGAATAACCTTTTTTTTTAAGATAAAAAATGTAAAAAGTATTACATAGAAATAGATATATGTATATTATTATTTAGTAACTTTATAGCTTAAAAATGGTCTTCTCCAGCATACGGGCCAAATTATTTAAGAATGGAAAAAAGTGAATAATTGCAAATTTAGCTATTAAATTACTTTATGTAGTAGGTTTTATGATATAATTTTCACTTTGTTCTAAAAACGTAATTTGGCTCTGAACATTTGCCGGCCTCAAAAGGGCTTGCTAAATAAAATCCAAATGTCCCAAAGAAGATTTGCCGTTATTTTAGAGATACTTTCAACATCAGATGCAGTCTACTAAAGACCTTATTTCAATTATTTAATTCTTCCAATGTTATAACCGCCTTTACCCATTATCTTATATCTGTAGAATTTATAAAATGTAACTTTTACAGGACAGTTTAGTAGTAACCTTTGCTTTTTACATTTTGGAAAAATTGACGGCTTTCTGGGTTTATACTTCTATATTTGGATTGAAAAGCCAATCTACTTGGGATAATTTGGCTCGTATGCTGGAGAAGACCATAAATATCATAGTTGACCAATATGTCCACATCAATTTGATGAGAGCAAAAGGTCTTTCGTTCTTGAGAGCCGCCAGAAAAGACAACGATGGGAAGATTCTCTACCAAGAATATAGGGTTAAATACTACAAACCCAAGTTGGCAGATGAGTAGAAGAAGGGTCAAAACTTACTAATAACAGTATAGTTGTCTAATAATCCAAATCTCAATCCCATGCAGAAAAATTAAAAGATTATTATTTTCTTTAATAAATTTAATCTTTCTTGCTATTCCTTTAATATATATATAAATTACTATGATTATAGACATGAGTTGTTAACCGAAAGTAAGGAAACAAGAATAAGAAAATTAAAGAGGTTGTACTTTTAATCTGTCAGAATCGAATATGTGTAAATGGTAACTATAATATCTACTATGTATGGGCTTGATCAGTTTATTACAAAAAATATGTGTGTCCGAATGAATTTATGTGTGTCCGAGTGAATTTATGTGTGTGTAGGTAGATTTATGTGTGCGTGCGTAGATTTTGTGCGCCAGACGTGGCACAGCGGAGGTACAAATATTAAGAGAGGCAAATTGAATAGTAAGAAAAAGAAAGTCGTTATCGATTGATATATATATATAAACATATTATTCTACCTCTTTAATAAATAGCACTCTCACAGTATATACTCTTTCTAATATTGAGATACTATACTAAAGCCAATTCCGAACACCTCGTATATTATTTTAACTTTTTTTAATAAATAACACACTCACAGTACTTATTTTTTCTAATATTGAGATACTAACCCAAAATCAATCACAAATACCTCAATTGCATTGCAGTATAATATTTAAATACAATTATGACTAGAATAAGAGGGTCAATTACTTGTTATCAAATAATAATAAAAAATCAAAGACTAATTGAAAACTCGTAAAAAAGCAAAAAGAAAATAAAATAAAAAAAATAAAATAATTAATTTGAATTTCAAATGTCAAGTATTTCTGGCAGATTGCAGGGCATTTTTGGAACTCAAACGGTCTAAGCCTTTTTTAGTAATTTAAAAACACCTGGGAGCGTGGCATTTTTGTGAGGCTAGCAGTTTTCCTACACAAAAAAAAATGCGACGGTGTTTCAATATTTTGTTTCTCCTAATGTCGTATAATCAAAAAAGCAAAATTTTTACACTTCGGACTTAACAGCTTACTTTAGAAAATATTTTACTAAACGGCCAATTTTTTATGTGCTACAAGTAAAGTAGCAAAAAAAATGTCGGAAAGTGAAAACTAAAGAATGGGATTTCACATATAATATTGCACTTTGTGTGTGTGTGTGAGTTTTTTTTTTAAAAAAAAAATAAATCATTTTGACTTTGTTTTGTAATATCTATGATTTAGAGCTCTAGTTATCTTTTTAAAAAGCAATCGAATCTTTCATGATACTGTTTTTTTCTATCAAGCATGATCTAATTTCTCAATCAAATTAGCAGTAGAGAAAGATCAAGCCATTCAGAGTCGCTTGAATTTGTATATCTATGTACATATATACTCTAATTCAATCATACAGCTTGAAATCTTGCCTTTTTTCTATCTTTGATTTATCTTTTTAGATCTATCGGTACTAAATGGGTGTATTTCTAGTTTAAGCATAAGACTTATCGTCCCTCATCTTCTTGACATGGTAGATAAATTGTCCCAATGATTGGTTCCATGGAATGAAGCCATGTACCACATAAATCACTCATGTTTATATTCCTATATGATATGGAAGATATATGTCTTAAAGCAACAGTTATCTTTGCTAGATAAAAACTGGTTATCTAATCAATTTGTTCCCAAGGTTATCCTGTCTATTTCATTTTTTTTAAATGTCAGTATTATCGTATAAAGCATTTTGTATGAAGTTTTTTTTTTTTACACAGCAGGAGAATTAAGGCGCTGTATCTAAAGAAGCCTTAATAATATTCTCCTGAATTGTGTCTGGTACTAACTATCGAAAAAGTAACAATAATCAAATAATGTGCAAAAAACCTGTGAGAAATCTAAAATGGTTCCGAGGTCAGGTACACCTGGGTTCAGGCAGTAACCCACCCACGGAGCACAGGTTTCCGCGGTTTAAACAAAACACATGTCATATCATCAAATTACTAAATTTAGGTGTGAATGATAAGAAATTCAAGCAAAGGCCTAGCTCTCATTATCTGGCAGCTCGACCTAGATATCCTAAAAGTTATTGACAGTCTGGATCTGATGCCTAATTACCCTATGGGCTTCAGTAACTGTTATATAGAAATAGGAAATATATATAGAGAGAGAAAGTTTTCATTGTTTTTCCCTTGCTAATAATAAAAAAATGTCTATTTATGGATACATTTGTTTAAATTAGACATCATAAAAGTCAGAAATCATATAAAAAGGACAATTCAAATCATATCTGCTTGACTTTATACACTCTTCTATCAATTCACTTCAACTCAAATTATCATACAATGGATCCCGGATACTCTCTTCTCCAGCACATCAAGACCATTCCCAACCTCATCAATGAAGACCCTAGTATGGTGACTCCCGAGAACACTTCTTTCAAGGACGTGCCCTGGTGTGACCTTGCCTACCTTTCAAACCAGAGATCTTTCCTCAACAAGAGTGCCTTCCCAAGTGCTAGCTCAAGTGATTCCTCTGTTCTGGATGAACCAAGCGAGAACTAAACCCGTCCAATCCATTCAGAAACCAAGCCTCGAGCATAACAGCATTATCTTTACCTTTTTTTTTTAAAAAAAAAAGTTATCAACATTTCAAACATACACATTTCTATATCAAAGATCTCAATTCTTTTATTCAGCATTCATACCAACTTTTTCTTTATTATTTTCTCCTGTCATTTCAATTCAATAAACATATATAAAAAATACATATTTTGCACTATAATTTCTTTATTACAGAATGCGTTGATCTTTTGTGTATATGTGTACTCTCGGAAAACGGTACAAAAATATCTCTATAGCTTATAAATAAAGTCAACTCAAAACCAATAAAAACCCAGGAAAGACAAAGCTTGTGTGCAACATAACGTGGGAAATCCAAATAAATTAAATGTCAATTTAATTCCTTCCACATGTAAAGACGGGAAAAAAAAGAAATAAAACTTTTTATTTGAATAAAGCTAAGAATTTTTTTTTACATGATGAACTTGGTCTCTAATGGTTGGGTTTGGGATAAAGAGAAGCAAAGAAAGTATATTAATAGGAAAAAAAAGAAAGAGATGATGGTAAGCAAGATACGCACGTATAAATATATATATATATATATATAAAAGGGTAGATAAGTAAAAGAAGTAAAAGGAAGGAATCTAAAGTGTTTGGTTGATAGATCTAGAAACATAGATAAAGCACAAAGAATCAGAGTCAGATTTACTGTAGCTTAAAAGCCCTTTTCTATAAGTCACTATATTCATTTTTATTTTATTTACCTGTAAACATTCTCGAAAAGGCGTTCGATATCTGGAGAACAGCGGATAAAGTCATGATTCCAGAAATCAGGATCCTTAATCAACTCCATGAACGAAGCCAAGAGTCCCCATGGGTGAGGTCGATTTACAATCAATCGTTCCAGTAATACCCTTGAGTACAGAGCCGAGTGTCAGAACAAGCCAAATATTCAGCCAAATATGCCATAAAATGATGTAGATCTTAAACAGCTCTTACCTAGTAATCTGCTCTTTCACAGATTCCGATTGATCATCAAACAAGAAAAGTAGCGCTTTGCTAAAGAAGTGGGTGTGGCTGTTGGGGTAGCGTAAATGATCAGCAATATCATTGATTAAAATATAACGTCCTAAATATATACATATATATGTATTTGTCGATACAATTCATATTAGTTAATTCACCACTATTCATTTGTTTCTTTGTTTCTTTCATTCTTTACCTTCCGATTCAAAGTTGGCTAAAAGATATTTAAAGACACCGACGGCTACATTATCTTCCATCGATACCTTCGGCTCGGGATTTTCAGCCACCTTGGATCCGATGTAGAGCACAAATGCTGCTAATATCTCCAGGTGAGTTTCCGAGTCTTTAGTATCATTCTTCAGATGATCCAGGGCCCGCTTCAAAAACGCCTTGTCTTTCCCCTTCCCTTGCACATATTGATCAATGTCATCTTTGAATCCTTTCTCTTGCAGCACTCGAGCGTAGCCCGTATCCAGCACTGGCGGCTCTTTGTACTCTGGTAGACCATCGGATTGAGAATCTGGCTTGAACGGATCCGGTAGAAGCATGGCTTTTGGGAAAGCACTCAAGACCAGATTACGCATTTGGATACACGAGTGAGGAATGGCTTGAGAAAACACCATGTAATTGTTGCAGAAAAACTCAGGAAAATCGTGAAGTAACACCACAAGCACGCGCAAAGTGCCTTGATAAAATGTTTTTGTAGAACTTGGCAAAGACCGCTTCTCGAGCAAAGGACGCAAAAATCTCAAAAGAGACAAGATCAGTTTCTGACACATAATAGACCCTTTGCTGTCATTTACAACCATCAGTTGTGGTAAAAGGTTACGATGAGAGATAAGCTGGAGCCAAGAGTATGCAAATCCAGGGAAGTTCATAGGTTGCAATGTATAGAGAGTGTTGCTGTAATCCAGAATAAAGAATACAAATCAAATGAATAAAATGAACACTTGTACACAAAATAAAATAAAAAAAAAACAAAGAAATGGATATTTACCTGAATACAATAATCATACCAGACTCAACTGACTTGATCCCGATTTTGCTGATCTCTGAAAACATAGAAGACAAAAGGCGCAAAAATGGCTTCTGGTAAAAGTTTGTTCCTCTGGTTTGATGATGATTGGCAAGGACAAGAATGACAATGGACAAGGTGTCGCTCAGATGTTTAATCTTGGCCTTGTCATCCTTACTAGGCTCCACCATAATGGTGTATCTAACTAGTTTTGAGAACGAGTCAATTGTAACCCCAACCCGTCTTTGATGGGAAGTATTGTTGGGACTGAACATAAGAGATTGATTGACACATGTTTCTGTACACAATCTAAAGAAAAAACATCTTCCTTCTTCATCTTGAGTAGCTTGAAGCACCTAGACAACCCACAATAACGATCAGTAAGTAAACCAGAGAATAAAATAATAAAAGTTCTTTTTCTTTATTGTTCTTTTTATTACCTTTTTAGCAAGTGTACGGTAAATCCCTTCTGTAGCCATAGGGTGCTGGCACAGACGTACCCACTCAGCAAGCAAGATACGCATCTCCAAACAGTCAAGATTAGGACTGATTTCTGTGTACGGATGACTGATTTGCTGTTTTAGGTCTTGCATAAGAGCCACAACACTATTAGTTAATTGGTTAATTGGTTAATTGGTTAATTCATTGACAAATAATGTTCTATCCAGGATCAATTATTTCTTTATTTTTAAAAGGAAAACGAGACCTATTATATATTACCTCTCCGGGACGTCCTTTTCGTTCTTGGCAAGTTCATTCAATGATGCGACAGTGAGAATATGGTCTTCCAGCAATGTGGTCGGGTTGTTGAACAAACAAAGACGAATGAGATGAACCGAGAACTCAATGATTGTGTTATTTTTGATATCAATTTTCTTGGCCAATTGGACATCGTACTCTTCAAGTGGAAGTAGTTCATGGCAAATTAGCATTGCAATCACAGGTGCATTGTACTTTCGATCGTCGTTGCTGTATATAATCCATGCTAATGTTTCTTTGGCCGCATCTCCCGATAGCTCAAATAGAGATTGTAAAAAGACAGTGTATATCTCGAGTGCGAAAGGAGTTGTGCTCTGATAGAGAACAAAAACCAACTTTTCGACAAAAGATAACATAGTCTTCAATGGAGTAACGCTTTGGGTGATCAACAACGGAATTTGCCGAATTAACAAGCAAATATCATGATTTGGCGGTAGTTGAGCACAGCTCGGGATACTACACTCTCGAACCAGCCGATCAAGTTCTAGCAACACTTGCTAGAGAAATTATATACAGGTGAGTAAATATTCGTTTGGTTTGGAAAATAATCGTATCCTCTCTTTTTCAAACATCATCCAAAATACATAAATCAATACATGATTCAACTTTACCTCTAGCTTTTCAGCGAATCCATCCTGGTTAGGATCCACTAAAGGCTGGCCAGTATCCCCTTGAGACTCTGATAGGGGAGTATTGTATGTTTAACAAGAGTTCTCTCCTTCCCTTTAAACAATAACCTCCATACTTTGGTTCCATACCTGGTCCAACATAACCGATATAAGACGGTTCGCCTGTATACATGTTGTGGAATGATTCATATACATTCATCTTTGGTTTATATGTATATACAAGGCTTATTGAGTAACTTTTTTTAAAGAAAAGTATTACTATTCTATAATATTCTATTTTCTTACTTGTTGAGGGTTTATGCTCCCAATAGGACGTAACAGTTCAGGAAGTTGAATATCGTGAGGAGATCCATGTAAGCTCAAGCTATCAAAGTAAGGAGCCGGGTTACGTTGCTTTGTGAAGCAAAACGAAAATAAATAAATAAATTAGTTATCTAAACATCCAGAAGCCTAAAATACATACATCCCGATAGCCAATACGGTTAAAATAGGCAGGTGAAAGGGCCCGGTCTACACTAACTGTGGCTCTAGCTCGAGCAATATGTTCGACAAACAAACAAGCGGTATCAATATTGTCTGATGTTACTAATGTGGCTATCTCTTCTGAAAGATTCTGTGTGCAAATGAAAACAAAAATTAATTAATAAATTCTAAAAAAAATACGTAGATAAATGTAGACTTACTTCAAGGAACCCAACTTGCATGAGATGTATCCGAATAAAAGCCAGCATATTTTTATATAGAGGCTCTTTACAAGTGATCATAGCTAGATTAGCAGCCAAAGGTTGGACCATAGCATGTGCTGCTTGTCTGACTTTTATTTCGTTTGGATCAGTAGCAAAGTCTTTGAGAACAAGTTCTTTAGTAGATGCCACAGCTATGTTGGAGGATGTATCAATAATGGGAGGAACAATCTTTGGTGTTTTTATTAGAAAAATTATTAGCATGCATTTTAAAAATCAACCCAATTGAAACCAATAATAATATCAGCAAATGCTATAAAATATTGCATTTCTCTTATATATTTATCAAAACCTACTTCTTCAAACGCTTCTGAAATTGCACGGTAGACTGCAGTCTTTGCCACTGGCTGTTGGAGCATGAAATGGGCAATCCCAGGCGTAAAATTAAGTTTCGACAATAGAGCTGTAATATCAAAATCTGGAACACTATCTGACACTAATAGCACAGGTAATTCGCATTAATTGAACTATTTTTTTTATTTATTTTTTATTTTTAAAAAAAAGAATATATTTACCAGTTTCAGGACTGCCTGGATTAACAATTTGTTCAGGTTCGATTTTTGGTGGTCGTCTCTTGTCAGTATCAACATCAATTCCAGGCGGGGACCTTTTCGACAGTTCAGATGATGGTTCAATCTCTATTAAACATATTGATATTTCTAGTGTTAAAACACGAACATAATGCCCCCAAAGTTTTCTCCTTCTTTTTGAATAGTTTACTTACTCTTCAAATCAATATCCAATGCTTTGAATAAAAGCTCAATCTCAAACTTCATGTTTAACTTCAGATTATCAGTCCAATATAATTCTGCTAATAGCTTAAGAATACTCATAAGCCATGGGTTAGGTGGTTTGAAGACCTTATTATCAGCAGTGTGCTGAAGTATTTTGCAAACCAGCGGAATAGCTACAATAGACCGATCCTTATAATATGCATCTAAAAGCAGACCCTAGAAGAAAAAGAAGATACAAAACAACAACAAAAATAGGCAGAGAAATAGAAGTCTTATTAATTAAATTTATAAAGGTATATTTAAGAAATAAGATCCTTACTTTGAATGACAGGTCCTTGTGTCGAATAGGCCTATTGCGAGCTAATGTCATACGACCCAACCAACTTCCCAGATTCTTCAACATGTCTCTATTGGTAGTCTCGATATTATTATCAGACTGAATCAATATCCTGATGTTGTCGAATGTTTCTTCGACCACATTATCGATCAGAGAGGACTTTTGAAGAGACTTTAGCAGAGTAGCATAGAGCTCATGATTGTTAGGCTCAATAGTGACACGTCGGACTACAAGATAGTGACTGAACCATCCCCAAGTTGGTTCCTGCAACAATTGCTCCAATTCGGTCTTTTTACTCTCAAGATTACTGATCGAAAGATTATTAATCAAAAAAGAGACACGCTCTTGGACCTTGAGAGGTGGATCCTGATAGTTTTTGTTGGGCGCACGTTGAAGTAGTGTACCAACATTTGGGGCTAATTCATCATCCTCTCTTCTGGCTACAGCAGAAGCTCTGTGATCGGGCTGTTCGATTTTGGGCTCCTTTGATGAAGCATTGGTGGCCGAGACATCGGCATCTTGTAGAGACATTTTTTGAAGAGTATCTGCAACATTGTCAGTGAGGGCGGGGTAATCGCTTAAGCCGCCGATACGAGATAACAAGAAGGTGTACTGGGGCCATTCAGAAAGACGACCTTGGAATTGAGCAAGTGCCTGAGCACCAAAATTGAACATTTTGGACCCAGGAGGGTAGTTAAGGGCATCAAGAACGAGTTTGAGAGCCACACGCAAACGATCGAATGAGATTGAGCGTTGGTCAATTAAGAGCCCCAATAATTCTCCAGTAGCCATCAATTCATTTTCAGGATACTGATTAAAGAAGCGAGCTTCGTCTAACTACAAGTAAAGCGGGTAATATTATATAAATATTAGTTGCTAATTGAGTATCCATGTAATTCCCTTAAAAGAAATAAGAATCAGTAAATTGCTTACAAGGGTGTGCAAAGTACACAAAAAGAAATCGACTTGGCGTTGTTCTTTGGAGTCTTGACAATTTTTGAGAGCGATAGCAAAACTGCTGGGACTAATAGCATTTGTATAGAGTTTTTCAAAATAGCCCCGGACCGCTTCCTCGACATCACGCGAGTATGATCTCTCAGTTTCTGTAACCTCCTCTGGATCTTTTTTATGATTTGGGTGACTTTCGCTCAATTGAGGGTATAATTGAGTGTATACCTGAATCAGCTTACTGACTTTCAAAGAATCTGTAGGAGAAAGAGGTCTAATAAACACATAGATAGAAATAATCGTATAAGTAAATATCAAATTATAGCGATAATGATAATCGAAACTCCTCGATTTAGAATATGTTACTTTTCTGATAAGACACGGAAGAATGTCTTGATAACTTCGCTTGACAGTTGAAGAGTACGGACAGAATTTGCACCAGAGCGTCGTGACACCTCGATTGTATATTTTGCCTCCAAGAAATTTATACACGCTACAATAAACATCATCCCATCTTCAGAAATCCTTTCGTTCAACCATTTCTCCATGTTAAGGTGCTGTCTTCTTGCTGCAAGTGAGGCCATATCAAGTGTGAAAAAAGGCATATCTGCCCTGAGAACATGTGCGAGAATCTGATTCCCCCACCAAAAAGTAAGCTAGTTAGCTTCATTTTGTACCTACAGTACATTTCCTTTACCTTTGCTTCCTGAGATAAATCAAGGATACGTGATATCGAAGTCGGATCATTTTTGTACATATCCAGAAACCCTCCCAGTAACAAAGTTGAATGAATATTCCACAATAGCATTACTACCAACACTGAATTTGTATGTCCAATCACAAATATGCTGAATAACCTCAACAAGAGATCACGATGTAATTCATTCTTGATTGGCTATATATTTTTTTCGTGTCAGTGATTATCCAATTGAATATTATCCTCAAACAACAACCATGCCACATCACTTTATTCCAGAAATACTACCCCCCCTCCCCCCTCCATCTCTCTCTCTCTCTCTCATCCTCGCACACTCACACACACATACACATTTATACATAGTAGACCCCCCTTACCTGTATCTGTGCCAATCCCAATAAAAGCAGTTCAGGTACATGGCGTACCAACTGATCCATAAGAAGTTTAACATCTTCTATCACAGAAGTATCGGTGATCTTAATGACTGCTTCAACAAGATCTAGGCAATTTAGCTGTTGAGATGCCAAATGAAGTAAGCTAGCACGCACACTCATAGGAAGTGCCTGAATGTGTACATCTCTGATGATTTTCCTCAGAGGTAGCCGCGAAAGGTCAAGTACATCAGGCGAGCCATATATCATTTGGTACAAGACGCTCAAATGCCCCCGTACGTTTCTCCAGGGTTGCATAAATACATAGGCAGGAAATGATAGATGAGTATCCTAAAAAATAAAGATAAATAACAGTATAATAAAGCACACACATATATATATTTAGAGTATAATAATACCTTTTGGCTATAGTTCCATGCATCTACTAATATCTTGAGACCAGTAGAGTCAAAAACATAGAAATCTGGAATATCAAGTCCATACATCACTGCTGTCCAGTCTAAGGCAGGTTCCTGAGATTTTAATTATTGTCGTTGAGTCATCATGAAGTTGTAAAAAAAAGTACTTTATGGTCTAGTCCTTAAAAAAAGAACCTTTCCTTTTTGTGCATAGGTGTGTTTATTTACCTTCTTTTTTACTGCAGCAACAAAGTTCTCAATATTCCAGGTAGTGGCATCTGAGGTTGGGGTTAAGCTGTTGTGGGTACCGACCATCATCGTCAGGACGCGTGCAATTGCCATGGGATTCAGCTCTCGATTTTCCATGACCCGCATGGCATTTTCCAGTGTGCTGCAAGATGGATATCCCAACTCACGAAAGATATTACTCAAACCAAATACATCGACAGGTCTTGACATTGAATTACTGTTGTATAGGTCGATGAGGTCAATATCTCCAATTAATTCAACTATTATAGGATGAGATTTACCAGATGCGATTATTTTTTTTCTAAATTATCCAGTTAGTTAGCCAAGTCTTCTATTTTTGTTTGATTATTATTTGCTTTATATTTATATTTATATTTATATTTTTGCCTTTAAAACTTACTTGTTTCTGGGTAATAAGAGAACGTAGCAGTATTGAGTGTTAAAGAAAGATTTAAGCACTTTGGATTCTGGGGCCTATTGATTTCATCGAGCGCAGTAAGAAAAAAAAACGAAAAAGAAAAAAAATTACAAGTCAGGAAAGAGGAATATATATAAGACAATAGAAAGACTTACTATATAAACATTCGTTAAAAAAGACTGATATAATGAATATACAAAAATCCACACACACACAAACACACAAACGCACAAACAAAGACACGTACACCGGTATGTATATTAATGGTTGAGGCAATGTTCTATATTAAACATTTCGCTGTGGCATTAGCCTAAAATTTATCATAAGCTTGAACTTGATTCGAAAGTGTTTCAATTACATATGCCAAACAAAGATGATGTGACGTAAGGTTACTACCTCCACTTCATACTCTCCTTGTTCTTTCTTGATTTCCTCAGTCTTACTCTTCTTAAGCTATAATTAATGTGGATATTATTTTGTTTATTGGCACAAGACCGTCAAACTCCTCACACAGGTATTAAATCATGTTGAAAGAAAAAAAGAGTATGAAAAGAATATAAAAGATCAAAGAGTGGAGAAATAAGTAAGAAATAAATGTACCGTTGGCAGTTCTGGAAAGACTATTGATTATAGTAATCCATCCCATTAAACACTAGAGTAATTTTTATAAGATATATATATATAAGCCTACTTTGTTCGTTAGAGACCCTGTGAGATTGGTTTTAATAAAAGTAATACAAAGTCTCAAAGTCTCTAATCGACCAAGAAAATTATAATCCACGCGGAGCCTTTTGAAATCGTATCACATCTGTAGTTGTACGCACACAGAGAAGACAACAGAACCATAAGCACTGTGTTTATTTATTTTTGTTTTATTTATTTATTCTTAAGTTGTTTATGAATTATTCAAGTAAATTTGTTGGTGCATCTTGAGAGCTAATGGTTGCCAATCGATGAGTCAATTCGGAAACAACCTTTGACCTATTTTTCTGTGCTGCTGCCCGATAAACAGCAACTTGTGACTGAAGAGTTTCGACAGAATGTTGAAGAAAAGGCATCATGATACGAGTGTGAGAAATTGTAATGACCTGGCGAGCACGTTCAAACACAGGGCGATCGACACTTTCGATAGTTTGTCTTATTGTCTCATATTCCTGCTTGGCAATCTCGACAAAGGGACTAATGAGATGGCGTTGGACTGGTTCAGGAAGGCGTTCGACATATGTATTCGAATGAGTGGATATTGTGGGCCAGAGCGATTCAGCTTGTTCAATAAGCCAAACAGGACTTGGGCGAGTAGGCTCAGTTGCTCCAGAGTCAGAAAAGTTGTGAGCCAATCGATCAGTCAGAGAGTTTGCAAGGTGGTAAAATCTCATGGCTTGACGGAGATGTTCAGGGGGTTCTTCTGTGCGCAATACAATAGTAGGAGATTTCCTCGGTCTCGGTCGTTGGTCTTGCGGCAGATAACGATCTAATGTAGCCTCAAATCGATCAACAGCATTTTCGAGCCGTCTATTTACATTTCTAGAAGCTGCTTTAGCAGGAGCTTTGATACGGCTGACTGCTTGATCGAGCTGGTCTTTGAGTTCAAGTGAGATGGTTTGAGGGTGAACAGCGTGGGCAATTGCCTCGGTAGGTGCATTAACCAAAGGAAACCGGTCAGACACAATATCAAGCGAACGATGGCCGATTGTATTCACTAGAGCCAAAGGACTTTTCAAACACCTGTTTTCCAATAAAGGGATCATTGTTTGTAGAGTGTTTTCGGCTTGCTTAAGTGCTACTCTTCCAAGCATGTGTTGGCTCAACATTTGCTGTGTTCCAATAAGACTATCTTGGATGATTGGAATTGACACCAGCCGGTGCATAAAACTCCAAGGACTACTCTCCCGATGACTGTTATCACAGTATTGAGGTGCAAGGAAATCATCATCATCCACATTGGAGTTTAGATGATGGAACTCTTTTGTGTTTTCTTGTTCGACATAATACGCACTGTCACCACCAATACTGCTGTCACTTTTAACGCTTTCACCACTATGACTTTGATTGTCCTCTTCTATGTATATATATATGTGTGTTAATACATATCTACATATAACCTATATGTACCTAACGGAGTATAATAGCCATATGATTGAGTTGTCATGCTTGTTCAAGGAGATTAGGAAAGGAGAAAAGAAAGATAGAACAACGAACTTTGCATCTTCTTGCAAAGATATACACCACAAGAAATTAAAAAAGGGGAACATTCGTACACGCCCACAACAATGAGAGAGGGTAGGGGGGCGATCTATATACGATTTAGGTACTTAGCCAATGTAAATAACCAACATCCATGCTTCAAGTATGACAGTATCTGAAAGATCATCATCTGTTTTACCTTGTTTTCAAAGTCACCACAACAACCTCACTTGATTTTGGATGTGTCTAGATGCACTTGAACAACCACACCCTGAATCTTAATGATAAAAATGGAGTGTTTGTCTTTAGACTGAATATTCGTAGTCTCACGCAATAAAGCCATATGCAGCAACAGGACACACCTAACACCCTGCTACTTATAGGTCTTTAGAGTAATATGCATCTCCTGTTTGAATAAAGCAAGTTTTATTGGCCCTCTAAATCTAGCCACGTGGATAGAGGTTTTGTGCTCTGTTGCTGCGGTTATAATTGTGTATTGTGATACGGAGTTCGAACAGATCGACATCTTCACAAAGCGACTTTGTTTTTTTGTCTTGTTTTCTACTCTCATTTGTCTTCGTCTTCATCAAGGATGGATCCCTCGCCTACAGCCAATGCCACGTCTAATGAGACACCAAAAAATAATAGATCACACCATCGCCGTCGTCGACCAAAGCCAAAGCAAGATCCCGAAGACAATTCCACCAAAGACCAACCCGAGCGCATTCCACGACCACGTCAGCGCGCCCCGAAAAAGAAACCCAAGACTCCCGCCGAGACGAACCCAACCGAAACCTCAACTTCCAAAGCAACCGAGGTTGAAACAAAGTCTTCTGAACACACCGATGAGGATGAAGAGGAACTGTGTTTTATTTGTACTGAGCCTATTGTAACATACGCAGTATCAGCCTGTGACCATCGAACGTGTCATTTGTGCGCAGTGCGTTTGAGAGCGCTTTACAAGATGCGACAGTGTGCTTACTGCAAGGTTTGTTTAATAATAATAATAATAATATATATATATATATTCAATCGTATTTGGTTAAAAAAATTAAAAGAATATACTAATAAACAAAAATATTACACCAATATCTTTTTAGGCAGAACAAAAGACTGTTATTTTTACCAAAGATCCAGAAAAACCCTTTGAAGCTTACACTCGCGAAGACACACCATTCTTTGATAAGAAACTAGGAGGACGCTTTGAAGACCAGCAAACTTATCAAGATACGTCGCTTTTACTACAATACAACTGCCCTGAGCCCGACTGTAAGGTTGCCTGCGAGAATGGATGGGGAGAGCTTAAGAAGCATGTCAAGAAAGCACACGAATTGCAGTTATGGTATGGATATATATATATATATAAGCAGATAAATAACAAGAGACTAATACAAAAAGTGTCATTGTAGTGATCTTTGCACGCGGAACAAAAAAATTTTCTCGCATGAACACACTCTCTATACATATTCTCAACTCCAAAAACATCACAAACAAGGTGACAAGGGTCTTGCCAAAGATGATGATACTGGATTCAAGGGGCATCCTGAATGCTACTTCTGCAGAACCAGTTTCTATGACAATGATGAACTGTATACACATTGTCGCGATAAGCATGAGCAATGTCATTTGTGCGTTCGTCGTGGTGTTCAACATGAATATTTTGCAAATTACGATAGTATGGTAAGCGAAAGGAAATATTGATATATTTAGCGATGATACTGATATTAGGTGTAGGAAAAACATTTTAAGAAAGAGCATTACATATGCCAGTACCGTGAGTGTCTTGACAAAAAATTTGTTGTATTTGAAAGTGATATTGACCTTAAGGCTCATGAGGTAAGTCTCGGTTTATGTTTACAGTACGTCAAATACAACATTGGCCCCACTGATTGACACTTACTTAAATTAGGTGGAAGAGCATGGTGCTTCAGTGGCTCACTTGCCACGCGCTAAGCAAATTGAAGCAAGACGCGTGGATGTTGATTTCGATTATGGATCGAATTCATCTGGATCACGCCAAGATAGACAACCAAGAGAGCGTGCTCAGCGTAACCAGCGACCTCAAACTGAAGTACTTGCACCTCCTTCATTAACCGATTTCCCAAGTATTAGTGGACTTGCTCAAGCTTTACCTAGTATAGATGGGTCTCATCGTCAGACAGGAAGTGGTAAACAGCGGATGACCCAACGCTCAGCTGGATTTAGAAACCTCGCGGGAGAAAGCAATTGGCCCACTTTGGGAGAGAGTAGTACTTCATCTGCGGCAACACCTACTGCGGAAGTTGAGAAACCTAACATGGGCCATGTTTCAAGCCAAGCTGCATTTTTGGATAAAGTAGGTCACATGCTGAGAAGTATGGATAAGGTTGTTCGATTCAAGCAGTTGACCGCAGCATACCGTAATTCAAACATGGACGCAGACAGCTTTGTGAGCGAGATCCGCGAGTTGTGTGACGACCCTAAACACTGCAAAACAATCTTCAGTAGTCTAGAAGAGTTCTTAGACAGTGAAGAGAAGCGGAGGGAAGTCGCACGCGCGTGGCGTAATCGTAACGGTGCTGATGATGTAAGTTTTGTATTGTCAAATGATATAATGGTTCTAATATTTTTACAACTCAAGAACACACCAAAGTTTCAGGGATCTGTATCTTCAAGCAATAACAGCGAATCATCTTCGCGTGTTCTTGTGATCAAATCGGCAAACACGCGTGTAGGTGGGACGCGCACAACAAAGTCGCGCACGGGTGTTTGGAACCGTGTTGCACATGCAGCAGAAAACACAGAACAATCGTTTCCTGCCTTGAACCTGCCCACTCTTCCTAATGGGCAGTCCAAGACAGCATGGGCAAACCAGTCGCAAACAACAGAAGAATCCTCAAATAGTTTCCCAGCGCTTTCTCAACCAAAGAACCATTTCCCAACCTTACCAACTAGTTCTCGGCGATCGCTAGGAAATAGCCTGCGGCCATATGTGCGACAAAGTGCATGGGCAGATGGGTCACCAGATCAAGCAAACGACGACTTTTCAATGACAGAAGATTCAGATACCCCAATTGAACAAAAAAAGAAGAAAGGAAAGAAGAAGCAAGTTTTATTCCGTGTGGGCCTCTAAAGGGGATTAACAACAAACTGTGTGCTGGTGTCATCAGAATTGAAATTATACGTATTTGAACAAAACCAAAAGAAACAAAACAAAAGCAAAACAAAAAGGCAAGCAAAAATGCTTTCATCACATATAATAATTGTAAGACGCAAAGTTTTATTTTAATAGCAACGATAGAAACCTATAATTCCCAAGTAGTATTTTGTGTGTCTGTGGGGGGAAGGGGGGTTTAATAGAAGGTACATACATATTTGATCATAGACGGGAGAATAATAAGAAGAAGGAGGATAATGTCGCCAATAAGGAGTGCAAATTCATAGGACAATCCTTTTGTGAATTTTTGTTTTTGCTATATGACATGGTGATGTGACTCTACAAGGGGAAGGGGAAGGGGAAATTTAATGAAGAAGTGTATTTAGTCTTCTGCTTCACTGTCTTGGTCGTATGTATTAATGTGTGGTGATATAGACAGAGGATTGTAGGATACTGATATCTTCTCCGAATATTCCCATAGACGGTTGAGGAGAGTGGGTCCAAGCGAATAAAGTTCGAGTACAAGCTCGCCTGATATTCAAAATAACAACCTCTTTAATATAGTACAACAATAAATACACATATTTAGCTCACCTTCTTTTTCTTCAATTGCCATGTCGTCTGTCATACTCTGCTTGACAATCTCATGAAACTCTTCTGCTTGATCTTCCGTCATATGTGTAAGGCGTCGAGCAAGTTCCATCATATCAAGTCCCTTGATAATTGAGATGAGCCTATGTGAATCTAATATATACAATGTCTTACTTCGGGTATTCCCCACGCCCGGCGAGTTTCTGCGTCAAGAGGCATGCTGTGAATAGGGTTTACGTTTTTGAGATCGCTTTCATCATATACATCGTCAACAATAGCATCTTCGCGATCTACTTCTCCATCTGAAGACTCGTAGGGTCTAAATGGATGTTGATACTCTGGAAAATCATAGTCTTCACTTTCATACCCCCGCTTAACTGATGAGCCCGAGGATCCACTTTTTCGCTGACTCTCATCGCTCATACCAGAAAGATAAGGAACACTGTCATGTTCAGAATACGCCTGGGGTGTTTTGACTTGCCCATAGTCATAAGCAGGTGATATTGGCAACGCAGGCGAGTCGAATGACGGCGAAGGTGGTGAGCCCGAGTAAGATGAAAGTGGCGGATATTGAACAGTCTTGTTTGAGTAAAAGGAAGGCGTCGATGGAGATGCGGAAGTGTGGACTTCATGCTTGATAAAAGCAGGAGAATAGTTTGTCTTTTGTTTTTTTACTAGGCCTTTACCGGAGCTGCTAGATGTGCTTGACCGTCTCTTCTTAGAGTGAATCGAGCCATTACTGCTAACGTCAGCAGGTACATCCAAAGCCAACAGGTCCTCGAGTTCAGGCGATGGGTTTTGGAAAACCTATATGCATACGTACATATATACATACATATATATTTGATATAAGAATGTATTCCTAGAAAATAATAGATCAACTATTCATGATTCTTTATATATAAAAATTACCACTCTGTGATTAACGGTGTAAGATGGTTGTGTGAAGTTGAGGTCAAATAGAATGGTTTCAGGATCTGCTAGTTTGTGAGCAAAGTTCAAGACAATCCGCATATCAAATTCACCCCAGCCTTTTTCTTGAAGCACATAGGGTTCTTTTGTCGTGACTATTTGATACGTCAGCCATGTAGAATAAATGTACATTTGATTAATTTAGTACCTCTGTGAGGGTTCTCAAACGTGGGATGAAGAATATATTCCACATTATCAAGCAAGGCTGTAAGCTTTCCCTTCTTTTCTTTATTTCCATCCATGGCCACTAGCTTTATCTTCCATGTCCGCCATGGGTGACCATCGACAGAGGTCGCACTGGCCCCTTTGATGATACTGTTTTGACATGTAATCCTTATGTCCTGACTTGCCTCGGTCTGGATTAAAACAAAAAAGGGATGTGTGATTAAATTGTTTGGAGTATCACCAATTATTTACCATTAATATACTATTAGATAAAACAAGCAAATAAAGGCGTGTGTCTTTTTTGTGTTCTGTAAACCGTCGTACGTCCGTAAAGAGAACAAAGGCAAGTTAGCTCCAGTTCAAACTAGTAATCACCCTTGTGGAATCCATCCATAAAGTTCTCATGCCATTAAAAACTCACTGTAGGATGAGACCTGAATTTCAAGACGGATGGAGTGAATGAGGAAGAGATAGAACGTGAAGGTGGAAGCCAACCAAGGACCCCTTTTTTGCAAATGATCTGACGGGGATTCAACAAAAGGACGTCACACCCATTGTCCATTAATCGCACACATGAGAAAGAACCAAGCTTTGTTCTTTGCTTTGGCATGAAGGATCGTCCCAAAGCAAGTCATCTGATTGGCTTGATTTTGAATGGAGAAAAAGGGAGAGAATATGTCTACATGCACACAAACACACACAAACACACACAAACACACAAACATTCATCCAATCTGTTTGATTTATTCATTATCTAGTTTTGTTATCTTTATTTCTTTTTTGAATTTTTATTAATCTCCTTTATTAATTTTACACACGTCTATCCAGTACACTGTGCAACTGCTTGGCTGGTGACTCGAGTACGCCCAAGATCTGGCGAGCAGGCTGTTCAATAGTACCAAGCAATTCAGCCCGAACCATATCAAGACCGGGCAACTGTACAACCTGGGTTACGTCAGCCTGGTTGAGCAGTGAGTTGTCGAGTTTACCACCCAAGAGAACAAGCTTCTTGTTCTTGCCAAGTGTTTGAACAACGCTCTTAAGCAACTCTGGGTACTCTTTCTCAGATGCATTGGTCGACAAAACACATGTAGGACCCGACACAAGAGGCTGTAGATTGCTGAACTTTGTCTCACGAAGCACAGACCCAAACACACTTGACCGCACTACAGTCAACTTGGAAGGACCGTCGATCAATGACAGTTCCTGGCGGAGTTGGGTAAACTCCTTGACAGTCAAGTTATTGTGTTGGAAAACGAATAGAACACGGTTATCATTAACAAGTGACTGGTATTGTTGGTGAAGGTAAGAACGACGAGGAGGATGAACGACAGCAGCCTTGGTAGCGTCTGTTTTGTATAATAAATAATAAATACAAATGTCGTTACATTATGTTTTCTTCTTCTTTTCTATTTGTCTTACATGAACGAGTCATGGTAGGCAGGGCTGACTTGAAGTCATTAGTGAATACAAGGGCAGCTAGAGTTCAAAGCATAATAGATGTGTAAGCATTCAACCATCAAGGATATTTTGTACTAGACTGAGATGCTTGCCTGTGCGGAGAGACATGTTGGCCAGGCAGTGATGAGGGACCGGGTCTTGACAGGGTCTGTGTTGAAAACATCAACCAAAATAGCGTGCCAAAGTCACAAGTACTGGACTGCTTTCTTGCAAGTGTCCTGAAGTTCTGAGCATAATAAAGTTGGGCTGGATTAGTGCCTTTATCAAAACCAGTCACTCAAAAAGTATAGTTTGCACCAGTAAATGGGATTTTTTTTATTAATTATGTTAATTAGTAATTTTGTGAGCAACTCTGAAAAAGTATAATGGTTAGGCAGGTTTAATTCATACTAGCTTCTAATATGTTTCAAAGAGCTGTCCGCAAACCCTTTTGAGCTAAAATCACACACAAACAATCTTTTCTAAACGGGAGAAATATTCGAAAGAACACTCATTCTAGAATGGTATTAGACGTCACATCCTCACTCCATTGATATGACTCCGATGAACACAAGCCACGGGAGAATACATCCAGAAACAAGAGTCACAAAAATATATTTTCGTGTCGATTTTTTTCCTGAGGTGAAGCTTTCCTTTTCACTACTCCCTTGAAAAGGCACCCTATTATATCTCTCCTCGAGCCCCCTCTTCTTATCTATTAAAATATCGTAATGACCAAGTATATTGTTGTCTCTGGTGGTGTGATTTCGGGTATCGGAAAGGGAGTCATCGCCTCGAGCACAGGAACTCTTCTCAAGACATTGGGTCTCAAAGTGACCGCTATCAAGATTGATCCCTATCTCAATATTGATGCTGGTTTGATGAGCCCTCTTGATCACGGTAAGCTCCCATTGCTTCAATTTAACAGTCTACAACCTCCCACTTACCTCGCACACTCGCAGGTGAGGTCTTTGTCTTGAACGACGGTGGTGAGGTCGATTTGGACCTTGGAAACTACGAGCGCTTCTTGGACGTCGAGTTGAGCCGCATCAACAACATTACCACTGGAAAGATCTACAGCGAGGTTATCGAGAAGGAACGTCGTGGTGATTACCTCGGCAAGACTGTTCAGGTCGTCCCCCACATCACCAACGCTGTCCAGGAATGGATTGAGCGTGTTGCTGCTATGCCCGTCGATAACTCTGGTGAGAAGCCCGATGTATGCATTATCGAGTTGGGTGGTACCGTTGGTGATATCGAGTCTGCACCTTTTGTTGAGGCTATGCGTCAGTTCCAATTCCGTGTTGGTCATGAAAACTTTTGCTTGATTCACGTTTCTCTTGTTCCTGTCGTCGGTTCCGTTGGTGAACAGAAGACAAAGCCTACACAGATGAGCATTCGTGATTTGCGTGGTGCTGGTCTCACCCCAGATCTTATTGCTTGCCGTTCCTCCAAGCCTTTGGATGATAGCGTTGCTAGCAAGATCTCTATGTTCTGTCATGTCGCCCCTGAGCAGGTTCTTGCCGTTCACGATGTGTCTTCCGTCTACCATGTCCCTATTCTCATGAAGGAGAAGGGTGTCGTCGATTTCTTCCGTCGCCGTCTTAACCTTGATGCCATCAAGATCACACCCGAGTGCCGTTTGGCTGGTGAAGAGCTCTGGAAAAAGTGGGCTAACCTTGCCGTTTCCTACGAACGTCTCCACGACACAGTCACTATCGCCCTTGTCGGAAAATACACTAACCTCCACGATGCCTACATTTCAGTATACAAGGCTCTCGAGCACGCAGCACTTGCCGGAAACCGCAAGTTGGAAATCAAGTGGATCGAGGCCTCTGACCTTGAACCCGAAGTTCTCAAGTCAAACCCCATTAAATTCCACGAATCATGGCAGAGCCTCTGCTCCGCCGACGGTATTCTCGTACCAGGTGGTTTCGGTGGACGTGGTATCGAGGGTATGATCATGGCTGCCAAGTGGGCTCGTGAGAACAAGGTCCCTTACTTGGGTATTTGCTTGGGTATGCAAATCTCTGTTATCGAATTTGCTCGTCATGTGTGTGGTATGTCCGAAGCCCACTCTGCTGAGATCGAGCCCGAGACAAAGACTCCCGTTGTTGTCTACATGCCCGAGATCAGCAAGACCCACATGGGTGCTACCATGCGTCTTGGTGTTCGTCCTACTGTCTTCCAGCCTGGATCCGAAAACTCGCGTGTTCGCAAGCTCTATGGCAACAAGCCCACAGTCGACGAGCGTCATCGTCATCGTTATGAAGTAAACCCCGAGTATGTAAACACTATTGAGGCCAATGGCCTCCGCTTCATCGGTAAAGACGAGACCGGTGAGCGCATGGAGATTGTCGAAATGGACGATCACCCCTACTTTGTCGGCTGCCAGTACCACCCTGAATACCTGACCCGTCCCCTCAAACCCTCTCCTCTCTTCATGGGCCTCATTTTGGCCGCCAGCGGCCAGCTTGAGAAAGCTCTGTAAATATCGTTATAGATGTTCTTATATTAACTTTTCCATTTCTGCATTATATTCAATAAAGTATTAAACTATATCTAATTACGCGACGGTCCCACATGAGAAAGGGCACTTTCCAGATCTTCTTGAGTCACCTCTAGTGGTGAGTCAGTATTATGAGTGCGTCGTTTGAGTGTAAGGAGACCAGCTTTGCGAAATACTGCTTTGAGGTCAGCGCCTGTGTAATTATCCGTCTTATTGGCGATAATTGACAGATCCACCTGATTAGCGCAAGGTGTTTTGCGCTGCAATACTTTGAGGATCTCCAATCGCTCCCCACAATTCGGAGTCCCAACATACACCATACGATCGAGACGCCCAGGTCTCAAAAGCGAAGCATCAATTGATTCTGGATGATTAGTTGCTCCTAAAACGAGCACTGTGTGTTGGAGTGTATCAAGGTGGTCAATTTCAATCAGAAATTGTGTGATTAACTATATTAAATCAAACACACCAGGCGTTTTAGTTAATCTTGTTTGACGATATATGTACTGAACGTACGCACAAACCCAACAGTTACCTTTTTACCAACATCACCGCTAGTCTCTCGTTTACCAAACAATGTCTCCAATTCATCCAAAAAAATTACACAAGGGCTACATCTGCGTGCTATCTGAAATATTCGAGCGACTGCTTTCTCTGACTCCCCCACATGTCCCTTTATAAGATCAGCACTACGAACTGGCAGGAAGTTGGCTGCGGACTCAGTAGCCACAGCTTTAGCTAACAAGGTCTTTCCAGTACCAGGGGGACCATGCATAAGAACACCTTTAGAAGGGCTAATTGCTAATCGCCTATAGGCATCTGCATGTTTGTAAACCCACACTGCTGATTCTTCTAGAGCTTGCTGTAAAATTTACAGTCAGTAAATACACAAATATCCTATTTCCTTGAAGAAAATGGTTTGTGAGCCCAAAAAAAACTAACCTTTGCTTGCATAAGACCACCAATATCTCCCCATCGTACAATATCCGGTCTTTCGGCTGTAAATGCATCCAGATGGCTCAGCCTGACCCTTGTAAATGTGGTCTCAAAATGGATCAATGATACTAAATTCCGAAAGATTGTAGTCAATACATCCATTGTTTATCTATAACGTTCAAGTGTGGCACAACTCTTGATCTTATTTTTTTTGGTAATAATAATAACAATCGTAATAACGTGTACCTACCTTGTTGAAAACCTGCTTCAATTGCTGCTATTTCTGCTAAACGACACCAATGAGCAAGATCGGCTGCAACAAAGGCGTGAGCTTGTGCTGCTAAATCCCCGAGGGGTACATTGTCCAATTGCATAAATTGAGTAATAGACTCAAGTAATGCAAGGCGCTCGGCTGGTGTGGAAATCTCTAACGTTACAATGTCCTATTGGCAAAATTAAAACTTGAGTACGAGTGTATTATACAGCATTGTGGATGACTCGGTGAATAATTACTCCGAATAAAGTCTTGATCTCAGGTGCAATTCTCGATAGTGAGCGGGATGTACCAGCCTACCAAAATAAAAATAGAAGCTTAATGTAATACTAAAAAAAAACACTTATATTAAAAACTTACCACAACGCCAGACGATGGTGGATGTTCAAAGTAGTCAGAAAGGACGCGAACAAGGGCTGGATCCTTATCTCCATGGCGTGGAAAAAATAAGTCGATGTCCTCCAATATTACTAAAAGTAGTCAAATTAATTATTTCTTTTGTATTATTACTAGCAAAAATATGTATATATTTATATATTTATGTGTATTATATTTACACAAGCTAGGTTTAGTACGGGCCTTCCAGATCAAGCGCCTAAGGCCTTGGCTGACTTGTCCATACTCAGCTGCCAATTCTCCCAATGATGCCCTATGAGTCTAAAATACTAAGCGCATATTTTCGAGTATCATTTTTATATAAATTAAACTTACTATCAGTCCATACTGGGTCGCGAGTTTATCAAGTATAGTGGATTTTCCTGAATCGGTTTCTAGGGTTGAGTGATTTCCGGAATGTCATGTATAGTGTGTTACCTGTGCCTGCATCACCTGTCAGTAACAGGGATTCATTAGAGGCCTTAGAGAGATCAAACAGCTGTGCAAGTCTAAAATTAATAAGCAAAGAGATCTATTGTGTTGTGCCCATCAACACACCTTGCACCTTCATCGCCATAACATCTATTCATCATAAACCAGATAATTTTACTAGTGTGTGAGTACGAGCTACATGTAGGATTTGGGACTGTTTTTTCCTTTTTTGTTCTTTTACTTCATATTGTCTTTATATATATAATTTTTATTTTATCTTGCTTAAAGTGTTTTAATACAAATTCTTGAAAAGCAATTATTATTATTATTATTATTATTGTTGCTGTTGTTGTTGTTGTTGTTGTTGTTGTAACTGCTGCTACTATTGCTGCTGCTGTTGTGCTTGTTAAAGAAGGTCCTGAGACATGTTTGAAAAAAATCTGTACATATTGTTATTATAAAGACACTATAAATACTCAAATTATCCAAAATAATAATGAAAGTAAATAATAATGTAAGAACAGTAATAATAATACTAAGGAGCTGTTCATTCTGTCTTAATAATATTATAATATTATAGTAGTGATAATAATTCAATAAACATTTACCAAAAAAAATCTCGGAAAGTCCAGTATTTTGTATGACTTTCTATAGTGAAAGAAAGTTTGGGTCTTAATGTAGCATTTATGCAATGATTGATTGTTAGTAATTGTTATAATGTGTATGTAGTTGATTTTTTTTGGTATACTAAGAAAAAAGGAGACAGAGAGGCTTTAAGTAATTTAAAGATAGTTTCTCTTTTGCAAAGTAGTTTCTTTCTGTCTTATAAACAGGCTAAGAAGGGCATTGAGAACCACAGGATCGGTAATATTATGTCGTACACCAAATTCACGCGAAAGTTTTGCTGGATCGTCAAGTAAGCGTACACTGACAGAAGCCATTATTCCAGACTCAAGTTCAATACTAATAGTAATAATAACCGGGTTATTTTCTGCTAGGTTGTGGCTGGGAGGTTTAGAAAGGCCAGGAGGTGAACGAGGGTTATTAGCGTTGAAATTACGGTTATCTGAATTATTAGGCCTGTAGTTGGTTTGTGGAGCACTGCCTCTGTTGGGCGTCCAGGAAGTCTCTTTGATCCAAGATGGTTTCTTAGCTTCAGTCATTGGTTGGTCCACCCATGCTGGTTTAGCCGTTGGTAGATTAGGCAACCAGTCAGGTCTACCTGGCGAGGTATTCTCCTTCCTACCAGAGAGCTGGTTTGTCTGATTCTGCAATGGTTTTGATGACTGATTAAGGAGAGCATGTTGCTGTTGCTGTTGTTCATAAATAGTTTGCTGTTGGTAGCTTTGCTGTTGGTAGTTTTGTTGCTGATAATTATTTTTCTGTTCCTGAATTTGTGGCTGTTGATGTTTATTCTGTTGTGAATAGTCTTGAAGTCCCCAGCCGTTACTATTACTATTCTGAGAAGGATAATCTTGCTGATTCCAACCGTTACTGCTACTATTTTGAGAAGGACGATCTTGCTGATTCCAACCGTTACTGCTACTATTTTGAGAAGGATATCTTGCTCTTGAAGGAGGGGTAGTTATGGGTGTAATAAGTGTCGAACTAGCAGGCTCTGGCTTTTTTTCCCAAAATGGTACATCAACCAAGGACTGCGTATTCCAGGTACTGTTAGGAGGTGGAGGACGCGTGGTAGATGGAGGTGGTCGTTGGGTTGAAGATGGTCTTGGTGGTTCTGAATATGACTTGGAATTCGGTTTAGGACGCGAGAAAGTAGTCGATTGTGGAAATGTCTTTTTTGGTTTGGGTGCATTTGCTGCTGATGACATTGTTTTGCTGGTTGCATTGCTAGACTTTTTAGGTGGCCCTCCTTTGAGACGTTGTCTAAGGATGTGATCTTCAGACACTGGAATAAAGTTACGTCCTCGGCGATGGAGACCACCGCTACCAATTTGTCCTGCAGTTACACTGAGATTGGGATCCTTGAGCGATTCCCAACTAGGCTTCTGAGCAGATTGATCTCCCCAGGCACTTAGTGTGATGGGAATCTCGTCGTCGTCGTAATCAATGAGAGCCATAGGTGAATGTCTTTTAAAATATACGTGTCAATGAGAAGTCTAAATATATTTGTGTGTATATATTAAAAAAAAAGAGGAAGGGAAGAGAGGAAGTGAAAAATAAGGGGTACCTGTATTGGGCAATAAAGACCACAATTTTTTTTTCAACTTTGACAGAGTCGGGTTTTTGCTTTGACAGGGTTCAGTCCGACTCAGAATTATTTTTGATCCACGTCTTTTATGACTTGTGATTTTATTTGTTCGATATTTAGTATGATTGGATCTCTATTACTCTTGCAGGAATATGTAAAGTTGTTATATTTTGCAAGTTTAATTCCTTGATAGCTTAATAAATATATCAATTCTATTTATCTTTTGCTTTTAAATATATCTACATATTTATATCATTTTTGTGTTTTTAACTTTTATCTTAAAGGTCTGATAAGAGGATTTGTATAATTCGTCTCAACAAACTCTATATGCCTGCCACTGAAACTTTGATCGTTCTGATGTAAAATCCTTCCATTGAGAAACATTTAATAAAATTCACTTAACCCATTACTTTATTACTAATCTTACAAAAGGGTTATATATATATATTCTTTAAATAGAATAATATCTGAGGCCAAATTAAACTATGTGGATACTAAAGCACAAGGGCACTACACATTCTCATGGATAATAGTAGCTTTTTCCAAGTAATAGTATATACTGTATATGAATACCCTCTCAGTATCCATGACATTCTGTAATCAAATATAATATATTAAAATTTGCTTTTGTTGAATGTAATATTTGATATCAATTTGTCCAACACAAACAATAAAGAATGGTATGAGCTACACAACCCTATTTAGTCGTGTAACATTTGTGTACAAGAAAAGAAATGTACTGCGCAACATTTCTAGTCAAATCATTGGATCAAAAAAAACAGAGAAAGAAATAAGCAAGCTCATACAGAATCTAAGAGATTGAATTACTAATATTTAATATATCTAATAACTAGGTAGCGTCAACCACGCCCGTATCTACTTAGTCAGATTGACCATTTCTTTTGTTTCGAGGGTGTTTGAATTCTATCACATCGTCATTGTTTAATTGAATGCCTTTTTTCCCAGATGATTGCTTGCTCGATGATGCCTTTGATTTTCTAACAAATGTTGGTGCCTTCAAGTCCTTTAACAGTGGGTTGTTGGCAAAAGTGCCTCCACTCGAACTTTCTCTAGACCGATTTATCGCTACTTCTTCCTCTTCCTCTTCCGCAGATTCTTCGTCTGTATCCGACATTTCTTCTAGGCGAACCTGTTTCGTTTTTATGTCGAGAGTCATTACGCGACGTCGAGGTTGATCTGCTTTCTCAATTCGTCGTAAATTGGCTTGCTGCTTTTTTAACATCGAAGCACGCTCTTGAGGGCTTGCCCATGAGCTGGCTTGATCTATTGGCAAAACAAGATCTGCTGCCTGATCTATAATAATATTATTTTTTTAAAAAAATAAGATTCTGTATATAAGGTTAATTTTGTTCCTTACCAATTACTGTGTTTCGTTTAGAGCTAGTTTTTTGAAAGCTTAAAAGTTTTTCTTTGTGCTCTTCCGCTCTTCTTTGAGCCTCTTCCTCTTCTTGTGTCGTCTGTCCAGAACCAAAATCCCCACTAAGCATACTAGCATAGCCGTGTTTGCGTACAGGATTTTTTACGCGACGAGGCTGTTGCTGTTGATTCTGTTGATTCTTGAGTTCGGCACGCTTCTTCTTGGCTTCAGAAATCAAATGGACCTCTTGTTCTTTTGATAATACTTCCGTTCCACAGAATGTGCACGGTCCAGGTCCCTCGAGAGTGCATATGATCTTGCCGCAGTTCAGGCAGTTTGGTGCAATATCTAGTAGTGGGTGTTTTGTAGCTGGTAGGACGTTTAGTTTTCATAAAACAAAAGATCGATTCTACTTTTTTTTTACTTTACCTTGACATTGGCACGGTTTGCGCTTTCCATCACCCGCCTTTATATCTAATTCCTTCAATGCTGTCTCAAGTGTCATCTCCTTCTTTTTCTTTTGTTGCTGTTGTTTGTCGGATGAAGATGAACTAGCCTTAGGCTTATTTTGTTTCTTAGGCTTGCGAGACCTGTTGTATGTAGTAAAGAAAAATTATATTAGTATCATTCCTACAGTGCTAATAATAAATGGATATACATATAAATGTATATATATATATATTTACCCTGAAAACAGCATTTCATCATTAGACTTGTCATGTATGTTAATATTTGCTGGCCATTGAGAATTAACTTCTCCAGCAGGAAGAGAAGGAAAGGGCAATCCTTTACTAGACTGGGACGACGTCTGGACTTTGGGCTGTTTTTGTGTAAATCGACGATTGGCAAATTCGTAAATAAAATCGAGGCAATCTGATGACGTTCCAAGCATATCCTAGTTTTTCTTTGAATCAGTATGAATGCATGGCAATGACAAGCGCGACGAATAGATCTGCACTTACTGTCAAGTGCTGAGTGAGTGCATCGGGTGTGTCGAGAGTCATGAGATAAGGAATGACCTGTGTCTCGAGAGTGAGGGTATCTAAACCGAGAAAGATGCTCAACTTGTCTGTTGCCCAGTGTTCCATGTTGAATAAGTAAAAGTAAAGTATAAAACAGGTGAATTTAATTTTTTTTTTGGATTTTAATTCTTTTAAAATAATTATAAAAGCGTTCTCCGGGCATGTCCGGGGATAATATATTCCTTCCCCGGAACGGACGCCTATTCAATACTGAAAGCATTAAAATAAAGGGTTTGTTGAAAGGTAAAAATATGTAAATAATCCTAAAAGACAAACGCTTATAAATTTATTTTATACTTATTTAATTATATGTATATATATTAATCTAGCTTTAAATTTGAAATTACACTCAAAGCCTTGTTTATTTTAATTATTTATATCAATTTTATTACTATTACTATTTAAAGTGATATATTTTGAACTTTATCATATCTAATATTTAATTCCAAAAAGATAAAGAAAACTGGTTTTTATCTATCAAAACTGTGTAAATTATACAGGAGATTTGTAGTAATTACTTAAAATGAGAAGCCTTCTCTATGACAATCTAAACCTGTATGCGCCACGATGATGTGAATCAAGCTTATCAGTAAATTATTAACATAGTATAAATCTTCGTGTCCTTCCGTACTGCAAATGGGGTGTATGGTGGGTTTGGGAAATTGACGTGCTATATGTAAAAACACTCAAAATTGTATTCATTAAGAATTAACAATTGTTAAATAAGTTAATAGAGATCAGCTTTTCGAGAGAATTCCCTTTTTGAAACAAACCCAGAAACTTAAACAAGAGAATATTGTAACCGTAGCACAAGAAATTGTAAAGTTTAAAATACTTTGCAGATAATCTGGAAAATTGAAAGAAAACTTGTAGCCAATCACATTATTAAAATTACTCTACCTTTATTGTATTAGGTGAACTACTCAAAAAATACACTATATTATATATTGAAAATCAACGATGGGCCTTGCCTCGAAATACACCAGTGAAACAATATATCGTAATACTTTGCACATAAAAACTAACATTTTTATAAAGCCCTTTAATTAAATGTGCAAAAAAAAAAAAAAACAAAAACAAAAACAAAAGCAAAGACTAGCGTATTAAACCTGCGTGTAATCGATTAATAAATAATAGTAATATAAAAAAAACTAACAAACGTAGCCTTTTAGTGAGGGCTTATGTTCAACTTTGTGGTCTTAAACTGTATACAGAATAAACAGTAAAAATATACATATATATTTTATTCTTCATCTTCCTTCTCTTCTTCATTTTCTTCTTCGTCTTCCTCATCATCATCCTCATCGTTGTTTTTATCTGCGCCACTAGATGCAGCTTGTGCTTTCTATAAAAGCAATACCAAATAATAAATTTATAGTAGTTAAGTATTGTCTCTCGAAAACTATGAACTTTAATAATAAAATAAAAATAAAAATAAAACATACCATCTTCTCCCAGGCTTGTGCCATTGCCAGAAGCTTGAGGTTACCACTCTGTACATCATCATCAGGGAATATGTAGTCAAAGTATTCTTCCCAAATGATATTATCTTCGGTAGAGTCTTCTGCTCTTCTTCTCTTCTTAACAACTTTAGGCATCTTCTTCTTGACAACGTCTCTAGTCTCATTTGAGCCATAATTGTCTTCAAAGTCGTTCCATGCTTCAAGAAGAAGCACACGCTAAAGAAAATACTTAGACACAAAACATAATTAAGTTTCCAACTCAGATAATACCTCTTCTTTCAACTCCTTTTGCTTCATGCTATCATATGCATCGGTGAAAATCTTGCGTGTACGTTTAACACCTTCGTCACTGCCTTCTTCGTAAGGTATAGACAGCTCAAACTGTGCAAAGCTGATATAGACCTTAACGTGTGCGGTACGTTCAAGCAATCGAAGGTACAATTCTCTAGTTCGCTCATACTCTTCCTCTCCAATTTCAAAGTCTATATACATACTTAGAATCCCGGAATCATCAAAATGAAATAATAATAAATAGTATTACCAATATAAGCTTTCCAGAGTAATTCAGGCATATCAAGTGTAGGTTGACTGATAGCAAGCTCAAAGATAGCACGGCATCGGTCTTCTTCTTTTAACAGCTTCTCAAGCTCAGCAAACTTGATCCATCCTGCACAATTTGCCTGGTTGTACTCCAGATATTTCGTGTAGATTGTACGGCACCGGTCAAACTCTCTTAACTATTTAATTAAATATGTCAGCCATATACCTTCGACCTGCTTCATAAAAACAAGACTAACCTGCATCTCAAGTTCAATATACCCTTTGAAAAGTTTATCTTTGGGGCACATTCCAATAGCTGTACCCAAAATCTTTCTTGCTGCGTGCACATCTAATTGTCTGATCTCAAACTGTGCATAAAGCAACCATATCTTTGCAAATGTGAATATTTTGTGGGGTATCAGCTTGATACATTCTTTATAGATCTCGCGTGTCCGGTTTACATCCTATATATATATAAGAGATGAGACAATTATCCCAGGATTATATATATATTACCTCTGTCTCCAGTTCTTCATATAATGCATAATTGATCCACAAATATATATAACGTCTCCAGTATCTCTTTTCTTGGGCCGGTGGTACTTGCGATATGGCACGTTCGTAAATTTCTCGTACACGAGTTGGGTCGCCTACGGACTCTTCAAGTTTAGCGTAATCAAACCAAATGTCGTAGTTCTTTGGGTTTGATTCGATTTCTTCTTCGTACTGAACTCGTCTCTTTCCAACCACTACATTTTCGATTCCTTCTTTATCTCCGTACTGTTTCTCAAAATTTGTGTATTGGTTGTATAACGATTCGGATTTTGATTTTGGAAGACGATCAAGACCATACTTGAATATAACGCGAGCACGATCAAACTAAAGCACCCAAGTATCATCAGTAGTTGAACACTCCCGATTATTTGCAAATGACGTGTTTACCTCCTTCAATTTAATCTCGAACTTTGCAAATGCAACAAGCACCTTTTGATCCATTTTCTCATCACCAAGGTACTGGACTGCTTCGGTATATATCTCACGACATTTTTCTACACACATATATGTAGCTGTGAATATTCTACCAGCTTGATTAAAGGTAAAACTAGATTCTTACCCAAGTTGTTGTGTTCTTCTTCAAATTTAGCCCATTTAATCCAGTTCTTAGGTTCAGGGTGGATACTGACAAATCTTTCGTAGATCGAACGGGCGCGATCATGTTCGTTGTATCGTAACTCCATCTTAATATATGCCTGCCATGCTGACTCTTCTGGCTCCCACTTCATCCAACGCTCAAATACATTGCGTGCTTTTGGTACATCGCCAAGTGTTTCTTCCATATAGGTGTATTTGTACCAGAATTGATCTACACGTGGCAGTAATGTCGTTGCACGATCGAGTATATTACGAGCATGGTTAACATTGCGATTCTTCATCTCCGTCTCGACATATCTCAACCAGATGGCGATGTTGCGCCATTCTACATCTAATGCACGTTCGTATACAGATCGTGCACGTTGAGATTCCATTTGACTATCTTCCCAAGCAGCATATTTGAGCCAATTGCTGATGTTAAGACGATTCTTTCGTATATTATCTTCAAACTCTTTGCGCTTTCGTTGACGGAATTCTGAAAGCTCTTCCAAGTCAGTAATCTTTTGTTTGGGAATCGAATGGGCTGGTTCAAGACGACGGTCATGAGCTTCACGCAGAATCTGCTCGGCCGTAATCTGTACGGGTGCGGGGTTCTTGTTCTTGACCTAAATACGCGTATGTTCGGGTAAGCTGTCTGCTCTGAAAGCAATTAAACTATTGTAGTCTTGCCTTTGGGGGTCTTGGGTTCTTTCCGAACCCACTTGTAGTCTCTCCGGCATTCATTGTCAGCAAGTGGTAAATGAGCAAGCAGAATAATAGAAAAGAAAGTGCTTGACAAGTTTGGATGAGTAGACGATTGAGCCAGTCTTGATAAGATACGCATGCCGATTCGGAGACAGGGACTGCTGTTTATGAAAAAATAGAATGTACGTCACGAAAATCCAAGAAGCCAGCAAAACCCCACCCCTCCCTTCTCGCCACCAGACTTATTATTCTTCTTTTGGATACATAACAAACGATGCGTTGCCGTGTTCTTCGTGATATTGCAGCCCGCCAGTCGGTTGCTAACAATGAGCTTACTCGTCAGGCTTACCGCTTCGTAACCCGCAACGAAACTCTTCCTGCCCGTGTTCGTCACCAAGCACAACTCATGTTGAATGCCATGCCTAAGCAGTCTTCTCCAACCTACATTCACAACCGTTGCGTTGCCACTGGTCATGGTAGCGGTATTCTGCGTGAGTTCAAACTTTGCAGATTCCAGTTTCGTCTCAAGGCACTCAACGGAGAACTTCCTGGTGTCAAGAAGTCCTCGTGGTAAAAAAAAACCCCTTCAGTGGAACAGACAAGTCTTCTTTTACGGGACAAAGTTCAGCTGGAATTTGCTGTACTTCATTCTTTTTTGTATATCTTCTCTCCCTTTTACATTCTCCCAACCCATTCTCCTTTAAAGAAGAAGAAGAAAAACAGCAATAAACATCTAATACATAGAGACGATCTTTCTAGCGATTGCGACTATGAGGTACTACCAGAATGAAACCCTCCAAAAAAAGTGAAGGACAGGAATGCTATAAGTAATTTTTCTCTATTGCGCAGAACCGACATTCAGGTTGCTCATCTTGGGGGGTTTTTTGGTAGGAATTGTATTCTTGGTGTGTTTCTTGTTGATGGCTTGTGGTTTGGGATGGATGTTGAGAATTATGAATTCCAGAATTGGATCGATCGTGGGATGTTCTCCGATCTTGGAATCCATTAGCCGAGCGAGAGAATGAGTTTGAGTTTATACTTGAACCTTCCTCGTCAGTAGATTGAATGTCAATTTTGACTTGAATTTGCTTGGTGTGTTTCCCATCAATTAAGACTAGGATTGTGTCAGAAAGTGGTTTATAGGGGAATCCCGATGCAGCCATGGAAGCAAGTTGGTTTCCAACCGTGCTTTCTCGTATTTTGACAGTGATGCCAACCGATGCATTTGCATACAAATTGCCTTTTCTAGGACTAAATGACAGTCGACCTCTAGCTGAAAAGAGAGAAAAGGTCCGAGAACGATTACTAAAGCTGTTGCTGATTTCGAACGCGGCATCCCGTAACCTTATTCCAGTAGATTTGACTTGATACTGAAGAAGAAGATGATCTGGCTGCACTATGTAGCTTCCTTCATCTTCAGAAATATCCGGCAAAGGTGTGTGCTGTGCAATTGGTCGACTTCGTTTAGTATCGATACGGTGTAATCGAACAGATCCGGTGACTCCACTGGCATTTCCATTGTCATCACAACGAGCAACCGGAATGGGAACGCCTCTTGAACGAACTGAATTTGTTGATAAATTTTCCATATCACTTTCAAGCTTATTCATATAGTCCCGTCTCTTTGTTACATGAATAGCAGTTGTTAAAGGTATATTGGTGTCATTATGAAGCTGCTTTAGTCGGTTGGCGACCTCTCTTAACTCTGTCGGTGAATTGATTCGGTCGTAGTTAATACGGAAACGAGGGGTGTGAGTTAAGGAGTCTGGAAGAGCTTTCTAGTCCCAAATAAGTAGTACAAAATTCAGAATATAAATAAAATAAAATATAAAATAACCTTCCCTCAATCTCACGTATTACATACAAATGTCGTCCAAAGTGGATCGGCAAACTTGCTGTTCTTTATTCCTTTCGGTTTGGGTATACTTGGCATATTTAGCTAATAATTTGTACATATATATCTTTTTAAGAAAAATAGGTCCATCGATGTGATATTTAGAACTCATAATACTCGGATCACCTACCTCTTCGTGAGATAAGCTAATTTTGCTATTTATAGTGTACTGATCGCGACTAATATCGCGCATTGTCCGAACTCGCGTCCCTTTCTGCCAGGAACCCTTTTTGGGCTCATTCTGCGAAGAGTTTTGTGATGTGAAAGAGGTCGGGGACTATGATCGAAAGGTTTAGTCCTAAAATTAATTTTTTGAGGGGGTGCTTTGAACAAACCGCCATTGCTGGTTCATTCCACAAATCATTGATAGATTGGAGTGGTAATGAACGTGCTCCAAAGTACTGTCCCGGAGACATCAAACGTTCAGGAACGCCTTTTAAATTGCTGCTTTCCTGATCCCAAATACTTCTTCCATTTTCATCTAGATCTTCGTCTTTATCACTGTTTCGGTGAGTTCCGACCCGATTTCTTAAAGGTTTCACATTATAGTCATCGTCAACCATATTATGTTCATGATGATCTTCCCACGAATCAGTCTCATTTTCTGTACGCTTCAAGACGTCTCCAAGAATGTCATTATCTGAATGCACCGACACATCCGAAAGGCCGTGTTCGGTATTGTTTTCAAAAGGTGGTCTCATGTCTGCTACGAGTGGTATCTTTTCTAGGTCGGCCAGAATGGAAAATCCATCGCTCCCGATAGTGTTTCTATCTTGCCTTTTAAAGGGCGTTCGAGAATGATCTTTCGGCTTGTCCCGGTAGTGTTCGCTTCTTTTTCTTTGTTTCGGTTTGGAATGCGTAGGATCGTTGCTCTTACTATTTCCTTTGTCCATTACAGACAAACTCTGGATCTGTTCTCCAAATGAGAGTGCTCGTGCATTGGCTAGGTATTTTTCGAACTTGGCTACTCCTGAACGTTCGAATCTCTCAAATTCGTCGTATAAAGTCAGCTTGGCAGGCCGCAATGCAGAACGTCTGGTCGAATCCTGATGGATGATCTGTGGAAGCCGTAGATCGCCACTGGAAGCAAAGTATATAGAGTCTTTGAAATGACTCATTTCAAGTTACTCAGTACCTTCAGAAGAGATGGGCTGTTTCTAAAAATGAAAAAGAGACAGTTGTACCTTTCAATATACAAACCTAGACACCATAATTGGCTGGGTCACGTGAATTTTCGTGAACATTTTTTTAAGGCTATTCAAAGCACATCAAAACGCCGATCGTTTGTGGGATGATGAAATTAATACAGTGTGTATTCTTGTATGAATCTTAGTTATTTAAGAAATATTCTTTACTATGATATTTTTGTGAATAAATCGCTTCAAAAAAGTGAGTAACATCTCCTATTAATAAATAGGTAATATTCTAGAGATAATTAAGTAGAATCGGAGCGCTCAAAAAAGACATAATTATCAAGTATTTTTTTTGAATTTCTGACATGCATCAAATGTACTCATAGGTAAATATTTGCTTTTTTAACAAAGCATACAAATATTTTGACTAATGTAATACAGGGGAGTATCACTTTTTCATTTCTTAGCAGGATATAAAGAGTTTATGTACTTATGAGAGCTATTTTTTGGGGGCGTACATTTAATTAAGAGCTACTGCTCCACGTCTTTCTTTGAAAGACGTGGACTGCAATGCCGCATTAAAATAAAGCTTAAAAGACTTCATTCTCATAAGTGATATTTACAAGTTTAAACATTCCACTTTATTTCATTGAAACTCAGAATGTTACAGGATTTCCACTCCAAAAGTTATATTTTTTTTTTCAAACTATATATTTTGCAAAATCAAAACTTTCATTTTGTGCTCCGACTATATATAAAAAAAAATCAATTTATTTCTTGGCTATTTGTACATTGGGGGAAGAAGCTAATGCTATGATCAACCCAGCCTTGGCAGTTTTCCATAGCGATATGGCGGGAGCACTCAGCAATATACTCCAAGAATTGACCACATACCAACCCGGGCTTTCTCTTGACCAGTGTTTTGAGTTTGGAGAAGCACTCTTCAATCGGGTTTAGGAAAGGAGAGTATGGGGGGAGAAAGTGTAGGTGGTGTCGTGAATTAGCAAACAATTCAGTGACAAGATGGGATCTATGGATCGAGGCATTATCCATAATGAAGTTGTGAGGGGCAGCATTACTGTGGTCGAGCGAATCCATAATCGTCTTTACAAATTCAACGAAAATTGGTCCTGTCGTGCCACCAGGGGTCAACTTCGCCTGCACACTCTCAACACCCTGGTAAGAAATACCGGCAAGAATTGAGATGTTTAGTCCCCTTTTCGACTTCGTCTTCACAATGCTGGCCTCGCCTTTCTTGGACCACTCTTGTACTCTGATCAGGTTTGCATTAAAGCCTGCTTCGTCCACAAAAATGCAATTGGTTTTATACAATAAACCATTCGTGTGCATACTGTCTACATATACTTTTCTCAGCTCAATAGTCTTTGGGTCATTTCTTTTTTCCTCGACCGGCTTGGTTCTCTTCAATGTGAACCCAATGTTGTTGATAATGTGCTTATGTAAGCCACTGATGCTCAAGTTCTGCTCTTGAAGCTCTGGACATTTTCTAAACAGTTCCTCTCTCATTTGACCAAGAGTCAAGGTGCAGCATTCGTCCAAGAGGTCTTGAATGAACTTCGAATGCTCATCGGTTATCTTAAGACTTTCCGCGCGCGAGCCGCCTCGCTTCTTGGGCTCTACAGTAGCATCCCTCTCGAACTTGGTGATGATGTTGTTAATCGATACCTATGAGACACCAAATGCCCTGGCTGCTTCGGCTCGGGTCATGGACTCTTCTATATAACATTTCTCCACAATCATGTTCTTGATGTGGATCGGAAGAACCTTTTGTGGTCCATTTCTCTTTCTTCTCTTAACAATAGCGATTTGATTGGGGTTCATGTTGGAGGATTTGAGTATAGAAAAAGATAATAGATAAAGACAGTTCTCAAAACCATATTACAAACTTAGCATTATATACTTTTCTTATAACAATATATTGACATTGCATGTTTTCTTATATTGTTTTTAATAAACAGTGTAGACATTCTTTAAATATTTTATCGCACATATTAGCATTCTTCATGCTCTTTATTAATTTGCTTTAAATTTCTTTCTATCCGCATTAATTAATTTATTTTTTTCATATATAGTCGGAGCACAAAATGAAAGTTTTGATTTTGCAAAATATATAGTTTGAAAAAAAAATTATAACTTTTGGAGTGGAAATCCTGTATAAAAACATGATATAAAATATTTTACATCATATAAAAAGATGATATAAAATGTGTTGACCAATAATCTTTCGACATTTTATGTTGTTAAACTAACGATGACATAAAACTTGAAATAAAGAACAAATTATGTTTTCAAGTAAGCATATAAAGAAGTCCATATAGCCCCAGCATTAGGTTTTTTCCCCTTTATTTGCGCAAGCATTCTACGTATACAAATATTAATTAATATCTATTAGCTTTAATGTCTAAAAAATTAAACAGCTATTACAGTTTGAGGGTAAAAAGTAATAAACTTTGGTTCGCACTAATTACATGATTTTATGTTCGTGAGTTTAGTAAATTAACATGGCCAATAAATGCAATATCACACATTTTCATTGTATATGGAAGCCTTGGATGTGAAACATGAGACCCATGGCTCTTTCCACTAACACTCCGGAACCACCAGGGGTCAAAAACCCCTCCACCACTGGCTCATCTCCACCATTGGCAACCTCATTCACACCAATCTCACCTACTCTGACACCACTATACTCACAAGTAGCTACACAGAATGCACCTCCACTCACCGAAAAGCAACCACATGTTATCTTTAGCTCTACAAATAACACAACCCCACGTACCTGGCGTGTAGGGTCCTCTAAGTTCTCTGTATTCTTTACCGCCCCACCAAAAACGTCACCCAACTTCGACCCTTTCTGGAGAGCCCTTCTCGCAGCTTACCCTCGCGAAGTTAACATGGGAATCACTCTTGGATCTCGCTATTCCCCTGATACATGCGAGCTCCACCTGGCTACCAGTGCTGACTGTGAGAGAGCGTGCTCTCATCCTTTGGTAGTCGGCGTTTCATCTTTTCCCGCTCAACCGGCTGTTCCCATTGGCACAATTGTTCGCCGTGTTTTCCTGACCAAGCTTCCTCGTGTCCCCTATCCGGAACTTGCTACACAGCTCACGAAATGTATGTCTCCTTTTGGTAAAGTGCGTGAGATCGCCGTTCACGAAACGTATGGGTTTTTTGACGGCTCTGGATATGTTGTCCTTGCCAACACCCCCACTGACGAGGTGCCATCCGATTCCCTGACGTACCAAATAGCATACGACGCTACGCAAAAGATACTCGGTAAGTGGCCTTCGATGGGCTCCCACTGCACTTATTGCAAGGAAATGGGACACGAAGTCACCCAGTGCACTAAGCGCCCAGCCGAAACCCGAACGTGCTTTGGATGCAACAAGATCGGCCACCTGCAAGCCAATTGCCCGCACTCCTCCGATCCATCCAAGACTTCTAAGACCTCAAACAAGCGATCCCGTCACCCCCACCGCAACGTTAAGCTCGATCGACCTATCCGCGAGCCTAAGCCTCTGATTCCGACTGCACTCTCGCTCACCTACGGAGGATCCGAGGCTTCCAAGCACAATCCGCACAAACCTGCTTTGCTTGAGTCTGCAAAACTAACCCTACCGGCAACCCTCCCTGCCATCACGACAATATCTGCGACAACCACGTCCTCCGGCCCTCGTCCCCGAAGTCGTTCTGTTGACACTCCTGTGAAGGGCTGGGACGATGAGATAGACGACGACATGATCACTGACTTCACGGATAGAGTCGAGGCTCGGACTCTCCGTCTTCAGAATGCCTCTCGCCTCTCTCATCTCCGGTTTTCTCGGACAGTACGTCCAATAGGCCGCAACACATCCCTCTCACCTCCTCGCTTCACTCCCCCACATAGCAAGAAAGCCCTCGACGCAGAGGCCAAGATTAACCAATGATAAAAATAGGCACAATGAACTGTAGGGGTCTACCCAAAGTTGGACACCCTGAATCACGCTCCTTTTTTATACGCCACCTACGCTCTCAGGGAATTGATATACTAGCCCTGCAAGAAACCCATGCCTCCTCTTCTATGCTTCAAGACACTTTTGACCAACAATTTCGGTCATCTTCATCTTTATGGTCGCCACACTGTGGTGTTGTATGCCTCTCCCCCCATATTATTCTCACAGACCCTTTATTTAGTCCTTGCGGCAGGTGCATCATTACAACTGTCACTCATACTGACAATAAATTTTCCCCATTCAAGATGGGTGTCATCTATGCTCCCGCCTCTCGAACTCCCCGCTATGATTTTCTTTCTTCCTTACTGTCGACACCTGACCTCATTCCATCCAATCCTTCCAACTTCATTTTATTAGGTGATTTTAACCATGCCATTCACTCTAACTACGCTCTCGGACGTCGTGCCCCACTAGCGTGGCTCCAGTTTCTGGACAACCATATGATTGACTGTGTCACTCCTCCTGGCCAGAACCCACAACCCACCTTTCATCGCGCCTTGTCTTCCACTACAATCGACTATATTCTTGCCTCTCCTGATCTTCACCCTCGCACTACTGACTCCCAGGTGAGATATATTCACCAAAACTGGTCCGATCATTGCCTGTTGACCGTCCGCTTGGCTCTCCCTTCCACCCAATCCTCTGGTAAGGGACTTTGGCGTGCTAACCCCCGACTTGCCAGGTTGACATCTTTCTGCACCGACCTCAACACTCTTCTATCCACCCTCATCCCTGCCCTTCCCGCAAACCTCTCTCCTCAAGCACGATGGGACTCGATAAAGAGCGAAGTCATACGCTTTATCAAGTGTTTCTCTCGCCACCTCCGACCCTCTCTCACCGACCTGGAAGCAAGCCTGCAACAACGGAGAGACAGACTAATACACCGTTTTCGACACCAGCCTGCACAGAATTTTCAGCTGCCTATTGTTGAGCGGCTTCTGCAGCAAGTCCAACTTGAACGAGTGGAGATCATGTCCCTTAGGGCTGGGAAACACTGGCGGGAACAAGGTGAGACCTCTGCTGGATATCTCAAGCGCACCATCGCCACTCGTCAGTCACGCAAGTCAATTGCCAGCCTTTGCCACCCTGCAACAAACGAAATATGTTCCACCCCCGAAAAGATGACCGAAGCAGCTGCCGCCTTTTATGAAGGCTTGTATACCCCGGACCCTATCGACCAATCTGCTCTGGACGACCTGCTCTCTCACCTGCCTTCTGACCTTGGTCTGTCAGAAAGTCGGCAGACTGCCCTCACTCGTCCTCTGTCATTGTCTACTATCCGCTCTGGTGCGTCGCGCACTCCAACCTCTAGCAGTCCCGGTCCCGATGGCTTACCCTACGAGATCCTTCGCTTGATACTAGACCACCCAGTCTGTGGTGATCTGGTTTCGGAAGTCTACAACGACGCCCTATCAAAAGGCATTTTTCCGGAATCCTGGCAATCCACCTGCGTTTGCCTGCTCCCAAAAAAGGGCGATCTCACCTCTTTGAAGAACTGGCGCCCAATTGCCTTGATCAACACCGATGCCAAGGTATTTACCCGATTGCTGAATGCTCGCATGATTACCACGGTCACTTCACTTGTCTCTCCTTACCAGACAGGGTTCGTTCAGGGTCGCTTCATCGCCGATAATGGAATGCTGACCAGGCTGGTCATGGCACAAGCCGCCAAGGAGGGATCAGCTGGTGTTGGACTTCTCCTCGATCAGGAGAAAGCATATGATAGAGTACATCCGGAATATTTTCGCCAAGTACTGACACACTTTCGATTTCCCTCCTCTCTTGTCACCTCGATCTCTAACCTCTTCTTTTCTACTAAATTGCAAATAAATGTGAATGGCTTCCTCTCGCGCCCTTTGCCTCAATCTCGGGGACTACGCCAAGGGGACCCTCTCTCCCCTATACTGTTCAATCTAGTTTTTGAGCCTCTACTACGACGAGTGATCCATGACCAGTCCTTCTCGGGCTTTCAACCATCTGTTCCTGCTGGTCTTTCTCCTCTGTCACCGATCAAACTCCTTGCGTACGCTGATGATTTACTTGTTTTTCTTTCTGACACAGGGCAGTTGTCTCGCCTCCACACCCACCTCAACACCTATGCTGCGGCTTCCAACGCCCGCGTAAATCTTCACAAGACGCAGGCATTTTCACTTTCGGGCTCACCCCTGCCAGACTGGTCCTCACATCTACGGACCCACAATATTACGGATTGGCATGACCGGACCTCCTCCTCTTCTCTTCGCTATCTGGGATATCCAATTTTCTCCTCCATTGCCCAACGAGACTCATTTGGCCAGGCCCTTCTTTCTAAGATTGAGAATAGCTGTATTCTACACGGCTCACGCACCCTGTCCTTCCGCGGCCGTGCCACTGTCATGAACTCTCTCATTCTCGCCCAACTTTGGCATGTCTTGCGCGTAGTATCCTTCCCCGTCTCTTTTCTCGAAAAAATACGCACTCTGATGCGCCGTTTCTTCCGCTTCCGTTCGTTCCCCCCCATTGCTTTGGACACCCTCTGCCTTCCTCGCTTTCAAGGTGGTCTTGGCATCCTCGACCCGATTACACAGCAATGCGCTCTTCAGCTTCGTTGGCTCAAGCCAATAATCCAGAACCCATTGGGTCCCCGTGGTTTGGTCCCCAAATGGATGGCTTCTCTCCTTCGCACTGAGAATACGGATTGTGATCCCCTTCTACTTTGGATCTTCCCAGACTCTAGACCTCGCACCCATCGCTCACTGGATTCGCCTCTTCATCTTGTCCTGAAGGCCATGGACCACCTCCCGCACAAGTTTGACGACGTCCTCACGAATCTATCCACGTGCCTTATGTTGCCCTTGTCCTCCATGGTTAATAGCCCTCCCTCTCATCCGCCCTACCGACAATCTTGGCGAGACCTGAAGGTTAACCACCTATACCAAATTGATCATAATTTGGACGTCCTGATGCCCATTGCCCCTGCTAGACCTCTTCCTCGATTTATCACTCTTAATCGTATCCTGCAAAGACTTCTCGACCGTTCACTTGTGGCTCACCCTATCCTTTTCAGAGCTTGTATTCCTACATTCATCCTAGAATCGCGACATTTGGATATGCCTCCTCGAGATGGGTCCCCCTTTGACTTTGATCCCTTCATCTCTGCTCTGGTCCTCGGCAAACCTTGGTCACGCTTGTCCACGCGCTCTTACCGGCTGACCTGTTCTCATCATCATGCTAATGCTCAACCACTTAGCCCCCATCTTAGCCCTCGCCAACTGCACTCTTTCTGGTCTTTCGCACTTCCTCACCGGGCCCGTAATGTTTGGTTTCGCGGCTTACACAACAAACTATCGTGCCGAGCTCTTTTGCACCACATTATGCCCTTCACTGTTTCTTCACCTCTCTGCAATATCTGCCAGATGTCAATCGAGACGCAAGAGCATTTTCTTCTTTCTTGTCCTTTGAAATCTGCGGTGTGGTTAGGCATTTGGTTAGAATTTTTCGGCACCGTCCCACCACCTTCTGCACTTTCCTCGGCATTCACATCCTTTCTCTTCCCTCCCACGCTGAACCCCAGTATTCCAGCCGCCTCGGTTTTCGGACTGACCATCCTTGCTATCTGGGACCACCATTGGGCACTCCACTTTAACTCTGCTCCCTTTTTACCTTCCTTGGTTCTTGCCACTGCTAGGAAATCAATCTCCCGCATCTGCTCAGAGCTCGAGCTTGACTCCGCTGACTCTTCCCTCGCATAACACCACATTAACATTTTAACAAAAAAAAAAAAAAAAAGTTTAAATCACACAAAAACAAGTCAAAAACCAAAAAGCCAAAAACATCAAATAACCCCCATAAACCCTCAAAACAAATGTTGTAATTTTCTCTTTTGCCCTACTCATTCAGAGAACTTTAATAAATCTGAGCCTGTCACAGCTCCATACAAACAAAAAATGAAACATGAGACCGTATAAAATTACATATATGGTTAAATGTTTCAAAAAAAAATTATATGATGTGTCCAAGGTCCTTAATGGCTCTCCACCAAACCATAATCTCTAAAACATATTTATTTATAATACCAACTACAAGGTACAGATATCACAGTTACACACTCTTCTGCCTCTTACTCTCGTAGAACATTGAATGAAAAGTAGTGGTTGACTAGCCGAGATAGCCATTGCACCACTGTAATACAAAGTCGAAAATAATTGCCTTTAAACACGTTCTGTTAAACTTCTCTATTTTCACAAATTATCTATAAAAAGTTTGTGTTGTACACTTTTCTCAGCCAAATTGTACTCAAAGTATATATATTTATTTTCGTAAATCTATTTCCAACGCCTTCCATTTTTTCCCTTCCTTCTTGTCTTCCTTCCTTCTTCTTTTTAAAAAGATGATATGGCATTCCTACTGTCTAGGCCTCTTGTTGCTTTTGTTCAATTCTAAGGTTGATGCTGTAATTCCTGCTGCTCGAAGCATGCAAGGTATGCTGTAAAAAAATATCCTGCATAAATTAATTGCAGGATCAATATCTTATCTTTTATATATATATATATAACATAGGATGTGTTCTCATAAAAAAGGAGATCTACTGCTATGGTGGATTTGGAGCAGCTTTAAATTCCCCATATGCAACTTCCTACACAGATCATTTTGCACTCGATGTATCAAACAACTTTACTGTCTCGGCATCCCTAACAAACTGGAGAGAGATTCCGGCAACACCTGGATTTGCATTAGAGAGCGTGTACAGCCTTAGAGCCAACCCCATTATCCCACAAAACAGTTACGTTGTTAATGGCTGTGGAAAAGACTACAACAACACACTCGTCAATTCAACGATCGTTTTCAATGTCAATACGCAACAGTGGAGCTCAGTTACAGATGGGCTTTCAGGAAATACGTACGTACATTTAGTTAGAGAGAGAATATTAACAGTAAATTAATTATCTAACCTTTTTTTTAAAAAAAAAAAAAAAAACATTGTATCAGATCTGACGCTTCTTCTGTCTCTCTCAATAATGGAACAATTAAGATGTGGGGCGGTGTAAGGTGTGTAATCGATACTTAAATAATTTACAGTCGCGTAGATACCATATCTTTTATACTAATTACAATATTATAGCCTAGCAAATATCTCAAGTCCCGTTCGTTACTGGTACAAGAATTTCTCTTGGGTAAGACCGTTAAACCTCAAGCTTTAGAAAAGTCTAATAATTAACTCGACATCTGTTTTAAATAATATAGGGTCAATCGTGGATTAATATACCTTCAGCCGCCCCATCTTTCATTTACCCTCGATCTGGGCACGTCTCTACTCTTTCTCCAGATGGTTCGACTATTTACTACATTGGAGGAATAAAGTACTTTAAGCAAACTACGACTACCAATATTTACGACCAAAAAGATGCCCCTATGAGCGAAATATTGTCTTTCAACACATCGACCAGCACCTGGTCTGTAAGCGCGACACTTGGAGACTTGACTCCTTCTGTAAGACACTCGTTTACCTTAAATTTTGGTAGGGAAGTCAATATATATATATACATGTATATATTATTTGGATAAAGAAATTAACACTGCGGCTTTATTTTTATCTTTCTAGTTCCCAACACAAACTCCATATTTATGTATGGAGGAGAGTCTTACGGTAAATCTCAGACACAAATATAAATAAATTTGCAGCTTTATATTCTATAAATCAGTGCTAAGCCTTATATATATATATTAGCCGCCCAAACTACTATTGTGAATGACTACAGCTGGGTGATTGATCTCAGCACACTTACATGGACTCAAAAGACGTTACCAAACAGCCCTGGGTGTCTTAAAGGACATTCTGGTACGTTATAGCTAATATAGTATAAGCTAAAACTATCGAATATTCAACATACTCTACAAACTCTAAATACTTTTAACAGCCATTTCGGTCAACAACTATTTGTTTGTTTTGTTTGGAAACGACAATTCGTTGACATCTCAGAATAGCTTTCATGTATTAAATTTCGATACGTGGGAGTGGACTGATAGTTACGGTCCAAATTGGGATGTTCTTCAAAGCACACCTGGCTCAACCAACACCGGATCTAAAGGCTTAAGCACTGGTGCTATTGTAGGAATTGCTGTTGGTGCCGTAAGTGAGCAAAAGAAAAAAACGTATACAAAAACAAAGATACTAAAACCGAGATGTAATGTACGTTTTTTTTTGTAGGCTGCAGCTGTAATAATTGCCTTGGTTGTTTTGTTCTTTCTTCGCAGACGAAATAAGAAGGGAAAACATGAAAAGGTTCAAAGTGAGACTTTGCCAATTGGATATAGCGAGAAACCTCAGGCGTATGAATCACCAAAAGAGTATAGAAATGTCAACACATCTGATAAAACAGCCGTACTCAATGCTTCAAGTGGGCCCATGCAAGTTCCTCATTCTTTTGATAATACTCCTAGTGCAGGAAACACACAGATCTTTCAAGACTCTTCAAAGCATATTGTGCCAGATACCACAAAACCAGATTATCTCAGCAGATTGGGCTCTCCCAACGGTGTTATTCTCCTTCAGCCAGTGAAACCAGACCTTGAAAGCTAACAGCTTATTATGCAGTAGCCAAAAAAAAATTCTATGTTATTCATAGCATACATCTGAATGCGTGCAATATTGTTCGGTTACATTCTATTTACATTCTACTGAACTACTTTTTACAATAAATTACCTTAATATTTACTACTCTCTACTACTGTTCAAAACTATTAAATGCTATTTAAAGCTATTAAATACTATTTAAGAATATTATATATTTCTCTAAGCTTGTAAAATAATATTGTGAAGCAAATACAATTTTAAAGTTTAGTACATGGCTTAGTACTGAAAATCCGTGACTAAACCCTTGGTAACTAGACAAGTGGTGACCAAAGTTAAAATTAGACTTGACCAAAAAGCAAGAAAAAAAACAAAAAGTAGTTAATGGAATCAAAGCTATGCAGTTGTGAGTAGTTGTTACTAACTCTTTAAGATAAACTATACTATGTAGTTATATTCCTAAAATGATTTGTCTTTTTGTTTTCTTCTACGTTATACTTTCATTTGCTTTTACATTATGGAAAACAAAGTACTGGTTCCAATGGTGATTTTTGACTCGATATCTAGATTCACCTGGAAAGAAGTTTCCGGACTATAATAGGAGGAAAATGCTCCCAGAGATATGGGTACACCATTTTTATCACCGAAGTCACGGACTTGGAAGGAATCTTTTCCCCCTTGGATCAGGATCAGGATTAGGTCTTTATATATATTTGAAAGACTACCGATGCTATGATCAGAAATTTCAAAGATCTTGGTTTTCTTTACATAGACGGGTCCATTGACGATCTTTGTCTTACCAACCTGCAATTCCGGTGATGAAAGCCATAGCCCCAATTATGTCCTACCCAGTTACCCCTCTGGGCACCAGACGATCCGAAATGGAATTCATGTTCGGATAAAACTAAAAAATAAATCAAGTAACTCAACTGTAATGGATACCATTGGCACCACCAAGTAATACTAATATTGGGCTTATCTCTTGAGTTTACCACTCAAACATATAAATAAAGAGATACAGAGAAACAATGACAATCTTTTTCACATACTCTAAAAATAAAAATAAAAGTATGAATATAAAATTCTGTGGAACTATTGACCTATTGACCTATTGAATTATTAAATCCCCTTTATAAAAACTCTATGCCTCGGTCAACTTAGTCCATTGTTTCCAACCAACAACCGTTTAGCCATTAAAGCGATGCCTGAATATAGCATGCAGTAATATGTAGAGAAATCATTATCCAAAATATTGATACTTTTCATAGAATAAAAAAAATGACTATACTTATCTTTAAAATTTCTCTCTGGATAAATAATTTAGCTCAAATTTGGCTCACATATGAATGCAAGTAGAATATATATATATATTAAATGTACTGAAGTTCTCCACAAGAATTCTTCTTTAGTGACATTCACAGCAGCACCACAAAACCCCTTTTCTTTATTTTTCGTCATAGGTATTTACCCAATTTTATTTCACTGGCCTCATCTTTCTTTCTTTTATATATATATATAATATTATTATTTTTAATTTTTTAAAAAAAATCCTAATATTCGGTTCATAAGAAGAAAAAATTATAGGGCTTTTTCTGTGGATTTGGGCTGGTCAAATTCAAAATAATGACCACAATAATGGATATGATGCATGAAGACTTTTTGTTTATGTAGTATTTTGCTATGTATGTATGCTTGATATCTAAGTTTAAAGTATATCTGTCCCATAATGATTTAGCTTTAGGCTGCACTAGAGCTTTGCTTTCAGCTTGTCAGCCTCTTGCTCCTTCTTCACAATATCCTTAACCTCGCGCCTCAAGATCTTTCCGGTAGGGCTCTTTGGGATCTGAGCAACAAATCTGATGCCACCGCGAAGATACTTGTGGTTTGTAACATTTTCAGCTACATATGCATGGATCTCCTTTGCCTTTTCATCTGATGCAACACTTGCAGCGTCCAACACAACAAATGCAACTGGGAGTTCGGTTGCCTGAGATTCGTCGTACTTTCCGACCACACAACAGTCCAGGATATCTTCACGAGTAAGCAAAAGTGCCTCGAGTTCTAAAAGCATTATATATATATATCGTTATTACTTGTTGCTGTCGAAAATATCAATAAAAAAAATCCAAGATAATAATTACCTGCTGGAGCAACCTGGAAACCTTTGTATTTGATCAACTCCTTAATACGATCCACAATAAAGAAATCCTTGGACTTGCTATCAAATCTTCCGACATCACCAGTACGCATCCAACCACCGTCCACAAAAGTCTCTTCGTTGGCCTTGGGGTTGTTCAGGTAGCCTTTCATGACGATGGGACCACGGAAAAGCAGCTCACCATCTTGATCATCACCCAAATCTAAAGAAGTCAAACATACAGTTAAACTCTTTTGATCATTTATTTAACCAATTCTATATCCCTTTTATCTTTCTAGCCAATTTTTTTTCGCCTTGTTTTTTTTAAGCAAATAAATAAATAAATAGCTAAATATTTACCATTCATGTTCTCATCCACAATTCTGCATTCACAATTTGGGAACAAAGTTCCAACAGAACCTATTTCCCATGAATATAAAGTGAGTCGATTGATTTTACCTCGTTTATTCTTTTATATATATAAAAAAGAACTGTTAATTTATAAATGGTACGACCCTTACCTAGAGTTCTTTTATGATATTTCTGGGCAAGAATACCGGAGGTAGTTTCGGTCATACCGTAACTTTGAACGATGTTTCACACAAATTTAGTTTAATTCTTACATATGAATATTATCATTATCATTATTACCATTATTCTCAACTTACCCTTGAGTCAATACAGCAGGCATACGTCTACTCAAAGAAGCAATTTGTTCGCGGTTGAGGGGTGCGGCACCACATCCAAGTAATCTCAAAGAAGTCATGTCATATTTTGTTACAATTGGATGTTTTGCAAGAAGGAGAGCTAAATAAAAAATAAAATAAAATCAGAATAAGAATAAGAAGAATCCAAGATTACACATGTTATAATATTTTCTTTGGGATAATAAGAAGAATAATAAAATAAAAAAAAAAAAGGGGGGGGGGGGGGGGGGGAACTTACCAATAGGAGGTACAATTGCAGCTAAAGTGATGCGATGCTTTTCAACAAGTTGACAAAGTAATTCCAAGTCAAATGCTGTCATTGTCACAACTACCGACATTTTGTAAATAGGACTCAATATCAGACTGCAGAGACCAAAGATGTGATAATATGGAAGGAAACCGAGAGCAATATCATCTGGACCAGCACCCATCTCATCAAAGTGACCACCAATCATCACCTGGGAAACGAAGTTTTGGTGGGTCAACATAACTCCCTTTGCAACACCAGTTGTTCCACTTGAGTAGCAGAGGAAAGCAGTATCTTCTATAGGGTTAATTCCCTTGAGGGGGTATTCAATAGCCTTTGAAGTACTGATGATGCTCTTAAAGGGTCTACATCCCGCAACCTCCTGGTCACCGAACAAGAATATGCGAGATTTGGGGATTCCGATCTTCTCGCAAACCTTGACCAATACCGGCAGAAGGCCAGGAACAGTGACTAGAGCAACAGCTCCAGATGAAGAGATTTGATGGTGGAATTCACCTGGTAAGAAGCGGGAAAGAGAATTGAGATTAGAATAATTTTTAAAAAAAAATTGGTATTTCTAAAAGATATTCTGATTTCAAACCTTCTGTATACGCAGGGTTTCTAAGGTGAAACAAGATAATTTTAATTTTTTAATATATTAGAAATCACATTTTTATTGGGAAGCTTATTTATGTATCCAATTTTACCCTGGTGTGATGACAAGTTTTGCTGAAAGCAGAGAGAGGAAGAGAGAAGTATGGTTATATTGGTTGGGAGCAAATACGGCCACAACATCGCCCTGCTTTAAACCAGCATTCTCTATCCACCCAGCTCCAAGACGGCTAGACACATCTTTGATTTGAGCATAGGTCATTGATTGACCTGTATTTCCGTCAACCGAAAGAACTCTATCATGAGGATAGACAGTATTGTATGGGTTGGGCCCAAATACAAAGCTGCAGATATCAACATTTGGAACGTCGACCTTGGCGTGAGGGGAAACAAAGACCATTTTCAATTAATTGATCAATAAATAAAAGTAAGAGAGTAAGAGTAATAGTAAGAGTAAGAGTAATAGTAAGAGTAAGAGTAATAGTAAAAACAAGGAACAAAAAAAAAGTCAAATATATTTCCTTGGTTTCTTATAGTTTAAGCAATGGCACAATGAGTTTAAATCATAGAAATTAATATGTAGTGGGAAAATGGTTTAGTAATACTCACTTTCACACAGTTTTAAATATTTTCCATAGATACCATCTCCACAGCATATATAAATATATATAAGTGGGGTTGGCATTCTATAAAGTTACACTTGGCAACCAATATATATATATATAATTTTTATAATAACAATAACCCTGCAGAACGTTCGGTATGTTGGTTCTTTTTTTTTTACAGTCAGCTCCATAATAGGCAATATTCCATTGGAGAGTGGACTTGTTCTAAGGCAAATGCATTCCCTTGAGTCCTATATTAACTCTATGTAAATCATTTTTCTTGTTTTCAACGTCTTTCTTCAAAAAACAGCAGCAATAATCCCTTTAGTCTCCTCTCTTTTCTACTCTTTTTTATATTTATATATATTATCTAGACCTTGCCTTTGAAGGTTCGAAGCTTAATGTCAGAAAAGGTTTTGCTTACCGTAAACACTGGGGACACGAGCCCAAGATCCCCTTCTGCAACATTGGTGGGGTCGCGCCACATAGATCTACCGCCCGCAGCCAAAGCTGGAGTTCCTATTCTCAGCTACTGTGTAGCAAGCATTATAATGACCGTTACCAACAAATACGTTGTCAGTGGTAGCTTCAATATGGTATTCCTACTCTTATCTGTTCAGGTAAATAAATCATAATAAGGAAAATATTGTTCAATATCATATGTGTGTATGCTTTTTTTTTATTTTATTTTTTAAAAAAAATCTTAATTTTTAAAATATGACTGTAGAGTATCACAACAGTTGGGTTCCTCCAACTTTTCAAGTTTCTAAATTTGATAAAATTTCGTGATTACAATCAAGAAGAAGCCAAGAAATGGCTTCCTATCACTGTTTTTCTTGTGGCTATGATTTATACTGGGTCAAAGGCTCTTCAATTCCTGCCAATTCCAGTCTACACCATCTTCAAGAACATGACCATCATCTTTATCGCTTATGGAGAGGTACTCTGGTTCGGTGGAAATGTGACACCAATGATGATGGTTTCTTTCGGTCTGATGGTAAGTCCCTGTGGTGTAATACAATATGATTTGATATATTGATTGTAGGCTGACAATTTTAATAAAATCAAAATATCTCGTTCTTTATATATATATGTCTGTACATACTTTTAGACATTATCTTCTATAATTGCTGGGGGGAATGATGTCTCGATGGCTCTAGGAAGTATCTTTCAGCCGTACACCTCTTCTGGGGACATAAATACCTCTATTACCATGCTTGGGTACTTTTGGATGTGTTTCAATTGCGTCTCATCTGCAGCATTTGTGCTCTATATGCGCAAGAGAATCAAGCTGACTAATTTCAAAGACTTTGACACTGTCTACTACAACAACCTGCTTTCTATCCCACTCCTCATAGTGCCCAGTCTGTTGTTGGAAGACTGGTCAAATGAGAATCTCTTGATAAACTTGTAAGCAATCTAATTAAACAGTTTATGCATTTTGTTAAACTTATTTTCTTATATATTGTATTGTGTTTCTTTTCTTTTCTTAGTCCTCCAGGGCAGCGCAAAGTGCGCATCTGGGCAATGATATTTTCGGGTGCTTCTGCATTTGGAATGTCTTACGCATCTGCCTGGTGTGTCCGAACAACGTCTTCTACAACATACTCAATGGTCGGATCGCTTAACAAGCTTCCTATTGCTGTGTCGGGTATCGTGTTTTTTGGTGACCCAGCTACATTTTCTAATATCACTGCGATATTTACTGGTAAGTTTTGTGTGAATATTCTCCCCACCTTCTACCTTTCAAAAGAAAGAAAAAAAGAAGGAAATACACGCTCGCACACACATATAAATACACAGAACTCATTCTGTCTTATATAGGGTTTGTGGCAGGTATTGTGTATTCGTTCGCAAAGGCATATCCATCTGTCTTTTTGGGATCAAGACCCAACAGCCCTTCAGTTTCTTCTGCTTCTAGTCAGAGTTACTCGGATGCGAACAAGTATGATGAGAAATCTAGAGAGCCATGAAATTTTTTGCTTTGATTTTTTTCCAGGGTCATTTTTTTTTCTTTACAAAAAAAAGTTTGGGTTAGATTTCATTCTCTTTATTTTAGAAATCACTACTATCAAATAGAGTTTTACATTTTTAATATTCCCATATATTTTTTTCTCGATCTCTCTTTTTTAATGTGAAGTGAAATTTTTCTTGGGTTTTTATATATAAATATTCGATCTAAATGTCGATTACAATATAATAATAGTATAAATGGTAAATGGTAAATAGTAATAATAAAAATTATAATCAGGAATGACGCTAATCTATAGGCATCGGTATTCTACTAAAAATATACAAGAAGTCGACACAATAATGCTAATAGTTCTACATATATATTATATATGCGTGTGTTTGGGAGTGTGTTTGGGAGTGTGTTTGGGAGTGTGCACGTATATGTATATGTGAGTGTGTTTATATCCCTCATTTCTTATCTATATCTTCCTTTCCGTTTCTACTTGTGTATATATGTATATGCTGGTTTGCTTTCTACTGCTTGTAAGTAAGGGCCATGGATACAAAGAACTGATGGAGTCTGTTGTCTCGTGTAAGTTCAGGGTGGAATGCGGTGGCAAAAAGGTGTTCCTGACGGACGGCAACAATTGTCTCTGCCTTGGTTTCTCCAATCTGGCGCTCGAGGCGGCCGACAACCTTGACCTTGTCGGATTTGATCTGGGAAATAACAGGGGCACGAATGAAGACTGCGCTAAAGAGCTCTTCACCCAAGATCTCGGGAAGATGAAGCATGGTCTCAAAAGATTCCTTTTGGGTGCCAAACTGGTTACGGTTCACGCAAATGTCGAGACCACCCAGCAATTGTTGACCACCCTTCTTTGCACCAGTGGCCTCGTCAGCAAGCATGATCATGCCAGCACAGGTACCCCAGGTGGGCTTTGCACGGACAAAGGCACGCAGAGGTTCAAGCATGTTGCAACGCTCGGCAATCAAAGCCATAGCGGTAGACTCACCACCGGGAATAATAAGAGCATCGACCGAGTTAAGTTCCTCAGCAGTTCTGACGGTAATGACAGATGTAACCTCGGGAATTCCAGTGAGCATGTTGATGTGCTCGAGAAAGGCACCTTGAAGAGCTATTATGTTTTGTGTCAGACCAAAGAGAAAAGTAGAAGAAAAAAAAAGCTTTAAGCATATTTGCCCTGTCCAACCTACCGAGAACTCCCATGTTGATCTGTTTTGTGGCCATTGTGGAATAAGTAAAGTTGGAGAAAAAGGGACAGAGAAGTGTGTCTGTATGAGTCAACTCTTTTTTCTTTTTTTTTATTTCTTTCTCAGAGTTGGTGCAAGTCACATAATTACAATTTTGTGACACAAAGAGATCTTGAACTTGTTGCTCTGTGGAGATGAAATTTCAAAGAGAAAGCTTATTTGTTATGTTTAGGCCATACCAAAGTTTGTTTCGAGACTCTATTGGTATGTATATATGTTTGAGTGTCTGAGTATTTCAATAATTGTTAAATACTGTTAAAAAAATTGAAACTGCGTTTTTTCTTTAAATGTGATTATTTGATACTTAATACATGTATAGAAGCAGCCAGTACCGTATACATATATCATATTAAATGACTATTGACAATGTTAGCACAAACACCAGAGAAATAGGCTAGATTTAAAGACGGCCATTGTTTAATTTTAGGAAATGCATATAAATTTTGTATAAATGAGACTGATTTATTGAATATGCCTCGGTATTAAATTGAATAAAATAAAGCAGCAACGTCTACCTGCAGGTAAGTATATTTGTGTTAAATTGGTGAACTATTTTAATTTTATTACAAGTCGAAACAAAACAAAAAAGAGCACCTTGATAAACCATAAGAAGTACTATACCAGTCCTATAGTCTGTTGATAGGCAGTGAAGGATACAATTGGATATTTGTTTATTTGTTTATTTATTTTGATTTTGATTTTGATTTTGATTTTTTGAACATGGAACAAGTTTCATATATTTTGCTCACACAAGCCATCGATATATAAAATCATAGGCTTATCGCAGCTGTTGACACAAGCTTGAATAGATAAATGGTTTAGAAGATTCGTGCGCCTAATGACTAAGGACAAAGGACTATTGTATCTATTGAGAATTATCTGAGATATAAAGGTATATCAAAAGAAGAAGAAAAGTAAGCAAACAAAGAAAAGGGTCAAGCTTTTGAATAAAAGGGCGGAGACTGTAGATTGAGCACCAAGAAGACTCCAAGTGCTATAGAAACACGTGAGGATGAGCGGCTGACTGGCATTTCAATAAGTCTCGTGTACTTGGCGTTTCTTTCTTTTCACTTCCCTTTCTTATTGCTTTTTTTCTCTCTTTCTTTTAATTTTGCCCCCTCATGTCAAGCTATAACTACATTATCAAGGTAAGATTACTACAATCTTTAAATTCTCCATCTCATTGTATATTATAGTACATCATTGTCGGAGATTCAGGTAAGAAAATAATAATAATAATATTATACATCAAAAGAAGACCAAGACCAAGACCAAGACCTAGAGGAATAGGTCGAGAAATACTAACAAATAAAACTTGGTTTCACTGTAACTTTGATTAGGTGTTGGAAAGGTATAAAAGAAGTGTAGATATAAATATATTATTAATTTCAGAACAAAAATTAAATCTAATATATATATATATATTTCCGTTCATATAAATAAAACTAGTCATGCCTTTTGCTCCAATTCACCGACAAAAGATTCTATTCTGGCCGTGAACTTACCATTGGGTAAATCATTCATTATATCCTCTCTCTCTCTATATATATATATATCTTGAATTGTTTTATAGTGATACATGCATTTTGTACAAATATTTATATACAAGCCTTTTAACTTCTTCTTTTTCTTCGAGGGTAGTGTCGAATTTGGTACAAAATTCATTACTGTTGATGGCAAGCAAGTAAAACTACAGATCTGGGATACTGTAAGTTTTTTCTTTGGTAGTCTATATTGCTATTTATTTTTATATTTATAAAATTTTATTTATTTAGGCCGGTCAAGAGAGTTTTAGAAGCATTACACAAAGTTATTACAGAGGAGCAGCAGGAGCATTGTTAGGTACAATGATGAAATGATTACACAATACCAAAAAAATTGCAACAAAGAAAAAAGATAGCTAATATATGTATATTTCTTTGTAGTTTATGATATCTCAAGGTAATACGTACTTTCGAATATTACTTTTTTTACAAGAAATAGGTCAATATAATATTCTTAAATTGTTTTATTTTATTTTTAAAAAAACAACAGAAGAGAGTCATTTGAACATATACCAATGTGGTTGGCAGGTAAGTCTTTACATAACATCAATTTCGATTTTAATTATTCATTTCAAATTTATTTAAAGATGTCCGTAAACATGCCAACCCACACACTACAATTATGTTGATTGGTAACAAGAGTGATTTGGATCCACGCCAACGACAGGTGACACACGAAGAAGCAGCAAAATTTGCAAAAGATAACGATATCCCATTATTCCTCGAGACTTCTGCAAAATCATCGGATAATGTAGAAGAGGCATTTATCAAGACAGCAGAAGATGTATATGCTAAGATCAAGGATGGTGTATTTGCCAACAACGAGGTAATGTGTTCAAATAATAATTATTTCTAAAAAAAATGAAAATTTCATCAACTAAACGTGGTGCATATAGACATCAGGTATCCGACTAGGTCCACAAGCAAGTGCACTTGGAGAAGAGACACAATCAGGAGCATGCTGCTCTTGAAAAAAAACCTTAATGCTCTTTTCTCTATTATTCCTTCTTTTTTTTTCACCTTTATGTAATAAACGCCAAAGCCATTTTTAACATTGATTAAATTTATAAGAAACGTGAATTTAATGCAATTGAAACAAGCCATAATCTATCTCTCTATCTCACACACATTCATTCATTAACATTCTTTTCCATTTCTCAAAAAGAGAGAAGAAAAGAGCTATATTAGATATCATTTCTGGGGGGTAAAAGTAGATTCAATTGATTGATCATTCTATTTCTTTCAAAAAAAAAATTCAATTCATATACATTTCCGGTCTTTCCAAGCATTTATTGGGCGAATTAAACAATATTTCGCCTGAAAAAAGCAGGGCAATAAGGTAGGGTAGGGTGCGAAATTGGGAAGATTTAAACAACGGTACCGGAAGCAGAGGCAATACGGGGCCACAAGTCAGCGCACTCCTTAGCAACGGGACCAGTAATGGCGGAACCCTTCATCTCACCCTTGGGGTTGACAATGACACCGGCGTTATCCTCGAAGTAGAGGAAGACACCGTCTCTACGGCGCCAGGCCTTGCGCTGACGAATGACAACAGCGGGCATGACTAAAAGTTAAATAATAAATAAAGAAAAATTCAAAACCAACAAAATAAAATAAACAGTTAGAAAAAAATATAGCTCTTATAACTTTGACATGTTATAAATATTTTATTGTTCATCTAATCTCTTACCCTTCTTTCTCAACTCGGGCTTTCCCTTCTTGACGGAAGCGACAACCATGTCACCAGCACCGGCAGCGGGGAGTCTGTTAAGACGACCCTTAATGTTGCGGACGGCAATGACGTACAAGTTCTTAGCGCCACTGTTGTCAGCGCAGTTCATGACAGCACCAACGGGCAGACCGAGGGTCATACGGTACTTCGTGCCGGAAATGCTAACTAGGAGGGGGGAGGACAAGGATCATCAATAAGCTTGTTCTTCCAAAAAAAAATCATAATATAAAACCGAAGGGCGATTTTTTGGGATAATATGTTGTTCTCAATCAATCAAGGGCGGGCAGCATATTAAAGGATGAAAGTTGGACGTGCGCGTAATATGTAAGAATCGGATAAAATCAAGAATTTGACGGACGGATGGATGGATATAAGGATACATAGATACATGAATAGATGTATTGATGGATGGATAGATAGATGGATGGATGTATAGTAGAATGTGTGAATGGATTCATTCATTCATTCTTTTTCTTTTTTTTTTATCTTGGCATCGTCCTTTCTTTTGATTCCTTTTAATCTTAGTCACTCGCTTGGCTTTCATCCTCTATTGCTTGTTCACCCTCGACCAGTTTCAAGTCCCTGCCATGCGCTATCTTAATTAGTCTTCTTGATACACACCTTTAGGCATAGCGAAGAAATTCGGATGAGAGAGGGGGACTTGATTGTTGGCTCGCTTCGATCCTCATGTTTCTTCCGAGAATCCAGTCGGGCTTTTGATACAACCAAACGTCACTTTTTGTGACTACATAAATAAAGCACACCTTTAACCCCACGTTTGACTTGAGGAACCCTTCTTTTTTTTAGAAAAAGAAAAAAGAAAAAGAAAAATCATTCATACTCGCTACAGCATTATAGATGAATCCAGACATTGTGGAATCCTGAAATCGATAATTAAACATGTGTATATATCTATATATATACTTAGATTTCTTTTCTTTTCTTATTAAATGATATACCAAAATATTTTTGTTTGATCTTAAAGGATCTTTACATTTTGCAATTCATGCCATTGAATTGTAAAAGTAAATGGCCAATTCAATTCACTCCGTAAATTATAGATATATTTTCAAGACCCCAGATTTGCGTACTTTTAAAAAAAAATATGAATGATATGCCTGATTTTCGTTTGGCTTGTTTGTTTCATATCTACGGTAGGCTAGCTTATTTTACTTTATTTTATCCTTATGCTTGTAAGAATATAAATATGAAAATATAGAGGTTAATAATTATGATCGTTTTACTTGGATTTAAAATGATTTGATACGAATATCAATTTTAATGATATTGGCAATTACTTATTACTCACAAACTTTTATTAATAAACTGAATTACTAATAATGAAATTCTGTAAAAAAAATATCGCAAGATATTATAACATATCCACCAAAAAGGAATAATAGAATACCAACCCTGAATGCAAATCCAAATGAAAATCCTAATGAAAATCTGTTTGTGTGTTTGTGGATCATTTCATCTTTACAATGATTAGATTAAAAAGCTTGCAAATCATTAGCGAGAACATAGTAAGATCCGCGCAAATATATAATTTCATATATCTATATGCCTATATGTCTACATGTCTATATCTAATACTTGCTTATATTAAAACATTGAATCATGTAGCGCAATATATATATATATCTTTTTAGACTTTTGGTTGAAAATATATTACAAAAAAATAACAATTTAATCTTTATATGTTTATATGTTTATAGGTTTATAGGTTAATGGAATGTAAAGAGAATATTAAAAAAAAACAATAAAGTTTTGGCTTTATTATATGAATAAGTGAATTCTCAATAGATTAAGGGGATTTTTGATATTCTTTTCTTTAGAAATGAATATTAAACAAATAATGTAATAATAATAATAACGGTGCGTGTAATTTGATAATTGATATTTGATATTACTGAAATTGATATTGATATTGCTATTGCTTTTGAGGATAATATTGGGCAAATTCACCCTAGGGGAATTTTTAGTATTATTATTATTATTACTTGTTCAAATCAATATTTCTTTTTATCTACAAATAATTGGAGGCATACTGCTACTAGTGTAACTACAGAAATGTATATATACGCACCTGTTTTTGTATGCATGAGTACATAAGTACATGGGTACATATGCTGCTCTCCAATATACATTCTTCTTTAAATTAAGATATGAAAGCCAAATATAATGTTATCAATCTATATTTGAAGCCTGGGATTATACTCTTCATTTAATATTATCTCCTTGCAGCTGTTTGATGTATCATTCATTCATTCACTCATTCATTCATTCAGTCACTCATATATTTTTTATAATTGCTTATATCTATAATGACAAGATACAAAAGCCCTAGTTTGATTATTTATATCTAGCAAGAAAATGAAGGGGTGGAGTGGGAGAGGGAGAGGGAGAGGGAGTTATTTACTTATCAGCTAAAATACATAAAAAAAACAAAGTTTTTGCTGTTGCTGCTGCTGCTGCTGTTGTTGTTGTTTTTCTGATTTTTGGTTTTGCAGCTTGAAAAATATAATAAAATAAATGAAATAGAGGGAAAGAAGAGGGGGTTGTTTCACTACACATTTGCTGTGCTCACCACAAGAATATATACTGTATTTATTACTATTAAGGTCTATAAATCCTACCAAATAATAAAGTAACCGGCATATCTTAAACCACCTTTTCTTTTCTTTATCCTGCCTATATATCCAAACCTTTTATTTATTTACTTTATAAGCTGTGTATGCCTATGGTTTGCAGTAACATACCAATTGCAGTATAGTCTTAATTGAAATAAATTGGCTGTACAAAAAGACCAATATATTCCGTGCACACTTACATATACCAAAATAAACAAGTCGGCTCTTTTTGTATATATAAATATATATGTATCATAGAAAGGTCATTTTACTCTTTTATTCGGTGAGAGCTAAATAACTATATATATATCCCCAGTTTCTCATTTTTCTTGCAGTACAACTAGTAAGCTACCTATACAAATAACAACAGCAAAAATTAAAAGTCTATATGGTACATAAAAGATAGAGAGAGAGAGAGACATAAAACAGCTTTTAAAAAGATATATACCTTTTATAAGTAACGATAATAATCAAATCAAATCAAAATTTGCTCAAATAGGCTTATTACCATAAAAATAAGCTTATTACTAATGATAATAATAAAAATAAAAGAGCCTTCTCAGCCCTCCCCTCTCTCTCTCTCTCTCTGTATATATACAATACCAAACCAAATAGGAGTATTGTTGTCTCTATCACTAAATAAATAAATAAATAATAATAATAATAATAAAGTGGCCAAGCGTAGGATGTAGATCCAAATAAACAGGGGGTCAAAAAGTCAGTTTATCATTTGAACCCGCCAAAATACAATAACTTAAGTGAGTCTGTCCGATCCACAAAGTTTTAGCCCCCCATCTTCCCCCCAATTTAATTAATTAATTAATAGACAGATAGATAAATGGATATATACATAAATAAATATCGGGTGTAAAGAGTACTATCTGATCCGTGTATGTTTCCAAAGAAACACCAGCATAGAACATTACCAATATCAGTACTAGTACTAGTACCAGTATCAGTATTAGCATGAATATGAACAATGTATGTATATATATATATGGCAGCTCAATACGACATTCCTCGACCTTTCAGATTTCAGGTGACAGATACCAGGAAACTTTTAGACACGACTAATAACCCTCTTGAATTCGTTACCCCTGCCGAATTTTGTAACAACTTTTTGTTTTATTTTTAAAAAAATCATAATAATATGGGGGTGGTTTGGTGTCAAAAGAGGGTTCGCCAACAGCTGTCTTCTAAAAGATCTGTACAACCAGCTTTATAGTAAGATTCAACACATCATATTCAAGTCAATCAGCCAACAGTTTCAAGATGATATATCACAAACTGTTGATACTATGCCTTTATATGTACATATATACATATTACAGAAAAGTTAAAATGCACTAAATTGCAATTTCATATACATTCATTTCCTAATCAATTTAACACCTTTCCCAACACTTTGTCTGGGTTCACTATTGAATATAGAAAAAAACACGTTAAAGTATCAGGCCTCTCGTATTTAATTAGAATTAATATATATATATATATATATACTGTCAGTTTAAGCAAGAAATTAAAGAAATCGCGCCAGTTAACAAATATAATAAAATTTCCAGATTTCATAAAGCTAATTGCTTGAATAGTTTGGTCTTTTTACATATATTGAGTAAAAGAAAAACTAGATAAATGATTACAGAAACCTTGGGATCCCAATGCTTTTACAGCTCACTATCTAGAAGTTATAAAAGAAAGAAAGAACAATATAATTATAGCACTTTATACAAGCAATTGTCATTAAAAGTGGGTTAATAAAATATAGTTGACAAATATCATATAAACATAGCATGTAGAAAATATAGCCTTTTTAAATCATGAAAAGGGGACATACATTGACAGAACATTCATGCTACCAATGAATTTCTCCTACAAATGACAGGAATAATTTGTATTTATCATGTCTTCTTATTATTTATTCCTTGGACTCGTTAAATTGATACTTGCTCTGCATCAGGGAAGAATGCAATGATTTCTTTTTGTAACTGATTGAATAGTTTGTCTACACATAGCCCAAGTACTTAATACATAGTCACCATGACACGTTAATTGAGAACAAGGTACCGTCAAGTACATAATATAAGTGACAATCAATTGATCAATAGGTAGATATATAGAATAATACTAATACAAAGAGAATCAAGCATGGAAGTAAAGTGAACTATATCAAGAGCATTATCAGCACATAATATACATAATATTATCTCTGGCTTTGTGATGTCACATTTAATTTATTGTATATCATACCGTAATGTTATATGTAAAAGAACTACTTTGATATTTTGTGGCACTTGTCTCGTATCACAGCAAATTTCCTTTAAACATTACACACCTTTTCCTATAAACTATGTACATCCAAACAACAACAACAACAACAACAAAAATAAAAATAAAAATAAGAAGAAGAAGAACCATAAATTAACAGGCGTAAATAAGAATAAGAATAATAGTAATAGTAATAGCAATAGTAATAAAAAAACAACAACAATAAATGTATATATTTATTTAACATTATATGCACTTTATTGATTCTATTCAAACAAATAATCAAAATCTTGTAACTAACCGCATTATCCCTGCATGTCACTTACACAAACAGGGTTATAATCACAATCACAAACACGAGCACAAGCACAAACACAAACACAAGCACAAGCACAAACACAAGCATAAGCATAATCATAAGAGTAACCATAAGCATACGCATACGCATACGCATAAGCGCAACTACAAACATAAACATAAACGCAAACGTAAACAGAAGCGCAATCAAAAGCGCAAATAGAAGCCAATCTTGCCAAATAATAATAATACGTATAGTAAAGTGTGGGCTTTCTTAAAAATCATCTTTTTATTTATTTATCTTTTTGGCCAGTCTTTCTTTTGTATGGAAACCAAGATTCCAAATAAGTATTTGTGTAGCTTGTAATCAGCTTGTAGAAAGAAAGAAAAAGTCTCATGGTGTCCATTTCAAGTTGTCTAATCTAGTATCGTTAATGAGGTTCATTGCCAATCTAATGATGAGTTTAGTATTTGAAAATGTTTGTGTTTGTTTATTTGTTTGTTTGTTTGGATATTTCCCTCTTTCTCTCTCTTTTTCTCTTTGTATATTATTTATTTATTTATTTATTTATTAAAGACAAATCACTACCAAGGTACTTCCTCGAAATACGTACTAAATTAATTATCATTATCACTGTCATTATTATTACTTAAAGGCATAGAAAACCTTTATTTGATAGGTGTACAGATATATGTTTTTCTTGACTGATTTGGTTTGGGGAGTGTGTGAGAGAGAGAGGGAGGGGGGGTTGGAGGAAAAGAGGGGAGTGCAGGTACTCTTTTTACAGAAAAGGTGTATAAATATGAAGGTTACATACATTTGTATATTTGTATAATGGATATTAAATTAGCGACGAGAGGTGGCAAAAAAAAAGAAGAGAAGAGAAGATAAAATTAAGTAAAGTAAAGTAAAATAAAGAAGTGGGAGTACGAAGAGTGGGAGAAGAAGGTAAGAATAAAAGTGGGCTTACAAATAGAAGAACAAAGATAATACAAATTCAAGAGAAAAGAGGGGGGATTCAAGAGGAACAGAGGGGGTGAAGAATACAATAAACAAGAAGAAGAGGAAGAAGAGGAAGAAGAAGAAGAGTAAATCAAAGTAAATGAAATATACAGGCAGACAGACGGATAGACAGATTTTGTGAAAGGTTGAATGAACCCTTTCCGGTCTTACACTGTCTATATATTCAACAAGCCCAGCCTCTCTTTCGCCTCTTTCTCTCTTTCTTCCTTCTTTCCTTCCTTCTTTCTTTCTTTCTTTCCCTCGCACACTTTCTTTTGCACCCTCTCTCCTTAACCAACTCCCATTTATTTACTAAGATCTTTGTCTTTTTCACCTCTCTTTCTCTCTTTCATTCTTCTTTAATTCTTTTGATTTCTTTTTTTTCGAATTCGTTCAGCGTGTTAGTCCTCAGTCGAATAGTCCTTACGCCCTTAACTATATGTTGATGTCGTTCCTCAAATCAAACCAACCTCTCCAAACAACCGGCAGCAACCTTGTCGGTCTATGGCGTCCCTCTTTTGTCAAAGTAGATCAGCGACTGTTCGTCTTTGGAGGAGGAGGAAACGTAACAAACGATCTACACGTCTTGCACCTAACTGACATGCGATGGGAGACTATCCAGGTACACATAAGCACAAGCCCAAACACCTAAACACACATGCCCAACCGAAACATAGTCTATAACACATTTTCCCCCTAAGAATATCAAAGGTACCTCTCCTTGTAAACGCTATGGCCACACCGCCACACTTTGGAATAATTGCATCCTTGTCTTTGGTAAGAAACCACATACCAGTCAATAACTTTCAAGTCCGTCCTCATTCATCTAACCCCTTGATTCTATCCATTTCCCTCCCCTCTGCCCCTCCCCCACCCCACCCCTTGCTCCCCCGCCCCTCCCTAAGGTGGTTGTAATGAGTTCCAAGAATACTGTAACGACCTTCACATCTTTGATCTCGAAAAACTCACCTGGTTCCAACCAAAAACAACCGGCGTAATACCAGCACGTTATTTACACAGTGCAGTTGCCTACGACGACAAACTATTTATTTATGGAGGATTTGCAAAAAATGCAGACTGTAAGGTCTAAATACCAAATATATATATATACACACATATATATATAGATACATGATAAATATTATATTTGTCATATTGTCACACTATTACACACATTATATATTTATCTATATTTTTCTTTCTCTTTCTTCACGCGTGCGTTTTTGTATATACGTGCGTAAAATTTTACCTTTATATACTTATACATATATATATATATATATATAGGCACATTTGTATTAGATGAACTCAACGTAATCGATTTAAAGTCCATGAATTGGTCAAAGCATGGAACAGTCCCTCCGCGATACAACCATTCTGCAACCATCATAGGCAACAAAATGTACATCTACGCCGGAAAGGACGAACAAGGGTGTACGGTATCCGATCTGTTCTCTATCCACCTCGAATGTCCTCCTTATGTACCCCACTTAGTCCTCAATGGATCACACTCAAATTCAACCAACCAGATGGTCTTACTAAAGAGCCAGCACTTTTGTGAGGCTGTATGTGGCAAACTGTTGGTATTCGGTCGATACCTTGCAGGTGGTCAACCAGACACACCTTCTGATGCCACATATGGTCTGTGGATGCTCAATCTCGATCGGCTCGAATGGGAGCGACAGGAATGCAATGCAAATTTCCAAGTAGGCGGTTGGAATTACTTTACCGTCTTGTCTGAGAACATGCAGTCTTCTGAGACGGGCGAGACTGATGTAAAGATCAACAATCTCTTCTTTCTCGGAAACACAGATCCTTTTAGACCCCAAGGCTATGATCATTTTCGGTTGGTACTTTTCTCGCGTCATATACTAATACCAATAATAACTCATACATCTATGTCCTTCACAGTGATGCACTCATAATCAACGGAGAGTCTCTCGGATTGTACGACATCCCGGCTCTGGCATGCATGAATGAATTTGGACACCTCCTGAATTGCCCCGAGCTGTCTGACTTTGTGATCGTACCTGCAGGCGGCCAGGCTCTTCACGTACACCAGGTGATTCTTATGACGCGCTGGCCGCATTTCAGAAATATATACAAGTCCGGGATGGTAGAAGTCCAACAGGGCAAGATGGAGATGCCCGAGCCACCTGAGGTCGTATTAGCCTTTCTTACCTATCTCTACAGTGACAACCTTGATCCAGACACATCCTGCCAAATTGTTTGCGAAGTACTGATACTTGCCAATATGTACCTTTTGCATCGACTAAAGAAAATATGCTGCGAACGACTGTATCGACAACACCTGACAGTAGAGCACTGTGGACTAATCTTTGAAAAGGCTATCTTATCTGAAGAACACGGACTACGACTGCTCGTACTAGACTTTATATTCAGAAACTATGGGGCAGTATTGAAGAGTAATGTATTGCTCGAAATGCCATTAATGATACGCCAGGAATTCCTTCAGGCTGTACCCGACGAGGCAGTATTAGAAGTCACTCGTTCGCGCTTCTTCTCACACGCAAGTCCTTCCAAAACAGCCTTGACTTCTGTGGCAGCTGCAATGACCAGCCACACTGGAAATATATCAATCACACCTCTAAGCCATCCTTATCCAATTAACTACAGCTTCGGGTCAAACACCTTCAGTGGGACTAATAATTCTCCATCTGCGAACGTAGCCCGAATGCGACACAATAGGACCAATGTGGTTTCGACCAGTATCCTTTCCTCTAATACTACCCCAACAAGTGGTATGAGTGTAGGCGTATAGAACCTCCCATTTTATATCAACAAAATAATAAGCCATCTATATTTCCAATGTAATTATATAACCTCACCTTTCCTTTTACCTTTTACCTTTTTCTTCTTCTTATTTCTTCCCTCTATACTTCTTTTTTTTCTTTAATTTTAAAAATCCTCCTTTTTCCTAGATTCCCTTTTCTTTTCTTTTCTTTTTATTATTTTTATTATTGTTCCCCTTCTTATTTTCTCCATATTTCTTGCTTTGAATTTAATGTATTTAAGCCTTTACAATCTCGCTTTTAAATGTATCTGATTGATTCAAACGTCATCCAAATGTGTGTATAATTGTGTGTGAGTATGTGTATTTTATATTTCCAGGAGCATATAAATATATTTACACTTGTGCGTAGGCTTCACAAGCTACAATTTACCCCTGGCAGTGTCCATCAATCAGCCCCTCAAAATGAAAACACATAGTACGTCGTCGTCGTTGTTGTTTGTGTTGTTGTTGTTGTTTCGTGTTGTTATTTGTGTTTTTGTTTTTGGCTTAATGTAGGTCAAATTATCCAGTCGATTCAAAGCGACACAAGTCTTCCTTGTCAAACAGTAACAAGAAATTTTTGTGCCTACCATTCAGCTTGTCCTTCCATCGCCCTTCCGAGTGTCTATTCTCCCCTCTCACAATCAGTTCTCCCTAATTCCCTTTTTCTTTATCACACCAATCTCCCTCATTAAACTCACTCACCCACTCACCCACTCACTCGCTAACTCGCTAACTCGGGTATCTTATATAAATATGTCTATTTCTATCTATATTTTCTTTCCCAATGTTTTTCACTCCTATCTTTACCTCTTGAGGCGGACAATGGTCGACGGTATATGCTGGTTCATTAATACGAAATGACGCTTGGCTATCGTGTGATCCACTGCTAACACTTGTCTTTCGACCCAAGTTGGGTTGATAACCATCCAAGATACGATATGAGAGTTCATTTACGACGTGACTGCGGCTAGATGGCGACAAGGCAGGAACATCATCATCTTCGTCTTCTGGCTTTTGAATTACATGGCGATGAATTAATGATGCTCCATATGCCTTGGAGCTCTGAGCCCAATAAAGAATAGCAAGACGATACAAAGTATAGTTAGGACAATGATGATGCATTTGGATGCTCCAGTGATCCAGCACTACAACATTACAAAAAGGAAAAAAAAAAGAACACACACAAATATTCATATTATGTATATATATAAATATATATTAAAATATAATCAAAGAACAAGTAGTTAGCAACTAAAAAGAAAAAAGAAAAATTTACCTTGGAATACGCCGTAGATCATCCAGTAAGTCAACCATGCTTTGTAGGTATCAGGTTCTTGATGGTCTGTTTGTTTGACCAATTGCCAACATTTCCAAAGTGGGTAGAGTGTACCAACAATCTGGACAACCAAGAATCTTGAATGATCATAAGATCTTTTCATGGCCCAAGCCGCAGCTGCTGTAGTACTCAGAAACAATGGTACAGGTGGAAGCCCCTTGCGAATAAGGAATCGAAATAGTGCCGACTTTGCATAAACATCTTCGAGAGAACGTAGACGAAAAACACATGGACGAGTGATCGGTAGAGAAATAAGAGCAAGGTGAATGGGTGACTGTTGATTTACAGTATCAACCCATCGAGTGAGTAGAGTTGAAGTAGCATAACAGCCGTCCGGGGTATCAGTAACGGTCATAAGAAGTGAATAGGGATCTGCCGTATCTCTATATGTATATGTATATTATCTAAATATCTAAATATAAATATAAATAAATGTATTTGTATTTGTACGTAACAGGTAAAAAAAAAAGATAGATAGAGGTAGAGAGAGAAGTATAGTAAAAGTGGTAAGAAAATAATACGAACAATAAGTAAGGAGAAGGAGAAGATGTGCGCTCTGGCGGGGATAGAATAAAAGAATATATATGTTTATTCAGGACATCAAAGACATGTGATACCGAGACAAGCTTGGGGATTCTCAAGAATTGAGCCGGCCAATCCATCGGTGCGGATCATCCAGTCCACTGCCAAGGTCACAATGTGTTCCTGTAAGTGGGTCTCCCACCCAGCCATCGTCCACTGAGACTGAGCAAGCATATATTCGGTCGATACAACAACAGTTGCCATTGCAGCTACAGTCGCTGCATATACTACACATATTCCAGTCACAATTTTTGCTAGTAGCATCATAGCTTCCATCGGCCTTAGTGTAAACTTTAGTCTATCTGCGTACAGCGGTACAAGTGACTGGCTAAGGACATTTATATCATGGTATGACAACCCGGTTGCCAAGAACGGATTCAGCTGTCGAGCATGTACACGGAAATCGAGATAAGCGCAAAAGTCGTCGTAATGCGTGTGGGGTACAAATAACCGATATTGCATAGCACCCATCAGCTGCCGTTCAAGATTGTTGATCTGTTGTAGACTGTAAGCCCCAAGTGTATGGTCGACCCAATCCAGGTTTGTCCACGTCACATCATCCAAAAATTTGTCGGCCACTACAATGCATGCCATAAAGAGATCCCTGGGTTGTTTCCATTGTACTACATGTCGACTTCCATGGCATAACTGGTCCATATACCATAGACATACTACTAGCGATGAGCAAGAAGTCTGGGCACGCACTAGAGTACGTCTAATGAAATTCACGTGCGACCGCCAAGACTCGTAAGCGTGCACAGCAGACTGCACCAGAATGTTTTCGTCATTCCAACTAGCCATCCAAGCACCAGCCAAATCTATTTATTTGTACAAATGAATATGGGGGGTTTTCTTCTTCTTTTTCTTATAGAGAAAAGAAGTACATAATGCATGGTATTAATTACCAATGAGTTCAAGAGGGATTCGTCGAGTGCATAGATCGTCCTGCAAGCTTTGTTGATAACCCTACGTTGAGTAACCAAAAAGAAAGTACAATGTCTTTAATTAGACCTCTGTTTTGCAAATGATCCATTCTTACGGAAGATTCTATAATATGCTTCATCCGATCTCGTTCGGATTGTTCTTTACGTAGGATAGAGCGTTTGGGATTTCGGGTCATTAGAAGAAATGAAGAAAGAGATAAAAAAAATCGGGGATCAAATTATTCCGAAAAAGGGAGACTTTTATGTGTGTATGTGGGTGGGGGATGAATGGATGGGTATGGAAATCTTTATCAAAAATAAAAACATATAAAAAAAACAACGCCTCCAAAAAAAGAGTTGTTTTAACTTTATTTATTTATTTATTTAAATCATATAATTGTATATAAATATATATATATATTATACAGATACATACATACATACATACATACATACATACATATAATATAATATAAGAAATATATTATTGTAATGGCCAGTCTTTTTCGTTCATGGACAGGATTAATCCGTCAACCCACCATTACTCGTACCATTCAACCTGGTGTCATGGCAGGAATGACACTCAAAGCCTCACCTTTTGACCAACGTCGGTTTGCTGTTAGTCTTTTTTTTTTATTTATTTTGATTTGCTTGTTACTCATTCCAAAGGGGTGAATTACTTTATTTATTTATTTTACTTATTTCTTTGGTTTCTGTTTTTGCCTTGTACTTAATTTGCCCTTCCAACGTTGTATCTGACAGGGACACAACAAATGGAGTAAAGTAAAACACACAAAAGGTGCCAAAGATGCAAAGAAAAGCAAACTTTATTCAAAGATTTCGCTTGAAATTGTATCCGCTGTCAGAGGCAAGTGAAATTTTGTGTGTGTGTATGTATGTGTGTGTGTGTGTGTGTTAATTATAATGGATGTGTATATAGCCGGTGGTCCGGATGCAGCCATGAACTCTCGATTAGCAGCTGTTCTTAACCGTGCCAAAGCAGCTAGTATGCCCAAGGACAATGTTGAAGGTGCCCTGAAAAAGGTAATGTTTATTGGATCCGAACTTTGAATTTTATCTTTTTCTCTAATATATTCTGTGTATAATTGTGTGTAGGCAAATAATAAAGATAAGGATACTGTAGAAGATATCATTTATGAATGTTATGGACCTGGTGGCATTGCCATGATCATGTATGTTTGCAAAACACCGAAGCCTTATTTTTTCTTTGGTATTGATCTTTGTATTCATCAGTGAAACCGTTACAGATAAGAAATCAAGAACAGTCAAGGAAGTTAAAGAAGTTTTGAACCGTCTTGGGCAAGTAACTTGTATTTTTTGATTTTATTTTGAATGCGAAATCCAAACAATAGAGACACTTATACGTTATTTTTTCAATATCTCTATTCAGTGGTTCAGTGTCTTCAGTAGGATGGTTATTTGAAAAGAAAGGCAAAATTGTTTTTGCTTCTGGAGAGACAGGTCATTCATTAGAAGAAATGATGGATTCAGCTATTGAAGTTGGTGCAGAGGATATGGAAGATGAAGAGGATCTTGTCGAGGTACACAAACGCACATAAACACACAGACCTACAGTCATATATACATACACTCGATTACTTATTATTTTCCTGTGGATAGATTACTTGCGATTATGCTCAGCTCAACAGTATCAGTCAAGCACTCACACAGCAAAAATATGAAGTTCAGCAGATGGAAGCTACATATGTACCAAACACTTCTGTTGAGATCACTGACAAAGACACCCTTGAACAGGTTGTCCGTTGTCTCGATGACATGGAAAACCTTGATGATGTAGTCAAGATTCACTGTAACGTCATCCTGCCAGGTCAAGACGAGTAAATATTTTATCGTAATGCGAACATTTCTTCCTCCTCCTCTTATTCAGTTCAATGCTATTTATTTTTTGTTTATGTATAATAATATAATATAATAAAATGAGTTCGATTTTTTCCTTTCTTTCAAAAATACTGCCTTAATGACCCCTCACTTGTAAGTGACGGGTCATTGAGAATTACATAGTATGCATGTAAGAGTAAATAAGGAAAACGTGCTGTAAAATAATATAGATAATCATTTGGTGGTTCACCGAGTGTCTTTTTTACAGGATCAGGCAAGTCTTGCCAGTGATGCTTCTTGTTTCGCAATGCTCTCAAAAGATCGCGTACACGTTTGCCATCATATTTTCTGAATTTACCCAAATCATTAGCCAGGACTCGATCGATCCTGCGATACCAGTCCTGTCCAATTACTCGTTCCCCGTCCGATTCTAGTCTCCTCAATAGATCTGATGGAGGATCCCTTTGCTCCACCTCAAAACGATCGGATGCGTCTTGTAAAAAACCAAGGCGTTTTGAAGGAGACCAGAAGAAAGGATGGGCAAGAACTATGTCCGCCTTTGGTCTACATGAAACAAGCAATACATTAAAATATTGCATCTTTGGGTTTTTTTCTTTCTTTCTAAAATCACATACTATATTAAACCCATTCTCACCTTATATGTGGTTGCACGGACAACATACGTTCAATTAAATCCATGGCTTCTACTCCATCCTCACCCATGCTTTGAAGCCGACTCAAATCATACACTCCTTTGAGAATATTGTTTTCTCGCCCAAATCGGTTACCAAATGGATGTTCTCCTCCACTCAATACATAATAAAATACACATCCAGCAGAAAATATGTCAATTGCCCGTGTCGCCTTAACGGATCCAATCGTATTCGGATCATTGCCTCCTTTACTACTATGGCTAGTTTCGGATGCTGTCGCATGAAGTGCGCCTGCCAACAATTCTGGTGCACGCCATCCAGATGTTCCTGCTGGTGACTGTGCCGTATAATGGAAGCTGCTCTGTTCACCGTCAAGTTTCTTGCACAGCCCAAAATCAGAAATAAGAATTCTTAGACTTGGTTTTTTGTCTTTTCTGTTGGTCTTGCTGGGTGCTAGTAAGATGTTATGCGGCTTAATATCTCGATGTACGATTTTCAACGAATGTAAATGCTGGATACCAGCCATCATCTGTTGCAATATATTGGCCGGGTTAATCTGGTCAAATAGTTGCATATCCGCGATTGGTAAAGAGCGTTCCATGCAATCATGTAAAGATCCATAGCATAGTTCAAGAGCAATAAACAAGAAACGGTCCGTCTCTTCCTAGAAATTACCATAAATCACCATAAATCACTCCTTCTGTGTGTGCGTATATTTAGATATCATAAAATCTTATAACCTTACCTTGTAAAAATAACGAATGACATTTGCATGGTCATCACTTTCTTGAAGCAGCTTGACTTCCTGAAGTGCCACATCGTAAAAGTCAATTAAGAGGCGCTTAACAGCAACAGAACGCCCATCAAATTCTCCCTTGTAGACAACAGTACCATGGCTTCCATAGCCTATAAAATAAGTGTCAGTACACTATATGTGCAAATATTCGTCCATTTTCCTTCTCTGTCCATTACCTAAAACAGTTTTAGATAGTGTTAGAACACTTGTTGTCGTTGGTGTAAAGCTCTTGAGATTCAACCCAGTAGCATCTCCATTTGCCATTGTTGCTGATCTCCCAGTTGGACTAGATGTTTCGATTGCTATGGCGAGCAATTCCTTCTCTTTTTCCTTTTTTTCTTTTTCTGCCTTTTCTCTCTTTTCGTTGGCTTCTTTGGCTTCATTAGCTTTCTTAGTTTCCTTTGCCTCCTTGTTCAAAGCGTTGACCATTGCCATCAATTCATCCACTTTGGCTCCCATATCTTTATCCGTTTCTTGCGACATGTCCTTTTGTTTTTCTGTATCCTTGTCATTGGCCAATTCTCTAGATTTTGCCACCGAGGCTTTGTATTTCTTAATACGGCTATTCCACTTTTTAACAAAGCGATTCCACCGTGGCAAAACTTGTGCTCTACTAAATCGTTCAATCTGAACTCGGTACACATAAGCTGCAATGACAAGCGCTAACAAATAACTTTTCCAGAACATTCCAGGCCCGTCATAAAAAAATCCTTTCTTTTGTTCTTTGTAGAGCTTTGTTCCAGGTGATAGGGGCTCTGCAGGCTCAACAACAATTGGCCCCATAATTCCTAAAGGTGAAGGCTTCGCAGGCAAAAGGGGCGTTTCGATAATATGTTTACCGACTAGACATTCAGCATGATTCTTACAGCCTTTACAGCATTTGGACGCAGGCCGTTTATTGGCAGCAGGTCCTCCGATGAGAGGTTGTTTTTTGCCTGGTTCAATTCCAGTATATAGAGACGCCCAAAGAGATAATTGGGCAAGAGGAAACCGATCTGTAGAAAGGGCATATAATCCGCCATAATGTAAACCGACATATGCTGTAGTTAATCCCGGGTTATTTTGGGATAATTTCAACATGTCTCCCATTATTCCTTTATCGAGAGTTTGTGGTGGCTCTTGCTCAAACAGTGCAATGGTAAAGTCGGGTCGCCGGTAGACATCAAAAACACGTACCGCAGGAAATCCTGTTGGCATTGTCCACATAAGCTCCCCTGTTGGTAGATGGATTGCGGTGATTGCGTTATCTGCATCGGGAGCAAGGTATACGTCCATAGGCGGTGTACTAGCAGGTACGTCTGTATCCAATTGGTTGGTCACATATTCTGCATAAGTGACATTCCACCATTTCTCGTTATCATTATTGAAGATCGCAACTCTGTACTCTAAGCCAAGTTACTTTCACGTACATTCTCTATGTGAGCTGTAATTTTCTTTTGTATTCCCTACCATCTCTCCCTAGGAATATCGTGTGAGGTGGTAATTTCTTCTGGGTTGCCATAACATATGCTTCCTCAGATTGATCCAGATCAAACTTGCGTAAGATATTTCCATTACGTGGATCAATAGCGATCATTACTGTGTTTTTTCCACCGATATATGTTGTTCCATCTGGTGTACGCCAAGGTGAATGCGTGACAATTTCCTTGACAGATAATGGGATTTTCTAATGAAAGCAGAAAGTGTTGCGATTGCCAACCAGCCATGAAATATCAATGATAAATGAATTATGTAGATTATAAAAAGCACTAAAATATTTCTATAATGTATATTATAGACAGTGGGCTGACAAAAACGCTGTGGTTTAACTCCCATATATTTCACAAAATCATATGAAAAGAGAAATAAAGAAATGAAGGAATAAAGGAATAAATATCTAATAAGGGGAATAATTTTACCTCGAGTGGCTTTCCATTACCATAAAGGTATAGTATACCTCCATTTTGTGGCTCGACAATATAATAAACATCGTCTTCGATCGAGGTTGACTGAGTATTTTCAGTAAAAGATTCTTCGAGTAAGTTTTCCGCATTGTAAGAAAATATGCTACTGGGTGGTGCTCTGCTGTGTGCATGCATCGTCGACTTGATCAATGAACCTTCTGCTCCACCTGGTAGTGTCCAGAAAACATCGCCATCAAGACGATTTATTCCACGAATTGAGCCATCCAAGGTTGACACCAAAGCAAGGTCTGTGGGAATGAGTCGAATGTCTTGGCGCTTTTGTTTTTGGGGTGGTAGACTGGATGAGTAGAGTTGAACTTCGGCCGGAATGCGAGCGTCTGCCAAAGATATATTAGCTATAAGGCCCATCATGAGCCATAGTGAGCCGCTCACTAGGGAGAGGTACATGAGTTTAAGTTAATTACAAATAATGGATGAATAGAGAAGTGAACTGTTGCTTATTTGAGGTGTTTGATGGTCAAACAAAATCTCCGCCCTCTCTCAGCCGAGAAAGGAGAAAATGAATTTCACAGATATTTTTTTACAGATATTCCAATTGTATTCTCAATTTTTTTTAAAAAAAAAGATAATAAAAATAATATTTGTGTATGTTTGTGTGTGTGTGTTTAAGTCTAAGAAGGTTCTAGTAAATCTCATCGAATGGACGGGTATCGGCAAAGCAGCTGTCAAAGACACTTGCCACAGCACGTTCAGCATCTTCCCGGGATTTACAAGAAGGATTGGAAAGCACTGACAATACTGCTCGACGCTTTACACATGCTTGATGCTGTTTTGTAAAGCTGTAAAAGCCACGACCAAACTCAGCCAGCATGCCACAATCCCCACCTAAACTAGCCGCACGAACCTAGTGATCCCAAACAGATACGCAGGTGTGTAAATATCAGTTTCCTTTTATGTATTTTTTTTGTTTTACCTCGCTACAAGCATGGTGCCTGAGGTTCATCCAATCCACCTTGAATTTTTGGTCATCATACATATGAACCATTTCATGTACCATGGTACGCTCTTGGTGGGCCTTTGAATTTAATTTGTTCTGGCACAACAATACACCTATTTCTGGATTGTAGCCACCAGCACGATCTTCATCGCAGGGACTGCAAACAAAATTGTCTTTTGTTATAGGCTTTCCTTCTTTCCGTAACTCATCCATCATAAAACGCACAGGAGCACCTAGGGAAGGAAGAAGGACAGCAATAAAGCAATTAACTCTAGAATTCTATAAAGCAGTCTTTATTTTCCGCACACAAGCACAACCACGCACAAAACTACTAAGTTACAAAATAAAAATGAATCTTACTGTTTTTGACAAGATTATCCTTCCACGTCTCGCATTGTTTGCACTGATAATCTTCAATCTCTCCATCCAGCTGTGCTTTAAACTTTGTCTGCTCTTCGGGAGCCATGCGGTTCGTCATGTACTGGAAAGATTTTGTCCATCTTTCCAGGAGCTTCATGTCCTTGAGGGATCGTTGTTGTTCACTGTCTGATTCAGTCATGTGGGGGAATGTTGGTACATTGTCCAAAAAAGCAAAGTCCAAGTTATTTACCAGATTTGTTTCCCCGCCTTCGCTTAGGTTTGTTTTAAGATACCGCTCGGGATCCGTAAGGTCTGTAGCAGTCCCCCTTCTGTATGACGTCGAAAGCCCATTCGTCATCAAGAGAGTAAGGAACACGCATAGCAAATAGGGTACGCGTAGAAGATTACTATCTAAAAGGTCTAGGTTTCTCTATCCTGCTGTCTCCTCCCCTTCACCTTTTCGGTAAAGAAAGAACGAAGCTTAAACAGTTATACCACATCAATAAAAAGGCAGCATCGCAGTATTTTGAACTTAATACAATCCAAAAAGTTCCCCCCTTTTCTCAGTTTATACATAATAGTACATCATGGTGTTGGAAGCGTCAATGATTGTGTATGTACTGATTAACAAATAAAATAAATTCGGTACGCTTATTCCTATATTAATGCATTAGAGTCGACAACTCTGAGTGGATGAGAAATGGTGATTACTCCCCAACTCGTCTGGTAGCCCAGAATGAAGCCGTCAACCTTGTCTTTTCATCAAAAACCCAAGCCAATCCTGAAAGCACAGTTGGATTGATGACCATGGCTGGAAAAAGCCCCGAGGTTCTAGTAACCTTAACATCAGATGTCGGAAGGATCCTTAGTGCACTTCATGGCGTTCGTGTTGGTGGCGAGTCAGACTTATTGACTGGAATCCAGATTGCTCAGGTAATAGAATAGTATAGTATGAACAAAAAAAAGTAGTCTACTATATGCCGAATCATCTCCGTTTCAGTCACCTATCTCCACTCACCGCTTTTTACTGTTTATAAAAAAATGATCGTAACAACGAAAATTATAGCTCGCATTGAAGCATCGTCAAAACAAAAATCAGCGTCAGAGAATTATCGTATTTGTGGGCAGCCCAGTAGAAACCGACGAGAGAACATTGATACGACTAGCAAAGAAAATGAAAAAGAACAACGTTGCTGTCGATATTGTAAATTTTGGAGAGGAGGCTTCCAACACATCCAAACTTGAGGCCTTTATCAACAGTGTTAACAACAGTGATAACAGGTAATTCGCGACATTCATATGGTTTGATTATTTTTTGGTGATGGTGAGGACTAAACTTATTTTAAACAGTCATTTGGTTACCATTCCTCCTGGACCTCATCTGTTGAGTGACATGTTGATCTCGACACCAATCATTTCTGGTGAGGAAGGATCCTCAGCTAACTTTGGCTCAAGTGGAGGAGGTGCATTTGAATTTGGCATTGATCCCAGTTTGGATCCCGAACTTGCTCTTGTAAGTCAAGACTTATGTTTAGTGAGAGTTAAAAAGAAAGAATGGCATAAGTCAAATATTTATCTGTAATGAATAGGCATTGCGTATTTCGATGGAAGAGGAAAAAGCTCGTCAGGAGGCAGAAGCCGCAAAGAAGGGCGAGTCATCGGCTCCTACTGCAGCCAGCTCTACCAGTATGCCAGTAGATCAACCACATATGTCAGATGAAGACGCAGAGTTGCAAGCTGCGTTGGCTATGTCTATGGGCCAGGTCCAGGCAAGTTTTATACGCGATTTGGACATGGAGTTGTAGTGACTGATATAAACATCGACTTTTTTATGCCTTTTCTTTTATTAGGATGAGGATACTGAAATGGGCGATTCAAACGATCAAGATGAACTCCAGAAGGCTTTGGCTCTCTCTATGAATGATGCGCAAAGTAATGATGCATCCATGTCTGACATTCTTGGATCTCTTCCTGGTGTTGATACCAATGACCCTCGCTTTAAAGAAGCTCTTGAAGAGATGGAAAAGTCAAAGGATAAGGCAAAGGACAAGAAGTAGATACATAAACAATTATAAAGTCAACGAAATGCATTTACCCTCTCCTACCCATCTTCCCTATATTTTTCCTACCTTTTTCAGGTTCAAATCCATCGCTGTTCAATTTTTCTTCGTCTTATATATATATTAAATCTAAACAAACACACATACGCACACGCATAATTGCAAAGACGTACATATCCACATAAGAGAAAAGCAAGCCGGACTATTCATATTTTTCGATTTTTTCATTATTCTCTCCCTCTTTCTTTCTTTCTCGCCTTTCTTTTATTCAATTAATGTTCCGTCGATCATTTCATACCACGATTCGACTCCATTCTCGAAACAAGGACCACCATTATAACATACTTGGAATCCATCGTAATGCAGAAAAAAAGACAATTAGATCTCAATATTACCGTCTTTCCAAAAAATATCATCCTGACCTGAATCCCAACAACCCTGAAGCACACAAAGCATTCTTAGAAATAAATGAGGCATATGCTGTGTTGGGAAATGAAGCAAGTCGAAGACAATATGACGAGAGCATGGACTACCAAACCCCTGTAAATGTCAGGAATGTCCGTCAAAATGGACCTTCAGCGTCATGGCATGCTAGAGCACGTCAGCCGCGTAATACTGGATCAGCAAGTGCTCGTGCACAAGCCGAGCAGAGTGAAAGCAAGCATTTTAACCAACAGTCCCATTTTACACATCACTATGAATCTGAAGAAAGACGACGCCAAGAGCGCATTCATCAGTCTATGAACCGACGAAAAGCAGCTGGTATTGATGAAGAGCCTACGATTACCACCAAGTCTCGTACAGAGAGCGTCTGGGCGCGAATTTGGCGACTGTCGATTGTCTTGGGAGCCATTTGGTACGCCCATAAAGCATGGAAAGATAAACAAGTCAAAGACAAAAAGCATTAGCTTATTACTATATACAAATGAGTACAGATAGATATTTTTTGGAAACGATACAAATTTTCCAGGAGCTGAAACATTTTAAATGGTTATTGGTGAAATAGCCACAAAAATCACAACTTTGATGGAGAAAGATATATTTTTAGACAAAGACTTTGATACTGCTGAAAGAGAACTTTAGCTGATCTTCACAGATATTACAATAAAATTTGAATATTCCTTGATTTCAAGTTTTTATTTTTATTTTTGGATACAGAATAAATGATGTTACCTAAGCCTTATAAGTTTTATCTCAATATAAACTTCTTTTAATGCTGGTGACAATAGATATATACTTTCTGGAGTAGCATTAGCTATTAATTATATAAATCAATATCCACTATTTATGTTAAGGAGTGTTTTGGCAAATTGTGTAAGAAAAAAAACAAAAACCAAAGAAATTGCTTTTCGAAGTTGTGAGCAATGAGCTATACTAGAATATACAAAGAGACAAAAAATACTGTTTAAAAGAAAAGATGAAATTAACCAGTAAAACAAAAATTCTTTAATTGTATAGTAAAACTAATCTTTGTTTCCATTGTTTTATCATGTTGGATTGGCTATGTATGCGTGTTCTTTTAACTGTCACGTGAATACTGTATTTAATTAACAATTGAACACTGTATTCTGCATTGCAATTAAACAACTCTTGATCTCAAACACATCACCATGAATCAAGAAAACAAAGATTCAGTACTTACATATGCACAGAATAATTTAGATGATATTGAATTTAAAACATTAAAAAGAGGTGAAACTGAACCGACTGATCAGGAAAAGTTGGAACAAATGAAAAACCTATTACAGCGCGATCCCGGGTTGTTCTTGAGTAAATGGGGCAGATACTTACCTGATAATATACTGAAACAATTTGAGGGTTTAAGAGGTAAAAAAAGACTGTGATAATTTTATTGTTATTATCTTGCTTCATGAATTATTCTGCAATAATAGGCGACTACGAAATTGATTTCTACCTGCGTAATATGTTGCATGATAGTCCACAGGATTCACCAACTAGTTCTCCGTCTATGCGAGCTGGATACATCCAACCTTCAAGGCATATTAAGAATCGTGTTCGTGCAAATGCACGCAATAGACGATTTGTGTATTTGCAGACCACCTTGCGCGACTCGGACTATTTTTCAGATGAATCGTTACAGCTACGCGATCCAGTACTCTATGAATATTTTATTGGCCAGTATGTTCCTGCCAGTAAACGAACAGAACCTTTTGCAAGTAATGTCAAGCTAGTAGAACGTGTGTTGAGTGATATCGATCGAGACTATGTAGAGCAACAATTGAAACTCTCTAGAGAAAGAGAAGAAGAACAATTTGAAGAAGAGGAAGAGGAAGAGGAAGAGGAAGAAGAGGATGAAGAGGATGAAGAGGATGAAAAAGAAAAAGAAAAAGAAAAGATTGATGTAAAGATGAAAGGAAAGGCTACTGGTGCATATGTTCCTGAGCAAGAATATTCTATGGATATCAATGATGATGAATTGATGAAAGAAGACTCTTTAAGTGCAGATGACCTTGATATAATTGAAAATACAGAGGAAAGTATAGTATTCCGTGAAGATCAACGAAAAGAGTTTGTGCGTATTATGGAAGAACGTTTCTTAATTGGGAATGATGTAAGTATCTTTAATAGTTTAAACGACCCAACTGTAAATCCTAATCCATTATCAAAATTACTAGACTGATTTCGATTATAACGCCGTTGATTACAATGAGGTTAGTGGTGACTAATAAATATGGGGTATTTTGCAACAAACTAATACTCTATAAACAAGGCTTATGATGATCTTGAACAACAAGAACGTGATGCACATGATAGATATTTTGACGAAGAAGAATCCCAGGACCCGATTACAGCCCGTGCAGAGACAGAATATACAGGGGAAATGGATTATTGATGTTCGAATCTTACATATATTTATATTGGTACACAGTTTGTATATAACTTTTTTTTCATATTTATGGCAAACAGTATATTACTTTGAGAACTTGGAAGCGTTAAGATACCGGCTGTTTGTCTCCGGAAACGGTCTCTTCCTCGCAACAAAAGACCGCCTTGGTCGATGGAAGCTTGATAACCCTCGGGGATAAAGCAAAAATAACGAGTGCTTGACAAAGAATCTGTGATATGTAAAGGATAGATTATGGAAGCCTATTTTTTAGTGGATTTTTATTTTCTTTTCCTCATTTCTCATGACGGATGGTATCAATTCAACTGGGCAACCAGAAAAACTTGATCATTCGGGCGATGTCTCTTCTTTTCTCCCTTTTATCATTAAAGAATTTCCTAATGAGGCACTTCATTTAAATTCTTTGCCGAATCTTCACAAAACTCTTGAATCTGATGGTGCTGAGTATAAGAGTCAGACGAAAGAAAGCTCTGATCCGTACCAAGAAAGTGTAATCATTCAATTATCTCCGACGTCGTACACAAGCCTCAGCTCTGTAAATCCAGATGACAAGAACTCCTTTCACAACAAACCCTTTGAAATCCTTCAAGAAACTAATACCACAGAATCTTCTTTATTTGCGAGTACTACATGCGATAATCTGGCCTCTAATAATACGCCTACGAAATATCATTATTTACCGAGCGAACTCTCAGAACCGACATCAAGATTAGGAGCTAGATCTAGTAACTCTACTCATTTGCGAACTACACCAATTTCGCAAACACCAAACCTTTATCCACAACAGCAAGGCAGCGATGTAATCACCCTGGATGCAGTAGATGATACATACCTTCCAGAGAGCTCTCTTTTGGCAGCTGCTAATTCTGGCAAGCTAGCTAAGCCCAGCAGATTTCCACCCCTTACTGTTGAAAATATAACACGATTACGTGAAAAAGCAACAGCGAGCTCTAATCCACTGGAACTTCTTGAATTTGCCATGTTTCTGGTTGAAGCAGCACCACACGTATATGCGGACGAAGGAGATCAGAGGATTACTCAAAAACGAAGAAACTCTTTGTTACATGAAGCCCAAAAGATTGTTAAGAGATTAGCTGCAAATGCAAACATAGCAAAATCTGGATGTTCGGAAGCTCAGTTTTTTCTTGCAAATTGCTACGGAACAGGTGTTATGAAGACTCCTATTGACCCCGAAAAAGCATTTAATTTTTACTTACAAGGGTCCAAACAAAATCATTTACAGTGCTGTTATAGAGTTGCAGTATGCTATGAGATCGGTACAGGGACTAAGCGAGATAATAATCGTGCGATACAATTCTACAGAAAAGCAGCCAAATTGGGAGATCCATTGTCAATGTATAAACTTGGCATGATTCTTTTGAATGGATTTCTAGGAGTCCATAAGAACGAGCGGGAAGGAGTTTCCTGGATCAGACGAGCCGCCCAGTCAGCGGATCAAGACCATCCGCAGGCACTACACGAACTTGGTGTCATATATGAACAAACTAATATCGTATACATCCTCCCTGATATTGACTATTCTCGTGAGCTATTTACCCAAGCAGCGCAGTATGGATTTGCTCCCTCGCAGCGTAGACTTGGACTGGCATATGAAAACGGATCATTAAACTGTCCCATAAATCCTCGTCGATCGATCGCTTGGTATTCCAGAGCTGCAGAACAAGGCGATGTAGAGTCAGAATTAGCGTTGTCTGGATGGTATCTCACAGGTGCAGAAGGAATACTTCAACAAGATAGCTTTCAAGCTTATCTATGGGCACGAAGAGCAGCAGACAAGGGATTTTCAAAAGCAGAATATGCTGTAGGATACTATACTGAGACTGGTGTAGGAGTCCAAGAAAGCCTAAAAGAGGCTAAAAGATGGTATCTGCGCTCAGCTTCCAGTGGAAACCAACTAGCAAAGATTAGGTTGGATAATATATGTACACCTGATAATGAAACATCTAAACAAAAAATGAAAATATGTAATTCTAATGGGAAATTTAATGCCAAATCCCGAGAATGTATTATAATGTAGATACATAATATTTTGTTTAATTTGTGCTCACACTTTTAGTAATATCAATATTACTTGTTTTATATTATGGGTTGCAATGGATAGGTAATACCAGCTAAATGACAAAATTGTTTGTATAGTTTTAATGGAAAGGAAAGTGTTGTACAGAAATGAAATGATATGCAGCTGTTTTTTTTTTAAGAAAAAGAAAAGGATCTATGCTCGTTACTGCTTTTTAACTGTTTCGACATTTTTTTGAGCGTCTGTTTCCTCTGGGACATTCTTATCCGTTACAGTCTCAACATCGTCTGCTTTTTGGTCTTTGGGTTTATTTTCAGCATATTTGATGTAGTTTTGTTTGTGGCGGTGAGTGAATGTCTTTTTGGTTTGTCTATATTTATCCTGAATCAAATCGTAGAAGAATTTGTAGTAAAACATCAGGTTATCATAGCGGCCATCATATCCTTCAGGGGTTTCGTATGTCTGGCAATATTCATGGTAAAGATAATAAATAGCCTCAATAGTTGCCAAATGGTTCTCACTCATTTGCTGAAACCGCCAGAAGTGGGTGATTCTTGGTGCAATTGTCACTTTTCGAAGGTTTTGTAATGATGGTGTATCGCGTGCAATAGCATTGGCTTGACTCCATGTACCGTCAATTACAACGACACGATCAAAGGAATCCCTAGGGATTTCTGCAAGTGTTTTGGCATCCTATAAAATAACATTTAGCTACCTGTGTACATGTTATATATATAAGTAGTTGTACTTACAGGGCCGGGAAACAGTAACAGTGTACGCTCAGGATGCTCATAAGTAGGTGCGTTCTTCCAAGTGTAAATACTCACATCTTCTGGAGCAATTACACGAGCATGAATAGCGGTAGATTTTCCATCCAACTCTCTTTCATGTTTGATCCTAAATAAAATATTTATAGTATATTAATGTTTATTATTGATTATATTAACCAATATTTACACTTACACATCCAAATGAACAGGAAGATTAACTGTGGGGATCTGGGAACGATCCATTCCACTGACATCAAAGCATCGGTAACAAAAGTACTTTACTGTCTTTTTGCATCGAGGGCACATTTGTCTTTCTTTAGTCTCGTAAAGAATACTATCATCGCTTGTTTTTAAACCGTCAAATGGTGAATCTGGTCGAGATCGCTTGAGGTTTTTTTCAGATTCTTGCTTGGGCTCTGTTTGTGATGTGATGCTCGTAAAGTTGGCTTATAGAAAGGGCAATATCAGAATTCCATTATGATTCAATTCTTTTTTTTACAAAATAAATTTCTTACTTGTCTCTACAGCTTCCGTTAATTCGACCTTATCAATCACTTTCTCACTCATCGTTGACAAAGTATTTGTTAATTAATTATTTTCACTCTCTTCCTACATCTCTTTAAAAGGTCTGACACATTGGTAGGTTATCATGAAGCCCCCGGTCACAACGGGACTGGGTTTTTTAAGAAAAGCAACAGCCTTTATCCAACTTCTTTACCTCCTCTATTCTCGTCATGGCATTCCGATTTCTTGTTAAACCAGTTGGAATTCAGGTTTCTCGGCCACAAATTTACAGAGCATCAGCATGGAGTGCATCTGTAGGCCGAAAACCCTATTCAGGTAGTTTGCTTGAAACTTTGAAGCCTGAGTTTACAAAGCATTCTAAATTTTTACGATAATCTTTCTAGCAGCCGCACCTGCATCCACTTCATCTACTACAACCCCTGTTGTTTCTTCAACAGCCACCACAACCACTCCAGCTTCCACACAATCTCCAACATCTGAAAAGAAGGATGAGGCAATTGTTTCCTCAGAAGAAAAGAAAGGTGAGACAAAAGACAGAGATTTCAAATAAAAGACAAATGAAAACTGATTAGATTTTGAATTCATAGAAAAATCGGACGATGATAAAAAAGTTGTGGATAAAAGAGACAGCAAAGAATATACTAGTGGTGCATTCCATTGGAATCTCGAGAGAGCATCTTCTGTTGTTCTGATTCCTCTAATTAGCACACAGTTGGTGTTTGGAGCCTTTCCTGTGGTGGATGGTTTGTTAGGTGTTGTCCTTCCTTTTCATATTCATCTTGGTAAGTATATATATATATATAGGTAATAATCTGTTCAGCTGCTAAGATACTTGAATGTAGGTCTCGAATCATGTATTACTGATTATATCCCAAAACGAGTATATCCTCGCCTGAACAAGGCAGCCAATTGGACTTTGTTTGGATCTACAGGTCTGGTTATGTGGGGATGTTACGAATTCAACACAAATGATGTTGGTCTGACTGAGTTTGCTCAGAGAATTTGGGGAGCCTAAGTAGGACCATGTAAATGATATTATAGACGTAATATAAATATATATATATGTGTGTGTGTATATATAAATTATTTTTGCCTTGATTAGAAAGGGTATGATATTTCAAGAAAGAAAAACAGAGAAGGTTGTTTAAAAAAATATATCCGCAAATGTCTTCTTGTTTTCAGTAGGTGGTGCTGGTACAGACGAGGGAGTGACGCTGAAGATGTCATCAAAGTTTGTAGTAGGCTCTTTTTTTGCTGCCTCAGGCTGTGGGCTCCCAAACAAAGAGCTCAATTCGTCCTTGACAGATGATGTGCCTTCATTTTCAGGCGTAGACGGAGTCTCAAATGCAGAGAGATCAAAACCATACTTTGCCACTGACTTACTTTGCTTTGGAGAAAAGGCAGTGGTTGGTGCTGGAGATTGATTGGGGCCAAATGGATGATCTAGAGATGGCTTGTATGGCTTTTGAACAGGGCTAGCGCTATTTGTAGGGATCTTTGCTTCGCTAATGGCAGGGCTTGCCTTTGGGGAAGACATGTTAAATTTCTCTTCCATCGTGTTGAGATCTGGAAATTTGACTTCTATATCACTAATATCAACATTTGGAGAAGATGAACGTTTTTGATGGGCTTCGTGCTCTTGCTTGATACGATTGAGAGATATTTTAGGAGAATCAGCTGTGTTTCCTTTGTCGCTCTTCATCCCGGAGAATGGGTCGAATGACTTATTGAACTGCGTGGGATTCATGGAAGGAGACTGGATAGTAGAAGATGCAGCAGATCCGGGATGTGAGAAACTATGCTCTGGAGTGCTCTTTTCCCCAATATTAGTGAATAATTCGTTAGATGGTGTGTTAGATAGTGCAAATACAGAGTTGTTTGAGAATGAGTCTTTCTGCATCTCCTGTACTTCTGAGTGAACTTGTTCTGTTTCCTTTTTTGCACTCTCTGATCTCTGCTGATAATGTTTGGTCTCTTGGCTACACAGATGTAACTCCTTAGAAAGCTCTTGACGTTTTTTCTTTTCTTGCTCCAATAACTTCTCACTCTCTTCTGCCTTTTTCTTCCATGATTCCAAGGATTGTTTTTCTTTGGAAAGCTGCTCTTGTAATGCGTGTACTGCTTGTGCTTCTGACGAATGTTGAGATGCTAGTCTTTCTGCTCTGTCTCTCTCTGCTCGTACGTCATTTTTTACCGAAGAGAGCTCGGTCTCAAGAAGGGAACGCTGTTGTCCGTTGTATTGAGGTCCTAGTTGTAAAATAATAAATCTACAATCCCAAATAAGCTGGCTCCATCACTTACCTGAAAGTTCGCTTTGCCCTGTGACATTAACTACTTGTGTGGGGGCTGTCATATTTTTTTTAGCCCACCGTTGCAGATTATTTTAATATATATTGCCTTACCTCTTTGTAATCCAGGTAACGAAGTTGGAATCTGACCTCCAGCCATCCGTTTATTTATTAGATGCATAGCAAGACCAAACTCCTGTTTACTCAATTGACCACTAGAATTCGTGTCTGCCAAATCCCAAATCTTGGCCAGATCTGATTCGGGTAGCTTTGAATGACGGAAAAAGTGAACGGCATCAACACCTAAATTTGGTCGCATGAGCAATTGACGTACAATTTTATTCCATGCCTTAAGCTATTATATTTAATTATAATATTTACTTACCCGATACATATCCTGTTCCATTCGTATTCAGGTTTTCAAAAAAGACACTGTACTTGGCCAACTCTTCAGGCGATACATCCAAGTCTCCTCTAGTTGGATGATGGGACTGATCGCCAGTAAAAACGGCGGATGGCCCTGTCATTTGGCGTGTAGTAATACTGTGTGTATTTTGGGTAGACATTTGTCTCATAACTGGTGATACGGCTGAAAATTGTCTTGATGGACCGAATCTACCGGCAGCAGCGGTGTAAATATGAACTGGTAGGGTAGCTGGAAGAGATTGAATAGATTTCTTCATCATCTGAGAAACATAGTGCATTGCAATAATAAACTCAGTCTGGTTGAGTGTTCCAGATTTGCGGGTATCAGCAAGATTCCAGATAGCGTGAAGTGTTTCTGGTGAAAGCTTGGAACGAATAAGGATATTCTTGACAGAATCGCCTATGAGTATTTCTTTGTTAATCATACCCTTGTGTTATAGTATATGCTTACCTCCTAGTACACCGTCAATAGGATTGTTCGCCTGGAACATATTGATATATTTGTTTCGTTCTTCAGGAGTTAGTTGGTCCGCGCTGTTATTTCCACCAGCCCCCATGTTCATATTAGGACTCAAAGGTGCATTTGGGGTAGGTCTGTTAGGCTTTGATAGGTTTTTAAGGGTGACACCATCAAACTGAGGAAGAGCAACTTTTGCGACTATTAATGTCTGTTCCCTGAATTTCACTCTGTCTATACCCACCTACCCGTTGTCGATAGAATTGGACTTCCGGTAAGTGTGCCATGCTGAGCACATGCAATCAGCTTAAGAGCGATACAAAACTCCTTATCAGTTAAGAACCCCTTATTATCTCCGTCGGCAGCTTCCCAGATCTAAGGATGTATTAAGAACCTGCAGAATGGAGATTTTATTGAATTACCTCTGCAAGGATGTTGTTTGGGACATCTGATTTTCTGAAAAAGGTCATTGCTTCATCCTTTAGAAGAATGCCCTTATTATCGACATCTACTTTTCTGAATAGGTCGGCATAAATCTGTAGTTCTTGGGAGTCCATGAGGGATTCCCAGGGCACTAATTATACACATAAGCTTAGATATATACTGCATAAAAAACCTCAAATGTAGTTTACCTGAGGAGTTTCCTGAGTTAGAGGAAGTTTGATACGATGTACTCGCCATTAAGTAAACTAAAGAAGAATAGAAAGCGAACTTTCTGCTGGGTACAGAAATCAATGAATGGTTTCCTTTTTCAGTCTAGCCACGTGGATCACGTCATGATTTCACAGGACTTTTTGTACCTTTATGCTTAAAAGCATGTGTACTGCGTTTGCCAATAAACAGCATGTTGTAAGTTGTTTTGTTAGTTTAATCTTACCACAAAATTATTTGCAGCCTTGTATTTGTGTTTCTATTTGCACTTGTGTTTTGTATGGAGGAACCACAAGGGTGACAAAAAGAAAGAAAAGAAAGAAAGAAAGAGGAAAGAAATATCGGAAGGGCTATTTATTTTTTATACTATATTTCTATTATCAATAATAGGTTCAGTTACTTCAAAATACATGTGAGATTAATCGACGATAAAATATATTATAAGTTGAATTTAACAAAGAGCAGTATTCACATTGTTTAAGTCACGCTGCAATACTTGAATTCTTGTAAAGATCAACAGAGCATTTTTTGAAAGCTCTCGGGTCACTATGAGGATTACAGGTATAACTATATTAAGTAAAGCGGTGTAACTCCATGACCAAATTTCTACTCTTTGCTATACTCATATTCTACTGGAGGTTACTTGAAGACATATTAATCAAGTCCTAATAATGAACATTTAATATTTGGCATTTTTTTTTGACTTTCAATCCGCCATATTGGTTTTTGTCCCACGCGAGAAAAAGTTAATATTGCTTTACCACTGTTAATATCAGACCTCACAAGCTTATTATTGGCTACAGCATTGTTTTTATTGTCTAAATAAGTGAAAGGTTTGTTCTTTTTGTTGCTTCGCTACATATATAATTGTTAAAATTTACATTATTTTGTTTAAAAAATTGTGCATGTCGACTGTTCTGAGAAATGTGTGAGTGTATAAGAAATAGGCTAAATACTAGTCTACAATCAAATTTCCCACTCAAACTTCGTGTACATAGCCAAGTCGGTTAAGCTTTAAAGCAGGATGTTGATGTGCTATGTGTGAATATATTTGAATAGTAAAAATTATGAACTACCAATATACTGGCTTCGATTACTTTTAAATTATTACAAACATATCAAATTTAGTAAATCAAAACGAATAAGAAAGAAAAAGAAATTTTGTTGATTAATAAAATACAAGATGTGTTGCTGATGTTCCAAGAAAAGTGTTTATTCAAATGATACTTTCTGTATTCATTCAAAGTAAACAGATATTTTGAGGGCAAAGTATGATCAAAACGCTGTCAGTTTTTCTTTTGTATTTATTTGCTATTACAACTCAAAAGTAAATCCATCTTTTCAGTATCCCACTCTTGCCATACTTTGTTTTTACAGTCAATTCGAAGCACTTTGCCTTTCACTCTACCCTCTACCCTCTGCTCCCGTTCAATACATAAAATAATAAACCAGTTTACTAAATTACTCAAAGAATACAATTAATTTCCAAAAAAAAGTATATTGAGGACATCTAGCAATAATCATGTTGAAGCGTTTATATTCTTATTCTTGTCAGTTTTTGCTTTACACAGAGGCCCCCTGGAATATATTCTCTTGGTCTTATAACACTTTCAACTGTAATAGCATGGTGAACCTATTAAGAATTGTGCTATCATGCCTCATATGGTTAAAAATGCGTTAGAGGTTCAAAGCATTAGAAAGGTCTCTATTTCATAAACGAAACTCCACCTGTAATAAATACATGTTTTCCAAACAGCTTGGATAATTTATAAGAACAATAAGAACAATAATAGAAAAATGAAGTTTGATTGTGATATAATTTTAGAAGGACATGAAAGACTGCATTTGAAGTTTGAGAGCGACGGGTTGTGCAGTGCTTCTGTACTTTCTTGAGGTTCTCAAGAGTTAGCTGAGAGCATGCATATTAAGCGCTTGGATATATCAAGTCTTAAATTTGTGTTTACAAAATGGAATTCTCATCCCCATACCCTTTATTAGCACATGGTACATGATGTGAGGTGCAGGTCAGTTTCTCGCAATCAAGATACACCATAGACCAAATGTGAGATTTATATTGTTTTCTAAGTGCTCGTTTGATATGGAAGAGGAGACCAAGTTTGCGAATTAGATAATGGTTCATATTTTTAATTTTTGTGCTTTCATAAAAGTTACTATTGATAGAGGGAACTGTTTCTCTGATTTATAATATGAAAAAGAAAAAACTGCAACTATTTATCAGCAACAAGAATATTTGGTTGTTAGAGCTTAATATTCAAAAGAATTTTGCGAAACTTGTCGCGTTTAAGTCTGGTCCTTTGTTGGTTGGGTGTATATTTATAATATCTTAGTTTGCTCACAGTAGGGCTCTGGCCTGTGAAGTAAGCAAATATCTTCTTCTGTCATCAAATTACACACAAAGGGCGTCATTTTTTATATTGCTCTGGCAGCAAATTATAAACGTAGGAGATATCCTCTGAGGCAATGGTACAAAATTTTTTGAGTGTAGGACCTTGGTTAGTTGGGTGAGGTTGTTTCACAATGGGTATGTCGATAGCATATGTCCGAATTGTTCCTCTGAACTTTATAACATTGTTCTCTTGATTTAGATAATTATTTCTGCCTAAATTAGAAACTATTCCCCACAATTTTAATATGTTGGTGGGTGATCTTCAGGATTCCCTTATAGTATATTGGCACAAAATTTTGGTATATGTTTCCATGTAGCATTGAGATCGGTATCGGCGAAGAGGAAAATTATTTGAATAAGAATTGTCCAAGTTGTTTTTGGGGTCGGAAAATACGAGAAAAAAAGGCAGGGATATATACTGCTAAAAAAGATAGGAATTTTATGTTAAGTACAATAAGACAGTATGTCTGATATGAGACCATAAGTCAGATTAAGGCATTGATAGCCAATGCTTTTTAGCTGTAAGTGAGAGTTGTATAACGTGTTATCGAATACATATAATATATAAAGTATATTAGCTTAAAAATAAAATCTCGTGCCCGTTATAAAGCAGAGATATATATTTATAGATAAATGCGACAGTTGATTTTTTTTCGAAAAACACTCTCCTATAATCGTCTCTGAAATTGTCTTTTTTGTCGTAGTCGTAATAGGTTTATAAAGTAAACTATAGTGATCATTATTTAAGCTGTAAGCCTACAGGTGATGTATATAATATCGAGAAATATATATATCTTAATTGATCTAGTGTGCTTCAAGTTCTTCTGTGAACGAAACCTTTTGGGTATTTTTTATTGTGAAGCCAGTATTGTTTAAACTCTTGTATATATTATTTATGATGGGCTATGGAAATATAAAGTTTAAACTTTGATTATGATGAGATGGGAGAAATTTGGGGTGTTCTAAGTTTCTTAAAGCCTTTTTGATGATACTCGGGGATGTCTGAGATGAGGCTAAACTGTAAAGCTTCTGGCTGTTACCCTACTGTAATTTGTTTTTTGCTAGGTATTAAACGAGGAAAGTTGAGACCAGTATTTTGGGTCAGTGTTCATCTACAGCAGGGGAGATGGAAAGGTGGCTTCCCGATTAACCTTGAACAAAGCTCGTATATGTATATAATGCTACTAATTATATATAAATATATAAGATTGTGTGTTTGAATTTCTTAATATATAGTTCAATATATCTATTTGTAGAAATTGTAGTATTCGTGTATTATGCGGTATTGTTTTTGAAGTATGTTAAATCCACTCAAAACTTGTTGGACTTATGTATACAGAATAAAAATAAAAAACTGTGAAACCCTGCGTTACGTTCTACTTAATGGGTTGACCACTCAAATTATATTAAGCAGGAACAAGCTAAGTAAATAAACAAATAAATAAATAATGAAGAGACATTAACCGAGGAGTCTGTTTTCTGTTTTGCTTTATTTTATCTTTGACATTCTTCTTCTTCTTTATTCTCAAAAATATATCTATATAAATATGTCAAAAATGATACCCTCTACAAAAAATTCAAGCGAATCTATATCAAATGAACGGCGATTTCTTGAAACAGATGATGATGATGTAGCTAGGATTGGAGATTCATTGGGATATGCAGCACAAATACTTTACAGATTCGGTATACCTTTGGGCTCTGACAAGAATATTGCTGGCGATCGAAAGAAAAAGAATCCCAAGTCGGGTAATGGTACGTCTAAAATGAAAACCACAGGAAGAATCGATATTCCTATTGAGAACAAGTATGAAGACGCACCAGAAATACAACAAACACCGCAAGCTGAATCGGATGTGAGTAAATTGGAGAAACAGGAGAAACATATTTTTTGTATTAAGGTTTTGGAATACGGCTAGGCAACCAAACTTACTTCAAAAGAGACGGAAAATAAAAGACCAAAAAGGGGTATAACCTTTCGAAGAGGACGTGGGCGACCCTTGAAGTTTAGCCTTGGACGTGGGCGACCTCGAAAGCTGTATTCAGGAACAACTGAGAAAAACGAAGCAAAGGCCCAATCATTACAAGCAAACTATCTTATTCTTTACTCATAAACATTTTTGCTCGACTGTACTGTGTGTAAAGCTAATATAAAGTCTAGCAAAGCATACAAAAAGGCTATTGACGCCTTTCTTTTTAGATGTTTTGATTTATCTATTTTTTTTGTAAAAGAAAAAAAAGAGAATAATTAACCTTTTGTACTTCGTATATCTATTTATTTTTCTTTGCACACAAATAAATATTTTGACCAATCATCTCTCTTGTTATCTCAAACTCTGAGTAAAGTAACATCTGGTCTGACAAGAAGAGAAATAAGGCTAGAGACTACATATTCAATATATATATATATATCGTTTAACTCTAACATCTGATTTTTAAGGTTCTTACCATGGTTACTGGAAAATTATGATAATAATAATGCTGATAAAAAAATTGATTAGGTTTTTTAACCACAAATTAATAAACATCAGACCAGCTTTCTTGAATGGATTCTTAAACTCAAAAAAAAATATAAAGTTATTAGAATTTGGTGAATTCCTTTGAGAATGAACGTTTTATAGTAATCACACACACACACACACTTAAATAAATAAATAAATAAAGAAATATATACCAGGTTCTGAGAATTGATTTTCTTTATGGAACTTTGTATATCAATTACCTTTTTTTTTGTTTCTCGTCCAGATCAGTATGCTCATTTGTGTTTTACTTTAAAGTAAAGCGAAATTTGTATGTGTGTGTTATCTGAGCCTTTTCCTATCTATACTTTACATGGTTTGTTTTATTATAACATATTTTATATGACCCTTCTTTCTTCTGACTTCCTGTCACTCATATTCATATCTTACCCGCCTTATCCCGAAAGAGATAAAATAAAGATTGAAAATATGAATAGAAATACTCTCGGAGCCTAGACTTGAAATACGCGTTTTAGAATACTTATCCGGGTATTTCTTAATAGTGCTTAACAGAGGTATATCTTGTCAAATAAACCCCCTATATACAATTAATATTACTAAAGATTAAATGATATGAGGCTTATATTTCATTTCAAAGTATCAGAAAATAATCTCTTATTTAAAATTTATTGCTAGATAAAATAAAAATAAAACAATAATCTTCTTCTTTCAAGTAGTAGCCACTAAATTTAATAATTTGTTGGAAGAAAGCTACTTAGAGCTCTAGTAATATTAAGCCAAGGTAAAATAAATTCGGTATTTGTAGATTAATTATATTAAATATATATATAACATTTTGGAAGCATAACCTTTATATTTTGGTGTAATATCCTGCTTTATCATTATAGACATTACACTTTTATAAAAGTGCTTTGGCAATATTTGATTTTACTCTTGGATACATCATCGGCTAGGTAATATGTACAATATTACTGTTCATTTAATTAAAGGGATTATAAATTAGATTGGGTTGATGAAAAAAGGGCGATTCAATCTATATTTTGACAGCCATTATGTCAACATAATGCTACTAATATATAATTGACGTTGTTTTGATAATAATATAGACCATTCAGCAAAAGAAAAAACTCGTTTCTTCTATATAGTAATCAAGTTCAAGTTTTTCTATTTACTAAAGAGCTATCATTTGACTTATTATTATATTCTGGCTTTAGGCTTAGGTTTCAAAAAAGGCAAGATTCTCTCTTGTCGTCAAATATTTCGCCTTTCCAAATATATCCTATCAAATACTTATGTTCTTATATGAATACATCTTCAATTACCTGACTTGTAAATATATTATGTCTCAAAAACTGGGCGTAAAATTGTAGCAACAAATCACCTTTAATTATTTCTAAAAGATATTACTTATGTCTTGAATGATATTAATCTTGTTTTGTCTTTAAAGAAATATAATATGTGTGTGTATGTGTATGTGTGGGTATAGATGTGTGTCATAATTGGCACTCAAATAAATCACAAAACTTCATATACATTTATACACACACGCACATATATACATATATTATATAATGAGCTTAACATGATTCTAATTTATTTATATCTTATTATTTTACTATTCATCTATGAGAGTATATAACTGTCTTTGAATAATAACTAGAGTTGTTATCGCAGTACACTGTGTATCATCATTCATCACGGACAATTCTTGGTGTGTAAATAGCAGGAAAACAATACTTTTATAAAATTATTTCACAGGCTTTATGTATGTAAATTACGGTTGGAGTCAGGTTAGTATTTACTGAGAGATATCAGCGCCTTACCATCCCTTTCCCAAACCCACGAACAGAATCATGGAACATTAATATGCCTTTTTAATATTCTAGGTTTATTCTTTATAAATAAATAAAGAAATAAAAACACAGAATAAAAACATTCCGGATATACACCTATTATAGTACTCTATATTCTTGGTACAGCATACATCTACTTTCAGATTAATGATATTAATATATAGCTAGTGTCAAAGTAACTAGTACTACAAATAAAAATAAAATGAAAAAGAAAAGGAAAAGCTTCCATGGTTCTATGAGTGAAGCATAATAGAACTTCTTGGTTCGTTTGTTTAATTAAAAGGTTAAAACCGGATTATCACATTTTTATATGTGTATCTTAAAAAAATTATTGACTACAGTGGTTTGTTAAAGAGCGTAGAATACGTTCTTAAAAAGTTTAAAAAAGTCTCGCTGAACTTTACCAGCAGTGAACCGTAATTTATTTATTACTATTACTATTATTTTATTCCAATCCTCATTATTTGTATATCACACAATCAAAGAAGAAGAAAAGTCTTATTTTTCTCCCTATTTAGCTTACTTTAGACTACCGCGGGCTGAGTGAACAATACTGTACTGCCTCGATACAAGTCTGCTCGAATTTATTAGGCATAATTTGCTATACTGTATTTGTAATAGAAATCAACACTCTGAGAAATAAGCAATGCTTAATAATATACACCAGCAACACCATACTTCTCCTTGGAGCTTTAATCTTCAAGAATATAATCACATCTTAGGTACCTGTCAACCGAAATAAAAAACAAACAAATAAAATAGAGATAAAGAGAGAGAGAGAGATAGGCTATTGTATTAATATTTTGTATAATGTAACTATGTAACTATGCATACTTTTTTTTTAGCTTTCAAGAATTGTTCTCACTTGTGCTGGGGACCGATCCTAGTACGGTTCACGGGTGACTTTTAACAAACAAAATCTTCTCGGTATAAAGTCTATTGATTCAAATATTCACTTTGTTCATGTTTCATATGTACATATATATCAGACTCATATCGTTTAATGCGTTGGCAAAGAAAGAGGTGCAAAGGCTAAATTATACGTATAATGCATTAGTCTGTGAATCTCTCTCTTTTTTTTTAAAAAAGAAAAAAATAAAATCGCATCTTTTTGAGATTGGCAAAATACAAAAATATAGTACAAGGTTGACTCTACATATTTTCTCCTTCATCCATTTAACTATTCAATCTTCAATTAGCTAGCACTTTTAGATCATTAATTAGTCTTTTGGATATTATTTTCTTTTGATAGCTTCACTTCTCTGAAAGCCAAGCAATATAAAGTCTACCATGGATATACAATAATGCTTGGACTTTTGAACACACACCCATAAACGGGTATATAAATTGGATAATCAAGATTTGGAGAATGTCGAGCAAGTCACACAAGAATTCTGTGTGTCTAATGGAAAGACATGGCTGGAGGAGAAGGTCAAGGTCTAATTCTCGAAAAATTTAAGCAAAAAATTGTACATGTGGTACTGACAAAGCATGACATAATAGAAGAAATTGCATCTAACACACTGGCCAGATGGTAACACTAAATATATAGTAGTGTGCTACCAAACATGAATATCCTATATTCTAGAACCCAGAGAGGCGGGGTAAACAGAAGACTAGTAGACAGTGAGTAGAGTAACAAACAATACTTTACAAGAGTCTTCAGAAATGATACAAAGGTACCAGATAAATAAATAAATAAAGTAGAAAGTAAAAAAAAATACAAAAAAAAACAAAGACTGTTTTACCATATTGTCTATCGTTATATTACACGAGTATGCACTTTTCACCAGTACATTCCCAATAAATTATCCAAAGAAATGAAAACGAATGGCCATAGATTACATTTGAGGAAGAAATATTCTACAGAGCGTGACCAAGCTCTTGCGAAAGCAAACAAAAGAGACATGTAGAATCTTTGGATGAAAAATTAGGGCAGACAAAATATTAAAATTTGAAAAAAATGGCAAATTTTCAAAAGTATATAATCCTTGGTCTTTTGGGAAATTCTTGATAGTGAAGATTATACTCATGCAGAAAGAATGTATCTGTAACGTAACATTTTTTTCTTATTAGACAAAGATATAGGTAAAACAAAATAGTTTCCTCTTTTTTATCCTTATCTTGTTCATGTAATCTATGAGCTAATTATGTGGAGCCTTTATATTACAGCTTTTGTCAAAAAAAGAAGAAGAAAACGGTAAATAACGCGCTCATTCTTGGAGATGTATTAATATTCTTCTCTACTACTTAAACTCAGATTCAATCAAATAGTTTAGCTTTATATTTTATTTCCTGAGAAAAAAAAGCTGGTGAGTTGTAAAAATATTATCTAAAATCGTCTATAAAAATCTTGGGGTTTATCAGTTTAGCTTTAATTTATTTTACCTGTTATATTTTAATATCACTTTTTAGTTGCTCTTGTAAAACATTTTCATATTTAAAAAAATCTTCGCGTAAAATTCATTGTTTTTTGTTTACTGTCTATTATGCAGGAGACATCTGCATAACCTCAACCCGATAATAAATGTACTACTGTTATTCAATACAAGTGTTTAAGTTGAAAAATTGAATGTATATGCTTATTTACATAGATATATTCTTGAAACGGGAGGGGGGTTTTTTTTTAAAAAAAAGAAACCGTTTAAATAATAATAGCCGAGGTGTTTGGAAATATTTATGTGACATTAATACTAGATAATTTGATATATATATACATATATGCATAAGCTAAAACAATGGAAGATTTGGAAAAAGATGGTTTGGGAGTATCAGCTTTATGATTACATGTAAACTACTCTAATATCTTGAGTAAAAAACTAGCTGCTATGTGAAAATATTCTTCTATAGTCTTTAGTACAAACAGTAATCTTGTAATATATGATTTACTCATTGGTACAACTTTATATTATGAGTAAGGTCGGATAGTCAGTGCCAGTTATATTCAAAAGGATTTTTCGGCATATAGTTTTTTTTATCCAGACTTTTGTAATACATTTTCTCCCTTCTTGAGATCTCATTTTTTGAAAGAGAAAAATAGTCTTGTTTGTGAGATACGCAACACATTTTTATGCTTCAAGTTATTATTTTTAGATGAGGGAGATATAAGGGTATGTTTGCTTGTTAGTGGTTATTTATATTATTCTTTTGGATTAAGAATAAAGGCCCACAAGAATAGCTGTGCAATATAATAATGTCTTAACGTATAATATGAGAAATGGCAAGCAATTATTTTAAGCTCAAATATTTTCTTTTTTTAAATATATTATCATGTTAGTTGGTTAATACGTATATGAAGCTTTTTTTAAAAGTATATTAAAGCTATTTACACATCTCTGTTTAATTATTATTATATCTTGATAATGCTATCTATAAGTACAAATTACACTATGGGAAGTGAGTGGTGATTGCACTTTCTTATTGGAAACTACTATAAGAGTTTTACAAAATCTCCATCAGAATCAACACTTATTTCCTATAGTGAATAAATAAAACCAGATTATTTATGAAATTAATAACAATAAAAAGATGTACACATCTTTCAAGTTAACTTGTTTTATTACTCCTTTAAAAATACAGCTTTAAAATTCACTTTATCTATAACTATGATATCCTGATACGTTACCGGTATATTATCTATAGAAATCAGACTGTCTACATATAATTTCTAGGTAAAAACTAAAGATATATGGTCTATTTTCTTTTAAATCAGAAATTTTGGATTTTGGGCCAATTTTTTAATTTAAAATACCGATATAAGAAAATAGAATTAAATACCCGCGAACTTAATAAAAATCCCAAATATTGAATTTTATGCAGTCACAACTTCATATATTCACGACAAAAGATGCTTTAAACACCGAAAAATACATAATATTACTATATTAGGGGATCGATTCTCGTAGTCTGCCATAAGAAATGAATAATCGAGGGCCAATATTTCTCTTTCTCTGCTATTAAATTCGAACACCGCGGTTTTTCAAAAGCAAAAAAGCGTTGTCGGAAATGTGAAAAAACTATCGGAGTCCAATTATTTTTCCAGTGTATAAGAAAAATACACCATATCTGAAAAATAAAATAGTCAACCTTGTTTCTTAGAAACAAGTAAGTAAAAAGATAAAATATGACATAGAAGAAATAAAATAAAAACAAGCTAAGAATATTATACACTTTGCTTAATCTATAGGTTTTCTTATATTACTACCACTTGTTTTACAAACGAATAATCATAAAACCATTTATACCTTTATAGGTGGATATAATGAGGGGTTTCAAAAGTCCTCGAGCTTTTAAACTTAAGCTCTACGTTTTAAAAAAGTAACCAATAATACGTAAGAGTTAGTAAGTGTTTTTGAATACCTCTAAATGTTTTCTTCAGTTCTATTAGGCATTGTGATAATATGGTGTAAGTCTAAAAATAATATTTAAAGAGCCAAAGTCATCTTGCATCAAGGTTTTATTAAAATTCCAAAAATGATAATAATCAAATTTAAGCAAAAATGTATTAGATGCTTTAATAATTCCTTTTTTCTATTTTAATGTCTTCTCCAAATCACATAAAATATTGATTGTGTCATTTTTTTTTCTTGAATATGTTTCGATCGTAAATTATGTATGTTGAATAAAGAGTAGGTATCATCGCACCAAACCGTACATTTATGATTCTCATTTATCTAGTTGAATTGTTTTTTTTTGGTTTATCAAACTATGGTCTTCCTGTAATTCTTGGTCAGAAAAGACAAGTGTATGAGGTATTGGAAGATTTAACAAGAAAAGCACTAGACCTAGGCAGCTGTATTAGCTTACATACATCAGCTCTCGTTATGTACGTAAGTGGCTTTTATCAATACTAATTTGAGTATGATGCAATTATAACACTTTTCAATACACTGACATGTACTTGTATGTATATATTTACACTAATATCATGAATAAATTAGCTGACCCAATATACAGCGATTAAATGTTTTCAAATTACATATAGCTTTTTTAATACAATATGATTATGTCTTTATATGTACATACACACATACATTGAGCCAAGGCTTAGAATCCTGTCAATCAAGAGCAGCTATAATTAAATAATATAATAAATCCAAGTAGATTCCTAGGATTTTCCAACAATTTATTCGCCAACAAATGTTTTCCAGTGTATTACTATATCTATTACTAAAGACTAACACTGATCGCTTTTTGATTCTTTGTGTAAAGCGATCTTAACCCTATAATATGCTTGTTTTATCAGCAAAGTCAGTTGTTTTGGGTTTATCTAAGAAAAAATGACAATTAATGTACATATTCTCAATGACAGCTATAGTAGTAAACATCCTAAAATTGTAAAGCTTAATTATTATTTCTTTCGTTTTGTGAAACTCGAAGGCTTCTTTGTGAAGCTATGTAAGCTAAATGATTTTCTCTTTTTTGCCGGTTTCCTTTGTGGGAATGCTGTTTATCCTAATCGTAGGGAATGTGAATATTGAAAGGTGAATGATATCTTAATAATAAACAACAAACTTTACAGGAAACTCAAAGTCAATGGATGTACACAGAGGTTTGCACATGATTAATACATATACTTGTATATCTCCTGACACAGATTGATATATCCGTGAGACTTTAGATAATTTTTAAATAGCTTGTCAATCTGAAGCATTCTAAAGAATAATACAATACTGGATTATGAAACCTGTTACAGCATTTGTTTATATATACAATATACTCACATACATACACACATATATATATATGAGCTCATACGGCTTTTAACTGATAATTAAGACTTGGTATCATTACTTGGAGTATTGCTGTGTAACTAGTTTTTAATTTCTGACACAGATTGGGGGTTCATATACATACATACACAATTATGAGAATATAATGAGACGCAAACCCTACAAGGCCAAATCTTTTACAACACGTTTTTTCATATTTTATTTCTATAGAAAGTAATAATAATTAATAAATCAAACAGAACAAGTAGCTGATTATATGTGATTTGATAAGAATTGCAACCATTTTCTTAGACAAATAATAAAACATCTATATATATATCAAATAAGATGACTCTGTACTCCATCAAAATCAATAAGAATAGTAAAAGAGGAAGACAAAGAAGAAAAAAAGGTACTGAATGCCAAGTAAGATAAATCAGTTAGCGTGTACGGATTATAGTCCATTTCTGGTAATTCATGTCCAAATCGATATAGTTCTTATTACACAATTTAGCTACTATCGGAAATAAAATTTCTTTCGATATCATTAACACGGGTATGTTAAAAACTTTTGTAAAAGTAGCAGGCACACTTACATACATTAAGAGTATTCAATTATTAATGCACATACTATTTTAAAGCCACAAGAATATTTTTAGGTAGGAATCCTTTTAACGCTTCGAGAAAACCTTATGCTGAAGAAGTACGAGTGTATACCACATAAACATACAGTACTCATATTAATCAAGTTTTTGCTTTGCTATATGTAAATGATTATCCTTATTATCTGACTTAACATATTCGTTAATTGATTCTACTAAAAATATGTACTAAAAAAGTATACCCTTTCATTTGATGTTCTCAATTATGGACAAATATCATTGAATAATAAATCATTTTGAAATAAAGCTTTGATTGAATACCCCTTATATAAAAAATTATTCCTAGGTTTCTTCAATTCACGCGTGACTGTTGTTTTGAGAACCTTGAACAATGCTTCTCGCACTTGCCATACAGCCATTATAGTCCTGTTTTTTTTTTTTTTCAAATGGTGAGAAAAAAAAAAGAAGTACAGCAATCACATTAATATAAAGATACATTGAGAGAAAAGAGGAAACAGTAAAAGAAAATGTGATTACTTTACAGGTTGTATGGCGTTGCGTGCCGGGCTTATATATATATATATTTTGACAGCGTACCTTTCAAACCTTAAAATGTTATCTCGGCTGCACATACTCTATACTTCTCTCGACCAAGCACATTTAGTTTGACTTTATTGCATTCTTCTTAATTTTCTGCCTATTTTCCTTCTATTCTCTGTATAGCCCATTAATAATTTTGAAGTCAATAAGATACCCCCAGCATCTTCAATCATTGTAAAGCGTAACTAAATTAGTATAAATAAAACTAATTATGCATGTCCAGCAATGTTCATCACCAACAGCTACTTATACAAGCTGCCACTCGATGACTTGTTAGTAATTACGTATAGTTGAAAGTGTATCCCATCGAACACTACATTCCAGCTGGACCACAAGATTACATGGCGTAATTTAGCTAAGAACTTGTAAGTCCAGCACTAGATCGAAAATGGAATGATTCTACGAAAGAGGGGCTACTGGATTTCAATCAAGTGCCGGGTAAGGATAATGTCCCAGACCGACTGCTTGAGAGAGACCACGAGAAAAGAAATGCTCAAGATTTTCGGGCTGTGTTAGATATAAAGGACAAGAAGGGGATTAGATGAAAGAAAGGATAATACTATTGAGAACAACGTATGTGTGAGCACAACCTCAAATAGTTTTCAGCCAAGCATTCCAGTATTGACAAGGGATTAATTGACGCCGTAAATGCTCTTTACTGGTATTAAACGTAATATGTGTTGCAGACTATTGATCTGTAGCTTTTAGGGCTCATATTTATTTCTTCACCATTTCTTTTATTAAAATAAAATATCTTCTCTCTCTTTTTATATTAAACATTATTCCTCTAATGAATGAATTTTTAATGTTTGAATTTCTATATGATCACTTGCCTGGTCAAGGCCGATTTAAAAAACAACTTTTTAAAGAAGCCGGTGGCTATTGATAGGGTGACAATGCATTTATTGGAAGTACTAAGTGTAACTTACATGTTAGCTAAGACCGAATGGAAAACTTATCGTAGAAATGGGCTATAGGTCCCTTGCCTTGGCATACAAAATTTACTTCCACAGATTCTAATCGAGGTTCAGAAGATCATAAGCAAACTATTAATACGACATTTGGGTCACTACTGCCAAAAATTTATCACAGCTTTACAGATCAGATGCAATGATGTTGTCTCTGCACCAAAAAAATCTTTATACTTATCTTTTATAACAATATTCAAGGCAGTTGACGGGAAAAGCTGGTTTTACCTTTTCATTTGTAGCGATTTCTGGGCGAAATCCTACTACCTTGTTTCCAAGTTGATTATATAAGCCATTGGAGCTAAAGAAAATTTATGACTTTTGCCACCGTTCCTATCGTCTTCCGCGGAGCAATCATCAACATTATATCGGCATACATACGCTCAAGACCAAAATATTCGAAATGTATACATTGTTTCCAAGGCCATCCCTGAAAATCAGGAAAAATATAAATTAAACTGTGCAATCTGTCAACGTGGTTTGCTTAAATAACAAGAACACCGATAATAATAACAATAATAATAATAGCAAAAATCTCTGGGAAAACTGAAACAGCAATCTAGAACATTCCTGGTGCATCAAAAGCCAGAAAACTAACCAAACTCAGGTTTGAATACAATTCATGAGTAAAAAGGCAGCTTTTATCAGTAGAAGACTCGGACTCAGCTCTGGAACTTCTACCGGAACACCAGTTTACGGACACCACAGCAGAAACAGAGTTTGTAAAAGAAGATTTTCTTGGATTTGTATTGGATTCTAGAAAAAATAGCTGGTAGAATGAGCTGGGGCCGTTGCTTTGAAGTAGCCTGAACAGAGAATTTGAGCAAATGGGTTTCTATTAGTACAAGTCTTTACATCTCTCTTGAATAGCGAATCTAAAAAAGTGACAATGTTGTATTGAGTCACCTCTTCTCTTCACAATTTTTTATAGGAACCTTTTTTAACAAACACGAGAAAATACACATATTATGCTACTATACTCGCAATTTATAAACTCTATAGAAGAGTGTTGGTCAAAAACCAAGAGAAACATAAAGCTCACTTTTCTTGCGTATAGTTGAAGCTTGTAGTCTTGTAACTGTCAATGTCAGTTAAGGTTATATAAGACACAGAGAGACATATTGAGATTGATATATTCAAAAAGCAGTGAGGCTAAAATAATCCAAATATGGAGAATGGTCTGCTAAGATAAATTATGAAAGATCTAATAAAAGAAGATACCAAAGTTTGCTTAAATTACTTTGCTGATTTGGCTCAATAATAGTAAAAATATATATTTGGATTCGTCTTAAAGTCAAGTAAAAAATATACTGTTTTTCTACCCCCAAGCAGTTTTCTGTTCATATTATTAAAAAGATCTTTATTGGTGACCAAGAAATCAGCAATTTTTATTGAATCCGAAAAGATAGTATATTAATCTGATCTATAATCTTTTGCTTAGAAAACGTGTGTTGCATATCCAATACTTGATTATTATTATTATTATTATTATAATAATAATAATAATAATAATTTTGGTCTCCTTGTTTGACAAAAGCATTGATTGTTCTAGCTTACTAGTAACACAGAATATGGCATATTATACATATATATATACTTGGGGGAGTAAATAAAGATAAAATAAGAGCAAGGATCAGTGTTCTAAAATTCTTTTGGATTTCAGGATTTCAGGATATTAGTTTTTGGTTTTTGGTTTTTGATTTTTTTTCTTGGTTTGCTGTGGAACGTGGGTAGGAAATCTTTGAAGGGTTTCTGTCGAATATACAATATATCTTGGTGTCACATTTTATATATTCAAAAACAAAAACAAAAACAAAATAATAATAATAATAGGGTATACAAACAAGTGTATATCAATCTTCAAGATTTTGAGCACAGAAATGCAAAAAACACGAGTTGAATCTGGTTGATAAGATGAAAGTACTATAAAATCAATAAAACACATTTGTATATATTTTTAATAGATTATATTTATTTATTTTTTCATAGTGGTAAATCTTTAGCGTGGGACAAATCAATGGGTCTTACTCATTCACAACTAATACTAATATAAAATTCACGTTTAGGCTAAACAACTCACTTGATTAAACGATTAATTGATTGGTAGATTAGTTGATTAATGTATAAATAAAATAAAAAGAAGTAGCAACAGAATAAGTACCAGTAAAGTAGCTTGATACTAACAAAAGGCATAAGTATATATATTATACATGTATAGGCTGTGTTGCGTGCGCTTATTATCTAAGATAAGTGGTTTGTGTGGTTCAGTATCAACCGTCAAACAATATGTTATCTGTGAGGATCGGCGTTTCTGTACGCACACGGTGAGTTTGGCCTTTCTGGTGACAGAGTGCGGTATCGGAGCTGTTCTGCTTTGGTTGTTGGCTTATTTATTAGAGCTAAAAAGCAACTCTTAATATAGTCGGGGGTAAAGGGAAGAATCGGTAGTCAGGGTGGGACATATTTATTTATTCAGGGAACTGCCACATCTAAATATATACCTGTATACACCAGGATTCACAACAATACAAAAAGAAAGAGTGAATATAGGAGAGCTGTACTCCAGAGTACCGCATTGGCCTCCTCTGTAAATTACAGAATGTCAATTACCATAATATACGCAATACACACACACAGTATAAATAAATATAAATACTTACTCTTTCCCTTTAACCAATAGAGATATTCACATGGTGTACGGTAATGACATCTCTAGCATTCATATGTCTTCAAGTCTCTGCTGCTCCTAGTAATTATTTTTGTTTTCTTCCCTTGTGGCAAATAATGGCTCACAAGCCTTTTACTGATGCCAGTGATTGCTTGTCAGGTGGATTTTACTATACACAACGAATTCCCACTGTACGCCCACATTGTGTAATGATGGGATTACCCAAGGTTTTTGCATTTTCTTTGTCTTGTATACATATGTTAGCGTAAAATATATATATTATAGAATAAAGATGTATATATACTATATTTCTTCTTTATCTTGTAAAAAGAAAATTAATACAATTCTTTTGTATTTGGTTTGATTTCAAACAAATATAGAAGAATATTATGAAAATGGCAAAAGAAAAAAGAAAAAGGAAATAGAATTAAAACAATAAGCACACGCACCCCTCTCTTCCTCTTCCTCCTCCCCCTTCTTTTTCTTATTTATTTTTATTGTGTATGTGTGGTGTGCTTGTGCAGCTATAGTTATGTATCTATAGTTTTTTTTTATACACAAGCACAATTACAAGTACAAGTACAAGTACAAGTACAAGCACAAGTACAGCTGCAAATGCAAATGCAAACGCAAATGTACATTTATTACCTTGATGTTTAACAAGATAAATACTCTAATGGTAAACAAGATCCTTCCCTTCCCCCCAAAAAAAAGTAAGGTATTATTGAATGTAGTACATGGAGGCACAGTTAATGTTGTGATTTGGTAATAAAGTATCGAAAACGGCGTTTCACTCTTTCTTTGACATCTAGTCAAATAGTACATGGCTCAAGTGGCTAGTGCCACTGTGCTTTATTTATTATATAATTCACCTTATGAAAGAATAAAAGCTAAAAAAAAATCTTATAGCCTATCTTAAATAATAATAGTAATAATAATTCATTTATTTATTTTAAAAAAAAATGGCATGACTGTTAATTGGTAGATAGTATCAATGAAACTAATAAAGAAGTGTATATATATATACATATATATACATATACATATATACAGAGTTTATTATTAGGTTTTGGTCTCAACAAACCAAAACAGCCTCCTATTGCTGACATCAGTGTACACCCAATACAATTTTGTATATATATATATACATTACTTTTGATAGGCCTGGTGATAATCATCACGATTCATAGACCAAAAATAAGACAAGTGCTACTTTAGTCAGGGAAAGTCAATAAGGAATCAATAAAGCGATGAAAACAATACATGTCAGGTACAATATCCAAGGAAAAACAGCATGTTTTGTGTACACACGCAAAAAAAAGACTGCCTTTTTTTTTCTTTCTTTAAACATGTCATGGCCAAGTATAAACATATCTGATAGATGGTGTAAACACAACATACATATATACATGTGTGTGTGTGTATACAAGAAAGAAAAATACTAATAAAGGTACATATTCGTGGCACGTTTCTTACATTATACAGAGGCCAATGCACAAAGCGATCAAGCCGTGTTACGACAAGCACGCAATAAAAGCGAATGATAAAGATAGTCCATTAGGTATACCATATGTATATACCCACACAACCAAGCAAAGGAAAAAAAAATCTTGCTTGTGTGAGAAAGTGAGCAGATATCTCTTCTAACCACAATGGGCGTGGCTGAAAGAAAAAACATAACAGAGGATAGCGCAGCACAGCACAACACAGCACAGCACAGCAGGGCACAGTTACAGCATAAGAAAACCAAGATAAAACAAAACAAGTATATTGTATATAAACTGGGCATAAAGTACCTTTTTGGTTCAAAACCCTATATCAATCATCTGACATGTTTATCTTGTCCAATCTGTGTCGCGCTACAAAGAAACAAAATGCCTTTTAATACTGACAGATCAAGTCTACAGATACAGGTGGAATATTATTGGGCAGTAAGGAACCATTAGCTCTTTTTAGTCAAGTAAGGCTATGTGTACAAAAAATGGCACGCCATTGGATTTTCTTCTTATACTTTTGGACGTCAAGCCTTTCTGCCTGTGACACATTAAAAAAAAGGGAAAAGGAAAAAGGAAATTGGGCTAGAATAGGCCAAGAAATAATGACCCCAAATGAAAAAATGTCAATAGTAGATGTATAGAGCCGGGATGTGAACAATCGTAGACAAGGCTTGTTTAGCTCCTTATTTTTTTTAGAGTCACTCGCATTTTTGCTGTTAAACCGGGTGCCCTGAGACTGTTGTTGTTGGTGCAATAATTTTGTAGGTGTATATATATATATTTGTGTGTGTGTGTGTGTTTGGCTGTCTGTGTAGATATAAATAATATTGATTATATTTTAGATGACCGACTGTATCAAAAAACACAAAAAGCAAGTTGATGAAGAAACCGGAGTCGTTGTAAAGAAGATAGGGTTGGATATCCAATCTACAACTGTCATTAAAACGAAGCATTGGCCATTAATACGATCGTGCGACTTTTCTAGTGCGGATTTGGTTTGATTGACTCGTAATCAAATATACATACAAGCTAATAAAGGGAGGGAGAGAGAGGGGTGGGAATCTTGAAAAAGAAATCTTCCCTGGGACATTATTTCATTGTGTATTAATCAAATGACCCTGAATATATGACATTATACGGACCAAAGAAAGAAAGAAAAAATAATAATACAGTAAATAGTAATAAAAAGGGCAATTGGCAAAGATATTGCAGTTTGAAGTATATAAGACAAAAACCGTTCTATTGAATTTACACACACATATTCGTGAGTTTCTTATTTTCTCGATTCAAAGTGGGTCGAATTGGCCGTCGAGAAGAAGGAAAGTCTAGCTGTCAAGAAATGTCAAGGCTTTACACATCAAGTCAAGTCAAGTAATAATAATAATAATAATAATAATAATAATAATAATAATAATAATAATAATAATAAATGCAAGCTTAAAAAAATGGAATAAATGGAATGATAAGGAATTACGAGATGCTTAGCTGATACGAGCAATGGGAAGCGTGAAAGGGATGAAACACTTGTGATAAATCCCCGCACACTAAAAGGAAAGAGGAAAAGAAGAAAAGAAACACGCCGTAGAAGGCTCGATTGAGGATCTAGCCAATAACCAAGAGACTGCAAGAAGAACAAGAAGAACAAGAACAAAATAAGATAATATAGACAGAGATAGTGTGTGTGTGTGTGAAATAGCGCCGCTAGAATAACTGTGGGGGAATCGGTTTTACTTTCTTTTGGCTTCTTCATGAAAAGGGTTGTTGGGACTATCAAGGCCATGTGAAATGGACAATAAAGTGAGATGACTGTTTAAGCTGGGTCAATCAAACCCGTGACGGCGTATTTTTACCCAACTGAAAAAGGGTAAGGAGGGGGGAGGAGGACAAGACCGTGAATGGCAAATGGTGATTGCCACGTTCTTTATAGCCTAATCAAGACATCGAAACCTTTTGAGAGGATTAGCTTTTTTTAAATAAATAATTATATATATATATATATTTCTTGTCGAAAATAATAATAAAAATAATAGCAATATAAAAAAAAAACAGGCGGATTTAAGGTGGCCAGGCAAGATAAAATAGCCCTGGTGGGACTTTGCCTTTCGTAGTACTCTGGAGCAGGTTTATCTATGCTTGTGAAATATCAAGAATCTTGATGAAATTCCACTACTTGATGGTGCAACAAAAACAACAAGAATTGGAAAAGAAATGCCTTGATATTCCAGAGCTCAAAAAAGTCACACTTTAGATTGTACACAAAATAACAATAAGAAAAAAAAATCAGTTGACAGTAATGATAAAAAAAAATATAACCTATTGTTGTTGTTGTTATTGTTGTTGTTGTTGTTGTTGTTGTCATGGAGATTTCAGTATATATATAATTATATAATTTATATATTTGTAAAAAAAAATTATAATGGAATATATTATATTGTGTATATAAAAAAAAAAGAAAAGATTTGCCCAGATGGTCAAAGCGTAATGAGTCCGACAAGATTATTTTATATACACAAATTTAATTACACGCACATATTTGTAGTCCCCCCAAATAAATAATAATAGTAATTATAATAATAATAGTAATAATAATAATAAACAATGACAATCTGTTACTTTTATATATTTAGACTCGCTTAACTAATGAATAACCATGGCAACAGTTACTAGGTTGCCATCTAGAATGAATATATATATATATATTTATTTGTATAATGACGTTGTATTGCCGGATAAAAGTGGTAGAAAAGAAACGTCCTGTTATTTTGTCTGTTCATATGATCTTGTCTCTATCGCCCAAATGTCACTTTGGTATTGGTCACGCGTCGCACAGGTGGCTTTTAAGTAAGCACGTCTCTTGCCTGTGCTTCCTCCTGTTAAATTCGCTTTAACCTCGCCTATTTCTCATTCTCCTTATTCCCCTCTTTTCTTTTTTTCTCTTTCTTCCAGCTCGTCTGTACCGACTTGCCCTTTCTTGTTCCTTTTTTGCTGTATTCCATGAAATTAGCGTCTATTCGTCTTTACCGCTCCTAATCTCGACTACCTCATCTTCATAATGTCAACATTGTCAAAGGTAAACTTTAAACCGCCTTTCCAAAAAATAAAAATAAATTATATTGTATTGTATTTTGTACTTACAATAAGAGTTTTTTACAGCGTTCATTCAGTCCTGTCATCCTATTCCATGACCACCACTTTGTAAAAGAAGAATCGGGTGATCTTGAACATGTTCATGTACCCTGTGGCGACCCTTACTACGGCCAATTTATCGAATCGCATAAGAGAAGAATCCATCGGATGTTGGAAAACAACGGTCGTTACTGGGCTGACATTATTACCTGGTCCAGAGGTAAGAATCAGAATCAGAATCAGAAAAAAGAAATCTTGATGGTTTCTTATTATTACTGTTATTATTGTGATGCTAATGACAAACATTAAACATTTTAATAGATCATCCTGGCCATATGGAGAAACTCTCACCTGTACCTTCCCTTGTATCATCCCCAACCCCTCCCCTCCACCCGCGTGACCTTCCTTCTCCCGCCAGCTCCATTTCTCCTTCACCAACCACTAGTCACCGAAAGGAAGCTAGTCCAAGACTCCGTTCATCTTCATCCGCTTCCTCTGCGAAATCATCCCCACACACGGCCACTGCTGGTTCGGTAACCGTAGACACAACAAAGTCAAGCAAGAGACGCCGAGGAAACCTTCCAAAAGCTGTCACTGCTATTCTAAGAGAATGGCTTGCTCGTCATAAGAAACACCCATACCCAACCGAGGAAGAAAAAGCCAGCCTGGCACGAGAAACCAATCTGACCCTCAACCAGATCAGCAATTGGTTTATTAATGCCCGGCGACGAATTCTTCAGCCAATGCTTGACCGAGAAGAAGAAGAAAAGCATGAGCTGGATATCTTGCCTTACTCTGCGGTTCACCCGTTCCAATCAAACCATGCACTCCCAGAAGATGTCTTTGATCGCCGGCTGAGAAAACGATCTGCAGACGCCTTTTCCAAATATTCACCTGTCAAAAGACTTGGCAGCCGTCGAAGACAATAAAAATTAACCAAAAAACAAAAAACAAAAGCAAAAATGCCATTCTCTCACAAAATTATCTCCCCCTTCCCTTCCCCTTCCCTTTCCCCCAAACTCCCCCCCCTTTACCTTTTTCTTCTTTCCTGCATCTCACTCCTATGAAATTTGTAATTCTATGCTACCCTTTCTTCCTTCTTTATGAATAGTCTTTTTTTTTACACACACTCTCTCTCTATTTTTTCTCATGTATATTTAATCCCACTCTTGCTTTGTTATTATCTCATTTTGTATTGGTATTTAGTTCTTTTTTTCTCTCTTTCTTCTTCATATATAATCATTATCATTATTATCATTATCATTATCATTACCATTATTATCATTACCATTAACATTAACATTACCATTACCATTATTCTTAGTATTATTAATATTATTATTAAGTTCTCTGTACTCACTTTTTGTTTAATTTTTTTGTCTTGATTGTTTCCCGAGTGCCTGGCGCATGAAACAGGTTTGACATGAGGCAAATACAAATTATTTTGATGACATGGCTTGTCAAACAACCATGCAAACTTTCCAAAAATAGTCAATGTGAAATTGTTTCCAAGCCCAAAAATCACAATTAAACTTTTATATTTATATATTTATATATTTATATAAATATTATAGTCTGTTTTTTTTTATTTTATCACTATTTTTTGCGTGTGCAAATGCCATGCGAAAAATAGAGAAATATACTATAATACATAAGATCAGATTTTCACGCGTGAAATCTGCTATTCATTACTTCATTCTTTTCTATTTTGAAATCCACATACAATAAGCAGCACACATCACATAGCCTACATAATATGCACAACATACACAACGCTACAATAAAGTATGTTACGCTAGACTACAGTAGACTACACTTGAATATACTATATTTCACTACCCTACAGAACACAGCACAGCACCCAACAGGATTGGAATAGAAAAGGGATCAAGCTCCTTTAATGCTCACAAAAATTACTTTTTTTTAGCCATGTTCTTGTCACGTGAAAATCCACGTCACGCTTACTTCTTTTGCTCAGACAACACAAAACTCTTTTGCTCAAAAAAATAAGTACTCTTCTCCAAAAAACAGTCCTTATGCTCCTTCCAACTGCCCTCGAGGCTCAGGTCGAAAGCTTCATTTCACGCCTCAAGAGACGGTAATTATGGATGGACGCTAAAGTGGTATTCCACGACTAAAACCGTCAACCAAGTCAAGTGATTGGCTCGTATGAAGTAGCCAAAGAAACCGCAGTTTTACTGCGACAAGCAGTCTCAACCACTCGATGGAAAGATGTCAATTCTATCATTGAAACAATTACCGAACTTGGTGGAAGGCTTGCCATGGCCCAACCCAAAGGTACCGAAGAATGCGTGCACATATATATACACATGTGTACATGTAGAGAAAGAGGAAGAGGAAGAGAGATTATAAGAATTTTCATTGTATCAACGAATTTAATATTATTACAATACATAGAGTTGGCAGTTGGTAACATTGTCCGACGCGTTCTCAAAGTTATTCGTGAAGTGGCCCAAGGTGAATTGGAAACAGACGGTGTTGCAGATGTGGATGAAAATGAAAGTGAAGGATACACTTCTGAAGACGAAGACGTCCCTGTGAAGGGCAAAATTCAGTCCTCAACCAGCAGTATTGTCAGTTCGCTCAACGAACGCCCTCCTTTGATCACCCAATCATCAATGTTTAGACTACTGGCTGATGTTGGGCCAAAGAGTGACGAGAAAAAGGCAAACTACAACTTGAAACCATTGATTATTCAGGAAATCAACGAAGAGATTATTGCAGATCTTGAGAGTGTCTATAAGGGGATCGCTGATCAGGCTGTGGATTATATTCATGCAAATGAAGTGATCATGACAATTGGTAGATCACGAACAGTAGAAAAGTTCCTCCGCAGAGCAGCAGAACACCGCAAGTTCCAAGTCATTGTGGCCGAGACTTCTCCTACGTGAGTACAATGTGCATTTAAAGAGATAAAGCAGATTGAAGATCGAAGATTAGAGATTGGATATTGGAAATTGGATCGAATATTCAATAATTGCTCTACGTTTTTTCTTTAAAAAAAGTTATCAAGGACACCAAATGGCTATTGCACTTTCAGCTGCTGGAATTGACACTACAGTTATTGTGGACTCTGCAATCTTTGCTGCTATGCCAAGAGTCAACAAAGTTGTTTTGAGTGCTCACGCTGTACTTGCCAATGGAGGTCTTGTGTCTGTGACTGGATCTCATTTGTTGGCTGCTGCTGCCAAGCACCATTCAACACCTGTGCTTGTCTGCACTGCTCTTTACAAGCTTTCTCCATTATTTGCTTATGATGCCGATGCATTCAACGTCACTGTTGCACCCAACAGTGTTCTTGATTTCCAACAAGGTTCTTTGGTAGACAAGGTAGCAGTATCCAATCCATACTATGACTATGTCTCTCCAGAACTTGTCAGTCTGTTTGTTCACAACTTGTAAGATTCTTCATTTTTCATTTTTCATTTTTTAACTGGGGAGTACAAATGAACTAATGGTTATTCTTTAAATATATACGTAGAGGATCAGCACCACCAACATATGTTTACAGACTCATCAACGACAATTACGACCCAGAAGACACTACGTTATAAATTCTCCTCTCTATCCCAATTTAATAAAGATTATTATATTCAATTCAATCCATAAATGTACATTACAAAATAAAATAGAGGTGACGTATCGCAACATCCCTTTTTGTCTCTCTTTGCCTCTCTTTTTTTTCTTTGTGCTTTGTAAAGCTGCAGGACAGACCGTCACTCTATATTTCTCTCTGTCTCTTTTATATTATAAATTTATTCCTATACTGCTTTTAACTATTATGCAAGCATTTCATTGTAATCGATGTGGCCAATCACTTCGGATTGATGATTCACTCGCAGATCTTGATGACGCTACTGCAGACATGTTAATGGGTGAGAGTTTTATACCGAGTTTTCATTTAATTGTTCATTTTATTTGCTTAATTTACTTAATTTTATTATATCTGCGCAGCTCCCCTCCTTGCAGAAGAACAATATCAAAAGCAAAACAGGAAAACAAAATCTAACACACTACAGATTCAGGATGGTAGCCAGTCTAACAATCTCAAACCACTTCATCATCGTGTCATTGGAACCCAACAGACGCAACCACGTTCAGGTAAACACAGCCGTGAGATATTCAATGGCGGGCCTTCAGATTCCTTTGTTGTCCTGTCTCGGTCCCAGGCAACACCGCCAAACCAGACCTCCACATCCGGACAACCACTTTTACAACCCCAAACTGTACCTGCTACAGACGAGAAACAGTGGCAAACCCAACGCAATAATAATTTAACCCATCGGCTCAGGGTAGCAAAGCGATTATTTGATCTCATGTCATCAAAATCAAGTGTGGATCATCCTATGTGCCACGAGTGCACCGATATGCTTTTGGAGAGTCTGGAAAAACAATTAGAAGATGTGGGGCGAGAAAGGGATTATTATATTGATTTTCTCAAGAAAGTAAAGGATGGGAAAGTAAGCCAAGATGAAGAAAAAGAACTTGTAAAACAAGTAAAAGATGTAAGGAAGAAGATAAGAGGAAGGTTATCAGCCATTAATATATATATATTACAATTCTAAAATAATAATTTATGGATTGAACGGTAAAAACTATTACTGTTTTAAGCTTGTAGTGCAAGAAGAAAAAGTGACAGATCTCTTGAAAGAAGAAGAAGATAAACGAGATGCACTGGCAAAACAGCTTGCAGCAATGGAAGAAGAGATGAAGGAATTAAATAAACGGGATGAGGCATTTTGGGAAAAGAGTAATTCATATCAACTCAAACTGCAGAGTTTTCAAAATCAACGGGATTCTATCAATTTGAAATACGATCATGATGTGAAACAGTACGAAAGACTCCAAAAGACAGTTGTTTACAACGATGCCTTTTCAATCTCACACGATGGGCCATTCGGAACTATTAACGGCTTCAGACTTGGTAGGCTTGGCTCCCATTCGGTAAGACTAAACGATATCTTTCGTAGACTACAAAAAAATCTAATTATTGTGTGTATATTTGTATTTTTTTGTAGGTAGAGTGGGCAGAAGTTAATGCAGCTTGGGGGCAAACATTGTTACTACTGTACACTGTAGCCAACAAACTTAAATTCCAGTTCCAAACGTAAAGAAACCTTTTCGCTTACTATCGATGGATACAATTTCAATCTTCCACATTTTGACATGTATTTGTGTACGATTTTTTTCTTTCCCTTCTTTTTTTTAGGTATCGTTTGGTGCCCATGGGGTCATTCTCAAGAGTTGAAAAGATTGACGGTGACAGCGTACTGTCTTATGAACTGTGAGCGAAAATGAGGAAATAGAGATCCACTCAACACCATCAGAAACTAAACATTCTTCAAAATCAGGTACGGCTCAGGTGACTTTGGGATCAACCGCATGTTCCTCAACCGTCGGTTTGACCACGCAATGGTTGCCATTCTCAACTGCCTTAAACAACTCACAGATTTTGCTGAAGAAAGGGACAAGAGTCTGCGATTGCCTTATCGAATTAACAAGGACAAGATTGGTGAATTGTCTATACGTCTTCAATTCAACCAAGAAGAACTCTGGACAAAGGCACTAAAATACATGCTAACCAACATGAAATGGATTCTTGCCTTTGCTAGTCGCACTATTGTCACAGCCGATGCTCCCACTCCTTCTACCTAAAAAAAAATACACGCATACAGTGCCTCCGGCATCAATTTGCACAAATTAAATATTATTATTTTTTGTATTTATTGGTCGGCTTCAATGCAAAAACACTGAGCGATTTGTTTATATACCTGAAAAAAAAAGGTCGCGGTATTGCAAAAGAGTATTTGTGGAGAAAGAAAGAGAGAAATGAATGACAAAGGCTTATTCTAAGAAAAAGCATATCAACACTAGTGTCCTAACCGTTATCACTCCAGGAAGAAAATGTTGTTCATTCGTAACGCAGGCCCAGTGTGCCCGCCAAATGGCATGTATTGTGGAGGTCATGCCTAGAGCTTGTGTGTGTTTGGGGAAGGGTAGATCAACGTATTACAAAGTGGTCAGAAGAGGGATCATTTTCTCCACCGACAAGCGCGAGCACACCTGAGATATAACTACTACACACGAGACGCTTTTGAAGGCAGTTGACCAGCAAATGTCCAGGATGTCATATTTGGACTGGCGTATAGGACAAAAGAAGACATCAACGAAATTGTTAGTCTTTTGAAGGACAAAAAACCTGGTAGGCATGCGCTCCCAAAGGGACTGCATATAGACTAATTGGTCCTTTGGTAAAAGCTTTTATAAAATAGAAGACTTTTAAACGTCCAAGATATTCGAATAGTCTCATGCCAGTAGCTAAAATAACATTTATGTTCCGATGAATCAAGAGCACAACCTCTTAAACTTATTTCAGTTTGTCTCCCTTCACTTAACAACCCATGTCTAAGAACATAGCAATATAAAGATATAGTTTTTGAATAAAAAAAAGTAAATTTATTAAATAAATAATAATAATATTTTGGACCTTCGTGAGCTCTTTTCATATTGTGTATATAATTAAGCATTAACATGTAATGATTCTTACAAACTTCAACCAGGATATTTTTATTTTATTTTTGTATTGTTTATTGATTGAACTGTCCACCCGAAGGCATGGGAGTTAAAATTAAGTAATACTAGTAAGAGATTCTTCTAGTTCCAGTCTTCGAATGTGCAAAACTGCTCAACCAGGATATTGTTCCATTCCCCATGACAAAAGCGTAATTTGAACATGACAGAAACTAAGCTTGGGTCGCACAATAACGCAAATTGAGTTCCAATAAAACGAAAATTGAAGCAATAAAAAAATGTAATTGACTTTATACTACAATATTGGTTTGCTTGCTCAACGTCCTTTCCGCCAATTACTTTTTTGCCTTATTGTTCTCCGCCAGCTCTTAGAGAAGCTCTATATTCGCCCTTTCGCTCAACGTACCTTCCTGTAACATGCCGCCCAACCGTCGAAGTACGACCACCATTGAATGTGCTTGTTCCCGGCGTACTTTAACATCGTTTGTCCGCTCCATCTTTCTGTCTTCTCTACAATTTTCATTCTAGAATCTCCAAACCCATCAGTCCCACTCTTCTGCCTCATCAACTCAGTCGGTCTTGGTCCTTTTCTTTACCTCACGGTGGTCATCATATTTTGTTCTGTTTCATATACTAAAAAATCCTTTGTTAACCCCGCTTGCATTATAGATCCCTCTGGCCTTCCCAAACCCGCCCTGTGTCTTTCGGTTTCACTCTCTTGACACTTAAACGCACTTTCTCTTCAATTGTTATAATAAACTTTCTGTCTGGTCATATATTTTGACCTTGTAGTCTTTTCGAACAGTGGTACCTACCATTTTGATTTTCTCTCTTCGATTATTTAATCCTTCACCTTCATTCATACTATCGATCCAGTCCTTCCTGCTGCTTCGGTTTTTGGCGGAACCATGCTGGCTATATGGCGCCCTCACTAGATATCGATTTTCGAACAAGTTCCTTTTGTCTCCTCTGTTACCATATTCACCACCTTTACTATTCTCGATTGTCTCAAAAGCGAAATTGACCTTAATATATTCTACCTTTTGCTTCCTCTTCCTATACACATAGAATGTGTATAACACAAAGCTAAAGGGAAATAGAAAGCCCAAAAACAAGTCGTAACTTCCTCTATTGCTTGCAGCGTAGATTCCCACTAATAAACCAGAGCCTCCGGCTCCCTACAAATAAAACATTTTATACTAAAGTCTAAAATGATTCTAACTTTAACAAATTGATGTCAAAGGCACTGTACATATACACCCTAGCGCATCTATATATATCCCATAATTTCCACCAAATAGCACCAAATACATGTACATAGACCCAATAACTATGCTGCCTTTTTATCGATGCTGTATATAAAATAATACTTTCTTAAATGTCGAACTTTGTAAAATGAGTGTATGATGTGTGTGTATTATTGATTTTTTTGTTTTGTTTGGTTTGGTTTGGTTTCGTCTGGTCTGGTCTAGTCTGATCTGATGGAATTTGGTGTGACGTGGTTTCGTTTCGTCTAGAAAGGCATAGAGGTCTTTTGCTTGGCAATAGCCTTGAGCTTGTCCTATAAAATAATTGAGTAAATTAATAAATCACGTTTAATTTAATTCGATTCAATAATCTATTTTCTCTCTTTTTTTCTTTCAAATTCTTATGTCTGTGTATGTGTGGCTTTTTGTTTCTGTTTATGGCTCTTCCTATTTAAACAAGTCTTGTAATTTACCTCCTTCCAGGCCTGAATAGTCTGGGGCATCTTCTCGAGGTTCTTGCGAATGTTGGCCTGGCGTTCGGCTCGCATGCGTTCATGCTTCTCCAGCTTGTTGGGCTTGTAACGCATGGGTTTGGCAGGGGCAACGGGAGCGAGACCAATCGAAGAGGCATCGATGCCCTCCTGCAGACATGCTTTGCGGAGATCATTCTGGCGACGCAGACTGACCTGTGGGGGTCTCCAGAAACTCTTCTGCTTGGCTTCGTTGAATACAAGTTGTGGGGTAACGTCGGCTTCAACCAAAGGCTTTGTCAGCTTTTGGAGAAACTTTTGAGAAAATACACGATGACTGGCCATTATGACAGTTTTTGGTAGGTCGGAAAAGGAAAGGGTTGGATTTTTTTCTTTTACAAAATAAAAAAAAACAAAACAGCCTAGGTTTCTTCTGCCCTATATTTTTTTTGTCATTCGCAACCTTGCTGTATTTTTGTGACGGTTCTTTAGAACTCACAAAGCTGACCTTGGCGGACTTTTGATCTTGCGTGTTCTTGCCTTTTTCCCTTAAATATTCTTTTCTACTATGCGACGACGACCAGTTGGATTAGCGAATGCAACGCATCGAAAGCAATTAGATGTAATGACAAGAACAAATAGGACATGTTGAAAATATAATTTCTCGGGAAATAAAGTGTGATAACAATGAGCATGTTAACACAGAAAGACTTTCAACAAGTGGGAGACTCTATTGCTGCCAAGGAACTTGAACAGGTGTGTGTAATGTGTAGTGTGCAGTATGTAGTGTGTGTATGTCTATACATGTATCCATACAATTTTTTTGCACGTCAACATATATATTTATCTATTATAGGGATTTCTCGCAAAAACTTTGTTGAGATAGCTTCAGAGTCAAATTGAAGTCTTTAAATCAAATCTTGAAGAATTTGCATGGAAACATCGTAAAGATATTCGCAAGGATCCTACCTTTAGATCCCACTTCCAACGAATGTGTGCTACAATTGGAGTAGATCCACTTGCATGTAATAATATATATAGAAAGAGAAAAAGAGAGAATGAAAATGAAAATTAAAATACATGACTCTAAACCAAATATTTTTATTGCAGCAAACAAAGGATTTTGGGCTGACTTGTTGGGAGTAGGAGATTTTTACTATGAACTTGGGATTCAGATCATTGAAGGTTGTATGGCCACCCGAACACGGGATGGTGGATTAACTGAGTTGGGTGATCTGAAGCGCCGCCTAGATAACGCGAGGAGCAAAGAAGGTCGTCAAGAAAAACAAGATATTACAATGTAAGTAAATAAGAGATTGTATATATATGAAAGATACATTTGAAACCAGAACAAAACATGAAACTTGAGGTTTTCTCCTTATACACCTTGTTCTACTTAGGGATGATATAGTACGAGCCATAAAGACACTCAAACCTTTGAGTGGTGGGTTTGAGGTTCTGGAAATAGGAGAACGTAAGATGGTGCGATCCATGCCAAAAGAGCTTGATAAAGATCAATCTGCACTGCTACTCCTTGCACAGGTAATACACAGCAACTATAACAATAACAACATCAAAAGCAGAAACAAGTAAAGAAAAATGCAGGTTGCATTTACATCTAAGAACATGGATTGACACGGAGAACATTGATGTGTCTACACATCCCTACAAATGTATTTTCGGTTGCATAGAAGCAGGGTTATGTAAACAGGCCCATGATTCAACAAAGTCTTGGATGGGAAGATGCTCGCACACAAACTGGTTTGGTGAGTTAAAAAATAATATATATATAGAAAGGATGCTCATAGATAACCAAATATTATCACCTCACTAAATAAACTAAATTTATGCTTTTCTTGTGTCTGTGTATGTATATAACTGATAGCAACACTTGCTACAGGATGGACTAGCATGGATAGATGATCAGGCAGAAGTAGATACGTATTGGATACCAAGTTACTTTAAACTTGACGAATAACTATGATTTGTATGAATACCCTTTTACCCATTTATCCATTTACCTATCTATCTAGACAAGCGATTGGGGGGGAGGGGGTTTCTGTTTCTTTTTCTCTTTAAAGAAGATGATTCCAATAAAACAATTTACCTTTTAAGATTCTTTTTATATAAGCTTTATTATTGTTATTGTTATTATTTAGAAGAAAAAGTCAAATATGTATATAAAGATGCATAAGCACAAGAAAGGATGAATGATAAGGAAAAGAACAAGGCAATAAAAAAAAGCAAACAAGGATATTATGTACAAAAGTAAGCGAATAAATAGCAACAAATGGATTAGGTTAGGTATGGCTAAAATACTAATATAATTTTCTTTTCTGTACAAGTTTATAAAAGATGGTCTACAATTAGAAGCGAAATAAATACCACAAAAGTACAAACGGGTACACAAAAAACGCCATAGCTCCAGAACAATAATCGTAGCATCTCTTCTTCGTACATCCCACTGACTTGTGTGATTTGCGAAAGATTTACTGCAGTTGGTGAGCAACTGACCAAGATCATTACACAAAGGAAACAAGGATCTGTAGCAACATCAGATAATACTTTGCCGTACAGAGCAAACATGATGACCATTGGAATGACCACTAGAGGAACAATGAACATCTTGATGAGAATGGCAAGAGATACGGGTTTCTTGGAGTTTGTTTCGGTTGGCGCCTGGGATTCGGCAATAGAAGTGAGCTGAGAGCCAAGGCAGACCATTGTAAGGGGTACTGCAGCTCGACCACAGGATTCGATTGCTTTAGTGAGACAAGGATAAAGGAACCCACTGCGGTTGTACATCAGATCCTTAAAAGAAGGCACTAGACCAATCAAAAGGCCGAAAAATGCTGCATACAAAGGAGGGGACATATAACTGTGGAAAGTCGATGCCACGGACACGACTTTGCTGAAAATGTGTTTGTTAACCCAGTGTTGAGTAGACACCGAACGATTGTCAAGGTCGATATTGGGAAACGAAAGTAGAGATTGGGTTTCGCCTTTCAGACATTTGGACGTATTAAACGCGATGGTGTGGGAGCTTCGTCGTCTGTCAATTTTCTTGCTGTACTCAACTTCGCTGTCGAGAGACGATAGGGACGATAGGGAGCGAGATGATGTCGCACCATAAGGTGATACAGATTCTTCATCCTTATTATCTAAGCTACTACTGTCGTCACTGTCGTGCTTTTGTAATAAGCTGTAGCCATAAGACCATCGAACAAAATTGCAGAACATTGAAAAGAATAGGATATAAGAGATACCCCTTTATAATTTTTTTATAAAAAAAAACATGTGTGTATTTAGTATTGCGATCATTTGTATTTAAAGAAAAAACATTTACTCTGATTTGTCCTATGTTTTTTTGTTCTTGGTTTTTCTTAATAATAATAGTAATTACCTTGCGGAAACTGTCTCTTGGGTATCGTCTGCACTCCAAAAGAGAACCTTGCCTGCCTCGGACACTGCCAGACTCGACATGATGGCTACCGGAAGAGAATTTGTGTTGGCAAACATGGCACAGGCGAGTACAAACGGACGGTAGTAAGGATCAAGACGCGTAAAACGCATCACTAGCCGAGAAATTAGATAGGCTAGTAGAGTGAACGTGAAATAAAATACGGGGATTGGCCATAGTGTGAGCAGCTTGTTGAATGATATAACGGAAGCGATATTGTTGAACATCAAGCATGGCGTAAAGAATACCAGGTTGAGCCTTGACAACCACTATTTAAATTGTGATGATAATAACAATAAATGCAGGAGATTAGCATTATAAATTTTGGTTGACTTTCTTTAGATGTGAAGTGCTTTCTTTATTGCTGAAGAAAATTATTATACCTTTTGTTTTTCTGGGGTAAAATAATCAAGTTTTGTGAGACCATATCCAAAGATGACGATGAACATAACTTGTAAAACCGCCTATTTTATTATAATAATATTATAACACCGTCAGTTGAAGAATCAATAAGGGGGAGATTTTTAACATTCTTTTTTTTTTATTTATTTTCTATATTAATACATATATCTATGTATGGCTTTATGCTTACCTGGATGGCAGATATTATTAGATGAAGCATTTTATTGAAGTGGTGTAAGGAAGAGTGCAGAAAGACAGATAAGGAAAGGAATTGGAGAATATTTGATTTTTCACTCTTTTTCTTTTATTTTATTATTACTATTTTTTATTCGCAGAGAATGATGCCATTAGCGGCTAATTGACGCCAGTCTACCTTGATTTACACAATACACAAGTCCCCCTTTACCCTAGATAGGAAACCAATTGAGACTATCATATGTGTAGGCTATATTTTTGGGAATAAATCTACAAATATATACTCATATAAAAAAAAAGTCAAGTTAAATTAAATTAATGAATTACATAAAGACAACGCAAGGAGTATTTAAAGATCGAAAGAGCAATTCTGTTTTATAGAAAAATGTACAAAAATTGACCGTATGAGGATGAATGATATATATATATATATATATAGGTGTGTGTGAAATAAAATAATACGCCACTAAACGTGTTAACATAATTTAGATTTATTAAAAACTATTGTGAATTGAAGAATTTTGGCTTTGATTTTTTTTTTTTTAAAAAAAATAAATAGAAAAAAAGCTATCTTGGTTTAGATAAAGGTTCATATCAAGAAAGGCGTTCTACATTCTGATCTTATTGTTTTCTTTTTATGTTGCGCATGTGTGTATGGCTATTTATTTTGGTCTTATTGGTATATAGAATAATACGTGTAGTGAAGGTCAGATATATGGGTAAATAGTATTAAAAAAAAACAAGTAAAAAATATGATCAGTAAGATATGAAGAATAATTTAAAAAGTGATTTATTTTTTACGTGATAAATTGCAAACACTTTTACCTGTAAAAATTGTAATAAACTCCGCTTCCAAAATTTGTTATGAACTTTAAATTTTTCTTTGGATTTATAACTCCGTACACCTCTGTAAAACGCCAAAAAAGGGAATTATTATATATGTTTCAAAATTATAGCTATTATAATAATTTGGATTGACAGTTCAATGGATAACGGGTACCTTGAATTTTATTTTTGTGTGTTATACTTAATTTTGGAACGCATTCTCTCTCTCTCTCTCTCTCTCGCTCACATATACACACAAAAATAAACATTAAAGAAACCATCTTGCCTTGTGTACATCTTTGTATTAAAGAATGCAATGCTCAGCGTGGCTTTGCATAAGAGTAAACGCTTGGCATATCACTATCATATGATGTAGACATTTTGCTTAAAGCGCAGCCCAGTATTTACATCAGTGAACTCCTTTGTTGGATAGTCTTCTCAGGTGGTGTTCAAGTAAAAATAAGTGAGTAAAACATTCAGCCCGACTAAACCCCCACACTCCCATAACAATGAGCCCAAAATAATTACTAATGTTCCAAGATAGAATAAACCATGGTTGCTTACCTTTCTAGATGGAAGCTTTTTATTAACACTCCGTCTAAAGGTCGCACTCGGACCGACCGAAACATTTTTTGAGAAAGTAATTTGGTGATCAACGTCTATTCAGGATGGATATAGGCACGGCTACTGAGAAAGTGAGTAAACGAGCCGATCCCGGGATCGACACTCCTTCTATATATTGTATAATACAATACTACATATGTATACATGTATACAGTGCCTCCAATAAGCAATGTCTCGGCCAATCAAAAGAAATTTCGCATTTTCAAAGTGGAAGTCGTGTTCTTAAAAACCATTGCTTGCTTTTGAAAAATAATGTCGTGTCACAATGATCTCTTAGCACTTGAAATACATATACATATGTAAATGCAGACCTTTTCTCTTGTATGTTATCTTGTTTTCAATGGTTAAATATTTTTATTTAAAGGTGGGTCTGGGAATTTAGTTTATGAGGACAGTGGACCTTAGCTTATGGAGTAAATCGTTGATCAGAGCGACCTTATTGTTGAACTAATTTGGTACTCACACGGATTACTTAAAAAATGCAGCCTCAGGTAAGATTTATTTTTCTCGTCCAACGTTAGTAGAAAAGTCAAAAGGTGAAGATGTACGTATAAAGAAAGCGAATACAAAAATGACTATGTATTCTATATAATCCAGGATAAGGCAAGTTTTTTCGATCGGAATATTGAAGAGTGTAGGAGTACATCAGCTGTAGTGAAGCAATTGGGTATACATATTCGGACTGATCATAAATGCATCTTTAACGAAGAGCATAAACCGGCCGTTATAAACTTTATTTATGTTAGCCCCTTTACTGCTGCTGTTGAAGTGCCTTATACTTTTTACAACCCTAATAGAACAAATGAACTCTGTTAAGACTTTCAACCAGCTCCAAAGCGTCCTACCATATATAACATATATCAATATTGTCTACGTACAGCAAGAATAGTTTATTTGGGAGTCTGATATCGTTATATATACTTTTCTCTGCATTTAAACTTGTTTATAGAAGCATCCTTGAGTAATTGATAGCCGGATAGAAGTTCAAACGATGCTCCGTGATCAATCACAATATCCTGTGACGTACTATACGTCCTAATAGTAACCAATTAATATATATGTATTGAATATTTTTTCTCTTCATCCTTTACTTTCAAAACTTTTGAATATATTCAGGACCAGTGGACAATCCGGCGTAGTCGATAATGACAGGACGTATTACTTTTTGTGTACAGTGAATTCTTTAATATGAGATCTATAAAAATTTGTCAGTAAATTATAACAGCAAAAATAATGTGAATGCTATTCACCGGTGATATCACTATGATAATCTTTTGGTAATAATAAAGTTTTATTTGCTCTTGGATGGTCTCGTTCAAATAAAAGATGGCTCACCAGACATCAGAAACTAATAAATATTTTCTCGCATCTGTCACGAAAATATAGCTTATCAATCATGAGTTGTAAGAGATGGACTCTTGATGCCCCTGTCTCGTTGGTGGGAGATTTCCTCGCATATTCACTTGCCATGAGATCAGTTTTTTTTGTATATGGGACCAGTACGTTAAAACCAAATCACAATCGCCTGCCAAGAATGCTACATCAATACATATGAGTTTTAAGTTGGCGTTAAGAGTTAAAATTGTGTTACTTCGATATTATTCTTTTACAGCCCATAGATCGCGGCCAGAAATTTTGACGTCGTTGGTTTTGCGCCTGTTTATGGTATTTCATATTCCAGCCTGTCCAATCTGATATTGTAATGCGTTCATCGAGCAGTTAGGACTCAAGGCACGGGAAAGTAGCTTTCATTATTAAAATATGGGATTCCATCCTAGAAAATTGTTGAGCATAATAAGTATAATTGCTGCTGCTGTCTCTGTCACCATTATTTTTATCCTTGTTTTTTTTTTACAATCACTCCTTATTATCACCAGCACCGTAATCGAAGTTACTATAGCTAACATTATTATGCGATTGTGAATGGGAACAATATCCTGCAAAGTTTCTAGAAGATTCCGGATATAAAATGTAGGTGTATAGGTCACTATCAATAACCTCTAAAACGGATTGTTATATGGCGAGATTGGTAGTGCCCAGATAAATACGTTGTAATGAGACCGCTTTGTTAGTTTCGTTGTTGTGGTTTTTTTATGAAAGACTATTGATTAGTTCTGTATCTTAAAGTCTAAAGGATTAAGTTACAAGTCTCAAATCACCCCAATTAAATCGATCTACTATTGATTTATTACTACCTTAATACTTCATTAGGAGGCTACACATATCTATATATTAGGGTTTTTCAATTGTAGAAATCTAAAGAATTTAAGATTCAAATGACTATCTTTTATATTACAAAGTAGCCAGGGAGGAAAAGGTAGATCTGAAGAAGTACTATTTCTGAAAACATATATCTAAACTGAAAAGCTTCAATATTTTAGGTGAAAAGTACAAGAATCTAAAGTTCTTTAAGGTCTGAATTTGAAACCCCCTAATTAATGTTATACAAAATATTGAAGGATCAAGATATGCTCTGATTAAGTCTCAGATACAAACGATTTCTATAGATCCTAATCATTTTATTTCCCATTCAAAACAATATAAATATCAGTTAGTAGTTGAGTATAGGAAACCTTTGTCAATTTTTTATACCACTTATTGTTTTCTTCAAAATAACCAAACCTATACAAGCTCTCATGTATTTTTGTGTCATTACTGCTCTTAATTTCTTTAACCTTGTAATGGTCTGTAAATGTTTTTGTTTTGTTTTTTGGGTTCTTTGCCTTTTTCGTTTTTTTTTCGGGGTTATTTGGTCGATGTCCTCCAAAATTAAACAAGAAGCTTTACCTAGAGCCGATATGATTGTTAAACAATGTGTGACAAGGAAGAGAATACGATTTAAAAGGGTCTCTTCTAAGCTCATGGTACTAGCGCATAGTAACAAACTACTGTTATTATCCTGATTGTGTCAAGAAACACTTGACATTAATTTTCAAAAGCAAGCAATGGTTTCTAAAAATACGATTTCCGTTTCTGAAAATACAAAATTGATTTTGATTGACCAGAAAAATCCATTCTGATTGGCTGCAACAATACTTATTGGAAGCACTGTACATGTATGTATGTATTTATGTATGTATATGTACACATACACACACACATTTATGTATATATTTTAGATTCCCCCTTCTTTTTTTTGACTTACCCATGTATGTATATTATAATTATTTCTCAGATTGGTAAAACTTAAACATGTAAAGTTACTTTTCTCTATTTAAGTGCTTGTTCTTTGCACTAGTTCGAACAATGTCCTTCTCTTTCTCTTCTTCTCAAAAATGGCTACCATGACAGCACCACCACCCGAGCAAAGAATTGAATATACCAAAAAGGCGCGTCATGGCCACAACCAGGACATGACAGACGAGAATAACATCCGTCAAGTAGCAGGATGTCTTCCAATTGACCACCAAGCAAAACGGTTCTTATTGATTTCATCACGCAAGAACGCTGATGCATGGGTGCTGGTGAGTTTTGGTGTTTCTTGCTTGTTTGCTTGCTTCATCACGCATTTATTTTTATTTTTATTTAACCAAACTGACCATTTGATTTAAATATTAGCCTAAAGGTGGTTGGGAAATCAACGAAACGAAAGAACAGGCTGCCCTTCGAGAGACATGGGAAGAAGCAGGCGTCAAAGGCATTATATACAAGCACATTGGTGTCTTTGCGGACAAGACCAACAAAGGAAAAGTAAAGGCTCACCACTGGGTCTATGAACTCGAAATTCAAGAAGTAGCCAAGAAATTCCCCGAGCGCAAGAAGCGCGAACGTCGTTGGGTAAGAACATCTCTCTTTGTTTAGCATTCCCTTTCTTTTTCTTTTTCATCTTCTTTACTGTACATTAACAGAGACATAGTGATTTGAATTTGACTACATTTTATATTATTTTATTTTATCTTGTTTTATATTTTAATTTCCCTTAATTCCCTATTCATTCTTTTTTGTTTTTTTTTTTTTTTGAAAATCAAAAAGAAGCATAAAGATTTTCCATATACTAACCAGCTATTTATTATTTCCTTGAATGAAGTTCACTTATGAAGAGGCACTCTTGGCAGCCCAGTCTCCTTTTATCCGTGAAGCAATTCGTATGTCTAGCCTCAACCCTGCCAATAGTCCCGAACCTTCTCCTAGAGTATCTGACGAAAGTCAACCCACATTAACTGGAACCCCCCCGCCCACAATAAAGGCCATACCCCGAAGCAACACAGAGAATCGCAGATCATTTGGTGCCAAACTAAGAGCGCTGTTCAGTTAAATAGATATCAATAGATCCCACATTTGGTTTAAGCCGTAGCTGTAGCCGTCAACCACCGAATGTTACAAGCACCATTTTTTTATTTATTTATTTATATATATATATATATACTTATATTCATGTACACTCATTCAGACAAATTATGTATTCAAAGGGAACCTGGATTTGGAAGGGCCAATATTATCCAAATTGCCTTGTTCCCTTTTTTACAACAACCATACAAAAATACATTTTCACGCACCCACATCCTCTACACAAAATACACTCACAACACATTGTATACACCTATACATTCATATACTCATGCCATTTAATGTCATGTTCCTTTTTTTCTCTGGTCACATCATTTCATTTCATTTTTTTTTAATATAAAATAAATTATTGGATATAATTGATATTAGCTTTATATAGCTTATAACAAGGCGCAAGTTTTGGTATTGTAAAGTACAATAGATGCGCCCTGTCGATCACATTTGTATCGGAAGTATGAGCTTCTATATATATATATATAAAAATCGTACCTGTAATTAGCAATCTGGCTACATTCAACGTCAAGAAACATGTATCAATATATATGGGTTCAAGCAAAATAATAACTGAGATATTTAAATGCCGCCAATATATATGTAAATAAATAAATGACTGAGATACTATTTTTAACAATACAAAATATAAAAAAGTAAACTGTATATATAAATATATATTTTAAGCTTTAGAAAAAATAGAATCAACAACCTTGCATTGGATTCCATTTTGAGAAAGAGAAATAAAGAAGTAGCAAAAAGATAAATATCTCCTTTTTTGTTTAAAATGTCATAATTATGTAATTACAATCCTTACAATCATTATAATTGATTTCTTGGTTTAAAGAAAAAGAAAAGCACAGTACAGTACATATATAACCATTCAAAGAAGTATTCTAAAGAAGTCAATAATGAGTATATACATACATCTTTATATATATATATTTATATATATAATAAGTTTAAAGAAAAATTGTGTTTGAGAATAATAATTATGATGATAATAAGTTATCAATTGATTATAAAAAAGAAGAAGAAGAAGAAGAGGGGATAATAAATAAATGATCAAAAAGATCTTTGAATTTAATTGTACCTTTTATATATATATATATATATATTTCTTGTAATCAATTGCGATTTTGATTAGCTGAAATCAGATACTGATTTGTGTTACTCAAATTTCTATTATATTATATTGCATTGTATTGTATCTTATTTATATATGTATAAACACAGTTGGTGTATTCGTAGCTGAGCCATCTTTCTTTCGTTCTTTTATGTGCTTGTATATTTGCAAGCCAATAGACTGAGATTAAAGACTGTCAATCTTGTAACACTCTGGGGCAGAAGATCTGACATGACAAGCCATGACAGATAAACCAAAATAATATATATATATAAAAAGATTTGATAATTGTATATAGATATCAATATGTGTGGGTTATCAAATGGGAGACATAAATGTGTGTATATATGCTATATAGATAGATATTTAAAAAGAAAGGAAAAAAATATAAAACGATGGTAAAGCGTAAATGGGTGGGTGGGTGAGTGGGTGGGTTATTGTAGATCAAAGAAGAAGAATAAGAAGAAGCAAGGGAAAGGAAACTAAATAAAGCGTGAAGAAAAGAAAGAGAGATATAGAAAACAAAAAGAAAAAGAAAACATAAAGGCAGATAGATTTTAGATATGACAAAGGAAGATAAAGAAGTAAAGGAGATAAAGAAGTAAAGAAAGTAATAGATAAGTAAATAGATAGATAGATAGATAGATAGATAGATAGATATAAATAAGTAAGTAAGTAAGAGATAAAGATATAGCGAGGTTTTTCTGTGAGTGTTGTGGCTGATTGATTGGTAGAATTGATAGCCTATCCTATTATTTGTTACCAATATTGTGGTAGGCATATACTTCTAACCCATCTTCGTCTTCTTTCTCAAGCATTGGTAATAAGATTCGTCGTCTGGCATTAATAAACCAATTGCTCACTTGGTTGAATGACAGATTGGTTTTTCCCGCCAGTGCTTCTTTTTCTTCCTCATTCGGATAAGGGTGTTTTTTGTGTTTCGTGAGCCAATCCCTGAGAATTGCTGTCGTAGTCTTTGGGAGATTACCGCGTCTTTTTCTGATTTTCAGGAGGGGAGGAGAAGCTGGTGCCCGACCCGCGGGAACAGCATGAGGGTTGGTTGTACAAGACATCAGTGAGCGTGATGTCTGTTTAGGAGACGGCAAAGTACTTGGAGGAGATGGAAGATCGTGAAGTGAGGACGTAGAGGAGACTGAAGAAGTAGAAGAGGATCGATGAAGGTCTAATATAATATAAAAAAAAGAACCATTAACAATTGTAATAAAGAAAAATCAAAAATCAAGAAATTATATCGTAATAATCATATGTCATGTCCAGTTTAATAAGCTTTTTTTTTATTTTTATATTTATTTTTATTTATTTATTATATATATATATATAGTATTTTACCTGTCTCTACACCAACGTCAGTCCAAAATCGAACATTATTTCTCAGCATCTGCTTGACTCGCATTCGATGAGAGTCAATAGAGGATGCATGTTGGGGATGATGGTAAGGGATGCGAATGTGTTCGAGGCTGCCGGTGCTGTCTCTTACAAACTTGTGGTCATGGAACAGAATAAGAGGCTTAAAGCTGCGTAACTTTAAAGAATTCAAGGAATATATATAAAGAGAGGGAGAGAGAGTGGGTTCATGTTAATACAATAAAATTCTGTCTGGGTGCTGAATGTAGTAGCATTCAGTCCTTACATTTCTGTCAGTGGGTGCCATACAGGTGGACATGTCAAACAAGTAAAAAGGAAGGAAGGGAGAATGGTGGAGTTGGAAAGATTGAAACTGTTCGAATACGGTTAAACGATAAGATTTTCTCTCTTTCTCTCTCCATCACCCCCACTCCCACCCTCCATTTTCATAGGTAGCCAAAAGGCACATCAATGAGAAAAAGCATCAAACTTGAACTAACAAAGCCACCTGTACGACTATTGTTATATAATATAATGCTAATACAAATTACCCTTTTTCGGTCTTGTTTAATCCCTGCACAAATTACGCAATATATTCTTTACCAATAGTAAGCATAGTAGTTGGTTTACTATAAAAATATATATATATTTTTTATTCATTCATTCATTCATTCATTCATTCATTCATTCATCAATACATATATATTCAATAAACACTAATCAGTGCAAAAATATTTAATAACAATAAAAAGGCAATAATAAGGGTCAGAAAACAGAAATCATATGAAAGAATAAATCTTCCTCAATAGTCAACAAGACTGTAATACAAATCCTACAAGACTTTCTTCCTTTCTGTATGACTCGTGCTCTTATTCAACATACAGACACACACATATATATTTCACTTGATTATATCACTAACTAGAAACAGGTGTGTGGAGATGTAAGCCAGAGAAAATAAAATAAAAAGGTGCGTTTAAAGGAACAATAACTACCTTTTATGGAAGTCTCCAACGTGAACAAGTCACAAAAAGGACTTTATTTCTAAAGCAAGAATAAGAGAGAGAGAAAAGTAGCAATACTATATATGGAAATTACATATAAAATAAAATAGTCATTTGTGAAAGTACAACCAAATTATTATTATTTTTGATAAGAACTTCTTGGATTATTATTTTTCTTAGCAGCCCAAAGAGGTCATTAGAACGAGACTGGGACTCTCTCTCTTTTTTTTTTGTACCTATCATTTTTCTGTATACAAGACTTTTTTTTATAATTTTTGTACCTTTGTACTTTTTTTTTGTACTTTTTTTTTTGCTTCCAAGAAATTGACAAGTCTTTTACTACTCTGACATTTGAAAATAAAATATTACTGCTTTATTTATTATTTATTTTTTGATATTTATGCCCTGTTTTATTTCACTAGCTACTAAAAGAAATTTAAAAAAAGACATAATATAAAAAAAACAAGACTCAAGAAATTAAAACAAAAAAAAAGCCAACCTTTGGGGAACCCAACAATCGATTGGACAATTGTCAACGTCTTGCATTTCGTATTTTTGTGTATGTATATATAGAGAGGCGATCAATGTACCCTACCCTACCCTAACCTACTCTACTGTACTGTACTGTGCCCTACCCTTGCTTACCCTTACCTAGATTGCCTAATAATAATAGCATATATATATATATATATATATATATATATAAAGCACATTCACATACACACACAATTATAGTTTAATTTTTTTTTCTTTTTTCTTTTTTTTACATTTTTTTTTGAATTTTTGAATTTTTTTTCTTTTTCTTGATTCCATGCCACTTCATCAACGAACAATTATGCGCGAAAGTATCGAAGACGAAGTTACACCTCTCGAAACCCTCGACTCTGTCAAAGACACAGCGGCTCTTCTCGGTGATCAACCTCGGTTCGGAAAGACTGTTAGCTGGAGCGATCTCCCAGCATGGCTGCAAGACAATGTCTACATTACTGATGGCTACAGACCTCCTATGCCAAACTATAAAGACTGTTTCAATTCTCTTTTCTACCTGCACAATGAAAGCGGTTAGTTCAAACTATATAAACATACAACATAAGGGCTTGCATATTAATTGATTCTTTATTTTATCTTCTTTTTTTTTTAAAAAAAAAGTGAATATCTGGTCTCACTTGTTGGCATTTTTCGTCTTTATTGGACTTGGAATTTCATTTTTGTGGAATCAGCCATTTGCAGACAGTCTGACACGATTCGACTATGCATACTTTTTTGCATTCATCATCGGTGCCTTGGTCTGCCTTGGTTTCAGTAGTAGTTTCCACTGTCTCTCATGTCATTCGGAGCCTGTTGCTGCTGCGTGGAACCGATGTGATTATGCTGGTATTACCAGTTTAATTGTGTAAGTAATTTATTTTATTTATTATAAGCTACATTTGATCCATTGATCCATTGATTTATTGATCCATTTATCCATCTTTTTATTTTCTTTAGAGGATCTTTCTTTCCTATTATTCACTATGGTTTCCACTGCCACACTAGAATTCAGAGTAAGTATATTGAGACAACCAGAAATTATGAAGATTGTTGCATTGGATTTGGTTGCCTAATTAATTCTTTCTTAGCTTTTTACTTGGTGGTTATTACTGTCTTGGGATCCTTTACTGTAAGTAACAGAAAAAGAAAGACATAAAATTGTTATTATGGTGAATTGAATCTTCTGTACGTATGTAGGCTGCCATTACTCTGATGAAGCATTTCAGAACTCCTGCTTATAGATGGATCAGAACATCCCTATTTTTGGCCCTGGGACTATTTGGTGTTGTACCCACACTTCACGGAATATATATTTATGGCTTTGATAGAGCTATTCACACCGTTTCATTGGCAAACCTGCTTCTAATGGCAGTTAGTTATGTCACCGGTGCCCTAATCTATGGTCACAGGTAAATCAAGAACCGTACAGTGATGCGTTATATTATAATATGCGGGGATGTGTGGGGGTTGCGTTCGTAGCTGTCACACGAAATATAGTACTGATCCCAAGTCCATCTTCATTTTTCACATGTATATCTAAAACCAAAAAAGATTGCCAGAACGATACTACCCAGGCACATTCAACATCTGGGTAAGTTATATAATAACCTTGAATCAATATGTAGTTCAAAAAGAGCAATAAAAAAAAAGACTAACAATCATAAACTTCTTTAACTTTTTTTTTTTGATTTTAGTTTGCCTCTCATCAAATCTTCCATATCTTTGTTGTCATTGCACTCATTTCTCATTATCTTGGTGTCATGAAGGCTATGGAATACTGGCACAAACATGGCAATAACGTTTGTCTAGATTTCCAATAAAAATAATAGCTGTTTCATTTCTTTCATTATAATCATCATCATCATCATTTACTTTTTATTCTTTCTTGTTGTTGTTGTATATCTCTTATCTTCCACTCTCATTCTCTGCTTGTGTAAATTGTAATAAAACCCTCCTTTTATTATTATTATTATTCACTGAAAATAAAATGTTCACTACCATTTTTATTAACAATTTTTTATTTTTTGGAATCTCAAGTTGGATTTTTATCTCTTGGTAATTCACATGGTATTTTGACTTTAACTTGGTTGTCACAAATGAACACAAAACGCCTTTAAAGAAGAAGTGAATAAGTATAACTAAGGAAAAATCACAAGATTTTTACTGTTTGTTCATTCAATTGGCACAAGTCTTGGCCTATCAATTGCAATGTCTTATATTCTCTCTTGTGTATTTGTTAAATCCAGTCAATGTAATTAAATGCTATTAATTGTGATATGAGATATAAAGAGGTTCAGTATGGCCTATGGTCTCGAATCATTTACGCCAAAGTATAAATATGCAGCCCAGTAGTCTCAATGGTCTCTCTGCTAACCATTCTATTCACTTGATTAAATTCCAAGTTCTTACAAGACTCTTTTTTTTTTAAGAAAAAAAGAAAGGATCATTTTGAGCACTACATAAGATTTTTGATAGACTTATCTTTGGCATCCATAGTATGTATGTAATGGTTGTGGTTAGATTAATGTAAAATGATACAAGACTTACTTTGGTTGACATGTATGATTTGATTTGATTTGATTAACAGATCAAGATTCGAAAGCAAGTATTTTGCATTTTGCACTTTATCTTTCTTTCCCTTCTTACAACATTTGTATGAGTGTGTGTTTTTAGGACAATACTTCCCTAGATTTGTTTCCAATGATACATCTATACTTTATTAATATTACCATTACTATTTCATTTTGATTTTATTTGATATAGTGATAGTAATTTCGTGAATGTATATATATATATATATATGTATGTATAAGTATTTGGTCGTCGCCTTCTTCTTTGATCCCTTGAGTTATATGGTGATGAAATAACAATTGATAATATCTGTTTTTTTTTATTTCTTTGTTCTTCTTCGTCCTTTTGCTTCTTTTCTTCTTTATGTTCGTCTTTGTCTACTGATGTTTTATTATTTTTATTATCTTTTTGTTGTTGTTGTCGTTGTTGTTGTTGTTGTTGTTGGTTTAATCCCTTGCTTTTTTTTTATGTCTTAGAGACCAACAGCCTCCTTCAGCATCTCCTTTCTCTTCTCAATTTCTGCTCTGTCGACTGATTGTGCTGAAAGAAGTTCGTGGAGAGAGCCGGCGTATGGCAATTGCTGCTTGGTTTTGACGACAGCGTCCACACGCTCATCCAAATTGTCCAATGTCACAAAGTTTTCGGTTGAGGCATACAACTTGGAGATCAACTTGAGACGGCTTTCCTTCTGGTTGGCCTCGAACTGAAGACGGTTGGCCACACGGGTGGCATCGCGCTTGGTGCGGGTGTCAGCCAATGACTCGGTTGCGTTGAGCGAGAGCATCGAGACAACTTCGTCTTCAAGAGCCTTTTGTTCCTCTTGTTCCTTGATCAACTCTGCTCTAACAGCCTCGATCTTTTCCTGATTGAGCATTCTTTTGGCAGCAGCAGCAGCCTCACGACGGCCATGCTTTTCGAGCAGTTCCTGAGCGTACTGGTGGCGTCTGGTACGGAGCTCTTCGCGATGGTGCTTCTTGGGGCTGGTTGTCTCTGCAGCGGTACGTTGGCTGGCATTACCGAGGTGGGAGGGCAATGAGGTGCCAAGATTGCGACGCTTGGAAGAGAGTTTGGGAGTGTCGCGACTGTTTGGAGGAGGAGCGAATCCGGGAGCATATCCAGGACGAGTGCTCTCAGCCTCTGTTGTGAAGAGACGGAAAGGAGTCCAGTGTGCCTTTGTTGTTGCTGTGGTGGTGGATTGAATGAGACGATTGAAGCGTTGCATTGTTATTTATATAAAAGGGTCTCTTTTTTTTTAAAAAAAATTATTTATTTATTTTTATTATTATTATTGTTATTTTGGGTGGGCAGAATTCATTCCTCTGACTTTCTAACTTTCTCCCTCCCTCCCTCACTCCCACACTCTGTTACTCTCTCGTATTTCTGGCTTCTAAATCTTCCCCTCCCCTCCTCTGAACTTGACTGGGTCTGGTGAGTGGCGGACAAGAGAGTGAAAATGAAAGAGAGGGGGGGTTGTGACATCAAAGCGAAAAGCAGTCCGAGAAGCATAGAAAAATAGTCGGGTAAGATGAATTGTGCTCAAGCTCTGATGAAAGTAAATCAACCACAGGCCTATATTTTTATTATTATCACTATTATTATTATTATTATTACTACTGCTACTACTACTAATAGTGCTATTAAAGTACAAGAGATAATTTTCTCTTATTATTGACAAGGCACTAAAATAAGCAGATTCTTTTTGGTTCTATAGATAAAAGTATGGACTACATAGTTGGACTGAACTTGGCCGAGCCGAGACGAGCAATGTAGTTTGTATAAAATAAATTTTTGATGTTTGTGCGTTTGTGTGCTCTGTTTTACACAAATGAGAAGAGTTCAATGTTCTTTTTCATATTGTTATACAGAAAATTTCGCTTTTGTTTATTGATTTGATTTATCTGAGACTAAAGAGTCGTACCAGTTTCTTTTGGCACAACCAAGGTGGTTAACATATAAAGTAAAAATAAAAAGAAATCACGCACACAATAGTCGGAAACACCTTGTCAAACTATCACACATTCAAACAAGAAAGAACCACCATGAATTCCAACAATAATACATTATTCTGTTTTTTTTTTGATATGTGCGATTCTATGCTATGCTATGATATGCTATACAAGATATCCTTTTATTCACTCTATTATATGTTATTTCTTGTCTTGTACAAGTTTGGTTGCATGAGGACTCTATTATGACAACTAAAGATCACAATTTTTGTCTTTTTTTTTACCCCTTTTATATTCTATTTTGCTGTTCTCGGACTCTTGGACAGATCCCGGCCAGCTTGACAGACGTATCTGGGTTTCAATTCTGATAACAACAACAAGCAACAAGCAACAAGCAACAAGCCAAAATCAACAGGCAAATGCTTGGCCCAGGCACACTTGGCATTTTGATTCTCATTTGATTTGTCAAAATAATAATAATAGCACCAATGACCACCAGCTATTAGCACCAACTAATACCACTCCCCTCCCCTACCCTTCTTTTACACCTCCTTTAGAATAATATAAACATTAATATTCTTTAGGGGCTTTGACTTTACAAACGATAGAATATCTTTTGACTCAAGCTATCTTCTTTTCTTATATAGTGGAGACCTAAATCGCACGTGTTTTCTTATAGAGTAAAATACGAATAAATGCCTACAGAAAAATAAAGTAAGAAAAGAATCAAAAGTTACAAGTTGTATAGGTTGATTGGTAATCGGAGTCAAGTAAAAGTAAAATGGGGGATTTTGTATTTTGTACTTTGTATTTTAGAGCGGGTAAAATAAATAAATAAATATGATGAAAATAATAATAATCACCTCATTTGACTGGTGGGAAGCACTGACAAATATAAAGTATATAAATAAATAATATTTCTTGTAAAGTCAGAATCTTTTCTTTTTTTTTTATTTATAAAAAAAAATAATTAATTTTTTTAAAGGTCTTCTTTATTTCTCTCTTTCTTCCTTTCTTCTACTTCTTCTTCTTCTTGCATACCAAAAAAAAAAAGAAAACGAGAAAGAAATAAAGAAGTTTTTAAAAAGGGTCCTTTTTTTTTATAAATCTTTTCTTCTTCTTCTTCTTCTTCTTCTTCTTTTGCTGCTGGTGGTTCACTTGGAAATAATAATAAACCAGAGGGGCAGATACATAAACCAGGAAACGATGAACTCGACGCTCACAGACTCGACTCCTTATCAGCTCAACTGGTTGGAGATCCAATGGGCTCAAATGTACGAGGGTCGCAACCCTTTGGTGGTTACAGGCATCTTTGCCTTTCTCTTGCACGAACTGGTTTACTTTGGCAGATTTATTCCATTTTTGATTTGCGATTTTATTCCTTACTTCCAACGCTACAAACTCCAACCCGTAAGTACAATACCACCAATATAAACAAGTATTTGTGTGCTTAGTGTTTAGTGAATGTGAATGTGCAGTGTTGTGCCTAAGAAAGAAAGAGAAAGAAATTACTAGTTGGATCTGTCATTACCAAGATTGGTAGATAGATAGATAGATAGATATTATATATAGTAAAAACAAAAATACTTAATATGTGTGTGTACAATATGTAGAAAAAAATCAATTCCAAAGATGATTACTGGAAGTGCACAAAGAGTGTCCTCTACCAACACTTTGCTTTCGAGGGTCCTTTGATCTTGCTTTTCCACCCCATGGCCAGCCTACTAGGCATCGATATTGACGTTCCTTTTCCTTCTTGGTGAGTTCACAATAATAATAAGAATAAGAATAATTATTATTATATTAAAGAAGTACAAACATATTAATTTTTATTTTAAAACCTTAAAAAAAAAGGTCCGTGATTGCTGTTCAGATGGGAATCTTCTTTTTCATCGAAGACTTTTATCACTACGTTGTCCACCGTATCATGCACTGGCCTCCATTGTACAAAAAGGTTCACAAGATCCACCACGAGTACTCTGCACCCTTTGGTATTGCTGCCGAATACGCCCACCCTATCGAAACCTCGATCCTCGGACTTGGTACCATCGGCGGTCCTTTGTTCTACCACGCCGTCGTCAAATACTTCTTCAGTTCCAGTCCCGGGTGGAACCTTCACTTGTTCTCGATGCTGGTCTGGATCGTCTTGCGTCTCGTACAGGCCATCGACGCCCACTCTGGATACGACTTCCCTTGGTCTCTCTGCCACTGGATCCCCTTCTGGGCAGGCGCCGAGCACCACGACTACCACCACCAAGCATTCGTCGGTAACTACGCTTCCTCGTTCCGCTGGTGGGACTATATATTTGGAACCGACAAGAAGTACCGCGCTTATCGCAAGCAGCAAGCAGCAGCCAAACGCTCCTTGGATAAGAAAAAGGCATTGTAAATTCTTTATTGTTATTATTATTATTATTATTATTATTATTATTATTATTATTATCTTCTTCTTCGTCTTCTTCTTTACCTAGCTTTAATAGTACATTTTATATTACAACAAACACTAGAAAACCCCCCCTCCTCTCTATTCTATTCTCTTCCCTTTCCTTCCCTTCCCTTCCCTTCGCTTCTCTTATTATCCTACGTTTTTATTGTTTTGTCTTTCTTTCTTCGTTTCTACTTTACACCTTACTTCCCTCTAATTTAACCACGCAATAAAACAAATTGAACCATTCTGAAACAAATGAAGCCAAATTGAAACATATTGTATTATATATTTATTAATGTAACCAAAAAAGAAAAGAAAACAAGTAAAACATGTACATGAGTATAGAGAAGTAAAGTAAAATAAAATAAGAATAAGAATAAAGCAAATTGTTGTAATGGATTGGAGTAGAGCAAAAAGTAAGTATTGTATTTGCGTGTAGTTTAGTTTAGTATAGTTATAAGCCAGATTGGTTATCGTTATTAGTATTATAAATATTATTTCTATCAAGGAGGAGGGGTGGTAGTTCGGCATCCAACACCAATACCTGGATTCAACTCTGGTCGCCTTCGTAGGGCCTCTAGATAGGCATGCAGCCGTGCTCCCCAGGAGTGGACCCAGAGAACACGCCTGCTAGGCGGCGGCACGATTCTCTGGATCCGATGCTCTCCAATAAACCCTTCGCTGTCAAACGCATACACAAACACTCCTTCCACATGGCGCACCGGTATATCGACATTCATGCCCAACAACTGGTTCAATCCAAACGACGGCCGGTGGGTTCCCTGCAGCCGCCAACGAACCTCAAGCGATCTCACGACTCCCTTGGTGGCCAAGACGTCGCGCAGAGGATGGATGTCGGGCATGTCATCTTTGTTTTGAGGATCCCAGCCCTGATTCTCACCAGAATCTTCTTCTTGGCTTTGATCGTCTCGGTTATTTGTGTCATCTGGAGACGAATCGGCCGGAATATCTGGCAAGACGCGCATCCGGGTAATCTCAAACTGGATTGCATCAAAGTACATTCTCAGACTCCACCGAAGAGCCTGTGCAATATGTAAGTAGGTGGTTCGGCCTTGTATTGATAGCCGAGTGTAATGAGGATCCGACAAGACAATGTTATTAGAATAGATTGTGTCATTCTCAAGTCCATTTTCAAAAAAGTTTGGCAGATCGTCCTGAAGTATTGCAATAGCTATTTATTATTATTATTATTATTATTATCATTATTTAAAATAATAATATACACAAAATAATACATATTACATATATTATAATATAATATATAGTATCAGTACTCTGAATACATTATATATACATATTATATACATATTTAAAATTTAAATTTAAAGTATTTACCATAGCCAACTCTTAGTTCATATTCGCTTGGCCGAGTGTCTTTTGACTGGGTGGACAATTGACGTTGACAGCCTCCGATAGCTAATACTCTTGCTTGAGAGTATTTGCATAAAGTAATAGTAGTAGTAGTAGTAGCAGTAGCAGTAGCAGTAGCAGTACCAATACTACTTTTAGTGAGTAGGTGAATATTTTTTAAAAGCGTTGTTCTTAGCATCAAAAATACCAAAACAAAACAAAACAAATAAAATAAAATAAAATAAAGTGCAAAGAAACAAGTATTATATATAAATTACATTGTTAATAAGAAAAAAATAAAAAAATAATAATAAAAAATAAAATAAAAATCTACTATGTATGAAGCAAGGTTCATTTCGCATAAGTGACAAGAGTATACGTCACAAAGGAATGCACGTGCCTTAATCTTGTTGAGAACATTAATTAATACGTGGTATCCACTACAGTATATTATATATATATATATTTATATACATTCTCTTCCCTCCTTTATTTTTTTTATTTTTTTTTGGAGATGAGTAGCATAACAGCGTTCGATACGGCACATGAAGATCTTGTTCATGACATTGCCTATGATTTCTATGGCAAGCGACTTGTGACCTGTTCATCCGATCAACGCCTCAAGGTTTGGGATTTCGTTGAGCATGAAGATTCGGCTGCCTGGGAAATCAATGATACCTGGAAGGCCCACGATTCGTCTATCCTCAAAGCTATCTGGGCTAATCCCGAATACGGACAAGTGATTGCCAGCTGTTCATTCGATCGACAAGTCAAGATCTGGGAAGAACTTTCTGTTGGTAATAATATAAATTTAACATAACATAGTACGAGTACATCAATAGTACTATATACTATTATTTCTTTCTTTCTTTACTGTTGTGCCAATATGGCCCTAAAATTATATGGTAGACTGACTTGTTATTTATTTATTTTTTAAAAAAAACACAATGATGATGCTAACGACTTGACGAATCAATCTACAAATCAACCTTTGTACCTGCATAAACACACACACACACACACACACACAAAAGAACCCAAGAATAGCCAAAAACGTTGGGCTGAAAGATTCCGCCTTGTTGAATCCCGCGGTGCTGTATTGGATATTGCATTTTCACCAATCCCAGGTGCATTGAGACTAGTAAGTCTATATATATTCTCTTGTTTCATTTAAATAGAACAAATACAAATACAAGTACAAGTACAAGTACAAGTACAAGTACAATCAAAATCAAAATCAAAATCAATTTTAACTTTAATTGTTTAAATAAAGGCTACATGTTCAGTTGATGGAATTGTGAGAGTTTATGAGGCTTTGGAACCTACCAACCTTGCACAATGGTCACAGATGGAGGAGTTTGAGATCGCATCGTCATCCTATGCTACCTTGCCAGATAACGCAATCAAGGGACACATACAATCACAGCAGCAGCAGCAGCAGCAGCAGCAACAGCAACAGCAACAGCAACAGCAACAGCAACAGCAACAGCAACAGCAACAGCCTGCACATACCAACAGCACAAGTTCTAGCAACAGCTCTCAAGCTAGCCATGTTATTGGCGGAGCAGGAGGAGGCGGTGGATTAGGAGGCGGTATCGGCGGTATCAGCGGCGGTACTGGCGGTAATGGTGGTATTGGCGGTAGTGGCATTGGCGGCATTGGTATTGGTATCAACGGTGGTATCAACGGTGGTATCAACGGTGGTGGTATTAATGGCGGCGTCGGTGGTATCAATACTGGTAGTGGTATTGGTATCAGTGGCGGTGGAATGGGTGGTAGTGGTATGGGTGGAATAGGTGGAATAAATGGTATTGGTGGTATTGGTGGTATTGGTGGAGGAGGAGGTGGTGGTATTGGTGGTAATGTAGATGGTAGCCAAATATATCCTGTACCTTACTCTGGAAATAACTCTGGAGTAGTTGCGTCTACCACCCAAGGCATTTCACCCAACCCTGCAAGTAATATCCAGACCGCATCATCATCATCAGCCACCCAACCCAGCCATCATCGACCGATTGATGCCGACAGTGGATATTGCATTGACTGGTGTCCCAATCGCACTGCTACTGCCCTGATGGTAGTCGGTCTTGGAAAAGAGATTGGAGCACGGGCAAGTTTGAGTAGAGTGTGAAGTATTAGGGTTTTTGAAAATGCACACAAAGAGAGAGAGAGAGAGAGTATTTGTGGGGAAAGGAAGTAGGAAGTTTTTATATGTGCAAGTTTATTTATTTAAAATAAATTTTATAGATATTCAAGCACGATGGACATAATCGTTGGTACCCAGCAGAATGTTTGCCTGAACATACACAAGAGGTGCATGATGTGAGTTGGGCTCCTAGTATGGCCCGTTCATACCAGTTGATCGCTACGGCGTGCAAGGATCATCATGTCCGGATCTTCAAGATTACCGAGATGCCCTTGACTGGACTGGCTCCGTCTCAGCGCGCACAGTCAATGTCGAATAATGGAAGACAAGGAGGACGTATTGGACACCGGCCACTTCAGGTTGAAATGATAGGTGACTTTGATGATCATCATGCAGAGGTAAGACCAAATAGATAATTACGCCCTCCCCCCCCTTCTTTTTTTTTCTATCTCTCTTAAAATTATTCGAACACATTCTTGGAATTATATAAAGCAAAATATACATATTTTTGACAAGTTATATTGTCTGAATAATTTTTGAGAAAAAAAAAAAGACTGATAAATATAATTTTATTTGAAATAAATGAATTTTTTTTTTATATTATATTATATATAAATAATAATAATTTTATATACACACAAAAACACAAAAATACAAACACAAATATATATATATATATATATATATTTATAAATTTATATATACACAACAATAACAACAAGGTCTGGCGTGTTGAATGGAATGTGACTGGAACTATTCTGTCATCCTCTGGTGATGACGGTAAGCTGAGGCTGTGGAAGGCTGGTTACGATGGACAGTGGCGTCAAATGGCAGTGCTTGCAAGTACACATGTATCTTCATAATCACAATTAAATAAAATAAATATTTGTACACACTCATTATCACTGTTACCATCATCATTATTGTCGTTGTTTTTGTTGTTATCATTGTTATTAGAGGTGAAAACACCAAGTGCTATGAGCACTATGAGTATAAAGATGTGTATGGTATAAAACAAGAAATATGTATGTATGTATTCACAACTCTTTTGCAGATTCAGCTAATATTTTTCTTTCTTTCTTTCTTCTTTCCTTTTTTGTATATGCAATATACAATATAATAATAATAATAATAATAATAATAATAAATATATATATATATATATTTGTGTATTTGTGTATTTGTGTATTGTGCTTGTGTGCGTGTGTAAAGATGAGTTTCCTTTTTTTTTTTTGGTTTTTTGTTCTTGAAAAATAAGATAGAATAAAATAAAATAAAGACATAAGGAGATGTAATTGAAGTAGAAGAAGTAGAAGAAGTAGAAGAAGTAGAAGAAGTAGAAGAAGTATAGAAAGTAGAAAAAGTTAATGGTTAATGATAAAGGTAAAGGTAAAGGTAAAGGTAATGATAGAAATAATAAATGAAAAAAAAGGGTAATCAAATCAAATCAAATCAAATCCAATCCTCCCCCTCCCTCCCTTTCATTCTTTTCCTTCTCCTTCTCTTTATTATATATATTTTTATATATATATATATGATATTATATCCTTTATCTTTCTTGTTATTTGTACTGCCTATTGGTCATTGATGTTGCTCTTGGTCTTGGTCTTGGTCTTGGTCTTGGTCTTGGTGATAGTGTTGGTACTGGTACTAGTGCTGGTGATGGTGGGTAGTGGTTGCCTGTTTGCCTGTTTGTTTGTTTGTTTGTTTGTTTAAACCTGGATCTTCTTTGGTCTTCCAGGACCCCTTTTTGTGCCGGACTGATCGCTGGATGTTTGGATCTTTGGCTTCTTTGAAATGCCGTCCAGCTTACGCGGTCTGCCTCTCTTCTTGATTATGGGTGCCTAAGAATACAAAGAAAGAAGAAAGATAAGAAATAGAACATCAAAGCGCGTTTTTTTTTGGGAGACAAAAAAAAAGACTTACGACTTCCTTGGCCACTAATGAAAGACTCAGTGCCTCAATCTCAAACTCATCAAGTGTGTCTGTTTCCTTTTTGAATGACCTGCCTCTTCTGTGCAGACCAGAGTCTGACACGTCATCGTCCAGATTGTCCAGGATATCATTCTTTGAGGCAAGAATAGATGCAGGATGGTGGTGGAGACTATGACTGTGGTGACTTGTTGAGGTTGAGGTGGTTGAGGACAATAAGAAGGCAGGCTGAGGAGGTGTGGCTTTCTTTGGGGGTCTTCCACGCTTTCTGGGACCATCTGTAGAGGAAGTAGGTCGGGGTATCTTTGCAGGTGAGGCGATAGTCTTTCCACTAACTCCAATCACGTCTCCTTCCCTGGGAATCTTTCGTGGTCTTCCTGGCCCACGGCGAGGCTGCTGAGTGTCATTTTCATTCTTGGAAATCATTGCAGGCACTATTCTTGTTTTTACTTTACTTTATTTTATTTTATTTTATTATATAAATAAAGGAATTTTCTGCTTCCTCTGCTTCTTCTTTATAAAAAAAATAACAACAAGAAAGAAAAGAAAAGAAAAGAAAAGAAAAACAAAATAAAATAAAATAAAATAAAATAAATAAAATATATATATTTTTTATATATAAAAATAAAATAAAATAAAAATATATATAAATATAAATATATAAATATAGTTTTTTTTTTTATTATTTATTTATTTATTTATTTATTTATTTATTTTAGTATTATTTTTATTCTTTATTATTTATTTATTTTATTTTATTTATTTATCTATTTATTAAAATTTGTTTTATGATTGGCTAATTACTGTACATTATTATTATTTATTATTTAAAATATATATATATATATATTTCAGTGGAACCTTGAGTTTTTTCCTTTTTTTCTTTTATTTTATTATCTTTTATTTTATTTTATTTTATTTATATATATAATATTTATATAATAAAATATATTTTATTCTTATTTATTTATATAATAATAATATTATTATTATTAATAATAAGAATAATAGAAAAAAAAATTTAATTTAATTTAATTTAATTTAATTCTAGTTTTCTCCAAAGAATCGAAACATTGTCCCAAGGTACGTTGATCCAACAGAGCTCTTGTCGGTCTGATATAGCGTCATAAGAGTTCCCACTGATCCCATAAACAGCACAACCTCCCCATATGGAACCCGGGTTACATACCCACGTTTGGCCATCATCTGCCACAAAGCCTCCATAGCTCTTGGAAGGAAATACAGTCCCAATTCTACAGCCCAATCTATCAGATACACATCTACTAAACATATCCTTTCTTACCTAGCTGTCGTCCCTTGGCTTCAACAACAGACATACTTCCGGCCGCAAGTCCGCTCACTGCATAAATCCACCGTCCCTCTGTCCTGAACAGCCGGCGAAGTCCACAAGGCACTCCAAATGCCACACTCATATAGAGCGATAGAAACAGAGCCGATCGAAGCGATGTCTTTACCAATCTCTTTAACACATTAAGTGGTCTATTAAAATTATTAAATTAAAATTCAATATATATATATATATATATATAATATGTATCTAAGCATACTCTTTTGATAGCAGTCCAAACCGAGAAACCAATACTACAACCTAAACAAAAACAAAAGAGTAATCAATTATATACCAACATTCAGTCTCTTTCACTTACAAGATTCAAGGGTACAAACAACCAAAAGGCCCGTGGAAACTCCTTGAGGAACAAACTCAATTTACTCCGCAGACAGCTGTCATTCAAGGGATGCTGAAGTGCACACCCAATGCTGGCATGGTGCGCCAGGCGAGGCAACACAGGCGCAATGTTCGGACTGACATTCTCCATAATAAACTTATGGCTGGTCACTCCGGCCGGCAACGACGTGTCTTCACCAGCCAGCCGCCTGATCATCTGTGCTCCGGCCTTATTGAACGGTCCAGCCATAACCCCAAGCTCGCCACGTGACCCAGAGTGCACCAGAGCCAGCTCAATAAACGAGTTTGGCAAGGTATGAGGCTCGACCACAAAGCTGTATGTAAGCTGAGCACTGGCTGCCATCATCAATCCAACCCCCGCCCAACGCCGAGCAAAGCTGGCCAGATTGTCCTGCCAATCAGTCTTGTCTTCGACGATCAATTGCCGGCTCTGACCAACCGCAAACCCTTGGCTGTCCAACAGTTCCTTGAGCTTGACCCGGCCATCATGGTCCTGCTTGTGCCGGCGCAGATCCCACTGCTTCATTAACCAACACGATACCACCTGGAGGGTCCGTGCACTGATTAGCAACATAATCGATTGGCGACGGTGAGGATTTCTATCTAGAGCTAGCGCCAGTCCAGCCACTGTGCCAGCCACAAATCCATTCAGTCTTTCCGACGACAACGGAGAACTTGGATCGGCTTTGTTTAATCGACGCATCCCACACAGCACTGCCTTGTAAGAACTCAGAAATGTTCCAAGAAATAGAGCAAATGACAAGGTATCCCTGAATAAAATAGCTTAATATCTTGTATACATAAACTCTTATGGGTTTCTTACCATCCAGCCAGACGTTTTAATAGATTCGGTCTATAGAATCATATAGTTTTATTCGAAAATTTTGTTAGGTAAACCACAATCTATCTGCTTGATAGCTAATAAATAAAGATATACGCATTGATTGATTGGTTGGACTAACCGTCTCAAAAGGTCTCCAGACAAGATGGCTTGGGAAAGACCAACAAGATATTTTACAATAAAGGCAACCCCAAAAGCTTTGGTGAACGCCCGAAAACTGTTCTGGGTGCATGTTGAGCCCTTGTGTTTGCATAACTTTGTACCCAACATTTTTTCTGATCTGGAATTATCCAACGTTGTGAATTCGATTCCAAGTTTACTAAGACTCTTGCTAAGAAATAAATAAAAGTTTATTAATATTTTGATAATGTGAATGTCTTAATATATTACCTACTCAACCGTCGAACGTTTTCTTCAAGTGACTGGAGGGATTTAAGCATTGCTTCGGCTTCTTTGTCAGCCAATAGCTTGGATACTATCTGAGCAATACTCTCCAGAAAGTTTTCATAGTAGGCTACTGGAAGAGGTGGAATGTCCATGGTATTATATGATAAGTATAGTAGGTAATTTAGTTTAAATAAGCAAAAGAAAAAAAAGGAAGAAGAAGAAGAAGAAGCAGAAGCAGAAGAAGAGGATGAAATGTAAAATAAATAAATAAATAAATAAAACAAAGCGGAGATGATTCCCAATAGAACAAAAACACAGGCAAAAATTCTAGTAAAAGCAAAAGTAAGAAAAACAAGGATATATATATATAATTTCGTCCCATATTCTTCCAGTCTACCCAGCTAATTCTTATGTGGCACAGACCTTTTGGGGGTAAAGATATATCTAATACCTCTTTTATCTTTTTATTCAGTTCTTTAATAGAATATTTTATGTAAATTAACAAATTACTTTGTACGTATTTATTGTATTTAAAGACTTTCTTTTATATATAATATATTCTCTTGGAGAGAAAGAGAGAGCGGCATTACTGCTGGCGGAGTACTTGCTTTTCTTCTTTGGATTTTGATTTTATTCACAATCTCTCGGATAAATTTTAACACTATAAAATATTTATATTAATAATAAGGATGATTAAAGCTTAAAAAAAATCTATATAGTCAAAACGCGCCCTTTTCAAGTCCTTCACTCTCTTTCTTTCTCTTTCATTCCCATTTGTACCTGCTTAATACCAACACACTTACCACTAATAATGTCTTCCCACACCGCATTCACAATGGCAGCCTTGTCAGCCACAGGGTAATACATATACACCTATGTCCTTTAACGGTTTAATGGCAACAGTCATCAACTTTAACTATTATTCTTCTTCTTATGACAAAATAAACAAAATAATTCAAGTGGCATTGCTGGATTTGCTCGCACTCGCTCCTTTCCTTCTCTTATTGCCGGTGTTGGCATTGGCTCTCTTTATGGTGTAGCCGGTTATCTGATCAAGGAGAACAAGGACTACGGACACGAGACTGCTGTTGTTGCCTCTACCCTGTTAGCCGGTGGCATGATTCCCCGCGCAATCAAGACCCAGTTCAAGAAGCCCGTCCCTGTCGCTCTTTCTGTCATTTCTATCGCTGCCGGTGCTTATTATGTTAAGAAAGTAATTGATTACAACTAATATACACACTTTTTTTTTGTTAATATATATATATATATATATATATTGTAATCGAAATAATAAACTACACATCTATATAAATATACTTCTTTATCAATTCTTCCTATTCTTATTATTATTATTATTATATTTTATGTGATACGATATGATATATCTTTCATTTATTAAAGAAAGTGACTTTGCAAAAGCCTCTTACGTGACGGTTACAGTCCCATCCAAAGCTTTCAGGACAAATCAAAAATTCAACCCAATCCAAATTCTATCTTTTTTTTTTAGAATTTAATTAATAAAATATATCTATACTCTTTTATGCTGATTGCTTTGATAATAGACCATGGCTAATATTTCTACAGGTGAACAATAAAAATAAAAATAAAAATTAAATTAAATTAAATTGAATTAAATTAAATAAGCAAAGAATATGTATACATCTTCCTTTTCACTTCTTTTACATTATAAAGTATACATTTTTTTTTTCAAAAAATAAATAAGAATATATGTCAATTAAATAATTATTTAAATAAAACAAATATATATATATATATATATATAAACAAATAAAGATTCCAATTCTGAACAACCTTGCAAGAAGACGTCCCCATTTGCTGATCTCAAGACAAGCGATGATACCATTCTTTATGCTACCTCGGACCGACAGAAATGTCCAACCTGCTCAAGAATGTTAAAGTACTTTTGTTACCGATGCTTTACTGTCATTGGAATGGATCGCTCTCAGGTACCATCAATCACTCTCCCGGTGCCATTAGATGTGTAAGTTACAGAGGATTTGTTGATTATAAACATTTGTAAATTATAAATTATAAATTACAAATGTACTTATATATATATATATATATTGTTGTTTTATAGAATTAAGCACGAACAAGAACTTGATGGAAAATCAACTGCTATTCATGCCAGAGTACTCGCAGAGAACGATGTAGCGATTTATAACTGGCAAGAAATACCAACGTATGAAAATCCTGAACGAGTTCTTATGCTTTTTCCAGGACCAGTAAGTTTCAATTGTTCCCATTTGCTCTTTGTTGCTATAAAAAATCACTTTTATACATATGTACATATGTACATATTCATTTCCCTCTCTTTTTTTTAAAAAAAAATGCTAATAATCATCATTATTATCAAGGATGCAAAAACACTGGATCAAATTCCACGCGAATCATTTGATCGTATTATAGTCATTGACGGTACCTGGCGTCAAGCAAAACGCATGGTACGCGAAACTCCTCAGCTAGGCCTCATGCAAAAGGTTACTATCGAACCTCGCCAGACATACTTTTGGCGCTACCAGCAATTGAGCGAAAATTACCTGGCCACCATTGAAGCCATCTATTATCTCTACCGTGAATTTGCAGAGACTTATGAGACACCGGATGGATACGATGGTCGCTATGACAACCTGATGTTCTATTATCGATTCTTCTATGAACTCATCCAGGACTATTACAAAGAAAAGACTCAAAAGAAATTCACCCATCGACACAAACGCGATTATATTCAATACGAATCAAATGAAAAGGAAGCAAGCGAACCAAAATGATTGACTCAAATAGATATAATAAACATTAAAAAGCACTCACACTCATATATATATATAATTTGAAAGGTCTTACCTCTTGTCATTATTTTAATTAATATAAATGCCTTGTCGACCCTTTGAAAACGGAATGTGTTTATCCAGAGGCCGTTAATTGTTTATATACATATATTTAATAATAATACATGTAAAGAATTATCCTTTTATATATTATATACCTATCAGTACAAGATCAGACTCAGTACAATCGGGTGGATTTGAGTCATCTTGTCCCGTTCCGTTTGATAAGATTTTTAACAGAATAAATTAATATTTTATATATATACTTTACCTGGATTTGAAGAAGTTTATGCAATTATTATTCTATTTGGCATTTCTGTAAATAGCAGCTTAGGACGAGTATATTTTGACAAATGATGTTGTATTTCTGAAAAGTAGACTAGACATAAAAAGAACTAAAAAAGGAGATAAGGCCAATGCTAGATATACAATATTCTGAATAAGAACAAGTTGGGCTCTTCTCTATCAAGATAGAGTATTACACCAGGAAGTTTAAAGAGAAAGAGAAAGATATTATGCTTAATATGGAATGTGGTTTTTATATATGTGCGTGTTTTATCTTTCTTTTTCCAATGCATGCTATTTGTAATGTCCATCCGCATTAGCCAAATTCAATACTATACAATTCACGGAATCGGCATCATCAAACATTATTCTGCAATTTATATACTTTATAGACAAAAACAGCATCTGTAGTTAAAGACGATTGACGATGCCGCGTCAAAATATACAAACATTATTTTATTTCTTTTCAGATTTATTTGACTAATTAATTTCTTCTTATAAATGAGCCCTCCTAATTACAACATTGACTTCAATCAAGTAAAAAAAAAAGTTTAAAAGCGTGTTTTTTTTTATTAAAGTTGACAATAGCTAAGAAAAATATTCTTTATTCATTTAAAGATATACATAAAGAGACTATTCTATTTGATTTAATTTCACTTAATGTTCTTTTACTCATATAAAAGAATAAAAAGCATAACACCAAGTTCTTTGTCCCCGCATTACGCGGCTCAATCTCCTTCAGGACGTAAACCTGACTTGGTAGCGAAGGAGGTGCTGGAATGGTGGCAAACCAACGGAAAGCACCCGTTCATCCAGCCCCACATCTCGTCACCGAGTAATGTGGGTGCGAACTCGCCAGAGAACTTACCACTAGGTGATAAGGTCCAGCTCATTCGACTACCAGTAGCTTCACCGTCAGCCGTTAAAGAGTTCAGTCAGGTTAGCAGTGAAGAGCCAGCACATCTCACCACAGGTTAGACCTCCCTCCCCCCAGCATCATGATTCCACATTGGCGATGCGATGTACACAGTAGTCCTTCCAAAAATGAAAAGAGACCATGCCCCACGACTTCTCAGAATTAACTGAGCTGGCGAGTAACAACTTTCACTTTCCGATGCTTGTAGCATGGAAGAATCTCCCTGCAACGGTCGCAAGAGACGCCTCACTATGAAACCGGGACTGTTGTTGCTCAAGGAGAAAACAAACGACGCGCGTTGGAGGAGGTCTATAAGTAACAGAAAAATTTTTCATCTGCGATTAAAGTTTAGGACTGCGCTTTTTGTCAGTCTTAGATGTCCACGTCAGAGAAAACGTGATATAAGTGTATATTCTACTTACTGAGACTGCGTAACTGTTCTAGAACAGCTGTAGCAGTTACTAAGAGTAAATCAATAAATCACGAAAAAATATTCTGAAAATTAAAGTAAAGAATTGAAGAAATAATCAACTAATCAACTAATGAAAGGTTTGGTCTTTATCGGTGTAGCAATAACTCTAAAGGTGGAGTATAGGTTTCTAAAGGCGATTTGTAGGCTACTCTGAAGTGGTCTGTGCACTTTTTGTTCAAGGATCGCTAATTATTCGGGCCAGACACTTTTCCTCTCGGGCACGACGTTTCTCTGGAGCACTACGTTTATTGAATCTCCGCCTTTCACCATTTACCGGCCTCATAAAAAGTGACTTGTTGTCCGGCATCCAGCAATTTTATCTGGTCCCTAACCACCCAAAGTAGTTTATATGAGTAAAATCAATCTATCAAAATATAAATAATTTAATTCATGAATAAAGTACATCTTCATTTAATATAACGGAATTTCTAGGTGTACTTAAGTAGTAACCATATTAAAATTTCTATTTTTTTTATGCAGTATATACAAAATATACAATTTGTAAACGTCATGCCCGAGAGGCAAAACGTCGTGTCCCAAACGTGACTGTGTAAGAAACGTCGTGCTCGAGAGGCAAAATGTCGTGTCCCAAACGTGTCTGTGTAAGAAACATCGTGCTCGAGAGGCATAACGTCGTGTCCTAAATGTGGCGATAGAATAATTGTGTTCAAGAAAACTGTTGATGCAATATTTTACTTATTGAAAGTAAAGCTTCTATAAGTATAATTATAGAGGTTTCTAGAATTTTACTTTACATTTTAAAGAGTTCATATTCAATGCAATGTCTTTTTTATTGTAGTTCTCATGCAATAAACGCACAATATAAAATAAATAAATAAAAATTGTGACCACACCTATTTCTGTAAAAACACAAGATCTATTTGGTTCCCGTCAACAAATAATATACCTGCTGTTGCTGATGAGTCATTTTTTCACGATTTAACTTGAGACATAAATCATATATTTTCATTTTATGTGATTTAAGTGGAAAAGATTATAATCCATATAATTTGCATTTTTTTCAAAAACTTTCGTAATAGATATGAAGGTAATGAAGCCTTTTATGCCTAAGAAAGTTTGCATAGCAGTAAAGCTAATATATTTTTACAAAATTCATGTTTTTACTTTTTATTTTTTATTTTTATTTCTTCTGTAAAAACTCTTTCTATCATTTCCTTGCAACATGTACATGAGATATTTTATCAAAAATACAAAAAATGAAAAATATTCATATAAGACCAAAAAAAGTTTTTAATTACATATATTCAGATAACATATAAATCCAGTAAAAGTTTCATAAAAAACAAATGAGAAAAAAGTGATTCTACAAGCAAATACAATATTTTATTTTATTGAAAAAAAGCAAATTTTTGAGATATTACGTTAGTTTTCTCATGATCGACCCTTTCAATTCAACTAAAAATCCTAGAACACATACATATATCTATACACTACTTGGATCCAAAGTTATAGAGAGCCAAGTCTTGAATTGATGAAATAAATAGATGCAAATGCATAATATAACATATTCGAAGATAGTTTGGCTCGATCTGTGTAACACCATCCGATATTTATGATTTTTAATTCGCTGGTTATAAGTGTAACTCGAAGGGTAAAGTACTTCCCACGAATGATCTCTAGGAAAAAACAGAGCGGAGAGTCATTTAACCCACAAGTGATAGATAGCTTATGTTGATGCAAAGAAACAAATTGATAAGATTTATAAAGATTTAAAAAAAATTGTCTAGCTAATAAAATATAAAAGCAAATGAGTAAATAAATAAGAAAAGATCTAGCTAATAAAATATAAGTAATAAAGTATAATTAAAAGAGTAATAAAATAGAAAAGAATATCGAAAAGAAATTATTTTGGAGTAAGATCAATTGGTTGATCTAGATCAGAATGGAGAGAGAGCATGGCATTTCGGCGATCATGCTTGTTAAATTCTTTGAACTTATTCCAGTAAGTATCAAAGTTATCATCAATCTTATTTCTGGCACAACCTAAAAAAAATAATTCAGGAACGGTTGGCCATTTTCTAGAGATATTACGGGAAAAGTCAACTGTTGTCCAGTGATTACTGTTAACATGATTAAAAATCAGAGGTTGTCGTTGTTTGGTTTTGTTGTTGGGAAGGGCGAATGGGAGAAAGGTTGTTGAGGGGGTGCTGGGGTTGTCTGAGTAGACGCAGACTGGTCGTGTATATGTGTCCGCAGCTAGTTGAGCACAGTCGGGTGTGTTAAACCACATACTGGCATCTGAACATACTGAGATGAAGTTGGTGTTGGTGTTGCTGGTGTTGCTATAATCGAGTTGAGAGCCATGTTGAATGATTTTTTCTAGTTGGCTTGTGTCAGTGCCAAAGGTATTTGTGTACAATGTTTTGTATTTCGGCAGGGCGGCTAGCATATCCCTTTTTACAAGTGAAAACTTATTTTGATCTTTGTAGATCAAGTGGGCAAGGACCCGAAAACCACACCACCCGTCAGCAGTAGGGCTAAACCCACCCTTGACATCATCGACTATCTCATGAGAGACAGGAAAACCGGGCTGGAATTTGACCCTCTTGCCAACAGAGGTGCGATTATCATACCGGTAATCTTCCAGGGCGGTGGCGGGTCTTTTGAACCCATTTTTTTGGGGGGCATCGACTAAAAAGTATATAAGTATAAGACGATAGTTCTCTTTATGGATTCAATTACACTGTAAAATAAGAAAGCATATTACCTGGGTCGAGAGGCTCTTGTTTTATTTTTGTTGTTTTATTTTTGGTGGCATCGACTAAAAAGCGTATTCGTGTAAGACGACATTCCTCCACATAAATTCAATTAAAGTAAAATAAAAACACATCTTACCAGGGTCAAGAGGCTCTTGCTTTATTTGTTTTATTTTGTTTTTGGTAGCATCGACTAAAAAAACATGAAAGTATAAGATGGGAATCCTTTCTCATAGATTCAATTACATTGTAAAATAAGAACACATCTTACCTGGGTCGAGAGGCTCTTGTTTGTTTTTGTTTTGTTTTTTGTTTTTTTGTGTAGCTGCAGGTTTTCCCTCCCTCATTTTAGCTCTCAGTCTAACCATTGCCTTAAGGCCAGCCTAGTATTTCAAGATACATATTAATACTTTGTTATGTTATTTTTTTTATCTTACATGACCAGACGAAACACTGATCTTTCTCCAGTTTGCCCGACCAAAGTCTTTGGGGAGGTACTTTGGACGTGCACTACCCTTCCGTCTGCCAGGGTACTTGATTTTTTCTGGGGCTTGAAAGTTAATCGAAGGGTGCCCAGTTTTGCCTTCGAATTCAGAAGTGACCTTCTTGATCTTATTCTGGAGGTTAGCCACTTGCTGGCTGCCCTCACAGGACCGAAACAGTGACTCGAGTTTAATTACTTCCTCCATCCACACCTCTGGTCTTTCCTCAAGCTGGAAGTTTTCCCGACAAGTGTTGTCCCTTGGCTTTACATTACGAGGATCAATAACCCACCTTTCAGGGATATCAGAAATATAGATATCCCTTCCAGCAGGCAAAGAATGGCGACAAGGTAGACAATACTGGAGCTTGTTCATGCATTCACAAACAATACTGCTTTCACATTTCAGTCGAACCTCTTGGTCTATTACCAGTAAAGCTCGCTTTGAGACCTTCATGAGCAGTCTAGACAAAAGCTTTTTTCGTCCAACAAGAGGGTCAACCGTGGTAGATTCCCTGATCTCCACATTCCGGAAGTCTCTCTCAAGCCTCTCGATATATCTTGAAATATTTTCAAAGGCGAGATCCAGAGAAGCTATCGCAGATATACCTCTCTTTAAGGCTTGATGGGCACTTTCCACTCTTTGAGATGTTGTGCATCCAAAATGCATTATCTTCTGAGTAAGATAACCTGCCCACTTCTCTTGGCATGTAATCCACCTGTCATGAAAATATGCCGAGACTGGCGCTTTCACATTGCCATTTTCTACTTCGGAACCAGCAGATACAGCGTTGAACTTATTCAGCGCCCAGTCAAACTCCTTCTTACTTTTGCTATGGATCATATTGGATATATATCCCGTCAGCGCTTCCTTTTTTTGTACCGAGCCAACTTTTCCCGAAAAAGCCTTTTCCACACTATTCAGCATGTGCCAGTAACAAAGCAGCTTGCTGTTGTTCGGAAACACAACATCAAGAGCGTTCATAAGTGCAGCACACTTGTCTGTCACAAAAACTGTGCTAAGAGCCTTGTCTTCAAAAACAAGTGCCTTGAGTTGCTGGAGGAACCAAAGATATGTGCCTTGCTGCTCGTTAGAGACCCAGGCAAAGGCAATGGGAAACGATTTGAGGGTTTCTCCTCCGAGGTTGTGGATACCTTCCACGCAAATCAGCGGCATTGTCAAGTTATTGGTAGAATATGTAGCATCTACCACCATAACTTCTGAGAAGCGACGAGCTCTCTCCATCATCTTCTGATTGGTAAAAAACACCCTCTCCAGCGAATTGTCCCCGTTTACATCATAATGCACCTGGTAACCTTTTGCTTCCATCATCTTAACAAGTCCAGTACCCGCATTCTGGGCAACAGGGGCAGAAACTCGAGCAAAGGCAGCCTTGATATTGTTGATATCGCTAACGTACAGCTTATGACCATCGTCTTTTTCGTCTGTGATAGCCCTTTGGATCTCACGAGTCTTGGCCTTTGTCTCAATAAGTTTAGATATCTGCTTGGCGTCTTCGGCAGTAACTCTCGACAATCTGCCTTTCAGAGTCGATTCCAAGCATTTGTCATCAAGAGGATGATTGTAATAGCTCTCCATTTCACTAGAAGCTTTCAAGGGAAGATATCCTTTGATTCCTTTCTTGTAAGATAGCTTTATCATGTAAGAACATCCGGTTTTCGAACTAGGGCGGATTTTTACGCGATCGCAGTCTTCAAGTTTATGGGTGTTTCTAGTGACCACCCCTGGCGCACTTTAAGTAAACCCGGGTTGGTTTACGGTCTTTAGTTGCAAGAGTGAAGTTGTTAGCAAGTGCATACTCCTGCATCTTAGAAATAGCCACAGTCATGTTGACATAGCCATTGACTGGTGTAGTGGGAAAGTCTTGTTGAACGGGATAATATTCATTTCCGTCGATAAAAATTGATTCTTTATTGATAGTATTCATGTTGAAGTGATTTCTATTGAGCGATTGTTAACATCGTTTTTACAAATACTAATTTGTAATGATAGAAGTAGCACTCTTGTTTCTTCTGATAAAAACACTATATTATGTAAAAGATGTCTAATTCTTACAAGATGAGTATATAAAAGAAAAGAAGGTTTTATAACGGGTCTTTCACTAATTTCTTCAGGACACAACTTTTTTTTGCTTTCAGGTACTCTGTTACCATTGAAGGCCGGACCATAGTCACTTTTCAGGAGTCCGGTACACAATTAAAATCGGTGTTTAGAATATTTTTAGTACTCTATAGAAACGTCGTGCCCGAGAGGAAAAGCGTCGGGCCCGAATAATAGCTGAAAACTGTACTTTTTTCCCGTAGTGTATATATATATTCTCTAATGATATATGTTCAGATCGTATTCACATTATGAGAACATAGTGAGGTATAATACAAGTCATTATACTCTATATAAAGCTTGTTAGACCATTTCTAACAGTGTGTTAACTTTAACAAAAAGTTAAATAAAATAAATCAAACTTTTGGGGGTGCCAATTTTAACTAGAATTTTAAATTAAAGATAAAAGTGGAGTTAAAAGAGACTATTTGAGATGCTCTCACTTCTTTTATAAAGAAAATAGCATAAAAGTTATTATAATATCATTATATAGTTTATTTAATTGTTGCTCTTGTTGCTCTTGTGAATTAAATGAGTAAATAAGAATATAAGTGGGGTTGCATGCATAAATACATAAATATATAGCTTTTAGGGATCAAATAGGCCGTGCTTCGCTATCATATACAGCTTTGATAGAAGGGAATCGAAGTGATTTAACGCCACCGTCGCCTCCAGACTCTTGGAAATATCTTACAGTAACTATATTACCTATTATCAAGGAAGGGTCCTCGGCAAAGGATATACGTTGTTGGATAGAAAGTCCTGTCCCTACACTGACAGGATTGCCTAGTTGAAATTATTTAGAAGAAAATAATAATAAAAAAGACCTTTACACAGCAATATACCACTCTCACCTTTGTGTTCTACCACTAGATTCGTCATGACCAATTTGTCCTCTCCAGTGTCAGGCATACGCATTAAACCGGTCTCTATACCTTTTACAGTGTAATCTTCGTCTTCCCATTCTTTGACTTTAAGCATATTCCGGCTATATAAAAAAAGGGGGTTTTCACTGGTCAATCTTTTTTTAAAAGGATCAAAGAATAATAATTTTATCGTCTATCTTAGAGTTACCTGCGTTTTCCTTCGTAAGGCACATTCTTTCGCAATATAAGCCCTTCCCAGCCATTTCGGATACTAGATTCTCGTAATTTTAGAAACTCGTCAAATGAATCCAACTTGACTTGTTTTATCATGCGAAGATGTTTCTGTGGTTTTCCAATACTCTTTTCCAGCTTCTCTTGCCGTTTACAGAACGGAATATGGCCACTTCCCAGCCTAAATTCTGCTATATCGATCATGTCAAATACTTGATATACCGGATCTTCCATTGGCTGATTACGAGTTCTAATCTGTCCCATGGCTGCTAAAAAGTCCTCTTGTTCTGGATTATCAGCTCGATAGACACACACCTCACCATCCAATACAAATTCTTCATCTTCGGGTTTGAGGCGCTGACGAATTGCTGCCTCTACTTTTTCGAGTGAATTAAAGGGTTTCCCGGTACGAGAAAAGAAGTGTATTTTGTGGCCTCTGGCTGTTTTCTGAACAAAAGTAATGCAACGAACGCCGTCGAGTTTTCTGGAGCCATACCATCCTGGCGAGTCTTTGAGTGCTGCTTGTGACCATATTTTATCTTCTTTTCCGTTAACAGCAGATTTGGCAAGGGCTACCTTCATAGTCGTTGGAGCAAATATATCTAAGTTGTTTTCCTGGGAATCTTCTTTTTCTATTAATCTGGTAATCATAGTCGTCGAAACACCCATCTTCAAGTTCCTGTCAATGACACGCCAGAACATTTGTTGTTGGGCTTCAGTGTGACAATGATGTTTGTAGAAATTCGAAACTGCATCTAATGCTGTATTACCCGACAATTTTCGAGAAGATAATGCATCAAGAAGATCTAGAAGGGTGTAAGGAAGTGTATCTGAAGTTTTGCCTTTTTTGGTCTGTTCATTTATGTGGTCAAGTATACGTTTTGATTTAACGTGGTGACGCAGATGAGGATCGTAAATGCGTATGAGAATTGGATGACACCAGGTCGATTCTGTGACAATCTTTTGCTTTTCGTTGACACTCGTAGTTTTGTTGACTGTCTCCACCCATTCGTTCAATCTTTCCAAATATTCACTATCTGTCAATGTGGTATTTGATTCATAGCGTTTTGTAAAATAAATTACTGGTAATTTAATGTGTTTTTGGCTTGTGTAAATTATGCGAGAAGGATCCCGTGTGAATAAGCTGAATGCCCTCTTCAACATGTTTATGATGATTGTGCACAATCCTTGTTCTCTTGTCCAATTCTTTACCCCTGTCAGTGAAAGATGAACCAAGCCACTGCATAATTTGTACCACTGCTTTTTCTTTATCTTGCTACTTTTTGTGATTTTTTTTTTAGTGATATGTCAAAACAATGTAAAGTCCAACACTTTTATCATTTCATCCCAGCCCAGTTAGTCGAGTCAAGTCAGAAGCGAGCAAAGCAAAGCTGTTTCTATTATTTTAGCTACATTGCTAGTTACTTTTTTAATAGTATAATCAATAAACGTGCAATGCATTATATTATATAATGTATATATATATAATATTATCATTGTAGCAAAAGAGGCTATAGGAGTTGGTCGAGCTTGTTGATTTGAAGAATATATTGAGTATGAAAGAATAAATTTGATTGCTATTTAATATAAGTTGAGCTTAATTACTTCTACAAGTGCAAGGGCAGGTGCAAGGGCAAGGAGACAAAGGAGAGAAATGTCAGAAATATTCTTGTTGGCATGTATACATCAAAAATTAGATCAAAAAATTTGAAATCTGTACATTAACCTGCTTCTAATCAATTAATACAGAATATAATGGAAAGTATACGTGCAAAAAGCCAAGCCTATTCCAGGTGGTCTAGGTAAAAATAAAAATAAAATTGGATCCAAAGCATTGGAATCAGGACAATTTTACACTTTTAAATACATACCCAAATCTGTACATCTTTAAAATATTTGAAATCATGTTTTTTATGGTGTCTTTCTTTTTCGTTGGTACTCTACTAGAATGTAAGCTATCTTGAACTTGAAGGGGCTCTAGCCACATACACACACATCTCTTTAGACACACAAAAAGGTCGAGCTGTAAGTTTCTGTTTCATTCTTTTCTCAAACTCTTTTTGCGCCCATTTAAATCAAAGTTTTCAACATTTCAATATACTACTTTTGTACAACAGGTTTGGGAATCCTGTCATTCAGCTCCTTACCTGTTAATAGTCTTTAGTGCTACTAATTGTGTAATATAGTCAATTGATGACAGTATCATTACGATAATATATTTCTTTATTTACAAAAGAAAAACATGAATGCATTAAAAAGATATCTTGAAAACTCGAGTAGTCCAAACCATTACGTTTGTAATCTACTGTGTCTTGAATGAAGTCTAATGATTTACTTCACATTTATATTAGTGTTATTTTGTTTAAAAAGATAGTTTTAAAAAAAACTAATGAGTACAAGAACCACTGGATATTTTGAAAATAAAGAGGTATTTTATTAGCGTTACCCATATATAGCGTGGGAATCGGAGGGGGTTTTTTTTTCTTTACTTATATATAATATTATTATTATTATTATTATTATTATTTATAACAGATTATAACTTAATATTACAGCTTTTTATTTCAACTACATTATATAAACAAATCTAATCATGCCCTTTGCAAAGGACTCTACATTGAGTTAAAATTAAGGATGTATATTAAGCTACAGTGTTTTTAAAGAGGACGATTTAAAATCATGCAGCCAATAATAATAATAATAATAATAATAATATTAGCACAAAGAAGAATAAAAACAATAAAAATAAAATTAAAGAAGTATCATGTTGTACCAAATAGTTTTTTTTTAATAACAAAATGCAAAGTGGGAGGTGAAAGGAGAAAGGAGGATTATTATCCACTGTGAAAAAAATTCAAATTAAATTAACTCTGTAAAGAGTGTGGGTGATTTTTTTTCTTGATGTTTATAAGCAGTTGGTGTGTATATTTGGGGTCATTGAGACTTCGAGTTTAGTGGATATATTGGAATTTGTGGTTGCTGCTGCTGTCATGGCTGCAGCAGTTGCGATTCGAGAAGCATTACTGACTACGCACTGCGTAGACTGGATAGGCCAAGAAGCTTGGTGTTGATATGGAGGAGGAGAGGGAGGAGAGGGAGACGAGCTATTTTGTTTAGCAGGCACAATAGTGGACCCGCTTGCTTGGCTTCTGAAATGGACACTATTAGCTTGGCCACCAAAAGGTGAATCAGCCATGGTCTGAAAGGGAGTAAAATCGGACAGAGGGGTGTAGACATCGTATGATGACAGCGGAACAGGTTCGGTAAGAGTAATGTGTGATGGTCTTGACTGAATAGTTGATTCATGTTTCATATTTTCAGAGTGGTGTTTTGGTAAATATCCAATTTTCACCGACTGTGGATAATGCGAATTTGCCGTGGAGGCTGTAACTGTAGCCGCGGTGACTGTGTCTGTAGAGGTCATTGTGCAGTCGTCTGTAGTCGGCTGACCCACATAGGCTGTAGAGCTTGTTCCAATTGTGGGATTGGTTGTTCCGCAAATCGTGTTTTGTTTTATTATCTGCTCCTGGCTTTGGTCCATCGATTGAATCGCTGCACACAGATCATCAATTTGTGCTTGCTGTGCTTCTAATTTGCTGTGAGTCTCCTGCATCTGAGTAGTAAAAGCGTGCTGCATTGCTTCATACGTCCGTTTTTGATAGATCACTTGTTTGCACAGCTGTAATTCCCGAAACGTTAGGCTAGCTGGCTTGTGTTGAGCCGGAGTATATTGTAGTAGCATCATTGAATCAGACCCTATATTGATGTCTGTGTCTGGTACGCTGTGAGGCGCACTCAAAGATCGAGTATCTTGGGAAATAAGTTCCGGGCAGGACCCTTGACGGAATAGCTGTGTTCCTTCTACCTGACTCTCAAACTCCAGCCCAGATGGCTGTAGCGCAGTCCCCGACAATCTATCCGAAGAAGGCGATCTTCTCGAGCCTCCTTCGTTGCCTGAGATTTCATTGGCATGGCTGCCGTAATCCACCTCTGTCCCGGATTCATCTCCTGATTCTACATTAATTATGGTTTCCACATCCTCTGCAGCCTTGACTCGCTTTCTTCGAGAGTACCGAGGAGTTTTGCGACGGATGAGATAAAATAGATCGCGCCGACCTGGGCGGAAGTATGGGTGATACCATCGACAAGTTTCCTTATCCTTACTATCTTTTGATTTTCTAGCGTCTGTATCCCGCTGAAAACCATATATCTATTTTTGAAGAAGAAGAAGAAGAAAAAAAAAGTTAATTTTCTGTTAGGCAGGAAAGGAATAATAATAATAATAATAATAATAATAATATAAAAGGGTTGTCTTTTTGGTTACATTGAGTTGTCGCACAAAAGACGCAAACTTGCAATGCTTGAATAGCTTAGGCAGGACATTTTCTGTGAATTCTAAAGGCAAGATTGAGCACAGACACAACATAATATCCACCATCGTACTTGTTTTTTTCTTCTTCTTTGTATTATTGTTATTGTTATTTTGCTTCGATTAACTTACTTGGTATGCATTCTATTATAAACATGTCTACCCCGTTGTGATTACACCAGTGGGCGTATTTCTGCCCCTCATCTGGCGCCTGTAAACTTCTTTTTTAAGAAACATATATATATATACATATACATACGTGAATCAGTCTTTTTCATGAATTTTGTAGCCACAGAAACTTCGTATTAGTTCTCATGAACGGAACATACTGATAAAGTTTTGAGACAAACCCAGCAATACCACGTTCGGTTGTGTTCATCTCTTGTGAATGAAGATCTGCGAATGAGTTGTCCATTGCGCAATCAGAAATTTGCCAGTAAGGCGGGAGTGACTGGACAGGGAGGTTCTGGTTTGTGGTTGGGTGGTGCCGGTTTGAAAGTAGAAAGTTGTCTCTGTCTAAAGCCTCGTTACTGCCAACTTCAGGGGCCTGTCGGCAGTAGGATTCGGTCGGAGACTCCAGGTCAGGGTGGCAATCCATGGCAAACGATGTATACATGCCAAAATTAGAGATCTGGATAGGACGAGAGTTGCGATCTCTTTTTTGCAAGTGGGTGTGGTGTTGGTAGTGTTGGTTCTGTTGATGTTGATGCTGATGCTGATGCTGATTTTGGTGGCTGTGGTGCTGGTGCTGGTGCTGGTGCTGGTGCTGGTGCTGGTGGTGTTGCTGGTAATATGAGCGTGGGGTAAGGGGTATAAGGTTGTCTGGAGCAAGTGGCTGTGAAAATTGGGTTGATTGAAAAGGGCTTGTATTGGCTGAAATGCGTGGCAGTGGGTCTGCGAAATATTGGACATCTTCGTGATTACCAGGATCAACTATATGTGGGATATTGTAGAGGGTCATATTCTATATATTTCTTTCTTGTTACAAAGATAGAATGCAATTATCTATTTAATTTTTATTTTTTTTGGCTCTTTTATGCTGGGTACGATCTGGTTACAGCTTCCCTTTTAGGAAATACTCGTTCAACAGAGTGAATATTAAGACAGCTATTGATATTAAATAAAAATTATTATTATTTTTGAGCCTAAAGTAAAAAGGTACAAATAGAGATGAAGCGGTAAGGAGAAAGTGAAAGAGAGTGAAAGCGAAAGTGGAGGCGAAAGTGGAAGAGAAAGAGAAAGAGAAAGCGAAAGAAATGTGAGTCACCAGAAAAGAGAGCATGAAGGAAAGGGGTGCGTGTTTAAGCAAACCAAAGTTTACCCCATTCTGGGCTCGAATTTACGTATCTTTTTTTTTTTTTTTTTTTTTCGTGTATCAAAAAAAAGAAAAATCTTTGCAATAATTCCTAAAAACCTACGCATGGCATCGCAGTATTTGGATATTTATTACCAGCAAGATGCATTATACTGTACTGTACTGCACTGCACTGGGCTGGTGAGGCTACCTTTGGTTACCTTTGGTCACCTTTAGCTACCTGAGGGTTAGCTTGTTTCTAGTCTTCTTTTTTGTTGTTGTTCTATGGTTTGATTTCAGTAATGCCATGATATGATTCTAAAGATGATTTGTTGATTATTTTTCTTTTTTAGACTTATATATTTATGTATGTGTGTGAGAGGGCGTTTGTAAAGTGTTTGGAACAATTTAAGCACTCATCAAAAATGTAAGCAATTGTTAATATATTTTATTTTTGGTTAAAGGGGAGGGGGAAGTAAAGGGGGTGGGGGGGGGCTATTGAAAAAAACCTAATCAAGGTATGAATCTATTATGAGCAAAATGTCGAAAGCTTAAAAAGAAACTAATTCTGCACACACACATCGCTTCCTTTCTTTGGCATCCAAGCACAATCCTCAGGGGCACAACTAGAAATACAAAGCTCATTGTTGATACCTTGCTTTATTTCTTTCTGGCGAATTGAAAATACTCGTGCTCTTGCATAATACAATTCCTGCATTTATATATTTATTTATATAAAGCCCTCTGTACAGGCAAAGGCATAGAGAAATCCAGAAGCGCCACCAGAAACTGTCAATACAAACCAGAGTTCAAATGTCCTCTTCTTTTGGTTTTCCTTTTACCGCATTCTATTTCCTTCCTTTTTCTTCTTCTTCTTCTTCATGTAAATCGTCGTCTTATTGTGTATTTGAAAATATGTAATGCAGTGCTCAGTCTGCTTCAATTGCATTGTATTGCATCTTAGCCACCAGACATTATCAATCTTAGTCATTTAACTTTGCACAGGTGTGATCTATTGCACTTTTTATTTTTATATACTAGCTATAGTTACTATTACTATTACTGTTACTACTACTATTATAATTACTATTATAATTACTATTATTATTATTATTATTATTATTATTATTATTGGTTTATTTTATATTTTGTTATTTGTGATCAATACATATCTAAAAAGTAATAATACCCATTTCTTCACCAACTTTCTTGTATATCTTGCGCTGAACCTTTCCAACTGGCGAATACCCGGTCTGCCTTGACCGCAGGAAGCGCATTATTTGTGATAACCAGCCTGCCAAGCGAATAAACATATACTTCTCACATGTGTAACTAATGACCAAATTGAACGCTGCAAGAGAGAGAACAAATACTCGGAAGCTAAATGGAATCGTCTCTAGCTCAAGCAGTTCCTTGAGGAACTCGTTTGGATACAGAACACACCAAACAGTCAAAGCCACAAGTACCAGCAAAGTCAATACAAGTCGGCCTACACCAACTCTTGTTAGTATGATAGATCTTCAACACATACAAATCTCTGTATTTACCGTTTGTCCATAGCGGTTTCCGATAGGGTGGTCCCACGCTAAACACGACAGCTACTAGAATGTATTGGAAACTCGAAAGTAGGAAAAGAACCGTATTTTCGTAACACATAATGTTTTCGCCGTCTGGATCGAACACAGGTGGAACATACCTAAATATCAATTGTTTAATAAGATATATATCTATATACATCGACTCTTTCTCTTCCTTCGATCTTCTCTTCTTTGCTATTTCTTTTCTTAAGATTATTTTACCAATCCTGTTGGTGCACGGCCCAATATGCAATGAATTGGAATCCCGAGTTGATCACTATCTGACCAACAAGCGATGTGAGGACCTTCTTGGATACTAGACTAGCAGTTGGCCGTTTTTGGTACAGGTGAGGCCATGCAGCTGTGTAGCCCACTAATCACATGTCTGTAAGTTGCCTAGCTTCAAACTAGGTCGATACTTTATATATATATCTATCTTAGGTTTGAATACTTACTATAGACGGCTATAGGTAAAATAAGAAACAGATCGATATAGAGAAACTGAAAGTCACCAAGATTGCTTCCGAATGCGTACAAGAGAGTGACAGAAGTGAATTGAATAATACTGTAAAGTGCCATGTACTTGAAACAACTAAAACTGGTCACCAATGCTGCTCTTCCCTCTCTAAAATAAACACAAAAGTACAAAAAAAAAACAATGTTCAGCTAAAGTTCGATCTCGAACAGCTTTGTACTTATAATGTTTGCTTACTTTATCACATCAATAACGCAGTTGATATCCATAGTATTGCTTGTAAAGGGTGCTGCTACAGATGCTTCTGCCTCAGAAAGCGAAATACCAATGTCACCTGCCTTGAGGGCTCCACAATCATTGGCACCATCACCACAAAACCCAACGCAGTACCCAATGTTCTGTAGTTCAACTACCAATTCCGCTTTTTCATCGGGAGACATACGTGCATACACTGCTCCCTTAACCAACATTCGATGAAGAAGCTCGACAGGAGCATGGTCTACCACCCAGCGGAATGCCTCTCCTGTGACAGCCAAATGGTAGGACTGTTCGCTTCCATAGGGTTGACTGTAATAGTCTGCTGTTCTTCTGCGTGGCTACAAACTCAAGAGTTAAATGAAATTTTGAATCGAACCTCCTTCTTTTTTTTCTAGTCTTTATATTTGTTTACCTGCAATGTATCTCTATCTAACTCATCGCCTTCGTGCAGCACACTTTCCCATGTCAATTGAGAGTCTGGCTCGGTCGAAGAACCCTTCAAGAACTTTGGAATGTAGATCTCAGAGTTTTGATCGACCAGACCACACTCTCTGGATACGCTGACAGCTGTCAATACGTTGTCTCCTATACAAAATATCGTCAATATACTCTATGGCTAGACAATGAACTTACCTGTACACATGATCTGCCTAATGTTTGCACTGCGCAATGTTGTAATCGCAGAAATAGTGCGTGGTTTCAATTTATTTTCAAAGATGATAAATCCTAAAAATGTCAAATTCGATTCGACATCTTGCCTATATTTCCAAATCTGAAATTAGTTTCAAATATATCTATGTTTCTATGATTTTTCTAAGCTATTTTTTAAAAGAAACATGTCTAATATATTCACCTTTTCAATTTGTGCAATTTGTGCCATTTGACATCTTCAAGTTGACGAGATGCGCACGCAATCACACGGTATCCACGATGGGTGTACCAGTACAACCTCTCCTGAAAGTCAGCAGGCACTGTACGATCATTGTCAATAAAACGGTCGCACCATGACCCAAGGAAATCTTGTGTAGGCACACTACTTACTTGTGTCTGGTCTACATATATCGACCATAACCTCTGGAGCACCCTTGACAAACACCTCCATGCATGGGTTGGCCAATCGTCTCACAATAACGCTCATGCGGCGCAAGGCAGACACAAACTCAAAGGAGTGAATGATCCCAAACTCAATTGGTGGTACCTCTAGGCGATCAGAGGGGAGGACCAATTCATGTCGTCCTCCTGGTGGTCGGACAACGGTTGGCATAATACCAACTTTAGCTATCTTTTTAGCCTGTGATCCCAATAGTTCGCTTGTCGTTGGCTTGAGGTCTGAAGACGATATTCCACTACTTTCCTCTAATTCCCAACGTGTGAACTCAAACATCTTGAGGTCCAATGGGTCTCCCAGTAATTCTCCGCCCACGATCTTGAGAGAGTGACAAGTAGTCATGGCCCGTAGAATCCTCGACTCGGTCGAATCTTCGGACTCACTATTAGGATCCACTTCGGCCACTGTGCTTGTCTCCTCCCCAAATAATTTCGTCCCGTCGGTACGTGTTGTTACAGCACGAATACCATAGATATCAAGCCCATCTTCTGTTAATGTACCAGTCTTATCAAAACACATGCAGTCAATCTTGCCACCCATATTAACTCTAGGCGGAGATATGCAGAATATTCCAATCTTTTTTAGGCGACTGATGGCAAAGCTAGTTCCGATTGACATTGTAGCAGGTAATGCAGGGGGGACCACAATCGTAATCAGGTCCAGAGCTCGCAAAATCATAGTGGTTGTATCAATGCCCAGTCGAATAAAGTTTACCGACGATAGCATAAATCCAAACACAGCTAAAAAAAAACCCCCCCAGCATACATGTTTAGTTTTTTTTTTGTTTTGCAAATAACAGCAGAAAATCCAAACAATTTACCAATGATTGACAATACACCGATGAAACGAAAGGAGTCGCGATAGAATTTGAAGTTATTCGGCTTGGGGAAAAGCATGCTTCTGATGAGTGCACCCTTTGCGGTATTAAATCCAGTTCTAACAACAACAGCAGTTGCCGCAGATACATTGATACCACTTCGTACACGAACAACCTTGGTGCCCATAAACAAAAAGTGTTTGGCTACTTCTGCTGGAATTGTGGGACCAGACAAATTGACTTTTCGTAAGGTCAAGTCGGTGATAGGCGCCTTTGATACTGGCACTGATTCACCAGTTAACATGGACTCATTAAGGATGCAATCGCCAGAAATCAGCATAGCATCACATGGAACAGTGTGCAAATCCGCGATATCAATGAGATCGCCGGGTACAAGCTCGGTTGAGCTTACAGTTCGCCCTATTTTTATTTATTTATTTAATTAATTAATTAATACCATATAACCAATATCTTATCATGTTAATCTTACATGCTCCACTACGGAAGACGCGTACGCTGCATTCAAAGCGAGACATCTCTCTCATGCGTTTCATGGTCTAATATGGCGTGTAATTCATAAGTGAATTGTTCACTAAGTGGGTGCGACTTATTTAGCGATATAGCACTTTACCTGCTTGGTTTCTACCAGTGTGGTTATGATACTAATGGCGCTTATGAAAAAAATACAAAATGCATAATAATAATAGTCGTCCATACTCCACAGAATGATACTTCCAATTTGGAATACATAGAATGGGTTCAATACCTAGTAAATCAAGCTATATTATTATTCCAGACTTTAGTAATCACTTCCTATCCTTTATCCTACTTCATCCGTAAGTAGCTTAGCTGTAGGCTTTTCGCGAATGTTGATCAAATTAGGCCCAAAAATAGCAAGGCGCTCATAGCATTTCTCAGCCTGTAATCCCGCTTTCATGGTCTTAGTCATAGTCCATGCCTGATCTTTCCAGAAGCTAAACAATCCTTTCTTCTTGTTAATTAAGCTTGTCGCACAAAATCCTTCCCCTTTGGATTTTATATACTATGTCCAAATCTTACCCAACAATGAGATACTTGTGAAAAAGGGGATGATAAGCAAGTCGAACGTAGCGATAGTCCACCAAAATTAGCTGGTCAATAGACTCCTCCATATTTGTATATCTTGCAACATCGTCTAATTTAATGCTATTTTCTCGTATCTCCTCCTTGATTTGTTCAAGTGAGAATACTGATCCAACCGTACAGCATATTTTTTCGCGTAAAGGCCGTATAATTTGACGTTCTCCATATTGGTTCTATTTTGCGTGTAAAAAATAAATAAATAGTCAGATATCTCTTATTCATTTATCTTTTTATTATTCTTTTCTCTTCTTTTCTTCAACTGACATATAATAGACATTGACTTAATTATCACATAATCTTACCACAAATACTAGCCAAGAAGCATCCTTGAGATCAACTTTCTGCCCAACCCATGAAACCCACCACTTTGGTATCCAACGGCACACGAGCCAAACAACACCCAGGGTGAGTACACATGAAAGCTTGTAGGATATATATCGTAGCGAATTGAAGCGATAACCTTCAATATCAATTTCAACATCTTCTTCGGTCAAGATCAACCTTTGATGCCATCGCTCGGTATTGCTTCCAAGTCCCGTAATCCTGACTTCACCGTCTCGATTCTGAATCAAAGATAAAAAATCTCTTGTTCCTTCCTCCTCGCCATCGTCTTCATCGTCATCGCTTCCCGAACTGTCACTTTCACTGAAATCACTGTCACCTCCGGGTTCATCGCTTGTGTTTAGTTCTACGTCACTTTGCTCTGTTTCGATGTTTTGAACCGGGTGATGAGCCTTTCGCCGTCTGCGATATAATCCTGATCTACCGCGGCTAGTGTAGGAGCTAGGAGAGTCTTTGTGTGGTGAAGCGGTGTTTAGGTTGGGTTGATTGCTAGATGTGGCGATTGGTAGAGTGTGCATAAGCGGCGCAGTAGAATCTCTTCTCAGCTTTGTGGTTGAGGTGCTGGGTGCTGGGACAGTAGGGTCGGGTGGTGATGAGGTCCCATATCCAGCGCGTATCCTAGTCGAGGGAAGAATCGACATTCGCGTACTTTTTCACAGAAACGCATACACTACGAAGACGATGCTCCAAAATGTTTTTTTTTTCTTTTCTGTTTTTCATTGCCCAACCAAGGGAATCCAAAATTGCAGTATGTCAGATCTCACGTGATTGACAGTGACACAATCCCTCTTTGTGTGTCCAGAAGAAGAAAAAGCTGATCTCGGTTACACGGATGTATTTTATCTCCAGACATCTCGACCTTAATTGAAATCGGTCTGAATACAACGCTACACTGTTCGTATTTCTGAAGATGGCCAACAAATATTATGCTAATGAAGTCAAATAATCGTAGTAGTTATTCTAGATTTACATAAATGGTACTATTCAGGTCCAGAACAGGTAATGAAGTCAGTGAGAGGAGATAAGATGATCTTATTATTATTTGTTTTAGGAGAGTGAAAACAAGAAAAAAGGCTGTAAGCTTTTGGATGAAATTTCCTTGTTTGTTTCAGTTTCCTTTGAGCTTGTTACACTGCCTTACATATATTGCTGTTTCCCAAAACTCATTTCATCGAAAATCCAATTGACAGTCTTAATAATATTCAGTAGAAGAATAAATGTTTCAATATCATTTATAAGCAATATAAACAATAATAATGAGCATTGCGTTAAATTAAGCTATATATATATGTGTGTATGTATGTGTATAATATTTACGCCCAATGTGTTTTCTTTATGACACACGTTTAAGTACATACACATATCACTTTCTATACTTCAGTAGTAATTGTGGATTGAATAGACACAAGAGCAGTTGTTACACCAAAGGGCACGTCCCTGATCATGTACAGCTTGTAGCATGTACGAACCTTGTTTTTCTTCTTCTCTTTATTATCGTCATCATTACTATTATTTTACTGCAAATATAAAGTACTGAAAAAATTGATTGTGTCTATTTACAACAAGTTGAGGATAGGTTAATTTTTTGAATATTTAAGCTGGTATTGACGATAAATTTACCGCATAGACTTTTAATAGTATTTACTCACAGTACGACAAGGCATTGTAATGGACATACAATGTGACATTCTTGAAACAGACTCACATATATATAGGTGTGGAGGAGGTTATATATTTCTTATATATTTTTAAAGATATATAAGACTATAAATTGCTATCTTATAAAATACTAAACTGTCTTTTTCTAAATAATCGGTTTCTATGCCAATGATGGTGATTTATGATCCTAATACTGAATATGCGTAGAAGATTCTAAAATACACGCGCACAGCAATAGAAAATCTGGAAAAAGATAATATTAATATCGGAGACCCTTTGTAGTATTCAAACTCTTGTAGTTTTTATGACGTACCATTAAATGAAAAAAGCAGAGTTATAAATAAATTCGGGTTTGTTAAAGTTATATGTTCAGCAATGGAAAAACCGGCAACTTGCACCCGAATGACCAAGTATTCCTTCATACTTCCACAATTGTAATAGTAGCCATTACAATTCTTTGATATATCATTTCAATACACCAACATATTTTTACTGATTGGGTTATACTTGGAGATTAATTTGCACTTGAGAATTAATACACAGTCAATTTGATCATTTATTTTAATATTACAAAGAAAAAGCATATTGCCTTGGAATATGTTTCCTGGACACAAGAAGCAGGGTCTGTTTCTTTAAAATACCCTATAGAAAAAAATAGGCGATTTTAGTGAATTGTTGCAAGTTTTCCGGGGTTTAAAGTTTCTTGTACTTGAGTTTTAATTATGCACCAATTTCTCTCTCGCTCTCTTTTATATTCTACTTTTTTTTTTACCCCACCATGTTTTTTGCAGTCAAAGCAAAACATCTTTTTCTTAGCTTTTTCAACCCATTACAAAACTAAATACCAAGTTATTCAAATCTAATGGCTTACCAGCGGTAGCTTGGGTGGGTCCTAAGCGGTAACCAGGACGGAATTTTTTCATCTTTTTTGAATTCTAGTCAGTCTTTGTCTCAAACGACGACCCTCCTGGAGATCTTCTTCTGCTTGTCTTCTGATACGTCCAATCCGAATAACGCGGGTGAACCTTACAGGTATAATCCCATCATATCTCAAATTGTTAAGTATATGTCGGAAGTTCAGGACAGCAGCAAGATCCTGATTCCACAAACGATGCATAACCTCTGACCCGTCCATGTTCTCCAAACAATTTAGATTGGTACATCTAAAAAGGACTTGTTTCTATTTTTTTCACAAGGTCTAAAATTATTAAAAGTCTCTAAAAAGAACACACTTAATAGCTATGAAGGCTAGTATTAATAAAATACGGATCAGCAAAGTTGACAAAAGAAAGCAATCTGAGAAGAATTGACAGAAAAATATATGCATCAAGTACAATTTGGTTGTCAAGATTGCTCGCATGCTCATTAGAAATCTCGGTAGATTTAGAGAATTGCAAGGAATCTGTCTTCTTGTTTTTCAAGAGTAGGAATCAGACATAACAATGTTAACACAAAGCAGGTTTATATTCTTTGATAAAAAGAATCAATTAAGCAATATAAATATCTTCATCAATATCATAGTACTTAGAGAATAGCCTTTTTTTTTTTTTAGATAAAAAATGTGAAAAGTATTACATAGAAATAGATATATGTATATTATTTAGTAACTTTATAGCTTAAAAAATAGTACTTCTTCTTTCCATACTTCTTTATATTCAACTTGTATTATTTTGATCAATAAAAACTATAAAATTCCAATATAAAACCGTGTATTTGTTGAACCAATTATAAGAATAGAGATATCTAAAAAAAGGTATAGATTTGCGATATTTAGAATATTTGATTGGATTATATGCAAAAATGATTTGAAATCCAACGAATTGTATTATCTAAATCTGTTATAAAAAGGGAAATATGTACCTAAAAATGGTATAATTTTGCTATTTTATACGATTTTATTGGATTAGATAAAAAGTAATTTTAACTCCCATAAATAGTATTCGCTGTAAATACTTTTAATTTACTAAAAGCCAATATTCTATTGGCAGAAAGCACAACTCCGCGACCGTAGGAATTATACGGATTCGTATAAGATATACGGGACCGTATAATTCCTACGGTCGCGGAGGTGTAATTTCTGCCATTTATTACAGTGATAGCTATATTCAGTAAAGACAGCTTAAAGCCACAAAGGGCTGTGTATTAAAAAAGAAAAGAAACAGAAAATTAAGCATGGAGTTTGTACCTAAAAATACTTTTTATTATTAATTTTTCCGGGTGGCATTAATTGCATTATGAGTCAAAAATAGAAAAGAATAGAAGGAAGGGGGAGGTTAATTTTAAACTATAGGTTTCTTGAATTGTTCTTGTTTAGCTTTTTTTCAAGCAAGTCACTAAATTTAAGCATTGATTTTAAAAAAATATCCCTCGGGATTACAAAACATTACATTTGCCACAATTGAAATGGATAATCGGCTCAATGAAAACAATATTGCAACACTGTGGCCCAGAATAAGTGTCTAATAAACTATCACACTTGTACGCTGCTCATCACAAAGACACACTTCTTCTTGGGCTTTTGATTTTATTAGCAGTTTGAGTATTATTGTTATTATTATTAGTATTTTTTTTTTAAAAAAAAGATTCTAGATACTTTATTTTCTATGAATACCAATCCAAGAACAAGAGAACTAGACTTGCGCCAAGTAAAAATACCAACATAAACTTGCGAGTACCTTTATTACGCTCCCTTGACTGTATCAGCTGTAAATTTCCTTGCTCGACTCGCTCAGTGGTTGCTATCGAGTCGCCATACAATCGTTCTGTTTGAAGCGTCTGAACAGCCAGATGATGTGTGAGCTGCGATTGGAGATTAGAAATCTCTAAAAGAGCCTTTTCTGCAGTCCGGACCTGGTTGAGGGTATTGTTGAGATCTTCGAGCATAACCGAATTTTCTTTCTCAAGCATCTGAAGTTGTTCCTGGGATATTTGCTCTTCAAATGCATCCATTTCCTCTGGTTCTGGGTCAGGCACAGGTGTAGACTGCCATGTTTCTGCGACTGTTGATTTGGTAGGCTTAAATGAGCTAGAGGAGGCCTGGTCTTGGGCGGATGGTGCAGCCAAGGCAGTAGAGCGAAAGAGTTGATTTTCGCTCTTTTCTATCTCACGACGAAGACGTATTTCTTGCTGGTTTTTCTGTAGATTTGATACTTCCATCAGTCGCTTGTTGAGTAACCAAGTGATACTACTTCTGTGTATCCCAAGAATATCTTCGGTCGTACTTTGCGTGTTTGAAAGAGTATTAAAAAGGGACATTAGACGAGTGGAGGGTTTAGCAGCTTCGGTCTCTTGACGTATTTTTTCGGCTTCTTCGAGATCTTTGATGCGATCCATAGATTGTCGAATGACAAGCTTAGCTTGAAAATCAATCTCATCGCGTTCTCGGTCAGTTAGCTGCTGTACATCTGCAGGAAACATGGAAAATAGAGAACCATCCTGCGCAGGTTTTATTGGCTTTGGGGGCTGCTTACGGGTTGAATGTCTAACGTCTGTACTTAAGTAAGCGCGTCGGATGGAGAGAAGAAATCGCTTGAGGCTGCTGATGTGCTGGTTAATGCGGTAGGCCTCTTTTGTGTATAGATCGTATGATGTCTCATCAGCTGCATCACGAGAATTCTTAGCTGAATGGGGTCCAGCAGCAAGTACGATGGCACGGAAGTCAGCGGTGATGTTAGACATGGTATGGGTGTTTGAAGCAAGAATCCAATGAGCATGACCGACGTGTGCTTGTCACACCTATCTATCCAATGACGTCTGCATCTCCTACAGTATTTGCAGGATTAAAGTCCAAGTGCCATGAAAGATATTTTTCTGTGTGATGTCACTGATTATAGATAATTTGGAGTATTGATCCTTATTTAAAAAATAATAATTAAGAAATAAGAAATAAATGGACTCTTTTGAGTAAAATGGAACTGCTGATTCACGCAAAACACCAATAGACCGTGGTACAAGTCAGTAATCCAAAATGTCACTTTTAAATACCACAAAAAAATAGAATGGGGCTAAGTATGATGCCAGTTGATCTCGAAGTTTGTGTGTTCAATGGCGGCCGCTGGATTTGTTTGGATTAGATGAGTATAATTAGTAATATTTTTATATACATATAATACATATATATATATTTATATATATTTATCACCCTAAAATTCTAGTGTGGTTCGATTAAACTATAATTCAAAAAAGAATTGTCTAGAATATTTGAATTCATATCTTCACAGTATATTGTTTCAAAGAATAAACAGATTATTATTCAAAGCATTGTAGAGAATAATCTAATAGTCTTTATCTGAGTCTTGTTTGTAACCATATGTAAAGAGAACCATCATGTCATTATTTATTAGACAGAGCCAGAATTGGTTGGTATCTATTGGTTGGACTATCCGCCGTAATGTCGGGTCACATCAAGAAATTAAAAAAAAACCTTGTTATCCTTTGAGCAATTGGACTTTGTAGTCTATGAGATCTAGACTGTGCTAATCAATAACTACCCTAAGAAATCGATAGCCTTTTTGAGAATGATCAATGTGAAGGTTTCATGATAAAAAATCATAAAATAAAGCAAAATTTCACTAAAATGGGGCAAATTTTGTCTTTTTGTCTTTTTCTTTTTTTCTTACAAAAAAATAATTAACTCCGTATATGGATTCTCCGATAAAAATATGTATACCTGGTTAGAAATATATCTTGTGAAACGCCAAGACAATGATATTTCTCTACTTCCAGAGGATACTGTGAGGATATGTAACTTGCTTGTGTTGCCATGTACCTAGTTGATTGGACTTGCGGTATCCACGCAACAGAAATGAAAGTATTGAGGCGGATGTGACGTGCTTTGCCGATCCGAGTGGCCCAAAAACTTTGATTTTGGTATTAATATAACGTTAAATGGAAGAAGAGGTATGTTGCAAAGTAGTTTGGCTAAAATTGAAGCCTTTTAGGATAATAAATAATATAATGATATGGAGCCAAGCCAAGCCAAAATAGATATGAATTTTTATTCATTGTTGTGTTTCATTTCCAAGAAACCACAACCAAAATAAACAAATAAAGATATAACAGAATCGAATATGAAATGTACATCCGTCTCACCTGTCACGGGCCGCAGTATTTCTACATTCATTTTTTTTCTCTTTGTCTTTATTCCAGTATCCGCCTCAAATTCATTTCAGACCACAGTCACGACACACAATAAAAAGAGGAACAAATATGTGGTTCAACAAACAGTCCTCCCTTTCCTTAATTTTCTCATGGCTTTGTTTGGACTTGGCAAATCAAGAAACCGTTCCTCGACCAGTAAATTATCTAAATTGGCCATCAGAAGGACCAAATCTACCGGAAACATCGAATCATCAAAACCATCTACCACAAAAGGAACCTTCCTCAAGAGATACACCTCTGTAAATCGCCCACCTGTTCCTCGAAGCTTACATGGCCAGAGCGACCAAGAAGAAGACACAAGTAATAGCAGTAGACCCAGCAGTCTGAGCAGTGAGAGCAGCGAGAGCAACGACAACAGCCCAACAAAAAATGTATCGAATCCTACTATAAAGATCACTTCTCAAGACGCCGATGAGCTGAATGAAAAGATGAAGCGTCTAGTAACCAATGACCTCGAGCTCCTACTCTCAATGGAGACACAAGCACGCATTGATGCCCAAGAAGAAAGGGAGCGAAACGCGGCAGCTGAGGCGGCCCGTGAAGCGGCGGTGGCAACTACACCCCGCCCCAGTCGTCTTAAATTTGAACTCCCAGTCACTCCTCCTCGATCACGCTCGCCAGCTGCTGCCAATGCATATCCGCGTGCACGTCCCATTCGCTCATTACCCGAAGATAATCTTATCAATCGAGAACGTCTAGAAGACAAGCGAAAAAAGCGCAAGTCTAGGTGGACTCGCATTATGGGCAGTGATCAAGACTCTTCTTCTTCAGAGTCGGACGAAGAAGATGAGCCGATTCGATTAGGTACAAAGGTGCGCCTAATCCGCCGTCCTCTCCCTACTATTGGCCATGTTCGTTACATTGGACCCCTTGAGTCAAATGAGGAATATATTGGCGTCGAACTTGAAAGTAGAGGTAAGATATATAAATATATTTACATGACCTTGATGTCTTGATTTCTAACTCTCTTAATAGTTGGTAATGGTGATGGTTCTGTCAATGGAAAGTACTATTTTCACACGGATCCCCATCGTGGTATCTTTGTAAAGAGAAATGAACTCAAGGTTGTCTAAATACAATCTGATACCCCCCTCATTGACCTCCTCATCCCACTCTACTCCACTCCACCTTCACCTCCACCTCCACCCCACTCTTGTATTTATTTCCTTCATTTCATTCTATCTTTACACCTTATTTATGCACCCTATCTAATTTTCACTCTAAACATCATCATTCTTTGTTTTTACTTTAATAAACATCAAATCGAAAAAGAATAAATAATATATATATATATATGTGTGTGTGTTTGTATATTAAGAATATATATATTTAACAATTTGTCATGAAAAGCAAGGAGTTGATTCTGATACATCTGGAACATCTGATTCATTTGATGATTCACCAGAGCCGGAACCAGAAGGGATCTCTGCCCTTGATGATGATGACCTTGCCGGAAGGACAATATTCGGAAGTCCAAGTTGGGTCCTCAGGCCATTATTTTCCATTTGAAGTGATTTGATGTAATCGATCGCCTGTCGAAGTGTCTTTGCACGATGCCATTTTTCTGATACAGCTTCTGAAGGAGGTATGACTTGTGTTAATTCGTTCACTAGAGTATTCTATCAAAGTGAATAAGACCTCAGTATTTAGTATCATTGGTATTACTGGGATTGTCCTTGTGCCGTAAGTATTCAACTTACCAGCTTGTCTCTTCGCCGGCGTTCAACAAGGTTGTGAGTTTCTCTTCGGTGTTGTATTCTGTCCATTGCAATGTCACTGTCAAGACTGATCTTGTTGAGAATATTAACCCCATGAACAATTAATTTGCTTTGGTGTTTTTGTTTATTCAGCTGTCGCGCCATTGTGGCTGGACTGTAGATCCTTATGCGGTCTTGGATAGGGTAACTGGCCCGTCTTGGTAAGTTGGAAGGTTCTTTTGGGAGAATTGTGTGTGGAGGTGCCATTTTGCCAGAAAAGATACCGAAAGAAAGGAGAGCTGTGTAGGTATATAAATATTTTAAACGATCTTCTCTATAAAATACCTGTGTTTATATATAGAATCACAGGCAAAGACAACTCTAGGGGTTAGGATATCCAATAGGTGGAGTAAATCCCCGCATGGCTTTTCGGCAAAATCACCTCAAAATTCACTCATTTTTGTTAACCAACGTTACCCTATCGCAGGGTTCCATTACCCCCATGAAAATGGGCCTCACCTTTTATGACCTTATTCCCTCCAAGTATTTTGCTCTCTTTGGTACACAGATGATCAGCACAGAATATGTGATCTCTATATACAAGAATCAAATCGCTCATAAGATGACCCACACCACGGTATAAAGGAAATAGATTCTCATTATAGTCGGATCCCATGCCACACAAGAATACTTAATCCAGATAGAATTGTGTGAGGGTTACATTTAGACCTTATGCTTTATATATATTCTTCATTGTTAAAGACATAAAACCCACAAAACTCTGTTTGAAATTCTGCCTTTAATAATAATAATGTTCTCAATTATACTTGGATTTAACTCTTCTACTAAAAACCAAATACCAAAAAAAAGCCCCCATTAGTTTATAATTTTATTTATTTTGGGTATTGTTTTGTACCCAACTGAGGCATTTTATATCTTTTTACAATTTATTTATTATTTTTGATCCAAGGGTGAGAAAATCCATAGCAAAGTAAATCTTGGGCATTAATATACATACCGAGCATTGTACAATCTAGTTCAAAGGCATACATAAGTTGAATCATTGGTGCAATTAGACCCATAGTATACATATTTAACTTCTTGTGTTTGAATCAAGCGTTTAATTACATTCTAGGTACACAAATGCTTACTTCAATATGATTTTTCACCAATAGTGACAGTCTCGACCGACGTAGAAATGCGGAGTGAAGTCCAAGATACAGTAATGCAACTTTCATGTAATTTAGCAAACTGTGATGGTGTGCGGGTCGGGCAAACATTCGGTTCAATCTGGGCCTAAGGGCCGGGCTCAGGAAGCTCATACGAACACATAGCAAAACATAGTCAGACCTCACCACCCACTCGTCGGATCAAAAGTTCATACCACACAATCAACTCTTCCTTGTCTCAATTTTATTTTCTCTTTGTCTAAAAAAGGTAAACAAAATGTCTAAAAACTAATTTTCATTCGTCCAGAAAAAAGGCTAATTTTGATTTGTCCAGAAAAAGACTAACATCGTCTGAATTTAAAGTAGAAACACTGTATTAATATCAAAAAAGGGCAAAACTAATGTTTCGCTATAGAGCGCAGAGCAAACAACCGATGGACGCGACGCAGGATATTCTATTTGACTTTGAGTAAGCCAAGCAGAGCAGTTACAATTATACTACTAACAGAGCCATAACAACAAGGTCATTTGGGTCACCAGAATCACCACTCGATGAATCTACGAATTACAAGAAAGAGTAAGCCAGAAATATGCATGATCAGGTGCACGCCTTTTATCTGTCTCTGTCTCTCTTTATTTTGATTTTCACTTTTTGACAAAATCGATCTGTTCATTCACACCTTATAGCGGATTCTGTACACCTGCCAATCTAGCTTCTTCGGCAAATCATGTCAATATTCAACTAACTGCTCAAGGATATCCAGTCCCGCTTGTTTTTAAATCAAATCAACCCGAAGATGCATGCAAGATCATCAATTGTTTACACGATCTACTTCAGGACAAAAAGGTTCTTGATCCCGACTACTAGCAATCGTATTAAAGCATTTACTTATTTCATAAACGATTGTAGAATGACGAGGAACAGTGCAATGAACTAAGTAACACCATTTCTCAACTTAAACGAGATCGGGAAGTTCTTCAGCAAAAGTTTGCAAGTATTTTTTTATTTTTTTATTACTGTCTTAAGATAATGCTTGTTCCATTTAACTAAACATATATATATATATATAATAGGATCTGCAAAGCCAAGAGTTAACAAAGATAAAACGAGAAAAGGAATTACTAGGATCAAAAGTCGAGTAGGTGGTAAAGTAAAACTATGTAATTCTTAGTAAGTTTTTTTTTCTGGTATCTAGCTCTATCCAGAAAAACCTAAAGACTGAAAAAGAGCAGACAAAAAGTATGAAAGATGAGTTAAATAAAGCAAAGAACAATATGCAGTATATAAAGGCACAGTATGCAGTAGGTTATCCACTATAGAAATATAACAAAGTAAAGATACTCATCAAAGGTAAACAAACAAACAAACAAAAAATAAAGCACGAGACAAGGCGTCATGAATTAGAACATGCCAAGACTCGCGATCGACTGTCAAAATTGATGAGAGAAAAGATCAAGCCAGTATTACCGTCTATAATTGTGAATGATCCACCCCCAGGGTTGGCCGGACACCCGAAAGAGAATGCAGCGGAGGAAGTAGGTTGATAATACATCAAGGAAGTAAATCTTGGACCTGATAAATGTGGATAGGAGCGTGCTATGTTTGAGGATTTGATCATTAAGACGAGTGCGCGTGAAATGGACGCAAGAAAGGAAAGCGAAGCGTTTAGAAAGGCATTTGTGGCAGTATATTCGGCAGTACGCAACTTGCTTGATCGTCAAATTTTGGAAGATGAATCACATACTGGAAAAGAGGTAAGCAGTCTAGTTCGAGTACTGGCCTCTTAATTTTTTTTTTTGCTCATCCGTGTTGTAGTCAAAACTTTCGCGTAAAGATATGTCTGCCTTTAGACTGCCGTTTGATTTTGGCGGATCCGAAGCCGTTCAACACATTCATGATCTGCTGGTCAGACTGGAGGAAGAATGGGGCAATCAGACAAGAAATCAGACTGTATATACTGCAGAAGATGTGCTCAAAAGGGATCGCATGATCCGCCAGTTAGAACACGACATAGAGATACTAATTAAAACATTTGGTAAGTGGCAAACATCTTTCTTAAATAAAAGAATGGATTGTTAACTGACTATTTAACATAGATGAAGCAACGGTAGAATATGAAGAAAAAACCAGAATGTATAAGCGATTTGAAGAAGGAGGATTTTTTGACGTGATCCTGCCAGCAATCCCAAACGAACAATCAGATTCAGAGGATTTTGCTTTAGAAATACAACTTGATAGCCAAAACCGATTAGAAAGGTTACGAAAGACAGCTTTAAAAGATCAAAGGAGAGTAACAGACGCTGCAATCCGGCTAGGAAATGAACGCAAGATGTTAAAGGTAAATTACAAGCGTTTGTATCACTCGAATATTGAGTATGCTTTAATTTATACATTATTTTAGGCTGAGCGGTGGGCGTTTGAAGAGATGAAACGAGAACTGAAGATGAAAGATATTCTATCGGAAAGGTAACCGATAACCAAACAAAATAACTTGCTCATCATGTTTATAGGGAATCTAGCCCGGAAGACACTGTTCGCCCACAACATCCACTACCCTCTCCATCACGACCAAGAAAAAGACACAGACCTGGGCTAGGAAAAGCACCTACCACCTAGTTAACTCAATCTCATATATTTTGCATACATAAATCGGCACAAATTTGCATACACTCATATATAAAAGCTATGTCTACAAACGTAAATACAAAAAAAAAAATCACACAATCACACACAAGTGTCCACATGTAGTTTAAAGAGAAAGAAAGCTGCATCATTATTGGAGGCTCGCCTTTTATTTCGTTTTTAAAATGTATTTTGGGTTTAACAAAAGAGAAAGTCCGGAGTATTGAACTGTTCACTAATGTAAAAGGTCTTAACGGAGACGACGGGCTTCGCGCTCGGATTCCAAGAGGCACAAGATGTCGTTCTCACGGACGGGACCCTTGACGTTACGGATGATGCTACGGTTGGTGTCATCCATGAACTCGACACGGACCTGGGTGACGCCACCACGGGAGCCAGTGCGGCCGAGAACCTTGGTAACTTTAGCGAGCTTAACGGGGGTCTTGGAAGTGTCCTAATGAATAGAAGACAATGTGTTCTCGATCAGTTACTGTGCTTAGCATTTAATGTGTTTTCTTATGGCTTTTATTTATTTATTTTTCATGGTGGTTGAAATCGTATCGTCGTTGAAGTCAATATATCTGATCCATCCATCCATCCATCCAGTATCGTTTCCCTTTCATCCAGTGGTACTGTTGCTGCATCCAATCATCGTTTTCTCAGTCTATACTACATCATTGTGTCTACTCACCATATCTTCCGCTAGAGGATGTTTAAAAGAGGGAAAGATGGCTGGTGCAAAGGGCTCTTGCGTCTTTAGGTTCCAGTAGCGGAGTTCCTACAAGTCACGAGACCTAGGAATCTGGTGAGCGCACTCACGGAGATAGAAACTCGACTTTTCGACAAACTGTCAAAAGTCCACAAGGAATCAAACTATGATTTTGATAGTAATTATTGTTAGCTATAGCGAGAAGAAGAAAATGAAGGTATAAAAGCTGTAGGAGCTAATACTAGATAAAGTGTTAATTTAACGGAGCACGTATGCCAATCTACAGTAAAACTTCTATTGTAGCATAATTTTTTCGTAATTTATCAGCATATTTGTTTCTTTAATAAATTGGATGCAAGTTATACAAGAAACTAAAAATGTGATGTTAAAAATCAATTCAATTCGATTCACTGTGGTAAAGTAGTAATGTATCTCAACCATTTTCAAGTGATAACATTACTCAAAGTTTACGCTATACTTTACCTTTTTATATAAAAACCTATTTAAACACCACAAAAGCTTTGGTTACTAGGCTAGTCTATCAAAAGAAAAACGACACATATCATCTACTGTAGTATTAGTGCAAAAAAATGACAACTTCATCTAGACCAAAAGTGTCAAATCAGGATCAATAATCAAATTTTGATTGGTTGTTTTGGATATGAAATGAAAAATCCACCCTACACACAGCTCATCTTTAATTCGAACGTCACTAAGAATGAGTCACACCGCTTGTATGAAGTTAAGTTACGAAGAATATATTCTTTCCCTTGACATTCTTATCCCTACTCTACAAATGACTGAAGCACGCACAGCCACTGTAAACAGAAAGACAAATGAAACTGACATTAAATTGTCCATCAACCTCGACTCAAAGTTCGATCAACGCATTGAAATCAACACCGGGATTGGATTCCTCGACCATGTATGTTGGGTCGCAATTTCATTTTTCTTTATTTTTAATGCAATGCTCAATTCAACCATCTTACTTTACTTTACTTTACTTTGCTTTAGATGTACCATGCTCTCGCAAAGCATGGAGGATGGTCTCTTAACTTGACCTGCAATGGTGATCTGCACATTGATGATCACCACACTGCTGAAGATACTGCCATTGCTCTTGGAATGGCATTTAAGCAGGCATTGGGTACTCCCAGAGGTATCAAACGCTTTGGATCAGCCTATTGTCCCTTGGATGAGGTAAGACATGATTATATAAATTGTATTTTTAAATGACATCATATGTTAAATATTCTGCACCTGTCACTTTTAGGCTCTTGCCCGCTCCGTCGTTGACATCTCTGGTCGACCGTTCGCTGATATCAACCTTGGTTTGAAGCGTGAGATGATAGGTACCATGTCTACTGAAATGCTCCCTCATGTTTTGGTGTCTTTTGCTTTTGGTGCTGGTATCACCCTTCATGTTGATGTTCTCAAGGGAACCAACGACCATCACAGGTAAAATTATTATTATTTGAAAAAAAAACAACTGTTTTAGTGGTGTACTGACAGAATTAAATAGAGCTGAGTCTGCTTTCAAGTCTTTGGCTGTTGCTATCCGTACTGCTGTGGAAAGAACTGGTACAGATGATGTCCCCAGTACTAAGGGCGTTCTGTAAATATAGAAGCCAAGAGAGAGAGATAGAAAAAAAAAGCATGCTTCTTAATTTATATATATTCCTTGCAATAATTCCCCTTGACACACTAGTGAACAATTAAATAAAACTTCATAGAATATTATGCGCACACAGACACATATATATTATTTAATATTATCTTGATCGTGTAGTATATTTTATCTTGATTATAATTCATCTCGGATTTGATCATTTTTATCCTCAAGCTCAGCATTGATCTCCTCGTCAAGATCAATATCATCCAAACCAATTCCTTCAGAAACTTCAACATCGGCCTGATTCTTCTTAGACTGATTTTCTTCATATACTTTCAGAGCCTCCTTTTCTTCTTCGAGAGCTGCTGTTGCCAATCTAATCTTTTCAGCTTCTTCGATATCGTCCGTCACCAGAAGATTGTCAAAGATTGTGCCGGACTTGACTTGCCAAATATCAATACCCAAGTACCCAAAGTCATAGGCATGCAAGTCTGTTTCTAGTTTATAAAGAGGATTTGGAATCTCCGGATGTACCCAGGGTCCTTTGTAATCTGGGTTGGGAATCTTCTTTGGTGACCATTCCCCTTTGAATTCTGGGTTTGGAATCCTATTAGCACAAGATAAAAAAGTCAATACTTTTTTCTTGTTTGCTGTCCAATCACTCACGAGGGTGCCTCCCATTCACCATCCATTTCATCGTCCCAGTCATCAGGTCGTTCAGCACTTGGGTCGCTCACAAATTCTGGAATATTATCTTGCTCAGTTGGCTTATCTTCTGGATCATTAATCTTGGGACTATTAACCCAATCTACAGGTTTTTTGGCGTGTGGGTCTGGGATTGTCTTGGAAGGTACCATATCCCAGTCTTCCAGAAGGGATCCTGATAGTTGTTCGATTCCGTCTACAATTACCCGGTAACTTTGGTCGGGTTTCACATGAAGTGTGTAGGTGTGGGTAAACGTATCCTTTGGAGCAATCACGGTTTTTTTTAAGCTATGATTTGACCCATTCTTGCTGAAAATGACATGAACAATTGCTTTCGTTCCACAAATATCAGGACCAAACATTATATTGTATTCACTGTCACCATTGAAAGTTTTTGGATCAAATTTAGGAGAAAATAACTAAAAAAAAATTGGGACATGTAGTCAATAAACACGTCTTTGTCATACAAACGAAACAAGAAAAACAGGACATGATCTGATTTGATCTGATTTGATCTGATTTGATGGCTTACCTTTATATAGCTTCCACCACAATCAATGTTCTGTTCATTCTTTACATCAAATTGAACCACCAGGTCCTTTTCTAGGTTGTTGAAAGGTTTCATAGGAGTTGACACGGCATAAAAGCGGTAGTCTTCTGTTGTCTGAAGACCAGCCTTTTCATCCTTATCTGTGAACCATTGACCAGGAGAAACCTTGAATATGCCAAGGTCCTCACGATATGTAGAAGGTGCCCAACGCTTCTGCCAGCCCTCTTTATCTGAAAATGTTTCGTACAAGAACACCTCTGCAGATACAGTAGTAGCCAAGACCAAGGCAGACGCGAAAACAATAATAGATTTCATGAAATGTTCAAATGAATACACGAAAAAAGAAAAGAACAAATCAGGGGGAGATGGCAAAAAATGTTGATCTTTATGCAAGTGCATATCCTCATCTATGACGTCTTGTGACAAATAGTTTATCAAAGAAAAATATATATATATATATCATATATTCAGCTACTTTAGACCGATATTTATATGCTCTTGACTTGGCTTTATAATATGTTTACATACACCTCTTTAACCTTTTTTTTAAAAAAAGAAAAATCCTTTTTTCTTCTTCTTAATCTTAACTATCACGTGGATGGACAAGACTTTTGATAATTTCCATTTTAAGCTGCAACAAATATATAAATTTACTTAAAAGTGACCCGCCAATGACTTGACAGCGGCAAGTCGCTTGTACTTTTATCCTACACTTTTTTTTTCTATTTTAAAGAGACAAGCAAACGAACCATTTCTTTCTGTCTCTTTTCGCCATGACCGTTTCAGTGGCTGAGAACACAAAAAGTCCATTTTATCCCAAAAACTCAACCTATATTCAAAATCAAAGCAAATCGTTTATAAGGAGGGTGGGTCAATATGAACTAGGTACCCAAAGAAAAAGAAAAAGAGAAAAGGCTATATGAGAAACACCTCAAACAAACTAATCAAGGGGTGAATCCAATATATGCTACTTGATGCACAACAGAAATATCTGGAGCATTGACATGGATTATTATTGCGGGATATCTGCAAGGATTTGAATTTGCAAGATCGTGTCTGCTGGTGTCATACGAACAAGCACCAGGTTCCTATGGAAAGGGCATCAAAGATATTTACTTTGTGTGCTTTTGGGTGATCGTGATTACCTTTGCACGTAATACACTAATGAACCATGTCTGTCATCCATTGGCTCAACGAGGAGGGATGCATTCGTTTGCTAAGCGACAGAAGCTTGCTGAACAAACATCAATGTGTGTCTATTATTCTATCTTTTGGGTAGTAGGCATGGTATGTTCTTTGATTGAACCTAGTTTCTCAAACCAAAATCACCGTACCCCTAACACTCACTCTCTGTGGTGTAGTATCTTATGTATCATAGCCCTCATTGGATGAACACGTCCCAATACTGGATAGACTATCCACACACACTTATCTCAAGGGGAATGAAGACATATTATTTGATACAAGTCTCGTTCTATATCCAGCAAACATATGCTATAAATGTTGAGAGCCGACGCAAGGATCATTATGCTATGATTATCCACCATCTTATCACTGGAACCTTGCTTGTAGCCAGTTACTACAGTAACTTTACACGTATTGGTAACGCCGTCTTGTGTTGCATGGATTTAGCAGATGTTCTTTTGCCGGTAACCGTTTTATATTTATATTTATATTTTTATTTATCGTTTTGTGGCGCCGATCGCGGCTAATTTAGAAATACTAGCTATTAATTTTTCCGCATACTCACTATTAAACTAGCTTGCCAAGATCCTAAAGTATACCCATCGAAACATCTTATGTGATATCACCTTTGGTCTGTTCGCAATCGTGTGGCCGGTGACCAGACATGGCTTCTTTACCATTATAGTATGGGCAACAGCAGGTAAAGCAAAGCGATACTGGGATTTTTGAGGCTGTTTAAGCTTATTCTTCAATCTTTTAATTTGTTTTGGGTTCTTGAACATCAATGCTTAACAATATTTTTTTATAGTGGAACCTCCGCAATATATCGATATGAAATGGGAACCAGAAAAGGAGAAATACTTTACCCCTTTGACACAAAAGATATATCTCTCTCTATTCATGTCCCTGAATATCATTATGCTATACTGGTTTGCCATGATACTCAAGGTAATATTTGGAGTATTGTCGGGTAAAAATGCAGAAGACGTACGCAGCGACGATGAAGATAATGGGTAAGTGTTTATCGGATCTTAGAAGGGTTTATGTTGAGTCTCGAAATGAAACAGTGAAACCGACCATCAGCGTCAGACGAAGAAAAAGAAGAATTAAAAGAAAAAGAAAAAGAAACCAAGGACGAAATTTACCACCGGCCCAATAACCGAAACCGTTCATTACACTTCTTTTGATCATTTTCGATTCTACATCTCTGGTCCAAGTTTGTAGTGTATATCAACCACACAAAAAAAAACAAAAAATAAAATAAAAGAAGCCTTAAAGAATATCACCAAGTCATATCATATCATTTTATACAATACTTTATTACAATTAAATAACTAATTCAATTCAATTAATGTACTAATAAGATCTAGTTTTATATACATCAATAATGGTGTTATATTTACACTTTTCTTCTTTACATCAATAAACTAGATAATTACAAAAAAAAGAGATAGTGAGAGTGAGAGAGAAAAGAAAGGGCTTTAAAGCTTAGAGCTGCGGGCTTCCTCTACAACTTCTTCGGCTGGCTTATAATGTTCTTTCTGTAGAGCATCAGCACTACGTTCCGATGACATAGTGGACTTACGGGTTGGGCGTAGATTGTCTGCTTCTTCTTCAGCCCATCCTTCGCCTCGGCGTACATGCTCGCTCAGAGTGGACTTGGCATCATCGGCAAAGTTTTCAACCTTTCTCTTGGTCTTTGAGATCGCACCATCAACCGTATTTTCTGCCCCATCGACACTACCTGAAACCCACTCTCCTACTTTATCTTTGACTCCTGTAAGACCATTCTGGACCTTGGATTCGCCTCTGTTGACAGCTTCTCTGGCACGGAGCTCACCATTTTCTGTGTAGCGCTCGGCATCCTCTTTAGCGCTGTGGGTAGCATGTTTAAGATGATCAACTTCAGACTTCACTGTTTCTTTCACGTGCTGCCAAGTAGATCCTAGTACACCAGCTTCTTCCTTTGCACGGGTAGATGCTCTTTCAGCAGTGTTCTCAATATCCGACTTTAATCTTCCAGATTCAGACGAGGCTCGTCTCTTCATGTAATTGTCATCATATGAAACTTCCTCTGCAGCACGGTTTGCTTTGACCTTGGCATCATATTTCAATCTTTCAGCCTCGTCAGCAGCCTTGTTTTTGGTTTCCTGTAGATAGGAAGAAACACGTCCAGAGTCATACTTTGCTCGCTCGGCCGCGGTATCAGCTTTCTTTTCTGCCTCTTGCTTTAAGCGCTCAGCTTCCGATAAAGCCTTGTCCTTGGTCTCCTGTAGATACGAGGCGGCACGTCCGGCCTCTTGCTTTGCCAAGTCGGCAACATTGCCAACCTTTTCCTTGGCTTCATGCACAAGATATCCGGCTTCTGCGGTTGCTTTTTCAGCTGTCTCCTTGGCGGCGTCCTTCAATTTCTGGGCTTCGGACACTGTCTGCTGCTTTACATTCTCATACTTCTTTGTGACATTTGCAGTCTTTTCCTTGGTCCACTCATTTACGTCACGGCCCAAGACAGTAGTGTCGGCATTAGGATCATGAACAGAGGAAACAACATCTTCAGGGCGTCTTGTACCACTCTTCAGATGGTGTTCGGCCGCAAACTTGTCGGCGGCATCACGGGCATCTTTTACTTCGTGGGAGACGGTGTCAGTTAAGCTGGATACGCTCTTACGTGCTGTACCAGCAAGATCCTTAGCAGTATCTTTGGTGCGGTCGGCATAGGTTTCGCCTTCGCGCTTCAGATTATTATAGGTACTCTTGGCAGCATCTTTGGTGTGGTCAACATAGGTTTCGCCTTCATGCTTCAGATTGTCATAAGCACCTCTGGCAGTATCTTTGGTGCGATCGGCATAGGCCTCACTCTTGTATCTCAATCCGTTATAAGCATCTTTGGCAGCCTCTTCGGCGTGGGCAGCAGAGAGCTTGGCGTGTTGGCTGGCAGCACGAGCATTGTCAATAGCATAAACATCGGCATTCTTGGCATCAACCAAGGTTACATCCCTAGGATAATGAGCGACATCGTCCTTGAGAATTACTAGACATTATGTTAGTCACAGAAATTCGATTATATATATAAATATAAATCGTTAAACATACCCTTGTCTTCTTTTGCATAGCTATAATAAGCAGCACCTGCACCGACCAAGAACAAAGCAGCACCAGCAACAAAGCCCTTCTTAGGGACTGGATTGGGGTTAGTGTTATAGCCTCCGGGAGTCTCGCTCAATGCTCGACGCTGGATGCGTGAAGTGGGAGTAGGTAGACGAGTGGTTCTTCCCAAGGTGGGGGTGAGACGGACAAATGGAATTCTGTTGGGCATAGTATATATGAGAAGATAGAGAGGTAAAGAAAATGATTGAAGATTATTTGATTTTATTCTGTCAAAGAGGTGTCTTATATATGCTCATGACATCATCTTGACGTGTAAACCAGCGGCTGCATCATTGATATGCCCGCAATTTTACAACAATGAAATCTATATATATATATTTCTTTATGAGCAAGAGAAGAAGAAGAAGATTAGATATAAAAATTGAAGTATCTGTGCACTCTCCTGCTTTTTTTTTTGATAATTTATTATTCTGCTACTATTTACATAAACATGATAATGATAATATATGTCTGTTTTTATGGTTCTAATGCAAGGGATGTCATTTTTGTATAAATTTCTTCATTTGGGCTGCCATGCAATCAGACGAGTCAGTGGAGTTTCTGGCATTTCAAAGAAGGAATAACCTAAGAGGATATGAGCCAATAGCAAGATGGTAATATTAGTTTACCTTTAGAAGCCACAAGAATATCCAAGATCGGCTCAAACATTGTAGCATAATCAACAGTGTCTTTTAGCTCTGGGTGGAGTCGTGTCCATGACATATCTGTGATTCGCCATTGATTAATCTCGTAGAGCGAAAATGTACACGGAAAGAGTTCAAAAAGGGGACGAAATAGACCAATGTGTGCTTCAGGATCTCCTACATCATTGACTAAATAATGGATCGGATAATGGGGATCAACAGATTGCCTGTATTCAAGACATGCATCAAGCATTGGTCTTCTGTTCATTACAGTCATATTCTGGGTATTAAAAATTTCCTTTAACCAGGATGGTCGAATCGGCATAGCAGCAGATACTGCTTGGTCGATTGGAATATCCCCAACAAGCTCTAGCATAACTGAATTCATCAATTCCTTGCGCTCCCAAGCATCTAGATCGGCCACTGACACTTCTAATGATCTCGAAGTAAATCTACTATCCATCGCCACTAACTTGTTGAGACTCAAATGAAGTGAGTTGAATCCTTCTGGCCCACCCAAAGTAGCTATCACTTTATCAGCCTCAACCTTTAGTCCTTTGAGCTGATCGGGTGCCAAGAATAAATGCTTCATCATTGCACGGTTTAGAGTTGTCTGACCAGGCGAACTACGTGTTTGGAATCTCCCAGATGAAGATATGTCACCAAACTGTATAAATCGATGCTTAATAGCGTCAATCTGATATGGCTTCATTACTCGTTTCAACTGCCGCCTTCCCTGGGGTACTGGTTTTGCAAACATACGTTGATACCAAGTTTTCTTAACTGGTGGTTTTTTAGTTGTCGTGTCCCATTCGGTCCCATTGGTTTCAAAACTCAGTGGATCAACCACCACAACGTCCTCCGATGGTATTCTACCGAGAACCGATTCATGCGTTCCCCAGCCGTGACCATCCACTCTCTCTAGGATCGTAATATTGAATTCTGTCTTGAATGGTGCGAGATCAAATATGCTTGACCAAGGGACTTCAGTCCACTCATGCATTGTTTCACAAGGTTCAAGCTTTGTTCGCCAGCTCTCATTTGTCTGTTCTTCAGTAGCACATATTCTCCGCAATAAGTTCTTGTCTTGGGCTTCGTATAGTCTGGCTGCTTCTTCAAAAGGAGTCCAGTTGTGGTGTTTTCCAAGTCGAAGCATAGGTGCTATTACCGTTCGTTTTGTAGCATACCCTATTCGCATCGCATTCCGAAATGCTCTGTGCTGTCTTGCAAAATCACTGGCGTCTGATGAGAAAATAGCAGGAAAAGATAAATTGCTTACCCTTGAGGAAACCAAGAAAGGTATCTCTCTCCTGTGTCTGGTTTATGTACCACTTTTTGAGGCGGATGAACTGGCGGCTCATGAAGATCTAGAAACGGGACAGTGGTAACATAAATAAAAGATATAAAGAAGAGGACCAAGAAATAATGCAACAAACGGTGCAAACGTATCATGAGAAATATAAAGTGTGAAGAGCAAGAGAAAAGGTAATAGGTAATAGGAAAAAGGGAGAGAGAGAGGGGGATCTCTTGGATGATCAACTACAGACCTTTGGATATACCCTCCTGCTTGTCTTCTTGATGATTTCTATTCGTCAGAGTGTCAATGTATGAATATTATAATCCACCCCCTCTCTTATTCTCTCTCTCTATACCTTTCTTTCTTCACGCTTTATTTTTCCCTGGATTTACCTGCAGAACTACTTCTTTTTTAGGGGGGAAGGGGACAAAGTCTTAATGAAAAAGGGCGTTAGGGGTGTATATAAATATCTAGTCAACTAGAGACAATTGACGGCCAATACCACACACGCACACACGCACAATTCTGATTTCAATCTTACTAAGTGAATAATGATCTTGAGTTCATTGATCATTGCAATGAGCCATCAATCAACATTGTCTTGATTGCAAACATTCTTCATTTCCTACAAGAAATTTATATACTGATAAGGTTAATGATACGATATGTTATATACAATTACTGTGTGCTGTAAAAACAATCCATTATAAACCTTGTACCGTCAAAGAAAGGAGAAAGTATTATAGAAAGCTTATAATGAATATGTCTTCAAATAAGTACTATGATTAATCTAATGTGGGGGTGTTATCTCTCTATATATTTTATCCAATAAAACGTCTTTATGGAAGCTTGTATTTTGCGTGTAAAGATACATGAAAAAAAAATAACAGACGAGAGGCAATCCTTCCCAGAAGTATTTATACCACAACTTGACAAAAGCTTAGCGAGTAAATAAAACTTTGGTGCTAATCCGACCCCGATTTGCTCCTTGCCTCAAATTAATGAGTAAGGATAATATAGGCACTTGGGTAAAACCTTGTGCAGTCATTATTACCCAATTTTTTGAAAAATAGGCATGGCCTTTGTTGAAGGACCTTGGCCGGGATTTGTCGGTGATGGAATTGGAACAACTTGTTGATAACTTTGCCTTCTTTGCGGTTATTGATGGGGAGAACTAATTCTGTCATTAAGCTGCTAATTCTGGCTGGACTGGATACATTGATTGCTAGCCTTTTTTCTTATTCTGTCAAAAATAACAAAAGTAAACGAAAATAAGTAAAGATCTCAGCAAAAATAACTGTCCAATTTATTATTGGCAGTAAAAGGATGCTTAAGATGTTTTTAGGCTATTAGAATTTATTAGTCTACATCTTTCAAGCTATCGACTTCTTTTAGTTTAAAGAATTCAGAGTTCTAGTAAATGTTGTACTACTTGAGAAGAAACATCAAGAGATATATATTATTATTGAATTCTTATTATAAATCATTTATTCATAAAGTCTTACTGCACATAATCCCTAACATGTTTCATTTATCTTTTATGGGCTAGGAATAATTAAGTCAGAAACATTGTACTATGAAACCTGTTTATGATCCACCATTCCACTTATTCCTAGGTTTGAATAACATCATATTTTGTCTACCAACCACTAGAATTATATATATATAGAGCCAATTTAGCATAGAATACAATAGATACTGCTTAAAGATCCCAAGATCTGTTGTATTTATATCATTATTAAATAACGATATTTAACGAGAACATCTTTATGAGCATAGATTGGATAGAATTGGGCAGACTAAATATGACATGGCTATATCTAGTGATACAAGCACAATAAATCCTATAAAGTGAGATTTGCTTGTGTGAGAAGGAGCTCCTAAATACACTCTTTAATCTAAGCAGATCCTGACATTGCTGAATTTGTATCATAATATGCACTGACAGCAACAACAAAGGGTAAATAGACACATATGTACATAGATAGGTACATAAAGTTTTCTTTATATATATAAAGCATGACTTTTGTAAAAACCAAAAAAAAAGAATCCTTACCAAATATTAATATGAAAACATACATTTTCTTATTGCTAAATACAATACAGCCATTAATCGGTTACATTCTTCCTGGACTTTTTGATAACACACCAGAGAATACTCAAAGTGACACTGACTAAGTGGTTATGTACAACCCGGAATCTGGCACTTTGTGGAACGGATCCCCTCACCGGAGTTTGGTTAACAAACAAAGCACGATTTTCATGAAAAATAAAGCAAAAGAAAAATAAAATAAAAGTGTTAAAATCTCAAAAAAAAGGGGGGTGTGGCTCCAGTAAATTAAAGAAGTGTATGAAATATTGTTTGCTTAAGACCACATAACCAGAAGTAGGATTAATATAATACAATAGTTTAAAGTGACGTCATTAATGGAAGATGAGATTGTACGAATGGTTATAGATGGTGTAATTGTTTTGACAGAAAGGGTGAAGTAGTCGTGTGTATGTGTATGGAAAATAAGAGGTACAGGTAGATACAAACCACTACTTAGGAGTATTTCACATTTTAATAATAGGAATTGAGATAGTTTTGGTAACTTTACTCATTTTAACCCATGTGTTGCCTTTAAGCTGACAATAAAGCATGTCATCGTTACAACCATGGATCCCCAATAGCTATAGTGCTCGAGGCGTAGCACACACAGTTTATCTGTATTAAAACTATTAACTGAGCTCTTCAAGCATCTCTTGAACTATTCGGAAGCGGGATTCTAAGATCTACTCAATACAAGTTGTTCAAAGTCACCCCCTTATTTTCGACCATTTGTGGTTCTGCCTTTTTCCATCTTTCTTTTTCCTTCTCTTTCTACATTTCTTTACATATTTTTGTTCAACTTTCTCTCACTCCATGGATTCATCTTCTAATCAGCAATACCACGACCTAGATGCTGATTATGATTATGAGCAAGATAATATACTGAATGATGAGGAGAGCGATCGTCTGAATTCGGAGGACCAAACACGTCAACAACCGAACCGAAACAACGAGTCGAGTGAAGCTCATCAATCAACTGGCACCAATCGACAGAGAAACAGTCTTGACCAGGCTGAATTACGTAAGAAGATCATTCAGATTCAACATGACACTTCAGTCGATCCAAAACAAAAAGCGCGTATGATGCAGGTAATTACCATCTACCAAAAAGTCTAGCCTTATGTATCAAAAAGAACGAAAAACTTACATATCCTTTATTAGCATCTCATGTCGCACGGTGTACTTCCTGCTACACCAACTGCAGATACACACAAAAACAAACAACCACAAGTCCAAACAGAAGACATTTACGCAGTATCCTACCATGTAATTAGTAATTTATTCTAATTTATGGAGTATCTCTTACTTATATATTCAGTAGAAAAAGGAAGATGGTATCCTTGGCTGCCAACATTACCAGCGAAATTGTAAACTACAGGCAGCTTGCTGTGAAAAGATATTCGTTTGCAGATTTTGTCATGACGAGGCGTCTGATCACGCAATTGTTCGGTAAGTCAATAGAAAAGAATAGTATAATCATTGACTCAATTATCATATTAGCGTCGAGACAAAAAATATGTTATGTATGCTGTGCAAAACCATCCAGCCAGCAGGAAAGGATTGCCACAAGTGTGGAGAGCAAATGGCAGCATATTATTGCGACAAGTGTAAACTGTGGGACAACATTCCAAACAAGGAAATCTATCATTGTGATGACTGCGGTATTTGCAGACGAGGAAAAGGACTCGGCGAAGACTTCTTCCATTGTATGAAATGCAATATATGCATGGTAATCTCAATAAAGGATAAACACAGGTGCATAGAAAGAAACTTGGAATCTGATTGTCCAATCTGTGGGGAATACATGTTTACAAGTACAGCCAAAGTTATATTTATGGTAAGTTATAATAGTAAACACTATAGTTTCTTTTTATGACTATTAATCAAATGCTACCATAGCCGTGTGGTCACTGCATTCACAAGCACTGTTACGAAACATATCTTCAGAGGGCCTACCAATGCCCCACATGTCTAAAGTCTCTTTGTAACATGGAAGACTACTTTAATCGATTGGACCAAGAACTGCAGCGCCAACCAATGCCAGCTGAATACGAAAATTATCTTTCATATATATTCTGTAATGATTGTGAAGAAAAGTCGGTTGCTAAGTATCACTTTTTTTACCACAAATGTAAAAACTGTAAAAGTTATAATACAACAGTCCTAAAGACCGAAAACAAAGCGAAGGCTTCATCAGAAAAAAATAGCAACGACATAAACACGACGCTCCATGAACCTGAAGCAGAAACAGCAACAGGAGCAGAACCCGAATCATCCTTGGCACCAACGACTCACCACAATGATATTCAAGACCATAGTCTACTATCACAAGCCGGGGATGCCGCTAATCACATCATAGGTGCTTTATCTTCTCTTTCCTTACTCAATCATTCTAACAGTGGACGTCCAGGTCCTTCTTCTTCAACCCCACGTAACGAGAACAGGGATACTTAGGGTAGATATGATGTTATCAAATATGTTTCTGGTACATTTTTTATTTGTGGCAAGTTAATATGCCTGTTACTAGCATTAGATTGAGGGAAATACAGTATATAAATGACAGAGATCAATCAGCATAAAATACCGAAGTTTAACGCAGGTCAACTAGTGTCGACGGTTCTGTTCGTATGTTTGTGCTAGTGCAATCTGGAGATCCATATCGTCGTCCTCCACTGCATTCAGGATCTGCCCCAGCTCTTCAGTAGTCAATGGAGTGTTTCTATAGTAAATGTTAGATATATATCATTATAAATTATAAATTATTCAAAGCAATATTGTCCAATAACATACCCGAGCTGAGGGGGATGAGAATCATAAACATCATGAATTTCATGGTCTTCATCATCAAATTCGTTATCATTATCAGCGTCATCTTCATCTTCATCCTCATTTGCATACCCAACCCCATGTCCAACTTCACTAGCTTCCTCAAAATCTGCATCATCATCTTCAGGGAAAGTACCCGGAAGTCTGTCCTGAGCAGCATTCATATCTTCCATCAACCTGCGAACCATATCTGCTGTTTCTGGAGTAATTTGGCGCCCTCCTCCTCCTAGTCCTTGTCCACGCAACAAGTCTTGCATTGCAGCAATCCAACCTCCTGGCGCGGAATTATTTTGGGTTCCTCTCCCTCTGGAGGACATTCTTTCATTGATATCATAGGAAGATATGGAATCTGGTGGAGGCAGAGGGTCATACATGTGGTAACTCGCGCTAGTGATGGAGGAGGGTAGATAACGGAGAAGTCTTTGGACATCTGCCATAACAATGTGGCGTGAAATACTCAGCGGAATTCCTTTCTCAACACAAGGTACCCGAGTATAAGCGGATATTCTTGATTTAGCTGGCATCTGAACGACAGCTTTAATATTATACTTGAGCCATTGAATCACCTATATAGACAGTAGTATTAGTAACTTTGACAGATTTTTGAATTCGATTAGACTACCTCTGGCTCTTTCCATAAACTATCGCTTCTTTCTACGAATGTCCAAATCAACAGATCTAAGTAATTATTTGTCAGGCTATTTTTTTTGTAAAAAAGAAAGAAAGAATGAGTACATATGGTTTCATATTAGAGAAAAAAAGCTTACTTTTCTTTAAAGAGATCAGATGAATGCATAGAAGGCTCAGAATCGCCTAACTTTTCCAACAAACGAGATGCTACTAAGGGAAACCTTTGAATAGCCTTTTGAAGCATCTTGGAGCATTCCGATTCTCTTCCTTCTGCTTCTCCTGATAGCTTGAATTTGGAATAAGCTGACGAGAACGCAAAATTGGGCAGGGAAGTAAGCGAAGTGGGATAAATTTTTCCATCCATTTTCCATTCGGATGTCAAACGAAGAACATAATCATAATCTTTTGCATTAAGCGCGTAGTAGTCCATCGATAGGATAGCACCCAGCGCGTCAGCAGTGGGATCAAGACTAGGTGTCACCAATGATTTACGCAGGGTTAGTCAAATATAGAATACCTTATGCGGGCTAATGTTCTAACTTACCTAAACAAAAGTTTATTGAACTCAAATGCAGTTCTCCAGCAACCGCGACGCGTCAAAAATTGAATGTGACGAAATATGGCAAGGAAAAAAGACCTTAAAGAACAGGATGATAGTGAAAATAATTGCTTGATTAGTCGGCTGCTCTCAAACGTATTGCATTTATTGTACCTATTCTCGGATCGGGTATAAGATAGTCTCACATTACCAGATCCATAGGAAAAGTGGGGATGAAAGGCACGCTCACATGCATAAAGTGCCTGTTCTATAGATCAAATATTCTCAATAATTGTTCATTTCACATATACATTCTACTCACCAATACATTCACCAGCCATAGACCAGTCCCCACTCTGTTTTGCTATCTCCGATAGTTGCAACAGTGTATCCACATGGTACGGATGACGGCGGTTGAGAAGTACAAGGCCGTTAGGATCGTGCATAGCAACCGCATTTAAAAAATCCAATTGGATATCTTGATAACGATCATGGTGCTTAAATGCAAAATATGAGATTCCTAAATATATACAAGGTTAGTGCATAGACTACGTATCCAAATAACCTACTTACCATCTTTGGTCTCTATCAATTCCATGGATAGACCATCTTTCGCATAAGGTCTCCAGTCAGCCTTGGGTGTACAGAGTTTTGACTTTTTGAGAATTCTACGTATTATTATAGCATAAATCTCCACACTTGGCTTTGCGATAATAAAAATACCTTCCAGCACCAACACCTCTTCCTTCTGTGTTAACAACACGAGAACCAAACATACGCTTCATTTCTGCTTCAGCATCCAAAAATCGAGTGTTTATAGTGATCAGTTGTCGACACTTCTCTATAGCGGCATAGTCACTACTAATCTTGGAAGAGCTATCATGAGGGCTATAGGGCTAATGAATCAGTTTTCTTTCTTCCAAAAAAATTCAAGTCATTCTTTCTTTATTATTGTACTTGCCTGTTACCCACTTCCTTGAGTGCTGCATCAAGTTCCTGCATACTAATATCTGATATATCCTTTTTGGGCTGCACCTTTTTGTTCTTCTTTTTGCTCTTCTTTTTGTTCTTTTTAGAGGTCGTTGGAGATACATGCTCAGCAGCCTAACAAAGCATATAAGGTTTTATGCTATTAGGCAATATGTTCCAGGCGTGTCAAAAACTCCATAATATACCTCTTCTCGGTTTTCAGCCTTCTTTTTTAGATTTTCTGTTGATACAGCCACGGCTTTTTTATCTTTAATCTCCACCTCCTTCTCTTCCTCTTCTTCCTCTTCTTCTTCCTCTTCTACCTCGTCATCTCCATTAAGCTATGAAAGTGAACATCAGTAAAATGCAGGAAGTTCACAAGTACGTATTTACGGCTTACCAGTGCAAACAAATTCTGTGCTTTTTTGGGTGCTTGAGTTACGACTTCGTCTTCGCTCTCTTCTTCTGAAATCTCAGGTTCTTCAATCTCTAGCTGCTGTTTCTGTAATCGTCGAAGTGCACGGGATGACATTGCGATGATAAATGAAAGAAATTAGCTAACTGCGGAACCGTTTAAGTAGCCAATGATAAGCCACTATATTAAATTAAAGCTAGGATTTTTTTTTACTTTACTTTACTTTACTTCACTAAACTTCATTTCTATTCTATTATATTCTTTTATTTTATTTTATTAAAAAAATACTCCATTCCATCTTTTGCTTTTATTTTAAGGAAGAGCCTCGAAAATAATGAAATGCATCAACCTGATTTGTGGGTTGTTTCTTGTTTTATGTGCAAGAAACACATCTGCCAACACAGAAAAGCTTATATTTCAAGTCAACCAAAACATTCCTGCATGTAGTTTTGAAACACGTTCGATATTTGGGGAAACTATTCAGCCAAACTCAGTTTTGATCCCACCTTTCACTACATTGGTCGATACAATTAAAACTATTCATCCTTCCAACTCTTCGGTTGTATCATCCCATCGACTCTATCAATTGGCGGGCCTGACAAGGGGATCAAACTATGAATTAAGACTTTCATATCCTGCAATTGTAAGAGACCAATTGAACAAACATCTTTATCGTGTATTACAATCATCAACAACTGACAAAGATATGAGGATAGACACCCACTGATTTTATTTTGGAGCTTATGTCTGGATGCGATGAACATTTAGCTGAATCTTTGTCAGATGATTTTACAGTAAACTATTGGGTGGTCGTGACAGGTACACATACAGGTGTGTCTACTATTCAGGATACAACGACTATTGAGCCTGTTGTTTATAATCTCGGTAAGCTTTCCCCTCTATGATTGTTTGTCTGGGTTTTATAATGATGAGATTGTCTAATCTTTGATATCGATAATTAGTTCTAGAGAAACTGTATGGTGGATTTCTGTTTTACAACGTATACAAGATTGTGTTTTTGATTGCAGGACTGTTGGCATTGGGTAGTTGGGTAGTTGTGCCTGCGATTGAGCGAATTGTTAAGCCATGAGTAAAGCATTAGACTTAAAAGCACTAAAATGGAAAGAGAGTCACGATAGTCTCCACCGAACCTTTGTTGGACAATCACTCCGCTAGTCCATAGCTCCCTCCTTTTCATCATCCACTATGGGTATGGCATGACATCCATTATAGAAAATACTATGAAATCCACATCCATCTATCTATATGCTATTTGAGGGGTCGTGGATTCCAATATATACACCATTTTCATTTTTTAATATTAATTTCTTGTCGAAAAGGTATCAGCCGTGACTCCAGGCACAAGCGATCGTAGGTGTCACATTCGACCATTTCAACTTCACACCAAATTCACAATTTTATTATCTCCGTAGTGAGACCGGTGCCAAGCGCGCTCAGTACAGAAAGAAGAGAAAGTTTGAGTTGGGTCGTCCCCCAGCCATGACCAAGCTCGGTGGCAGACGCATTCACGTCGTTCGCGTTCGTGGTGGTAATGTTAAGCACAGAGCTCTCCGTCTTGAGTCTGGCAACTTCTCTTGGGGCTCCGAAGGAATTGCCCGCAAGACCCGTGTCTTGACTGTCGTTTACAATGCCTCCAACAACGAATTGGTTCGCACCAACACTCTTGTTAAGGGTGCTGTTGTCCAGATTGATGCTACCCCCTTCCGTCAGTGGCATGAGGCCCACTACGCTTCCTCTCTTGGCAAGAAGAAGGCCAATGCTGAAGAAGTTGCCGTTGAGAAGAAGTCTAACAGTGTCCAAAAGAAGATCGCTGCCCGCAAGGCCGATGCTGTTGTCGAAACCCTCCTTGATGACCAGTTCACTTCCGGTCGCCTTTATGCTGTTATTGCCTCCCGCCCTGGCCAGTCTGGTCGTTGCGACGGTTACATTCTTGAGGGTAAGGAACTCGAGTTCTACGTCAAGAAAATCAAGGTAAGATTTCTTTTTATTAATTAAATTACGTGAGAAATAATATTTAATCTGGATTTTATCTTTTGATTTATTTAGAGCCGCAAGTAAACGCTACTTCTCAAACTACTATTACTGTTTACGATTCAATAAATTGTAGAAATATTATCAAAATATGCTTTAGTTATGCATCAATTTCTGCACTGCAGAATGAATTCCTTTTTTGGGAGATAGAATATGGGAAAAATGCGATGGAGCCAAGGGGGTTCTTTATTACATGAAGGGAAGAGTTGTTTATGGATGCCAGTATATGTACATTAAAAAAAGGGGGTTAGGTGGGGTGGGGGGAGGAGTGGGGGGTTTTTTTGATGCTTTAGTTTTTTTTTTGCTTTGAAGGGCTGTTTGTAGAGAGGTTTAAGAAAAAGGTCAAAGACCCATTTCGTGCAAATCTTGGATAATTGTCTCCACGCTCCCAATTTTATGATCACTATGCTTTGTCGAGTTTTGTGATTGTCCCCTCGCCCGCTTGAGTTGGTCCATCTTCTCGGCGGCTTCAGTTATACCTTTGAGTTTTTGTTTGATGGCGTCGGCCCTCCATGAGGAAGGCGATGACACACCATGGCACCATTGCAGCTGTTCATCCTCAGGCGTGATCTGAACCATGGAAATTGAATCGGCCAATTCATTCGTAGCATTTTGGATACTAGATCTTTGTTGAATACGAGTTGCTGATAGTGGGATCCTGGATGGTCGAGTGCGTGTACGTCGTCTGCGAATAAATTTTCCATGCTGTGATGCGAATGATTGAGACACTGGTCTTTTTGACTTGATCTTCATAACACCTCTGCTCTGCTGGGTGAAAGTCCGACGGAGAAGCTTATCCAGAGTTAGCGCGTGTTCTTCTGTACTCTCAAAAGCTCTGTGTTCCACTGGAGGAGTGTCTTTGTGAAAAACAGTGCCGTCATTACTCGCACTCACAGCCTGAAGTTTAGCGGACAATGAGGCCCCAAACAAGGAATCAAGCATTGATGGTTCTTGTGGTGAAGGGGGTGGAGCAATTGGACGAGATATAGTAAAGCCAGAGTCAACCTCGTCATTGAATCGATCAGAGTAATTGAACATGCTCTGTCGCCTCAGTAATCCAGCTTTAGATGGTCTTCCAAGTGTATTCATGTAGGACGGAAATATAGTGCGATCCATCTCCATTAGATCAGACTCGCCTCTGGTTTGATTGATCAGTGAGGGCTCCATGCTTATTGAGTTAATAGAAAAGAAGGACGAAGCTGGACAGCACTGGCTGGCGAGGGAGAACGAGAGGAGGAAGGAACGTTGAAATGAAACTGGCAAATGAGTCCAACAAATACTGTGGTTTGTCTCACGTGATACATACCATTTTACCATACACTACAATGCGTGAGTTGTTGGTGCCACCCAAGTTAGCAAACAGGGTTGGACAACGCTTGAAAGAACAAACCGTTTTAACTGTCATTATAGGCAATCAGCTTTATTGCACTCAAGTCACGTTTCCAAATATTGACCCTTTCAATACTAGTAAGACTAAGGTCAGTAACTCTTCACTTGTTTGGTTTGAGTTTGACTTGGACTTAACTTCAAAGATTATATGTATATATTACACAAATAGGTTCATCAAATTAGGAACAATAGCACAGGAGTAGAAACATGACTCAGCTTGATTGTTTGGACCTTGATTTCTGTTGAAATGTCAGCGGCTGGCATCCTTCTTTTCCTTATAGCCTCCTCTTGGCTCTATTACCAAGGAACACACCATTGTTTGCCATAGGTGTGGTGATTTTCAGCTTTATTAGAGGGTTGGCTATAATCAGCACTAGATTTCGAATATTCTGCTGATTCGATTGTTATGAGTTATAATCTATATATACATATATTATTCAAAAAATATGAATAAAGGAAGTTTTGAATGTGGCATGTTTTGACTAAGCATCACAAGAGATAATTTGATATATATATATATATATATATATATACATAAAGATAAACCTGTTTTTATATAAATTCATATCAAATAGCCACTTTATATACAAATAGTGGAAGACGTACAATATAATTGGGCGAAAGATTGAGAATGAAAACAAAGGCCGGTGAATAAGGCGGGGAACGTCCGCCTTGCCTTATATGCGAGAGACTTCTGCTAGAAATACTGCGAGCGATGGATCATCATGCAAGAAGTTTTCTGCATCCATATAGAGATTATCTTCCACAATCAAAGGCTCACTCAGGTGAGTTTCTATATTGCGTTCGACTATTGCATCTTTCTCAAACATCCGTGACGAAGGGGAGTATGATGTTTTCAATCGAGGCTCTTTCCTTGCAGATGTAGTGAATGGACCTGAAGTGGGTGTGAAAATCTTGATCGTGTTGTCGATCCCTGACACTGCCATGTGAGGAAGAAAAGGGTGGCCCTAGAAGATCGTCTCAGAATCATTGTATCTTGCACACGAAAATCTCACCTGAATAACATTCACTGTATCCTGATCCCCTTGCAAGATCTGCACAATCTCTGTTGTATTCTTATCCCATACAAACAAAAATCCATCGTCGCTTCCAGATACAATGTATTCGTCTTTTGGCCCAAAGAAATTTACTTCTTTTGTTGTCTAGATATACATTTTTATAAGACCTTTTCTTTATCTAGGTGTATCTTACCATAATGTTACAATGCCCATTGTAAATCTTTTCACTTCCTAAAATAGGCGTGTTATTTTCTAAATAGCTTCTATTACGGCGCGAAAAATGGTAAATAATCTCTGAAAAACGGGGCCTAGATGGATCAATAGACAGCTCAAATTCTTCGTCGTCACCATCATTTTCTTCTTCGTCTTCTTCTTCGCTCATGATGGATGAAAAGAACTCCCGCCTTGGGTGTCTTAAATCATCACCCGGGTTATTCAAGGCGATAATATCATTAAATGTTATCGGGTCGTTTTCTCTTTCTGACAAAGAATCTTCTCTCTCGCTATTTTCTGCAGAATCAAAGCGGGAATCATGAGTTGCTGCAAACGTGAGATGCTCTAGCCGCTCTTCATCAGACGAATTAAAATCAGGTCCGACCATCAAAACATCGTCTTCTGTTCCATACTCGTCTTGAGATATATCATTGTCGTTTGAATCTGAGTCACGGTATTGAAGAATATTATTACTAGTAGATACAGATCCACTTGCTGGGCCAGCAAATTCTCCTGCAGTGTCGAACTTTGGGAGATACATTTTATCGATCCATTTCCAACGCAGAGAACTTGGCAACGCGCGCGTCTCTAACTCTCTTTCCGTAATTTCATTTTCATCATGAGAACTTTCTGTATTTGTATCTTGTTCTACCGCCTTTTCAACCTCGCTCAAAAATTCTTTCATCATCATCAATTTGTTATTAACACTTTCTGCCCCAACAGAAGGGACTGTCTCATAATCTGAGGGGCCATTAGCTGCTTCATTTTCCTGAAATGTCATATAAGCAAGGTATGCATAATACCGTGCTTTTATAAGCCAGGATCGACGATGTTCACAAGTAGCCTGACCGGGACCACCACTCGAAAGAAATAGACCAATCGCTAAGCACCACATCCCTCGCCAAGTATTAGGAGCAACAGACTCTGCTTTTCCAATTAGTTCTTCTGATGTACTCGATTCTTCTTCTGTCGACAGGTTCTCAAGCGAATCAAAGCTCCATCCCACTCGTTCATATACCCTGTGTAACCGCAATGCCGCTGATAGACTTAGATACCATATTTTCTCAATGTCATTTTCAACTTGGTCTGAGTTTGGTCTTCTCAAAGGATCAAAATAAGCTTCAAGACATTCTAGGGCTCTTTCAAAATTTCCGCTCCTAATATGATCCTGTATTTCCTTTGGAGTTGGGAGGCGATTCGTTTGAACATTAAAATTCTGAGGTGATCCTGAGATCTTCTCTTGCGTTGATTTCCCCCAGCTTATTTCAGTCAATTCATCCGGTGTGGTGTCATGAATATCAAATAAACCTATTTCTCCCGAAGACCAGCTGCCAAGTAACTAGATAAGTATTTGCACATGTCATTAAAACATCTCTTGACAAAAATAAATAAATCAATACAATGTATTTCTTGCCTCCTCTCCATTGTAATCGCTAAATTTACAGGATGTAACATAAAGATTGATAGAGTGGTTTTGACTGGGTCGAGGTTTGAAGCGTCTGATACAGCGTGTGGAAGCGTCTATTGATGGTCGTCTACTGGCGCCGCCCCCACTATTACCGACCATCCTACGATCGTGAAGGTAAACATAAGCATCCATGCCACCAACTGCAAAGTATTGAGGATTAATTTGGTTAAGTGCAAGAGAATTTAATCGGAAATGTTGTCCATAGTCCAGAAGAGGTGCCGGACAGCCTTCTCGAATATTTCTTCCTGTACAGGCTTGGTGATGTTGCCGAGTCTCTCGTGATGGAGCAAATGAACTGTGTGATACAGTTGGTGTGCATTTATGAGGTTGACGTATATCAAAGTGTCGCACGGTTCCTGTAGGATAATACTGAATGTAAATAACTATTTTTTTTTATAAAAAAAATAAGTATAAACTACAAGATTTTACCATCTTCGGCACAGGTTAAAAATTCGTGAGGATTCCCGTTTTCAATTGCAATTGATTTCACACTGTTGATGTGGCAATAGTACACATGTCGTAGGGTGCTTTTTAAACCACCATTATTTCCATCATTTATGTCAAATACTCGAACTTCTGAGTCTGCAGATGCAGTAACTAGGATGCTATCCGAAGTGGAGGGCATAAATTTTGCAGAAAATATGTTGGCTCTATGTCCTGCAGATCCGTCTGAGTGGCCTGTAGACAGTTATTACTTCAGACAATCTTACCAGTTTCAATAGAGCAAGCCTTCCGGTAGTTTTCTTGAGGAAACCAGATAATGGCCTTTGCATCGTCCGAGCCGGATACAAGCTTGTCGCCACGAGAGGACCAACTAAAGAAGTGTAAAATGAGTTTATAAACGAAAACGAAAATGTTGATTATATTACAATAAAGTATTTACGCAACCACTGTGGCCTTCGAGCTTTTTATCAAGAGTCATTCGTGATAAAGTATATCTGTCTGCATAAATATTTTGTGCTATAATAATAATGTCAATAATAAAAGACGAGTAATAAGAAGGAAATTCTTATATGATGATTATAATATGGGTAAAAAGGAATATGTACCAAACAAATTCTTTGGGATACCACCATATGGACTGTAGCGATCTCCGTAACATTGTCTCCTATGTAAATATTGTTGGATTCGCTCTGACATTAGCTTTGATGATTAAATGAGATGCTTTGAATGAGTAACAGGCTTTTATGCGAGACTCGAGTGAGTCGGGACTGCCTCTTTCCGATTGGATTTGGAGTTTACGCTACGTGTGACATGTATTCAGTTGGAATTGTTTATGCTGGAGAGATATCTTTGGATGCGTAAGGAAATGATACAAAGCATAATGGGTTTTTAGGTCAATTATGTGCTCAGAAAAAAAAAAGAGAGAGAGAGAGAGAAATAAAGAGAGGTAGCAATGCGATTGTGTTGGTTTATAGGATATTAACTGGTATTCACTTTCTTTTTATTTTACTTTATTTTTTTTGAAAAAAAGGTAAGCATATAACATTAGAAAGGTTGGGAGAATTAATGAGATTGATTTGTGGGATCAGCAGTAGGTATAAGTGCCTTAATTGGAGTAAAAACATACACACATACACACTATATACATATCTATCTATTTATGTGTGTGAAGACTTGTATAAAGCAGTTGATCCCTTTACCAAAATGATTCAATATTCTTTCGTTTTGGGATAAAGATGATTTCGTTAACAGGGTTTGGTGTCCAACTGACACGTGTCACGAATGCGTCTTCATCGGAGCCAACCAATTAACCCTTTCACACCAAGTAATCGTTTATTTCTTTATTTCTTTCTTTCTTTCTTTCTTTCTTTCTCGTTTAATATTTCCATAGTATTATTATGGGTGCCTATTTGTCTAAGAGCAAGGTTGATCCTTATACCTTGTTATGAAATTGTTGCTCATGTATTAGGTTAATGAGTAGAATGATTCAAATGATTATGAAAAGATTCTTTCGGATCTGGACGAGGCGATTCAGAAGAGTCAGCTTAGAATAGCAGATATCAAGATACGACAGCGAAGAGCATTAGCCCTATGGGTTTTGTACAGCTCTATCTTATGGGCTGTATACCTTGTTTACTGCATATTCACACTCTATAACCAAAACAAAGGGATCCGCGCTATTGTAAACGCTGGTATTCCGTTAATTCTTTTCCCGTTTGTGTAAGTAGAATACTATATGGACCATTAAGATGCTCGGTGATTAAAGGAAATTCTCGACCATGCTTTTTAGAATATACTACATGAGAATAGCACTGGCATGGTTTTACTCTAGAAAGCAAACAGCTGAAGAATCTCGGCTATCGACCATGATGACACATAAAAACCAAAAACTAGATGAATTGAAAAATAAGACTTCTTATTATACTACTCACTCGCTGCTCGAACGATATGATTTATCTGAATCAAAGAAGTCCCAATCGGTGGGTGCAGTCACAGGTGATTATCCCCAGCGCAGGCCAGGTAAACAATTGAGCACTCGTTTAGATACATTCCTTAAATCAATGTAGTGTCTCTACCGGCACAGCGTCCTCAGCCCCTACCTGAACTACCTACACCACTTAATGCAAGAAATGATACACAGAAAGGTAACATGATGTCACAATTTTGTATCGGTCGCTTATATACATCACTGTCTTCTATAATCATAACCCCCTCTAGCGACTGTCCCTCGACAACCTCGATGGTTTGATAAGATGTTTGAAGCATTAGTTGGAGAAGAAAAGAGCGAAGAAAGATATGCTTTGATATGTGACCATTGTTTTTCCCATAATGGTCTTGTCCTACCCCGCGAAAGAGACTCAATCCGTAAGCTTGATTTTGATTGTGTAATTGATTGTCATATTAATTTCTTTTCCTCAGAATATGTGTGTCCACAATGTCATAAGTTCAATCCAAGTAAAGCAATGGCCACAACCACCAATTCTGCTAATAATGCGCTTTCCCTGAGTACCAGGCCCAAGAGTGATATTCTAATTGTTGAAGCAGCACCACCAATTGAATTAGACAACGTCAAAGGAAAATCTGTGGCAGACAGAGTGATAAATCGACATTATGCCGTATTAGATGAAAGTTCGTCTGATAATGATGATAGCGAATGAAGATGGTTTATCCGATGAAGTGCGAAATAAAGTAGTATGCTGAATATTCATAGTGAAGGGGATGCAAGAACAAAGAAAGTAAATAAAGTCTAGGAAACTATAGAAAGAATATCGAGGGATCCTTATGAAAACCCTGTTTTTTTTTGGCTTTTGGCTTTTGGTTTGGGTTTTACCACCCGTTCTCGGCATTCTTAGTCTTTAGATAATCAATGATAGAATTTCCAATTTGCTCTTCCTTGACTTTGACCATGTAGACCATGCTGATAGATTCTTTTTCGTTAACAAGGAGAAACGATATCCGTTTGGCGTTAATTTTTTCAACGTTGCGACTGTGGACGCTGGCACTGACGAGTTTAGTGGTCTTACTACCCTTTTCACTTTCAATCTCAATGTACATCTTCTTGCTCGGAAGCTGCTGGGATATAGTCATATTTACATTACCAAAGCTACTCCATTTGGAATGTTCATTCTGTACAAAGAGTTTGCATTTGCATTGCATAGCAGATTGAAGGGTTTGGGGCACCAAATTTTCTTCAGGTTTTCCATCAGCAGCTCCGTTAGGTGCGGTAATTGATGCAAGTGAGTCGGAACGGCCAATGTCCGGAGAATCCTGAGGAGAGCTGGCTCTTGCCTGTTCTGCCATAGCAATTGTTTCTCTGTGTGTTCTCTGTAGGACCTCAATCAGAGCAGTTGCATCCGAAGTATCTTCAAAGTGAATCAAATAGTTTTCTTGGTTTGCACCCATGAATACAGAAAGGCTGACATCTGTTTCAGAAATCTGGTTCATCATTGTACTAGGCAATATCCATGCATTCAAATAGAGCTCTCCCGTTTCCTGAAGGCGTATCGCCACGCACGACCGATTTGTCACGGTTTGGCGTACTTCCAGTTCACAATGTCCCTCTACCGCATACCATGTTTCATCCTTCCATCGGAACACCTCACTTTGTTCATTATGATAAAGGACGGCGCGAATTCCAGCAGCTGGTCCTCCAGTGTTAGGATTAGGCTACACAAAAATAGATAAGCATGCATATTTTGACACAAGTAAATTTCCTTTTTCTGTATTAATATCTTACACTACGTGGTGGGGAGTCGGTCTCCTCAACAGATTGGGGGGTCAATCGAGGAGAAGGCTGGGTTTGACGGGGTCGACTAGAGTCGGACTCCTGTTGCTGTTGCTGTTGTTGTTGGCCAGGCACGAGATGTTGATTGTTAGCCTGATTTTGTCCACTTCCACTGGCAGTAGCAGATCTCATTTGATGATTGACACCGTCAGGACGCTGCATGTTACCATGGTGTCTGTTGGCTTGAGCGTGCGGATTGGGAGAAGGAGACCGGCCACGGTTACCGTGGGGATCGTGGCCATGTTGCTGTTGAAGATGAGGTTGTCGGGATTGCTGTGGGCGAGGTTGCTGTGGCTGGTATTGACGAGTTTGTTGTTGCTGGTGCTGGTGCTGCTGCTGGTGCTGTTGCTGTTGTTGCTGTTGAGGGCGGGGTCGCTGCTGAGGTTGATACTGAGGCCTGTACTGAGGTTGGCCGTTTGATGTACGCTGACCAGATGAGCGACTTTGTTGGGGATGAGGCTGAGACTGAGGCTGAGGATGAGAACGCTGACCAGACTGGTGATGGGGTGGCTGGCGAGAAGACGATTGTTGATCAGAAGGACCACGGGAAGAGTGTGAGTGGTGGGGACTTGGTTGGCGAGAAGAGTGTCTAGGCGTACTCTTGCTCATGCTAACCGGCGCTCCATTTCCACTGCTAGGGCTTGATGAACGTGAGTGAGGGGCTGAAGGCGAGGCATTGGGGCGAAGGTTACGACTGTTGGAGTGGGTAGGAACAGGTGAATTATTGGAGTGTCTTCCGGGACCAGAAGGCTCGTTGGAAGAAGTACGACCGGATCCAGAGGGACGAGGATGTTGTCTCATGCCAGAAGAAGCTATAGAGAATCTTTTAGAATCGATTAAACAGATAAATATGAAAATATTTTTTTTTAAAAAAAAAAGGTAACATACTTGATGGCTGTGGCTGGCCACGACGACTAGCAGCTGCGGCGGCTTGAGAAGACGTCAAGGTAATTTGTGGAAGGGTTTCAACATGTTTGGCTGGCATGGTAGTAGACGAAGAAAGATTCTTTGTTGAAACAGAAAGAGGGGGTTGGGTTTCTCTGGGAAGAGCAGTAAAGTTTTTTCGATCGGTTTCTCTCGGCTTACATCCAGCGGCTGAGGATGGGTGCTTTGCGGAACGAGGCTCGAGAACGTGTAAATTACCCCGATTTTCAGGAAATATGACCGCAGGACTGCCGGAATGACTGCTGGTGGAGACGTTGGCGAGCGGAGTGATTGGTGAAATGTGTGTTAGTGATTCGTCTGACGAGATACTTGCTGAAAGATCTATAAAAGGTCCAAGCTCAATTCATATTGATATGGCCCTGTCCACACTTGTCTTCAATGAAAGTGCGTCCGATTTGACGCCCAGTTCAGACACGTGGCAAATGTCGTGTCTCTTACCTCTCTCGTTCCTTTCGTCATCATCAGAACTTTCAACTGGCGACCCTTCACCTGAATAGTCGCTGTAGAGGGACAGTGTGTCCTGAGCACGTACTGACTGCTCCCTTGATATATTGATTGGAGGTATAGTATGATGATTCACGTTTGATGTTGATCTTTGGTTTGAAAATTCGGAGGGACAAAGGCCTGTTGCAGAAGGCGAGTAACCTTGTACAACTGTCTGGAGCGGTCTGGGCGCTAATGTGGACGAACTTGGTGTAGACGCGTCTACTCCCAGCCAGGTATTCCGTTTCTCTTTCGAATCTGCTCGAAGGATCATAGCTCTGTCTTGAATTACTAGTTGGAGCATATATTCCCCTATAAGCTCACGGTCAGGCATGACTGAATTTACGGAGATATCCCGGATAGCAAAGGGTGGATACATGAGCATGTATTTAAAAGTAGTTGGATTATCTAAACTGGTTCCCTGCTCCTTGCAGATCATCAATACATCGCCAGCCAGTGCGAGGTGCAGGCGTGCCGACAACCCAGCGCTATTTTCTGGGATTAAAACAAAGTCAGCCCGTAAGACTCGCTGGATTCCCGAATAGACCTCGGGTAACTCGTATTTCTAGAACCATTAGTCAAAGGTCCATAATCCGACATTTTCTTACCTTGGTCTGGCCAGTGAAGAAATCAACCACCTGGGAGCAGTCTAACTGTCGCAGTAGCTGTGTAAGGGTTGTATCCGAAAAGTCTTCGGGAGTGAAAACTGGCTTGTCAGACGGCATACCATCTAGAGTAGGAAAATCTTCTCGCTCAAAAGACATTAAGGAAAAATTGGAAATAGATGCACTATTCTGGGCAATCTGCAATATTCCTTCAATGTTTGGGTTTGCCTTTAAAAGAAGCTTATAGTCAGATAGATAGGATTCTGTGTCATTTAATAGTGTCTATTTTTATGAAATATAATAAAACGAATAGAAGACATGAGAATTGTATTTTAAATCATTCCTTTACTGCCAGACACTTACATCGTAAACCATCTTTTTATTGCTCGAAATTTCATATAAGCGCATCAAATAAATAGTCCAAGAAATTATCGAAATACTTTTTTTTTAGTTGTTAAAAAGGTTTGGTCATGGTTCAATTGCACGAGCGATGCATTAAGGGGTGGTATACTCACCATCCTCAGGGTGAATAGCCTCTAAGATAGTCTGCTCTTCCAAGCATCACATATCTCTATTGACTTTGATATATTGATACAAGAAAGCTTTTTCTTACTATCTTTCCACTAATGTTATATTTGAAACTTCCTGCTCAAACTCATACTTTTCTTGTGATAGTTAACAATTCAAAAGATATCAATCAATAGATAATTGACTGACTCGAAATTTGCATTAATGACTCCCTTATTTCTTTAAATATATAATATTTTCTTACTCTATTAGCTCAACGCTTTCATGCAATCGAGGTTAGTATCACGATAATTATGCAACTACTCTTGAATATAGTGTGTGTATGTGTGTGTCATGCTAGATTTATTGTTGGCTTCATTAACTTTGGTATGTTTCAATATTTTGTAAATTCAGGAGCAAAAATAGTTTCTGTCTTGACCAAATGAGGGATAGAGTTTTGGTAAAGTAAATACTAAACCAAAGACTATATTTAATGTCACATATATACATATATATATATATTAGAATATTGGTTTTTTTAATAATAAATCATAATAAATGTTTCAATATTGATTAAAGTATACATATGGCTATTGAAAGTGTTTTCGCATAAAGAAGTACTCTGTTACCAACGTGTGATCGACGGAAAGTCCTTTTTTTTTTCTATAACCGCCAACCCGGGGTCAAGAAATGAGAGTCTTTAGGGGAATCCGTAGGAGATTATTTTAGAAATACTTTTTTTTTGTACGTGATTTATAGAAATATTACTAAATTATTGTTCTGTAATTCGAATTTTGAAACCATGTTATCAACTAAATGAAGAATAAACAAGGGATCTGAGGGGATCTGCCCAGACACAAATATAAGCAAACACTGTGACAACAAAATTATGTAATTTAAAGGAGAGCTTTATCAGCCTCTTCAATAAGACTTATAAAACCCAAGTCTGAATAAGCGTATTGATATAGATTATTACGTCCAAGAGTCTTTTTTTATTTATTAAGTTATTTATTTATTAGTTGGTATCTATTTAATTCTTATTCTGTCTCCTTCTAGACTAAATTTACTAGAAGGCAGTACAGTCAGCTTTTGGGCTGACGCTGTATTTCTTTGGGTTTGAACCTAAATAGGAAAGCCTAGACGCTGTAGTGATACACTTTTGTTGCTTGCAAGGGTTTTCTTTTTAAAGACACTTCTCCTATTAAATATAAAAATGACTAAGTAGTTCCAGAAGACGACTGCTATGCTGTATTTAAGATTTATCCGTCAAAATAAGACGATATTTCATTTGCTTTATCAAACTAAATTTCCTCAATCTCTTTAGATTCATAGTATAGACCATTTCCTTCCAAGAACGTACGATATAGTCTCGTGCTAAAGGAGAAACGGGGGTAGCTTGGCAGCAGAATAAAGAAACACTACAAGGGAAAAAATATTCATTTCAATTTCATATACAAATCTACTTGACACAGAAATTTGATGGTAATTATGAAGTACAGCCTAACTATGAGTACTTAGATAGAATAAGTTAATGCATATACATGTGTGCATTGTAGTCTTCTTTATTTCTTCTAAAGCAGGAATGTTTAATCTTGAATTTTAGAGTGATTGCTTCTCGACCTCTAGCTATTGGGAATCAAAGATATAAATTCCCGAGGCTTGGCTATTTTCATGTTTCACAGTAATTGAATTAGTAAGTCATTTGTCATTTATATTATCACCCTCCATTTTGACCAAAGAAAAAACTAGCCCTGCATACTATGTGGGAGTGAGTACAATAGGTTCCTAATCATTATCAATAGTTTGGTGAGTATAAGCTCCTGAATATCTATATACTTCAAACAGTACGTACGTGAGTATGCTTGTAAAATTGCTTCTAACAAATAAATCATGACTGTTTTTTATATACTTATTAAAAGCAATGTTTAAAATTCTTATCTGATACATTTTTGAAAGACCAAATATATTAATATATAGGCTTAGACTATCATGAGCCATAATACAATGTCTTGAAATAATAAATAAACATCATCTGTCTATACTTAGATTTCTCATATTATTGTACATGCTTATTTCTGCTTTTATTTTTAGTGAGCAAACTTTACAAATCTGTCTTTTTCATTATTTATTCCTTTAAAAAGCCAGTAGTACTTTGTGAAACTACTTTTATCTTGTCATGTGAATTTAGAATCCAGATGACAGTTTGCTATTTACCAGCACTCTGAATTTGGATTTATGTATTAAATATTGGATAATACCTCTTGAATATACTAAATATATATATATATATAGGCTACATTATGAATGTAATTATCGAATACTGAATATCATCTCTTCATGATACTCTCATTTTGAACAAATGTTATCTAGTAAAAGCTATCTTAAATATATATATCGTGATAATATTTATAAAAGTCAATTCAGTTAACTGATACAGTCTCATAACCAGCTTTATTTTGCTAATAAACAAACTATAACGATGGTGGAACAGAAAGAATTGTGTGATATCTCACATCTGATAAATGTTAAAGCCGCGTTGTTTCACACTGTTAATGGAAAACAAAAAAAAAAGCAACGATTTAGTTATAATTAAGCTATTTTTGCTTTAGCTTAACTCTTGCTATAATTAACAGACTTGAGCCAAGCAACTACAACATCTGAACTAGTATTATCTTTAATGAATATTAATGACTTAAATTAATAGTGATTAGAGAAACAAGAAGTGTAGGATATTAAACATAGTATCTTATATCCGATCTAATAATCACAGTATTTATAAGAGGTAAATTTTAACCTTTCTCGTGTTTAGCATGCTGGAAATCGATACTACCAAAAAAAGCCATGAAATAAAGCCTAGTGGACCATTACACAAAAGATTGTGATAAAATCAATAACCCTCAATGGTGGTTACCCAAAGTTCCTTTAAGAGACTGGCACCTTCAATTTCATTGTTTGTGGTATGCATCAGTACAAAGTCTAATTTTAAAAGGTTATTATATTACATTATATATAAAGAAGGTATATAGCTTAACTTTTTTTTTTCGCTCTTTACCCAAATTAATACATTGACTAATACCCTCACATTATTTCTGGTTGAATTTCGGACAGGTTCTCTTTATTTTTGGACGATAATATTTTAAGATTGAGACGATTCTTATTCTTATTATTATTATTATTTTTAGGCAAAATTGTTTTTTATTTATTTGAAACAAAACAGCTATTTGTATCCAAAAAGGTTTCAAAAATCCCATAGTATAGTATATAATCTTGAGACCCTTTGAGAGGAGCAATTTTTCTTTTTAAAGAAAAGAGAGGGCTTAGGTACAGATAGTTAAATAAAACGCTAGTGATGGTGATGACGGTGGTAGTGGTGGGAGTACTCGCAAATACAGATAGTTATATTGTTTCAAATGAAAAGTAATTTTGCCTAAAAATAATAATAATTGAAATCGTTTAAATCTTAAAATACTATCGTCCAAAAATAAACGCTTAAAATACAAACCGAACTATTGAGAGAATAGATAAGATGGTCTACCCCCGCTTCCGTAAATTAACCAAAATAGATAGCTTTATGTCTTGGGTTAATATTTAATATAAAGCACAAGGCTATATATCCAGACGTTACATTCGCATAGATACACTTGTTTTAAAGTGATAATTAATTATACTATTTAAAGCAAGAATGTAAGGCAGACTACTCTGCATTCAAACCATTCACTGAATACCTTGTTTGACGTCAAAAAGACTCCTTTTTTTTCTAGTACGATTTAATTCATAAAAAGTCACAGCTTACTACATACTAAGAATGTGCTTGGATATAATATATGTAGACTAATGTTTTTTTTTTGATGATTGATAAATGGCGAAATTTTACGGTATACTCGATTAAGGGCCACCGTGAACGTACAAGCGTATCGATATACCTACAGCCAATAGTATTTTATATTTTATATTTCATTCCAAATAATAGGTAGATACACCATAAATACAATTCCATGTTTTAGTATTTTTACGTTTTATGATTCTGAATTAAATATATTTTCCTAAACTATAGTATATGTTAATCAGTTCAAATAATCGAATGTGCAATCCAAGCATTGAGAATTCGGCTATATCTGTCATCAGTACGATTCATTTTAATACATTAGTAAAAAGATAGGATGGATTAAACTCAAATTAATCAAGATATAGTCTTTTACGGCGATGTATTTATTTAATACCACTTAATAACGGCTTAGGAGTGTATATATATATATAAAGCCATTGCTATACAAAAAAGTACGTGAATATTTTTCCTAAATCTCAATCCAATTTTATGATATCAAAGTCTTTTTATATAATACGGTTGAGATTCTCTGACAATTTCAAGCGTAGGGTACACAATGTATACACAATGCTCCTCAGATAATTATAAATAAATCCCAAATATTTTAAAGTCTTAGCTAGTAAGATGTCTTTATTATCATCTAGAGTCGTAAGCTATTAAACGAGAAGCTTAATAGACTGTAGAAATTTAAACTATTCAATAACGAACACTAGCATGCGATGTATACGTTATAACTAGTCTATCAGGCTACTTACCCTATAGAAAAAAAATAGGCGATTTTAGTGAATTGTTGCAAGTTTTCCGGGGTTTAAAGTGTCTTATGTTGAGTTTTAATTAAGCACCAATTTCTCTCGCTCTCTTTTATATTCTACTTTTTTTTTTATCCCACCATGTTTTTTGCAGTCAAAGCAAAACATCTTTTTCTTAGCTTTTTCAACCCATTACAAAACTAAATACCAAGTTATTCGAATCTAATGGCTTACCAGCGGTAGCTTGGGTGGGTCCTAGGCGGTAACCAGGACAAAATTTTCTATCTTCTTTGAATTCTAGTCAGTCTTTGTCTCAAACGACGACCCTCCTGGAGATCTTCTTCTGCTTGTCTTCTGATACGTCCAATCCGAATAACGCGGGTGAACCTTACAGGTATAATCCCATCATATCTCAAATTGTTAAGTATATGTCGGAAGTTCAGGACAGCAGCAAGATCCTGATTCCACAAACGATGCATAACCTCTGACCCGTCCATGTTCTCCAAACAATTTAGATTGGTACATCTAAAAAGGACTTGTTTCTATTTTTTTTTCACAAGGTCTAAAATTATTAAAAGTCTCTAAAAAGAACACACTTAATAGCTATGAAGGCTAGTATTAATAAAATACGGATCAGCAAAGTTGACAAAAGAAAGCAATCTGAGAAGAATTGACAGAAAAATATATGCATCAAGTACAATTTGGTTGTCAAGATTGCTCGCATGCTCATTAGAAATCTCGGTAGATTTAGAGAATTGCAAGGAATCTGTCTTCTTGTTTTTCAAGAGTAGGAATCAGACATGACAATGTTAACACAAAGCAGGTTTATATTCTTTGATAAAAAGAATCAATTAAGCAATATAAATATCTTCATCAATATCATAGTACTTAGAGAATAGCCTTTTTTTTTTAGATAAAAAATGTGAAAAGTATTACATAGAAATAGATATATGTATATTATTTAGTAACTTTATAGCTTAAAAAATAGTACTTCTTCTTTCCATACTTCTTTATATTCAACTTGTATTATTTTGATCAATAAAAACTATAAAATTCCAATATAAAACCGTGTATTTGTTGAACCAATTATAAGAATAGAGATATCTAAAAAAAGGTATAGATTTGCGATATTTAGAATATTTGATTGGATTATATGCAAAAATGATTTGAAATCCAACGAATTGTATTATCTAAATCTGTTATAAAAAGAGAAATATGTACCTAAAAATGGTATAACTTTGCTATTTTATACGATTTTATTGGATTAGATAAAAAGTAATTTTAACTCCCATAAATAGTATTCGCTGTAAATACTTTTAATTTACTAAAAGCCAATATTCTATTGGCAAAACTTACAACTCCGCAACCGTAGGAATTATACGGATTCGTATAAGATATACGGGACCGTATAATTTATACGGTCGCGGAGGTGTAATTTCTGCCATTTACTACAGTGTTAGGTTCATTAGACTCTACCGAAATTAGACTTTATTCAACAGGCAATATTCAAAACGTCTGTAGGGACCTTGGACACATCATATAAAATTTATTTAGACGGAGATTGTGCTCTTAAAAAGGAATAGTGTGTTTCAAAATCGCGTTATTTTATATGATATAAAAGCATGATATAAAATATTTTACATCATATAAAAAGATGATATAAAATGTGTTGACCAATCATCTTTCGATATTTTATGTTCTTAAACTAACGATGACATAAAACTTGAAATAAAGAACAAATTATGTTTTCAAGTAAGCATATAAAGAAGTCCATATAGCCCCAGCATTAGGTTTTTTCTCCTTTATTTGCGCAAGCATTCTACGTATACAAATATATAAATTAGTATCTATTAGCTTTAATGTCTAAAAAATTAAACAGCTATTACAGTTTGAGGGTAAAAAGAAACAAACTTTGGTTCGCACTAATTACATGATTTTAAGTTTGTGAGTTTAGTAAATTAACATGGCCAATAAATGCAATATCACACATTTTCATTGTATATGGAAGCCTTGGATGTGAAACATGAGACCGTATGAAATTACATATATGGTTAAATGTTTCAAAAATATTTTATATGATGTGCCCAAAGTCCCTTGTTTCGAACAGCCGAGAATATTTTCTTTAGTATTTAATAGAAGTATTTACCGGTTAAATTTAGAAAGAGCATTTATTTTTTGGTTTACTCTTACAATATTACATTTTTATTGAATATAATCATCCTTAAGCCTGCAAGTGCAATTTATTTTGTGGCGCAACTTAACGCTTTAGATTAAAGCCTTGTAGACTATATATTAAGCTTTTTGGCCACTAAATCAGGGGATAACTTTATTAAGGTGTATATATTAGTTAATTCTATCTAACACAAGAGTGTGTGCCATCTTATTCCTTCAGATCTTCAGTAAAAAGAACGCTTTATATTAAAGTAGACATACTGACCGTTAGGTCTCGCTGGAGTATGCTTTTTGCCCAGCAAAGATCAATACACCCATCAAAATATATTATAAAATTAATATGATACTAGAAATGTTTTTTTCTCAATAAACTCTGTGTTATGGCTTACATGGTTATATAAGAAAAAGAAATTAAGGTTGAGGAGCTGAAGGGGATTTGTAAATATTTCCAATTGTAGATTGTAGTGAATACTTCACAGCTAGCAAAGTTTATATTGAAATACACCAAATATCCTTTAGCTCAGATACACACTCTACTAATCGACTACATTTGATTGACATTACTTCAAAACTTAGCCTGCCCAGTTTTGATTTAATTCTAACAAAGAGGGTCTAATGTATTCTGAGTAAATATTCGTACTATGACCCACTACGAAATATCACATTAAATAACGACCTGTAAATATCATTTACAAGAAATATTGTATTGGCACGATATATAATTCGACAAGTCTTTAGCAATAAAGTGTCTGTAAAATTAACATACTAAACTCACTTAAAGGCTCTTTAGCTTACAGTTTATATGTATATGAGCGTCTGTAAACATTAAAGTTTAGTAAAAAATATATATATAGTACACATCTTATATTAAAAGTTGAAATACAACTTATTGACATTGCATACAGATCTGTCTAATTCGCGTGGCTATTAACCCTATGTACAAGAGCAACACATTTTAAGGGGACCAGGAATTGTTAATATTAATATATAACAATTCATCTCCTTGACAGCCCGAGAATATCATATTAAAGCGGACTTGGTATAAAAGATCAATTGAAGGCATCGAATATCAATATCAATTTTTGCATGTACTGTTAATTAAATACATAGCGTCAAATATTTATTTGTGTCGACACGCTATTTTTATTACCATCTCCCTACAAATTTTTATTATTTATACCCGAATCACATACATCATTTTTTTTTAATAGGAAAATATATACAGTATAAATCTTAGTTTATAGGCGTACATTTCATAGGAGAGCCAAGATTTAGATTCTCTTTTTTTCTTCTTTTGAAATTAAAATTGAAACACCCTGCACACAAAGTCATTATTACATTATACACTTCCTTCTTTATCTTTTTACATATGATTATTAAATACACTTTTAATAGATTGGCTAATACAGAAGATATTTGTGATTATTGAATTTTTATGTTATTCTTATGAAAAAAAAACATATATAGTGAATAGAACATTGTAGATAATGATATAATTTCGTAATTCTAAAATATAATAAATAAAATTAGTAAAATAATCTGTCAGTTGACATGCTTTCTTGAAGGCTCAAATTAATTTTTGACAGTAATTAATAAACTGGGTATACTACTGTTCCAAAAGTGTTCAGATATGGTATATTTCCAGGTGTTATTATAGTTATAAGCCAATTATTAGAACCGGAGACGCTAAAGATATAGCAAGATCTGTATGCTTTATAAAACATCTTTCTCACACTACAGAAATAAAGTTGGCAAGGCTTTACACTTTCTTTAGAAATAAGTAGTATACTTTGGGTTAATTATTTGATATAACGGATATAAAAACAAATCCCCCAGCCACTCTTACTGCACACATATCAATCTTATCAAACAAAAGGCTTAACTTCATATCTACAATGGAAATAGATAACTAATTGTTGATGTAGAGTTTGTCTATTTGTTTTTTTTTTCATTCGCCTATTGTAAGGATTATTGCACAGAGCTCCAGAACAAACCCTTGAGATCACCCAAACAAACCAAACCAAACCAAAACAAACCAAAACAAAAGAATATCAAGCTATGTAACCTTGGTTTGATAAGAAAAATAATAATCCGAACTATGGGAAAAATTTACGTGCTGAGTTTTTAGATGGCTGTGGAAACTTAACAGAAGGATACCAAAGGAGAGAACTAGAAGACACATGTATATTTTTGTGTTTGTGTAATACAACCGCATGGTTTCTCTAAACTTTCTATCTCGTAGGATGCCTGCCTCAAAAAAATAATCTTTTAACTCTTATGGTGAAACAAAAAGAAGGGTGTTTTTGAACCTATTTTGTATTATTAATGCCTTTATCTTACATCAATATGTGTATATGTTTATAATGAGAAAGGAATAATAGACTTTTTCAAGAGAAGGTTGTCTATAGTTCTCTTGAGAGACTAATAAGTGTATTTCTTCGGATTTTCTATAATTACATTTTACGTAGTTTGTTTTAGGATTGGTAACATCGCAAGCGATCAATAATAAAGTCAAAAACCGAGAAAATCTATTAGATCGATTATACACTGGTTTGGAACAAACAGTAATAGTATCAGGAGGCATAGCACCAACCCTCACAGAAGTAGGAAAATCTTTCAAATTTTAGTTTCACAAGACCTTGTGAATAGTGTATCATAAATTTAGCTACAAACACGGTCTATGCGTACTTTCTGAAATAAAATCGTGCAACAGTGTTTGAACTCTTTGAGACAACAATACCCTGAACTCTCAAAAAGCAATAATTAAACTTCCTAGCTCTTTGAGTTTCATGAACTATGCCATAATAATTACCTTATATCCATTATATATAACATCTATGACCGTAAGATATTTCACAGCAAAATATCTAAGGGGCTGTAAATAAGCAATATAGAGAAGACGGGTCAGATAATATGATATAAACATCATAAGGAGACCCTATTGAGTTCATCTTGAGAAAACTACGGTGATCACCATATATAGCCTTAATCCGTTACAAATACATTCACTAAGGTCTGTGCACCATACTGCTTGCAATTAACATTACGGGAATAGAAAAAAAAATACAGCGATTCTATTGGACGGAAGATCACTCAAAATACTCATCGCGCTCAGGCACATCTTCAGACATCTTTAAAAAAAATCCAATAAATACAGCGAGTTTGTCTTGATCATTAAAGTTATTCAATCAACTACCTTCAACATGAACGCCAACAAACAACAAACAAAAAAAATTCCCAGACCCATGAACTGCTTTCTGGCCTTCAGACTTGAAAAACAGGGCGAAATTCTTACTCGTTGCCCAGGAGCCAATCATCGAGACATTTCCAAAATCATTGCCAAGTGGTGGAAAGAAACACCAGAACATGAAAAAGAACCTTATCGTGAAAAAGCACGCATTTCAAAGATTGAGCACTCTAAATTGTAAGCAGAAAAAGCTTTAAAGTGATCTATATTAGTTTACTAAAACAAGAATATTAGGCATCCTGACTACAAGTACTCGCCTAACAAAAGACCAGGACACAAGCCTAGAAAATATGTCAGACGAGTCAAAGACACATTCACCTCTCGTTCAGCTGAAAATAATCGTTTGATGAAATTGCTTTACACCGACCCAAGAAAATTAGAAAATAAAACAAATGCAATACAAACTCCCATTTACAAGGAAACCAAGCATTTCACTTTTAAACAAGAAACCTCCCAGGCTTCCTACCATTTCACTCCAACTGTTGAAAAACCCGATTGTGAATTTACCTCTCGCAGCTCCTATACTACTACTGCCGGAATACAAGAGTCAAATATACCTATTCACGAACCCAATTACTCCTTTGTTTCGTATGTCGGTAAAGACGTTGTGGATCAGAATTACTGCAATAGCTTCGCTGAAAAAGACCAGCTTGTTACGCCACCCTCAAATGTTTTGGATTGCTCGATCCCAACTCCTTTCTATCAAAATGTCTTTGTACCTTCGCAGCCGGAAGAGTACTTTTACATCACTCCTAGTCATCAGCAAACTCACCCATTTTCTCCTGTAACAACACCCGTATATCATGACAATTCACCTTCGAGTGGATCAAGTGTCTGTTTTAGTCCTCTTGAATATAAGAGCAGCCCTCCCATTGCTGGTTACGAGTATTCACCTATCTTGGACCAATCTGCATACTGGTCTATGATCAGGTCTGATTTCTCTTCCCCTGATTACCTTGGATATTTGCTTTCAAACGAAAGAGTTCTCAATGAACAGACCACACCCGAAGCCTACATCGATCCAAGCCTACTCATGATGCCTTCTGCGCCACCCAGAGATCTTTCATACGTTGGTAACCAGAGCTTCAACGACATCCTTGCCTCCACCATGTTTCCTTTCTAAACGATCAGACCAAGTATTCCAACTATATCACTATTTCTTCTCAGCAAAACACAATACAGATGCATACACACAATCATAGAGCCATATACCCATACAATTTACAGCAGCATACACTACATTACATTACATAATACACTTTATATAACTCATAAGCACTGATCTTCTCTTAAATTCATTATTTTATTCACTTAGACATCAATATACTTTCTTATACATTCATTTACTTTCTTAGATTTTTCCTTACTTTCACACTGTATTTTTTTTTCTGTTAAATCATATACCAACCTTCTATTCACTTTTATATTTTTGCTTTATTTTTTTGCTTTTATTATTCGCATCATATCAAAACACTACATAGCAAATCATGAACTACATGCCTTAGAAACATTATTTTGAAATAAAAACCTTTCATATTCCATTATAAATCTTTATTTCTTGTTTATCCATTTGAAAGACCTTTATAGTATTATAGAAACTATCAATTAAAAAACAAAAAACTAAATAAATAAATAAAACAAAAAGTCGCCGATTGATAACTGTAGCACTGATAATACTGAGTTAGCGTATATATCTATTTGGTTGGCTATATTCTTTTGTCAGAATATACCGCAATAAGTTGCTGTTTGAAAGCAGAATAATCTATTTACCCGTTTATACCCTCGTTGTTATCTCCATTATCTCTGCAAAGATAACAACCTTAAACCTCTATTTACTATGACTTTTGATTTTGAGAGAAGATCTAAGTTTATCATGAGAGCTAGCTATCTCAAGGTCAAGATGTTGTTAGTCAAAAAAACAATAGATAAACAGTCCGCAGATTCAATTTTACTATATCAGCCATAGTTTCAGGTTGTATATTTTATGTAGAAACCAAGTAATATATACTTGAAACTGTAGCTAATACACAGTAAACATTTGAAAAACCCAAACACAGATGTTATTCAGCCGTATCTATCAATTGACCCTTGCGTCAAATCATCATGTAACCAAGTCTAGTATACATTATTGTTGTAGGAAATAATCAGTCTTTTTTTTAATCATCTTTTTATACTCTGTAGTGTATATTATACAACTTCGCAGGACTTTACTTGCCTTGCAACCACAGACCCCGCAAATAAAATCAATGTTACTAATAGTTTTTTTTTGTTTTGTTTTACTGGTAATAGAAATCCATCACACTTCATCTGTTTGTACAAATGATAGCTGAGAATCTGACATTTATATTACCACATACGAGACTATGAGGAAGATATCCAATTCGATAGAAAAAGAGACGCGCAATATTATAGGAAAGATTTTTTGTTTAATAAATAACATCCTTCAGTTGGGCAATCTAATGATCAAGTACTGGGGTTTCAAGAAAAGACAAACACCTACGGTTCAATACACGCAAATATATATATACATATGCTCAAACGATAGCCGTATCATAACTTTCAGTCTTAAAGATTGTATATATACACATATATATATAATCGTTTATTCATAATTCTACTATTCGATTATTTACACAGCATATGCTTTCTTGCCATGTTCCTGTAAAGACAGTAATATATAATTAACAACGCAAGTCACAAAAACATGAATGTTCACTTACACTAATGACACAGATATGGTCAAGATCACGGAAATACTCATTGTAGTCAAGAGCGTAACCAACAACGAACTCATCAGGGATAGCAAAGCCAACGTAATCGGGAATATAACCATTGCTCTTAGGGGTCTTCTTTACCAAAAGACTTGTAACCTTTACAGACTTGGGCTGGTACTGGCTAAGTCTCTCAAGCAACTTTACCATGGTAGCACCGGTATCAATGATATCTTCAACAATCAAAAGGTTCTTTTGTTTTCATGTAGAAAGTAAATAAAACATTATCAGAAAAATGAGTCTATTTACAAGACAAAAAAAAAGAGATATACACCATCCTTTACTCACCTTTCCCTCGAAATCACGGCACTCGTTCTCGGTGAGAGAGATGGTCACACCCTCAGACTGATCGTTTCTGTAAGATTTAACACGGATAAACTCAAGGCTCAATGGAACACTTGTTCCAGCCTTGGTGGTAAGCTTCTTGATGCTGTTTACAAGGTCGGCAAAGTACTGGTGACCACCCTTCAAGATACAACACACGACTAATAGCATATCGAATCAGCAAAGCAACCCCCAAATTAATCCTCAGGAAGACCCTATCACTCGAAACATACCCAAAGGACCAGTGGCTTCATCGACAATCATACGAGCAAGCTTATCTACTCTGTCCTAATCAACCACAGCGTAAGCACTTGATACAAACATATGGCCTATAGTACTCTGAACTTTATTTAACCACTCATTACCATGATCACACCATGGGGAATGAGAATACTAGAAACGTCCTTCTCATAATGGGTAGGAATGACAAAATGGTCAAGCGAGTAATGGTTTTTCTCGACGGTCACGTCAATCCACTTTGAAGGTTCCATAGGCATGATGTATATGTGTCGAACTCAGCGAACGAGAAGAAGAAAAAAGAAGAAGAAGAAGAAGAAGAAAAAATTTGCGAGGAGATGTTGGCTTTTGGTAATGATTTTTGGCTGTGACTTGTCATTCGTTTTTTTTTTTGAAACCTTTGGGTGTAGCAAACTTTTTTTTTTAAATACAAGAAATCGATTATATCATTAGGATTAGCATATGAGAAAAAGAGAGAAAGAGAAAAAGGGTATGTAATAAGGTTTATTCTAGGTATTTCTTTTCTCTTAGTATTATAGATTATATCAAAGCTTTAAAAGGAGAAATGAAATGGGTTGAATAAAACCAATATAAAATGAAAAAATATTTAAAAGAGGTATTAAAGATTTTGTATCAGTGATAGGAATATAAAAAGGGAGAAATAAAACGAAAATTACATTAGATAGATGTACTGTATAGCCCTTTACTTGTTTTGAGTATCTACACGATAAGAAGAAGAAAAATACTTTAAAGTCCCTCGGTAGGTTGGCGAATGGTATTTGCACAAGTCGAGTAAGCACAGACCAATTTGAATTAATAGCTTATCGATAAGCGTTTTAAATAATCTAATGGTTTTAGATAGTTCTATTTTTCCAAGCTAATATATTTTATTTAACAGTTGTCGGTTTTATATATCATGCACAAGTATAGTCAATGGTCAAGATAGCCTAAGTCTTAAGATCTAGAAACTCGCATTACAATCTCGTTAGATCATCTTCCTTATTTAGATCTTTTGGTCCATTTTGTACTTCACTACCTCCTCCCCTTGTCAGCACAGGAGAACTGTTTTATTGCTCTATTGTAAGCTTATTTACCATTACGCTTCTTTCTGTATAATATATTATAACCAAACGTACAATACTTTCGGATAATCAGTACTTTGAGCACATCATATGATGATTATTATTCTTCAATAAGTCACTTATCATCTTTTAACCATACCTATCTCTCCAGGCATTTTACTCCGTCCTGATACAGATGAAAATATTTTATTGCGGACTTTTCTAGCTCTTGCGAACTGTGGCATATATACCACCCAATGAGGGCCGAGGAATAATTAACGTGAAATAAAAGAAAGAACACCTTGGATATAAGAGGGGGAAATCATTATGTAAAAGAAGTAATGATGAAACAAAGTATCTGACACAGCATTACAGATAGTAGTCAGCTAAAAGTAAGAGAGCATGGTTTTTCCTGATACACTACAGTGTTTATATTTGAGATTGAGAATTGCTGAGTTTTGTTAGACTAATGAGAAATCGGTTTAAGATGAAGAGAGAGAAAAACCAAGACGATTGGCTATTAGTTTTTGGACAAGTACTGATTACACTATAGGTAATTTACCTGCAAATATCTAAAGCCTGTTGTAAGCAGCAGCTATGCTCCGTACGGTGATATATAAAAAAATGAACAAATGGTCCCTTGCAAAGATTAATAGTTGGGCTTGGCCACTTATTACCTGTTGTACAATTCCAATTTTTTTTCTGCGCTTCTATCATGCTGCCATACTATCCAGCAGGTTGAGCAAGCAAGTTCATCGCAAATAGTGATGATAATAAAAGTGACTTTGGTTTTTTGAGAGAGTGAAAGGACTATAATGAGAATAATTATATATTAGTACAAAGCTAAAGTAGGTATATTACATTACCATGGAGTGAGAAGGTCAACTGTTTCCATCAGTACAGATCCTAATTCTTGTCTGTTTTTCAATTGTTGATACAAGACATCAGTTACACCCATTTGGTGACCGCAAACTATGTACACTTCTTCCCAAATATGCTACTACCAAAAAAAAACAATAAAAAGCTTAGTATTTTATAAGTTGGTGAAGAGGGGTAGGCAGTATTTGCGGTGGGCAGCTTAACAAAAAACACATCATGTTAATAGTTTGTACTCTTCTCCTACAAATTTGTCTTAGGCGTCTTGATCTTGCACATGCGTAATATTCTCTTGTATAACTTCTACTAATATCATGAAAGCCATCGCAATTATCATATAACGCTATAAAAATCTGTCCATAAGCAGACTGCATCCCACAAAGAGAAATTTTGCCTTGGTTTTTACCCCTTATCACATCACCAAAGAAAGAGACATCCGTATACTGTTTATAAAAAGCAGCAAATTTACGGAGATTTACTATGGTACAATTTAAAGAGACAATATAAATAGTATGACTATTGGTTTTTATGAAGTTGGCAAATGCTATGCTTTTCAATCTTTATGTATATCTACAGCAGATAATTGTGTAAAGCCAAAAAAAAAGGCGAGGATCGCAAGCACATAATATTGAAGCCCAAGTGGCAACTATATGCCTGTGCTAAATTTTCCTAAGCATATATAACATACTTCCTTTGTATTTTCATGGCATCATTAGCATTGCAATTGGAGCATAATCTCATTCATTATTTTTATTTAGAGAATAGTTTTTACTCGAAAGTTTAAATAGTTTAACACCTCATCTTTCAATTGACATCTAAACCTACTCATTTTAAGTCATGGTCTCTATGTTTAGCATAAAAAACAGTCAGGAAAGTCTATCCAGCTGCCATCTTAAGGGCATAACTCTTCCAATATTGGAGCCAGCATTTAATGTTAGAGTATAGCATTTTTGAAGTCGTACGCTAGATAGCTATTTTATTACACCCACACATATATATATATTACAAAATGTGTATTAGTGGCACAAAGCTATATATAATAAAAGACTGGGTAGGATAGAAAAAAAATAAGAGAAAAAAGGAAGATCCCGAAATATCTTCCTAAATCTCTTACTAAAATCCACATTGTTAAAAGCCGCTTATATCACCTTCAGTTATTATTAAATATGGAAGTCTGATGCGTGAACCATTAGTGTAACCATTCTGTATTTTGGGCATAATAAACATTTTAATTAATATAATGATAAGAAAAACGAAACCCAATGATGTGTTAAAGAAAGTCTGCAACTATATTAGAATGTCATATTCTTTTAAGGCAAATACTGTAGTATGAAGGATAAAGCCATAGATTCTGTACAAATAATTAATTGAACCAGAGTGATATATTCCACAATATTATTTATTCTTTAAAATGAAATAAAATAGTACAATATAAAAATAAGCATCAAATCATATAATATCATTGAGCATCTTTTTATCAACATTTAAAATTATCCAAAAATATTGAATTTTCACAAATCACAAACTAATAAGTTGGACCTATTAGATTAATATAGATATACAAGCGTGAATGCCCTAGTTTCTTGAACTGGATATTTGCGAAGTTGAGTCTGTGCAAGCCACATTTATTATTCAAATATGCCTTCATTTGTGTCCGACATCTTGCTTGTTTTCTTATACATCATTCTCAATGTCACAAGTGTCAAGGATTGAGGATCTACTACATGAACTAAATGAATGCAGAAAAAAAACATTATTGAAGTCATCCAAAGTTCCCAGAATTTCGCGTACCTCTGACCCAGCATCATTGGCAACTGGAATAACTGTGCTAGCCATGTCTGAAGTACCAGACAATGAACTTGGTAATGCCGTTTTATCTTACGATCAGAAATCAAAAGTGTATTTAAGCGCACAATATCTATTATGAATTCTATATTACAGATACACTTCCTCCTGTTTTATTCCACCCTGAATACGGAATTCTTTGTATTATAGGCATCGGCGGAAATGAACAGAAACAAGACTTTTTAAAGGCACAACTAACGCTTTTGGACTTTTTGGCATATTTTATACCAAAGGCTGGGTTGTCATTACAACCATACTGGGACTCAATTAAAGTTAGTCTTCTTAAAATCCATTACCTTACTCCTCTTCTAATCTTTTACGCTTAAACCTAACTGTAGAAATGTTGTTTAAAACTGTCCTTTACAAAATCAGCTCGTCTGCGAAATGCAGCGATTAATGTGATCTCAGCATTGATTAATGCCAAAAAGAATGGCTTGGATATTACTGTACTGGTCTGCAAAGATCTTTACGAACAGTAAGACTTTTGCTTGCCAATATTATTCATCTAGTTTAATTAATTCTTTATTTAATATAGTTTCGCCAAAGAATTTACACTTTCAGCTAGCCATGTTCCTTTATCGACAAAGGGAAAGGTCATTATATTACTTGGATCAATAGGGAAATTCTATCCAGACGCACTTGATGAAAGAAAAGCCCATACATATTTAGGATGGTGTATTGATGACTTGGATAAAGAGCTATTTAAAAATGAAATATCAAACAATCAATATATCGCTGATATACTTGAAGGATTAACTGCTTTTATTTCGAGTCCATTGTATCCATCAGTTTCTGGTAATGTACTCGTGTACGACATCCTAATAGGGGTCTGCATAATCAAAATCCAAAATAACACAATGGAACAGATTCCCTTGATAGCGAGAAGCTGTACAAGGCAGTTCTAGCTTTGTTAAATATGCCCGAAGACTTAACTCGTTACGCTGCACCCAGGGGTAAGATGAGAAAGATCGAATAATCTATCAGCATTTGGGACTAACCTTCGATAATTTAGCTGTGCTCGAGTTGATTGCGAACCACATGAATATCTTTGGCAAATATCTAGTCAAAGACAGTAAATTGATATACATGTATCTTGCTACTCTGGGTAACAGTAAAAATAAAGACATAGCTAAATCGGCTCACCTGGCTATGGAGTCCTTTTTGGAGCAGGTGATACATGTTTTACAGCGATCCTTTGGACTTTGACCCCCAAATTTAACATTAGTTCATTTTTTGTAGGTCGCAGCAAGTCTGTCCAAAAGCGCAACAAAATCAGAAGAGGGACAAGAAATTCTCAAAGTCAGTAGTTTAATATATAGCTATATATTAAATAAAGCTAACTATACTTTGTAGTTTCTTCTTGAGAAGCTTTTTAACACTATAGATGCAAAGCAAACTGAAACATGGTTCACTGGTTTATCGATGATAATTCGAAGTATCGGATACTTTGCGAAAGCATGTACTATATATACGAGTCCAAAAGAAGTCAAAGAATTATATGAAACACTCATCGAAAAATCTGGGTGGTTCTATTCAGAGTAAGTGGTGACCAATCTCAAGGCATTCTAAATAACGCAAATTATATAGTGAGAATAGATACAAGGCGCGCCTTATAAGATACATACCACCATTTGTTCAAACATTATGTCAGTTCTGTCATGCAATGGATGTCATACCAGATTCCATTATGGTAACAATTACAAAGTTGATGAATTTGTATATTGTCAATTATACTCGCCAGTATCATGCTTATCGAGCATCCGGAAAAGAGGCTACACAGGATCTTCTGTGGATGCTTTATGAAAAAGGAGAAGGAACATTAAAGAGATTCGCAGAAAAATTCTGTATGTTACTTGTTAAGATAGAAACTTAAAATTGTCTGTATACTCACACATCAATAATGTCTTTATTTCAGTTTACAACGCAATGATGTGTACATCGAGTAACAAGTACACTCTTCAGGAGTACAACGCAGCCTACCTTATCTTTTATGGATTTTGGAGAGCTATTCTTAACCAGGAGGGCAGAGAAGATAAATTCAGTCGTGTGGACAAGGCCAGCCGAAAGCATTTTGCTGATATACTTTACGACGAATTTTTAAATACTTTTCTGAGAATTGTAAAGACGTTCAACCTGGAAGTAAAAAAGATCGAAAATGGCGATGAGAACATCCAGGAAGCAGAAGAAGAGGGTCAAATTATTACTCCTACTTTGAACTCATTGGTACCAGTAAACGAGGAAGATTTTGTTCTTTTCCAAAATTTAGTTGACTTCTGGTGTTATCTGATACCATATCTCAATAACGAACGAATGGCTAGCTGTATTTATATTGTTGAAACAAATTTAATTGAACTCAGTGGAAAACACCCTTTAGTTAGTGGAATATATAAGATGATTGCTACAGTGTTGAGTACGTCAGAAAAGCTTGGAATATTCAACGGATATAAGGAAGTATACATGAAAGAACAACAAGAACGATCTGATATTGTCTTTATGTCGACTGAAACTCAGGTAAAAACATAGTAAAAACATAGTACTAACAGTAAATTGACCAACTAAAAATATATCTTTAAAATTTTCTTCCGGCAGACATATACATACAGCGCCTTTGTAGACTTACGCAGATATTTGAAAGAAGTGTGGCACAGACTTCAACAATACAAAGATGAACTACTGGCCTCCTGTTTGAGATTAGTTTTGGCATGTCCACGAGAATTTTTTGAAATATCTGAGCTCGTACCTCCAATGCAGACAGCGTTACGACTTGGTTTATCTTACAGCCCTTTGGCAACTACAGCTATGGATGCTTTTGAGAAATTATTTGAATCAGGAACCGAGATTTCAGAAGACTTGATTCATGTCTCCGCATTACTCCCACTGATGAACGAATACCTTATGCTGGACCTTCGAGCAAACAGTAAAATCAATTTCAAAGGAAGACGATACAGACATATACGACCGGCAACTATAAAAGCTCAGCAAAAGAGCCAGGATCGCATGTTACCTGAATTTCACAAGCCGTGGGCTGAATTCGAAGTCTTGCAAGAAACACAATTACGAATGATGCGCTCCTTGGGTAGATTAGGTGGTCTCAACAAGCTTATGCTAACACCTCAAGGACCTGAAGATAGTATCCAAAGAGGTCATAAGAGCCATTCTGGTCTTAATGATCAAGAGGCCGTGAGAGACACAAGTATCAGTCAACTGCTTGCATGGGATTCAAACAGAAACCTCAAACTTTGTATACCTTTTCCAAATGCCAATATTGAACTTACTTTAGGTAACAAAAAAATAGAAAAAAGCTTAAATTACACAAGAAAATGAAACATATTAAATTTTATGACTAGATGAGCTCTTGCCCAGAATCTGCGAACTTGCCGAACTTTCTCCAGATAGACAAACCAAGGTTGCCGCCTGTGAACTTCTGCACGGAATTGTATTGGTCATGGTGGGAAGAAATGCTTTTGAAAAAAGAAGCAGACATCAAAAAGAGGAATCACAGTATCACAAGATATATACACAGATATTCCCCGTTATTCTTCGGCTTGCAATAGACTCTGATCAAATCTCAAGAGCTATGTTCAGATCATTGACTCCACAACTGATTCACTGGCTGACAGACAACTCACAAAGTGAAAGTCCAGAAACAATAACCCTCTTACAAGTATGCATAGATGCAACCTGTAGTACAAATGCTGGTCTTTGTGACTATGGTGCAGACTGTCTGTATGAATTCGCCAAATCATCCTCTCAAAGAAGCGGAAAACACTCGAAAGAAGTACCTATGAATATCAAGTCTTTACTTAACCGTTTGCACGCCTTGGCATCTCATCCAAGTGCATCCAAAAGACTTGCCGCGGCTCTGATATTTAACCGAATCTACCCACTTTTCCAAGAGGAATATGATCTTGTGAATGAATATACGCTAGAGCTTTTTGGAAGGTTTATGCTTAGTTTGAGATTAGCAGAAGATGACCATCCCTCAATTGGTAAAATTAACATCTCTAAAGCAAACAAAAATGCTTACTGACATACTGTACATACTCTATATACATATACATATACATAGGTACTCAAGAGCAAACAAAAACGGCCATTAGCAATATCAAAGAAACGTTAAGAAAACATATATCTATGTTTTTAAACGAATCGCCGGTTAGAAGACCATTTGTCACTTTAGAAAAAACGGACCTTGCATATGCTGTCGAATGGAGCTTTAGAGAATCAGCACAACCACAGAAAGAGTATTCAAATGCCTGCATGGAATTCTTTGACCAGTTTGTCACACTTGCCTCAAGTTCGTTATAATATACTCTGATAATTGAAGTATTCTAAAACAAATATTTGTTTTTAGATGTCAGTGCTAAGGAATGGCTAGAAAAGCAACAATCGAAAACAAACGCATTTGTAACAGACATCTATGAGACTTCTCGCCTCAAAAATTCATCCAATTCCAAGAGTATGCGTGTGTCATCGTATATACTATGGATAAGACAGTTGAATTGTGCAATGAATGGATACACTTGGTTGATTGAAAGAGAAATTCTGGACAGCAAAAAACTGTTTCAAGACGAAACTTCAGTACTTCTTTCGACTCTAATTTTTTTTGTAGAAAATCCACCACACAGAGTAATTGAAAACTGGAAAACAGAAAATTCATCAAATAGGTCCAAAGTCAAAGCACTGTATGCATATGGAGTATTCCGACTATGTGCATTTTTGCACTCGATTGTCTACGTTGGAGGCCATGAATCAATCTCAATCTTAGAGAAGTCTGGACTTTTGCTAAGTAGTGGCATGGCTAGAATGATTGCAGAGATGCTTCTTTTACCTAAAAGAATTATTGAACCTTTGCATACAGAACAAGGAGGATTATTGGCCCATGTCAACTATAAAATTATTCAAAACATGCTCAAGAGTTTATTGTACCAAATGAAAGGAAAAGCCTCAATAGAATTTACACACTCTTTTGCAGCTGCAATTGCATCTGTCTTACAATTATCCGGCGTCGACTTAAATGATTTAGAGCTTGATCAAGGTAAGAGCTATATGTATTTAGATCGTTTTTTTCTTACATAAAATTAACGGTAAAAAAAAATAGCTTCCCTCAGCGATATACAACAGAAGGTGGAAGGAATCAAAATTTTACAGCTATCTGGCCTCCTTGATATCGTTTGTAAAGAGTTGCACAAGCGAGGAGCCAATGTAGATTCTGCTGCAGATTACTGTTGTCAGCTTTTAGACAAATTTATCGAACTCTGTTCAACAGACGAGCCTACCTGGATTGATATTTTAGGAAATATTCTTAAAATTGCATTTAATCAAAAAGGACTTGCGACTTCACAGGGCTCTGCTCTTCTTGTAAGTACTGACTAAATTTAGTGTACGTGTTTTCATTTCTTGATTCTAACGTTTTTCTATTAGGGTCTTACTGGCGTATTGAGCCAAAAAACCCACACCGAGAAGCTAACGATATACCAGAAATATAGCGATTATGTAAACGCTTTTATTTAATCCAGTGGACTCTTTCATATTAACTCATACCTGCTTTTATAGATTAACTACTGTATTTCATCAAACATTATCGAGTTCGCACCCATCATAATCGCTCAAATTAAGGACGAATTTACATGTGATGTTGTCCTTGGGCTATTTGATTACTTGAAGACCTGTCAAAGCGAATACTGGAATATAATGAAAACTTTCCTACAAAATGTAAGTCTCTACCTTCTCCTATAAATAAAATACGATGAGATTAACTATTATGCTTTTATTTACTTATAAAGCTGACTACAGGAACAACCTTTTTGAAAGACTTGTAAGTATATATTGGGGATTTAGCTATGTACTACTAACAAAATATCTTAATTTGCCATTAGGTTTTATGCATGGAAAAATACTGCACATTTGAAAGACTTGGTTACAATTTTTAAAAGAATATTTGAAGCATACCCAAAGATAATGTCGACTGTAAAAGATACACCTATATTCGACATATTCTGTGATGCTCTTTATAGCTTCTTAGATATTGACCAGCCATTGTCATTGAACTCCGAGGCATTTGATATATTGCCTATGTATCTTTGTTTGGAAAGTCCAAAGATTAACAAGGTTAGGAGATATACATATATCTTTTCTGTATATTTTTTATTCGGTACTAAATAGGTTATATGTATTAGCAGATTGAAGAGAATGTGGCCGAAATTTTAAAGCTACGTGCTGTTTCTTCAAATGATATAAGCATGAAAACGCAAGCGTGAGTTATCTAAAGCAAAAGCCGAAATAATAATTAAATATAATATTCACACTCTTAATTCTTTTCGCAGATTTTGCGAATACATGGACGCCCTGTACAAGCTACTCGATGATATTTCAGTACACCAAACTCGATCATTATTTAAGATTGTCATACCAATTATTATCCAAGACAACTATATACAATCCAAAATTATGAAACTAAAGGTCGATAGTGCCACGCATGAGATGGCTTTACAAGACTTTGACGATGCAACCCAATTTTGCTTTAGGTAAATTAAAATATTATTTGAATGAATATACATATTTGAGCTAACATATTCTCTAGTTATTTCAAAGACCCAAAATTAGAAGACAATGCAAGAAAAAATGCACTTGATATCACAATATCTATGCTTTCCGTTGTACCCGAGGATCAAATACTCTCTTTTTATAAAAAGAACATCATATACATTATGGAGAATATCATTAAAGAAGATCCACAGAACGAAGAAGAACAAAATGCTACCCATACTGTCGAAGAAAAAACCGGTTGCCTCAACCTTATGAAAATATCCTTTTTCTTAAAATTGAATAATTTACTATTACAGCTAACATCATCGTTCAACTTTTCTTTTCTTTCAAAAATTGGCCTTAACATAAATAATACATATTGTATGAGAATTGTTCTGTCGATAATGTTTATGGTGCTACAAGCGAAGTTGCTATCGAATGGGAAAAATATCGAAACAAAAGTGCCGGAGGAAAATTAATGTCAATTGACCTTGTTCGTGCAGCAAACCGTGTAAAACTTCAGAAGGTAAGTATTAGGATAATATTTAGCATGCTAATAAAATTTAATATTTTGTTTTTCTCTTTTTTTTTAGCATGAAGATTGTGCAGAAAACGACCTCGCAGCAAACAAGCACTTATTTTATCGCCAAACTGCTTACAACACCATAGCTGCGGCTGTAATGCGTACACAAACAGCAGAAAGTTTTTACGTAGGGTTTCTTTTTCAGGATAAACCTAATGAACCATTGTGGACGAGTATTATACCTATCAATCAAAAGCTCTCATTAACCGCACAGCTTCGCCAATATTTTAAGTCGAGACAGTTGAAAGGATTCGATGATTCACCGGATATAACATATTCGATATCGTCCCTTTCAAAAAGCAGGTGAATATTTGCACTTATTATCACGTATTATAATACTATATACATATTAAGCGGTTTTTTGTTATACATAGTCTATCAACGGCTTCTTTTTCTGAAGTAAGTGCACACAACGATCAGTATGAATATTAATAGACACATTTTTAAATTTAAATATGTTTATGTATGTACAGATGTTCGGAATAGTCCAAAATTTCAAGCACGGCTATTCTGGCTTAGATAACTATATAGAGACAGACCTTAATAATGAGGATACTCAGAATCCTGAGATTGGCGATGTTTCTACACGGTAATTACACTATAAAAATTAACAACTCTTGGCCTATGACTTATTCAAATTGTGATTATATGCTTATCCTCGTCCTTATTTCAGACCTCTTGAAATTGAAATGGATCAGTTTAATTTGAATCCTTGTATGGAATATTTAGTCGAGCTCATATGGATATTACACACAAAAATCACACCCCCTTCAAAAGACAACAATGATATGCCTGCTTGGATGGCTAATATGCATACTGACTTTAACGCTCGCGGTAATGTTCCTATTAGCCCTGAACGTATTTAAAATAGTTTACTCATATATCCTTGTATCTTATAGGTACACCTATAGCGATAAAACTAACCTTTGCAAAGATCATTATGAACTGCCCCGAAGCCTTTGAAAATTACGCTACACATTGGATACGTCCACTAATTAAATTGGTCACCGAAGGAGAAGAATACGGAGAACCGATGAATTATTTTGTTAGAGTGAGTGCATCTTTACTATGCTTTAATGCTTAAGTTTGGTAACTATATTAATATTCGTACGAACTTTACTAGGATATATGTACCGTTATTGTATTCTGGAGAGAGAAGGCAAAGCTCACAGACTCTGTAGAAGATAGATACATCTTGTTTGCCTTTTTGGTAAGTTTAAAGGCCGTGGTTTTTGGTTACAGTCTTATCTAAAAGCTAATATTATATCCTACAACTTTTAGAGATACTTAATGCAGCACGTCTTTCATGAAGATTTATATATCCGCAATGAAAATATTCGAATCGTTAAAGAGGTTTTCGACTGCTGGCACAGTAAAATGATCATCCCAACGGTATTATTCTTCTAGTTGAATCAAAACTTGTAAACTAAATACAAATACTTCGTTTTTCTAGAGAGAGATTTACAACCAAATATCTAATCCCGAGATATCGAGCCCAATCATTCAAACTGGACTTATACTTGCTCAGATTGTTTTGTCTCACGGAATTAATCCCTTTTATTCTGGTCCAGAAGTAGATCTAGAAGGCCTTACTAAGATCGCGTTTTTCTCCAAATTGGTAGATATTATTTCAAATACATATGTTTGCAATTACGGAGATGCTGCAGAGGTATGTACATCATTATTTTAGCTATCTTTCACTAGTATTCTATCTAAAAAAACAGGAATTCATTGCCTTCTATCTTTAAAAGGTTTCTGGACTTGCCCTCAAATATCTGAAAGAAAAAGAACCTCCTATTGCCAGCTTTATAAGAGAAAAACTTGTTGAGCAGGTATGTTATTACGATTATATAGTGAAGTCTAGTATAATCTTCATAACATTTTTTTTCTTTCATTCGGATTGTCAAAAGCTCCAAATATCTCAGAAGAGTTATGACAAGCTAGTCGTGTGCCTACATCGAATTATTCCACACGACAAAGATGTCTGTAGCCCATTCATTGAAAAAGTTGTGTGGATACTACCTTTGATCACTGGACCACGTTATCCGCTTGCGTTAGAGATACTGGCTACATGTAGCGATATGGCCCACAATGTGTTCCAAAGTCTTCAATCGAATGGTCTCTTGGAAAGGCTTCAATTTAAGTAAATACTTTTAAAGCTTATATATAATAAGTTTACTAAGAAAAGCCAATTGAATAAATAGGACTTACGCGGTTCAAATCAAGACACTCCAGCTTTTGAATGAAATTGCTGAAAATCTTATTGGTGAAGAAGTAAAATACGCAGTTGACCGTCTAACTCCAGTCATTTTGGAAAATGTCAACATTGATTGTAGAGTAAGCTTATTTATATATCAATTTCATGTTTATGTCTGCTACTTGAGAGGTTGCTAATGTACAATATATATTCGCATAGACTACATACTACTCATTCCTTAAACGAGTTTATAGTACTACCGAACTCACCATAGTGCTAAAAGCCCATTGTAGAGCTCACCTTATTCGAGGATTAATGGATAGCGACAAATCGATACAGGAAGACATTGTTTCTTTCCTACAGAATCAGCACAATATGACAGCAGATATATATAAACGTCTTCAAATTGTTTTAAGGTATTTATTATTCTTTATCTTGAAAGATATAATTTACAATTATAATAATGCATGTGAGAAAATAAAATGGTTGAGCTAACATAATATACATATAACAGTGATATGTATCTACCTGAGGTTGAACATATATACATTCTCTACAGCACATATATGTTATTAAATGTAGCAAAAGAGAGCGATGATTACTCCAAACCAGTTTTTGATAAACCGCTTCCAGATGCTCGATTTAATGACAAATATCAGAAAATCAACACATCATGGCAAAAGAATTTATCAATGGTACCCCTTTTCGTAAAGGTTCAAGACTTGCCAGAGGTATGGTGCTAACATTGGTTAATTATGAATTGCTTAAAATAACAACTTGTTTTTTTTTCGTAAAACAAATTAGGTGGATATTTCAAAAATTGCTTCCGATGTAAAAGAGACTCAAAGAGTACTTGCTTATGGACCTATAGAATCAGATGGTAAGATTTGTTATACTAGACCCTCTACAGATGTTTTATTTACTAATTTGGCTCATTTCAAAAAATAATTATTCAAAAAGAAATACCAACATACTCCACTTTCACACAATCGTTTAACCTGCCCGAAAATAACCCAGATGATATTATTCTAAATGAAAATTATGGCGAAGATTTTCACACCACCGAATTACTGAGGTATAATTTCATTTTAAAAAATAAATTGGCCAAAGTCTCTTTAGATGAATTACTCATAAGTGACAAACAACAACAAAAGTACTCCAATGAAAAGAAGAGAGCTTATGTACAATCAATTACATCGGATACTTCCAGAGAGTGCCACATCAAAAAGTCCTGTGTTTCTTCGGCACAAACAAGAGAAGCTGCATATACGTCTTGAGAGATATCAAGCTTTTCAGAAAAAAGCAAGAGAGAGAAAACTTACAATGTACAGAAATTATAGAATTGGTATGTCTTCTATTGAATATTTTGCTCAATCTTTAGAGCAAAAAATCCGAACTACTAACTAATACAATACTATATATTCAGGAGAGTTACCCGATATTCAGATAAAATACATGGAGCTTATTGACCCATTGCAAGCCTTGGCACGAAAAGATAACGAGATTGCACGCTTATTACATACAAATCTGGTCGTATCTATATCCAACTACGCGGATAATAACAAAAGCATAGTAAGTATCCACACACACACGTATAAATATATAGTATAAAAAAACTCTCCTCTCATCCAAACTTTTCTTTTGTTTCTCGCTTTATAAAAGACAGGATATGTATCAGAGATTATGAGCACAGTTCGTGAAAATCTTGAAAAGAGTACCATGTTTTTCTCACCGACTGTTGGATCATTCCTCAGAGTATCTTTTGAACTGGACGCAAATTGTATCGACAGTTCTTTGATCAATCTGGTCAGTGAGAAAAGTTTTAACCAGCACATTGGTATTGCCCTGGTTGAAAAACAAGTCGAAATAGAAGAAGTTTCTGAAAGAGGTATATTTCAAGAATGATAAGTGCCTATATGGAGATATAAATAGAGAAGCAGAGAGATAAAGTGCTGAGATGTCTGCATATAGAAACAAAGAAACCTCGTACTGGTTATGAAAACAAATTGCGAGACACCAAATTGAAATGGATCAACTTAGCAACCATGTATAAGTCAATTGATGAGCCAGAGTTTTTCCAGAGTATCTATAAAATCAATGTGGCCACTGAAAAATTGCCCAAAGGTAAAACAAAACGAATTCGTATATTTGTCTATGCCAATAAATTTTATAGTGTATATTAACTTATCTACTGCTTGATAAAAATAAACAGAGGCTATCGATTTTGAAGTTCGCGGAGATTATGAAACTGCTATAAAAAAATATACAGAGTCGTTCAATAAATTGAAACAGAATACAGATACACGAGAGGTATTTTAGATAAAATGTAGAGACAAAGACTTATTTTAAAAATTTACACCAGGTATCCGTGTGGGCTCAAGAACAGCTTAAATGTCATGAAAATCTTACTCAATGGGAAGAAATTGGCAAAAGTGTCAAATCTGTATTAAAAGATGGAGATTACAACTCTCTTTGGGATTCTGATATTCAGGTAAAAGGGAAATCGTAAATTCATAAATACATTTTCCTTAAGCACGCGCGCCTTTATTTATTATTAAATTTCTACTAAAGGATCCATATCTGCGATACTTTGTAAGAACTTTTACAAAGATACGTAAAGGAATACATGATGAGGATGGCCAATTGGTTCCTTGGACTTCAAATAACCCAAACCCGCTATTTGAATTCATTTCTTCTGCAATCCGATCACCTAAAAAGTCGAATTATCTGATTCACTCTCATCCGTGTGGTAAGCTAAAAAAGGACAAAGAAAAAAGAATCAACGATATGTAATTGCATAATTATGTTATTATGAGTAGATATATCGCTTGCTTCAATTTACAAGAGAGATTACCATAAGGCTAGACAATATATTGCCAATGCCTACACTACCTTGCTCTCTTTGTGGACAAGTCTTCATCCTCTTGCTCACGTTACTAGGCTTTCCAAGCTCGCTGTACTTCACAGGGTAATATATATATAATTATAATTATAATTATAATAGTGAGCACTATATAACTGGCTTTATTAAGTATACTTACTAATTTATCTGGTAAAGACGGTCGAACTGGAAGATTTTTTGAATGTTATGGCAGATAATCAAAAAAGTAATGGTGACTTCGAATCTCTTCAGAAATACATCAATTCTCTCTCTGCAAGATATCCCGATCATATTTTAGACCCTATGGATGCTTGGGATGATATTATTGAAGCAAGACTGGTTTTTATAGACCATTTAGAAAACTTGACGGATTCATCTGAGGTAATGTGTTTTTAATCAATATATATACACATATATAAGGGAAGGTCTCAATGAGAAATTAACATATGTTAAACCAACTTTTTTCTATTTAGGACGGTTATGATATTCGCCCATATTTTTTCAAGGGTAGAAAACAATTTCTGAAGGAAATGACTTCGGCAGCAAAACAACAAAACAACTTTAGCGTGGCAATTAACCGTTTTCAAAGACTTGAGAATCTTGGAATGTCTCCTCTCGAGAAGGTTCATTCATCAATGCAAATTACTCTCCAGTTAGCCTCTTTCTCAAATGACATTACGACTCGCATGGAGTTAATTACAAACGCACTTGGAAAGATTATGAGACGACAGGTAAACATTAGAAGCTTCTATTAAAACAGTAACATTATTTTTCTATTTACTGACAAAAGGTTTATAATGCGATATATTATAGGAGCTTGAAGGAAGCAGCCAAGAGCACTATGCAGAATATCTTATTACTACGGCAAAAGCATTTGAAATGGCCCGAATTGAGTTACAGACAGTACCATCTGTGTACAGTGAGATTCTAAAGAGCACCCAGGTTTCAAACATTTTAGACAAGAGGAACTTCAAGGATGCTAAAATGGTGGCAAATCATTTCACAAAATCAGGATATGCTGCTCTAAGAGATGCATATAGTGTGTCTATAGAGGGTGTAAGTTGATTCTCTGTCATTAATAACTATCTGCCAAAATGAACTTAACTTTTTTAAACAAAAATCTGATTATGTTTTAGTCATCAATGCAGTCTGAATGCTATTGGAATCTTGGAGAATATTGCGACAATGCTTTACGCTCCAACTTAAATGGAACAACGAAGATTTTGGCAAGTAAATTATAGCCTATGTCTCAAGTTTTTAGTATGTTAAATGTATGAATGGTTTTTCCAGGTCAAATTTGACGTAGTTCAGTATTCAAAAGTGGTCATAGACAGTTATTTTAAGGCTATGGACCGGGGAAACAAACATGCGATTGAAAGATTACCAAGACTTTTGGAGATTATTGAACTATCCCCGGTGACAGGCGAAGACTTTAAACTTGCGGTAAGAAAGAAAGACAGAGAAAGGGAGAGAGAAAGATGAATATTTTGATTTTTTCTTTCTTCCTTTTTTTGTACGTTTTATAAAGCTATATGAAATATTAATTTTTTTGTTTGATTATTGTCATTGCTACTAGGCCGAATCGTTTGGGGCGACATGGGTTTATATACGATGGATCCCACAGCTAGTCGCTCTTTTAGGTTCATCTTTGGCTGAATATGTCTTTCCTGCCTTAGTAAAAGTAAAATCTTATATTTAGCTTTCAGTTCCTTATAATTGCCCTCACAAAAGCTACTAAATATTAAATACGTATATGGATAACCATTTCTTTTTATGTTTTGTGTACTTTAGATGTCAAAGTCCTACCCAAATGCGCTCTATTATCCATTTCAGATCAGCCGAGAACAGTTTGGGATTAAAGACAAGCTGGTATCTGAAAGCCAAGAAAGAATCTTGGCCATCAAAGATATCATTTATTCACCACTTATCGAAGAATTTACAACTGAGTTGCGTCGATTGACAAATCCAGAACATATCACCAAAGACTTTATAGATTTTGTTCGGGCGATTTCTAAAGGCGAAGATATTAACCCAGATATCATTGAATCAGAATTCAAGCAGTTCGATGAGCTTGTACTTAATCCTTCTAATAAACGAATGGGAAAAATCTCAAAAGCCTTTGCTGTCAAGCATGCTTCACAACTACGCGAGTTTATGGGTAAGTAACAGAAAAAATTATTTTAGTTAGCTTTCGATATTACAAAGATTTGATAGACTCAAAATCTCAACATCATGTCTTTATTGAGGGATTGACTGTACGAAGCCGCAAAGACAATTGTTAGCTAATTAATAATAACAAAAATAATAGGAAGCAATGGAAAAAAAATTGCAAAGATGTCAGAAAAAGAAGCCGAGAAGATGCGAGTTTACTTTAATAACTATATTACCAACGAGAAATTGCCTGGTTCTCCCAACTTGTTACAGTCTTATTCTCCTTGGTTATCTGATTTCCAGAGTACTAATTACGAAGAGGTTTGATTTGATTTGAATTAAGTTTAATTAAAATTAATTAAATCATATTGGGGGAGGGGGGGTTTAAAAGAAAATGTTAATTCCTAATACTCCTTTTATAAAACCCTTTGTTCTTCTTTTGATATAGGATATTGAAATACCTGGACAATATACCGGATTAGGAATCCCTCACCCTGAACATCATGCCAAAGTTGCAAGTTTTGAAGAGAATATCATGGTTCTACAGTCACTGAGAAAACCAAAGAAAATTTGTATTTACGGGTCTGACGAAAAAGAATATAATTTTCTTGTAAAGGTATGTTAGTGAAGTGACTTATGCTTTATGGTTTATATTTAATATAACGGGTTTATATAATACTTTTAAGGGTGGAGAGGATCTTCGTCTTGACCAGAGAATCCAGCAGCTCTTTACAGTGATGAATGAAATGATCAGAAAAAATACGTTTTGTGCACGTCAAGATATTTCTGTCACTACATACAAGGTAGTGTATACACCGTCCTTTTTTTAACATTATCTTGTTCAACCATCTGTTTTCTGTAAAAAGCTTGAGGAATGGTAAAATTTCACACTGCATTTATTTACTTGACAAAAAAAATAGGTTATTCCTATGGCAAGTAGCATAGGAATGATTGAATGGCTTGATAATACGAAAACACTTAAATCATGTATCGAAGAACAACTGGGTGATAAAAAGGCGCTTACAAAGGCATACAACGAGTACCGCTCATACGTCGCGAGTTTTAAGGGGAACTTAATGGGTACACATCTTTATCATTCCTTACATGCACTAAATATATAGAGTAATCCCTTTAGTTTAAGCAGATTCATTGACATTCATACTTTAAGGATATCTCAATCTGTTCAAGGCTCCAAGAAGTGATGTGGTTGGACGATTTCAACGGATCCAAGCTTTGTTTGAAAAGGATATTTTAAAGAAATATCTTTTCAAAATGGCAGCATCTCCAGAAGCTTTCTTATTCATTAGAAAGGATTTTGCTCACAGCTTCTCGGCCATCTGTATTGTTGGATATTTGTTAGGTAATATAGCTACAAGTAAAGAAAAGCAAAAAGCAAAAACCTGTATTAACTGTATCTTTAAAAACTGTCATTGTTTGCATAAAAAAACCTAAAATAATACTAGGAATCGGTGATAGACACATGGAAAACTTCTTGCTTGATATGACAAGGCTAGTTCTTAAGTATAGCAATTTGGTTTATAGTTAGGGTCTCATTGGTTCTTAAAATTTGTAGTGGTCGCCTCATATGTATTGATTTTGGCTACGCTTTTGGCGCTGCTTCCGAGCTACTCCCTGTACCTGAAATCATCCCATTCAGACTCACAAATCAACTTGTTGGAGTCCTTCAACCGTTGGGTGTTTCCGGGGTGCTTGAAGTGGCTATGACTAATATTCTTCAAGGTAAGATAATATAATAATTCAGCTTTGATAGCAATTTCTAACATTTTTCTCTAGCAATTCAAAAAGACACCCAAATACTTCTAAACACTATGAACGTTTTTATTAAGGAGCCACTCTTGGATTGGAAAAGAGCTGCTAAAAAGCAGGCTGTGTCTCAGAGTGAGTTTAAAAAAAAGCTTATTTAAGATAAATTTTGTAGAATATTTAACCTGCTTTATTATTATATATGTATATTTTATTGGACTTAATTAGAAAATACTAGCAAGGCCACAGATTCGGCTTCTTTGCCATTATCCAATAAAGATACAAGTGAATGGTATCCACAACAAAAGCTTGAGAACGCTAGGCGAAAACTTACTGGTGAAAACCCTACAAGTAAGAAAATAAACTTTTGTAAAGCATATATTCGAGACAAGGGAAATATAAAAATCTAACACAAGAAATCATTTTTATTTATTTTATTTAAAACACAATAGCAATTGTTTTATCTGAATTGGCGATGGGACACAAAGATAAATATTATTACAGTGGTTTAGAGACTGTTGTTCGTGGAAGTCCGTTATTAAATATGCGGGCAAAAACTGGAACTGTGTGCCAAAATACAAAGGAGCAAGTGCAATGCCTTTTGGATCTTGCTACAGACCCTAACATTCTTGGGAGAATGTGGGTTGGGTGGGCATCATATCTTTAGATCAGCACATTTATTTACATAATCTATCTAACAAGAAAAATAAAAGGCATATTATACTTGTAGGTCATTTGGTGGCCCAAACATTCAACTTTCATACAGGATTTCCACTCCAAAAGTTATATTTTTTTTCAAACTATATATTTTGCAAAATCAAAACTTTCATTTTGTGCTCCAACTATATATGAAAAAAAATAAATTAATTAATGCGGATAGAAAGAAATTTAAAGCAAATTAATAAAGAGTATGAAGAATGCTAATATGTGCGATAAAGTATTTAAAGAATGTCTACACTGTTTATTAAAAACAATATAAGAAAACATGCAATGTCAATATATTGTTATAAGAAAAGTATATAATGCTAAGTTTGTAATATGGTTTTGAGAACTGTCTTTATCTATTATCTTTTTCTATACTCAAATCCTCCAACATGAACTCCAATCGAATCGCTATCGTTAAGAGAAGAAAGAGAAATGGACCACAAAAGGTTCTTCCGATCCACATCAAGAACATGATTGTGGAGAAATATTATATAGAAGAGTCCATGACCCGAGCCGAAGCAGCCAGGGCATTTGGTGTCTCATGGCTGTCGATTAACAACATCATCACCAAGTTCGAGAGGGATGCTACTGTAGAGCCCAAGAAGCGAGGCGGCTCGCGCGCGGAAAGTCTTAAGATAACCGATGAGCATTCGAAGTTCATTCAAGACCTCTTGGACGAATGCTGCACCTTGACTCTTGGTCAAATGAGAGAGGAACTGTTTAGAAAATTTCCAGAGCTTCAAGAGCAGAACTTGAGCATCAGTGGCTTACATAAGCACATTATCAACAACATCAGGTTCACATTGAAGAGAACCAAGCCGGTTGAGGAAAAAAGAAACGATCCGAAGACTATTGAGCTGAAAAAAGTATACATAGACAGTATGCACACAAATGGTTTATCATATAAAACCAATTGCATTTTTTTGGACGAAGCAGGCTTTAATGCAAACCTGATCAGAGGACAAGGGTGGTCCAAGAAAGGCAAGGCCAGCATTGTGAAGACGAAGTCGAAAAGGGGACTAAACATCTCAATTCTTGCCAGTATTTCTTACCAGGGTGTTGAGAGTGTGCAGGCGAAGTTGACCCCTGGTGGCACGACAGGACCAATTTTTGTTGAATTTGTAAAGACGATTATGGATTTGCTCGACCACGGTAATGCTGCCCCTCACAACTTCATTATGGATAATGCCTCGATCCATAGATCCCACCTTGTCACTGAATTGTTTGCTAATTCACGACACCACCTACACTTTCTCCCCCCATACTCTCCTTTCCTAAACCCGATTGAAGAGTGCTTCTCCAAACTCAAAACACTGGTCAAGAGAAAGCCTGGGTTGGTATGTGGTCAATTATTGGAGTATATTGCTGAGTGCTCCCACCATATTGCTATGGAAAACTGCCAAGGCTGGGTTGATCATAGCATTAGATTCTTCCCCCAATGTACAAATAGCCAAGAAATAAATTGATTTTTTTTTATATATAGTCAGAGCACAAAATGAAAGTTTTGATTTTGCAAAATATATAGTTTGAAAAAAAAATATAACTTTTGGAGTGGAAATCCTGTATATGGGAAATTTTCTTTTTAATTTTGTTAAAAACATTACACAAACCTCTCTAATGCTTTTTTATTAATATAAATGTTGGAGTATTTATACAGATTTCTTAAAAGTGAAACTATCTAAACTAATTATTTTATCTAAGAAATATTAGTTTTACATTTATGGAAGGTAATATAATACAGTAAAAAACACTATACAAGGCGCACAATTCGAGAAAATAAGGCGCACAATTCGAAAATTTAAGGCGCACAATTCGAGAATTTAAGTCGCACATTTGAGTGTATGCTATATTATGTAAAAAATGAGAAATCACAAAGGTTCTTTATTTTCACATTTTGTGAACTGGTTTACAGAATGCTGAATGATGTTATGGTAGTCCTCATCGCTAAGACTACGCCATCCATCCTCGATTCTGGTGAGAATAGTCTCATTGTCATTCAAACTCTTTCTTCGCACTCTGTCCTTCACCACTTTCCAAAACATCTCAATAGGATTGAGTTCTGGAGAGTATACTGGAAGGTATACCGAATTGTATCCCCTGGAGGAGATATATCGACTGATATCTGCACTCTGGTGAATGGGTGCATTATCCATCACCAGGAAGTTCCCCTTCATCTTTGTTGTAAATGAGTATTGACTACTGCTGTAATTGAGAATAAGTCTGAAGGAAATAACATAAGGCCTCAGCTATTCTAGTCAAAGGTGTCTACCGATTACTTTATTATTTAACACACAGGTTTAGCATGCATGATAGTGATTATATTTCATATGATGATATTACCATAATATGGGATACATCAGTGAATTATTATAAGCATAATTATAACTCATAAACACATTTACTTTCGATGTTAATACTTCATTGGGACTACACACATTTATATAATTAATCATACATTAATTATCCCAAGATCATGTTGCTCTGATTAAGGCTCAGATAGGATCGATTACCCAACCCCAGTCATATAATTTCCCCAATCCAAAACAATATAAATAGCAGTAGTAGTTCAGTGTAGGAACCTGGTCAAACTTTGATATAAAATCCTTTCTCAATAAACAAAACCTACACAAGTTCTCACGAATCTTCGTTCCTAATCTCAAATCTTCAATTCTTCCTCTTAAAAACTTCTTCAACTTCAACCACCACAACAATCTTGGCATACTTGTCCATCTCACTAAGAACAGCTTTCACAAACATAAAGAAATGCCCGGCCACTGTACCCTTTGAGCTGGACTCACCAGAAGAGGACTGCTTGCAGAACTTAGGATTCCTCAAGCTGACGTATATAAGTCCTTTGGCCGATATAGCCCCAAGAATGGTAAGAGGGTGGGACCTGGTGGTTGGGGTGGTGGTGACTCCCTTCTTTCCCTTCTCGGACCATCCTCTTCCATGCCGCATGTTGATATCGAAGGCAGACTCGTCCAAGAAAACACAGTTGGTCATGTAGTTGGCACTTGTTTTCTTCATCTGCAGAATCCAGTTATATCTTGCCTCGATATTCTCCTCACTGTTCTTTGCTACAGGCTGCTTATAGACCTTTTTGAATGTGAGGTTGCATTCGTTGGCCATAAACCTCCTGACAGTCTCTTTCGACACGTTGATCTCGCCAAACACTGAGACAAGATGGTCCATCATGTCTTTAACGTAGACAGATGCATCTTTGGCAACGAATTCTTTAATGCACTTCTTATGCTCGTCGGTTAGTCCTTTTTTCCCGCCCTTCTTGCTACGATTGAACAAGTTGTCTGGGTCTTTATCGTACTTCTTCACCCAATGTTGTGCCACTCTGGCACTTATATTCAATTGCTTTGCTGCAGCCTTAGCACTAAGCAATTTCTCATCCTTCAGCTTGAAAAACTTGATGATGTTCTCATCAGTGTAAGTATTACGCTGACGAGTAGTCTTGCTTCTTTTTGGTGGGGGGATGCTTGGATTTCCCACTTGGTTCTCTGTCTGGTCACTCTAAATTGGATATATATATTTAAATACGTTTTTAATTACCACTTTTTTTTAAAAAAAAATACCTCTGAGACTTCTGAAATCCTATCTCTATTTCTTGATTCAAGGAATTGGGAATGGGTTGCTATTGTCTCAAGACCATGATAATCCTCATCAATTATATGACTCAAAACTTGAGAACCGTCTTCATTAATGCTTTTTCCTTGACCATCTTCGTATACAAATTTAAAGGAGGACATTTTGTTATATTAAAAGCTGAGATAATTGAGAAAGGAAGTGTATATTGTTTTCTTTATTATAAGTAAAGCTTTATATATGCAATTCTTTTTGTGAAATTCATTCACAAAAGTTAATAGAGTCAGTCACAATGTATTACAGTAAGCCACGTTATATACACTGAAACTAAGGCTTTTGGTTTTATAGCTTCTTGTTGCCACTAACATTTTGAAAAAATCTTTTTATTTCTTAGGTGTCATATATAAATGGGACTTGATGCACTTCTTGCATGATTTTCTGCAAGGAAAACTAATAATACGTGCTTGGTACGTCACTTTTTGTTTTTCTAAAAAAGAAATTAAAATCTTAAAAGTGCGCCTTATTTTTTCAAATTGTGCGCCTTAAATTTTCGAATTGCACACCTTACAAATGTTTTTTACTGTATGTCTTAATTAAAAAAAAGGGGAACCAATCGGTATAACATTGAGGGCATATGTTAAAAGGAATAACCGATTGGATACCTGACTTAAGGATTTCTATCTATGATGTCAACTCTGACATGACAAAAATTAATAACTTCATTGTTGTTTCGAAAAATAAGCACCCCCGACGGGGGTCGAACCCGCAATCCTCAGATTAGAAGTCTGAAGCGTTATCCAATTACGCCACGGGGGCTGCTGTGATTTGTCACGTGTGCTGTAAATAACTCAAGCTTTAAACAGCTTCTGGTGATGGATACCAGATGGTGGATTCCTTCGGTGGTTTGGTCCGGTGGTGAGCCGTGACGGGTGGTACCAGACTCGTGGACATTGATGTCGACGGTGAGTCAACCAAGTGATGTGTCTCGAGGGACAAGAGTGGTTCCCCCAGGTTTCTTGGGAAATCTTGCTCCCGATACCCCTATACCCAAACCCCCCAATATAATTCTGTTCCTTAAAATTAAAATACCCATCTATATTGTCACCTCAGAAACATCTGTCATGTGGTGATCCAGGCACTTGGTTGTTGGATTTATTACATCTAAGAACATATTCCTATTATTATAGTAAAACAGCTATCATTACAAGAACAAATGAATAATTTATTTATTTTACTTATGGTAAATCAATAAGACCAATAATTAATTACAGTAAGTACTATAATTATGACAGCTCAGTAAGTACTGAGTTAATATGAGGACACTGCAATTAGATTAAATTATAAACATAGCAGTACCAGCTCTCTAATATCTAAATGAACTCAGACTTAAGAAATTAAGATGTGACTGATAAAGCAGATCGTGTTTTGATATAAAAAGGACAACTTTGTATTCTTTAATAAAGACAACCTATATACAGTCTCAAAGTATTCTTATATACGTCTCAATCTTTTTACTGTTGATTTTATTCTATAAAACTTCACATGTCACCCACTAAAAACATTATACCTCTTTCCCCTAATTTTATACACTTCTTTATTGCCGACATTTATTTACACTATTTTTTATTATATTTTATTAGATTCCATTATTATACTATTATTATATTTTTTACTTTACTTTACTACATTGTTATTATATTATTACTTTACTTCTATTCTACCTTACTATATTTTTACTTTATCTTTATTCAATTATTATATTTTTACTATATTTTTATATTACTTTCTCTATAATTTTCTATTCTATTTCTACTATCAACACCAGTTACATATAGTAAAAATTTTCACTTGACTTTCTTTTCTTTTCCTTAAAAAATTATTTTAACCAAATATTTTTATTTATAAAAGGAACAATCTTTTCAATCAATAAAATCATCATTCTATCCTTGATCTTATTTATTTTTGTCCATTATTATCATTATTCTTCATTCATACACAGTGTTCTTGTTGTGGTATTTCAGGTATAAAACAATAGAAAAATAAAATATTTGATAATAGAGACATATAGAAATACTTTGAGACTGTATATCAGTTGTCTTTATTCATAAATAAAAAGTGTCCCTTTTTATAAGAAAAGACAATCTGCTCTTGTCATTACCTCTTAGTTTCTTAAGGCTTTCTTCCTTTACTATATTTGGTTATTAGAGTGTATTTACTGCTTAACTAGTGTCGGTGTTACAATTATGACATCAAGTCATAAATTATACTTCTTTAGCTCTTAGCTATTCTTTTCTCTTTTATACTAGAGCTTTAGGACTTCCTACTAAATTGGCTCCATATTGATCTGACACAGTTTACCCAGCAGTATGATATAATTATCTTAACAATCTTTAAGATATTATCTACAGTACTAACTGTAATAATTATTGGGCTGATTACTTAATCGTTTATATATATTTTATACTGACAAGATGATAGCTACTATGCTATCCCAATATGAATATGTTCTTATATGTGATAAATCCAACATCCGAGTGTCTGGATCACCACACTCGTTCTTTAGAGTGTTGTCTGTCAATCTTGATATATTTTGTTTCTTTGTTTTCCCTTTTTTGTCTTTCTCAAACTTTGTTATTGTCACAATTTCTATTTTTATCTTCTCCCTATTTTTCTACCTGTCTGTCACCAATTTTTACCTGTCAAATTACCTATTTTTTCTATTCTTATCATATGCTTCTTCTTGTATTTCGTAATTCACATTATATTTATTTGTTAAGTGATACTGTTGTGGTGGTTGAAGTTGAAGAAGTTTTTAAGAGGAAGAATTGAAGATTTGAGATTAGGAACGAAGATTTATGAGAACTTGTGTAGGTTTTGTTTATTGAGAAAGATTTGGTATCAAAGTTTGGTCAGGTTCCTACACTGAACTACTACTGCTAATTATATTGTTTTGGATTAGGAAAATTATATGACTGGGGTCAGGTAATCGATCCTATCTGAGCTTTAATCAGAGCAATGCGATCTTGGGATAATTAATATATGATTAATTATATAAATGTGTGTAGCCCCAATGAAGTATTAACATCGAAAGTAAATGTGTTTATAAGTTATAATTATGCTTATAATAATCCACTGATGTATCCCATATTATGGTGATATCATCATATGAAATATAATCACTATCATGCATGCTAAACCTGTGTATTAAATAATAAAGTAATCAGTAGACACCTTTGACTGGAATAGCTGAGGCCTTATATTATTTCCTTCAGACTTATTCTCAATTACAGCAGTAGTCAATACTCATTTACAACAGAAGTAATATCAAGAAGTGTAAAGGAACAAGTGCAATGCAAAGGGAAGCAAGCTAAAAAGGAAATAAAAATCAAGAAAAAAATAGAAAAAAAGGGGAAAAGCATTTAAAGTCCAGTGGGAATTTAAATGTTAATAGCAAGAAAAAAGGAAAAAGAGGGAGAGAGAAAATAAATCCAAGAAATTGGATTTTGTCATGTCCGGAGATAGAGTCACGACTTTGCACTGTCCATAACTTAATAGTCTGTCCATAAGTTGATGTCACATCAAACAAATATACATTTTTGGTCAATGTTAGAACATTCTACAATACTCATGTCAAGGTCTCCTTGCTAAGCAAGACCACTAAAATGAAAGAACTGATAATCAGAGGGAGTCATAGCAAGCTATCCATGCAAGAAACTAATGGTCTACATGCTTGACTTGTACATCGGGTACCATAAGTTTATGATTATTGAATGGAATAAGGAAGTCACCGTTAACAGCACCTTGAAGACAGCAGTAGTTAGGGCCAGTAAGGTGATATGTTCCATTATTATTAACGTGAGTAACAGTCATTGGCCCAAGCCAACGATCCAAAAATTTATGCGGCGGTTTCTGGTTGCGCATAAGAACTTGTTTGCCAGGAGAAAAACGACGACGTGGAAAAACTTGAAGGTCATATTGTGCCTTATACTTCTGTTTCTTTTCATTGGCGCAGTTACGAGCTTCAGGTCTTAATTCGTCTATCATATGTTGTATAACCTTGGTGTGACAAGCAATTTCTTCAACAGGATTGCCCTGCACAAAATCGGTTCTGAGAGCAAGCCAAGTAGCAGGAGTACAAAGATTGTATCCATAGAACAACCTTGCAGGTGTGTGGCCAGTTGTATCATTATGCATCATGCATAATGCAAGTAGAGCTGAGGTGACATATTTGTCCCAAGTGGTAAGAGCATCGTTGTTTCTAACAATCTTTGCTAATGTTTGGGTGAGTGTCTGGTTGAGCCTTTCACATAGGCCATTGGTTTGGGGACGATATGCTGTGGTGGTCAAATGTCCACATTTGAGCAGTTTAAGAAATTCACAAATATAGACAGAAGTGAAGTTACTGCCACGATCAGTAAGAATAAAATTTGGGACGCCATATGAAACAACAGCATGATCAAACAAGAAGTCAGCAGTAGTTTCTTTGATTATATCTTTTACTGGTAGGGCGATTGACCATCTTGTTAAATAATCTACAGCAACTAAGAGGTATCAATAACCATCTTCTGTCAGATCCATTGGGCCAACTGCATGACATCCAATCATGTGGAAAGGATGTATGGAAGTGTCAATAGGTTGTGCTGGTTTAGTTCTATTATGTGGTGTCTTGGTCCTGACTTGACAGGTCACATAATTTTGAATGACTTTTTGGGTTTACTCAAACAGACAAGGACCAGTATACTGCAAACAAAGCTGAGAATATATGTTGTTGACACCGTAGTGTCCTTCTTTGTGGACACGCTTAATTACTTCTTTGACTATGCCTTCATGTAATAGTTTCTGGACAATGGGAGAAACAAGATTTTTATGGAACAATTTATGGCCATGGACTTCGAATTTGGAAGCTTGTCTTCAAATCTTGCACGTAATGTTTTTGGTTGAACCAGTTGGATACTCTCCACTTCTGGTTAGGTAATAGTAAATCAACAGGTAAAGTGGATACTCCATTCTTACAATAGATGAATTTGGAGAAAATGACAGGGTAAAATCAAGTAATAAAATAAAATGTTTTTATGTTTTTCATGGGTACTTTGGTTGAATGAAGGTTTAAGGGGTTTTTAAAGCCAGATTTAAACTACCAATATAGATAATATCTCTATGAGTTTTCAGAATCAGATCAATGTTCTTAAGCTAAAAACCAATCATTTTTTGTGTTCTACATATCTGTGTTTTAATATCTTTTTTTAAAATTACTCTGCAAATATTTGTCCTATAATAACGGCAAAACCGGATTTGGATAGTCTGAATTTCGTAGATATTAATCAATAGTCGTCACATTTTGGTACTGTTTTTTGTTGTGAAGATAATGCAGTTTCAAAGTTTATGTAAAAATGGTAACAAATATGCTTTTGAATTCAAGGCAATACATAAAATATAATAAATATTTTTTGACTGCATATACTTGTGGTCACTTGTTACAGTTACAGTTTGCTGATGCAGAGAGTCTGGTTCGATTCTAGCTGGATACATTTTGCACTCTGTATTTTTTATTTGATTTTTTTTAAGATGTAAAGCTTATCTTATACCTATTTGTCAGAGTTGACATCGGTGACCAAAATCGGAAGTTACAAGCAACCAGTAATGGTTGACTTTTTAGGATAAAAGATCTTGACTTCGCCGATTGGTCTTTTGTCTATGTTTTAGATGTTGGAGATGAGAAATATACTTGTAGAGATATTACTGGATAACCACCATCTAAGACATATTATCATAACTATTCTTTTAGTCAGAAAACAACAATCGTGTTGTATAAATAGTCAAGAATTACATTTAATAAAAATCATCTTTATTTTTATCTAAAAACTATTCTTAAAAACTTAACAATCCCCAGTGATATTGATTCTGCAACTTAGTTACAAGTGCCAGAAAAGAAATACCAGATCGAGACTTGACATATTATTAGATGTTGAATGGTGTTATTCTTTTGATATATTTAAATTAAAATGTATTTATGTTTTGTTTTTATATTATCATTTTAATATTATTAAAACAAATTAATTTAAATCCAAATTTCTTATATTTTTTTATTAAACCATTATAGAATCAGTATATTCTTCATCTTCATCATCTTCTAAATATTCATAATTTGTAAATATTGGGTTGTCAACAATGCTTCCAAAAGAAATCTCAGCTAACGTCTTTAGTATTCCTTGCCACAATCTGTTCTCATATTTTTTTCTCCATATGAATTCTATCAGCATCTATGGCACCATTTGTTTTGTTCACAATCAGGCCTTGCAGTTCATTTTTATTCCATTCCACAGACCTATGTAATAAAAGTTAATAAAATAATTTTATCTTATATAGTATTTTACCTTCTATAGTATTGGTATGAATACCATCAGATGTAACATACTCAACATTCACTGGAAAAATAGGGTAATTTCATCTATGACGTAGGGTACTATTATTTGTGGAGTGGTAGCTTAAATTTCCATCACTTTTGTCTTTTTTATTTTCGACAGCAATGATAATGCTTGGTCTGTTTTATTGGATAAAAAAACAAGTTTACTCTTTTTTGTAAAAAATGTCGGCAAGATTTCTTTTTGGGACTTGTAGCCATGTCGCAGAGTCAATAGTTGTAGGGACCTTAAACTAAATGATATCTTTTGAGTGAGATAATAAAGCTTTTTATTGTTGTAATATTTATTTATAAGTATGATGAGGTTAATGGTTGTGATATTACTACAAATATTTTTGTTGTATATGCTCTACAGCTAATAAAATGTACATGACAACATGTTTTAACAAAAGTGTATATTATTGTATTTTAGAATGAGGCAATCAATTACTATTTAGAGAACTGCTCATTTTAATAACTGGAATAAACTATGTCATTTTGGAAGCTGGTGTAATTTGGAAAGATATATATTAAATTGTGTTCCTGAACAATTTTCTATTCTTGTCAATTCTAAAGACTTAAAAAATAAAACATACACACACAATATGTCAAACAACAACAACAATTCAGAATGCAAGTGCTCTAAATGCTCTTCCAATAGCAGGGGATTTGTTTTGGTGTCTATCCAAACGCTCAGAAGACATGCACAACAGGATATCATGAGACAATATCAGTCAGAATCTTCTTGTAAGTTCAAATTTAAGAAAATTATTATTGAGACAATTTTAATTAAATATTTATTTTCATATAATATAGCCTCAGTTGTAGAAGTAATGTTGAATGACAATGACATGGAGATTGACTTTGAAGACAATGTTGATGCCGAAGATCAAGTTGAAGGTATGTATAGTATTTTTATTAAAGTTTTATAATCATTTATAATATCTAATAATTTTATTCTTTTTTACCTAACAAAACAGCCAAAGACTTACCTCTTTTTGACATTGATTCCTTGTTTGATTCTGAAAGCAAAGATGAGGGTGTCATTGAAGCAACCATTTTAGATATTTCTGACGATGAATCTGATGATGTTAGAGGCTAGTACAAAAAGCACATATAAATCAATAAAGTCAACAAGTATTGATTTTTTTTTCAAATAGAACACTTTTCTTCATCCAATATGTCAGTCGATCCTACTCATGCTTTCATTGCTTCTTTTGCTGTCTTCTTCATATCCAAATATGTTGTCAATTCTGGTGGTGCTGTTCTGTTGAAGTTTCTTAACGAAGTATTGGCACACTTTGGACAGTCTTTCCGTCTTCCCCTCAGTATAAACAGTGTCAACTCTATGACTGGTCTCAGTGACATGACTCGAGGTGTCCAGTGGTTTGTTGCATGTGGCAATTGTAACAAAGTATACAAAGAGTCCGATGTTGTTCTAGAGTGCTGTAATTTTGAGAGACTCTCTGGTAGAGAATGTGGAAACGCTCTTTTCTTTGCAACATCAAGAGCCTTGACTATCCCCAAAAAGATCTACATGTATAACTCCATAATCAAAACATTGTCTATCCTTTTTTGCCGCCCTGGATTCGAAGACACCATCAACCATTGGAGAATCAGAGTGCAAGTTCCAGGCATGATGTTTGACATTTACGATGGTATGAAGTGGAAAAGTCTGAAGGATAGCAATGATTTACCATTTGTGAATCATGAGCCCTCCATAATGCTTACCATGAACATCAATTGGTTTCAACCTTTCAATGGGGTCACTTACTCCTGTGGTGTGATATACCTTTGCATCAACAACTTGCCAAGATCAGAATGGTACAAGAAGGAGAATGTTGTTCTCATTGGTCTCATGCCAGGACCCAAGGAAGCAAAGACAAGTGAGATCAATCACTACCTCCATTCCCTTGTTGCGGAACTCAACCAGTTGTATGGCAGTGTGGTGATGCCTACCGTACAGTGCCCATCTGGTGCTCTTGTTTGTGCTGCCCTTCTTCTTGTTGCCTGCGACATTCCTGCTGCCCATAAGACTTGTAGGTTCACCTCTCATTCAAGCACATGTGCATGCAATAAGTGCAACCAACAGTTCTCTTGCCTTCCAGACTCCAATGCTGTGGACTACTCTGGGTTCGTGTTTTCTGAGTAGGTGCCTTGCACTGATGCCAAAAACCGACGTGATGCCGAGTTGTGGAGAATGGCCAGCAGTGATGCACAGAGAAAGAGATTGGAGAGGGAAAATGATGTCCGATGGTCAGAATTGCATGATCTGGTTTACTTTAACCTTGTGGAGTGCACTGTCATCGATCCGATACACAACCTGTACCTCAGAACAGCAAAGAGAATAATGGAGAAATTGAGATCTTCAGGTCTCATCACAGATGCACACTTGGCCGAAATGCAATTGGATGCTAACAAGCTTGTACTGCCAGAGGACTACACACCATTAGGGACAAAGATTGGGCATGGCTTCCCATTCATGAAGGCCAACAAGTGAAAGTCTTGGTGCTTGGTATACTCTCCTGTTCTCCTGCAGGGTCGTTTACCTGAAGCTCATCTTGGTAACTGGACAACGTTTGTCAATGCATCCCAGTACCTCTCATTGCCAAGCATATCCATGGCTCACCTTGATGAAGCCCATCAATCTTTGGAGGCTTTCTGCAGAGAGTGCGAGAAGTTGTATAAAGCCCTGTTCCTTTTGCCAAACATGCATCTCCATCTTCATTGGCAAGAGACTGTACTGAACTTTGACCTGGTTTATGGCTATTGGCTTTTTAGTTTCAAAAGATGTAATGATATCTTGAAAAACTATGCGACAAATAGAAAAGACGGGTTTGAGGGAACCTATATGAAGAAGTATGTTGAAGAAGCATACCAGGGAGATCTTATTTGCCAAACTTTGCCAATAATTCGACCTGAGCATTCGGCAATCATCCTTGAGCTCACTGCATCCACTGCCAATTCTATAGCCACTTCCACTTCTACTGCCACCTCAATCCAATTTGATATCAATGCTTTTCTTGATTCTTCTGAGATCAACTTTGATATCATCAAGGGAAACGAGCCTTTGCTCCCTTCCACACTTCCTTTAGCTCTAAAGGGGGAGATTTCCATGGGTGAATCTGAGCATGAGCATTTGTTGGAATACTATTGCGAGACATACAATGATCAAACTCTTGTTCATTATTGTCAGGCTGGTCATTCCAATAATTTTGTTAATAATCGGATACAGAAGTTTGAATCAATCAATCTTCTCGGGCAAATCTACAAGAGCAAAACAAAGAATCAGTGCGGGTCGTTCATGCAAGCCTTGTTTGAGACAAGTGATGGTAGAAGTACCAAGCCGTACGCAGGCCAAATTCAGTACCTCTTTGTCAATACTGCTATAAACTCGTTTGCTGGTCATGCGAGCCAGCATGTATTTGCGTATGTACGATGATACAAGGAAGTTTTACTTCAGCCCAGAGCAGAAGAAGGAGTTGAGGTGAATGAGGTGGGGTTTGAAGATGACAGCATGAACAGCATTCTCCCAGTGCATAGAATCTGCTATCCAGTCGCAGTAGGTGAGCACCTTGGTCCAGAAGGCGAAGTTCAGATGTGTGTAGTTCTTTTGCCATAAAAAATATATATTTAGATTCAAATACAAAAATAAAACACGTATAAAAAAGAAATATTAATTAATACAGACTAATATATATAGCTGCATGTTTATTTTTTATTATTTCTGTTGTAAATGAGTATTGACTACTGCTGTAATTGAGAATAAGTCTGAAAGAAATAATATAAGGCCTCAGCTATTCCAGTCAAAGGTGTCTACCGATTACTTTATTATTTAACACACAGGTTTAGCATGCATGATAGTGATTATATTTCATATGATGATATCACCATAATATGGGATACATCAGTGGATTATTATAAGCATAATTATAACTCATAAACACATTTACTTTCGATGTTAATACTTCATTGGGACTACACACATTTATATAATTAATCATACATTAATTATCCCAAGATCACGTTGCTCTGATTAAGGCTCAGATAGGATCGATTACCTGACCCCAGTCATATAATTTTCCCAATCCAAAACAATATAAATAGCAGTAGTAGTTCAGTGTAGGAACCTGGTCAAACTTTGATACAAAATCCTTTCTCAATAAACAAAACCTACACAAGTTCTCACGAATCTTCGTTCCTAATTTCAAATCTTGAATTCTTCCTCTTAAAAACTTCTTCAACTTCAACCACCACAACAATTTCTATAAATTTTTGTTTGTACTTGGCATGCTATACATGCATCTGTATACATCATGCTAATCTGTAAACATAAACAAGTAGAAAAAAGACTCTAAAATAGTTGGCAAGAAAAAAATAATTTATTTTGAAAAGCACTAATCTGGTAAAGTGACTGCCAAATTCTTGGGAATGCTCACTTCTTTCTCATAAGGGATGTGCTTTTTCAAGCTTTCCAAATTTTTCTTTAAACGGATAACAGTAAGTTCATCAATAGTACTAATAAACGTCTGGAGCTGGTTTAAAGAATAAATAGTATTAATAAAGTATTATTATTTTCTTTAAAACATAAATAGATATTTAACATTACCTCATCAGTTCTCCAGCTGGGACGATATGCCCGCACTTTGTTATCTCATCCAACTCGCCATCAGACATCACGTCAATAGAAAGAATATTTCTGCAATCATATCGATTCATACTCTCATGAATAGCCTCTGTGTATGTCTGGTACGTGATAATACGATGGTCAAGAAGCTACCAAAGAATATTGTATTAAAACATTAAATCAATAGTAAATTAACTTTATTTTAAAACTTACGGTCTTCTTTCTGTTGCGTCTTCTTCCAGCTTTATTTCTAGCCATAATCTTCTCTGCTGAGATCCGGAAGACTCGCACTTGATTTTGGTAGTAATTCTTTATTATATTCATAATGACACTCTTTGACACATTTGTGCAACATCTTTGAGGTCTCAGGTACTTGAAGAGAGCCAGTGCAAGTGTCTTGTTGTACTTATCACCATACGTGCCAGTCATTAACCATGCTGATCTATTATTATTCTCAGCAACTTTGAGTGGGTCTGTGCTAACAAAGTTTGGTTTCTTGATATAACTATTGATAGGTTGCTATAAAAACAGTATTAGATATATTAATCAGTAATGTTATTATTATCAATTTACTTACAGAAATCAAGGGATGATGTTTCACTCCAAGGTCAAGATCATCATTTATGGCAGAAGAAGAATCCGCTGGTACAGCAGAAGGCATCACAGAATTTTGGCTGGTCATTTCCTTTTTTATTTCGGCATTTTCAGTCATGAGCTGAAGGATCGAGTTCTTCAAAAATTCATTTGTCTTGTTGGACAAATCCAGGCCATTCTTCAAATGAGTTATTGCATCAGTCACTCCTTTTGCATTTTCTTGCAAGGATTGCATCGACACATTGTTGGCTGCCAACAAGGTAAGGACGTGATCCATTGGGGTCACAGCGACTTGAACTTCAGGGGCTGTGTCAACTGCTACTTCTGGGGTTGGTGTATCAATTGGAGAAATAACACCTGCAATTGTGCTATTAAGAACAGCATTCATGCGTAGGTTGGATCAGCAGGGAGCAGTAGGAATACACTTTGTCATTTTCTGTTAATAAAATAAATATTAATAATTTTCAACTAGTATTGTATAATTCACTACACTTGTTATATCATATTTAAAATTCACATACTAGTAAAGAAGATAAGCGGTGCAGATTAACTCTCTACCTTTCATTTGATATTTAAGCACATCTCCCAACTGCTTGATCCACATTTAGACAACTTCTTTTCTAACTCAATGAGATACAAAGTAGTATTTCAAGATGATGGTAGTCATCTTCTTTTGGAGTATTACTTTTTACAGCCTGCATTTTGTCAGAGTCAAACTGGATTTTAAGACGTCTTTTTTTTCTTTTTTTCTTTTAACAACATATATTATTGATATTTTCTTTGTTTCTCTTTTGCTTGTTTTTACAATTTCACTTATAATTTTTTCTTTCTTTTATAGCTCAATACCAAATATGTGTCTCTTTGTTTGGCTATACTCTGTCTGATATATCAAGATAAGATATCATTCTCTTACAGATCTTTGTTACTCATCATATTGTTTGTCTCGCCATTGCTACTCATTTCCATTGAGTCTCATCATCTCTTAATCGAACATGATGGTAAGTTTTTTTCTTAAAAAAAATTCAAATTATTCTTTTGTCTTCCTCATAAATATATATTTATTTCTATTACAATTTATTAGTTATGTCTGATATTATGCAGGAAGACGTATAATCAGTAATATTTGGTAAGTTAACTACAATATATTTAATAAATACGCCTTTACTATGCACAATATTAATAATTATTCATTTTTAGAATGTATCTCTATTCAAAGACTACTGGTATTGTCTTGATAATTCTGAAGAACATGTTTATATCAATTTTATGTCAAGTCTTCTCCGTCTTGTAAGTATTTATGAAAAAATTTCAATTTAAATCATTTACTAATTCTTCTTTTCTATTAATTATTTTTTAATAGCATTCCCGCTATTAAAATATGTATTCCATGTCTACTCCCGGAAGGCTTTAAATTATATATAACGAGCAAGAAGTATTAGTGATTATAATAGCTATAGTATCAAAACTGTCGCGAAATTAGGATTTTTATCTAGAAAAGATTTTTCTATTAAATAAAACAAAATTGAACAAAAAATGTATAACCCAATGTTTTTCCAAAAAATAAATAAATAAAAGTAAAATAAATAAACAAACCAAAGAGGCTTGTTTATAAAAATCTACCCATACTTTGTTTCTCTTTTCCATTGTAAAAAATCTAGTTTCATTGCTTTTGTGTATATAAAAAACCTAGTTTCATTACTTTAAGCATGTATAAAAAACCTATAATCATCTCTTTGATAGTTTTTAAAGCATTTCTGCAGCCAATAAAAAAACCCGGTAAAAATAATAATATAGGACGCTAGCTCTTTATAGACCTCAAAATATAATACATAAAGAGGTAGACTCGATAGGAGTAAAGTATAACTACAATATTTATTCAGTTTCCATAGTTTGCAGACTGACAATCGTTCTACATTAAGTTTTTGTATACCCATTGTTATGATAATACACATCAGCACCATAGATGATATTGTACCATTGCTCAAAATGATATATCACAAAAATTGTGATGATATTGGCTCAATCATCTACATTTTTGATATATTTGATCCAGATAAAATTACCCTATTTTTCCAGTGATTGTGAGTGACTGTTCTATGAGTATAGTTCATATCAACCACTGATGCCAATCCTCCATATGCAGCCCAGCAATTTGTGTGAATAATGCTATTGGGCTTTACATACTTCTTTATCACTTGAAGGAGAGTTGCAGCATCTCTCTGAAAAACTGTCACTAAAAATGTTTTTCGTTCTGCTGTTTTCTCAATACCTCCCAGAACCCAAACACCTTCTACTCGATGTCCTCGGTGATATTTCCTCTTTCCAAATTTGCTTTCATCAATTTCAACAATAATGGATTGACCATTGGCATCAATACCTCCTATAAAAATATTTAATATATCTATATATAATTAACTCTTATAAACTTACCAATTCTCCTATCATTGTTTGTTAAATCCATTTGAATCAATTGGTGAATACTAGCAATGAGATGTCTTATAGTTTCGGGAGAAACACTGAGCATAACTCCCATTGTCATTCTAGGAGTCTGGTTTAACCAGTAATATATTCCTTGCATAACAACATCATAGGAAAGATGACTTTGTGCAAAGAAAGAATCCAATCTTTCAGATTTTCTTTCTCTTTTACAACATGTTGCTCCCATGCTATTTGTGGTGATCCAGACACTCGGATGTTAGATTTATCACATATAAGAACATATTCATATTGGGATAGCGTAGTAGCTATCATCTTGTCAGTATAAAATATATATAAACGATTAAGTAATCAGTCCAATAATTATTACAGTTAGTACTGTAGATAATATCTTAAAGATTGTTAAGATAATTATATCATACTGCCAGGTAAACTGTGTCAGATCAATATGGAGCTAATTTAATAGGAAGTCCTAAAGCTCTAGTATAAAAGAGAAAAGAATAGCTAAGAGCTAAAGAAGTACGATTTATGACTTGATGTCATAATTGTAACACCGACACTAGTTAAGCAGTAAATACACTCTAATAACCAAATATAGTAAAGGAAGAAAGCCTTAAGAAACTAAGACGTAATGACAAGAGCAGATTGTGTTTTCTTATAAAAAGAGACACTTTTTATTTATGAATAAAGACAACTTATAGACAGTCTCAAAGTATTTCTATACGTCTCTATTCTCAAATATTTTATTTTTCTATTGTTTTGTATCTGAAATACCACACTATTTACTCCACTGCGTCTGTAACTGTAGCCTCTGTCTTTTTCAAATATATAGTCCATAGAACTGCCACCAGAACAAGTAAAAATAATATGATTTTGTGGGTATAAAGCATCCTGTGCAATCAAATATCTTTATATATATTAAATATTAATATATAATAATTAAAAATAACTTTTTTACTTACTGTTTTGCAACTTCAGATGTATATGTTGATGCCATAACATAGCTCAAAGGAGGAATAGATAATGGACAAACTGATAGAAAAGATTGATTATTTATTTGAAAATAAATAAAGTAGAAATAAAAGAAAAGAAAGCAAAAAAAAACAAATGAACATAATATTTGAACAAAATAAAAGCCGCCAAAAAAACTTTTCTGTGACGTGGCATGTGACTAAGCCACACAAACTATTATTTATAAGATTATAACACTTAAAATAGATACTAGAAGCTTTATAATTATATTTTCTCTATCAATTTGTGACTTTATGTGACGCTCAAATTGAATCTATATAGCTTACATTCACAGCATTTTTTTAAGTATATGAACGTCACTAGACGTCACAAATTGATAGAGAAAACAAACATTAAAATAATTAATAATAATGATTTAAATATATTATATTTCACTAAATATTGATATGTCTTTTGTGGGAATTGAACTGGTGATCTACAGATTGCTTTAAAACACTGTAAGCAAAGGGCGAAGTTTGAATTCGGAGCTTTAAAAACCCATATACCTTTAGAAATCCATGGTTTAATAAAAAAATATAAGAAATTTGAATTTAAATTAATTTGTTTTCATAATATTAAAATGATAATATAAAAACAAAACATAAATACATTTTAATTCAAATATATCAAAAGAATAACATCATTCAACATCTAATAATAGGTATAAGATAAGCTTTACATCTTAAAAAAAATCAAATAAAAAATACAGAGTGCAAAATGTATCCAGCTAGAATCGAACCAGACTCTCTGCATCAGCAAACTGTAACTGTAACAAGTGACCACAAGTATATGCAGTCAAAAAATATTTTTTAATTTTTATGTATTGCCTTAAATTCAAAAGCATATTTGTTACCATTGTTACATAAACTTTGAACCTGCATTATCTTCACAAAAAAAAATAGTACCAAAATGTGACGATTATTAATTAATATCTATAAAATTCAGGCTATCCAAATCCAGTTTTGCCGTTATTATAGGACAAATATTCACAGAGTAATTTTAAAAAAAAGATATTAAAACACAGATATATAGAACACAAAAAATGATTGGTTTTTAGCTTAAGAACATTGATCCAATTTTGAAAACTCATAGAGATATAATCTATATTAGTAGTTTAAATCTGGCTTTAAAAACCCCATAAACCTTCATTCAACCACTGACCACTTCTTTGGGTCTGTGAGTACTTTAAGAAAGCTCACAGACTCCCAACATGAGCAAACTCCAGCTACGCTAATCATAAATACTTTTCTGCAAGTCACAAATCCTTCCAAAAAAAAATTGGAATTTGTTTTATTGTGTAGAATTTTTTACGCGTTTTTGTTACTGATTTGTTTATCAATACTATAATAATAAATGATATCACTTTTAACCCTTGCACCTCAACCATCTACCATTTCATGCCTATGTATAAAAATGAGACAGAAGAATTTGTCTTTGAAGCTGAAGAAGAGTACCAGCTGTGGCTCACAAACAACTCAGCTTGCCATGCCAACTGGGTCGTTCAAAACAGCAACAAGTCGAAGAGAAAGGTTCCTGTTGGTGCTTTGATCAATCCCAATCTGATCAAAGTAACTCAGTATATTAAATGCGATTATTCTGGCACAAAGGCAAAGAGTTCGAAGAAGCAAGCAGTTGAAAATGATGAGCTCCCTGTTGTTAAGCATAGAAATACCACAGGTAACAGCATCAAGGTGGGATGTTTGGCTGCCTTAGTTGTTAAGTTCCTTAATGGTGGTAAAGTAACAGTAGTTTATAACTGGAGGCATAATAACCACAATCCTCTTGAGCTTTCTGATATCTCTTGCTCTCAGCTCTCTGATGAAGCCCGTATCTAGATCAATGAACACTTTGAGAAAAATCTTGACTGGAAAGCCATTAAGGGACTTCTAAGACTAGAAGATGTAAAACTAGAAGAAGTATTTTATTAATATATAGTGACGTTAAAATAAGATTTTATTATATATTTTTAATTATAATGTCTTTAATTAGATGGAGAACTCTATGTCAATGACATCTATTCCTTCTGCAATGATGATACAGTATAAAAATGTTCATAATGCGATTGTAGCTAGAATCACCAACAGTACTAGAAAGCACTACAAAGATGAGATAAGTACTGAAAGATAGATTGCTTTCCTTCAAGAAAAGGGCTACCAAACTATGTTTGACACATATAATTCTGTTGGACCTCTTCTTGTAAGCTGGGTCTCCCCTTGGCAGAAGAAGGTATCTACAAGTATTACATATATGTAGTCAAATATTTAAATATATATCAAAAAGAATATACTATTTATTACTTTAATTTATTTTATCATTAGTTTTTAGAAAATGCAGAGGAGTGGTATCTTGACTCAACCCACAAAACCTGCAAGTCTTTCCTTGACAACAAGGACTGTTATTTGATGTCTGTGGCCATATACAACCCTGTAACTAACAAGGGAGTTCCAGTTGCTTTCTTTGTTATCAGTATCGAATGTAGTTATACCATTGCAAGATGGTTGAACTGGTTGAAAGACACCAATAGCTTGAAGGTCAAACAGATCATGATTGACTGTAGCCCAATAGAGCAGAAGGCTATCCGGGATACATTTGGACCTTCAGTTCAAATTCTTTTGTGCCATTGACATATCAAACGTGCTTGGGAAAGTCATGTCAAGAAGGTAATTTTATTAATGTATTTTACTTAAAACATTGAACCTATATTAACTAGTAATATTATTAGGTGACAATCTCCAACGCCCACCTTGAGACCAAGAATGTCCGGGCCAACATTTGTGCTGCATTGAACTTGATAATGCATAGCAATAATGAAGCCGACTACAATGCTCATTGGCAAAAGTTCAGATTAGACTATGGCATGCAGTTTCCTGTCTTAATGTCTTATATGGAGGTTACATGGGAACCAAAGAAAAAAAGTTGGGTTAAGGCATGGAGACAGATATATTCAATATTGTTTTTTTTGTCTGGTTATAAAAACTAATTTATAATTATTTTTGTAGGATGCTGTATGCCATACAAACAATTTGATAGAGTCTTATCATACCCAACTAAAGTCCTTTTATTTAGGCTGGTCTCACGACTGTAGAATTGACAGGATTATATATATACTTTCTCAGTTAGCTGAGAGAGATTACCGTCAGGATACCCTTGAGACCTATTTTGGTATTAAGAGCATCAGGCTTAGTGTGGCTGACACAGAACAAAAGAGAAAGGCCAGTGTTATTGCTATCGAAAGAGCAAATGGTCTGGTTGAAGAAGTTGAACCGCAAGAATTGCAAGCATACAAGGTAATATTATATAAAACATTTGCTTATATAATTTATAATTTATAATTAATATTGTTATTTTAGATGTATTCTTGCAAATCTTTTGGAGAGCGTTGTGAACTGGTATACTTTATCAAGTTCACAACCCACTTACATGATTGCTCTTGCCCAGACTCTGCTAGATTGTGCAAACATATCTTCTTGGTCTCTCGAGTTTTTGACCTGCCAGTGACAGTAAGACGAAATGTTGTACTGGATTCAGCTGTGTTGTTTGGCCTTGGTGAAAATGATGGCAATATTATTTCATAAGATAATATTGCCTTGTTGGAAAACCAAATGAGCAAAGATGAGCAGAAAGCAAATCTTCTGCTTATGAATGAAAGTTTGGAGAGAATTTGGAAGCAGGTGTATACCTCTTCCAAAACCTTTGAGCAAAAAGAAGTCTTGTTGGACCTTATGAAGAAGGTAAACTCTGTTGTTAACCCAACTAATGGGTTGCGAAAGCAGACCTAAAGTCATAGATTACAAGACTTCTCTTTCAATTTATTTTTTTCTCAATAGACATCAAATTTCTACTCTCTTCTTTAATATAAAAGACTTATATAAACTATAAAATCAAATGTATAAAAATTGCCTTGTGAAAGTTATTCACTAGACATAAAAAATTAAAATTTAGTTTGTACTTAAAAATAATTAAAAAAGTAAGGTACTTTTGGCATTTTCAGCACAAAATATCCCCCCCTATGTTTTTTCCTTTTTTTCTCAAATATTATGCTTTTTTTTGAAGAAATACAAGATACTATTGGCTGAATCTGCGTGACTTGCAGAAAATTATTTACGATTAGCGTTATTCAGCAAACTTGTGCTCTATAGAAATTTGCACAGCAGACATACTTTTGTTGATAGCAAGTTCTTGCTCATCAGCCGTTTCTAAAATAGACAATATGCAAACCATAAGACTTTACCGTCAAGATAGATAACTGTACAATACTTACGTCTTCTGAAAGGGATCATCATATGGTCTGACGTGGTATATGCTGGATCACCATACAAGTAATAGCATGGACCATTTATGCTTGTAAAGTCAAATGCTATGCACATCATGACATCTAATTGACTTTTGCAGTACATGCACATGTCATGATTTCTACTACTGTCTAGCCTCATAATAGACGAAGTAATACCATCAGGTATTACCACTGTTTGGTACTTCAAACCATGTCCTTGCTATAAAGAGTATATAAATTGAGTAAAGACACGTGTCAGATCTATATATCCAATCTTTCACTCACGTAATGGCTATTGTATGCCCCCTCTTGATCAACAATGAGCCTTGCTATCTTGTTGAAGGTTCCATCAATAAACCCAACACAGTGCATTGCCGGTGCTTTTATCCAAATAATATATAAAATGTAAGTACTATTAAACTAATATTATATTTTGCAAGTGTATTTACATCTTTCTCTAATGGCTTGGCTGAAGCGCAACAGGTTTGATTCCCGGAATTGACAGTAGTCAAACTTCAAGACTGAATAAAACTTAATATAAATCTTCTCTATCATTTCATTGAAGATGACACTGAGAGTAGACTTTTCCTTTCCAAAGAGCAGAGATAAATCTACTAAGCAAGTAGGGAAAACTATTCTGCAAAGCACAATCATCAGAGCCAGTGTCATTGGCAGAGAAAATTCACTTGGAATGCCTTTTCAAAAGTAGACAATGTCTTCTATTTCAAGAAGAGTGGCCAAGGAGTGTATCTGATTTTATAAATATATTAAATTAGTACTTTTTTTCTTGAAAGCAATGATTTAATTATACCTCGGGCTGCATAAATCTAAACAAAAGTTTAGAATCTTCATCAGACAAGGTGCTTGGGTCTAAGCAATCTTGACAATGCAAGGAGACAGCTATTCGTTCCCCTTCCTGCTCATGGTCTTGGGCATATTAAGCAAGTGCTTCTTGAATTTCTTCATTGGTGGGCTCTTGATCTTTGTAAACATCTGCATGTTCCTCTTGCTGTTCAGGAACAGATACCTATCTTCACTCTTGTTCTTCAGCAATACACCGAGAACTGTGATTTATGTAACGATTTGTTAGTTCAATAATAGGATCAAAACGAGACATTTTAAGATTTTGTTAAAGAAAAAGGGAAAGATGCTGCCCTTTCAAGTAACGGTAATGTTTTCGTTACTAAATATCAAGTCACAATAGATAATGAGAGCTTGTACATTTAGTTAAAATGAATGTCCTATAATTTTATGTAACAGAAATAAGCTAAATATGGCAATACAAGTTGAAAATTTGAGTTTCAAAAAAAACGTTTTTTTAGCTAATATTCTGTGCAACTCTACAAATCTGAGTCCACAAACGTCTCTATTATTTGAATTTTTAGAATTGGATAATTGGATGTGGGAGGTAGGATCTGATTTAACAATCACACATCTAAACACACTCTATGACTGACAATCTCACCAGCTTTGTTTCTCTTTGGAACAAGCAACATTGGACTGTTGAAGAAAGTGTTGGTCTTGGACTTGACAATAGTTCCTGTCTCAAGCCATTCTTTTACTTGCTTGTCAAGTGTTGATCTTAGAGTGTGCGGTATAGAATACTGCCATCTGTAAGCCGTCACACCTTCCTTAGTAGGTAAACGAATAATAGATTCTGATAAAAGACAATATGGCTCAACGGAATTATTCTTATTTTCCTCCAGTGATGCTTTAATACAGCTCATAAATTCTGCTCATTGCTGTGCTGTACCAGCTGGTGAATTATTAGGTTCGAACTTTTTCTCTTTATCAATATTTAGATTTTCATAAATGGCGGCATAGTCTTTCACATTATCTGAATGGACATATTCTCCTTTGATATCATATGCAACATTAATTAATTCAATATTCATCTTTGCCAAAATATCTCTTCCAAGGAGGATATCAAAATTAAAATCCATATTAAACTCTAACACCTCTGGTGCATGCTTAAAGGTAATGCCATTTATATATTTAAATTTTAAAAGGATCAGTTTTTTCTAATCTCTTTGTACTACTATTCTTAGACAGAAAATTAAAGGAACCAATTGAAGAATTTATTTTTGTTATTTGTAAATTGTTATTTAAACATTTCAAATTTATAAACGTGCGGGAACTGTCTGTATTGATCATCCCTATTAACTTCTGGTTCTCTATTATGATTGGAGTTATAAGATTAAACGCATCATTAGCTTTAATTCTTCTCTCAATTCTGTCAAGTAGGCACTTACATTCAAATGATATTTCCTTCATGTCTTCATCTATCCTGTCCTGGATCGTCTTGAGCATCTGCTCAGACTTATCCTTTGTGGGAGACTGGAATACCATGAGAATTGGCTCATTGTTCTTGCTTTTGCAGACATGACCATGGTAGTAATTTTCACCACAACTTCTGCAAGGATTGCGACTGTTAGAACTACTGGCTTTGTTCTTGCGGTTGATCAAGGTAAAACACTTGCTGGACTCATGGGTCAGGTTCTTTCCATGGTGTGAGCAGAAAAATGTCTTCTCATGCTTGGTTATCTTGTTGGAGTGGTGAAGCTTCTTTCTGGGATGTTCCTTGTTATTCTTTTCAGGTTGCCCATGGGAACCAGGAATCAATTGGGTCGCCTCAGCATAGAGCCTGTTGTCATCCCCAAGAATGTCTCTGCCAATCTGCGTGATCTGCTCTACAGTCCAATCACGCTTGGACTCCCCATTGGGACCAGAGCAGGCCGTGGTAACTCTTACCAGTGTTTGCACTGATAAGGTCAGCAAGGCAAGGAGGTGATTAGTGATGCAAGCAGAGTCTTTGAATAAACCAGCATTGTAAACCGCATGGAGAAACTTATTTGAGTAATCACCGATGGACTCAGTGTTCTTCATCATCATTGTAAAGACCTGGTCTGTGAATTGCCGAGACACCAAGCTGGAACCATGTCTTTTGTTGAAGCATGATTTCGCCACCTTCCAATCAATACACTTCTTAAGATCCATCTCTACCTATCCGTCATCAGTGTGAGGCAGGCAAAGTGGGAGGAGTTTCTTCCAAACTCTCTTGATGTCCAAGGAAGAAGACTTAATCACATTCTTGAAGGTACATAGGAAATGTCCAACTGATTCAAAAACCTCTTCATTTGGGAAGATCTCTTCTGTTGAGAGTCAACCCTCCTTCACGGCCAGCTCTCTCTGTGTTTGTACCAGGAGAGGCAAGCATCTTGCTGCACTTTTCAAGGCTAGTAATTGCCAATCTTGTGCACTCGATCCTGCAGAGTGCATCATCAGCTGCTTGCTCATTGTTTGCTACATGAGCAGCACTGAAGGCCTCAGTGTGGTTGCCCAATTCAGCCTTGAGAACGGCCACACAGGAGGAAGCAGTTGCTACTTCTCTACCAATGGGAGGAGAACCAGAACCAGGGGCAGCATCCAGAAAGAGGATGAGCTCACTCAAGTCAGAGAATAGTTCATCTGCAGACATGGGGGACAAGGTAGCCTCCTCAGGAACAGGGGTCAAACCAGCGGGAAACAAGTCAGCAGGAGAGTTCATTGTAGTTCACAAAAAAAATGTTGTGGGGAGAAAATAAAGCAAAATATAATATAGATGAAAGAATTCGTGAGAACTTGTGTAGGTTGTTTATTTCAAAAGAAAAGTAAAGAATAATAAAATTTGATTGTTTTTCTACACAGAACTATCTACTGATATTTATATGTTTTTCTAATTTGTAATTCAGTGTGTGCTTAAGTAATCTTTATCACGATGAGTCATCTTCCAGGAGTATTGTTCTTCTGGAAAGATCCGGAAAGACCAATTGATATAATACTTCTCCAGTCAGATCAGTCCGAGAGTTTTGGTAAAGAAGAGCATTTATGCTATTGGTAATATTTTACTATTCCGACCCAGACACTTGGGTAATGTTTCATAATATTAAATAGTTGTAGTTATAGTCTCTCAATTAAGTATTTGTCTAATAAAAGAAATATGTAGATGAAATATAATGATGCCATATATATAATGTATATGTATTTGTATATCCCATGTCATGGTGATAATAATAAATAATCAATTATGTGTATGATGATCTGTGTATTAGATAATATCATAAAGGCAGATCCGTTTAACTGGAATAGCTGAGGATATTATTTTATCCTTCAGTCTTACTCTCAGATTCAGCAATAATCAATACTCATTCACAACACACATCAAGTCATAAGCAGAATTTCGTCACCAAGTACAAATTGCAAAACGCCAGTCATGGCATGCTTTTTGCAGAGATATGGAACGTGATTTTAACAAGGCAACTGCAAAAATGAAACAACTTAAACGTAGACGTCAACCACAACATGTATTTCAACATAATGATGGGCCAGCAGTAGCAGCTACAACTATGTGCAACTATTTGGCATCCAATTATAGTGGATATATTCTACCAACAGCTCAACCACCTGCACCTATTTTAGCTCACAATCTTCTTTTTCCCCATGATGATACTCCATTTCATGCTTCTGTAGTTGAGAAATACATGAAATTCATACCAAATCGCAATGCACCAGGGTCTGACCACATCAGAGCTGAAATAATTAAGCCAATAAGTCAACACATTGCACCCATTCTTGCTCTTTTGTTCACTCTCTGTTGGCAATGGTCTTATGTTCCTTCTCTCTGGTGGCAAGCACAGGTTTTTCCAATATTTAAAAAGGGTGACCCAAATAGTGCCGCCAATTATAGACCAATCTCTTTGACTTCAGTGCTTCAAAAACTTATGGAAATGTGTCTGACACCCATGTTGCGCCAGTTTTCACCACCATTGGATGTTGCTCAGGGTGGGTTCAGACCACGGCGTGGTGCACTAGACCAAGCATTATGCCTTCATGATCTTATGAAAGCCTATTATCAACGTCATCACCACTATCCAGTTGTTGCATTTTTGGATATAAAAGCCGCATATGATACAGTAGATAGACTAGTCATCTGGAATGCTTTAGCAAAATGATCAACCCCACCTGCACTCCATCTACTTATGCATATGTTTGATCATGTATCAATATCAGTTCTTTTTGTCAACCTGTCTTCACAATCATTTACACCAACCACAGACGTTCTTCAAGGATCAGTCCTCAGTCCACATTCATATTCTATATATATTAACTCCCTGCCACCTTTACTACGCACAGTTACCACATCATCTTCTGCATTGTATATACCATCACCATCACCATCTTCTCTGGATGACTACAATACATTGCTTTCTCCTTCTGGTGTAACTGGCTTTGGTCATATAATGACTCCAACATCTGTCAACTCTTTGCTCTTTGCAGATGATGTTGCAATCTTTGGCTCAACTAGAGATGTTCAAGACATGCTTGACCTTGTAGTACAACACTCATTTTCTTTGGGATACAGGTGGAGTCCATCCAAGTGTGCAATTATATATCTAAAAACAAGATCACCACAACCACCGGCTTTAACATTGTATGGTGAATTTCTCCCAGCAGTAGAGGAATTTATCTATCTTGACATGCCATTTAGAGACAAAGGCATCTATGCACCATCAATTGTCACACACAGGTGTTCTGGAACAATAGCAACCATGGCAACCCTTAACTCAGTTGGTGCATGTCGATCTGAATTCTCCCTCCTGCTTAGCTCCAGACTTTACAAAACATTTGTGTGCCCCAAGTTTGAATATGGGCTAGCTATATCGTCTATGTTACTCAAAGATATTGCCAACCTAGAAAAAATTCAAAACAAATTCCTCAGAATGATAGTGGGTGGCCATGCAACTTCTTCTACTGTTGTCCTAAAGCATATTTGCAATCTTCCTAGTATCCAATTCCGTTGGGACACACTGATTATCAAGTTCTGTATTAGAGCCAATTCTCTTCCCTCTGGTTGTCTACTTTCCTTAATTCATCAGCACCATCCTCAGTTCTCTTCTTTGCCTTTACTTTGCCAGAACAAGCTGCATTTCAGTATTACAGCTAGGGTTAATCCCAGATTGCCAACAGCTCTCCAGAAGTACTTTGACAAGTTCAGACAAGAGAAATATGATGCATTTCGTTTGGATAACAACAAGATCCTATTGCAAGCTTGCCATCCCATTCTGTAAGTCGATCCTATCCTCTATCTGCCAGCATCCAGAGTGGACTGTAGCCGTCTGATTTGTTGGAGAATGGGTTGGCTTCCTGGTACACCTGCTGATTGTGCTTGTGGGCTAGATCACATCTCTCACCGCCATTTGCAGTTTTGCACTAAAATATCTTGACACTTTCTTGCCCAACTGCCTGTACCCTTGTTGTCTGGAATCAACATTATTGATAATGCTATCACTGCCCTTCCTACTTCTGCTGAACTACGACCCTCCTACTGGACTGCCCTGCTATCTATACTTTGGCATTTTGATATTCTTTGTAACCCTGAAGGCAGCTATATGCACGAAACAGATCATGGCTCCCAGTAGCATTCTACATACACCACCAGAGATTTTGTTATCATTTTGGGTGAAAATTGGCACCTAAGCAATATGATTGGCTTAGAGGCCAAAATATTGTAATTTGTTTTTGTACTCAATTTTTTTCATCCAAATAAAGGATAAAATTAAGTTCAGTACTACTTGTGGGCTTTTAAAGTAAGAAAAAAAACTGTTAGGGAAGTCAGAAAGTGTTGTGGTATTTCAGGTACGAAACAATAGAAAAATAAAATATTTGATAATAGAGACATATAGAAATACTTTGAGACTGTATATAAGTTGTCTTTATTCATAAATAAAAAGTGTCCCTTTTTATAAGAAAACACAATCTGCTCTTGTCATTATGTCTTAGTTTCTTAAGGCTTTCTTCCTTTACTATATTTGGTTATTAGAGTGTATTTACTGCTTAACTAGTGTCAGTGTTACAATTATGACATCAAGTCATAAATCATACTTCTTTAGCTCTTAGCTATTCTTTTCTCTTTTATACTAGAGCTTTAGGACTTCCTACTAAATTAGCTCCATATTGATCTGACACAGTTTACCCAGCAGTATGATATAATTATCTTAACAATCTTTAAGATATTATCTACAGTACTAACTGTAATAATTATTGGGCTGATTACTTAATCATTTATATATATTTTATACTGACAAGATGATAGCTACTATGTAATGAACAATGGTCTTTAAGATGTGATAATACCCATTTTAGAAAACGGAGTAGAAGAAGTAAGAGGCAGAAGAGTTGAGCTTGTGAAAGATGATGTTTATTGATGAGAATATGAAGCTATTTTATATGAAAAGACTACAGATATTGATGCAGACAGAATGATGAAGAGAGAGAGTATTTTATGCACTCGTATGTACCTTCTTGAAGTAGTCCTTTACTACTGCAAGTAGTGCATCTGTGACTCTCAGTCACGACATCTGGGGGGTTTAGAGGCTGATGTCCCCGATGGCCAAGACAGGGACTTCCAGTCTGTGGTACGCCTTAATTCTTTGAGCATGGACTTGATTGAGTGCGCAATGATTGCTTGTAGGGGAGGGTCTTAGAGAGTATTGGTCATGACTGATGGCTTCGATTTCATAAGGACCCTTCCATGCCCGAGAGAGTTTTCTGGACCGGCCAGGTCGAGAGAGCTGTCGGGTGAACACCAGGACTTCTTGTCCAACATGGAAGTCTGGGGCCTTACAGAGCTTATTGAACTGTATGGCATTGGCCGCATGTGTCTGAATGTTTTGAAAGTGGACAATCTCAATGGCTGTGACCAAGGTTGCTTGCATGGTTGTGGCATAACTGTTCGTTGTCTGGCCTAGGGGCTCATTATTGGGAGACACTGGAGTTCGAGGTTCCCACCCATGGACCAGGGAGAATGGAGTGTAGCCCTTGGCTGAGTGTACAGAGGAATTGTACGCAAGCTGGAAGAGTCCCAGGTGGTGGTCCCAAGTGGCATGGGTAGACGCCTGGTCCAGGAAGGCTACGATCATGTTGCGGAGAGTTGACATGAACCTTTCAACTAGTCCATTGGATTGTGGATGGTATGCTGGTGCAAACCTCTGTTGGATATCCAACTGTGCAGCTAGTGTCTTGAGGAGCCCTGAGGAGAACAGTTGACCATTGTCAGACTGTATGACTCTGGGGACTCCATGCTCTGAGAAGACTCTTGAGGCTAGAATGGCTACTACGGTGGACTCGTGGAGGTTTGTAATGGGAGCCATGACCATGTATTGCGAAAAGAGGCATTGAACTACCAGAATATATTGGTGCTCTTGAATACTGAGTGGTAGTGGACCAAACGCATCTATTGTGATGTCATCAAAAGGGGCCTGTGTGGGCGCAGTGGCCACCAACTGAGTGTAACCCAATGTATGGCGAGGTGACTTGGTCTCTTGACAAACGCCACAGGTCAATACCTTCTGTGTGACACAGCTGCAAAGGTCTGGAAACCAGAATAGACGTTGGAACCTTTGTAAAGTTTTTGAAAGGCTCAGGTGTCCAGCCGTGGGTATCCAGTGCAGAAGGGTGAAGATGTCCTCATGGAGAGACTGGGGCAATACAGGTCACGAACCATGAAGCAACAGACCAAGGGAGACGGTGAAAGTGTCAGCTAAGACCAGTTCGCTGAGTATAGCTTGACATTCCACGTCGGTGGCTTGTGCCGCGACCAACTCATCAAGGCTGATAGTGTTGATGGAACAGTATTGGGAGAGTGCATCTGGTCCCGAGTTGTCCTTGCCTGGTCGATATATGATGTTGAATGAGTGGGATTGCAAAAGGAGAGCCCAACGAGCCAGCCGGCCATGCAGGTCCGAGGTTTTGAGCAGAAATTGTAATGCTTGATGGTCCATTACTACAGTGAACTGCGTCCCTGTCAGATAATGTGCAAACTTCTTGATCCCCCACACAATGGCAAGGGCCTCTATCTCTGTTACGCCATAGTTTCGTTCAGCTGGGCTCAGAGAACGAGAGGCAAATGAGATAGCATGGGGCCGTTTGGATGGGTCTTCACGTTGGGAAAGTATGACGCTGATCCCTGCTGTACATGCGCCATCCATATGTAGCTCTAAGGGTTGGCTGAAATCCAGAAATCGGAGGACAGGTGCCATGAGCAGGGCTGACTGCAACAGGTCTACAGCTTGTGCATGATGTGAGGACCAAACCCAGGTGGCGTCTTTGGCGAGCATGGCGTTGAGGGGTGCAGTGAGTTGAGAGAACTGGGGTATGAAACACTGATAGTACCCACTGAGGCCAAGGAAGGAGCGCAACGAATTGATGTTGCTAGGGACTGGGAAGGACGCAACTGCTTTGATTTTATCAGGGTTGGTTTTCAGGCCAGACGGTGTAATCAGATATCTCAGGTACTTGACCTCGGTGCACACAAAACGACACTTGCGCAGGTTGACAGTTAGCAAAGCCTTCTGCAATCTGGTGAACACGGCGTCCAAGTCTTGCAGGTGCTGGGTGAAGGTTGGGGAGAAGACAATGATATCGTCCAAGTACACGAGACACAGCTGCCACTTCAGGCCCGCAAGGATGGCATCCATCAGGCGTTGCATGGTCGCCGGAGCATTGGAGAGCCCAAATGGCATGCGGATGAACTCGAACAGTCCCTTGCAGCAGACAAAAGCTGATCGTGGCTGTGACTCCTTGTTGAGTTCGATCTGCCAGTACAAGGCCGTGAGGTCTAAGGTGGAGAATATTGCCGAGTTCCCCAAGGAGTGTAGAGTGTCATCGATCCTAGGTAGGGGGTACACATCTCGCGTAGTAATGCCGTTGAGGCGCCTGTAGTTCACGCAGAACCGGGGTGATCCGTCCTTCTTCATGACGATGACAACAGGGGAACTCCAAGGCGAGTGTGAAGGGGCTACAATGCCATCGCGCAACATCTTGTTGATCAGTGCTCCAATCTTGTTGTTCTCAGCCGCTGATGCCCTGTGTGGGGGCCCCGAGATCGGTGGGTGATGGCCTGTGTCAATATGGTGTCGCACTTGGGTAGTAACAGTGTGAGCCTTCACCACAAACATGGTGCGGAACTTGTTGAGCAAGTTCACGATGTCAGTCTTCTGGTCCTCAGGCAGGGTCTCATCCATAGGAAGATTGGTAATGGTAAACGGAACAGGGCTAAGAGCGGGCAGAGAAGAAGTGTTAAAACTGTCCTTTATAGTAGAGGTTGAATTAATACTTTCCATATCCTCTGAAGTGCATAACTGGCAACCGGATTGGACTTGGACCTCTGAAGTACCCAGGTTGGCAACCTTAACTGTGACCATGTCTTGTGAATCGAATTGGACTAGTCCAGCAGCAATAGAGCAGAGACGGGACGAGAACAGCTTGGGGCTGGTTTCTACGTACACCAACTTGTTGATGGGGCCTTGGACCATGTGATAGCAGTGGGACATGGCTGGCAAGCAGACGTGTCCAGTTGCTCATATGGCTGATGCGGCTTGTGTGGTAGGCCAGGTAATGGTATTACATGTGTTGAACTTGATACTGTCTGCAGAGGTATCAATCACTGCTGACAGACGCTTCAAGTTGGAGTATCCCAAGATGATATCGTGAGCCAGTCGGTCCACCACTTGGAAGGTAAGTTCCAGAGGGCGCCCAAGGAGAGTGACTGGAAGGGAGACGGTTCCGTGAGAGCGTGCCATAGCTCCAGCAGCAGTGTTGAATACAATGGACTGATCACGATTGACCTTGGTGACTATGCCTTCCAACGCAGAGGCACAGATTGCGGTGATGGCAGATCCTATGTCTATGAGCGCAGACAGAGCCTTGTTCTGTATGACACATGGTACTGAAGGCCCTGCTGACGTTGTGGGCTGAGAGGAGCCAGTAGTGGCCAACCGAGCAGGCATGATGGCGGCAGCCAGAGGGGGCTCTTCTTCGACTATGGCAGGTTGATAGCTGATGGCAGCAGAGTGAGAAACCCCAGGGCAGTCCTTGTTCTGGTGGGCCCCTTTGCAGTAACCACAGATGGGTCTCCCGTCTGGTCCCCATAGACATGGGACTCCATCGTTAGGGCCATGTTGCTTGGACCGTTGAGGAGAGGCGATTGCGGCGGAACAATCCATGGGCTCAAATTGGTGATGGAAGTTGCGAGCGCGTGGGGGTGCCAAGTCACCAATGCAGTCCTCGTGCATTACGGCCTTCTCATAGACGGTTTCCCAGTCATCCAGGCTGTTCAGTGTGGGTTCGATCAATTGACAAAGGCATGGCTTGATGTTTTCGAGGAAGATGTTCAGGACGGTGCGGTCAGATAGGTGACCAGAATCCGGCATGTCATTCGCCAAGGTAGCAAATTTGACTCGAAACAGCTGGATGGGTAGTGGCCTGGAGTGCCCAACGTCATTGAGTCTTCTCAATGTCCAGATCAAGACCGTACGTGCTGATTAGCAGGTCTTGGAGCTCCTCCCAGTTGTTATGGCAACCGGAGACGTGGATCCACTTGGCAATGTCGGGTGGTAGGTAATGGCAGAGAAACTTGCCCAGGAGGGCGGTGGGAACCCCAACCAATGTTGCCTCAGTGCGGTATTGGTGTAACCACAAATTGATGTACATGGAGGGTTTGTAGGTGGGAACTGAGAGTGATTTGGCTGCAGAGGCCAAGTAAAGGGCAGCGAGCATGTCTGTGGAAGACATGCTTGGAGGCGTGATGCCTGAGAGAGGGGGCGCTGTGATGGTTGGGGGGTCCAGAGGAGGATCCTGGCCATTAACCTGGCTGGCCCGACGAGAAGGGTTGTGAATGCTGTCAGCGGACATGGGGGTAGAAAAGACAAGAAAATAGTTAGACGAGGGGGGTGGTAGAGCAGAGGCAGAGGAAAAGTAGCTTCTCCACCATGTAATGAACAGCGGTCTTTAAGATGTGATAAAATCCATTTTAGGAAACGGAGTAGAAGAAGTAAGAGGCAGAAGAGTTGAGCTTGTGAAAGATGATGTTTATTGATGAGAATATGAAGCTATTTTATATGAAAAGACTACAGATATTAATGCAGACAGAATGATGAAGAGAGAGAGTATTTTATGCACTCATATGTACCTTCTTGCAGTAGTCCTTTACTACTGCAAGTAGTGTATCTGTGACTCTCAGTCATGACAACTACGCTATCCCAATATGAATATGTTCTTATATGTGATAAATCCAACATCCGAGTGTCTGGATCATCACATCCACTATTACTACTATTCATTTCTCACCTTATATCTCATTTTTATTATCTTTTTATTACCATTACTATTATATTCTAACATCTTACCCCTACATTCTACCAAAAAGCACAAACATTATCCCACTCTTTCCATTTTGACATTGACATCTACCCGCCTTTACATATTACCTCTTCTTACACTATAATTCACATCTACAATCTCTAAAAACCATTCAATTTTCATATTTTATTTCATTTTATTTTCAATTCTCAAAGGTATATAAGAGACCTATTTTTACTAAAATAAACATCATCAGTTATCTCTCTTAAAATCACCGTCCCTGAATTGCTTTCTGCCTGACCCATAGGAAAGCAATCATACATCGCATTAAAGTCTTATATCTTTGTTCAAAACCCTCTTCCTCTTTTTCCTCTTTCTGTCCCTTTGTATCTGTGTAATTGTCCTGAGTGAAATCAACAGCGTTCTCTTAAATTCTCCTCTAAACTTATCTTCTCGTACCTTGCTGTCTATCTGTCTTGATTGTTCCGAGTGAAATCAGCAGTATTTTTATTTTCTTCTTCTACCTTATCTTCGTGTGTCTTGCTGTTTTACCTGTTTGGATTGTCCTGAGCGAAATCAACAGTGTTCTAGTATCTCCTTTCACCTTCTACCTTAACACTTTTATTTCTTTTCCATCCTCAACTGTCCCGAGTGAAATTGAACATTGAACCACCTTTCTAAATACTCTGTATCCCTTCCATATTCACCTTTCTCTTTATTATTCTCTTTCCCACCCGAACTCGTACTCCAGGATTACATTTGTAATTCTTCTTCAATATATTTTATTCTTATTTTCTGACCAAGTTGCACACACAACAAACTCAACACGCGTCACTTTTAAAGGCATCCGATCTTGGACAGGTTGTCACAATTAGTTAGTCTGGCAAAAAAAAAGGGTAGTGCCCCATACTGAAAATGTTATCTCAATAAGATTGCTGCTGCAAAAAAAAACAAGCTTAAATTCGAAAGCGTCAGAATTATTGATGACAGCACTTGTGTACGAACGCAGCATTTACTGAATAAAGTATCACAAAACGGAGGGAATTTGAAGGGGTTTTCAAAAAAAAGGTTGAAGAACTCCTTTCAGCGTCGACTAACAGAGATAACTCTAATTTTCCGAAACGTAAATAGGAGCTTACATCAGTAGAGAATAATCCATAATTGAAATAATAAAATACTGATTTTTAACAATCATATTGCAAATGGTTCATAATAAAGCAAATGAGAGATGTCAAGTACTTTGTAATTTAAAATATATATTATATAAGAAAGTGTAACAGCTGCAAAGAATAGTAATAAAATAAGACTTTAGACGTTTAAGATTATTAAAACCAATTAAAGCTGCCTTCTACATATAAATGATTAGTTTAATACTGTAGAAGTATGGTGAGCGCTTAGAAGTTAGTGATTTCGTAATATATAGAAGAGATCACGATTTAAGCAATAAACTAGTGCCAGCAAAATTATTATATATCCTTTACAAAAGAATATTCAGTTAGTATGATATTATGATATTATGATATTATTTACAATACTAACTGTAATAATTGTTGGCCCGATTAGTTAATTGTTTATATATATTTTATGCTGACAAAATGATAGCTACTAAGCTATCCCAATATGAATATGCTCTTATATGTAATAAATCCAACAGCCAGGTATCTGGATCAACACAGCTTATGTTGACTTGCATCACTAATTGAGATATATAATCCTAAAACCGAAATTACTAACAGAATCTTTGATTTCTACCACCAAACAAACCATACATCAACTTTATTATACTATATCTTCTGAAGAAATTGAAAAAAATTAAAACATTGTGTTTTTATAGAAAAAGCTTTATATATATATATATTGTAGCATAAAAGTAAAAAGAAAAGTCTAATATAAGGTGTGATTACCACGAGCTTTTATAGCTGCTTTAACTCTTTCGGGCATACTTGCCACAAGAGCTTGCAGAGATCCTAGGTCAAGCAACTTCTCTTCCTAAAAAGTACAAGCCTTCAGCTATTATATGCTATTAGTTGGAGTCTTTTTCTTTTTTTACTTTGGCTTTCAGGGCATGCCAGACGTACTCGATTAGGTTCATATCTAGATTTTGCAATGGCCAGCAGTCAAATCGTTTAATGTCTCAACAATTTTCTACCATGTCGTAAAGGATTGAGTATGACAGTTAGTACCATTTTCTTAGAATGTGAACATAATGTCATGTTCTTCATTAAATTGCTTGTACCAATAATTGAAGGTCTTAGACAGACAGTTGACATATGCGTCCTGATCCACGGGCCCTTTGATAAGCAATAATAGACCAATGCTACCAGCCCAGAAACAAGCCCATACCATCACGGAACCTTTTGCATACTTTTCTGTTACTAACGTATGGCGTTTCTGGTGTCTCTTCCCTTGCTTACAAATTAAAGATTAGGTTAGAATCATTGTCCTCTATCATGGATCGCAACTCATCTGACCACACCACTCTACTCCAGTCTTCGATGCCAAAACTGGCTCTATCTCTAGCCCAACGCAACCGATTATTTTTCTACTCAGGAGTTAACTTCGGCTTGAATACAGGGGTGTAAGAACCAAAACCGCTTGCTTGTAGATACCAAATAACTGTCTGCCTACAGACAATAAGTGAAGCAGCTCCCAAATTTTCCTAGTGGTATTCATAACTCTCAAAAAGATTATGTCTCATACTCGAACAAAGACTTTTAACATCTGTTACACTGAGTTTCTTTGGTATTCTAGATCCGGCCTTTGTTTTGGCTGTTTCCGTAGTCTCCCAGCGCTTTTATTGTGTCGAATATTGTAATTCTAGAAATGTTCATATGGTTTGCGATTTCAGTTGGAGTATGCTCGGCCTTTGAAAGCCAAACAATGCCTCTGCGCTCAAAATCTGACAACTAGCGTCTAGGGGGGAAGTCTCGATCCCTTTATTACTGTTGACATTGGTGGCTAAGTTTGAGGTAAAGGTGAGAGGAAGAGAAAGGTAAACGTCATAAAAAAAGAAGCATAAAAATTTTGGTTCGTCTGTGATTTCTGTTGGTGGAGTGTATATGTATGTATGTATGTATGTATGTATGTATGTATGTATGTATGTGTGTGCTATTGGCGCACACTTATAAACTATTCCATAAGAGCTATATTTTGGTATTTAGATGTGAGAATATTATTATAGTTTAAGCTTATTGAAATCATTTAACTTTGGTATATTTATTGTTATATTTTTATTTGACTAATGGTACTTACTACAAGCGAAAGTTAATTAGCCAATATTATTACATGGGCTACTCATATTACTTCTGATAGTTTATTCTCTATAGATAAATTTCTATCGTAATTAGATCCGAGGTGTTTAAGATTTGAATCAATATCAAGAAAAAACCTGTAATGCACAACGCACAGACCAAGAGACAAGGCCCTCAAAATGGAGTGACCAAAAGTCCGAAATCCTAAACCCGACCTTACCAATGCCAGTACTAGCACCAGTGTTGTTGTAAAGATTTTCTACAGCAAGTATCAGTTGGAGAAAAGTATAGTGAAGATAGGTTAAATCGGTCGATTAAATAGAATACTTTGTGTCAGTGAATTGTCATTTACCACTTTGCGAAAACCAAGTTATAACCATGAAATTGAGAGTTTAATGCTTACCGAGGGCTCTTATATAAATATAAGCCATAATTCTGTCTATCTATCTATATATCTATCTATATATCATATATAATCTTTAAAATCTGATTTTTTGCTATTATAAATGTAATGCTATGTATTATAGCGTTCACAAAGGCTGAGACACGCGCATGGAGTATGTCAAGAGTTCTCGTTAGCAGTACTTTTATGTTGAGGCATTATTGTGATGTTTATTGTTATCTAAGGCCTAAAATACCATATCAGATACTTGTATGTCCTTACTTAAGATACGTAAGCCAATCCATATACACAGCTTCTTGAATACAGTCTTGTGATTTATTGCTTTCTTTTCTTATTTTGGCATTACAGACATATAATTGCTTACTAACACGCGTATAAGCATGTGTATGTAGATGCACATGTGCATGTATATTAGATTTAGATTTAGATTTAAATTTGGATATATATAGAGAGAGAGAGAGAAATTGCGCAGTCTTTAGACGGTTGCTTTTTTTTTGGTTTTGTTTTCAAGAAAAACATTGCTTGTTCTGGCATGTCTTATATTCTGTATAGTACTTGGTATATCTCTGGTGGGAAGTGAATATATTTGTAGCATCAAGGTAAACAAGATAGTACCGTGTCTGTTATATATTATTTGTAGTGAAAGTAGCATGAAACAGCAAGAACAACAACAAAGGGATAAAATATACATTATATTTTGAAACGCTTAAGAATATAAAATAAAAAGGGCTATACAAATACTAATAATAAGATATATAATGAAATTCTGGTTAGATTATGCTGCATTTTCTTTAAAAAGATAGCTTTATTGAGAATTCGTAATATAAACCTTTTAGGCAATGTATTATTTCTCACGTATAAATTTGAATTCATAGGTAATATTTATCTTGAGATATATTTCTTCTATATATATCTTATTTTATATATTATTAAGCAAACTAGACGCGTTTGAGTGAGTCGAGCACAAATTGATTGTATTACTGTAGTGATTTATCATACTGTAAATAATTGTTGGGTAGCGAATGGTTGTTAGGGCCAAATGCCGACTTTTTTTTTATAAAGCAAAATAAGACTTGATTCGAAAGCAATAGTGTATTGACAAATGATGCTTTCTTTTTCTTTTAATAAATACAGTTTTATATAGCTTGCTTCTTAAATAGAGAGAGAAAAAGAATAAAGAAGAATAAGAAGAGAACCTCTCTATGATAGGTGATTATGACATCTATAAAGAATATCACACCATAGTTTAAAATATTTGACCCTAATTAAGCAATACTTCCCATACGCGTATTGTTTCTGATAGTTATAATTAAGAGAAAAATGGCTGTGGAATTGTCACTGTTTTTTCAACAAAAAAAATTGTATGCACCTGTTGAGTTATCTTTGCGTTTATGGCGCAATTGACCTAAAGTTACAACGCCTTTAAATAAATCCTTAACCAGATAATGGCTTTCAACACAAACAAATTAAAAAGGTACGAATAATAATACAAATTATGCTAATAATAATAATAATAATAGTGATAACTACAATTTACATATAGATAGTTCTTTTATTTGGATTTGGATTTAAATTTAAATTAAATATATAAATATATAAATATATATATTCAAGTACAACAGAAAGATAAGCAGATAAAAAGATAATAAGCAGGTAGGCAGGTAGGCAGGTAGGCAGTTATACAGACTTGCAAAAAGACTCGATATACTATATTGATAACCTGAAGCTCTTAAAATGGAAATAAATGATGATAATAAAATATTGTAGAAAATATAAAGATTCTTTTTCTTTTCTTTTGGGTATTCGTGGGTAACTCAATGTGTGAGACTTATTTTTATTTCCCACAACCTCCTTGTGTTACAGAGCACATGATTGGCTAATAGACAATGTATTTACTTTATTTAGAATGCCTACCATGCTCGCAATAAACTATCGAAATGTCGCCATCGGATGGCGCAATGGTTGGAACACTTGCGATTGGCTACCCCATTTATTATCTTTACCCATAATTTTCAATTGTAAATTCAATAAAAATAAAATATGAGTTACTTGGTTCATTTATACAGCTCTTCCTTTTCTCTCTTCCTCTCTCTCTCTTTATCGCATACGTTATACACATCTATAAAATTAATTAAAAGAAATAAACTCATCAATGCCACAATCGCCTACCTCACCAACTACAACCCAGTTACCACCAATCTCAATGTTCGCTAGACCACATCCGCCAACCATCCTTCCAGTATCTCCACCTCAAACGGCCCATGAAAAAACAAACATCCACAGCAAATCCATGCCGATTCTTCCGAAACCCCACAACGATTACAACCACCACTCTCCATACCACTCCATACCATCGCCGTCACCTCCGTCATCATCCTTATTATTATCTTCATCAACATCAACATCAACATCAACATCATTATCATTATCATCATCTTCGTCATCAATATCATCATCCACACATCCTTCTAGCCACAACCAAATATACTCCCTTTACCCATCCCATCCCTCCTCTAATCATGAATCAGATCAACAAGCCTTGTGGAATCTTTGGGGCCAGTTCCAGCAGTCCCGCTCAGTAAGCTCGTCCCAAATATCCTCAAACTCGGAGCAATCCCAGCGAAGATCATCCGACCCAACCAGTGTACAGTCTGTCTTGTCAACCGATAAAGGACTGTCGTCTGAAGAGGTTTTAGCTGAAAAGCGACGCAGAAACGCAGGCGCCTCTGCACGCTTTAGAGACCGAAGAAAACAGCGTGAACGTGAGCTCCAAGACAAGTACAATATCCTCGAAAATCGGACAAAGGCTCTTGCCGATGCTCTGAGACGAATCGAGCCTGATCATCCTCTTGTCCTACCACACCAAGCCGAGATCACCAGCCATGGCGACAATTCTAACCGCCTGGGATCAGCCTCACCCTCCCCAGAACCACACTCCCAGAACACGACGGATCTGACTGACCGAGTTAGTCAACTCGAACGTTTAATGACTCTCTTCCGACAAGAAAAGGAAACAGACACCTGCAAACTTGAAGAACTCGAAAAAGAGGTTAGTTGACTATTATGATTATTATAGTTATTCGCTGTTTGTTTTGCCTATCGTATTTTGTACAACAATTATTAATATACATATAATATATCATATAGAACTTTTATCTTCGCTCTCTGTTGGTTCCTGTTGGCCGACCAAGATCACACAGTAACGGTAGATCAAGTCAGTCTTTAGTCCCAACCCCTCCATCTTCCGTGTCTCCTATTCTATCCAGAAAGACACGCTTGAGAAATGACGAGGATGACAATAATAACGAAGATGAAGAAGGTGACGATCAAAACGAAGAGTCCCATGAAAAATCGAGTAAACGGATTTGTGTTCCCTCTCAAGATAAGGAGCAGGGGCATTCGACCGCCACATTTTAGAGATGAAAGAAAAAGAAAACAATTAAAACATATACAAACAAATCATCTACCTACCTACTAGCTAACCAAATATTCCCACAACTTCTTTATCTTTTCATTCTTCTTCTGTTTTTATCAAAGAATTTTTCTATACCAGCGTATAATGTCATATTCCCTTTGTGCATACTTTCAAGATAAACCTCCTCTCTTTCACTTTCTTTATTTCTTCTATCTTATCCACCTTTACCCCTTTCGTTGTACTTTGCATATACTGTTAATATAAATATAATAACTCTTTTTTTTAAAAAAAAATAATCAAATAATGATCTATTGTGTGTTGCGTTTTTTTATGTACACTTGAAAATTGCCTGTGAAAATACACGATGTAAAGCGAAATTAAAATGAAAAAAAAAGAAAAGAAATCTTGCGATAAGAATAAAATTAAATATAAGAATAAGACGAAAACAACGGTGCTGCTGTGTATTGTATGCAAAGAGTAGGTGGTGGTGGTGGGGGGGTATCAAACAAAGATATGAATAATAATAATAAAAAAAGAACATTGAGAACAAAAGCAACAAATAATAAAAATATGCTTTTTTTTTCTATGTTATTTTCTCTATTCATTTTTTTTTCGTTGCTAGGTTGCTAGGCTGTTCTTTGTTCCTTGTTTTTTTTGGGGGGGTTTTGGGTTATGGTACTAAAATGGTCTAAAGTCAAGACTTTTGGACCAACTCAGGATTCTCTATTTCGGTTTCTTCTCCAACAAACAAACCTGGCTCAGAAGGGGGCTGGAATAATCCGAGTAATTTAGCAGCTTGACCAGAAGGTGGATTGAGAATATGCTGATCATGACTATGCTGATAATGAGTAGGCGTATGAGTAGGCAAATGAGTATGAATATGTGGATGAGTGTGTGCAGACGTAGGTGTAGATGTAATAGTGTAGCCATTGATTTCTTGGCTTGATTGAGCTTCAGCTTGGGCCTGTGCTTGAGCTTGAGCTTGGGCCTGGGCTGTTGCATATATATTAGCCATCATCGCAGCTGCTGCCAGTGCCTGGGATTGAAGTGTCGTTGAAGGATCGAATGCACTGCTGTCTGGCAGAGGTGACACAGAACAGCTTTCTCTAAATTTTTCTAAAAGGCTCATCAATTGCACGTGCTCGGTATCTTGACCAAGAACGTAAGCTTGTGTTTCAGAAACCCCATTACCCCCAGCACACTGTTGTTTTTGTTGTTGCTGTGATGCAACTGCAGCAGTAGCTGCGGCTGCTATATAATTGGCGTGGAGAACAGCAGCAAATTCCGGATGGATGGTAAACGATGGGTGAGCAAGTCCGGGATGAGCACCAAGACTAGCACCAGGGTTAGAGTCCCCCATGACCATATTGATCTCCTCTACTAGACGTTTGTAGCCCTGCACATGCTGCAACTTGAGCTTTGCCAAAAGCTGCTTCACGCGCTCGGCTATACGCTGACGCTCCTTTAGATCGACATATGAGCTCGATAGGACCTTCTGGACAAGACTAACACCATGAACCTGATCCTGAAGCACTTCGTCAATCACGGTGTCGGTTGGAGAAAAGAAGAGGGTGTCTAAAATAACCGTACAAGCCTCGGGTTCTTGGCGCTGGTTGACTAACTTGAGCACAGTCAGGGAGGCCAGCTTGTGTGTGCAAAGACGAGCCAGATGAGGCGTGAGGCGGGGAGCAAGAATACTGTAGCGACCTGGAATACCCGACGTGTCGAGAAACCAGATCAGCAAGAGAGCGCCATTGGCATTTGTGGCCAGCAGTAAGGCGTGTTGTACAAGTGTGGACGCTACATATTTCTGCTGGCGTTTTGTAACGTGAGGGCTTTCCAGAGTTGCTCGGACGGCGCGTGAGCCAAATCTTCCTTGCGCAATCTCCCAACAGTTGTCGACAATGGCGTCGAAAATGAACTGGTTTATATCCGGACCGAGGCCGAGACAACACTGAACGACATAGTTTCCAAACTGATCGAGCAGCAGTGCCGGAACATACGGTCTAATGTGGACGCATACGGTGTTGATCTGTGTCGGCAGACGGGCTGTATCGATGATCTTTTGAGCAGCCCAGGTGCCATTCTTATGGATACCAACCGAGGCTAGGTAAGGGGCAATGGTCTCCAGCATGTGGGATTTAGCAGTCTCTGAACAGCGCTCAAATAGACGTTGGACAACCGTATTCCCAATATAGTCTACAAATCATACATAGCGAGTCAAACAGCAACCCCTCATTTTCTTGTTAGTATTTTCCACATATTAAATTACAAAAATAGATACACAAACACAAACAATGCGCACGAGCGAACACAGGTACACAGGTACACAGGCACACAGGAACATACGCACGTACGCACATACGCATGCACGCACGCACGCACGCACGTACGCACGCACGTACACATGTACGCATGTACGCATGTAAGCATGTAAGTATGTAAGTATGTACGCATGTAAGTATGCACGCTCACATGCTTACACGTTTGTAAATACATAAGAACATATATTTCTATTTACTTGGAAATACGTACCACTACACAGTTCAACTATTTCCTCAGTGCAGTCGACAGCAATGACATCCAATTCGTTGAGAGAGATGTAAGGAGATTCCAATTTCTTTCTGAATTCACGTAGTCTAGAAATATCTACTCTACGGGACTGGCCAAGCTCGGGGGCAGCGATGATTGCAGAGTAATAAGTGGGTGAACGATGAATTTCTAAAATGTAAAAGAAAAAAAAAAGAAAGATGTAGATGTAGATTTAATAAATATAACAAAATGATCTTTTTCTTGTAAACAGCTTTATGTTTACACGCATATGATATTTAGTTTATTACAGATAAGCAAGGGGGGTATAAGGGGGGTTAAGTGTAGTGTAGGGTAGGAGAAAAAGAAAGAAAAAGATTGGGTATTAAAGGCTCAAGGTACGTGGTTTAGACATACCATCAAAAATAGACCCTTGTCTGTCATAGTCTCCAAATTCTCGCATGATAAGCTGTCTTTCGGCAACAACGGCAGCATAGACATTCGGAGAGGTGGTGCCAACCATTTCAGTCGTCATGCACATCATCCCACGTTGAGATTGATAGCCACTATCGGGGGCGGTAGGGGTAATCCAGCTCATATCCGACTCGATGATGTGTCCCCCTTCTGGTCCAGATGACACAACTGTTGGTGCTGATGCTGATGCTGATGCTGATGCTGATGCTGATGCTGATGCTGATGCCTTTGTCGATTTAGTTGATTTGGCTGTCTTTGTTGCCTTTCCTTTTATTGTTGTTGCGGTTGTTGTTGATGTTGCAGATACCGAGGAAGGGGATGACAAGATAACAGGTAGTTTCGAAGGCTCTTTGGCGAACCCAATCCTAACTGGGCCACTGCCAGGACCCATGATCTCCTTTCCAATCAGAGCCTTCTTGGCCCGGACAGCATCTTCTTGAAGCTCAAAGTTGACAAACCCGCAGTTTTTGTGTGTCAGGACGCGGGCCGATTCAATCGAGCCAAAGGGTGAGAAGAGGGAAAGTAGACAGTTTGGTGTGGTTGAGACTGGAATATTTCCTATCCCTGTATGAGTATATACAGACACATATGCATATAAAAATAAAAGCACATTAGATGGCGATAATTTATTATACGTTTGCACAAATTTAGAATATAAAAGAAAAGAAAAAAAAGATTACTTACATAAAGCACGGGTAGGTCCTTGTGCAGAAGACGTATTGGTTTCAGTTACAACAACTGGCTGGGGAACCGCTTCATGACGTCCAAACCCGACTTTGAGAGAAGTACTGCCGAGACGACTACTGAGTTTTGTGGTCGCGCTTTCCTTTGCTCTGAGGGCATCTTCTAGAGATTCAAAGTTTACAAACGCACACTCGCGGTCGGGAAGGATACGGATGCTGTCAATCGGCCCACAAGGGGTAAAGAGACAGGTGAGGTCCGCAGTGGTGATAGAGGGGTCAATGTTACCCAGCCAAAGAGAACGGGTGGGAATCTGGACAGGAGAGTTTTTTTCGGATGAAGAAGAATGATCATCATCCTCATCATTATCATCCTCATTATTGATGATATCGTTGAGATTGTCTTGACCTACACCTTGGTCCTCTTCTTGCCCTTGAACCTTGTCTTCTTCTTGACCTTGAACTTGATATTGATCCTGCTCTTGGTTAGGATTTTGAGTTCCATCTTGAGTATCGCCTTGTTCCATTTCTTGTTCCTGGCTACGGATCTGGGTCTGGATTCTTTCATTTTCTTGGTCTTGGTCTTGGTCTTGGTCTTTGTGAGTTTCTTCAATTGGGTCGTCTAGTTGCTTGTTTTCGGGTCTAGATACAACCCTTGGGCTGACCCGTGGGCTTGCCCTTGGACTGTTGCTGCTCCTTGGGCTAGCAGCCCCTGACCAATCCTCGGCGGTAGGCGTGTCAAGGGATGGACCGGAGGCTGCCTTGCGCTGGCGGGCAATCATCTCCAGGAGATCCGCACTGCTGTTTGAGCTCCGCAATAGGTTTCGAGAAGGTCGGTTGTGGTATTGAAGATTATGCTTATTAGGGTGACTAAAGTTGGAGTGGTGGGTCTGGTGGTGAAGAGGCGTATCGTGGTGCCAGATTGAATGTGAGGAAGGAACAGGCAGCGGATGACGTGCATCCGGGACACCCATGCTGATCGCACGCGGACGTCCCTGAGATTGCTGCAAACGCACACTTGCGATGGATGGCAGGGTGGTTGGTATCGATGATGATGCTTCTTCTTCTCCTCCTGTTGTTGTTATTAATGGTACTTGTGATGGTACTTGTGATGGCTGTGCCCGCCATGGCATGTCGTCCTGCAGCCCCAGTGATGCCAAGGTACTTGTGATGGTGTTGTTGTCATCACCCTTCATCAACTGGTCGGTGGTTGGGGTTGTGGGACTAAGTAGCTGTGTACCATCTGCCAGAAAGCTACTGTTAAAGATACCGCCGCCGAACGGATGGTTACCAATTGGGTTTGTGCCGATGTTTGTGTCGAGCGAGAGAAGTGCTTCGGGTATGTATAAAAAGGCGGTCGACTGAGAAGGCATGGTGTCAGCACGCGGTCGGCGCAGTGGTGACAGCTCTAGATGAAGGTGGGTTTTTCGGTCTTGTGTTGTGGCAGACGGACGACCGATTTTTGGTAGACGCTGGTCCAATGTAGTCTGCATCATCCTTGTTGAAGTATTGCTTTTATACGGATATAGATATATGTATATGTATATGTAAAAGCACACACAAGTGTAAATATGTATGCATTAGTTTTTTTTTTTTTAAAAAAAAAGATATATACTGGGGTTGTTTGACTTTTTTTATTTTTTCATAAACCCAGCCATAAAACGCGCAAGCTTACCATTTTGGGAGAGCGAGACTCATAGCCTCAGTGGCAGAACCAACGGTCGTTGGTGGGCCGGTGTCAGGCCAGCTCATGAAGGATTATGAAGGAGGGAAGGAAGGTGGTCGGGGAATGAAAAGGATTTTTATTTTATTTTTAAAGAAGTTGATGTCAATGGTGATGAAGAGAATGACCAACGACTGGTATGTTTCTTCAACCTGAGAGATACAAAAGAAGAAGTGGGAAAGAGCAGATAGAAATGCACAAGATGTAGAGAATAATATATATATATATATATATATATTTGAGTACAGTTAATGAAGAGAAAGAAGAAGGAAGAAAGAGGAGGAGAAGAGAAAACCATAGAGACCTAAAAATACATGTTTTATATAGATGTGTATTATCCACGGTTTGGACAGCCAAGGGGGAAAGGTGGGGGATGGGGGTTTCCTTTGAGGAGCCCAAACCAGCACACTCCGCCAACCAAATTCAGGGTCACGGCAGTAAAAATAAAAATAAAAATAAATATCAATATCAATATCAATATCAATATCAATATTAATATAATTTGAAGACCTTTTGTCCTACTGCTTTGGGTTAAAGTCAATAGAAGGAATCTAGAGTATTTAAAAGAGATAAAGACTTTGCTGTTAGTAAATAGGACATACAAGAGGCCAATTGACACTATTGCAATGTACAGACAAAGATGTGAGAACCAATTGAAGATGGTTGTTGAATTAGATAGAAGCATATATATATATATATATATTTCCAAATGATCTCACTAAATGTCAGAAATTACATGCTTCACAGATTATTCAAGATCATATCTATAATATATATATAGAGTGTTGTAGTCGGAGCGTACAAAGGCTTGCTTTATCTCTCTATTTGGTCTTGTACGTGATGTTCGCTTCTTTTTTGCCAGTCGGTAATCGTCCCGAATAGCCTGTGACACAAATATGTAACCACTCCAGGGTCTCTGTTATATGTATATGTATATATATTTTTATGTTGTTTATAGAATAATCTACTATTACTGTTTTTTTTTTAGTTCAAGAGAAGATGAGTCCAACAATAAATAGACTCATTATCATAAGAAACAACCTGGATAGGAAACCGTTACTGTGAGGCTGACCATGAATTGCAGTAGATCCGTTGAAAGGCATATTCTAAGGATGTATTCATTTTCAGTTTCGAATCAGCCAACCAAAATCAATAAGAATTAAGAAGAGTTTAGATGGTTTACTTACAAAGGCAATACCAAATGGAAAGAACCCTACGCCAGCTGTAATGGCTACATTTCCAGTGTTAAAACCTCTTCCTCGTAATGGTTGTCCAAAGAAAGAGTGACTTGGCATATTGGGATCCCGTAGTGGAGGAGGTCTTTGTCCAGCTGGACGTGTTGGTATCGATGGATCATTTCTGTATTAATTTTTTGTTTTTTTTTTTAAAAAAATAAATAAACAATTGATAATAGATAGATATATATATACAAAAACATTATGTAGCTTTACCTTGGATCTTTTTCTTCTTTGCCTCTGCCGTAAATAGGAATCACCTTTTCCCTGTCACATCCTGCCTTGCACACAGGACACGTTGGATTTCTTGACTGCTGGTTCAACCACTGTCCCAGACAAGACCAACTTGGGATGAGGAAATAAAAAGGAAATGAAAGAAGTCATCTGTCAATACAATAAATTGACGTCTATTCACCAATATATATATATGCATATCCCAGCTTTGACATGAATGACACCATAACTTACCAAAACAAATGTCCACACAGCGTTAATACTGGATATGTAGCTGTATCAAAACTAACCAAAATAAAATTAATAATAATTTTTTTGTTCCTTATCAATATAGCACTATATAAGATATAAAGCCTTGAAACAAACCATATGTTGCACTCATAAAAACCACCGCCATTAATAGTGTCGTCATGTTCTTGTGATGTAGGTAAACTAGCATCTGTTGGCATCGATCCTCCTTCGCCTGTAGTGTCTTCGTTCAAGCTAGTCACCACAATCCGTCGTCGTAGCTCATTTGTCACTGTTGTGTTTTGTTGCTTGTGCTGTATCAATACAGGTCCTGTTCGGACTTGTTCTGATTCCACAGTCTCTGCTGAATTTACAGTAGAATCAGTAGCAGCATGAGAAGGAGCAGAGGCAGTAAATAAAGTATCAGCAGAGTTTATAGCAGGAATATGAGCACTAGCAGTAGTAGCAGTAGTAGCACTAGTAGCAGTAGCAACAGTAGCAGCAGTAGAGGCAGTAGAGGCAAAAGTAGGTAATGCAGTCGGCAGTGTAATGTGTGATGAAATTATGCTTGGTGAGAGAGTCTGGGCCGTGGCTGTGGTCTGAGAATCCTCTTTTGGTGTTTCTTCCATGGAGTTTTCTACACTTCCCGAAGCCTCTTCCTCGGGTGTAGTCGATCGGGTAGCATCCATCAAGATGAAGATGTGTCTGTGCTTTTTCTCTTAACCCAACTCTAGCCAGAAATCTCTGGGTGTCAAATCAATCATGTGACAATATATATATATATATTTGCTATTACAGTGTTTCTTCTTACTTGAGATTGAGATGATGTTAATTAATTATATATATATTTTATTTTATTTTATTTTATTTTTGTACGAATCAAAAAAAAGAAATTAATTTTTTTGGACCAAAAAAAAAAAAAAGCTAGAGATAGATATACAGCTCTGACCAAACCACAACCAGATTGATCCCTCTTTATGCATATAAATCCAAGGATTTTGTTTCAAATTCAAATGATTACATACATTCCTGTTGAATATGGCTAACAAAGTTTCAATTCTCACCCAATAAAAGAAGTATTACTATTTTACCAGCCAGATAAATTATAATTTAATATATATATAAAGAAGAAGAAGAAGAAGAATAACTACATTTTGTTTTTGAAAATATTGAAACAATTTATAGATTAGATTTCTGTTGTATTTGTATTTTAAAGAATAGAAGCCGATTTTTTTATAATTATGATCTATCGTTTTTAAATTAATCCTTGAGGACGTTGCGACGGATGAAGTTGGAGACTGTCTCAAAGACGACAAGAAGGATACCACCACTATATATACATAAGGAATTATGATTAGAACAAAGGTCGAGAAAGATAAGATAAAATAAAATTATACAGCATATGCTGGTTTACTTACCCAGGACCCAATCTAAGAACCTTTGGTACGAATCCCTTGTAGAGAGCTCTGACACTAGATGATTATAAGAATAGGATTAAGTGACAAGAAAAGAATAAGACAATCACTTACCCTTCTTCACGGGCAACAAGGGCAATTGAAGGCAAGGTCCAGTTGTAACGTCTGGGACCATCACCGCTGTGACCCTGGATTCTGGTCTTGACAACATCAAAGGGAGTGTTGATCATCGTACCAACGAAACCACCAGTAGAACCGGCGGCAAAGTTGACAGCGAGTTGCTGGTTCTTGTCCTGTTAAGAAAAAGAATCTTTAATTATTTCACTCTTTCTATTAGTTCTTTTAATTACCTTTGGTTGGGGCAAGAGTCCCTTGACACCAAAGATTACACCAAAGTAACCACCGTTCCAGCTGGCGTGACGCCAGATAGTGGCTTCAAGACCGTTGAACAGGGCCAAAGGACCCTCCTTCTTGATAATCTTTCCAAATGTATCCATTGTACCATTGTATTTTCCGACCTGGGTCCACACACATATATATATGTAATACAGTATAGTATATTCAAAGAATGACAAGTAAATTTTTTTTAAGAAACCTTGTTTGTAATCCCAATATTGTTCCCGTATTATCCCACGTATACACACAAAAGATAATATCTTACATTGGCCTTGTCCTGCATTCTGATCTTGACCAATTCAAAGGGAACAATCAAAAAGGCTTCAGTGATACCAGCACTGACACCGGTCATGATGGCCAAGGACTGGGTCAACTTGTCAAAACCAAACACACGCTTGTAGAGGGCTGTGTATTGTTCGTTTGCAGCAAACTTTGTGGCACGCTTGGGAGCCTCGACTAAGATGGGAGGAATGATACCTCTATAGAGAGCACCCACACTAATATGATGTTTTATTAGCTTTGATCGGTTTACTGTCATCATCTTTTTTTTTTACCCTTCAGTCTTGATGATCTGCTTGAAAGACTGTCCAATCGAGACACTGGCGCCGGTATTCAATTGAGCACGCGTTTTAACGACTTTATGAGTCATATCCAATCCAATCCAAGCCAAGCCAAGCCAAGCCAATAAAGTATGTATAGGTATAATAGTTATTAGAGATTGTAATAATATAAAGCAAAATACTTACCATCCAAGGGATACATGGTCAAGATTTCTGAAATACCAGCAATGGCACCACACAAGAACTGGTAGTGGAAAGGAAGGGCTAACATATTATGTGATTGGTTTAGTGGAGTCTGTCCAGTAGAGTTGTGCTTGGTTATCTAGTCCAAGAATCGAAACATACGTTTGGGTGCTTCAGCCATTGTGTCCAAGTTGCTTTGACAAAGTAAGTTAAAGAAGAAGAAGAAGAAGAAGAAAGAAAGAAAGAAATAAAGAAAGAAGTAGATGAAAGATAAAAAAAAAAAAAAAAAAAAAAACCTAATATGGGGATGTGGAGTTTTTTTTTTTATTTTTATTATCCCGCAAATAAAATAAAATAAAGTATAAAAATAAATTTACAAGGGAAAAAAAAAAAAAAGAATAATGGCTCTTTGGTACACAAGAAAATCCAAAAAAGAGATCTCTGTTTCTACCTCTATCAAATATTTTTTATATCAATCGAAACATAGACTATCATTCATCTTATTGTATAGTGTATTTATGTAATATACTGAAAACACAGTCACATCTATACCTTCTTTTTTTTTGTCAGTGTGCGTATATAATAATAATAATTTATATGATATACCTTATTTTATTTTATTTTATTTTTATTATATTTTTTGCACGGGAACTCCACATTTTTACTTTATTTTTTAAAAGTATTTTTATATAAAGAAATGTAACCTTGGAGATTGTGAATAATAAAGTAAAATAAAATTCAGGTACCAAATAATTGTGTTTTCTTTAAAGAATAGATTTCCAATTCAATAAGCTATAGCCTTGCAAAAATAAATATAAAGAATTGTTTGTTTATTTAATCTTTTGGATATCCTTAACAGTCAAGGTGACAGGACAAGATTTTTGCGTCAGATATACTTTTGGTGTAACATTATTTATTTATTTATTTATTTTGGGTGGAGCGGGGGAGGGGGGGGGGTTCAGATTTTCTAGTAATTTTTTTTCTTTAAATAAAATAAATATATAAAACCTATGCCTATAGCACAATTCAAGTAATAATGGGAAAATATTAGCAAATCAGAGTCGTTCAAAAAAAAAAGTTACTTTTTGAACTTTTCACCTGTCCACCCCAATTGTTTTATTTTTAGTTTTATTTTTATTTTTGTTGTTGGTTATATAAAAATAATAATAATAAGAATAAAAAATAAGAATAATAAGAATAATATAAAAAATAAAAAAAAAATAAAAAAAATAAAAAAAAAATTGTGCCAAGGCTTCAAATTTGTTTGGCTTTACCAAAGTGTATTGTGTGTGTGTTTTTTTGTTTTTGGATTTTTTTTTTGGATTTTTTTGAATTTTGAATTTTTTTGAACTTTTGAATTATTGAATTGAATTATTGAATTTTTTTTTTCCCATTTTTGTATATATAAATAAATAAATAAAATAAAATAAAATAAAATAAAATAAAATAAAAAGATTTATATTTGTATCTGGCCTTTGATGATTTGGTGGTTATCATCTCATATGCCATGCTGATGTTCTTCCCTGTTCTTCCCTGTTCTTCCTTTGGTCGCCTTTTACCTTTAGTCTTTTTTGTTTTTTAATTGTAGTTGCGCCAAGACAAAAAGGTGTTGACGTTCTGGGGTTGGACAAGAGGATGAGACGAAAAGAGATCCTGTTCGGTGTTAAAGGGATCCCATGTGGCAGCAAACGGTTGAGAGTGAAATCGATTGGCTCGGATAGGATTGAACTCCTGACAGCGTCTAAAATAATAAGTCCCATCATTGTTATTCACTTGTTCTCCTTCTTCTTGATGATGATGATGATGATGATGATGGATCGGAACCTTGGGCAGCGAGTGACGACTGATGGGTGGCGGAGGTGTGACAAAGCGCGAGGGCGATGGCAGGTGTGTCTGCTTCTGAATGCGATGATGTCTGTTGTGGCTGCTGTTCAGAGGGCTGAAATGGAGATTCATCGTGTTTGAACCATAATCACGTCGGTGATAATTCGACTGCTGCAGAACCTCCCACGCAAGTCGCTCCTTCTGAAGCTGCGACTCCCGCTTCTGTCTCTCCTCTTGCTGTTCCCGTCGATAACGCTCCTCCTGCTTCCGGGCATCTTCCTTGAGTCCCAGGCTGACAAGGGTCACACGAATGAACTCCTCTCTCTCGGGCGAACTCTCGAAACACGTCATCCTGGCACGTTCCCGGCATCGGTCCAGCACTGTCTTCCAGTGATTGTACTCTGTGTCGCGCACAAAGATATTGTAGTCCAGCGCATCAAGAAACTCGGCCTCCATCACATTGAGATCCTGGAGCTTCATCCCACTCACTTCAGCCCACGTCTTGTTCGTAAACGTTATGTCATCCAGAAACTTGTTCGACAGCATCAGGGCCACAATCAACAGTCGGTACTCCGATCCTTCGTCTCCCTCAATCGTAGGGTTCGAATAGAGCAAGATAGCAATGAACTTCATCGCCAAGTACACCACAGACTCGGTCAAGCGAGTGGCCGTCAATACCTTTATGTTTATATAACAATGTTTAATTTTTAATTATAAATATTTTATTATTATTATTATTATTATTATTATTAAAATAAAATATACACTTACACACTACTCCCAATCTTTATTTTTTTCTATTCTCTTTACCACCCTCAACTATCTCTTTTTCACCTCACAATCATTATCATTGTTTATAGGTATTGTTCTCTCTAATCTTATTTATATATTTGTGTCTATATAGCACAAACGTGCCTTGCTTTTATTTTAAAAAAAAATTTACCTGCAGCACGAACCGTTTGAAGGCGGGATTGGCACTGGCTGCAGATCGACTACTGATCCCATGACGCAATGGTTGACGAGCATGCCACATGAGGTAGACCATCGACGCAGCAAACTCAGCCAAGGATGGAATCATAGTGTCCACAGTGTCATTACTCACATGAACAATAGCAGGCGGAAGACAGGGTGCATACGAATTCGGCTTTCTTTGTTGTTCATAATCTTCCTTTTTGGCCTCTTCCTTTTTGTCTTTTAATTCTTCCCTTAATTTTATGTTTATGTTTAGGTTTACTTTTTCTTCATTTCGACATATTACATTCACAATTCCAGGTTGTGCTTGTGCTTGTGCTTGCTCATGTACTGGTGGATGTGATTTGGACAGAGACTGGAGTGGCGGCGGTTGGTGCAAATGACGACGGTTACTGTCAACAACAATAATATTACTATTATTAATATTATTAATATTATTAATATTAATATTATTAATATTATTATTATTATTATTATTATTATTATTATTGTTATTAATATTATTATTGCTGTTGTTGATATTATTACTACCACTACTATTACTACTGGTGGTCATAGTTGTAGTTGTAGTTGTAGTCGTAGTTGCAGTCGCAGTCGCAGTCGCAGTGGTGGTTGAGACGTTATTGTTGATGTTTCTGCCAATGGTGCCATTCATGCTAATGCTGTTGAGGCTGTTGAGGCTGCTGAGACTATTAATGCTGCTAATGCTGCTAATGCTGCTTCCACTGTTTCTGTTTCTGTTTCTGTTGGTAATGCTGTGTCTGTTTCCATTAATATTGTTGTTGTTGGATTGTATTCTGTTGTTCGTAATAACGGCACCAGCACCGGTTCCTGTGCCGGCACATGTCAAGGGAAGAGTAGGACAGGCAAATGCAGACTGACTTGGAAAAAAGGTCGGCTTGGTGGCAGGGAAGAGGGTGTAGGCTTGAGGCTCACCTCTGTTTTGCATCATCATCTTCAACAATGGATTCCGACTCGATCGTTTCTAGTCCTTTCTGGTCTGGTCTGGTCGGGTCTGGTCTGGTCCTGGGCTTTGTTGATTCTTTGTTATCTCTTTTTGTTGTTGTTGTTGTTGTTGTTGTTGTTGTAAGGAAATGAAATAAAAAAATAGATAGATACAAATAAATACAATACAATACAATACAATACAATACAATACAATACAAGATAATACAATAAAAATAAAATAAAATAAAATACAATGCAATAAAAATTCGATTCAAATAAGAATAAAATATAGAGGGAATAAGAGTTTGAATAAAATGAAATTAAAGAGCAAGGACCCGTCCTTTGTACAGCAGTCAAAAGGGGTGGTCAAAAGATAAAGATAAAGAAAGGAAGATAGATAGATAGATAGATAAATTGAAAGATTGAAAGAGAGTGAGTGAGTGAGTTTGGCTGATAGACTGTATGTAGCAAGCAAGCAAGCAAACAAGCAAACAAACAAACAAACTATAAAGAGAGAGAGAGAGAGATAAAGAGGGCGATTTTTTTTTTCAAAAAATAAAAGAATAAAAGAATAAAAGGCTGCGAAAACAAGCAAGGATGTTGTATCTTTTTTCTTGGTTTCTGGCGTCGTCTTTGCTTTCTACTGTCTTTTCTGCTTTACTTTGAAGCGAAAGTATTGGCTGTCGGTGTAGCTGTAGCTGTAGCTGATGGTTGTGGCTGTGGCTGTGGTTGTGGTTGTGGTTGTGGTTGTGGTTGTGGTTGAAGGGGTGGGGCAATATATAAATATATAAAGATAGATAGAGATACAGGTAGGTAATGCGATGTATAGATAGAAAGGGAGGGTTGTCGGCTTGGTTCCGTAAGATGACTCTTGGTGCCTGGTTTCTTCTTCTTTCCACTATTAATATTCTGCTACTACTACTACTACTTCTTCTTCGGCTTCTACTTCTGCTTCTGCTTCTACTTCTACTACTCTGGCTTCTGCTTCTGCTTCTGCTTCTGCTTCTCTTTTTGCTTGGTCTTGACGATGAAGCTGCGTAATCACCAACTACCTTTTTCCTATCCTTTTGCTCTTTCTTTCCTTTCTTTTCTCTCTTGCTTTCTTTCTTTTCTTGTTCAAATTATTATTTTTTAAATAAATAAAAATAAATAAATAGAAAAAAGGACAAGAGAAAAAAAAATCAATTAAAAAAAAATTAAAATAATATAAATATAAAATTTTATTTATATTACATTATATCTTTTCTATATTAAAAAAAAATTATTTATTTATTTATTTATTTATTGAATAAAAAATAAAATAAAATAAAATTCTTCTCCCTCCCTCCCATCTACTTCACTTTACTCTCTCTCTCCCCCCTTTCTTTCTTTTTTTTTTTTTGCTATACAGAGTTTTTATGTATATCACATAATCTGAAATGTAATTTATTTATATGCGTGTGAATCTTTTATTACAAATACACACGATTGATATTTTAACTGTGGTAAAATTTGGAGTTTGATTTGATTTACTATTGTTACTTGTACTGTCTGTACGTGGGTTGTAATCGTGTAAGGTAATATATATGTGTGTTCGTGTGTTTGTAATGTTGGTATACCTTTTATAAGTTTGTGATTGGCTTAAAAAAAAATTAAGTTTTCTAAATCACATGATCAAGAGCTGTAAACTTATAGGGTCTGGCCATCATCATCAGATTGAGGTGGGGGTGTAGGGAAGTCGTGGATATCAGCAAATGAACTCTCGGATTTGAATCTATCAGAGTAGCGCCAGTCCTTGAACAGAATTTATTGTCGTCATCATTTATAATTATTATTGAAATCAAATAAAACATAATGTAATGTAATGTAATGTAATGTAATGTGTGTATATATTTATAATAATAATAATAATAATAATAATAATAATAATCACCATCACTACCACTACTACTACTACTACCACTACAATCATCTTAATCACCTCAAGCCATGTTGTTTACCTTTTGGATGCCTACGACCTCTAGCTCCATCCGTTCAAAGTCTTTTTCAAGTTGAGTGACAATATCATCTTTGAGCTTCAGTTCGCATTTTAGCATCTCCGCATCTTCTTCCTTGTCCCGTAATAGGTCATACAATTGTTCCTGATCCGCATGAAGGGCCTGCAATCCCTCTCTTAGCTGTGCATTTTCTTGTTCAAGGGCACTGGCCATCGTTCCACCCGAGATATTGGAATGAATCACCGGTCGGCAGATATGCTGTGGTTCAGGCTTTTGTTCTTCGCTCTCAGGTGGAAGAGTCAGAACAGAGAATCCTTGGCTAAGAGGCTGATCTGTATAACAACACGTCTTGTTACATCCAGCTTGTCCCTCGAGCTAAAATATATGTATATATAATTATATGTAATATGCATATTTATGTATATTATATTTTATATATATATATATATATTTAGAGAGAGAGAGAGAGAGAGATTACCAAAAAAAAATCATTTTTACCTGTCGATATAAAAGATTCACAATCTGAACAAGATATTCATACTCTGGTCCAACGTTCTTCATCTGTCGAATCTGATCTTCTTTCAATTGATTCAATTCTTGCTATCATAAGAAATTAACAGAGCTTAGTTAACAACAGTATTTCATCAATAAATAAATAAATAAATGAATAAAATTCACAGGTTTCCCTTACAGATTTTGCAAGTAAATCATCTTGGAGTAATCGATTACTACGCTGTAGTCGGATATTATGGATCCTCAATTCTTCCATATCCTGCTTAAGTTGAGCCGTCTGTTGCTCTACGAGTCTGTCACAATCCAACTTTAGGATTCGATTGGCTCGGAGTAATCGAACATTGGACAATGTGAGATGCTCAATCTCATTCCCAAGTTGTCTTTGTCGGGTATCTGAATCACCATTCTGTATTGTTCGTTTGGGTAGGTCAACTTCTGGCTATAGATATATAAAGAAAAGAAAAGAAAAGAGTAGATAGATAGATTGGTGTTAATATCACAAAAAATCTAGGCACAGTCATAATAAATCTATATTAAACTCTCAATCTCGCCTGTCGCTGTTTACCAAGGACGGCATGGAGGAGGAATCTTGCAAGGGTATTGAATAGTTCATCAGGTTGTGAAGTGGACTTAGGTGATCCCGTGCAGTGGCTGAGACGGGCATAGAGAAACGCTGCATTGAAAATAACAAATAAGGGGAACTTTATAGATACAACTCCTCCCCCTTTTTTCAAAAAAATAAATAAAATAAATAAATATAAATAAGTATTTATATATTTATATTTATGGATAAAGAAGTAATCAAGTAAAGAGGTAAGAAAAGTAAAGAAGAAGAGGAGAAAATATTAATGATTCTAATAATTATTATTAATTAATGAGTAATGAGGTGAGTAAATCAAAAACTCGGTTACAAAAAATACCATAAAATAAAATGCTCTTTTTCTTGTCGATTTGCCCTTTTTATTTTTCTTTGCGTGCGTGCTAGAGTGAGTGTGGTGAGTGTACGCGTGTGTGCTGTAGTTTGTAATTAGGGTGTAGCTAGGGTGCAATTGGGATGTATAAAATGAATATTATAAGATTCCTTTTATGTATCTAATTTATACTTGTGTTAATCGGAATACCAATAATTATTACCACTAAAATCACATAATGAAGTCTGTAATTGAACTTTTTATATATCCACACACTTGCAATATTTTCATTTGGTTTCGCACATCGTTATAAGAATAACGAAAAGACTATCAGGAGAGATGGGTCTGTAGAGAGCACAAAAATTGACCTTGCAATTCAAAGAAACAAGATCCTCAAGGCTGGACTGAATCCATAGCCACAGAAATATCAAATCCACATCATTACTCAGAACTCCATTGCAGGTGTTTCAAGTTTTTGGATTGTTGTTATTAGCGTTTGATACGCTTGTTCATTGTTCTTTATAGCAGAAATCAACATCTGCACCTGGAGATCTTTGGTATTAATTACTGTTAATCTAGCTTTACTATTCTATAAGAGTGTAATGTAAGTATGTAATGTTTACAGTGTATGATGTACAATATTTTATCAAATATGTATATATTGCTTGATAAAATCAAAATCAAAATCAAGACCAAAATACACATCAAACCATCAGTTTGGATCATTATATTGCTATTTTGGCTTGTATTTACCTTGTCATTGAGGATATATCATATAGTCTATAGTCTATAGGCTATAGTCTATAGTGTAGGGAATAACTTGAAGCCCTTTCAATCCCAGATAGTCCAAACTGTACAAAAATCATCTCATTTACAAGTTTAATAGTGTTTACACTTGTTATATAATAAGAAATCGTTTGAATCATTCTTCTTTTCCCTTTATTTTATTTTTGTTTTTTTTAATATTTTATTCTTATCTCTCTTCTTCTTCCTTATATATCTATACCATTAAACAATTGTACATACACTTCTTCTTATCATTATTATTATCAATAGTAATCTAATAAATATTAATTAATGGTTTCTCTGAATGATCCCTCCTGTCTATCACGTTTGTCTATCCTCTTTCGAGAAACAGCAACGTATTGCCAAATTACACAGGATGAAGTCTGGGTAATAATGACAATAACAGTAGCAACAGTAGCAGTGGTAGCAACAATAGTGGTAGTAAAAGTAATAACAAGGACCTTAAATAAGTATCCAAAAGATATATATATAAAAATAGTTTGGCTCGTATACATCACTACTACACACACATGAATACACATATATACCTTTCTATTTACAGAATGATTTATAGGAAACATTGATAAAAATACTTCCAGACCACGAAATATGGGTGTTCGAGATCTTGCTCGAATATGGTGTCCTTGTGCCACTCAATGACAAGTTTCTTGTCTGTACACATCCTGTAAATAGCGTCCTGACTCCCCTGACAGCATGTTACTCTCCTGGATGTCTTCCGACCAAGACATGTTACGCTCCCCTCTGTCCACACCGTCCACCCGGCCCGCTCTGTCTCTATCCACTCCAGCTGACCTCTATAATAGACCCTCTGATAGACTATCCCGCACACCTCAAACGAGCAAAGTCTCTGCTGTCCAATCCACAGCAGTTCAAACAACAGGCCGCCATTGCTGAACTCGTAGCCTCAGAACAACACTACCTTGCCGACCTCCACATTCTTCACCACACATACGCCAAACCCATTCTTGAAGGCCTGTCAGGTATCGAAGAAATGCGTCGCAAAAAGTTTCATGACATCACTTTTGGAAACCATGTCCGGATCGCCTCTCTACACCAGCACCTCTACACAGATCTCACACGCCAATGGGATCCCGACCAGAAGCTCTTTTCGGGCTGTGTCGGAACAGTCCTCACAAAACACCTCGCCGGCCTCGTCGACCCTTATGTCCTCTACGCATCCTCTCATGCCAAGGGTGCCTTTGTAATCACGGCCGAGTTACACAAAAACAGTGCATTTACGGCCTTTGTGTCCTGCCAGGACAATCATCCCAAAACCCGGCGACTTGGCCTACGCCACTACCTCACCCTGCCCACCCTGCGCATGGGACGTCTGCGTCTCCTGGTCCAAGCCATTCTCAAGCACACGACCCAGCCTGACCACAGACTCGCTCTCGAGGCCTCCCTGGCTGGCCTGCACAAGCTTCTGGAAACCCTTAACCAGGTCTCTGGAAAGGCTACCCAGCAGGCCCGCATTCTCCAGCTCGCATCGGCCCTAACCGTCCCTGCCGGAACCAATGCTCGTACCCACTGCCTGCCCGACAACCCGACCCTGCTGCACGAAGGCCAGCTCCAGCTCGTAAAGTCAGTCCACTCCCTCGGCCCCATCCAGGTCCACCTGTTTCTCTTTGCACACGGCGTGTTGGTCACCCGGCGGCAGGTATCTCCAGAAGACGGCTACGAAGAATTCACATTGGTGGATGCCATACCGACCAAGATGCTTCACGTCGGGCCGATATCCCTCTCTAGGATTTCGTCGATGCTCAATACAAAGCCCAGAAGAACCGGTCTGTTTTCATCCTTGCGTCGCAGGTCAGGCGATGGCACCCTATCACGATGGTCACGTTTCCGCACAAGTCTCAAACGACAAAAAACAGCACCTGCTTCGCTTGTCAATCACTACACTCACACTCAGACTCACACCCAAAGTCATAGCAACGATCACGATCACGATCATCAAAATCAAAATCAAAATCAGTCTGTATCAGCAGCAATACCCCAAAGTGATTCTAGAGGATTATTTGGCAGGGCTCGTAGACTCACACTTTGTCATCGAGCTTATCCCGAGAACTCACTTCGGTTCATGTGTTCGTCCGTCGACGAATACAAATTGTGGCAAGCACAACTTAGATTGGCCTTGGTCGACCAGAACAAAGGACCGTTTGTCCTAAAGGGCCTGTGTGACCTACCGACCAGTTCCAATCAACCGATCATTGTGAATGGAGCATCAATGTTTCCCACAAGTTGTGGAAAAGTCTGGTGTACACTTGGTTTCCGTAAGTTGACAAGAAAAAAATATAGAAAAAAGAAAGGAACATTTATTATCTAATTATTTTATTTATTTATTAATTAATTAATTAATTAATTATAATATTAAATAATGTTGTAGAAATTACAGGTGATTCTAAACCAAGAATTGCTTTGGGTACGCAGCATGGGCTCTGGACTGGGCCTTGCGATGGATCGGAGGAATTCCAACTGGTGCTCAGTCACCACGACTGCCAACAGATGGCCATGCTCGACAATCAGACCATGATTATCCGATCCCGGCGAGAAAACAAGGCGTTATATGCCTATGATGTTGATAAACTTGCGAATCCTAGATTGAGAGACCAGGCTGGATTGGTTGTCAAGCAGTCGTCGGTGCTGTGTTTCGGGATCGGTCGCCATGGCAGCCAGACTATCCTCTGTTATCTCAAGTACACTCGGATGGGAAGAGTCGTGGCCGTAGTGCTGGTAAAGACAGCATCGACCGACGCGGCAATGTTACCGTCTTTTGGCTGGACCAAAAAGACAAAGGAGTACGGAGTTAGCATCAAGGATCCCTTGAGTGTATTGGTAGACCGGGGCAGATTGCTGATTCGGTCTTTGACGGAGGGAGTTGAGTGCATTGTTCTGGATGGTAAAGAGAGCGAGAGGATCATACTGCCTCCAAAACAGACCAACTATAGTGGCAGTATCAGTAGTACAAAGCCGAGTCTGCGACTTGAGGATCCTGCACTGATGACGATTGAATATATTCCACTCGCTGCAAATGGCCACGGGCTGATCTGCAGTGGATTGACAGCCTGGCCGGTATTTTATTCTCATTCACAAATGAAGACCCGACCCATGACAGATCGTCTTTCTGCCTTTCATTTCGAGTCGCGGGCCACTGCGGTTGTGCTGGTCTATCCATACTTGGTCATCTTTTCTCATTTTGTGATTGAAATACGCCACCTACCAACTGTAAGTCTATTTGACTTTTTTTTTACAGAATGTGCGTATTAACAAAATGAAAGGAAATCTATAGTGTGAATTAGTACAGACTATTGGTGGAAATCAAATCCGATGTGTCTACAGCTCTCCGCTCCAAGCAACAGGTGAAGACGGAACGATGCATATTACGATGCTTCATCCCGATGACCGTGTTACCCGAGTTTACCAGCTCTCCTTAGCACCGCTTTGAAGGGGACTAGCACCAAAGTAAGAGGATCTACAATAACAGCAACAACAACAAAACATAATTGTGATCTCACAACTATGAAATTAGCTTTTATGTGTTTTTTTTTAAAAAAAAAAAGGAGAAGAGGAAGAAGAATAAATAGTCTGCTGGTATGATATAAGCACAAGCACAAGCACAGACAGGCAGGCAGGCGGGCAGGACATAAAAAAATGTATTTCTTTAGCTGTAGATAGTTTGCAAGTAAAAAATAATAATAAAGGAATAAAAGGAGTCAAATGAATGTTGTACAAAGGGAATCAAAGGAATATCGATTGATATTTTTGGATTTCTTGTTTGTTCCGGGTTAAATACAAGACAAGACAATATAAAATAGCCAATAAAAGCACATGATTGTTGCTGTTCTTCTTCTTCTTCTTCTTCTTCTTCTGCTTGTGTTTCATTTAATATGAATATTTAAGCAATTACCAAGAAGTGACTGGCAAACAAACAAGCAAAAGGCCATGCAACTATATATATATATATAAAAACACCTGATGAAAGGAGTGAATACAAAGGCAATAAATCACAACACTTGATAAATCAAGCTGACAATACTTTGCCTAGTTCACCCTTTTTTTTTCCTTCTTTGCTTTCCATTTCTTTGTCTTGCTATATATATAATATATAATATAAATATATCACTTATCTTTAGGCTTCTAACCTTCTGTGTAAGTGAGGGAATGACGCACAATTAATTACAATCACATATTTCCTTTCCTTCCTTTAATTTCTTTTTAATTTCCCCCACACAACATCTTCTTCCTGTTATACACACACTACACATACACACATACAGTATCCATCATGTTCTTTTGCTTCACTTGTAAGTACACTATATATATATAGATACATTTGATGTGTGTAGTGTGTAGTGTAATATACATAAATAAATAAAAATATCGGTTAACAATTTTGAATATTAGTCGGTTTTGAACAATTCAAGCGCAAGTCAAGGAATCAAGTCTATACTTGTCCTCATTGCTCTGCACAGGATGTCTACTTGGTCAAGGCCAACGATTGCTTTACATTCTGCTTTATTCCTCTAATTCCCTGCAGTGGAACAAAACAGCTCTATGAATGCTACACATGCGGCTGGGTCAATGTCAACCAACCTCCATTCTAAATTCCATTCTCAACTATATTAACAAAGTCATCGAATAACGAAAGAAAGGAAGAAGAGACAACCAAATGACCAAAGAAATTCTTTATTCAAAACTTACTTGCCAAACAAAGCCTTTCTTTTATTATTATGATAATAGTAGTTTATTAACTTCTTCTTCTTCTTTCTTCAAATTATTTTATTTATTCTTCTTTACTATTTTATTTTATTTTTTGCCTTTTTTTTAATGCAACCCTCTATACATACATACATACATACAAATAAATTGCCAAACATATTATCACCAATACACCTGTCCTTCTTTAACTTTTGCTGCAAAGTTTGTCTTACTCTTAAATTTAATCAACAGTCTCTATTTGGGAAGCACAGGTCCAGTCTTTGATCAATACGAGCATCTCTATAACCATTCTTTTTTTTATTGGTGTTTCAAATATTCATTAAGCTTTAGCTTTAAATTAGTTAGGTCACAGGTAAAATCATTTATGAGAATTTGTGAACAAGGTCATTTGATATAAATGTGTTAATTACCCTTTTTTTTTTAGGACATTGAGAAATTGTCGAATTACAATGAAGATTCATTCTTTTGTCTCATTTGGTTGTTTTTTTTTTCTATAAAGCTTTTTCCAAAATGCCTTTAATCTCAATTAATGAGAATCTTGTGAATCTACCAGAATAAGACTCATACTCTGCCGCGTTTGTTTCCAAGCATGGGTTCTTTCTGTTCTAAATCTTTCTTTCTTCTCACTGATTAAAAGTACAAATTTTCTTAGGCAAAGAACCAATACATAAATAAGAGCATCAATACAGATTCAATATCATGATAAATTTATACTCATCTCTCGTTGTCTATGTGGGTGTTTTGTGCCCAACTGTGTGTATATAACATTTGTTTCACTGACTACAAGCATTGCTAGGCTCAATAGATAAAAAAAAAATTAAAAAAAAATAGTATGATGTTATTTAGAACTGGAAAACACAGGTTCTCTTTTCTAAGCGATTACGTATCAATTTCAAAGGCTGCTCTTGATATTGACATTGTACATGAACTCCAAAACAATATCATCAATATATTTATTTCTCTATTGCTCTCTGGATTCTGCTTCTTTGTAGCTTATTAGAAAACTTGTTAAACATTACAATCATCTTCTCTTGGAACTTTCGTATACAATACCCTTCCATATTTACAGTTTCATTTGTGCTATACTGTACTTCATTTTTAGCTTTTTTTTTTGTTTTCTTTTAATAATCTGCTGCGGATTGTGCTCTTCTGTCCTACAATGGACTACGCCTCTCTTCTTTACTTCGTTTTATTTTGTCAAACCTATAAAGATATTTAAAAGTGGCTTTGATAGCATATTGATTCCTCGCACATTACAAACCCATTTTACTCTTCAATATGCTTCTATCCGAATTTCCTCAAGAGTTAATCAGCAATATCCCACCCTTTCTTGCTCTAAAAGACAAAGGATCTTGCTCTCTTGTATGCAAAACATGGCGCATACCGTTTCAGGAGTCCATGCACTCTGACTTGATTATTTGCAACAAATACCAATTACAAGAGCTGTGCAAAATACCCAAGGAAAATGAAACGCCAAAACAAGATACTAGTCACCTTTTACGATCCCTAACCTTGGGCAAAAACCTATTCGTATTCGACAAACTACTTTACACCCTACAATTTAAATTTCAGAATATCAAGTATCTCTATATTGAAAAATATGGTCTGCCCCCCATTTATTTTGGAGTCACTGCCGATTGGCACCTTTGGAAATTATTGAGGGAACTCAATATAGATTTGGATGACGAACGAATACCAGCCGAGAACCCATACCTTGAAATTATCTTGCGTTTACCTCTACTGCGACGTTTGAAGATTGCTCGCAGTCCCACCCATTCCAAACAGTTAACATTCACTTTAAACGACCTTGAAACAATCCATACGCATTTATTACATCTTAATGATCTGGAACTAAGCTCAGATTTATTACCTCTTTCTGAAACCGATCTTATCCGTTTAACCAAAGTATTACCAGCCAAGAAGATGACTGTATTTGGTAAATACACTAGAAGCACAGATCACAGATGGCTATGTTATTTCGTCCGCAAATACCCTAATATACGTACCCTCAATTTCTCAATATCCCACTACGAACCCGAACTCAAGAGACAAGAAGGCGACATGGTATCCTTTTTCACACAAATACCCCATCCGTTCCAGCACCTAAGAACCCTGAACATTGGAATCAACGATTTCCAACGTAGAGAATACTTACTTTTGTGGGACATCATTGCTACATGCCAGATATCATTAAAGAACATATCCATTATGTCATGCAAACTAAACAAGGACTCGTACTTTTCATACTCTTCCGAAGAGTTTGGAAGTTTGAACCTTGATATCATGAAACTATTCTGGCGACAGTTTTCAAAAACCCTAGAAAGTTTTTCCATTGATTACGATTACAGAGATGTGATTCCTATAGACATAATGGAAATAGTTGGCACCACTTGTAACTTGGTTCATCTAAAACTCGATACCGCACTCGTTTCATTCAAGCTTGACCTCTTCCTCGGCAAAACACCCAGCTTAAAATCATTAGACCTCGGCAAATCTCACGTCGAGATTGATTCAATTACGTTCAGCAATCCAAAGAGACACGCACTACAATCATTAAAAATATTTCGATCACAGATTGTATCGGATGTGCTTCGTTATCTATCATTCCACTGTAGAGAGCTTAATGTGTTGGACCTCGTAAACACAAAAGTATTTGGCTCGATTTCTTCAACAACAGGATGTAATTTTATCGACATGACCTATACCCGTTTCAAGTCGTTACTCATCCAAAATACAGAATTTATTATAAAAGAGAATGAAGTGTGTAATGAAAATATCGATATTACGGTCATCACTCATCCGGTTAATGACATGCCTCCAAAAGACGACAATGAACCTTCAAATTCTCCGGTTTCTATTGGGCTCCCGCATATCAAGGCACGCTATCACTGGTTCTACAGAGAAAGAAGTTGTACTATGAAAGCATTCTCCAAATCGCAAGGTTCAAGTGTTGGAAAGTTCTTTGCTGAATTTGAGAGGAAGAAAGAGAACGCTCTAAAAACCAACTTTTACCTTGACCAAGTAAATAAGAAAAAGGCCAATTGGAAAAGGAATTGTGTTTATGGCTACACAAAGATAAAATGCGGTTATGTAGCTGACTGTCATATTGAAGCCAAATAATCATAATATCTATTTGTATATAATAAACTGTGTATTTTATTTCTGTCAAGATTATCCGAGAAAATCTTTTGCATAACGCAAGTAACTACTATGTTACTTGTTAATCATCAAAAAACACCCTATATATTTACAAAGGGGTACAATTGGAGGATACATTAATAGTTTCCAACAGCAGCAAAACATTTACATAGATATTAAACAGTATATGTTTCATCTTTTGGCATGACAAAGATATTAGCTTGGTTACCATTTTACTTTGATAGCCTTTTATTTCCATATCAGATCTGCGACTAATTGGTTTATTGTTGACATCGGATTTCTTACTTTACATGCAATAAATCCCTATATAACTAACATTTCTTGAGTTGCTCTTCTTGTACGAGAGAAATTATTTGACAGGAATAACCAAATGAACTTCCTATTGGTCAAATCCAGAATAGGGTTTCAGGATCTACTGTACAAAATGCCATGTTAGTCTGATGGCATATCTCATCATGGGTCCTAAATATGCGCTATAGATCAAATGGAAAAATATTTACTGCTAATTTTTATTTAGCATATTTTTTACATGCACCACACTCTCTTCAATTTTTCATAACCAGCTAATAATCAACTCACTGATATGTTTACCTGTGTTTTGGTTTTCTTAACTGCTAAGAACTTTGTATTCCCAGATTCACTAATCTTCTTGGGCGTTTCGACTCTTCCCGCTAACTATGGACTTTGGGGCTTAGTTGAATCTCCCTTTTCTTTCAAAACAGCTATTTAATAGCTGGAAGCTATTCTTTCTCTCTTCCTTTCTTTCTTGCCTTCCTTCTTTCCCCTCTTATATCTAGCATAATTTCTATCATTATAATTGGCATACTTTTTGTTAATTTTGCTTGATTAAATTTATGTGGTATTATTAAAAGCTCTACACTTCTGGCGTATTGTATATCATATTTTGTTATCCGGAATTTTCGGTTTCGATGCTCTCTCAATGCTATGTAGACTACATTAAACTCTCGACTATAGCCAACAATATCAAGTAAATTTTTACCTTGCACAATTTTTTGCCCAGCTATACCGGTTACTTGCAATAAAAAGCTCTCAGTAAACATTTTCCGGCTCGTAACCATAAATATCGCCTGTTTCGCCCATCGAATCGCAGACAGTACTCCTAAATCCCTTCAGTTCGACCAGTATAATTAGAGTATCATTTTGACTATCAATTTATAGAAATTGAATTAAAAGTACATATCTATATCTTTCAAATTATCGGCTTTCTATTTATCTATATTGTAAATCTTTTGAAAGTATTATTGATGAAATTAAAACTATGCAAAACATGTGCCGTAGCATAGTTCCTTTTCTGGGAAGGTAGCTTTTAGGACATCTTCCAATGCTCTCAATTTTTACAATGTACATAGACTCAAAAATAAGGAGTGATATCGCTTGTTTTGACGTTTATGGTCACAGTTTCCGATAGTATGTAATATATGTATCAGACACCATAATAATAGAGGGCCCAAATTCACTACCCAACCCTGCGAATTGATGTTACAATACATTTTCTTAAATTGCTCATCTGTTGCTATAATCAACTACTTTTTTCCTTCCTCTTATTTATTCAATTAAACTCTAAATTTTACGAACCAACAGTCATACTTTCGACATGGTTCTCATATAATTATTCTTCATATTAACCTAACCTTTCTCGTAGTCAGTTTTTATTTTCTGTCATAAGATTTTCTTCAACAACAAGGGCATGAAATTCTCACTAAACTTCTCTTTCGTTTTGCAAGAGGTACCTGAGATATCTACAATTTAGTATAGTATAATAGAGTACTGCGGATGTAATGTAAGTTACTATCGATTACTCATAATGACACTGCTTGTCTCAGTATGTTGTTACACGGCTTAATATTCTTGTGTACTTGCTTTGTGCAAATGTATTTAAATGCATATTCAGCTAAATACAATCATAAAACAGCTAAAACATTATCCGTCAAACAAAAACTATAATATTGAACTTGGTTTCCTTTACTTCATTAACTTTTATTCCATATGTATATTTTCTTTTGTGTTATATTGTACTTCATTTTTAGCTTTTTTTTTTTGCTTTCTTTTAATAATCTGCTGCGGATTGTGCTCTTCTGTCCTACAATGGACTACGCCTCTTTTCTTTATTTCATTTTATTTTTGTAAAACTGAAATTTTATTTTTTCAAACCTATAAAGATATTTAAAAATGGCTTTGATAGCATATTGATTCCTCGCACATTACAAACCCATTTTACTCTTCAATATGCTTCTATCCGAATTTCCTCAAGAATTAATCAGCAATATCCCACCCTTTCTTGCTCTAAAAGACAAAGGATCTTGCTCTCTTGTATGCAAAACATGGCGCATACCGTTTCAGGAGTCCATGCACTCTGACTTGATCATTTGCAACAAATACCAATTACACGAGATGTTTGAAATACCCAAGGGAAATGAAACACCAAAACAAGATACTAGTCACCTTTTACGATTCCTAACCTTGCGCCAAAACATGGACCTATCCGACGAGCAACTTTATACCCTACAATATAAATTTCAGAATATCAAGTATCTTCATGTCGGAGCAGATAGTCTGAGCTCCGTAAATTTTGGAATCACTGCAGATTGGTACCTTTGGAGATTATTGAGGGAACTATCTATAAATCTGGGTGACGAACGAATACCAGACGCCGAGAACGCATACCTTGAAATTATTTTACGTTTACCTCTGCTGACATATTTGAAGATTGTTCGCGGACCTTTGGATCCCACACGGTTAACATTCACTTTAAACGACCTCGAAACAATACATACACATTTATTACATCTCAATCGTCTGGAACTAAGCTCAGATTTATTACCTCTTTCTGAAACCGATCTTACCCGTATAACCAAAATATCACCAGCTAATAAGATGACTTTATTCGGCATAAACACTAAAAGCACAGATCACAGGTGGCTGTGCTATTTTGCCCGCAAATACCCTAATATACGTACCCTCAATTTCTCAACATCCAACTGCGAACCCGAACTCGAGAGACAAAGGGACAGCATAATAACTTTATTCAAACACGTGTCCCACCCTTTCCAGCATCTGAAAACCGTAAACATTGGAAACTACAATTGCCCACGTAAAGAATACCTACTTTTTTGGGACATGATAGCGCCCTGTCAGATACCGTTAAAGAACATATCCCTTATCGCACGCAAATTATCCAACACCTCGTACTCATCCGAAGAGCTTGAAGGTTTGAGCATCGACATTATGAAACTATGCTTGCAACAGTTTTCAAACACCCTGGAAAGCGTTTCCATTGAATACGATTACAATGATGCAATTCCTATAGACCTAAATGAAATAGTTGGCACCACTTGTAACTTGGTTCATCTAAAACTCGATACCGCGCTCGTGTCATTCAAGCTTGACCTCCTCCTCGACAAAACACCTTGCTTAAAATCATTAGGCCTCAAAAAAGCTCACGTCGAGATTGATTCAATTACGTTCAGCAATCCAAAGAGACACGCACTACAATCATTAAAAATATTTCGATCACAGATTGTATCGGATGTGCTTCGTTATCTATCATTCCACTGTAGAGAGCTTAATGTGTTGGACCTCGTAAACACAAAAGTATTTGGCTCGATTTCTTCAACAACAGGATGTAATTTTATCGACATGACCTATACCCGTTTCAAGTCGTTACTCATCCGAAATACAGAATTTATTATAAAAGAGAATGAAGTGTGTAATGAAAATATCGATATTACGGTCATCACTCATCCGGTTAATGACATGCCTCCAAAAGACGACAATGAACCTTCAAATTCTCCGGTTTCTATTGGGCTCCCGCATATCAAGGCACGCTATCACTGGTTCTACAGAGAGAGAAGTTGTACTATGAAAGCATTCTCCAAATCGCAAGGTTCACGTGTTGGAAAGTTCTTTGCTGAATTTGAGAGGAAGAAAGAGAACGCTCTAAAAACCAACTTTTACCTTGACCAAGTAAATAAGAAAAAGGTCAATTGGAAAAGGAATTGTGTTTATGGCTACACAAAGATAAAATGCGGTTATGTAGCTGACTGTCATATTGAAGCCAAATAATCATAATATCTATTTGTATATAATAAACTGTGTATTTTATTTTTGTCAAGATTATCCGAGAAAATCTTTTGCATAACGCAAGTAACTACTATGTAACTTGTTAATCATCAAAAAACACCCTATAGATTTACAAAGGGGTACAATTGGAGGATACATTAATAGTTTCCAACAGCAGCAAAAACGTACGCCGAAATCAAGCTACAAGGATTCTATTTTTTTGATGTCAGAAATATTAGTCTGTCTGTCGCTTTAATTCGACAAGTTTTCGTTTATTTATCATGAAATAGTAAATTGTGCTTAATATCGATCTACAGAAGATTTGTCAAGGAAAGTATCTTGGATAAAAGATGTCTAAAAAGCTACTTGATAACTTGGTATGGTTGTTAATACATATACAAACCTTTCAAGACAACCCTAGAAAAAAAAAGCAGAGAATAGATACCTGGTAGAAATACATTTTTTTTGAGTAGTGAATAATGTATTGTTCAACGTTCTGTTACACTTTTTCTCTGGTCTTCCTTTATTATTGTCATAATATGTAGAAGCCTTGTTAAAATTACACTGGAGCCCAAAGGTAGGGTTAATCGATAACTATTTCGCTTTTTTCTTTCTTTCTTTCTTTCTTTTATTTGCTTAGAAATACGCTCATTTTTCAAATTTCTAACAAAATATATTGCCAACAAGTTCGAACAGGACAAAAGTCTGCAGTCAGCAGCTACATGAGATATTATTGTACCCAATGACGAATTCACCATTTTAAAATATATTGCTATTGGGATCGCTGCAGAAAAGGTACTGTAATAAACTTTTACAAATCAGCCACGGACACAGACAAGATCAAGATATTTGGTGTGTGTGTGTGTGTAGACACCACTAAAAGTTTCGGTTGACAAAATCAAGGCTCATAGCATCAATTGCTATGTAAATTGAAATTTTCTAGCGATGTTATCGTTTGTGAGGCTTGCACAGTCGTTCTTTGTTAGGTAGCTATGTGAGTTTTGGACGAAGATGAGCACTCACTTGATGCTGTTCTCTCTGCTACTATTCATATTCTCAATAAATGACGGTCTGTGCATGATAATATCTATTTTGAGGTGCTAATGACAAAAACTGTTTATGAGGTCGTTTTCAAAACTTCTGAAAAAAAGCTATTATAGCTGAATATTGGAAAAGTACTCCGCGAGATACCCACCATCCTGGCTGATAATGCTGGTTTTGATTTTTCGGATCTTGCCGCTCATCTGAGAGCAGTTCATTAAGAAGGAAAATGTACTAGTAGCCTGGATATGGTTAATGGAAAGGTCTCCAATGTCAGAGCACTAGGTATTACTGAATCCTTTAAGTTGAAGGAGCAGCAGAGCATATATGATTCTCAAATTAGACAATGTTACTCGATGTATTCTATGGCAAAGGCTCTTTTTATCGTCTATTTTGTTGTTACTATTACTGTTTCTTATATCAAACATTTCTTTGCCTGATTAGTTTAATGTCTTTATTTTCGTAGTCAAAGACAGGGATAGAAATAATATATACACAATGTAAACAAAGCTTGAATTTGAACTTGAATTTTACTATTTATTTTTCAGAAAAATAAATAAATAACAAGCACGATTTTATCAACCAAGGAAAAGTGCCAATTAAATGTAGATCTTCCATCAGTAATAAACTTCCATCTCTAAAAGACGCCATCCGTGTAACCAAGCACACTCAAAACCCAACGGAGTTGAAACGCATGAATACCATTTCTTGTCGCAGTCACCAGCTATCTACCATGAGTCATATTGTGAAGACCTCTTATACGCTTTTTCTTTCTCTCTTGTGCTCGTCTTTCTTTCCACAAGCATAGTCAACATTATCATGGTATGCCTACCAGAGCCACCAACCACAGTCGGTTCTGCTATTCCAGCTCACACTCCACATGCTGTTTCTGTGATGTTCCCGACATGGCAAGACAATGTCTATTATGAACAAGGCGATCCAAGAGTGACATCAAAGATGGAATGCGGCTATCCTCGCTTCTTCATTCATCCCTTTATTCAAAAGGTAAAAAACACCTAGAAAATACCGGGGCAGCACATTTATCATGCCTTTTTTTCTGTTCTAGTTATGCACACGCCTCGTCCAGAAATTCGGTAAGCCAACCGAAGCCGGCATGTTATTTCCTTCCCGTAAGGTAGCTGAGCGGTGTCGCAACTTTATGAAGCGTACCTATCTACCAGCACAGCAGACATCCGGGCTGATACGTATTGCCGAATTCGAAATCGCATCTGTGGATGAGACAAGCGAGCTTCAACGAGTCCCTATGTACATTGTCCTCTTTCCCAAGGATGCATTTCCGGTAGCCAAGCAATTCTGGCAACATGCAGGAGATAATGTTTCCTCTCGAATGGCCGAGTATTGCCTTCGTATTCTTGATGCAAACGATTCTATTGCTAGCTCTCAAAATTCGTCAGCCATGTATGAACCTAAACGTGGCAACCGTCGCTACGTCCGTGCATCACATCCTCACAATATCGAAGCACAATTAAAAAAAGAGACAAAGGAAGAAACATGCGAGGCAGAACATTCTGCATATGTTGAGGAGAGATACGGCCGCAACCTGCCTGTCATCTATGCCGATCGGGCCAAACGTGCCCTTCGCCGCCGCATTGCCGGTGTTCTCACAGAAGCAGAATCCGGAGAGATGATGGAACAATTTTCACAGACTACAGCTGAAGATCTTCAGCATCAACGTCAATTGAAAGGTGCTCGTGGTATTCGTGGTGTATCAGAGGAAGATGTGTACTTGTTCCCTTGTGGTATGAGTGCCATCTTTCACGCACATCGTCTTGCATTGGCAGTCGGGGACCAATCTTTAAAGAGCGTGTGCTTTGGGTAATACTTTTTTGTTTGACAGCTCTAAAAGATCGACAATTAGTTGAATTTTATTTTATTTTCTTCTATTCTATTAGCTTCCCTTACACAGATACACTCAAGATTTTGCAAAAGTTTGGTGCTGGTTGCTACTTTTATGGAATTGGTGAAGACCACAACATCGATGAACTTGAAGAGAGACTCAAAGGCGGCGAGCGTATTCTCAGTCTCTTCTGTGAGCTGCCTTCGAACCCTCTTCTAAAGTCCCCCAACCTCAAGAGATTGAGACAGTTGGCTGACGCTTATAATTTTTTCATTGTTGTTGATGAAACTATTGGCAACTTCTGCAATGTTGGAGTTCTTGAATGGGCCGACATGGCTGTGAGCAGTCTTACAAAAGTGTTCTCAGGAGACAGCAATGTTATGGGTGGAAGGTAGTATTGATTAATATGGATATCTCTAAAAGAAATAGCATCGTTCTGATAGGACTACTGATTTGTGTAGTATGATTCTGAACCCTAACCGCCAATTCTATGACAAGTTGAAAAAAGAACTTGCAAATGATTATGAAGATATTGTATGGGCCGAAGATGCTGTGTTTTTGGAGAGAAACTCGCGTACATTTAAAGAAAGAGCAAAGTCTATCAATATTGATGCTGAGACTCTGTGCGATTTTTTGATCAAGCACCCCAAGGGTAAATATAAACAATTAATACTATCAATAATACTAACAGCATCTTTCTTTATTGGGGCTAATGATAACTGGTGTTCTTGTGCTTGTCTGTGGATATAAATTACAGTTGTCTCTATATTTTATCCAAAGTATACTTGTAGAGAAAACTATGATGCGGTCAAGACTCCGGATGGTGGATATGGCGGTCTCTTTTCTATTATCTTGAAGAGTGAAAAACATGCTGCTCAATTCTATGATAACCTTGGATGTGCAAAAGGTCCTTCACTCGGTACCAACTTTACACTCGCCAGTCCTTACACCATATTGGCCCATTTTACAGAACTTGACTGGGCAGAAAAGTTCGGTGTTCCCAAGCATCTTGTACGTGTTAGTGTTGGTCTTGAGGGAAAGGAGCGTCTGCTGGCCATGTTCAAAAAGGCTTTGGATGCTGTGGATGATTTATAAGGGACAATAGACTTGAAAAAAAAGCTACGAAGAACCTAGACATCAAACTCTTACCCAAAAAAAAAGAATTTATAAAGAAAAAAGGCACTGTAAATTATTAGCCAAATAAAAATGGAATTCGATATTAACAATACCGTGTGCATACATGTACATGATATCAAAGTACGCTTTGTCCAAATGTTGTTCAGAAATCAGTCCAGAAATAAGTAATCGTTATATTTGTCTTTCGACAACTTGGCTGATAGCTTACTAAGAATGACAAAGAACAACGAATAAAGAAAAAAAAAAGTAAGAAAATAAAAGATGTATAAAATATTCAGTCGAGAGACGATGTGTATATTCTAGCTTTATCTGTCTCTCTTTCTCTCTCTCTTTAGTTCTTTGAATATCTACACTTATTGATTACTCGAATTGAATTGATTAAAATCATGCACGACTGTTTCCCAAAGATCAAAAAAAACAAGCACCACCATCAACCTAGCAAGTGAACTATATATATATATATATATATATATATATGTGTGTGTGTGTGTATGAGTCTATTAATTCATTATATTAACTTTTGGGTTAGGCTTATTGGATGTCCATAGCACTTCTTGTTATCCATCAACTGTGTGCGCCACTAAAAAACCGTTTGTATTATTATGATATATACATATATATGATAGCTAATTCATTTTTACTTTATATAGGACACCAAAGAAATGAGGTCCAGAAAGTGTTCAGTAGATATGTATTTGAGTGTTTGGAATAAATTATGTCGTAGCAATAAGGGGATGATTTTGCTTTATTGTACTTTTCCAACAACAGCAAAAACAATAACAAAAATATGAAGTTCTGCACTACGGATAATTTTTTATGAGAAATGTACCAAAACTTGGCAGAATAAATATCCAGTGCTGGCCAGTAAACACTCTGTTAGACACAGTCCTTTATATAAATTTTGGCTGACATTTAAAAACAATTCTCCAAAAATAAAATATATTTGTCGATCATTGTTAAATTACAATATGATCCTTGGTTCAAGTTTCTGGTTTAGCATTTCAAGGGTAGTCTTGAAATGCAAGATTAACTTAGAAACACTTTATACAAGTTTTGCAATAAGTCATGGACCACAAATGGGTCAAAACCAGTGGCATTTGTCATCCAGATTAATCTGACCACATCATTTTAGTCGAGACCTCAACTGACATATTGGTTCTGACTCTTGTCCAAAACAACCTATTATTTATCTGCTTCAGTGCAAACTTCAGTATAATCACTGGATAATAAGAAGCAGAAATGCTTGGGCGGATTATAATTGATGATTGTCTCTCTATAAAATTTACACCGGCAGCAAATAGCGAGTTATTTGGTTGATAGTCATAATTCTCAAATGGATTACGTGTTATATTCAAATAAAGTACAATGGTACTTGTGGCGCCTAGTTTCCTTAGTATCCCTGACCTATGTGTTTTGGGGTCAGTCGCTCTAGTTTGTTCTCATTTATTAATGATGCTTCTAATCGTTGAATGAGAGATGTCCAAAATGTATCTATTTCTCAAGATTTGTATTTATGAATAGCAATAATGCCTTTAAGCAAAAACAAACTCTGACAGCTTGTTGCGAAATATATATCATTGTTTATCTATAGACAGTATGAGATGCTCTTTAATGTAACTTTGGTGTGAAGTGTAAGATATTGTCTTTTTCAAACATACCTAAATAAGAATATATATATTTGTTACGTGTGTATTACGCGCTATTTTTTTTTATGAGTTTAATAAAGGCGCGATTTTCACTGTGAATTGGATTATCGACTTTGAAATGGCGCAAATATTTGTTACCAAAAAAAAAAAGCTTCATATTGAGTCATTTACGACTGCCTTTTTTTTTAATTATTTTTTTATTATTATTGACAACTTCACACCCCCCACAAACACACACACTTATAAAAGAGTTAATATTAAAACAATTGTCTTGTGAAATAATCATTATAGAAATACAAAGTCACAAGTACTGCCACAAGTAGCATTATTCCCTTCTAATTTGTCTCATATTGCCTTTCTTTTGACAACAATTACCACCCAACACAGGCCGTCTTTCTTTTTATTTTTGTTTGAATTTCTGAATTTTTGAATTTTTTCATTTTTCATTCAACCTTTCACCTTCACCTTTACAATGAATTCTCTTGTAAAAAGTTTACCACTTGTGGCCTCCTTGCGTCTTGGAAAAACTACACTGGCAACCAGAGCAACATCCTTGGGGTGCTACGGTGTGTCCAGATCGAATAGTTCATCCAAACACACACGACTGTACAGCAAAAGTGCATCTAGTGCAGTGTCAGAAAAAGTAAATAATTTCTATCTTACCAATCTAAAGAGTCTTACTAATACAATGGACAACGTCCTTATATTAGGAGACTATTGTCAAGCTACTTTACAACATTGGTTCACGAAAAGAGGTTGAGCAGTATCTCCGTCACTTTTCCTCTGTAGAATCCCAAAAGTTTGCTGTGATCAAGGTTGGAGGTGCTGTATTGACAGAGGAGCTCGAAACTCTGGCTTCAGCACTGACATTCCTCAACCGAGTTGGCCTTTCTCCTATTGTTCTCCACGGGGCTGGCCCTCAAATGAACGACTTGCTCGAAAAGGCCGGGGTTGAACCACAATATGAAGGAGGAATTCGTATCACTGATGCCAACACACTCGAAATTGCCCGCAAGGTATTCATGGCCGAGAATCTCAAGCTGGTTGATGCACTCGAGAGACTCGGTACACGCGCACGCCCTATCCCAAGTGGCGTATTTATGGCCGATTATCTGGACAAGAGCACATATGGATATGTTGGCAAGATTACTGGAGTAAACAAAGAACCCATCGAGTCTGCTATCCGTGCAGGTGCTTTACCAATCCTGACTTCACTTGCTGAAACTCCAGATGGCCAGTTTCTTAACGTGAATGCAGACGTAGCCGCAGCCGAGTTGGCCACCGTAATTGAACCACTCAAGATCGTCTTTTTGAACGAAAAGAATGGATTGTATCATGGTGTAACCGGAGAAAAGCTAGACGTGATCAACTTAGACGAGGTAAAGTATATATTAATGCATTAATATATTAATACCTTTGTGGTCTGCTACACAAGATGGTGGCGTTTTTTTTATATTTAAGTAAAAATTTATATCTATTTATATAAAACTATATTAATATTACTCTTATTATTTTGGTGCACAGGAATACGAGGATTTACTTAAAGAACCTTGGGTGCGTTATGGTACAAAGCTCAAGTTGACACAATGCAAAGAGCTTCTTGAAAATCTCCCTCGATCATCTTCTGTTGCCATATTGTCAGCCAGCAATCTGCACAAAGAACTCTTCACTGACTCTGGTGCAGGAACCCTGATTCGCCGAGGCCACAAGCTCTTCAAATACGACAGCCTCAAACAAGTAGACCCTGATAAACTTCGTCGCATTATGGAAGCAGAAGATTTGACCATCAAACGCCATGAACAATCTGTGGCAAGTTATCTCCAATCTCTGCAACAGCGTCAGAAGGTGACGATATACACCGATGAGCCCGGACAGGTACTTGCAATCATCGGTCAAGACCTCAATGACCCTTCCAAACCTGCAGTTCTCGAGAAATTCCTGGCCAGTAAGACTGCAGTACTCAATAATGTTACAGACAACCTTTGGTCGGCCATTCAAAAAGACCACCCAAAATTGACATGGAAGGTCAATGCGTCTGAATTTGCAAATGGCATGGACCGTTCATGGCATTTTGAACGTTCAGACGGATCCTTGCGTACTCCTCAAGACGATAGTACAACATTCTTTTATGGCATCAATGACCCTGCTCAAGTAAAGACCTTGTTTGATCAAATCAACCAAGACACAAAGTACAAAATACCCGCCGCGCCTCAGACTCTGGAAACTCTGTCCCCAACCGTGGAAGTCTCTGTGCCCAAAACAATGGCTTTGTAAAACATAAACAAGCTTAATCAGATTAACTTTATTTTCTGTTTATGCGAAAAATATATAGTTAATTCTGAAACTCATACGTAAATATTCTACATTCATTCCCCAATCCTTTTTTATTATTAATATTATTCTTACATTCAAAAACTTCCAAAAAAGAAAGAATCAAAAAAATACTCGTGATAAAATAATGTCAATTTATCACTTTATAGCTATTACTCCTTTACTTTCAAAAGAGATACTATCAGTGATTAACAGATATATATATATATATGATTCAAAAAGTAGTATGTTAAATAAGATATAAAGCAATTGAGGCTATAAAGCTTTTCTATACCTCTCTTTCTATATACTCTCTTTCTTCCTTTTAATACCTACTTATTCAAAATGTGAGAGATTATATTGTAGCTTATGTTAATATAAGAATTGTACAGAAAAAATATCGCTTATAATATTACTGGCAGTCGTTTATACTTATAAATTTAATGTACAGAAATGAGTGACACCTTACAAACAAGTGGAAGCACAACCCAGAACAGTCCAGCAAAGGATTCTTCTGTGGATTCTTCTGTAGACTTTATGAGCCTTTTTAAAAAACTTGAAGAAACTTGGGAAGTTGCTTTGCATGATAAGCGCCAGATTATGGACGATGCCTCAATCTGGCAACGTGTGTACCGAGGACTTGTTTTGAATCAATCAGATCAGATACCATTTGTCAAAGGCAATATTGCTTAACAAAGAAAGAGAAAAAGAAAGAAAGCTAGCTAGCTAACTCTATCTTCAATCAAACAGAATCGTGGTTCAAGGAGATTGAGTTTGGTCCTCAAAGCTGGATTTTTCTACAGAGACTTACAAACGCCCCATATTTGACTTTATTTCTCGGGGAATGTGTCTTTCTGATGCATACAATACTAGATGAAATCGATGGCCCTAATACAAAATCCAAGTCTCCTGATGAGTCCATGAAGTCCAATGGCGAACAAAACATAACAGACATTAAGCTCAGCAACAATGGCGATATCGATATAAAGAATAGTTCAATAGTTGATAGATCACCATTAATCTTAGACCAACAAAGATCCGAGAAATGCCTTGCTCTTTGGGCCCAACAAGGACAGTCTGTTATTGACTGGCTAGAGGACCAACCGACTCTAGAAGCCATTGAATGTCTCGTGGAGTGCATGTTTAGGATTGTACGTGCAATTGACGACCCTAAAGAGAAATGGACCGTAGAAACGAGCGAGAAATTTGCGATCTTGAAACAGTTTACCGGTCAAACTAGCAAACAGTCCGATATTGAAAATCTGGCCAGAGTATTGAAAAGCGTTCGGATTCCTGATAGTGTAATTAATGGTGTCTGTGATTTTTGGCAAGATTTCAAGAACGGTAATAAAGATGGAGGTAAAGTATAATTAACTGTAGTAATTTGGTTTTTAATCGAGTTAACAAAAAATCTTCCAATTATATGTATTATTGTATTTTAGCATCTTTCTTTCACTACCTTGGAGCCATCATTGTTTATGCAAATGGCTCGAGACATGCATTGGCACAGAAAGCAGTCTATTATGTTGAAAATCTAATCAGTCCCTTTCCTGGAGGTTTCTCACCCACTGTTTCCCATTATTCAAAGCAGTTGGGAAAACTAGTGTTTTGGAATAATTCCCAAAGCTGCGCGGCCTTCAATACGGCCCAATATGAAGCTGCCAAGCTTGCTTTCAATAGCCAGTTAAGTTGAGATTTTCATATAAAGGAATATATATATCTTTATATATAATTTTGAAAAATGTATACTTATATTTATATTTCTGGTGATTGTATATCAATCAGTCTGGAAAAAAACAAGGTTTTAAATATTCCAAGAGTTAAAGGGTACATGTTAATATTATGATTTCTTCACATTTGAAAGCTGATATAAAACTTTTTTTTCTTTATCTGCAAACAGATCTTCGGAGGACTATGAATACATACTACAGAACATTCAGCTTAACCTCTCCGAAGCATTTCCAAAGTCTATTAAAATGAAGGAAATAGACATGGATATTGCAGTTCCACCAAAAGCATGGCCAGACACTACACAACCCCAGTCTGAACAACACAAACATTATAGCAAAGTTGTCTATGAAATGTAAGTAAGGTTTAAGAGATTATGAAACTGATGTATTTATCTCTTTCTTTCTTTCTTTTTATCTTTTTTATCTGTCTATCTACACACACACATATATATATATATTCTATCTTATCAGAATTGGCTTAAAAGTAATTTGCAGTGGTGTTGATTACAACTACCGCACAAAAACTGGGATTCCGCTGTATTCTGACTATGGACATGCGGTAGCTACTGCTTCAGATATTTGTGTCAGTATTTCCGTATCACCTTCAGGAAATGATCCGTTTTCATACAAAGTTGATAAGTGCATCTGCACCATTGGGGATTTTGACATTTCTTTTCAAGAAACACGGCATAGGTAAAGTAAAACAAGATAGAATAACTAGATTTACATGAGTGTTGACTTGTGTAGTTAATATTCAATACATTATACCTTTTTACTAATATATAAATAAAGTCTCTTGAATAGGCTGTCCATAAAGAAATTCAAAAAGAATATCAAGCATGTATTGATCGAAAATATACAACGAGGTGTAGCTACTATATTTTCACAATTATTTTCCCATCAATAAATCAAAGTTTGATTCAAAGTTCAAATTAAAATTGGTCCATTTCAACAAATACTTAGACATCGAAACAGCCCAGATATCGTAACTCTCAATATTATCATTGCTATTTTTCAATTACAGTCAATGGCCACTGGAACGTGATGTTTACGAAACATATATTACCTTTAATAGAATGACTACCTTTCTTTAAAGCAGAGTAAGATTTCTATATAAACTAGCTACTCATCTATCAGGTACACAAAACAAGATTATTTATTTTTTGAAAAAAAAAAACATACATATATATTTTCAATTATTGATTTTTATTTGTTTCACCAAACCTTTGCCTTTTCTTTCCATTTTTTTTTATATTAATTAAAATTCTTATTTTAAATACAATTAGCGAATTTGATTGGACGTTATTATCGAAAAAAAAATGCCATTGCTAGATAAGCAAATGATTTTATTTTGTTAATTATATACATATATTTGTAATTTGACGTGTCCTTTATTCTTTTTATTTTTTATTCTATATATTCATTATGGCTCACAAATTGTCTGATTATGAGAAACAACGATTAAAGAATATTGAGTAATAAACATGGAACCATTGAATTGAATGATTATGATTGGGAATGTGCTTGTGTTTTTATTTTATTATTTTTGGCTGATTAATGTCTACTGGTAGGAATAATGCCAAACTACTAAAAGAACTTCATGTGCCTCTAGCTGGGCAAAAGCGACCAGCTCCAACTTCAATCAAGAAACATGTTCCAAAGAAGAAGATTGAGCCAAAGGCTCCAACGCGTGTATCAGCTCGCTTAAGAGGAGCTGCACCAGAAACAGTAGAATCTTTACCTACAGAGAAGGAAGAGAAAAATAACCAAACAGACCTGCGCGTTGATCGACTCGAAGAAGCCGATCAGAAAGAATTTTTACAGATGTTAAAGAAATTTCCTAATACTCAGCCAACTACAAAGAAAGAGCTTGAAGCAGAAGAAAATTCTGATGCGGAAGTCTCAAAAGCATTACAAGAATTGCAGATTAGACATAGTTGGCAGACAGTCAAAGTAGTGACAGAAAGAATCACAAACTGCGTGTAGGTTTCTTTCTTTCTCTATTTCTACTTTGATTAGCTTAACTAGACCAAAAGAAAGAAAGAGACAATACAAATGTACTTATTCTTATGATATCTGGATATTATTTGGGACAGATTTCATCCATCTCCAGGAAAGTTACTAGGGTGTGGAGCAGATGTGATCGGCCAATTGGGATTCTGGGATGTAGAAGGTGTCAAGGAAACAGAAGATGGAGATGAACCAGTAGTCTACAAATACAGACCTCACACTCGTTCCATTACGGACTTAAGGTTTAGTCCTGTGGACTCTACAAAGTTGTACTCCTCTTCCTATGATGGCACTCTCCAATATTTTGATATGGAAAAGGCAGTTTTTACTGAAGTCTCTCTTGGAGATGACAGCCTCCCACTTACCAGTATGGTTATAACACAGGATGGACACAGTGTATGTAATATGTATATATATATAAAAGTGTGTATTATATTGGTGTATACAAAAGGGAAAAAAAAGAAGCAAGAAAATGGATGCTCAACAGTAATTTATGCATGTTTTTATAAAATATAAAGGCCTGGCTTGCGACTTCGATGGGCGAGATTGCCCACAAAGATCTTCGTTCAAACAGTAAAATATCTGTGTACAGCCTTAGGACCAAGAAAATCGGGACTATCGATCTGAATCCTGTTCATGAACATCTGCTGGCAATCGGTAGTAATGATCGAACAGCTACAGTATGGGATCATCGCAGCTTCTCTACCGAAACTGACTCTATCACACCACTGCATGAGCTGGAACACGGATATGCTGTCACGAGTGCTTATTGGTCTCCAAGAGGAGATCGACTTGCAACTGCAAGTTATGATGATTTCATACGCTTATTTACGCTCAAGAACGAAGATATGACTTTACATTCAGCCATACCGCACAACAATCACACTGGAAAGTAAGTAATATATATATGCCTAATATTATTATTAGAAAGGAAAAAAGAAGACTACGCACATATTCATCAAAAAATATTTTGGTAGATGGGTGACAAACTTTAGGGCACGATGGAATACAAGTCCTTTGGGCTATCGACATCAGCACATGGCAGTAGGAAATATGAAGCACCCAGTAAACATTTACTCGGGAGAAAGTGGTAACCTGATAGGGGATCTATATGACAGTGATCGGATCACTGCTGTACCATCAGTAGTACAATTTCACCCCAATACTACATCAATGGCTGTGCTTTGTGGCAATGGTAGTGGTAGAATGGTTTGCTGGACATAATGAATAATTGTATATTTGTATATTGTATATATATATATATTGTTAGATTGTATTTGGAAAAAAGTTTTTTTTAACATAAAAAAAAGGGAAAAAAATCTAGTGGTTGAGCATGCGATCCAAAAAAGCACCTGCACTCCATCGAGCATTTTGTCTGGATGAATTTTGTGCAGACTGAGCAGGGGTCTTGAGAGTGAGAAGTTGACGGCGGAGAGCATGGTGTGGACGAGGAGAAGTAGATGAGGAAGTGATGGAATCGGACTGAGAGGCAGTGGGCTGTACATTTCGAGTGTAAAGACCATTTCCATGATGATTATTGTGATTATTATTGTGATTACTGCTACTACTACTACTACTACTATTATTATTACTACTATTATTATTACTATTATTACTATTACTGTTCATGTTGTTATTTACAGCAGTACTGGATGTAACAGCGCTTTGGCTAAATGTACATCGCTTCAAACTGTCCATCATTGGATCTTGATAACGTCTGACGCAGCGGTATTCACGCCCCATACGCTCTAATTCGCGTGTGAGGCGGATCATGTTACGTGGATGGGCAAGGTTGTTTTCATCATCTACTAGCGTGTGCTGACGCTGGAGCATCAATTTCTGTTGTGTGCGTGTCATACCTGCAGGCTGAGATGATGCAGCTGAAGCTACATTACTCATGTGGGCTCTAGGTCGTGTCGGAGCTTCTTCTTCTTCTACAAACTGCGAACGAAGCAGAGGTTTCTTGCGAGGGTCAATGACTACAGTAGCTGCCGTAGCATTGGTTGTAGTAGAAGCTTTCTCGGGAACCACAAGGTTATTGGCAACTGCATTAAAAGTCTGTTCGACTGGAGCGGCGGGAGCATTGCGCGATACTGTAAATCCGGGGTTGCCACCGCTAATATGTCGTTGTTGCTGTGGACGCTGCGATTGCTGTTGCTTTTTTTGCAGTGGTTGTAATAGTTGTTGTTGTTGTTGTGGTGATGATGGTTGTATTTGTCGTTCTTGTTGTGTCTCTGGTTCTGGTTCTGGTTCTGGTTCTGGCTGTTGCTGCTGCTGCTGCTGTTGTTGTTGCGGTGGTGGTGGGGTAGTAGGCGGAGATGGAGAAGGCTGGGGTTTACTTTTGGTCATTGGTACTAGTCCTCCTTTGCGGTCTAGAGATGACAGACGATTAAGTGATCGTTGGGACTGGGACCTTCGCATGGGTTTTCGTTCATTGTCATGGTCACCATCAATCTCTGTATCGGTGTGCACTGCTGTACTACTGTGTGCTCTTGCCATTGGAGCCAGTTTTGTTACATGCACTCGTCCGCCAGACTTACGCTTGACATGATGGCGAGTTGGCTTTTTGTGTGATACATGGGCTACTGTTCCCGTGCTCATTGTAGGCGATGGAAGAGGCATCTGAGCAGGACTTTCTTTTGATACTAAACAAGGGTTTTTGCTGGCTATCGAAGTTTCAGGTTCTGCAGTGGCAGGTTTGGCTGGTGAGGTATCAGTCATTCAACACAGGCGCCAGAGCTTTAAGAGATATATAAGTCTTTATTTATGTATGCGTATGTGTATATTTATGTGTATAAGTATATAAAATTATTATTATTTTTAAAATAAATAAATAAATAAATAAATAAAAGAAATGGTTGTTTGCGTTTTTTTTAAAGAAAAATTGCGCTTTCTTAAACCTAGTTGTGTAACAAGAAATTAAGATTTGCATCCGTAGGAATCTTTTCTGTATCCAATCACAATGTGGAATCAAACACAAAAAAAAGTCCAGAGTCTTTAGTTAAAAACTTTCAATTTCTTACAATATATATATAGTATGTATATGCATAAGAAATAATAACATCAACCATATTAGCTCTTTCAGCCCAGTTAATTAGTAAAGACTGTTGAAATATGCATACAAGTAGAGAACCCTGGATAGCTATGCATTATACCAAAATATAAATAAGTAAATCAATACAATTAAGGTTTGTTAATATATAAAAATTAACTTGATCTTCTTACTGCTCGGATCATATATAAATATATATATGTGCATTAAACTTTTTTAAATTGATGTATTTAAACAACTGCTTTGTGCTCATTTGATCAGACGAAAGTGTCGTCGCATATAAACCGATTTTTCTTAATAGCGGTATACATGTCTTGACTACATGCTATTGTTTAATAATTCAACTCCGCACTATAGCTAGCGATACTTGGAGGCAGTAAACAGGTTACAAGGGTTGGTCACCAAGTAAAACCCCAAAGCACTAAAAACAAAACACTCATTCAGTCTCATAATCATTCTGTATATTAAATATTCAGGCATCAATACAAATACCAATAGGCAAAAACATAAAAGTAAAGCGAAGAAAAATTATGTATCTAATAATTTATTGAAAAAGAAATTATTATTTTTATATATTTATAATATATATAAAAGTTTAGCTTAAGAAGCCCAAATCATTAGTAAAATACAATATTGACCCCTTGGGACATTAATAATTACTTAGCGAACTGACGAATATAATGCATATATAAAGGAAAGGAAAGGAAGGGAAAGGAAGGGAAAGGAAGGGAAAGGGAAGGGAGAGGAAGAAGAGGGAAAAGGTAAAGGTAAAGGGAATTGGAATGGGCAGCGAGAATGAGTGAATGCAGATTTAGTAGGGTAAATGAATTGTAAGATGTGGGCCGGTTTGTGTATATATAATAAAATAATAATAGAAACCCTAAGCCATTGTGTGCTCCTGGCAGCTGTGAGATTGTTTGTTTGTGTGTATAATAAGTATTATCTTTTTGGTTTGTTTTACAAGAATCCTGATTCCTGTAAAAGTCGAGCGATCTTCTCATCTTCCCGCTCTCTTAAATCACAGAGTCAGTCAGTCGATTTCTTCTTTAATAGAATCCCTTAATTCTTACCTTGGCTCAAGTTTGAGACTTTCTTTGTACAGCTGATCTTCGTCGCGTGTGCTACGTAGACTGCCTTGGATAAATGATTGTAATTCTTCAACTGGTTTTAGCTGATAGAGCGATGATTGGTATTGTTGAATTTCACGGATAACTTCGGCCGTTTTAGCACGTTTGGCAAAATTGATCAGCTCTTTTGTTTTCTTCAGGTAATTGGCATTTCCGTCTTCAATAAACGTTAAGTCTTGAAGATAAATTCCCAGAAATGGAATACAGGGAGGATTGATTGAATGGATCATGGCTCGATATTCGGTAAAGTTCCGGTTAGCACCCATCAGTTTACGTATTTGGGAAAGAGTTAGGTTAGTGCGGGCACCAACCATCTACAAATAATACCAGCAGCATAATATTCAATATTCAACATTCAATATCCAGTATGCAATAAAAATAACAATAATCAAGATATACAACTTACATCCCAGGTTCTCTTTAGACGCCCAACTGAACTGTTGTCAAACGCGGATAGCACCGCCATGCATGTATTAAAGTTATTCAAAAGACGACATTTCTACAAAACCAAATGTATACATTAGTCTCGCCATCAATGGACATATATGGGCAACTGGCACTCTTTTCCATAAAATAAAAAAAAATAAAAAAAAATAAGATGCACAATTATATTACCTCTGCAACATGCACCCAATATTTGATATACGCACTTCTTTTCTTAATATCGCTTTGGCTCAGGATTGCTTCAGACACCCATGCTGTGATCTGATTACAATATTCAATAGAAGCCCTGATATTCACGGCCACGCTACCATTCTCATCATTTGTGTCGCGCGACCAGGCCTTATCAAGACACTCGACTGGCCGAATAGAGCTGTACAATTTAAAGTCCATAATTGTCAATTGGCGCGCCATCTCGAGAGGTTCGATGTCCAGAAGACGGAACTTCTTTCTGTTTCGGGGAAGAATTGGTTCCGGAGGATCCGGCAGTGATAGTGTCATCTTCTTTAGGCCACCATGCGACTCGGACTCCTTGCGTTTCCGAATCAGACGCTCCAACTGATCGCAAGAGAAACTAAGGGTACTCCGGATCCGGGTATCAATGAACTTTGAAAGCTGGTCGAGGATGATGTGGTCTTCTTCATTGTAAAACAACTCAAGCCAATTCTTCAACACATTGAATACTCTCAGTCGCACCAATTTGAGCTTCTTCTGTGTCCAGACTTCCAAGTCTTCTTCAGACAAGCCTGGTGGTGGCTCAAGGTTGTAGCGTGCCTCCAGAAGATTCAAGAGTTCCATTGATGTGCAGAATGAACGGTATGTGAGCAGAAAAGTGTTGATAAAATTCATGTCCAAGAAGTCGTGGAGTGTCAAACGCTCGACAAGGGCTGGAAGAGATCCACCTTTAACATATCCCTCCATATTGTACACAATCTCATTTACATCGTAATCATAATGTAAGAACCACGGGCGCTCATTAACTGCGGGTTTGGCAGCTGCAGCCGCTGCAGCAGGTGCATCATCACCAAAGAATTTTTTAAGTTTTGCGGATTTCTTTGATGGCGTATCAGGAGTTGTCTGAGAACGTTGCATTACCAGTCCACCCAAAGCCTCAGAAGGAGCCTTTTGGTTCACTGAGCCTGATCTGTTGCGAGTTACGCTTTCGGGTGAGTTAATGCAAGGATCAGAGCGTGTATCATGAATGTGAGGCGAGTTTTCTGGCAAGGATCCTAGCTGAGTGCTGCTACCATTTCCACTGCTCCCTTCGCCTCCCAAGTATTCCTCACTATCACCATCACCATCACCATCGACATTATCAATATTCACATCTGCATCCGCATCAGCGTTAGAATTAGCATCAGCATTCACGTCATTGTCTACATCTTCTAATTCAATGGATTCATCTGCTTCCAGGATCACGCTTTCTACTAGAGATCGCTCGTTGCTCAGATGGTTTTCACGTAGGACATTGCCTGCTGTGCCTGCTGTGCCAGCAATGGATATGCTTTCAGTTTCTTTGGCTTCCAAGACAAGCTTGCCGATGCAGTCGCAGATGGTCTTTATAGGATCACCAATGTTCTCAGCCGCTGATACAACGTGTTCTACAGTTGTACTCAAGGGAGTGTTTTCGTCTGTGAGAACCTGCATATAATAGAACAAAAAGCCGAGTCTGTCTGAGAGTGCACGCTGACTTTCATACAGAGTAGGAATCAACAAAGACTTGCTGACAGTCGAGAGGTCCACATCCTCGACAATCCCAAGGAACTGACCGGTTTGGTTGGACAAATTACGAAACTGGGTGAACAAAAGGGCTGCTAGTGATACGCGCGACTCTGGGTGAACAGGGCGAAGGCTGGTGAGAATTGCATCTATTGATTCGTGCATACTGGTTCCATAAGTTTCCAGGCTTTCTGCGAGATCTTTTTGGAGTGCGTATTTGACTCTGGGGTAATCATGACCGGCTTCAGACTTGCGATGATGTCGCAGGATTGTATGATCTGATGGAACAATTTTGGGATCCATGTGTTGAACGGCAACACCGATATCCTGGCATGAGTGGATGAAATTCTGTACATTGTTGAGAAGATCGTTTGATTCTGATAGAACTTTGGAGATTTCGTCGGGTGAAAGATCGTAGGTGAGTTTAGAGGATAGAACCAGCTTAGACATTGATGCCATCATGGTTCGATGATGGGTCCGTACAATTGGATTTAATTTGATGTGGGGTGCTTCCTTGTCTATTGTACCCGATGTGACTAATATTGTTCTAATTGCGTTTACTACATCGGTTGCAAACGGGCGTAGCATTGGCTTTTGAGTATTTTTTGTTGCCGAGTTGAGGTTGTGAATAGCTAGTGAGACGTGTGCCGATAGACGGCTCCAGGTTAGTGGTTCATTTGTGTCGATTACAGACGTTCGGCGGACAGATTGTTGACGAGATGGTGAGCGTGGAAGAGGTCGAGGAGGTTTGGTAGCTGAAGTAGTTGTCTGATAGTAATAATGATAGTAATAATAAGTCTGATGAGTGATTGCGTTTCAGTGCAGGCTTATAGATGTCATTACCGAGTCTATGCTGGAGTCAAACAGACTTTCAGAGGGTGAGTAACCTTCTTGTGATAAAGATGTGCTATCAGTAAAAGACAAAGGCTGTGTACACATGTACTTGTATTTTTTTAGTATATACATTTCTCTCCCTGTCTCCCTCTTTCTCTACTATTATTATTTTTACCTGAGCCTGCAACCCTTCGTCTTCTAACGCGAGACCAGCACGTACAGCATCCCAGATTGGACCTTCCATTGATCTTAGTTCGTCATCATCCTGGTTAGTACTGCTGCTATTAAGCGACACCGTGGGTTTGAATTCTTCATTATCGGCGTCTGTGTCGCCTGGATGGGAAGATCGCATCTCGCCAGTGACATGGTTGTAAAAGTAGCAGTCCGAGCCATCTTCTGTCTGCTGTAATGTCCAGCTAGTGTTAGTTGAGGGCTCTGGATCAGAACAATGGCGCTGGTGCACAGGCACGACAATCGAGTGGTCGTCTCCTCCCCCTGCCACCCCCTGAGAAGCTAGACTCAGTCTGTATTCATTGTTTCTCCGCGAAATTGGCTCTTCTCGGCTCCAGAGTGTTGCCGGCTCTTCAAAGACAGGGTGTACAGCCTGTAATATATATATATAAAAGTAAAGTAGCGTAACGTAATGTAACTTAGATAACTTGGACAGGAAAGTTGACAAACATGGCATATTACCTCTTCTAAACCGTCCCCTTGAATTGTATTTGTATTCTCATCGTCATATTCTTCAATGACCTGGACGTAGTTACTAGGAAACCAGCCTCGTCTACCACTACACCTGAATGTGCCATTACGAATTTAGATTCTTATTATCATTATTTTATATATATATATCTGTTAAAGGGATTGTATACAAGATAGAGACATACCAGCCATCCCACCATCCCGATTCAAGTTTGTTGAGGACGTCAATGTAATCGTCTTCTTCGAATGTGAGAGATGCCGGGTCGTTTGAGTTGAATGAATAAAGCGCACGGACTCTGCAACATATAGGAACAGATGCCATGGCAAATGAGAAAGCTCTTTTAGGATCAATCAAAATCAAGTGTTGAAGAGTGAAATGAAAAAGAGAATGAGGTAAAGCAAAAGTAAAAAAGCCTTATTTATTTATTTTGTCTTTTTTTCTTCTTTTTTTTTCTTTCTCAATCGCACACGCACAAGCACACGTAAAATATGTATATGTATATATATATATATATATTTCTCTTTGTGTGTATGTGTATGTATAAGGGTCTGTGTGTACGTGTACGTGTATGGGTCTGTGTGTCTATATCAGTGTCTGTGTCAGTGTCTGTGTCTGTGTCTGTATATTAACGTGTGCGCGAGTGTGAGTATATATATATGTATATATGTATATAAGAGAGGTTAAAATAAATATATATATATATATATATAAAGAGAGAGAAGAGAGAAATATAAGAAGAAGAAGAAGAAGAAGAAGATGATGATGAAAAATAAATAATAATAGTAAGAATAAGAAGAATAGAAAATTACGATAGCGAACGGCTTAAAGAATGAAAATATCCATTTTTGATTGTCATATATATTTTATTATTATTATTTTAAGCAGTAAAATAATATAGAAAGAGTTATATAGAATGTAGAGTGTGTGAGTGTGGGTCAAGCGGACTGCGATGGCTGAGTGTAACCTTTACGATCAGAACTCCTCCAAACTGTCTAAACTCTCCAATGCTTTCCTTTTTGATCCGAGCAGGCGCCTTTGGTTTCAATTGGATAAATTCATTTGAACTTTTAAGGTTATATTTATTCAAAAAAATAACAGTAATATTCTGAAAAGCAGTAAGAGCAATAGTAATACTCGTAGTAATATGCAAAACATACCCATACACACACAAATACAAAGAGAGAGAGAGAGAGAGAGAGAATCACACAACTGGTCTTCAATTCCAATGTGTACCTGAGCGTAGATCGCTCTCAAACACATGTAGAGATTTCTCCCCGGCTAATGTCACACACTCTTCTTGACCGCTTAGAGCTTAGTCCTTTTGATAGCATGTATTTTGTGTGTGCGTTTTTAATATCAATAATTTTTTTTTATTAAAAAAAATAGAAAAATAAATAATTATTAATATTAACATCTTTTGATAGCATTTTTATAGAATATTATACAAGATATTTATTAAAGACATACATATATACATATACAATCTATAGTAATTCTTTGGGTGTATGTTATAAATATCTAATTATATAAATGACAGTAAAAATGAAGTTAATTTTCTTTTGGGTTTTTTTTTCATGGGTTACTGAATTCAGAGGCGTGATTCTATGAAAAATTAGCATGCCTTTTTTATCCTTTTACTTTGGAGTGTACACCTTCATAAGACCCACGTGCATTTCCGGTCCTGCCAGGTACAAGTAAATGGAATGAAAATATATTATATATTTTTATATAAAGTTTTACTTTTACCTTTGTCTACCGAACCAAGGCCCGACCACAAGTCCCATGAAATTAAATCTATACTTTTATGAAAAATATTAACATAATATAATAAAAGGTAGTGTAATAAAGATGCTACCATTCCTAATAAGATATATGAATATCATGATGTGTACAGTCAAAAGGAGAAAAAAAAGTGTATAAAAGACGAATAACATGGCGTGTGCCGATAAATTTAATGTAGTATATAGTTCCGAAGATATGGCCACAGACCTGATCCTTTTTCCCTTCTTCTTCCCAGTGTACAGACACTAAGCTACATGGTAAGACACGCCCAGGTGTTTTTTTTTTCGTTACAGTACCTGTGCGGGAATCTGTATAGAAAGAGAAATAAATAGATCTTTTTAAAGAAGAAAAGAATGAAAGCAAGAAAGCAAGAAAGCAAGAAATATCGATATTGTCATTTATTATTATTATTATTTTACTGTTAGCCATTCTGAATATCAGCGCCTTTATTTCCCAATAAAAAAAACCCCCCATATAGCACTCTAGGTTTTTGCTCTTGTCAATACAACAAAAGATCATTATCCTATTATCAGCTTGATGACTATTGCTGTTCAGATTGCTTGTTCATATCGTCCGTTGTAGCTTTTTAGGAAGCAAAAATACCGTCAAGTCAAATCAGGCCATGTCATGTAATATCATATAATGGTATAGTTCCTGTACTTAATAATACCATGGACCCTCATCATCTTTCTCTTTGACATCGGTTGGGAAAACATTCAGACCGAATTTTACCACCTAAAAAAATTAATAATATTTTCTTTGTAGCCGTGTGTTCATTTGTTCATTAGAACAGTGGTTACAAAACCCCTGTTATGTTTCTTCTTCTTTTTATATAATTATCAAACCATATTAAATTTACAGCTACCGTGAAAGAAGGACTCATCAAGAAACGGTTGGTGTCTCATAGGCTTTAAGTGTATTCCAGTCCTTTACCGTTTGTGTGCCAAATTCAAGTCAATCTTGAAATGTATACACATACATGTAAAGATTTTTTTAACATTCTCCAATGAACTAAGATAATGTATCCTCTTAATACCCTCTGGATCGGTTACTGTCATTCATTTGTCTAGGATAACAAGAGGCGAAGAAGATTGGTCACATCAATATAGCAGCCAAGATATACCTTCCTTCCTTCCTTCTTTTTTTTTGTGTCTCCAAAAACATGCTACCAAAATCATATATTTTCCCAGAGTATCCTATTTTACTCTTATTTCTGTTCTCTGAAAGTACAAATCCATGATCGCACTCCATAAGCCTACATACACAGTTGTTCTCTCTCTCTCTCTCTCTCTCTTTCTTTTTAAAGCCTCAGTTTGGATGACCTTGATATTGTCTTTTCCTGATTTGTATCAGGTTGTCTTCATAGCTGCTTTTGCCGTGTTGATTAACTGAATCATTAAAGAAGACTGGTTTTATTTTTAAAGAAAAAGGTATACTACATACTCTCTCATCAAAATACATTGAAGTTAGTCATCTTTGTTAATATATAAGTATATCCATTACTCATTTTGATTGTGTAATGTGCTGAAATAAAGTAATAAAAAAAAGACTGTAGGAACCTGTTTCTTGAAAGGAAAAGGTAAAAAAAAGGAATAGTGACGATTTCAACAGTCCCAAACATTTGAAGTTATATGCACCATATTAAAATTAATTACAGTGTTTCTACTTGAGATTGAGAATATTGGTTGTTTTTGGACGATTGAAAATTAATTTTTAGCCAATTCGCTTACCTTTTTTTTTAGCAAACAAGAAAGAGAATTGTGTAGGTTTGCAACTCCTGTAAGAGTAGATACCAAAGGTATTTCCGAAATGCCATCGACAGACCTATCCACCCAATATTAGTTTGCAACAACTGTAATACTTTTTGGAATAGGGATGCCCTGGCGGCAAAAGTCATGTTCTATATTGTGCAGGAAATTTGGAGTAGCAATTGTAGGCCAGAAATGTTTACTCCTTGACCAACAACAACAACACAATGAACGTGGTTGTTCCTCACTCTGGAAGGCAAACTTAAAGATGCCTACAGGTAAAGAACATTTTAGTCATTTTTACCTTGTCTCAACTAAATCTCCTTTCTATCCCAAATTTTATTCTGTTGTGTCTCAATTTTCTTTTTTTTTGTTTGTCCAGAAAAAAACTAACATCGTCTCGATCTCAAGTAGAAACACTGTATTATGGAGTGAAAGTAGACAGACCCAAGATGGTAAAGTTAAAGAAGTAACTTTTTACATTTGGCAAAATAAAAAAAGAAGAGCTGGAATATCTCACAACTATTGGTAAAAGATGGTCTGCGGACCCAACTTTCATTCATAAGCACATTCTTTACTAAAAAAAATGATGATGAAGAATGTTTGGAAAAGCAGTTTCTGTTTGGCCAAACTGGTTTCATAAGTCGATGGTCACCTATTTATTTATTTATTTTGGACGATTATATTGGTAATAGGAAATGTAATCCAGGAGAAACACAAAAGCTTTTGAGCTGAATTATTATTACCTTTATTCTTCTTCTTATTCTTTCTGTTGAAAGTTTAGCACGGTGTGATTACCATGGTGACACGTTGCATAGCTATAGTAAGTTCCAGTAAATAGTAATAATACGGGAAGATAAAGAGTGATTCTACTAGACTCCCAAGTGCTTCAGAATGATCCTTTTACGTTGCAGCTCCAAAAAAGAAGTATATATATATATATATCAAATAGACATGGTTTATTTTACTTAAACGAACACACGGAGGATCATGGTAATCCTGTAAAAGACTTGTATCACTCAGGATATATATATATATATATATATTCTTTGGTATTTCACTATTTAAACCTTGGAAGATTGTATGCATCAATATTGAAGTTTATTTATGAATTATGAATTATGATTAATGAATTAGTGGGAGAAACCAACAGTCTTTAAAGGTAACCTACCTAAACTTAAGCTTTTGTGATTAAAGTTTAATTAATAGAAGTTTGACCCAAAAGAATGCTTCTCTTCTCTTCTCTTTTCTTTTCTTTTATTTTATTATTATAATATTTGTATGCGTATTTACCAAATCCTTCAATAAAAATCATTATTAGAGGGGACAAACCTGGAGCACTCTAGGGACTGCTAGAAGATCAAGAGAAATTTAAAGCCTATGTCGGAACAAATGCCTCCGAGTAAAAATAAGGGAACCCTTGAAGGCTAAGAAATTTTATCAAAGCATTTCTTTGTTCCTCCCTTTATCCTATCTACTAGAGAAACATAATGATTGTTATGGTTTCTATTATATATACATGTTTGATACGAGACTTTTGCTTACAAATAGATCATATCAAGTGTTTATACACTTATATGAAGCTTCGATTATATGTTATGGTTTACATAAACATCTGTGCGCCACAACGAATTCGATTTTGCATTGGCCACTATATCACACCAAATATACTCTTTGGAACTATTGTATCATAGAATTGATAGTAATAAAATGCATATAGGTAACATAGGATAGAGTCATAAACCAATTCATGACCATGCTCCATAAAACCTAGGGATGTCCTTAGAGTGAATGTTTTCAAAAGTGCTCCGGGTTTGTCCCCCTTTATTCTGGGCTGGTCTTTCCTAGACCTTTTAGCCGCAATGACTACCTTTGATATAAAACCAATAAACCCAAAAGTGTGCCTTACTTGCTTGTTCAACACGCAACACGCAACACGCAACACGCAACACGCAACATGCAACACGCAACATATACATATTAGAGCGAATTCCTCTCTGTCTCTTTGTTTTCTTCGTCTTTTCTTTCTGCACTACATATCATCTTTAGACAGCTTATTCCGATGTCAGTGTGGACCCGGATCATTAGAATTCGACGTAACACAGTCAACACGCGTGATAATCTTGCTCTATATCTCCTTCTTTCTTTTTGAACTTTAACAGTAATAATTACACAGATGCTGGTAGCTGCCCTGTCTTTGTAACAATGTCCTATTTATAATTATATATGTATATATGTATCATAAAATATTTCCCTTTAAACTTTGTACATGTTGACATGGAGCCTTTTTCAATCAATTTTAATCCACAAATGAGTGTTCTTCTTCTTCCTTATACTTTATTTTATCTATTTATTTTTGGTCTAAAAGTACAGCTATTATAAGCTTTAACGCCAATGAATAATTAAAGCAAAAAAAAAAGTAATATAGACAGATAATAAGGAGTATATTTCGCCGGTTCATTATCTCTTTAGTATACATAAAAATATATTTATTTTGTAATTGAGAAAGCAAACAAGACATATACAACCTTGTTTGAGTCATCTTTGTTGGTGAAGTGCTTCAGATACAGTAAAGTGACTAGCGACTAACGACTAACGACTAGTGCTTGTGCTTGTGCTTGTGCTTGTGCTTGTGTTTGTGCTTGTGCTTGTGCTTGTGCTTGTGTTTGTGTGTGCACTGCCTATTACTGTGTAAATGCTTGCTTTGTTACTCTTTCTCATTGGTGAGAATTTCTACTTTCCGATAAGCTTCTCTCTCTTTCTCTCTTTCTTTTTGATATAAGAAAAGTAATATAGTATTAGATTTTATTTATTTTTACTTTTTTGAACCAAACTGGCGCAGCAGTTTTCTCCCTTTCCTCTTTCTCTTCCTTTCTTTCTTCTGTTTCGCCTAATTTTTTTTTCGGTTGTCTATTACTCGTATTATAGTCTTCGGCATAATATATATACCATATACCAACGTACTGTCTTAATACCAGTGTCCGTCTTACACACAAGACACACTGCACAAACACACTATACACAACCTTTTGATTGCTCTTTGTTCCTAAAAGGCTTGTGAGGGGGGGTGCTTACACGCGAGTATAATGAGTTCACCCACCAGCACAACCTCTCTGTTCTTCCTCTTGCCACCCCAGCATACATCCGAAACCTACACACCACCAGCTGAACCAGATATAAAAAATGACACCATCGAGGCAGTATTCTCGGAGGATTTTCTGTTAATGCACTGCGATTCTCAGGAACCTCTTTCTTCGCCGCCAATGGTTGGGTTCTTCCCCGACCTTTCTGACGTTGCCCAGTTCTGATCAACTGTGTAACTTGTTTATATACATCAAACAACCATTTTCCATTTGCATTTCCATTTGCATTTACGCTTGCCAAATTGACAAACACCTCAAAATTCTCAAGCAGACCAAAAAAAAGAAAAGCCAAAGAACCAAAATAGGAATAGAAAAAGGGAACAACCAAGCAACCGAACAAGGAAGGAAGCAAGGGAACAAGGAAGGAAGAGGCCTGTGTGGAGGTGTAATTTAATGCAACAATTTTGTTTTAATTATTTCTTCTTCTTTTTATTTATATATATATATATATACATGCATACTTACATACAAGCATACGCACATAACTACATACATACATACATAAGTACATACATACATAGTAGGTATACGGTGGCTCTTGATCTAGATTATCCTGCGTGTTTTTATGTGTTTCACAGCCAAACAAGCAGCCAAAAAACTAACCAAACAAACGTACATACAAAAGAGAAAAGTATAAAAAAATGAAAATTGAAATTGAAATAGTCAGTCTACCTACATGACTACATGCCTACCTGTCTTCCTGCCTGCCTTCCTGCCTGCCTGCCTGCCTATCTGCTTGTATGTATATATGTATATATGTTTGTATGCCTATATGCCTCTATTGTGTAAATCTTTACGTCTGCCTGTCTGTACGTCTGTCTGTCTGTCCGTCCGTCTACCCGAAAGTCTATCTGGCTGTCTGCTTATATCTATATTTAACATCCTTCTCTATATATACGTATATTCCAAAATAATATTACAAAAAATTTACATGGCGCACTTTTAAATTTTATATTTGTAGGGAAGTTCCACAGACTTTGATTTATTTTAGTAAATCTTTATGCTGCATATCAATAGAGGAAGTCAAGACTTGTTTTTTTTGGATTGTTTTTTTTTACTATATAATGTCTTTTATACTCTGTGTAAATTAAGAGCCACTAAAGGAAAGGAGAATTGGAGATCAACGAGAGCAAAATCAGTGGATATGGTACCAAGAGGATATACTGCCCAAGTATGCTTAAACGATTGGCATTGGTTGAGCAACAGCACTAACTAAATTCGATATTAATGGATTTCTTTTATTTTAACAGTATTAATTCTTATGCCTTGAAGTCTTAATTATTCTACATATTATATTACAATCGGCATTTTACATCTGTAGACATAGTCTTGAAGTTGTGATATCTTCAATGCCATTCATATTAGATATGGCTATATATAAAAAGTGTGAAACGTTTTTTTTTCTACAATCCTTTGTACGTATATATCTAGTAGTTATGAGTTGAAGCGACAACGTAGGAAGACATGTACGTGTGGCAACTTCCGAACACTTTGAATTTCTGGAGGATTAACCCAAAAGACCCACTCCCAGGACTCTTGGCCATATTTCTCTTCGAGGATTTGCTGGATTTGTGATCTTGTGAGCGGTAACCGAGACCAGATAAGAATGTGGGATATTCCTTCTTGAACATCATAAGGGAAATCATTGGGTAGAATAATAGTAGCCGGATGATCGGCAGGTTCATCAGATGGAAAATGCAATTTTGTAGACAAAAGGTAGTTCTCAATTGTACCGTATCTGCTTAATGTGTCCTTGATCCAATTATCGTATTCAGCCTGAACCGCCTTGCTTCGATGGATTTGTTTTATTTGATTGGTTGCTAACCAGATTACACACATAATATATATATATATTTTATTGGATTTTGGATTTTTTGGATTTATAGATATGCATAAATGACAAGGGAATGGCGTTTGGCTTACAAACATAATAGTATACCTGCTCCCAACTAAATGAGCCTTTGACAGGGATCTTTGGCTCATTAGGGACTAGGTTGGACTGAATTGTTTTGATATTGGGAGACATGATGGTTGAGAGTAAAGACTGTTTGAATATCTATATGTCTATATATTTTACATTTATATAATCTATATACATGACTGCTCTTTTTTTTATGTTTTATATCATATCACTAAAATCTAAAATCTAAAAATTCAAAAACCCGTGTTTCATCATCAAACCCTTTCTTTCCTGTTCTTCTTTCTATTCTTCCATTATCTATATATGTATTCAAACGTCATTAAATAAAAGGGACAAATGACGATGACAAATACAATCTTACGTAAGGAATCCTGCGAATAGGAAACCAGAACGCATATAAGACTGATCAGTTCTGGTAATTAAACACCAGCCTAAACACACTATTTTTAATTTAGATACAGTCAGAGAGGTAAATTTTGTCACCCTAAGAAAACTGAATGGCACTAAACTAAAAATGATTGATCCTTTATGTCTAGAAATCTTGCTCTTTTAAAATAAGAGAAATGTCACAGTAAGTTGAATCAAATTCACCTAAAAGATGATGTTTGCTCCTCGACTTCAAACCGTTTATAATGGATATTTATCATAAAGTTGAATAATTTTGTCATTTAGAACGACTGTTAAAGTTGTGTAGGAGTTCAGCAGGTATATCGTTACATGTCTCAACAATTCTATGACACTCTTTCTTCAGTCAATCGTTTGTGGCGTTTCAGTTTCCCTTCTAATATTGCCCAAGGTTGTTTAATTGGATTTAATTTAGGGGAATATAGAGGTAGATACATAAGTCTATAACCACAATTTTCAATTTTTCTCATCATTGGCTTTGATTTATGTATAGTACAGTTATCGATCACCAAATAATTCCCTTTTACATCTTCATTAAGTTCCATGATATCAAACAGAACATTCATGAATCTGATAAAGTGCACAGCTATGGTATCATTTGATATTGATTATGAGCTATATTTATTATCCTCAGCATACTATGTAGCTGATTCTCCTATAATAAATCTACCTATAATATATTTTTTGTTGTTTGCTACATTTTTTTTTCTTGCTTGTAGATGCCTTGTTACTTTAAAGCTTCTCTTTTTGGGTGTGATTTCTTTATCGTTTCATGAATAACGCTTGATGGATCAGCAATCTTACGGAGACTAAGTTTTATGGCGTGGTACGATACTTCTATCAAACCTAACTAATTCATTGCGTCTATCTGTCCGGGGTCCGGTTTTTCTCTCTAGTCCATCACGGAAAAATGGCCTGTATTGAAAAAATACAATATATTTATTGTATCCATTAGCTTCACTACTTTGTCCCTGCACTTTGTGTTTATCTCTTTCTCTCCTCACGCATCTAGCTCTCACTATTTTAAGAGCCACAGCCTGTTTTTGAGAAACTTAATTATAGAATACTGTCTCATACGAAAAACAAATACTATATGTTCAATTAGTAACCCTAAAGTTAGAGTTGACAATAAAGAGATAACAATTAGGCACAAATACACTATATCAATAACTAGCTATGCAGAGCGGTATGAGTTGTTGTCATTAAAATGTGACGCAATCTCGCTTGATACTTTACTATTTATTGGCCTTTTTACACATATCAAGTCTTTCTCTTTCTTTCGCCTACTTATATTCCCAGAGTTTGGCAGCACCAGCAGGTAAGTAATCCACATACACCCTATTTTTTTTTCAAAGCACAAAAGAAAATGTTTATACGAATATTCTGTATCCTTAGGAGCCCGATAGAGCTATTTCATGACGGCAAAAAGGCCACGATTTGTGATCCAATAGAGCCAAAATATTACCCCCCACCAGGAAATGTTGTCCTAAAATTAGCGTCCAGACTGTCCAGACTGTCCCGCCAAGCTGTTCGTAAAGTTCCCCAAAATCTAAAGGCTCTGAGCTCAATTTGATTGCCAGTTCTGTTGCAAGATTTTTATCCCCGTTCTCTTCTGCCCATGAAAGACTACAATTGGAATCCGATGCTGTATCCTGAGTATTTAAACAACGTGATGAGACCGATGAAGATAGGTTGCGCCCTGATATCTTAATTCATGCTGAGCAGCATGGTAAGGTCGTGGAAGTCGCTTGCAGGGAGGTGAAAAATGTAAATGCCACCCACAAAAAACTACATGAGAATAAAATGCGTGTCCTAGAAATAATAAAATGACAATTGCATATGCGCTTAAGACATGCAAAATCGTCTAATGAAGCAGTAACGTTTGGAATTTTGGTGCAAGGTAAGTCTTAAAAATGCTTAGTATAATCTACATAGAACTAAATATTATTTGATTGTATTGTTTACAAAAGGCCTTTCGGTGACACTTCTTCACATGAATATGGACCTGGGTAAAGGTGTCTATGTGTACCATGAGCAGATACCATTCACTCTACCTACTACGTATGAGACTCATGCACACATGGATACTTTCCTAGAGTTGGTATAAAGTTTCAAGGTATACTTGGAACATATTGTTATTGCAGTAAAAATAGCTGTCAATAGTTTCCATCTTATAGCAAAGCATGGCTGATTCTTTATAAAAGCTAGAAGGCAGTAATTGTAATGCTATTTGGGACGTGTATAAAGATTGTGTACGCCCAATTTTCTCGTCATTTACACCGATTTATTATGAAAAGAAAGGGAAACGTTAAGAACAAAATGGAAAGATACTAAAAGGACAAGCTAGAATTTTTTTGGTTACGGACATTCAGTTTTCTTAATGACAAAATTTACCGTTCTCACTGTATTTATAAATTGATGGATTGTGTTTTTGACTTGGCCACAAGTTTTCTTGAATGACTTGTTTGTGCAGATTTTTATTATTAATTAAGAGATGGTAAAACAGCACTGTTTCAAGTTGACTTTATATCTGTATTAAGCCTAATTTATGTGAAGTATTTAAAGCAGTTTCGTAAACTAATAATTAATTATAAGAACTAGATATCCTCACTAAACTGAATGACATTTACACTCATGTTATTCAACCTTATATTCATCCATAAGATATTTAGCTTATTCCAGCCAAAGACTGAAATTAGGCCTTCCGTCAAAAAGCAGACAGAAACAATAAAATACAATTTTTGGTCATAAATTTATTATTATAAAAATAATGACTGTAAAAAATCCCCAATGATCTCATCACATATTTAATAAGTAGGATGTATCTTTATTGCCTTTCATACCGTGAAACACATTTATAAGAGAAGATCCATTAATAACAGGTTTTCTCTTAAAATTGCGACATGCACCTTCAAATTATGCGACCTGCAAATGTGTTTCGCTCGATACTTTCCATTTTTTTCTTCTCATTCCTTTTTCTTTTTGTACAATTTTAAAAGGCCGAGCATTGTTTATGCAACAGGCAGTAACCAAGCAATAAATAAATACATGAATACATAACACACACAGACACACAAACATACACACACACACACGTATATATATATATATATATATATATCATAATAGTTTCTAAACAAGGCAATGTGCTCAAAGTTTCAATTGTTCCCATAATTGGCGCAGTCACTCAACACACACACACACTCTCCCTCTCTCTCCACTTTATATATTTATATATTTTACTATATTTTACTTTAACCCTTTCTTCCCCTAATGTCTAGACATCAAAGAGACTCACGAACCTTCGTGCCAACCAATGTCCATCATAATGCACTCACAAAACAGCTTTTAACATTATTCCCAGGAGGAGGTTAGATTTATACAACGACAGTAACATCAATGCCAACACAAGCAAATGAACAAATGAACAAATAAGCAACTGAGAAACTGAACAACTGAGCAAATGAACAAGCAAACTGATATGATCATTATTTTTCAATTACAATCCCTTCAATATGGATTTCACTTTTCCCCCTTTATTTATTTATCGAACGTATACACACATTTATATATATATATATAAATGTGTAGATCCTGACTATTTTGAAGAATGTCTGGCCTATTACGAACACAATCATGTCGAACGTATTGCAGAGAAGATCTGCGCTAATGGTGGTCATTATCCCTCCATTCCCAATGACTGTCTGAAGAATCGCGTCAAGCAACTCAATCATTCTCTACGTATTTTGGCAGTCGACTTATTTCCAGATTGTGATATTAGCTATTTAAGAGACAAGGTGCTTGGTTACAACCACAGCCACATTGAGCAGGTGACAGAAGATATCGTACAATATAGATGGCCAGAAAGACTTGAATCTGGCAAGATTAATCGATGGGATTTTATTAAAAGTGAATCCTACAAAGCACAAGCACAGGAACAACTGTCGATTGATTTTCCACAGGTAATAAAAAAATATAATAATATGCCTTTATTATTATTATTGCAATAGTTATAATAGAAAATAAGAATAAGAAAATATAGGGTAAATATATAGGTAGATCGATAGAAATACAATAAGTATTTTGAAACGTTTATTTTGGTAATAGCTTGGCTATGAGATATCAAATAATAATAATAATAGAAAACAATATATAACGTTACCATGGCTTTATATTATTGAAGATTAAAAATACATAATATATCTTTATTTCTACATATATATCTATCTCCTATTTTATTTTATTTTATTTTATTTTATTTTTCTATTTATATATCTACACACACACATATATATATATATATATATGCCTATATTTATGTGTTTGTGCCTGCGTATATGCATGGATGCATGTATACATGGGTGCGTCTATTTTCGTGCATGAAAATATCCATACTATGTCTAAAAAAATACAGATCTGGCGGTCCTCCATCAGAGCAGTTCTGGCAGAAAACAATTGGGATTATCTCAATACCCGAGACCAGCTTGAAGAAATGGGCTCAGGCAGCATCTGGAGATCGATCCGTAATTTTTTTTTACACTGGTCTATCCGCCGCTCATTTAGACCAATCTTTGAAAATGAACACAGATCAGAGTTAGAAAACGAACTGGACGAATTGAGGATGCGGCACTTGAGAAACCAATCTCAAAATGACCAAAAATTTGCTCACCAAATCAATGAAGAGGAATACACGAACCACAACCAGCTCATTACCTGTCTGTGCTGTTGTGACGATTTTGCATTCGAAAGTCTTGCATTTTGTAGTGAAGGAGATCACACCTTCTGCTATTCATGTGTTAGTCGCTTTATGTCCGAAGGCCTCTTTGGCCAGGGATCCTTACGTGGTGTACAACGAATACAATGTATATCACCCACAGACTGTGCTGGCTGCCTGTCTCCTCTGATGCTCGAACAAGTCTTGTCGCCCGATGTTTGGATGGCATACGAAAAGTCAGTTGTGGAAGCCAATCTAAACCAAGCGCACCTGACAGTTGTCCAATGTCCTAATTGCACTTATGCCGAAATCGACGAAACAATTCCACCTTTTAATCAAATCCTCCGTCGTACGACCCCTTTATTCCGTCTGGCCCGATGGCTTATGGTAGTTACAATAGTCCTATCGTTTTATTATACTTTGTCATTGGTATTGCCTACATTGCTTACTACGCTTCCATGGCTTGTACGACAACAGTGGGACTTGGAGAACGATATGAAGTTAGTCTACGATCGGATAGCACAAGCAAGACGAGGGAAAGCCTTTCAATGTAGGAACCCTACTTGTGCAAAACTCTCATGTCTGACGTGCATGAGACCTATCCGAGGTTTACACAACTGTAGAGAACAGGAACAAGACGGGTTAAGGCTCTATGTCGAAAAGGTAGGTCAAGATAATAAAACGATGATTTCATTTTGGTGAACGCAAGTAAACGAGAGCACGAACATCCCAAGTTTAATATCTTTTTATTTCCTTTTCTCTGTTATGTTTTTGGCTAGGCCATGGCAGATGCTGTCAAAAGAACGGTAAGCGATAAATCAATATATATATATATATTACAATTAATAATTCTACCACAGCCTCATCAAAATTGTAACTATCATTTGTAGTGCCCAGTTTGTAGTTTATCTTTTCAAAAAGAAGACGGTTGCAACAAGGTTGTTTGCAAGTGTGGTATGAATAGCTACTAATGCTATTTATCTATTAAATATTTGGTCAGCAATATATAACTGTTACATATCCTTTTATTCTTCTTTGTATTTGTGTTTATGAATATACTAGGATATGCAATGTGCTATGTGTGTCGAAAAGATATTGGCAAAGGTAATACTAAAAAGAATAATAACAAAAAGTCAAGTATATATTTTGATGCTCTTACCGAAACTTTATTGATAACTAAAATGTTTGGAATAGAATCATATTCACACTTTTGCGATCATTTTCGAGTGATACCTGGGTCTCAATGTAAAAAGTGTACCAAATGCGACCTATACAAGACCGATCCTGAAGATGAGGCAATCCAGAAGGCAGAAGCAGATGCTCGAAAAGAATATCTCAGAGCACATCCGAACTTAGCCCAACAGTCCGTTCGTGCAGATATAGCTATAGGTCCAATGACTACACTAGAGAAAATGGGTAAACACACACACACACACACATATATATATATATCTAGCTATCAATTTTAGTACTTGATTATTACAAACTTACGCTTCGATCCTTTTAGACTCATGGCGACGTGAAAAGATTCTACAAACCCTTCAGTTTGGAATGGATTTGTGTATTTAATATCCTTATAATTCCTATATCCATAATTTTCCCACACCCCCTTTCCCTTCCATATGCTCTAACCAAAGTACTATAAGAAGTGCTGATTTTTGTTTTTGTTGATATTTTTTATTGTTTTTTTTGTCTCCTGTTTCTTTCTTTCTGTGTTTCTTTCTTACATGAATTAGCTTCTCTTCAAAACCTATTCAACATCCATTTAGTTGAGATAACAATATCATCATTTCACTTTGAACCCCTTGAGTGAAATTTCATAAAACATTGGCTTATTTTTTCCTTTATTGTCTATCACTCTAAGCTAAAATTCAAAATCAGTTTTGGAATTTGAACGCACACACATTCAGAGATATATATATATATAGAGAGAGAGACACACACACACACAGAGAAAGAGAAAGAGAAAGAGAGTCGATTAGGCACAAATTTATATTTCGTTTAAAAAAAGAAAGCATCGTTTACAAAAAAGCTGTGACTACAACATTTTTTCAATTTGAGATTGAGACTATTCTAAAAAATAATTAGACAAATAATATTGGTGTCTAAAGTGTCTTGTAATAATAAACAACTGTTGTCCCTGTAAGTTAAAATAAATAAAGTACGAAGAACTTCGTATTAATAGCATTAACCACTCCAGAAAGAATAAAAAAGAGAATAGAAGGGTGTGTCCCAAATTATATAAAGAGATGCAGAGAACCTGCGAAGAAACGGTAAGCATATTAGTGAATGGCGGCAGAAAAGAAAGAAAGAAATAAAGAATCCTAATTTGTCTCAATTTCAAGTAGAAACAATAGATAACAGTTAAATGATCAAAATTAATACATAAATCCCTTTATCCACCATCAAATTATAAGCTACAAATATAATTTTTTATCCTATTTACTTCATTTCATCTCTATCTTTAAAGAGCTATTAATTCAAGCTTGTTTCTTAATAGAAACAGATAGTTCAACGAGAACCTTATTCCTCACAAGCTCAGCATAAAATAGAAATAAGTACACAAAACGTTTATCGCAGCATATACCATATATAATCCAACAATCCAACCATCAGTGGAAACCATCAAATTTTGTTGCTCATATATAAAAAGCTGTAAGTACGGCTACCGCATGGCAATTTATAAAGAGCACAACAAATACGATCAGTATGTCATTTTTTTTTGTAAAAAAACAACCCCACTTCTTTAATATAATAATAGTAACATAGAAAAGATGTTTGCAACTTGATACAATGAGCAATTCAACAGTTTGTTCCTTGCTTCATTTATTATTTCCAGTTGACCTTCATTTGAAGACTGACAGGAAGACTAGCATCTGTTACTGTAATAATATCACCCTCTTCCAACAATTCTGAAAGGGTCTTTGACAAGTTGGGACGAGTAGCTATTTCCAGTGCTGGAGGAGCTTGCATGTAAAGCGAGAGACCTTCAATTCGCAAACTTGGTTTCTTCATTTGTCTAAAGACAATATAGACAAGAGTCTTAAAATAGTATACACACCCACAAGCTGGTAGAGATATACTAAAAACTTACGCATCAGGTTTATCTTTTAGCCAGTCGATCATTTCATCAAGCCGCATGTTGGGATCAAGAGTTACTGATGAGGTAAGGTTTCCACAAACGGGACATTCTGGTTTCTTTTGGTGCTCAAAAGTATAGGTATAGATGCCGTCATTTCCAGTATACATCATGTAATTGTTCAAATACGGCGCTGTCGATGTTGCAATCTTGAAAACTTCATTACAGCAAGCGGCTTAATTGTTCAAATTATTAAGAAAATACAAGTTTATATCTTACATTTTTTAAGTTTTTAAGTTTTTTTTTCATTACCTGCAATCACAGCATTAGTCGAGGCAATAGCTGGAATGATATTCTTCACCACACCCTGGGTAAGTGAGTAAGTAACGCCAGTAATATTAAACTTCTCCGCTCTCGTCTGGGCTTGTTGGTATAGCCAAGTAATGTGTTCCGGATTATCAGTATCATACTTTACTTCCTCTATTTATTTTTATTTTCAAGAAGTCAATATAAAGCAATATAGTTATACACTATTATATATATATATTCATTTCATTTTACTTACTTCCCCACACGCGTGGCCATTCCAATACTGATGCCCATTCAATACAATGCTCAGGAAGACGAGGTGTATTTGCAATGGTACAAATGGGAAATGTTGTTGGCTTATTGAACATGTCCAAGGAGCACTCATAACATGAGTTAATTGTTGGTAATATGACACGAGCCTGTCCTTTGAAACCTGTATGTATATAAATGCGTGTATTTATGCGTAGAAGAAAGGGAATGGGGTTTGAGAGAAATAAAGATAAATATTAACACCATTACAAACATAATTGTACCTCTGCAAAAGAAAATAATTTTTTTCTAAAAAAAAATACAAATGTCAACCTTCAGTTCCGCCGTCAATTAATGGCTTGAGACTGGTCGGGTCTTCATCGTCAACCATATCCACTAGTTTTGCATTAATCCAACGGCGGGCTTCAATACTATCCAATCCACAGATAACTGTCTGGAACTGACGATAATAATCATCATCTTTGTCTTGGATTTTTCCAAAGTAGCTTTATAGTGACATATTAGCTCACATCAATCAAATTCAACTTAATAATTTGGAAACAATCATTCGAAATTATCAGTGGGGAAGGGGAGAGGTGGTCTACTTACGGAGTCACTTGTACGCCTGGTACACGCTGCATCACAAATTCCGCAGCAACAATCGCCTTGGGTTTTCCAATATCTTTGCGTCTTTACCAAGTTTCAATAGATCATAGTGAACACATATACTTACACACACCCACATACACGCAGATATATATCCGAGAAAAAAAGTTTACCGGAAAAGAAATTGGCGATTAAGATTACTAACGTCAATAGTATCCATGTCGATTACATCCAGGTTCTTGAAACCAGTGAGTGCCAGATTCTTAAGAATCTCACATCCTAATCCACCCGCACCAATAACCAATATTCTAGCTTCTTCCAATGCTAATACAAGCTACGACAGCCAATATACACGTTAGCATACAAATATTTGTTAAAGAAAAAGACAAGAAAACAAAAATAGAGAAATTATTTTCTTGCTTTTCCTTTAATAAAAATAAAAATAAAAATAATAATAATAATAATAATAATAATAATAATAATAATAATAATAATATTAGTAGTATTAGTAGTATTAGTAGTATAGCAGTACTAGTATTAGTAGTAGAGCTGAAGTACATACTTCTTCACTGTCCAAAGGGCGTATTAAACCATTCTCTAGATCCCCATCAAGATCCATCTCAGCAGGAGAAGCATTGTCGAGTTGCATTGAAGGTGTATCTGGATCTTGTACGGTCGAGTGGGTCATAGTTTGGTCTTCTTCTAGTCCCCAAGAGAAGAATGAGATGGCAGAGAGGACCAGCTGACTTTATAGTCCGTTACCTTGGGACAACGCAATATGTGACGTTTTCTGTCTTTTCGGGTCAGGCACAGACATACGTATTTTCTTTAATGTTGCAATGAAACCTCTAATTAACTATTGACAGAGGAAAGAGATCCATTCTAGACGCGCTGTTTGTAGGATTGAGTCTTCTTTTTGTTACCAGACAGCCAATAGGAAGCTATCTCGTTCCCTGCAACATGATTGTCAATAGATTGCGTACATCCGAGTCATGTTTGTCACAATTACATCAGGAATGTCTTATAAAGTACACCATGTACTATTTTTTTTATGTTGGGCCCTTATATATAAATATATATATAGGGTTTTATTTTACATTTTCTCTTCGTAAGGGAAAAAGAAGAGAAAGAGGAAGAAAAAGATTCTTAAATAAGAACTATAGATTAATTTTTTTTTCACTTTTTGTTAATACAAGGTTTTAGTTATCAAATATGATCGTACTGCAGAGATGAAATCCTTTTTCAACGACTTTCTGATTATTACTGGAGGTACGATCAAGAGGGAAAAAAGCTTGTTATCTTCAGCTATAAGATTGACAACCGGTTTATATATTATAAACAACATTGTTGTGGGGAGAAAATAAAGCAAAATATAATATAGACGAAAGAATTCGTGAGAACTTGTGTAGGTTGTTTATTTCAAAAGAAAAGTAAAGAATGATAAAATTCGATTGTCTTTCTTCACGGAACTATCTACTGATATTTATATGTTTTTCTAATTTGTAATTCAGTGTGTGCTTAAGTAATCTTTATCACGATGAGTCATCTTCCAGGAGTATTGTTCTTCTGGAAAGATCCGGAAAGACCAATTGATATGATACTTCTCAAGTCAGATCAGTCCAAGAGTTTTGGTAAAGAAGAGCATTTATGCTATTGGTAATATTTTAGTATTCCGACCCAGATACTCAGGTAATGTTTCATAATATTAGATAGTTGTAGTTGTAGTCTCTCAATTAAGTATTTGTATAATAAAAGAAATATGTAGATGAAATATAATGATGCCATATATATAATGTATATGTATTTGTATATCCCATGTCATGGTGATAATAATAAATAATCAATTATGTGTATGATGATCTGTGTATTAGATAATATCATAAAGGGAGATCCGTTTGACTGGAATAGCTGAGGATATTATTTTATCCTTCAGTCTTACTCTCAGATTCAGCAGTAATCAATACTCATTCACAACAAACATGATTATGATGCTTGACATTCTCCTTAATTTTCTGATTTGGCTGTACTGAATATAGTTAGAGCTTTTAAGACCTTAGTATATAGTCAAAAAATAAAAATTGTAATAATTCTATAATAGGGGGTTTCACCAGCTTTGAATGTTGACTGTTGGATATAGTGGTAGTTTAAGCACCAGCCAATAATAATAAGTATCGAAAAAAGACTGGTGAAACCCCCTAATGACCATTGGTTGATATGTTTTCTCTCATACACGTCAAAATTCATATATACAATATTCTTGATTAGAGTACCCATAAATATAGTGCCTATGCCCAAATTCCCCACAAGTAAGTTAGACTTCTATAATTTGGTATCAAGATAACTACTTTTATATAGATTGATTATGTTTTATTTTTGACTTTGCTTCTATATGAACTTTGCCATCAATCATACATAAAGTACAAAATTTACAAAATTTTGGCTAAGTCATGACATCTAGAGTATTGAACTATTTTTTTAGATGCTTGGATGCTTGTTTTTCATTTTTTGAAGATTCGTTATAGCCAATCATTTTCCGAATTAAACTACTGCTATATCCAACAGTCAACATTCAAAGCTGGTGAAACCCTCTAATGTTACAACATTTTCAAATCCATGGTTTTGGATATCTTCTATATCTTTAAAAAATTAGAAAATTAGCAAGATCACATGATATACAAAATCTGCCTTAAATTCAGTCTTTTTGTATATCACGTGATAAACGATTCACTCTATCACACCAAAAGAAATCAGAGTCCAAATTTGGACAGGTTTTAAGCACTGTTTTGTCGGCGTTTGCTGAGAGCAATATAATTGCCTTATACAGAATACAATAATTTCAGTACAGAGTGTGTTTTGAACTTCATTTTTTAAAACAAATTTGAAAATAATGGGTTTTGAAATGCAGCAATTTTATTCAGAAAAAATATTGGGGGGGGGGGGGAGGATTCAACTTTTACTAGGGTGGGAATCAGGCTAGGCTAGGCCACTACTACTAGGCCACTACTACTAGGCCACTACTACTAGGCCACCTTTGGACTGATGCTTAGCTTTCACTTGACCTTCATCTGATGCCCGCCCAAAATTTACCTGACTACTGAAGCTACCTAGATTCCATTGACGCTCACTGACATAATATATGGAAAAGCAAATAATAGTATGAAGAGACAAAGATGCTGGCAAGCTATCCATATAAATACAAATAGAGATATTCCTAGCTAACCTAGAAAAATGACAAGAGTTAGGAGCTGTATTTACACTTATAATCAAATAGTAAAATACCTTTACTATAAATAAAGAGATATGCTATTTGGTGTAGCTTTACTTATCTGAAATGTAAACTATGTGTTAGTATGAAGTGTTTTGACTTGGAGCAGTTTGTTTCTTTTTGTAAAGCTTACCTCACAATGACAAGTACTTGATTAAAAGACTTTTGATTATTTAACATATAAAAAAAGTAACATACAGTTTGATTTACTTACCTAAACTGATTACGAGCATGATTTGAGAATTCTATATAAGAGTAAAGTATTAATCATCAGCCATTACAAGTTCTGTTTGATGAGTAAAAATAAAGAAGGAAAAAAATTAACTTATAAAAAAGAAAACAAAGAAAAAATAAAGAAAAAAAATATCAAGTGAAATTTAAGACTCAGAAGGTTATTTAAGTTTGTATTAGTTTCATTATTATCAGACACCTTTCTTTACTTCCTTTCATTTAATTAACCTTACTTTATAATGGGCAAAGAACAACTGAAATACAGCAAAAATTTGAGCAAAATTAAGCTCACAAGCCATTCTTTCACCTGCTGTTTGTGCTTGAAAGAGTGCAGCACATCGTATAACCTTCAGTGACACATTCAGACACATGACATAGCAACCTCTTCGGATTCTTTGACTGAAAACGCACTCAGCCTTAATGTTAGAAGCATTCTTAATTCCAAGAGAGAATTTAATGTAGTCAAAGATAATCAAGAAGCATTGTTTCAAGCTGATATTTCGATCATGATCGAAGAAGAACAAGAAGAAGTCATGGGAGAGAATATCTCTTCTCTTAAAGAAAGAATATTCAACATGATATTATCGACAATTAACAGTAATGAGGAATCAGATCTCCCTACCCTGGCTTTTGAAGATTGCCAATCCCTTTTGGATTTTTCTGCTACTTCAGATGAATGGAATCGAAGCGTGCCCCCCTTCTTCCCTTTTCAAAATCTTCAGACCTTAGTTTTGTAAGCGTTTGTTGACAGTGACGACAGCATGATCTCAGTGTCAATGCTTACAAAGGTCATGTATACCATCAATTTGTTGTTTGAGTTGAAGAAAAGAGCAGACGAGACCAAAGCAGATTTCAAGCTGCCAAAAGTCGGAACTCTGTTGAATTATCAGCATAACAAGTTCAACAAGGTCCCTCTGTTCCCTACCACCATCAAGAAAGTGACTATCAAAGCTACTTCGAATTTGGGTTCAGGAATCACCAGTCAAGTGAAAACCATAGACTACTATTTCAACTTACCTTCGGATCACTTGTGTCTTCTCTTGGCAAACCCCCAAAAGGCCCCTTATCTTTCAGCCCTCTCAGACTACACCGAAAATCAGTGTCTTTCTGTCCAGCAAGGAGAAAAATGGAGAAGAAATCCTTTGTTTCAACATCCATTTATTCAAACAAATGGCAAAGACTTTTGGATTGGAGATGTTGCCGTGTTACATAGTGGGCAATCTATTCTAGTTGAAAGGTTCTACATGAAAGACATGCTTGCTCTCTTTGACGGATATCTTGTTGAACAAGGCTCTGACAGTGAAGGCCATGCTTTACATAAAGTACAAAGCTCTCCTGTCACATACGAAATCAAGTACCTGGTTTCTGCTTGGCTCCCTCCAATGTTCTATAGTCACCCCAAGAACTGGTCTTCCTCTGGTGAGGCATCCTTGAATCCAACGCACCATGGGCTGTTGTTCAAGAGTCATCCTATGAAAAAGCCAGTATTCAACAGTGCCAACCAGTTCATTCGATTTCAGAAGGCCATCATCACTCCACTTGCCATCTTTTCTGATGATACTTCTGGGAACCTTATGAAAACGCATGGAATGTACGACAGTGTACTGGTCAACTTCCCTGCGATGCCATACAGCATGAGAAATAGATGCGAGAACAATTTCTTTGTCACAGCCGTTTCCCAGCAAGCCAGATTCAAGTCGACCCATCTGATGCCCATTATAGCCACAGATCTAAAGACACTAGAAAATGGTGTTGATATGTACTCATCAACATACGACGAGACTGTCACTGTATGTGCTCCCTTGCTCTTTATCACAGCCGATAATGTCCAACATGCTGAACTTGTTGGCTTGAAGCATTTGACGTCAAATTTCCCGTGTAGAAGATACTACTACCAAAACCTGTCCAGATTTGACTTTGACAACTTTGATTCTGAGTATTTGGTGTGGTGATCCAGACACTTGGTTGTTGGATTTATTACATCTAAGAACATATTCCTATTATTATAGTAAAACAGCTATCATTACAAGAACAAATGAATAATTTATTTATTTTACTTATGGTAAATCAATAAGACCAATAATTAATTACAGTAAGTACTGTAATTATGACAGCTCAGTAAGCACTGAGTTAATATGAGGACACTGCAATTAGATTAAATTATAAACATAGCAGTACCAGCTCTCTAATATCTAAATGAACTCAGACTTAAGAAATTAAGATGTGACTGACAAAGCAGATCGTGTTTTGATATAAAAAGGACAACTTTATATTCTTTAATAAAGACAACCTATATACAGTCTCAAAGTATTCTTATATACGTCTCAATCTTTTTACTGTTGATTTTATTCTATAAAACTTCACATTTGGTTCGCGACTGCCAGCACAGAATGAAAGAACATTATAAGATTGCAGCTGCTGATCCAACTCATAAAGAGAAGGCAATTCCTGGTATATTACCAAACGCTGATAATCTCTATCTGAAAATGGAAAAGCCTACCAATAAAGCATTATTCTTGCTGATCTTGGATATAGTCATACTGGTACCAACAACCTACTGTGTTTGCAGTCCTTTGATCCTGCTCTTGATACACCTGTAGAGATTTTGCATACTGTGGCTCTTGGAGTTTGCAAATATCTTGTTAATCATCTGTTCAAGGAAGTTTTAAAGGGCAACACTGCTTCACAAGTAAAGTTATCTGATTTGCTGGAGCAAAAAAAAGGGTCTAGGGACTTCACAAGAACTTTCAGAAAGAAGCTTAGACATAGTGGGTCTTACCTTGGCAAGGAGTTCAAGATTCTGGTGCAAGTCTTGCCACCTATTCTTAACACTGAATTTACTGACAACACTGAAGTTAGTATGATTACTAAGCCCTTCATGGAACTTGGCATTCTATTGTCTCTTTTATTCATTTGAGAGGTCGATTCTGATTTTGATCAATATCTCAACAATGTTGATAATACTGCTTGTCGTCTTGTCAAGCCTTTGTACGAATATGATATATATGCCAACACTAAGTTCAGCTTGACCCTGAAGACGCACCTTCTGCTGCACTTGAAAGAAGACATCAAGAGGTTTGGTTGTGCTCTCCACTTTGAGACTGAAAAGGGTAAACAATTCAATAAGTTCATCCGGACTCATTTGGTGTACTCAAACCGTCATGCTGATAACAGGGATCTTGCCCTTAAGTTTGGAAAGCAGGACATGCCCAGACACATTGCCAGTGGAAGCTCATGGATTGACAAATGTACAGACACTTGAGTAAAAGGTGGATCTGATATCTTTGCCTTACTTCATGATCAAGGAATCAAATTTTCCGACAATTTCTTTGGCAAACACCAGGAATTCGTGGATAACAATCACGTGAAAACAAAGATAGTTGCTGGTGTCTCTGTCGCATTTTCTTACAGTAATAATGCTAACAGAATGTTTGTTGGAAGGGTGGTGGAAAGTAATAGTGTTTTGCGCATTCAGCATTACCAGCTCTTCTCGCCTAATCTGAACTTGGTAACAGTCGGATGCCAGCCCATTGAACATTACTGCAATTTGGAAGACGTTAAAATTGAATGCATGCTACATCTGACTTCAGGTGAGCATCTTTCTCGCATCAACCTCCTCAAGTTTGGATCTTATCACTTCTTTTGCAAGAAGTACTTCCATTTTTTTGCTTTGAATGAATAAACTTCTTATTTCTTCGCCCCCCATTTTTTTTCAATTGCTTTTTAATTTCAGTTTGGACTATTAAGTATTTCTATTGGGTGCTTCTCAAAAAATAACAACAAGTTTCGATTTTAGAAGTACCAACCCTTCAAAATTATTTTTTTTTGAGATTTTTCTGAAAAAAGAAACAGTTTTCAGCCTAAGTTAACTTTTATAGATAAAAAACCCTTATTTTAGGCTCAGAGACCCAAAATTATCATTTTTATACAAGAATTTCTCTTGGTGTGATACACTCTATTCTACCTCTAAAAAATTATATCTTACAAAAGTCACATGATATATAAATCCTTCTCTCTCTTTCTTTTTTTTGTTCTTAAAATTCTAACAGCTATAATAAAGAAAATATAAAAAAAAACTGCTCTCTTTAAATTAAATAAATAAAATGAAAATAAAATGAATAGATAAATAGATAAATTTGTATATAATCAAGTGGGCGAATTACTTTTCAAGATCATAACATGTGCCTGGAAACCTCTGATAATGAATATCAATATAATAAATAACAAAATTAAATAATAGAAAAGAATTTGCACATCTCTTAAGAAAATTGCAACCTCAAATCCTTAGTATCTAAACCTAAATCCAAAATGCTTTCAATTGAAAAATGTTGCTCTGCATGCAAAATGACCGGTCATAAATGCAGCAACCATAGAAGCTGCCCCATGAACCGAAAGAATTGTACTCTTCTCATTCCTCAAAAGAGAACAAGCAATGTTGTCTCCACTGAAGTGGAATATCCTGCAGAGAGCAGTAGATGTAATAAAAATCTCATTGCTTTTAAAGTTTTTAATTCTTATAATTGTTTCTATATATATTTAGCTACTAATATGAGAGTGAGAAGAGAATCTCCTGAAGATCAAGTAGTGCTTCAAGAGGCTACAAGTCCTGTGATTCCTGAAACCGAATCTGAGAAAATTGAATCTGAGAAAATCGATACTGTGGACACTGATATTAAACCTTCTGATGATTCTGAAGAATCTGATAATGACAAAGAAGAGATAGTTGTGCCAGCTGCAATTGTTAGATTTTGCCCAACATGTCACAGAGAAGATCATCGTCATAATACAAACAGACTGTGTCCTTTCAATTCCAGATATACCAGGAATGACTCCAGTAATCAACGTTTGGCTACAGAGAATATTGCCCGACTTCCAGCTCTCTGTGAGCCAGAAGTTGATAACAAGAGAGAAATGAACGTTGAATGTAGCTCATGCAGAGCTTTGATGTGGATGGACAAAAGAAATGGAAAAGCATCATTGAGAAATCCAACCTTTAGCATGTGTTGTGGAAATAGAACATCTGTTCTTCCTAGCCTTGAGCCAACCCCACCTGCAATTGCTGAACTTCTTAACAATAGAACTCGAGATGAAAAACAGTTCCTTTCCAAAATCAGAAGCTATAATGGCACATTGAGTTTTACATCATTGGGAGCAAACATTGACCACAGTGTAGCAAACAATAAAAGCGGAGCTTACAACTTCCAAATCCACAGAACAGTATGCCACAGAATAGGGTCAATCACTCCTGTAACAACTCACGACATTGATCATCCCCGGTTTGCATAAGTGTACATCTATGATGCTCAGTCTCAAGTTCAACATTGGCAGCATCAGGCTTCATATTTGAGTAGAGAAGTGCTTGAAAAGTTGCAATCGGTCTTGGAGGAGACCAACCCTTTTATATCTTTGTTCAGATCCATGGAACAAGTTTCTCACAATAATGGCCATACTGCAGATTTAACCTTGCGCTTGATTGCAGAGGGACCTCAGAATCAAAGACAGTACAACGCACCAACCACCAATGAAGTAGCAGTTTTGATTATGAACAATGATATATGCACAACAAGAGATATTGTTCTGCATACACATACAAATGACCTTCAGTCCATAAATGAGTATCACCATTCATATGATACTTTTCACTATGTTCTGATGTCCCTCTATGGCGAAGATGGCTGGAACCTTGGCTCAACCTCTCTTTCTGGAAAATGCATAACAATAATGCAATAGTATTCTAGCCGCCTCATGTATTGTTGCAATTCCCAACATCATCTCCACCTCTTTGGCCATCTTTTTCAGCAATTTATTGTTGATATGTATGTAAAAGTTGAACATAACAGACTGCACTACATAAACGCCAACCAAGACAGACTCAGAGTAGACATTTACTCTGGAATACAAGATGCAATTAGCTTAAATGATAATGATATTGCCAATATTAGAAAGAAGGTTATCCTTCTATCTTCTTTCATTGGTAGCCCACGACATATGCGCCAGTTATACCAGGATGCAATGAGTATTGTCCATCATTTTGGTAAACCAGATCTATTTATTACTTTTACCTGTAATCCCATCTGGCCAGAGATTACCAGCTCTCTTTTGTCTGGGCAAAAGGCTAACGGCTGACCAGAAATATGTTCAAGAGACTTTAACATGAAGCTTACAAAGCTCATGAAGGATCTTATGAAGAAAAAGATTTTTGGAAAAGTACAGGCCTTCATATATGTCATCGAGTTTCAGCAGCAGGGGCTTCCACATGCACATATTCTATTGATTCTTCATACTGACAGTAAGCCAAGAACGATTGAAGACTATAACTTGATAGTTTCTGTAGAAATTCCTGATCCAGTAACCGAGCCACTTGCATATGCAACAGTAACAAAGAATATGATCCATGATCTATGTGGTAATAAATACAATGATAAAGCTTGCTGCATGAAAAATGGAAAATGTGAAAAAAACTTCCCAAAAAAAATTAACAATGAAACAATGGACAATGGAAATGGCTACCCATTATACCAAAGAAGAGACGAGGGAAGACATGTAAGAAAGGGAAACCACATGATTGATAACATATGAGTTGTGCTCCATAACAAGTATCTGTGCGTGAAATACAATGCCCACATTAATGTGGAAATTAGTACATCAGTTTCAGCTGTCAAATACCTCTACAAGTATGTATACAAAGAACATGATTGCACAATGGCAAATATCCAATCAGCAACAGCAACAGCCAGCACCACAAACAGCAGTATTCAGCAAGAACAGCCAACAAATAAAATAAATGAGTTTCTTGATGCTAGATATGTCTCAGCTTCAGACGCATCCTGGAGAATATTCTTCTTTAATGTGGTGATCCAGACACTCGGATGTTGGATTTATCACATATAAGAACATATTCATATTGGGATAGCGTAGTAGCTATCATCTTGTCAGTATAAAATATATATAAACGATTAAGTAATCAGCCCAATAATTATTACAGTTAGTACTGTAGATAATATCTTAAAGATTGTTAAGATAATTATATCATACTGCCGGGTAAACTGTGTCAGATCGATATGGAGCTAATTTAGTAGGAAGTCCTAAAGCTCTAGTATAAAAGAGAAAAGAATAGCTAAGAGCTAAAGAAGTACGATTTATGACTTGATGTCATAATTGTAACACAGACACTAGTTAAGCAGTAAATACACTCTAATAACCAAATATAGTAAAGGAAGAAAGCCTTAAGAAACTAAGACGTAATGACAAGAGCAGATTGTGTTTTCTTATAAAAAGGGACACTTTTTATTTATGAATAAAGAAAAACTTATATACAGTCTCAAAGTATTTCTATACGTCTCTATTATCAAATATTTTATTTTTCTGTTGTTTCGTACCTGAAATACCACATTTAAGCTGCACCAAGAACATCCAACACATCAAAGACTGGCAATATATACCAAAAATACTCAGAATGTGTATTTTTGGGATAACAACAATCTGGATGCCCTCTCAATGACAAATGTTGGCACAACATTGACAGCATGGTTCAAGTATGACAAGGAGCACATAGATGCTCACAAACATCTCTACCACGATTTTTCTTCTCATTTCGTTTGGAATGTAAAAGATAAGACTTGGAAACCAAGACAGAGATATTCACGAGGAACAATTGGGAGAGTGTACACTGTATTCCCAAGAGATTCAGAGCAATATTTCTTGCGGATCTTGCTGCATAATGTACCAGGTGCCACAAGCTTTGAAAATCTATGAACTGTTGAGGGTGTACTTCATGAGTCAAATCAGGCTGCATGTAAAGCTCTTGGCTTATTGATCGATGATTGTGAATGGGATGCTTGCATGGAAGAAGCCACTGCACATAAGTTGCTGTCATCAATGAGACGATTATTTGCTGTTCTCTTGGTATTCTGTCAGGTATCTGATCCTTACGCTCTCTGGATTGCCCATCGCTCCTCAATGATTGAAGACTATCTCCACGCAGCAAAAACAGAACACAATGACCCTTCTCTGGAACCAATTCAAGAAATGTACGATAGGTGCATATGGAGCATTGAGAATCATCTTTCCGTGAATTCTGTATCTATTTCTTCCTTTGATGATTTCATGCTTCCACCCTTGCCAACTATACCAGAGCAGGCACATGCTAAAAAAAAACGCACATTAATAACAGAACAAGAAGACCTCTGTGCCAAGGCATTCACTTTATCAGATCCTGACCTTTTTCTGTTTAACAGTAAGCAAAGAACAGTGTACAACACAATCTTAGATTCACTAAATGCAACTGAGATATCTTCCCAATTTTTCTTTATCAATGGCCCTGGTGGTACTAGCAAGACGTTCATATTCAATGCATTACTGAGAAAGGTTAGACAGCAAGGAAAGTTTGCCCTTGCAGTAGCAACAAGTGGAATTGCTGCATTATTGCTGAATGGTGGCCACACAGCACATTCGCTCTTCAAGATCTCACTTGAGCTTGATGTAAACTCCATGTGCAATATATGGGCAAATTCTCAAGTTGCTCAGCTACTTAAAATGACCAAGTTAATCATTTGGGACGAAGCATCAATGATTATCAAGGATATGTTCCATGCCATTAGCTGAACAATGCAAGACATTATGAAGTCTATGAATTCACTACTTGAGTGTGTACCCTTTGGGGGAAAACTCTTTGTCTTTGGAGGAGACTTCCATCACGTTCTACCTATTGTCCCTCAAGCCTCTAGAGCTCAAATAGTAGAACAATGCATTAGTAAATTATGAATGTGGAATCAGGTTAAATACCTGAAACTAACAACAAATATGTGTATTGCACAGGCAAGTAGTCCAGCTGAAGAAACAGACCTTAGAGAATTTGCTGCCTATCTCTTGCATGTTGGAAGTGGATCAATTCCTACAGTTGGGGGGACTATACAATTTCTGTTCGCAATTAAATGCTTATCTATGGCTCTACTATCTTCCACCTGGCCAGTGCCATATTTTCCGACCTCCAAGACAATTCAACAAACATGGATTACCTTATGGGCCGTGCCATACTCACTCCAAAAAACAACGATGCCAAAAAGATAAATAATATCTTATTAAGACAGTTTCCTGGAGAGCCACGGGAATTTAAGAGTATTAACAAAGGACTTGATGAAGATGCTCTTTTGGAATTTCCAGTTGAGTTACTCAACAGCTTGGATCCTGGATCCCTTCCTCCACACTCCCTCAATCTAAAGAAAGGTTACCCAATTATGCTTCTCAGGAACCTCAACCCTAAGAACGGTCTCTGTAATAGTACACATCTAATTTGTGATTCTTTTGGTGGTCATGTTATCAAGGCGACTGTTGTAACTGGCTCACACTCTGGAAAAGTTGTTCTGATCCCTAAGATCAAACTCAGTCCTTCCGAATCAACCTCAACCATATCTTTTCAACGCTGCCAATTCCCTGTTTGTCTTGTTTTTGCAATGACTATAAACAAGTCCCAGGGACAGATGCTTGATAAAGTAGGTTTATACCTCCCTTCTCTGGTCTTTTCTCATGGCCAATTATATGTTGCCCTTTCCTACGTCTGGAAACCATCTGGTATCAAAATTATGCTCAACAATACATATGATCCAAATATGCCACAAGCCACCATATATACTGAAAACGTTGTATACAATGAAGTACTTTCCGAAGACTAAGCCAAATAACCTATGCCTATGATATATGACCCAAGTACTTTAACAAAATTATGCCAATTTCTTTTCTTACTATCAAACCTATGTACTCTTTATGCTGTTTTATATTTATGCCAAATGCAAACATCTTTTTATGTTCTTATTTTTCTTCTCAATTCCATATATATCTATATCTTTAATAGTATAATTTATTTTATAAGCTTCTGTCTCAACAAAAGGATATAGAAAAATAACCATATTAATTGTGGCATACAGTATTTGAACTTCCAATAGGGAAAGGTTTTATATTAACTTCTGGTAGGCTCTGGGGCCCCCCGCCAGGGAGGGGGGAAGCACCACTCCCCTAGTAATATAATTATATATTGACACAGTTGTGGTGTAATGACCGACTGAAAGCATCTCCAGCAGTATCTAAACCCAAATACTAAATATCCAAATTAGGAAACTGGTGTTTAGATTTTCCAAAAAAACGTCTCCAGCAGTTTCTAAACAAAAATCTAACACCACGGATGAAATTTGATATCAAATTAGGAAATTGAAAATGCATATGTTATCTTATTAGCTTACTAAATATATTGCTCATGTAATTTCCTTTTATACTTATAAATCAAAACTTGTGTCCTTTATAAGGGAATGCTTGCAGTACAGACATCTACAAATGTATTTCTAGTATAACAGAAGAGAACTAAAAAATGACTTAAAGAAATTGGAATGTTCTATTGAGATAAAAAAAAGATATAAAAAATTAATAAAAAGAAATAAAGGAAGGACCAGTATGAACCAAATTTGTTGAGGTTAACAACATATTTACAGCTAACTTTCAGATGCATGTCTAATAGACAAACAACCTTCAATTCATCTAGTGGCATGTATATATTATCAGCATATTTGAGTGCTAGACAATAATTGTTGTTAACAGCATGTGCGGATGGATATTTGATATACAAATGGTATACTTTAGAAAAAAGCACTATTCCAATGATGATATGTCCATTGCTTTGTCTAAATAGAGCAAATGTGTTGTCTTTTAACATTCTTCCAGGGGTCAAACCTGTACCGTTGTTGTCTGCAAATTCTCTGGACGCACCGAGCAAAGTTTCATAGAATTTCCTATCAGAGTTTTGTTGCATGTATTTTGCAATAGCTTTTCCACAGGTTTCCCTTAAACCGTTTTTGCCTATCCATGATCCACCATCAATAATATGTCTTGTCATATATTGTTTACTAAATTTGAGACATATATCTTTCAATGTGTTCATACAGTTTGTATGAAACAAGTGTTTACAAATGTACTTGTTGAACTGCTCTCCCTTTTTGGTCTCGTAGTTAAGAGCAGATCCAAATCTTTATAAATCTTCAGGTAGATGGGTCAACAGATGGACTTTTGGCTTGAACGTATAGAATGCATGTTTTTTATGTTTACAGTTAGTGTTGTATTTGTGTAGGGCTTCAATTAGACTTCTAATGGCAGAGTCTACTTCACTGATATATGTCTTTTATTGACTGTTGATAGATCAAACAAATACTAGAAAGCATAGACGGCTGAGATGAACAAAGAGGGAAGTGATTTCCTGTAATACTTCTGTATCTGCAAACTTTATGGTCAAGATTACTGGAAGTATTTGGATTAGTACTGTTGTAAATGAGTATTGACTACTGCTGTAATTGAGAATAAGTCTGAAGGAAATAATATAAGGCCTCAGCTATTCCAGTCAAAGGTGTCTACTGATTACTTTATTATTTAACACACAGGTTTAGCATGCATGATAGTGATTATATTTCATATGATGATATCACCATAATATGGGATACATCAGTGGATTATTATAAGCATAATTATAACTCATAAACACATTTACTTTCGATGTTAATACTTCATTGGGACTACACACATTTATATAATTAATCATACATTAATTATCTCAAGATCACGTTGCTCTGATTAAGGCTCAGATAGGATCGATTACCTGACCCCAGTCATATAATTTTCCCAATCCAAAATAATATAAATAGCAGTAGTAGTTCAGTGTAGGAACCTGGTCAAACTTTGATACAAATTCCTTTCTCAATAAACAAAACCTACACAAGTTCTCACGAATCTTCATTCCTAATCTCAAATCTTCAATTCTTTCTCTTAAAAACTTCTTCAACTTCAACCACCACAACAAATACACTTGTTCTAACAATTCAAGTATGTAAACTTGATACGATTTATTTTTAATTAAATTTACATAAATTTAATTGTAGAATGACAGCAATAATAATAATATAATCTGAAACTAATCATTATAACCTTTCATTTTATTATATTCTGTAGACAATGACTAACACAAGACGTGAATGCACAATTGCCCTTCGTCCTGTTGAGATTACCAATCAGCAGCTTATGGAAATACTTTCTACTGTGAGAGCTGATATGTCTACTGTAAAAGGACAGATTGGCAATGTTGAGCAAACTCTGACCAACGTGAATGGCAGAATTGGCGTTCTTGCCACCACCAGCACCAACACCATCAGTGCCATAGATAGTTTGGCCAGAACTCCCCTTGCTGCTCCTGTGAGAGCCAAACTCACTGTTGCTGCACCTGTTGTCATCTCCAACCATGAGTCTACCCGTGAAGAATCTAATGCAGTTTATGTGAGTAACATATTATAAAATATTTTATCAATTCATTTTCTCATGATTTATTTATCAGGCTCATATTCACAACCTTATGTGGAAACCCAAGCTTAGCTTGAGAACGCCAGAAAATATCCTGGCCAGCAACCTCAAGCCCAGATGGGATACAAATGTTGCTTTCAACAAATCTCCCAACAGGGAGATAGCCGAGAGACTTCTTTCTAACCTTGAGCGCAGGTTTGGTTCCTCTAGTATGAGACGGAGTGACCTCCGAAAGAGGTTGCACACCAACTTCACTAGTAGAACCCGTCGTGAGAGAATGTCTGATGATGAGATAGTGGAAACAAATGCTCTTACACGAAGAGCAGCCCGTGCAGATGATGTGAGTATTATACTAATATATATAGTTTATAGTTGAAAATTAAAAATAAAAATAACAAATTAACAAAACTTATTACTAGAATGAGTGTCACTGTGTACTGGCATACAAAGACAATAAGGAGGCAATTGATCTTGTAATGCTCAGAGACTGTGCCAACACTCTCCAAAAAGCAGTAATGTCAGATGGAGAGTCTGCTGATGAAATGGACGAGGATGGCATAAAACATGTCATTCATATTGTACAACCAGGCTGGAGAAGCGATGAGGTAGATTAATTTGGAGTAATACTTTTGTATTGGTGTATTATTATATTGAGTGAATTATTAATGAATGTATTTCAGTGTAACCGTTTCATTGCACTTGTTGACACTTATGCTGTCCAGGCCATGGGGTCAAGTGCTAATCAAAGAATCTGTAGGATCACTACTAGTGTGTCTAACTCAGCAGTCCCAGATAACATTAGCCCCAATTTTCCTTGGTGGGCTCTTAGGGACGGGCTCTAAATAAAAAAAATGTTTCTCTCTTTTTATCTACGTATTACTTTTTATATACACAATACTATCAATATATATAGAGAATTTGTTCTGTTTTTTTTTGTATAAGAAAAGGAAATTCAAGTGGGGGTTTTTTTTTATTTTAAGCATAAAGCTTTTTTGGCAAAGCAATTACTAACATCTTACTAACATTTCTACTTGTAGTAATCCTGGCTGTAGCAATCTCAAAAGATGCGGTGCACAGGTACAATGCAATGGCGACTATCGGGGGAGAAGGTGGGGAGACAAAACTCAAGACCGTCATCCTCACGCGATCTATCAGAGGAAGTATTAAACCACTTGATATATGCGAATACATGTCGATGATTATGAACCATGCGAGTCAGGTGGAGATTGCTGTTAGAAGGGTGTGTAAAGGAGTGTATGAAGGGATACTGTATTTGTCTAGCATAGGCTAGGGTATTTCTACTGTCACTACCAACAAACATTACATGGACAAGAGAACCACAACTAGCTGAACCGTTTTTATCATGGTACTATTGACCAAGTAAGTCAATGAACTTCAACTTTGTGATTTCATTGTCAACAAAGAAGTTTGTGAGTGTGGCATATTGGTAACTGACAAGGTTGGGAAGATCATAGGATGTTTTGTAGTGCTGAAGCAGATGTGCATAGTCGGTTTCATCTATCAGTGATGTTTTTTTTAGCTGAAGAGGAAAAGTCGAAGGAGGGAGAGGTTTGTTACCCTTTGGAGGAAGATGTGGGTTGGACAATGCTAGTAAGAATGATTGCAATCGGAATGGACAGGAGGAGAGAGTAATGACTGTGGTGGTAGGTGTGAATTTTAGAGAAAGCTTTGAGAGAATGTTGAAAAAGGGGACGTGGCTAGAACTTTTCAGAACAGCATTGGCATAGTCACCCTTGAACGCGTTTTGAACAAAACTTCTCATATATGTTGCCTCAAAACTATCTTTTCCGTTTGTCTTTATATGCTTCAACAGGCCATTGTATCTCTCAAACCCAAAGAGCCAGTAACCGTACACGGGTCCAAAAACACGAATGGTCTCGCAAAGGTGGAGGTGCAGGTGCATGTTGCAGGTGAGGATAGTGGGAGTGTAGAGTTTGGTAGTCTTGTTGCAAAACATTTCCAGATAGTTGTGGGCGCTGTTCACTTCATCAAATGTGATGTTTGGCTTGATAAGATAGTGGCATGCATGGACGAAATTCATCCAGTTGTTGTACATTTCAAATGGTAGAGCACCATGCAGCAGAACAGGAGAATACACCAGTACCCAGGATTTCCAGTCGTTGGCTTTCATGTAAGGAAAGCCTTTTCTAATCTTTGATGTCAGCTTTGTATAATCCCTCAGAAGGACCATTGTCTCTGCAATTTTTTCCATGACAGCAAACTCTTCGGCTCCAATCGTTTTCTTATCAACCCACCGGTCCATCATTCTCTTTGGCGTCCCCAGAAATAAATTATGCATGGGATCAATGATCGTTCCACGTACTAGATCAAAGTATCCAAGGTGTTGCAACTGCGACCATCAAACACCATATTCGACCTCCAGCTGGTGCCTCTCTGAGAGTGTACTCGCACTCTTCCACTCCTCAGCATGCAACCTGTTCTCTACACCACTACAAATATTCCAAAGCGAATAATCGAATCCACTGAAGTCCACCTGATTTGTGTTGGGCAATCTGGGGAACTGGGTTGTACACTTGTAGCACGCACATGTACTATTGTGGGCTGTAAATCCACTTGTTTTCCTGGCAGTAGGGATGTTACATGCAACCATCAGCAAGGCAGCACGGACATTAGCACCAGAAGGGCACTCGTAGGTTGGGACTTGCATTCCAACATACAACTGTTTCATCTCGTTTACCATGGGCTTGAGATAGTTATTTATCTCCTCGCATCTTGGCTCCTTGGGACCAGGCATCAAACCAACCAGAATTGTGTTCTCAGGCTTGAACCATATCTCTCAAGGCAGATTATTTACAACCAAGTAAATTGCACCAGAAGAGTAACTAACTCCATCAAATGGCTGGTACCAGTCTATGTTGAGTGTCAACATCAATGAGCGAGGACAAGCAACAAATGAGACACCACTTGCATCCTTCAGCTCTTTCCACATTGCTCCATTGTATATGTCGCACATAGTATTGACAATCTTAAGCTCTGTGTTCCAGTGACGGATTTGCTCTTCAAAACCAGGACAAAGGAAAAGAACAGACAAAGCTTGCTTGAGGGACTGGTACAAGTATGCTTGCTTTGATACCATTACACCTGAAGTTGACTCTTTCATCAACTTACAACCACAAGGAGAGCGTGCACCAACATTTGTGAAAACACAATGAGGAGGTACAGGCATATTTTTTTCATAGATGTAATGGCAGTTTGGACATGACACAAATTGCTTGATGCCTTTGGTGATAGACGAAAAGCCAGTCATTTTATGTAGCCCAGCCAGACTTTTGGGAAGTTGGAAATCTTGTCCATAAATCTTCAAGAGCTCATTGATGAACTCAATCAAGACAACAGAACCCTTATTGACCACTTAACGAGATGCAAACAGTACTGTAAAAGTAGCAATAAATCTGTGCACTAGATTCTTGGGCATACCAGAAGCAGCAAAAGGGTTTTTTTTTAAAAACAAAAATTAACACACATTTTTCTTTAGTTTTTTTTTATGTATTTAAAACTGATCCTCATTGTTAAACTCTTCAACATAAATCTTGGCAGTGTCTTCTTTGCCATTGTCATCACTGTCATTGTCATCGGTTGTGTCAGACTCATTACCATTGTAGTCATTACCAACAAAGATGTCATTGTCAAACGTTGAGATGACATCCAAGATAGGTGAGTTGGCCTGACCATCCATTGCTTCCACAGAATCAGATTGATACGTCGGGATTACTACAAATATAGAATATAATAGTTTATTATTAGTTTTTCTTCTGAGTTTCAAATAAAAAATATCTTACTTTCAGTATCTACTTCCATGCTTCTCTTTTCAGCTATGTTTTTTAAAATAATAAAAAATAAAAATAAAAGCGATTACTACTTGGTAGACAGATAACAGCACTGAATAAATTATACAACTCTTGAATATCTCAGTACCTTCAAATCTAGCTCTTTTATTATGACGCTAAGCAGTACGTCTCGATACTCGAGAAACTCCTTGATCATTATTATTGCATCTGGTGCAGTGGCAATCAGTGTTGTGCATTTGAATAGAAGGAAACATAGTGTACGTATTTTGAATTATAAAATAAAAAAGGAAACAAGAGCGCTACAAATATTTCATTTGATATGGTTTTATAGTAAACCAAAACGTATTTTTTATTTTATTTTTATTTTATTTTTATTTAAGCCAATAGAATACATCAAAACTATACCCCCAACTTGATAAAAAAAACTGCTGAGATGAAAAAAAATCCTGACATATCCACTATGATCCGACTATCTGGACAATATGTTAATTGTTCTTATTTTTCCAGTAATGAATGCAGTGGTGGGAAGGGTAGATGCGTTGTGTTTGATAATGGATGCAATGGTTGAAGCAATATTTTGGGTGGATTGATGATAGAATTGTATAGATGCAAACTATGAAAAACCCAAAATTTAAAAAAGTAAAGCTTACGTGAAAGTGACACATGATGTGTTTGTTTGTTGTGGATTGTAACAGTATCACTTGGCAAATAAATGTAATGTGAATTACGAAATACAAGAAGAAGAATACAATAAGAATGGAAAAGAATAGGTAATTTGACAGGTAAGAATTGGTGACAGACAGGTAGAAAAAATAGGGAGAAGATTAAAATGGAAATTGTGATAACGACAAAGTCTGAGAAAGACAGGAAAGGGAAAACAGAGAAACGAAATATATCAAAATCGACAGACAACACTCCAAAAAACAAGGACACTGTGTATGAATGAAGAATAATGATAATAATGGACAAAAATAAATAAGATCAAGGATAGAATGATGATTTTATTGATTGAAAAGGTTGTTCTTTTTATAAACAAAAATGTTTGATTAAAATAATTTTTTGAGGAAAAGAAAAGAAAGTGAAGTGAAAATTTTTACTACATGTAACTGGTGTTGATAGTAAAAGTAGAATAGAAAATTATAGAGAGAGTAAAATAAAAGTATAGTAAAAATATAATAATTGAATAAAGATAAAGTAAAAATATAGTGAGGTAGAATAGAAGTAAAGTAATAATATAATAATGATGTAGTAAAGTAAAGTAAAAAAATATAATAATAGTATAATAATGGAATCTAATAAAATGTAATAAAAAATAGTGTAAAATAAATGTCAGCAATAAAGAAGTGTATAAAATTAGGGGAAAGAGATGTAATGTTTTTAGTGGGTGACAGGTGTTTCTGAGGTGACGATATAGATGGGTATTTTAATTTTAAGGAACGGGATTATATTGGAGGGGTTTGGGTATAGGGGTATTGGGAGCAAGATTTCCCAAGAAACCTGGGAGACCACTCTTGTCCCTCAAAACACGTCACTCGGTCGACTCACCGTCGACGTCAATGCCCACGAGTCCAGTATCACCCGTCATGGCTCACCGCCGGACCAAACCACCAAAGGAATCCACCGTCCAGTATCCCTCACCAGAAACTGGCCAAAGCTGCACATGCCCACAACACACGTGACAAAAGAGAAGTGCCTTCTTGGCTCAGGTTAAAGATTATATTTTATTAAAGGAGATATTGCTGGCGATCTATAGATCATATAGCCTCCAAAGTACAAAAAGAAGATATAAAAAAGTCCTAAGGGATCACAAAAGACAAAAAAAAAGAGAGGGAAAAGAGAAGATCAAATCATACTAGCTTCAATGGCTGAACCTGCTCTCCACTTTGCAGCTGTGAAAATAGTTGTAACAGTGAAAGGGAGGAGACAGAATTGAAGAACAAAGAACTTTTCAGACAGCAAAGAACAAAAGAGAAAGAAGAGATGCAAAGCAAGAAAAAAGAAATGAAAAGTAGAGAACTAGAAAAGAAAAGAAAAAGGTCTAAATTATATCCAAAGAGCACCATGTTCAGTCATGTGAATAGTCACCATCAGGATTACATATAATATCTATGTGCCAAAGAATAGTCAGCAGTGGCATCCAGTAAGCAGGTCGTGGTTCTTGAGATGACAAAGGCAAGGATGTGATGGCAAAATCAATTCTATGTATCTGATCTTGGTCAGGTTGAGACAACTGTTCAAATAGTGCCACAGGAACAAGTGGGCAATCCAACAAATGGCGGCGTGAGGTGTGATCTGATCCACAAGAACATTCCTTTGGTTTGCCTGGTAACCACCCCATTCTCCAACGAATCAAACGGCCACGTTCCACACGTGAGGCTGGCAAAAACAAGATTGGATCAACTCCAAGAACTGGGCGGCATGCTTGAATGAGAACTTGCGTATTGGACTGGAGAAAGGTTGCAAATCCAGCTTCTCTAATGCTTTCAAAATGATTTTTTACAGCACTAGGGCTTCGAAGTTTGAGTGTTGGAGGGAGATTGGACAGAAGATGGGTTTTTCCCAAGGAGACAAGTGAAGAATAGACGGTATGATGACGGTGCAAAAGAGACAGAAGGCACTGGGCCGGCAAAAAGCGTGATCTTATACAGAACTTGGCCATAAGAGCATTGGCACGAAACTTCATACTTGACAGATTCCAGATGTGCTTCAACACAGTTGTGGAAGATGTGGCATGCCCCCCAACAATCATGCGAAGACACTTATCTTGAATGGATTCCAGCACTTTGATATCTTGTTTCAGTAGAGTGGAGATCACCAAACCATATTCAAACTTTGGGCGGACAAAGGTCTTATACAATTGTGAGCTGAGCAGCAGAGAAAAACCAGAACGACAAGCACCAACAGAGTTTAGGGTTGCCATTGTAGCAAGTGTACCAGAACGTCTATGAGTGGCAATGGACTTGGAAGAAATACCCTTATTGGCAAAAGGAACACCCGGATAAATAAACAGGTCAGTGGCAAGGAGAACTTGACCATATAAAAGAAGTGGAACTGGTGAGCTTGCACGTGTTTTGGGATATATAACTTCACATTTGGTGGGGCTCCATCGATATCCAAGAGTAAGAGAGTGGTCTGCAGCAAGGTCTAGCATGGCCTGAACGTCTGAAAGAGAACCAAAAATAGCTACATTGTCAGCAAAAAGCAGAGAATTGATGGGTGTTGAGAAATGAATATGTCCAAAGCCATCCACACCTGAAGGAGCAAGAAGAGCATTATACACATCCAATGAGGTAGGAGAGGGTGATGGAACATGGGTTGTAGTTTGTGAGTGAGCAACTGTGCGGAGCAATGGGGGCAGGGAGTTGATATATATTGAATACAGATGTGGACTGAGGACAAAACCTTGGAGAACCCCAGTGGCAGATGAGAACGAGTGTGAAGAAAAGTTACCCAAAATGACACAAATAGAGACATTGTCAAACATGTTAACCAAGAGACCCAAAAGTGCTGGTGGAGTACAACGTTTTTGTAAAGCATGCCAGATGATTCGTCGATCCACTGTATCATAGGCAGCCTTGATATCCAGAAATGCAACAACAGGATAGTGCTTATGACGGTGATAATGAGCTTTCATCAGATCATGGAGGCAGAGAGCTTGATCTAAAGCACCACAACGAGAACGAAAACCACCTTGAGCCACATCCAATGGAGGAGAATACTTATGCAATTGGGGGGCTATACACATTTCAAAAAGCTTACGCAGTACAGAAGTCAAGGAGATCAGCCGGTAGTTAGCCGGGTCTGTTGGACTACCCTTCTTGAAGATGGGGAAAACTTGTGCTTGGCGCCACAAACTTGGAACATATGACCATTGCCAGCAAACTGTAAATAATAAAGCAAGAATGGGTGAGACATGTGTTTTTACAGGTTTTAGCATTTCAGCTCTGATATGTTCTGGTCCTGATGCCTTGCGGTTAGGCATAAATTGCATAAATTCCTCTACAATTGGTGAGATAAAGGGAGAGTCATCAGAGGCAAAAGGCACACTGTTAGAAGTGGTCATTGGTGCTAGTGGTTGGGTTGCTGGAAGTATATGTCCACTATATACTGTTGCCAAATAGTCACACATTGTTGCTGCTGCTACAGCTGGTCCATCATCATGCTGGAAAGTATGTTGTGGCTGTCTACAGCGTTTCAACTACTTTATCTTTGATGTTGCTTTGCTGAAGTCACGTTCCATAGACTGACAAAAGATATGCCAAGACTGACGTTTTGCTTGCTGAATGTGAGATCGGAATTCGGCCTGTGCATGCTTGTGTTTAGTCCACCAAACAACTTTGTCAATACCTATTGCTAGGCGCCATTTTTTGTAACATTGGTTACGACGATTTGCTGCTGTTTGCAAAGCTACATTCCAGAAGGATTTCCAATGCTTTGGGTGAGAGAGTCGATGTCCAATTGAGCTATTTAATGAGTCATAAATGAGTGAAATGAACTCATCAGTGATAGCATCAATGTTGGGTCTAGTGAGTGGCGGATTCTGTACAATGTCTTGCAAGGTGGAAAGTAGGGAGATCGAGTTTTGATTGAAGGTATGAGCATAAAGAGCATGGACATCAGGTTCATTGAGGTGTGAGAGGTTCCATGTCTTGCGTAATAGTGGTGGCATATTGGTAGAGTGCTGTAGATCATAGGTAAAGGAAAGTGATAAAAGGCAATGATCTGATCCAAGGAACAAGTCAGTAGCAATATGAAGAGAAGGATTGATGAGTGGCATATTAGTTATAAAAAGGTCAATAATACTGCTGATTTCATAGTTGTTGCGGAAAGAAATATATGTTGGTATGCATGGCGTAAGATCTGCATTTACAACTGATAGAGATCTCTCTTCTATCCAAGAACATAGTGCCAGTCCACGAGAATTTGATGCATAGTCACCAGTAACAGAGCCAAGTCTTGCATTGAAGTCACCACAAAGAATGGTATCATGTGTTAAAGGAATGGAAGAGAGTACATGTAGGACATCATGAGTGGGCATAGTTGGTGGAAGATATAAGCATACAATTCTGAGTGAGCCAATTTTGACAGCCAGAACATATTTGGAGGGCATAGGTATTTGAGTGACAGCATAAGGACAGTGAGGTGATATGAGAACAGAAACACCCATAGAGCCCCTATAGGTGCCAGCTACGAGAGAACCATACAAGTGAATTTGTGACCATGATGTGAGAAGACGTGAGGGAGAGAGAAGCCATGTTTCTGTAATGAAGAGCATATGTAAGGATTGACAGTGTTGAAGGGTATCGTGAATGGCTCTGGGTTGCAGGCCATTGGCATTCCATAATCCGATATTGAGATTACTCATTCAGACATAGTGACTGATGAGCTGCGCTGACGTTTGAACAATGACCTACCAGTCACTGCAAAAACACCTTAAAATAATTGAATTCCACTTACCTGGAATTATCGATAATAGTAGCCAAAAAATTACAACCCAGGTCATTTCCTGTGTTTAGCAGTGAGAATATATTTAAAGACATATCATTGGTCTAATATATATCAGAGTCCCTGAGAGAATTTTTTCAAAATAATAAAGACAATTATAATAAGCAACGGCTGTTACACACTTCCTTTATTATTAAAAAAAATTAAGTGAAAAAATGTTTTCCATTGCCAATCCCGATGAAGTTCGTTGCAAATGCACAAGATGCAATCGCAATCCTCTTGGATACACCATGACAGATAAAAGAACTGCCAAGCGTCATGCCCAGAATGATAATGACAGGAATATGGATAAAACCATTAATGGTAAATTAAGTTGTCAATTTTTCATTTATTTATATGATGTATTCTAATCCATTAGAACAAATAGTTTTGACAGCCGAAGTAAACACTGGTGAAGCTGATATGGACGTAGATCAAATTGAAGAACATATTGAATGTAATAGTATTTTATTTTTTATACCCAATGCGTACTCTATTTAAACTCGGTACCAATAGATGATAATTACTCCAATGGTGCACCCTCACCAGAGCAGTATGTCAATACCCATTTACCTCTTTTGGTGGAAGAATCTCTTTTTGAAACAGAGGAGTATACCTCAGAGTATGAGTCTGAATATGAGTCGTCGGATGAATTTGAGCAAGAAGAACAGAACAGAGAGCAAGAACAGGGTAAATATTAAAAATAAACTATGATTGAAGAAAAAAGGTTTGAATTAAAGAAACAAAAAATTAATATTATTTTATGATAACTTACAGAGTCTACAGAAAACCTTCCAGAGAATATTTGGCATCGAGTAATTGCGGTTTTCACTGTGATATTTATTTCTAGCTTCATTGTGGATGAAGGCGCAGTAATTTTGATTACATTCATAAATACAATCCTCGAACATTATGGAGAGGATTTCCGACTTCCCACAAGCATTCCGGGTTTGAGGAAAATGACAGGATACAATGACTTGACAAACAGCGTATCAAAATATGTAGCATGCAGTAATTGTCACACATTGTACGATTACAGCAACAACACACATACATCCTGCAATTTCAAAAGAGTTGGTAGTAAGACGCATTGTAAGAATGATCTCTACAAGTCTAGTATGAAGAACGCCATGATTCCAAAGTGCACATTTGTTTATAACTCGTTGACAACTACCTTGAAAAAAATGTTTACACGTCCTTCTTTTGAGAGTATGATCAACAGATGGAATCGTGAACCAAAAGTCAACGGTACTTTATTCGATGTATATGATGGAAAGATGTGGAACGAATTAGTGGATGAGGATGGTGTCCAGTTTGTTTCGAAGGAACGATCATTACTATTGACACTGAACATTGATTGGTTTCAACCATTTGATGAAGTAACATATTCTTGTGGTGCGATATACCTGACAATTAACAATCTGCCGAGAGAAGAGCGGAACAAGGCAGAAAATGTCATTCTTGTTGGATTGATGCCTGGACCTAAAGAAGCAAGCACCGACGAGATCAATAACTATTTGCGTCCTCTTGTTGATGAACTTATGCTATTGTATAAAGGTATCACAATTGATACATATAACTGCTCAGGTGCTCTGGTGCGTGCTGCTCTGTTGATGGTTGCATGCGACATCCCTGCTGCAAGAAAGACGTGTGGGTTTACATCTCACAACAGCACATGTGCATGCTACAAATGCAATCGTCAGTTTGCTCGTGTTGATGGGACCACTGCTGTAAACTATTTTGGGCTTAAGTTTTCGGAATGGGTAGGCCGCACAAAAGAAGAAAATCGCAGACATGCAAACCTGTGGAAGAATGCAAAGACATTGACAGAGAGAAAGCGATTGGAGATTGAGAATGGTGTTCATTGGTCTGAGCTTCATCGACTTGTGTACTTTGAGCCAGTGCGTGCAACCATTATCGATCCCATGCACAACCTTTTTCTCGGGACTGCAAAACAAATGATGGATATTTGGATTGCAAACAATTTGCTTGATGACAAAGATTTTGTAGATATGCAGGAAGAGGCTAATAGAATGGTACTCCCTGTAGGGTATACGACTCTGAAGATAAAGATTGGAAAGAAATTTCCGTTTATGAAGGCAGATGAGTGAAAATCATGGTGCCTGATATACTCTCCTGTTCTGCTTAAGACACGCCTGCGAGATGATCTGCTTGGCAATTGGATCCATTTTGTCGATGCATGCAGAGAATTGACGAAGCCAAGTATCACCAAAAATGGGATCAAAAAAGCTCACGAAAGTTTGGAGGAGTTCTGTGTTGGTTGTGAAGACTTTTATAAACCAGATGTATTCACGCAAAACATGCATCTCCATCTCCATCTAAAAGAAACGATTGAGGACTTTGGGCCAATTTACGGATTTTGGCTATTTAGCTTTGAGCGCTATAATGGTGTATTGAAAGGGTTTGAGACAAACCAGAAGAGTGGGTTCGAGAATACCTACATGAAAAGGTTTCTTGAGAGTTCTTACAATGGTGACTTTTGTCAAGCGCATCTCAGAAATGTTACCAGCCCTTTACTCCTCTCTCTCTTTCTCAAGCTGTCTGGTCATAAAATCTATAATCCTGCACTTTCGCCACATCCTTTGATACCGTCATTCTTTCACTTGCCAACGTTCCTACAATCCGCTGAAAAGCCTTCAAAGCAAACATTTGGCAACGAACCTCTACCTCTTTCCGCTCTACCATTGTGTTTGAAGCCACCAACAACAATGAGAAAATCCGAGTATGATTGTCTGCTCGATTTCTATAAAATTGAGTATGACAATGATTCTCTTTGCAGTGCCAAGACAACAATCAGGAATTGTTGGTTTGTGAATGACCGAATCCAGAAGATTTCATCCATCAATCTCCTTGGACAAGTTTACACAGGTGGAGAAGACTTGGTCGTGAGAGGATCGCATATACAAGCGAAATTTATTGAAAAAAGTGGAGACTCTGAGGAAAGATATGCTGGTCGTATTAAGTACTTGTTCTTGCACGATTTTACACCAAACCTCACGCACACCAACCTTTCCCCTTGTCACAACCCTCAACACGTATTTGCCTTCGTTGAGTGGTACAAAATTCCTCGCCATCAACCTAGAATCAAGCAGGGTATCGAGTTGTATGAGCCAGAATTTCTGAAGTATGACTACAACAACATTCTGCCTGTCCACCGCACCTTGTCGCCAATTGCAATTGGAAGTCATGTGTCTGGTAGTGGTGCGGCAAAAGTCGTTGTTATTCCTCTGCCAAGAAAGCTGTACACTTAATAAAATACTCTATCTTTTTTTTAAAATAATAATAATAATATAAAACATAGTTCATAGACATAAAAAGAGATGTGATAAAGAGTGCAACTAAAAAGACAGAAATTTTATTATACGCGTTTTGACCACGTAGGCATTTTTGTGACCAAGCCACAAGGAATTGTCTCGTGTACTAACACATGACTCCGCGACTTCAACTGCGTTGCTCTTTTTCCCAAGTCATCTCTGGCAAGCTCATCAAGAAAGTTAAACACGGTATTCAACTATAAATGTATATATACATCAGGAATCAAACAACAGAAAAACCATTTTATATAAAACATTACCTCATCACTACGCCAATCAGGACGAGATGCAACAACAGAAGTATTGGTTTCTGTCTCATCACCAGACGTTGCATCTCTGTAAAAAACGCCATTATAATCCCAATTAAACTTTTCAGTGACGGCATCCTTATGCTTTGTGTACGTTCTTTTTCTCCTTTTATTAAGCTACGATATATATAATATTTTAAGTATACTTTGTGGTGATCCAGACACTCGGATGTTGGATTTATCACATATAAGAACATATTCATATTGGGATAGCATAGTAGCTATCATCTTGTCAGTATAAAATATATATAAACGATTAAGTAATCAGTCCAATAATTATTACAGTTAGTACTGTAGATAATATCTTAAAGATTGTTAAGATAATTATATCATACTGCCGGGTAAACTGTGTCAGATCGATATGGAGCTAATTTAGTAGGAAGTCCTAAAGCTCTAGTATAAAAGAGAAAAGAATAGCTAAGAGCTAAAGAAGTACGATTTATGACTTGATGTCATAATTGTAACACCGACACTAGTTAAGCAGTAAATACACTCTAATAACCAAATATAGTAAAGGAAGAAAGCCTTAAGAAACTAAGACGTAATGACAAGAGCAGATTGTGTTTTCTTATAAAAAGGGACACTTTTTATTTATGAATAAAAAAAACTGATATACAGTCTCAAAGTATTTCTATACGTCTCTATTATCAAATATTTTATTTTTCTATTGTTTCGTACCTGAAATACCACATACTTGTCAAAATTGAATTATTATAAATAGAAATGCTTACAGCAGTCTTTCTATTTCCTCTTCTGTTTGAGGTAGTGTTTGTCTGTCTGTCTTCTTCAGTAAGCTTACTAGTAGCCAAGCGATTGTAATAGCTGTTTACAATTATACCACATAGCTCTTTTGGTGGTACCATGGCTGCTACAGGTTGACGACGAATGTAAAGCATCAAATCACTTGCAAGATTCTTGTTAAACTCGTCAGACAAACCAACATTGATATCCCAAGTTGGTTTATCATCATTCTCTCTGATCAACTCCAAATCATCTATCTTAAGATTAATATCTCTTAACCGCCCCCAAATAATACTCTATTAAAGGTATATTGATGTTAGATTTAAAGGGAGATTGTTTTTATAATTTTAGTATTTGAGCTTACTGAGATCTTTGGGTGTCTTGAGCTGCTTATGATGTCCTGAGGATCCATATCAGAATCCAGAACGGCTTGCATGCCAGTCGATTGAGCACCCACCTGGCATTGTACTGTTCAAATAGTCAGTCTATTGGAAAACAATATAGTTTGTGTTTAATTACCTTTCAATTCACTAACATCAGAACTAACGGCTGTCATTTTGTCATTGAGTGTAGCGAGAAGACTGACTACATCATTAAACTCTGACACTGGAATTGACATATTTTCTGGTCTAGGAGCAATCATTGGATTTGATGATTCTATACGCCCAGTGTTGACTGCGTTGATCAATGGCCTAGATGTTGATCCATTGGTACGTGCGTTCTGGTTGATGTTAGTTCTTGGAGCCATTATCTGTATTTTTATATAATAAAATAATAAGTTTCTGGTATATATTGCTTGATATTTCTATTTTAATAAATTTTTAAGAGAGTACTTTACACGTAAAGAATTGTAGAGTAATTGAGTGATTAAACAATTATGTTAATGATTAAGTGAGCAAGTTGAGCAAGTGTATGAGTGTGTAAATACTTCTTTATTTAAATGATCGAGGAGATCGAAATATATTATTTTGAAAAAAATTGAGCTAGAAAATAACTTCTTTAGGTATATAGTAAGTAACAATTGTTTTATGAAACATATAAAGCTATAATTAGTAGACAATTTTTTTTTCAAAGTAAGAGAAACAGTCTAATAACTTTTTCAGGGTCTACGGCTTTTTCAAACACTGTTTTTTATTTTCCCACCTTTTTCTGTTTTTCTCTACTCTTTAATAATATTAATAAAAATAACACTCTTTTAATCCTACTATGTTTCACTTTAGGCACCCTTAATATATACATATGATGCAGGTGTCTTTCATTATACAAGAGGTACTTTACTATTAAATATATCATTATTTTACTAACTATAAATTACTTTAAATAGCCATTACATATATTTCTCTGATATAACTGGTGCAGACAAAAAAAAACACAAAAACATATTGGTGGTATATACGTATATATCTATATCAACATCTTCTTCCCAGTATTAAAAACAATATCTAACATCTACTTTAAATATAGCTCACCCTTGATTTACATATGGTCAGGAAAAACAAATCATTTAAAGAATATAAGGGTACGTGTTATTCATTTTATTATTATGTTGTTTTTATTTTGTTTTGTTTTTTTATATCAGCATTCTCACTCTCCTTTTTTATAGTTGAAATGATTCTTCACATTCTTATATGACCGGTACTCAAGGACAAGACATGTTCCTTTAGTAAATATGTATGTATATGTTTTATATTCCTTTCTTTGTAATATATACTTGAATGACGCATTGGCTCGTAGCTTTTGATAATATAAATCTGTGTTTTATTCCATTATTAACAAATTATTCTAACAGTATGTAAGTATCTTTCTACTCCCTTTAATCAAATAGCTTCAGTAAGCATATATACTCACTATCCGAGTTTATTAATTCAAAAAATTCTGAAACAAAATTTATAAGAAGTACAATATAACAGATTAGTGTATTTAATAGTAATACTATATAGAATTCTTATTATTGCCAAAAAAAAAGGCTTTTTTTATCCAAAATAAAAACAAATAAAAAACCATTTTTCAAAACAAAACAATATCCAATTAAGTAACTCGTGCTTAGCATTTGCACCTATGAGAATTTTTTCTTCGATTCATTTAGCCAATAAACATTAAAGAAGTGCCCTGTTATTACGCCTGTTATTACAAAAACAAGGCCTACATCAAATTACAGGTGTAATCAGCGGTAGATAATACATTGTTCTGCATTTGGAATAGTCTATATAATTGATCCCCGAGAACAGTTGATACACAGACATTATACCTAAACTCCCGGTTTTTATTTTTGGAATAAGATAATATTCAATTATTTTTGACACTTTATTCAATAACTTGTCAACTATGATTTCCTTAATATTTACAAGTAATTCATTTTTATGTGACAAAATATCCCGATAATCAAAACCTATTATTATAATAATTCCCAATGGTTTTTGCAGTAAGTGGCATTGGTAAGAGTTGTGCGTGTGGGTATTTCATCTTCACTGATCTACCCTGCCTCACAAAAGAAGTGACCAACTGGGATAGCAACATGAGGGCACAAGAACTGGAGGGCCTGGAGACATCTATCATGGTGAAGCATGGCAGCAGTGTTGGCAAGTTCATGAGTGGACAAAGATGTATACTTGGGATCAGCAACATTATCAGGGTCAAGTGGATCAAATGCGTCCAAAATCTCAACAGAAGCAGTTGTCAGTTTGGCCTTAAAGGCATCAGCATACTGGACATGAACAAGGACGCCAATGACATCTCTGGCTGGGAAGTTAATGTCCAAAAGTTGAGAAGAATCCACACCAAGAGTGTGGAGAGAAGAACGGACTTCTTTGTGCTTAAGACGTCTTGATCATGGAATATAAACATATTCATAGCCAGAAGGTCCAGAGGGAAGAGCAAACATACGGACAGAAGCTGCAATACGGCGAGCAGAGGGAACAGCAGACATTTTTGGGGCAGTTACAGGAAGAGAAACACTGGCTTTACTAGCCCAAGTGGAGGCTTCCAGACCTGGTTCTTCGTGTTTGTCAGGAGCACCTACTGCGCCGGCTGGGTTCGAAAGTGAAATTTCTGAAAAGTTTTTTTCAGGTGCACTCTGAGATCCTAATTGCTTCTGCAGATTAGCAATTGTTGTTCTAGCTTGATCCAATTCAGTGGTTAATCTTGCATTCTCTGCTGCAAGTCGCTCTAACTGGTCAGTTCTGTTTTGCACATGCATGATTTGGGCCTGCAATGTTGTCAGAAATGAGGTAAGCTCAGTGGGTAATCCCTGCATGTTGCCGATTTGCAAATTGGCCATTGGGATTGAGAATGCAGATGGCATGATGTTGTCTGATTGAGCTGAAATTTTTTTTGCTGACAGCTGGGATACCAAGGACAAGGACTGCACTACTTTTGGCAATGGGAGGTGCGTTTTTCGTGACGGATGGATCGTTTTGCATCAAGATGTTGATAGATAGATACACTTTATATATGGATTCGTCAAAAATAAAATTTTGGAACTGGGCAAATAAAATGCTTAAGCGAAAGAGCAGTGCCTTCTTGGCTCAGGTTAAATATTATGTTTTATTAAAGAGATATATTGCTGGCAATCTATAGATCATATAGCATCTCAAGTACAAAAGAAAAAGCAAAAAAAAGTCCAAAAGGATCACAAAAAGACAAAAAAATAGAAAGAGAAGAAAAGAACTAATACTAATAAGCTGAGAGTTGTACTCTACTCTCCACTTTGCAGCTGTGTAAAAATTTTGTAACAGTGAAAGGGAGGAGATAGAAGTGCAAGCAGGCAGCAGTTCATGCGTGAAAAGACAAAGAGAAAGCAAATTAGATAGAAAAGAAAAAAAGGCAAGAAAAAGAAAACAAAAACTAGCTAAGTCCAACCCAAAGAGTACCAAAGTGAGTTTCATGAGTATAGTCACTATCAGGGCTACAAAGCTTGTCAAAATGCCAGAGAATAGTAAGCAGTGCTACCCAATAAGAGGGGCACAGAGCCTGACTAGAATTTGGGAGAGCAGTTATAGCAAAATCAATTGGATTATAGTTTTGATCAGATGGAATAGGAAGACAGGCCAACAAATGGACAGGAACCAAAGAGCAGACAGCAAGATGACGACGTGAGGTATGGTCAGTACCACAAGGGCAATCCTTAGGAGTGCCAGGCAACCAACCCATTCTCCAGCGGACAAGGCGGCTACGTTCCACCCTAGTTGCAGGCAAGAACAGAATAGGATCGACTTCCAAAAGAGGGCGGCATGCTAGGAACAAGACTTGGTTTGAAGACAATCGGAGCTGATCAGTTTTGAACTGTCAAAAGGTTTCGAAGTGATGTGTGAGAGCTTTGCCACTATGAACATTTAAATCAATAGGGATGCTTTGAAGGAGAGTATTATGACGAAGAGTGACAAGTGATGAAGACTGAGAGTGGTGACAGTGAAGAAGAGACAAAAGGCAGCCAGAGGGAAGGTAGTGAGCACGAATACAAAACTTTGTTATCAGCACATCAGCACGGAAACTCATACTAGGAAGGTGACATATATGTTTGAGCACAGTTGTAGATGAGGTTCGGTGCCCACCAACAATCATGCGCAAACATTTATCTTGGATTTTCTCAAGCTGGATAGTATCAGTTCTTTTCAGAGGGAGAATAGCCAATCCATATTCAAATTTTGGTCTGATAAAGGTCCTATACAGACGAGAGCTGAGAAGCAGAGAGAATCCAGACCAGCATGCTCCAACTGCATTCAGTGTTGCCATGGTTGCCAGGGCTCCAGAACGACAATGAGTGACAATAGAAGGCCCATGAATACCTTTATTGCGAAAGGGAACACCAAGATATATAAATTCCTCCACTGCAGGAAGGATCTCATCATATAGAGATAGATCTGGATGGTTTGCAGAACGAGAAGGAGGGTAAATGATAGCACATTTAGATGGACTCCAACGAAAACCAAGAGCAAATGAGTGTTGGGTGGCCAAATGGAGCATAGTATGAACGTCACGAGCAGAACCAAATATTGCCACATCATCAGCAAAAAGAAGTGTATTTATTGGCATTCATGAGACTGCGTGCTGGTAGCCATCCACACCTGAAGGAGCAAGAAGAGACTGATATGCATCCAATGAGGAGGGAAATGATGATGGTACATAGGTAGAAGTGAGGGGAGATGCAACTGTGTGGAGGAGAGCTGGGAGGGAGTTGATATAAATGGAGTAAAGATGAGGACTAAGAACTGAACCTTGGAGAATGCCTGTCTTGGGTGAAAATGAATGTGAGGTGAAATTTCCAAGAAGAACTGAGATAGACACATCATCAAACATATTGACCAAAAGTCCAAGGAGAGCAGGTAGTATGGATTGTCTGAAAAGGGCATCCCAAATTACATACCAATCTACAGTGTCATATGCTGCTTTGATATCCAAGAAAGCAACTACTGGATAGTGGTGATGATGATGAAAATGAGCTTTCATCAGGTCATGCAGACAGAGAGCTTGATCAAGAGCACCACGGCGAGGACGAAATCCACCTTGGGCAACATCCAGAGGAGGAGAGAACTTATGCAACTCAGGAGCTATGCACATCTCAAACAACTTGCGCACCACAGAAGTAAGGGAGATGGGACGGTAGTTCGCGGCATTCTGAGGGTTACCCTTTTTAAATATAGGAAATACTTGGGCTTGGTGCCAGAGAGAAGGAGTGTATAACCATTGCCAGCAGATGGTAAAAAGACAGGCAAGAAGAGGTGAGATGTGAGACTGAATGGGCTTTAGCATTTCTGCACGGATGTGGTCAGGACCCGGCGCCTTGCAGTTAGGCATAAATTGCATGAAGGCCTCCACCACTGATGAGGTGAATGGGGAGTCAACATAGGCAAAAGGCATGAGAGAGATGTTGAGTGGTGGTGGTGAAGGTCGAATATCAGGAAGAATATGTCCACTATAGACAGATGCAAGATGGTCACACATAACTGTTGCTGCGACTGCTGGGCCATCATCATGCTGAAATGTGTGTTGTGGTTGCCTGCGCCATTTCAACTGTTTTATCTTAGATGTGGCCTTGTTGAAATCCGAGTTCATTGAGCAGCAAAAAGCATGCCAAGACAAATGCTTTGCTGTTTGAACTTGCTGACGAAACTCCTTGTGTGCATGCTGGTGCCAGCTCCACCAATTGATTTTGTCAATGCCACAAGCTCAACGCCATTGCTTGTAACAACCATCTCTATGGTCGGCTGCAGCTTGCAATGCAGGGGTCCAAAATGATTTCCAATGTGAGGGGCGAGGGGGACGAGAACCAATTGAGCTACTAAGAGAGTCATAAATGAGTGCATTGAAAGAGTTAGTAAGAGCATCAATGGGTGGACATATAGTTGGCGGATTCTGAACAAGGTCTTGTAGTGTGGTGAGAAGGGAGGCGGATTTGTTGACAAAGGTGGTGACATATAATGATCTGACATCATCTTCATAAAGACGTGACAGATTCCAAGTTTGGCGCATAGGTGGAGGTGCTGGTGGTGAGTGTTGCAGGTCATAAGTAAAGGAAAGTGAGAGAAGTCGGTGATCAGAGCCTAAAGATAGTTCGGTTGCAACGTGTAAAGAAGGGTTGGCAAAGTTGGTGTTGGTGATAAAAAGGTCAATGATGCTGCTGATTTCAACTTCGTTACGAAAGGAAATGTATGTGGGTGTGCATGGTGAGAGAACTCTATTGAGGACAGTTAAAGATCGTTCTTCAAACCATTGCTCTAAAGCTATACCACGAGAGTTACATGCATAGTCACCAGTTACTGAACCAAGGCGTGCATTAAAATCTCCACATATAATGGTATCATCAGTTAAAGGAATGACTGAGAGGATATCAAGAGCTTCGTGAGTGGGCATAGAGGGTGGTAAGTAAAGGCATATAAGTCGAAGGGTACCAATCTTGACAGCAAGAGCATAGTTGTTGGGCATAGGTATTTGTGTGACAGCATAAGGACAGGAAGGAGAGACTAACAATGATACCCCCATTGATCCGCAGTAGTTGCCAGCAACAGAAGATCCATAGAGATGAAACTGAGACCAGGAGGTTAGAAGACGGGCTGGGGATAAGAGCCATGTTTCAGTTATAAAAAGCATATGAAGAGATTGACAGTGGTTGAGCACGTCTTTAATTGCACGAGGTTGAAGTCCATTAGTATTCCACAATCCTATTGAAAGGTCACTCATTCAATCATAGCAGTGAGAGCATCAAGGGCACGTTTTTTGTTTGGAGCATCACCAAAGTGCTCAGCTACTGGTTGGACAGGAATTTCCGCAAGCCCAATCCATCCTGACTGGACAAAGAAGTGAGAAACTGGCAGGACCAAGTGAGAACGCAAAAACTTGAGAGCTTGGAGACAGCAGGCATTTTGGAGAACCAAAGCCTGGGTTTCAAGACCAGAGACAGACAAGTTGACAAACTTGGGATCAGCAACATTTTTAGGATCAAGTGGATCAAAGTTGCTGACAAGAGAGACCTTAGCACTAGCTAATTGGGACTTAAATTCCTCAAGATACTGCACATGAAGAAGAATTCCAATGACTCCACGAGCAGGAAAGTTAATATCTAACAGGTGACCAGTGTCAACACCAAGAGTGCGGAGAGAGCGGTGCACTTCACTGTGCATAATACGACGTGAGCGAGGAATATAAACATATTCAAAACCATCAGGACTAGTTTTGTCAGAGAACAGTCTTTGAGAGACAGCAACCCGGTGGGCAGAAGGAAGTTGAGGTGTTTTGGCTGGCAGAATCAAGCTTGTTTTGGTGGCCTAAGTGGAGGCAGCAGTTGCAAGATCTGCAGTTGACTGGGGTGCAGGAAGAGAAGCAGAGCTGGGAACAGGACCAGTCACATTGTTTTGCAACAATTGAGATCGGAGATTGGCATTCTCCTGCCAGACATTAGCTAATTGAGCATGCAATTGGACATTTTCGGCAGCAAGAGATTCCAAATGTGCTGTACGTTCGTTAAGTGCATTGAACTGTGACTGCATACTGGTTAAAAGCGTCACAAGTTCGGCTGGCAGACTTTGCATGCAATTAGCAGGCAACAATTGCGACATGTTTGGCGATGATCTTGAGATGGCAGTAATCGGCAGAGAAAAAGTGAAAATCGGTGATAAAATAGCAGGAACGATAGGAAATTTTTTTTTGACAATGGATGCGGTGGTGGGAAGGGTAGATGCGTTGTGTTTGACAATGGATGCAATGGTTGAAGCAATATTTTGGATGGATTGATGATAGAATTGTATGAATGCAAACTTTGAAAAACCCAAATTTTAAAAAAGTGAAGCTTATGTGAAAGAGAAGTGCCTTCTTGGCTCAGATTAAAGATTATTTTTATTAAGGAGATATTGCTGGCAATCTATAGATCATATAGCCTCCCAAGTACACAAAGAAAAAGGAAAAAAAAATGTCCAAAAGGATCACAAAAGACAAAAAAAATGAATAGAAGAAGAGAAATAAACAATACTAAGCTAAAAGACTGAACCTGCTCTCCACTTTGCAGCTGTGTAAAAAGTTGTAACAGTGAAAGGGAGGAAACAGAATTGCAGATCTAGAAACATTTCATGAATGAGAAGACAAAAATAAGAAGAAAAGAAGTAAAAGAAAACAGATAGTAAATTATTAGAGCTAGTGCCAGAGAGAATCATGATCAGTTTCATGTGTGTAGTTGCCATTAGGATTGTATAGCATGTCAATATGCTATAGTATTGTAAGAAGAGCTTTCCAATATAGAGGGCTTGGATGTGTAGACGAGATTGGTAGTGCTGATATAGCAAAGTCAATGATGTTGTCTTCATCTGTGGGTGGTGCTGAAAGTTGAGAGAACAGCTGAGATGGGATTGTGATGCGGAATTGGAGATGACGTCTTGAAGTATGATCAAAGCCACATGCACACTCCTTTGGCTTACCAGGCAACCAGCACATTCTCCAACGTACTAGACGGCCACGTTCTATGTGTGTAGCAGAAAGAAACAATACAGGATCAACTTCAAGAAGAGGGCGGCAAGCTTGGATGAGAATCTTAGTGTTGGTGAGATGAAAGTGAGCAAACTTTTCTTGTCTAAAAGACTCAAAGTGCTTGGATAGTTTTATGCGGCTGGAGCAATTAAGATCAGGAGGAATTCTGGCAAAAAGAAGGTTTGTGTGAAGAGTGGATAGTGTTGATGCTTGGAGATGATGAGAATGGAGCAGAGAGAGAAGACAACCAGAAGGAAGAGTGTGTGCCCAAAGACAAAATTTTGTTTTGAGAATGTCAACGCGAAAAGCCATACTGGGCAGGTTGCAGATATGTTTCAAGACTGCAGTAGATGAAGTTGCATGGCCACCAACAATCATTCGCAAGCATTTATCTTGAATTTTCTCTAGAAGTAAAACATCTTTTTGCAAAAGACATGTGATTGCAAGACCATACTCGAATTTTGGTTGTATAAAGGTTTTGAACAGACATGAACTTAAGAGCAAACTGAAACCAGATCTACATGCACCAACAGCAGTAAGAGTTGCCATAGCAGCCAATGCTCCAGAACGATGATGAGTGACAACAGACGGTCCAAAGATGCCTTTGTTACGGAAAGGTATACCCAAGTATATAAACTCATTTACTGCAGGGAGCAACTCGCCATACAGAGAGATAGTAGAACGTGGTAAAGATCGTGAAGGAGGATAGAGTACAGCACATTTTGAAGGACTCCAACGGTAGCCAAGCTGGAAGGAGTGTTGGGCAGCAAGATCAAGCATACTCTGAACATCAGTGACAGAGCCAAAGATAGCAACATCATCAGCAAAAAGAAGACTGTTAATGGCAGTAGGCAAGTGAATGTGTTGAAAGTCATTCGCATCTGATGGGGCAAGAAGAGAATTGTAAGCATCTAATGAGGAAGGAGAGGTTGATGGGATATGTGTTGAGGTGAGTGGTGATGCAACTGTGCGGAGTATTGGTGGCAGAGAGTTGATATAGATTGAATACAAATGTGGACTGAGAACGGAACCTTGAAGGACGCCTGTGGTGGGAGAAAAAGAATGAGAAGAGAAGTTGCCAAGAAGAACAGATATAGAGACATTATCAAACATATTGACAAGAAGTCCAAGTAAAGCTGGTGGTGTGTGACGTCTAGCAAGAGCATCCCAAATGACTCGTCGGTCTACTGTATCATAAGCTGCCTTTATGTCTAAGAATGCAACAACAGGATAATGGTGATGGCGGTGGAAGTGTGCTTTCATGAGGTCATGCAGACAGAGAGCTTGGTCCATGGCACCACGTCTAGGACGGAAACCACCCTGAGCAACATCCAGAGGAGGGGAAAACTTGTGAAGCACTGGAGAAATACACATTTCCATCAGTTTCCGCACAACAGAAGTTAGTGAAATAGGTTGATAGTTCGCAGCAATTGATGGATCTCCCTTTTTGTAAATGGAAAAAACTTGAGCCTGACGCCAAATAACAGGTACATATGACCATTGCCAACAGATGGTGAACAAGAGTGAGAGTAGTGGAGCAATTTGTGGTCGAATTACTTTCAACATTTCTGCTCTGATGTGATCTGGGCCTGGTGCCTTGCGGTTAGGCATAAATTGCATGCATTCCTCTACCACTGAAGAAACAAATGATGAGTTGGCAGAGGCAAAAGGCAGACCAGTACTGTGAAGAGGAGGAGGAGGACGCTGATCTGGGAGGATACTGCCACTGTATACGGATGCAAGATGCTCACACATAATTGTTGCTGCTGTTGCTGGTCCATCACTATGTTGAAACATGTGCTGAGACTGCCGTCAGCGTTTGAGTAGCTTGATCTTTGATGTTGCTTTGGAAAAGTCTTGTTCCATTGATTTGCAGAAAGCATGCCATGATTGGCGCTTAGATGATTGCACTTGATGTCGGAATTCTGCCTGCGCTTTGAGATGCTTATCCCACCAATGAATTCTGTCTATACCACATGCACAGCGCCATTTCTTGTAGCAGAAATTGCGGTGCTCTGCAGCTGCTTGAAGTACTGAATTCCAGAATTTTTCCAGTGGGAAGGATGGGAAGGACGGTTGCCAATTGAGCTACTTAAAGAATTATAAATGAGTGAGTTGAATTCATCAGTTAGTGCATCAATTAGTGGACGTGAGGAAGGAGGGTGTTCGAAGGTCGATTGCAAAGTGGATTTGAGGTTGGTGGAATTAGTGACAAATGTGTGGGCATATAGTTTGAGAACATCAGGTTCTTGAAGACGTGAGAGGTTCCATGTTTTGCGAGCACTGGAAAAGAGGTGCGGTTTTCTTATGTGTAAAACTGTAATTAATTATGTGAAAAGACCAGGTTTTACGATGTGATCAGATAGTTTTTACAAGTGTATGAAGCTGGCTTACTCATAGGTGGTAAGACCAACTTTCGAACATAGGAAAAGGTCAGAACAGCAGGATAGTAGGATGTGTTTGCATTTTCTGTATATGGGTTTTTACCACATGCACTAAAACGGCAACTCAGAATTACGTTTTGTTGTAATATATCCTACCGCTTTCCAATTAAAAGAACGATAAATGAAAGATCGATTATACAGATATGCCAGTTTTTACATTGTTTAATTTATGGATATGCCAGTTTTTACAGGGTTTTGTTGTATTTGAATTTATTTTATCCAATCTTAGAGACTTCTTCTTATACTGTTTGCTTCCATACACTTCTCCGATCTTTAATTTATTTATAATAATTATTGGTTTATTTTGTTTTTATTAGAAAGAAAAGAATATTCTTAGGTTTATAGTACAGTGGTTATATTTAATATTCAGGAACATTCTGGCTAGTGTTCTATCCTTCATACAATTTAAAATGGCCAATGTTCTGATAAAACAAGTATTCTCCAAACAATATCTCCCAGAGAAAAGCCCAGTTGTGTGTTGCTTGCTTGTAAATGGTTGTTCTATGAAATTAGAAAAGTGTTAGCTGTTTGAACAAGAAATCGTGGATATTAAGAATATATATATGTAATTATGCTTGCAATATAATAGCTTATCAGAGACAAAAAGAAAAGGCGTCATGAATGCGAACCATAGTACTCAATATACTTTATTTGGCTATAAAAATGCTGAAAAAAAATTATTTTTTGTGAACTGTGTGGTAGAATATTTCATTTACCTACCCGAAGCAAAAGGATTTATTTGCAGACCAAGAGAGTACATAGGAGACGCTAATATTGTTTTCAGTAAATGATATACATTAATATACAAAATAAATAATATTGTTATATGTACAAAAAAAATTACCATGTCAATGACACTCGTATGAAATGAAAGTTCTTGATTCGCGATGTGCTCATGAGAGGGAGGTTCATCTATAATAGAAATTATGTTAAGCCATGTGCTTATTAAAAAGAGATAGATTGAAATAAAATAAAATATTACCGTGTTCATAACCGTGTTTAATAGTAGAGAGTAATTTCGGCGATATGGCCTATACAAAAGAAAGGAAAAAGTCAGGATAATTTTATAGGATGACAGCATAAAGTATATTTACTAACCTTAGCTAATCCGGATGGACATTGTGAAGGGGATGCATCAGAAGGTAACAAAACGCGAGTGTCTGTAGTAATAGAAAACAATTATTATCATTTTAGTTATATATATATATATATATAATATTAAAGAATAAGATATCTTACCAAGAAAATCTGTGAATATAATAAATGTTGGAAAGAGAGAAAAGAGAGAAAACTTGTAAATGAAAAAAAAAAACAAAAAGAACAAAAGACCAAAGGGCCAAAAGGCCAAAAGACAGAAATCATATATTGGATTGAGTTGAAAAAAGCATGTTCAAAGCCGATTTGCACCCCATTAATTCCAGGAAGTATTAATAGAGATACGCGTATTAAAGAAATCCTGAGTATTTACAGCAACAAGTGTAATATAATAAATGGGTTCTTGCTTTTACTTTTACCATCTTTCCATTAACTACACTTTATTCTTTCACTTAACACCTAACTTCTTTTGTATGTTAATAACACTCTATATATACAATGAATAGATATATAAAACAAATATAATTAACAATCAACTCATGTATAACATTTTATTAGATAGCTTTCAGACCATGGTTAACAATCGTCAGTCAATTGCCCCAGCTCCATCCCCGGAATATACTGAGCTTTTAAGAAGGCTCACCGCTATGGAGGAAAGTCTCAAGACCATGGATTCAAACATTGGCATTGTCATCAAGGGGAACAAAGATTCATTGGAAATACTTGATAGTGTTGCCGATGCCTCTGGAGAACTTCTTGCAGTTATTGCTCCTACCACTATACCTGCTTCTGCTTCTGTCCCTTTCGCAGCTTCTTCCGTTGGTTCTACTCTGGATTGGTATACAACACCTTCTGAGGCTTTTTTTGGTATCTCTTCTGCTGCTCCTTCTGTTGCTCCTTCTGTTGCTCCTTCTGTTGGTCCAGTGGTTCTTACTGGTGCAAACGCTGGTGAACTTAGTAAACAGGATCGCACTAGAGTTTTAGTAAGTGTTGAGATGTACAGTAGCTCATCAACATAATATCTCACACTAAGTATAGGCTCTTATCCGAGGAGAGTTGAAGAAACACAACTTCAAATCAAATAAGCCGGAACTAGTTGCAGCTAACGACAGCAAGCACAGTTGGGATGTTAATGTTGATTACAGACTTCCACCCAACAGACAGCTGATGCATGACCTTCATGCATACCTGGCTCCAAAGGTTGTTGGGACTAGTGTTCGACAGGCCGATATTAGCGATTGTATCTACACAAACTTTTGTGGAACGAGATGCCGAGTCAAGGAATCCTATGAAGCGCGCAAAAAGACAAATTCTCGGTCAAGAAAAGCAGGTCGAGAGACCGATGTATGTTAGAAGTATATTTTGATTGCAAATTAAATGTATTCATATTAATACATTTATAAACTAGCATTTTGACCGTCGCGAGCTGACCTACCATACATTCAAGGCTGAAATTGATATGAAGGTGGGTAAGAGCTGCGACGGACTCTTACAGAAAGAAGCAATGTCTGAGGGCAAATCTGAAGACGATATGCCTGGAGTCTCGAGCAACCGTGCGATTCGTACAGTGCGTCCAAGTTGGAGAAGCGATGAGGTAATTTCTTTTGTTTACATTATTGTATATAGCTTTTTTTTGTTTTTTTATGGATTTAAATGAAACAGAACTTTGATTAATCACTTATTTGTATTTAGTACAATCACTTTCTTGCAGTTGTTGATGATTTTATGCGTAATCGCATGGACTTCAATTCGTGTCAGATGTTGAAGAGGTCCTTCGGTAGAGATGCTGTTTTAGCAGTCCCGCCTAGATTGACGTCCCTTCTCCCTCACTGGGCTTTTAGAGATGAGTTTCAATAAATTTTGTTTTCTTATCCTCTACATCCTCCACATCCTCCATCTGACAATGATAAACGTACCAACAAATACAAACACTATGATTATTCTTTTCTGTGTGCCTTTAAAAAAGGGAGTTATAATTTTATTATTTTTTAAATGTATTGTTTTTTTGGCAAAGGAATGACCAGCATCTTTTTTACTTTTCTGTGTGTTGTGTGCTCAGCAGTTGCTACTTCTAACATAATTCTATGCACTGGCAATACACATTGGAAATCGTCAGGAGAAAATGTTGGAAAGCAGGTTTCAACGTGTTCGTACTCTCGCGATTTATCATTTTCGGGTGTGTACCATTTGATAAATGCAAAAGTATGTTGAGAATTGTGAAGAAGTTGTGTTGGGCGGCGATGGGTGTGGAGCAAGGGAGTAAGGGATGAAGAGGTGGGTGGAGGAGTGAAAGAATGGGTGAAAATGTACTGTATTTGACCCGTGTATGCGATGATATGCTCACCAGTACTTCCAATGAACTTTGCTTGTACAAGAGAGCCACGACTTCCAGATTCACCTTTACCCTTGTAGACCTGCCCAAGGATGTTGATGTATTTCAACAGGGTGATTGTATTGTCAACAAAGTATGGTGATTCCAACGCTTGTTGAAAGTGAACTAATTGTTCATTGTTGTACGCAACTTTGTAGTATTGTAAGAGATGAACATAGTGAATGTCACTCATTGTGGTAGCGGATTTTAATGATAGAGGGAATGCGGAAGGAGGGAGAGGTTCGTTGCCTTTTACAAGTACATTTGGATCTTCAGAAGCCTCAACAAATGACTGTATGCGGAAGGTACGTTGACGGATGGATGGAATGGTGGTGGGTGTAAAGGAAGAAGTGAGTTTGGTAAGGAGAGGAAATGCAGATGTCTGGCAGGTACTCTGAAGGAAACTGTTGACAAGATCGTCTTTGTGCACATCTTCAATAAATTTCTTCATAAATGTTTCTTCAAACCCAATCTTCCTGTTTGTCTTCAAATTTTTTAACAACCCGTTAAACCGCTCAAACCCGAATAGCCAATAACCGTACACTGGTCCAAAATCACGAATTGTATCTCGAAGATGGAGGTGTAGGTGCATATTACAGGTGAGGATTTCGGCGTTGTACAGCTCGTCACATCTGGTGCAAAAAGTTTGAAGAAACTGATGGGCAGTGTTGACTTCATCGAACGTGATCGTTGGCTTGATCAACAGGCGGCATGCATCAACAAAGTTAATCCAGTTTTCGAATCTGTCTGTTGCACTTGTAACATGCGCATGTACTGTTGTGCGAGGTGAAACCACTTGTCTTTCTTGCTGCCGGGATGTCACAGGCCACCATCATCAATGCGGCACGGATGCGGACACCACTAGGACACTCGAAAGTTGGGATTGCCAGTCCCTCATACAATCTTATCAGATCATCTACCATAGGCCGGAGATAATGGTTTATCTCTTCGGATTTGGGTTCCTTCAGGCCAGGCATCAATCCTACGAGAAGTGTGTTCTCTGGCTTGTATTTTTCATTGCGAGGCAGATTGTTTACTACCAGGTATATGGCACCAGTCGAGTGCGTGACATTATCGAAAGGTTGAAACCAGTCGATGTTAAGAGTCAACATTAATGAACGCGAATCCTTTGTGAATTGCACGCCATCTTTGTCTTTGAGCTCCTTCCACATGGCACCGTTGTATATGTCACACATCGTATCCACCATCTTCAGCTCGTGATTCCAATGTCTAATTTTATCCTCGAATCCTGGACGAAGAAAAAACATTCGTAAAGTATTAACGACGGACTGGTACAAGTATGAACGCTTGGCCACCAAAGCACCCGATGCTGATGTTTTCATCAATTGGCAGTTGCAAGACGAGCGTGCACCAAGCTTTACGAAATCGCAATGAGACGGGACAGATGCACTTTCTTCGTACACCTTGTGACAATCCTGACACACAACAAATTTCTTTATGCCTTTGGTCATGGCTGAGAAACCTGTCATGCGCTGAAGACCAGGAAGGCTCAAGGGCAGTTGGAAATCCTGCTCGTAAATTGTCAAAAGCTTGTTGATGAACTCGATCAAGACAACGGCGCCCTTGTCAACCACATAGCGGGAAGCGAACATCACCACAAAAGTAGCAATGAACCTGTGCACTGGGTTCTGGGGCATATCGGGGGTGGCAAAAGGGTCTATTATAAAAAAAAATTAACGCTTTTTTTTTTAAAAAATTTTTAACACTAACTGACCTTCACTATTCAATTCATTGTCGTCGAGCTCAATAACATCGTCTTCGCTTTCGTCTTCACTGATTTCATTGCTGTTGCTTCCACTGTCATCATTGTCGCCATTGCTGATCGCGTCATTAGTAATGGAAACGTCTTCAGTGTCAGACATTGAAGCTCCTTCCCAAACAGGTGAGTTTGTCTGAGTGTACGATTCTTCCAGGGCTCTGGGTTGATGGGTTAAGATAGCTACATTTAGAATATAACACTTGGTTAATATCTAACAGTATCTGAATTAAATAAACCTTACGTTCATCATCGACCTCCATCATATTTCTTTGGGTAGACATGTCTATTACAACACGTTATTTCATGGATTACAATACAATTAAATAAATTCAAATATTGTACCCCTTTCACATCTTATGGCATTTAGTCTTGCCCTTTTGTTATGACGTTGAGCAGTTCTTCTGGCAACAAAACTATAGCCGAGATCGTTCTGACTACATCCAGCACAATAGCACTTTTCGTTGTAGAGTTCAGGAATTGTGAACATAATATTTATTTATTTTTACTTTGAAGTGTTAAGAGAAAAAGGAAACAAGTACAACGTTTACTAAATTTACTATGTCTTTATAATGAAATGTTATGTCTTTATAATAATAATAATAAATAATATTTTCGCCTGTTATATCCAAGCCAATAGAAAACCGGAAAACAGTGTTTTCATCTTGAACACACACAAAAAGCTGAGATGAAAAAATACCCCAGATTTTCTATAGTTATAATTTAACTTTGTACATGGTAATTCCCGTACGTTTTTCTAGTGGAGATGGTGGTGGTGCATGTGATGTTGGATTGATGGCATATATAAATGAAAGTGAAAGCAGACGGTGGTCAGAGTTGAGTGAGAGGTCGGTATGAATGTTGAGAGTGGCATTGGTGAAGGACATATTAGTGATAAACAGATCAATGATACTGCTTATCTCCACATTTTGGTGGAATGAAATGAATGTAGGTGTGCATGGTGAGAGCTGGCCATTGACAACAGTAAGAGCATGTTCTTCTAACCATTGACAAAGAGCAAGACCTCGAGTGTTAGTAGCATAGTCACCAGTAAGTGAACCCAAACGTGAATTAAAATCGCCACATATAATAGTGTCATTGGTCAAAGGAATGGAGGAGAGAACTGCAAGAGCATCATGGGTGGACATAGAGGGCGGCAAGTACAGGCATACAATTCTGAGGGAACCAATCTTGATGGCCAAAGCATAATTAGATGACATAGGAATCTGAGTGACAGGATAAGGACAGGATGGAGAAATAAGAACAGAAACACCCATAGAACCTTTGTAGTTGCCAGCTACAGGTGAAACATAAAGATGAATCTGGGATCAAGAAGTGAGGAGACGAGATGGGGGGAGAAGCCATGTTTCAGTGATAAAAAGCATATGTAGAGAGTGACAGTGTTGAAGAACATCATAAATTGCACGAGGCTGCAAACCATTAGCATTCCAAAGTCCTAATGAGATTTCACTCATTCAGACATTGCAACAGAGGTACAACGAGATGGTGATTGGAAATCATGAATACCAGCATCAGGACCAGAAACAGAATGAACAGGAATATCTTCCTTAGAGATCCAGCCTTGATCACAAAAGAAATGACCAACAGGAACAGCAACATGAGGACAAAGATACTTGAGAGCCTTCAGACAACGATCAGAATGAAGTTCAGCAGCTACTTCTTCTAGCTCTGAATCAGAAAGAGACTTATATTTGGGATCTACAATGTTTTTGGGATCCAAAGGGTCAATCGCATCTAAGATCTCAATGGCAACTGTGGTCAGAGTGGTCTGGAATTTCTCAGCATACTGGTTGTGAACTAGGATGCCAACTACATCCTTGGCAGGAAAATTGATATCCAAGATGCGGCCAGTATCAACACCAAGTGTTTTCAAAGAGTTGCGCACTTCTCTATCTGTGAGACGACGTGAACGTGGGATATACATATATTGATATCCTTTGGGACCAGTGAGAATGGCAAACATTCTAGCAGAAGCAGCAACCCGGTGAACAGAAGGAGGTCTTGGAGTCTTGCAAACAGAAAGAGCAGTAGGAACAACAACAGGGTTGTGAGCAGCAGCAGCAGTTGTAGCCCATGTAGAAGCCTCAGTGCCAGGCTCCTTGGGTGTGGTTGGTGCAGATGATATTGATGCATTTGTTGTAATTTGGCAATTGCCCTGAGATGCTAATTGAGATCTGAGATCAGCAATTAGCTTTTCCGCATTAACTAATTGAGTAGTTAATCTAGCATTAGTTGCGGCAAGAGATTCAAGTTTATTGGTACGTTGTTGTAGTGACATGAATTGGGCCTGCATGTTCCCCAGAAATGAGGCAAGATCGGGTGACATTCCCTGCATGACAGAGGATGGCAGCAATGTTGACATTTGAGATCGCAAAAATGAAAAGTTGTCGGAATCGGCTGAAATTTTTTCTGCTAATAGATAAGGCAACAGTGGTAATGGATGCAATGTTTTTGACAATGGATGTAACGTTTTGAACAAGATGTAGGACGGATTGATAAAGCTTTTGTATGGATGCAACCAATTTTTTTGTTATGTCTTGTGTAATGGTAGCTTACATGAAAGAGATATGGGGATGTAGCTGCCTTCTTGGCTCAGGTTAAAGATTATATTTTATTAAAGGAGATATTGCTGGCAATCTATAGATCATATAGCCTCCAAAGTACAAAAAGAAAATATAAAAAAGTCCCAAGGGATCATAAAAGACAAAAAAAAGAGAGGGGAAAGAGAAGATCAAATCATACTAGCTTTAATGGCTGAATCTGCTCTCCACTTTGCAGCTGTGAAAATAGTTGTAACAGTGAAAGGGAGGAAACAGAATTGCAGAACAAAGAACTTTTCAGACAGCAAAGGACAAAAGAGAAAGAAGAGAGATAAAGAGAGTAAAGAACAATAAAAAGTAAAGAGCTATGAAAGAAAAGAAAAAGTCTAAATTATATCCAAAGAGCACCATGTGGTGATCCAGACACTTGGTTGTTGGATTTATTACATCTAAGAACATATTCCTATTATTATAGTAAAACAGCTATCATTACAAGAACAAATGAATAATTTTTATTTATTTTACTTATGGTAAATCAATAAGACCAATAATTAATTACAGTAAGTACTGTAATTATGACAGCTCAGTAAGCACTGAGTTAATATGAGGACACTGCAATTAGATTAAATTATAAACATAGCAGTACCAGCTCTCTAATATCTAAATGAACTCAGACTTAAGAAATTAAGATGTGACTGACAAAGCAGATCGTGTTTTGATATAAAAAGGACAGCTTTATATTCTTTAATAAAGACAACCTATATACAGTCTCAAAGTATTCTTATATACGTCTCAATCTTTTTACTGTTGATTTTATTCTATAAAACTTCACACACCATGTTCAGTCTCATATGAATAGTTACCATCAGGATTACATATAACATCTATGTGCCAGAGAATAGTCAGCAGTGGTATCCAGTATGCATGTCGTGGTTCTTGAGATGACAAAGGCAAGGATGAGATGGCAAAATCAAGTCTGTGTATCTGGTCATGGTCAGGTTGAGGCAACTGTTCAAATAGTGTTGCAGGAACAAGTGGACAATTCAACAAATGGCGGCGTGAGGTGTGATCAGATCCACAAGGACATTCCTTTGGTTTGCCTGGCAGCCATCCCATTCTCCAACGAATCAAACGGCCACGTTCCACACGTGAGGCTGGCAAAAACAAGATTGGATCAACTCCAAGAACTGGGTGGCATGCTTGAATGAGAACTTGCGTATTGGACTGGAGAAATGTTGCAAATCCAGCTTCTCTAATGCTTTCAAAATGATTTTTTACGACACTAGGGCTTCGAAGTTTGAGTGTTGGAGGGAGATTGGACAGAAGATGGGTTTTTCTCAAGGAGACAAGTGAAGAATAGACGGTATGATGACGGTGCAAAAGAGACAGAAGGCACTGGGCCGGCAAAAAGCGTGATCTTATACAGAACTTGGCCATAAGAGCATCGGCACAAAACTTCATACTTGGCAGATTGCAGATGTGCTTCAACACAATTGTAGAGGACGTGGCATGCCCCCCAACAATCATGCAAAGACACTTATCTTGAATGGACTCCAGCACTTTGATATCTTGTTTCAGTAGAGTGGAGATTGCCAAACCATATTCAAACTTTAGGCGGACAAAGGTCTTATACAATCGTGAACTGAGCAGCAGAGAAAAACCAGAACGACAAGCACCAACAGAGTTTAGGGTTGCCATTGTAGCAAGTGTACCAGAACGTCTATGAGTGGCAATGGACTTGGAAGAAATACCCTTATTGGCAAAAGGATCACCCAGATAAATAAACAGGTCAGTGGCAGGGAGAACTTGACCATATAAAAGAAGAGGAACTGGCGAGCTTGCACGTGTTTTGGGATATATAACTTCACATTTGGTGGGGCTCCATCGATATCCAAGAGTAAGAGAGTGGTCTGCGGCAAGGTCTAGCATGGCCTGAACGTCTGAAAGAGAACCAAAAATAGCTACATTGTTGGCAAAGAGCAGAGAATTGATAGGTGTTGAGAAATGAATATGTCCAAAGCCATCTACACCTGAAGGAGCAAGAAGAGCATTATATGCATCCAATGAGGTAGGAGAGGGTGATGGAACATGGGTTGTAGTTTGTGAGTGAGCAACTGTGCAGAGCAATGGGGGCAGGGAGTTGATATATATTGAATACAGATGTGGACTGAGAACAGAACCTTGGAGAACCCCAGTGGCAGGTGAGAACGAGTGTGAAGAAAAGTTATCCAGAAGGACGGAGATGGAGACATTGTCAAACATATTAACTAAGAGGCCCAAAAGGGCTGGTGGAGTGCCACGTTGTTGTAAAGCATGCCAGATGATTCGTCGATCTACTATATCATAGGCAGCCTTGATATCCAGAAATGCAACAACAGGGTAGTGCTTATGACGGTGATAATAGGCTTTCATCAGATCATGGAGACAGAGAGCTTGATCCAAAGCACCACGGCGAGGACGAAAACCACCTTGAGCCACATCCAAAGGAGGAGAGTACTTGTGCAACTTGGGGGCTATACACATCTCAAAAAGCTTACGCAGTACAGAAGTCAAGGAGATTGGCCGGTATTTAGCCAGATCTGTTGGACTACCCTTCTTGAAGATGGGGAAAACTTGTGCTTGGCGCCAAAGACTTGGGACATATGACCATTGCCAGCAAACTGTAAATAACAAAGCAAGAACAGGTGAGATAAGTGATTTGATAGGTTTTAGCATTTCAGCTCTGATATGATCAGACCCTGGTGCCTTATGGTTAGGCATAAATTGCATGAATTCCTCCACAATTGATGAGTTAAATGGAGAGTCATCAGAGGCAAAAGGCACACTGTTATAAGTCGTTGTTGGTGCTGGTGGTCGGGTTGCTGGAAGTATATGTCCACTATATACTGTTGCCAAATGGTCACACATTGTTGCTGCTGCTACGGCTGGTCCATCGTAATGCTGGAAGGTATGTTGTGGCTGTCTACGGCGTTTTAACTGTTTTATTTTTGACGTTGCTTTGCTGAAATCACGTTCCATAGACTGACAAAACACATGCCAAGACTGACGTTTTGCTTGCTGAATGTGAGATCGGAATTCGGCCTGTGTGTTGTGAATGAGTATTGATTACTGCTGAATCTGAGAGTAAGACTGAAGGATAAAATAATATCCTCAGCTATTCCAGTCAAACGGATCTCCCTTTATGATATTATCTAATACACAGATCATCATACACATAATTGATTATTTATTATTATCACCATGACATGGGATATACAAATACATATACATTATATATATGGCATCATTATATTTCATCTACATATTTCTTTTATTATACAAATACTTAATTGAGAGACTACAACTACAACTATCTAATATTATGAAACATTACCCGAGTATCTGGGTCGGAATACTAAAATATTACCAATAGCATAAATGCTCTTCTTTACCAAAACTCTTGGACTGATCTGACTGGAGAAGTATCATATCAATTGGTCTTTCCGGATCTTTCCAGAAGAACAATACTCCTGGAAGATGACTCATCGTGATAAAGATTACTTAAGCACACACTGAATTACAAATTAGAAAAACATATAAATATCAGTAGATAGTTCCGTGTAGAAAGACAATCGAATTTTATATTTCTTTACTTTTCTTTTGAAATAAACAACCTACACAAGTTCTCACGAATTCTTTCGTCTATATTATATTTTGCTTTATTTTCTCCCCACAACATTTTTTTTCGTGAACTACAATGAACTCTCCTGCTGACTTGTTTCCCGCTGGTTTGACCCCTGTTCCTGAGGAGGCTACCTTGTCCCCCATGTCTGCGGATGAATTATTCTCTGACTTGAGTGAGCCCGTCCTCTTTCCGGATGCTGCCCCTGGTTTTGGTTCCGTTTCTGGTTCTGGTTCCCCTCCCGTTGGTAGAGAAGTAGCAACTGCTTCCTCCTGTGTGGCCGTTCTCAAGGCTGAATTGGGCAACCACATCGAGGCCTTCAGCGCTGCTCATGTAGCAAACAATGAGCAAGCAGCTGATGATGCACTCCGCAGGATCGAGCGCACAAGATTGGCAATCACTAGCCTTGAAAAGTGCAGCGAGATGCTTGCCTCTCCTGGTACAAACACAGAGAGAGCTGACCGTGAAGGAGGGTTGACTCTCAACAGAAGAGATCTTCCCAAATTCCAATTGGCCTCCAGTATTATTAAGCCCTTCCCAAATGAAGAGGTTTTTGAATCAGTTGGACATTTCCTACGTACCTTCAAGAATGTGATCGAGTCTTCTTCCTTGGACATCGAGAGAGTTTGGAAGAAATTCCTCCCACTTTGCCTGCCTCACACTGATGACGGATGGGTAGAGATGGATCTTAAGAAGTGTATTGATTGGAAGGCGGCGAAATCATGCTTCAACAAAAGACATGGTTCCAGCTTGGTGTCTCGGCGATTCACAGACCAGGTCTTTACAATGATGATGAAGAACACTGAGTCCATCGGTGATTACTCGAAGAAGTTCCTCCGTGCGGTTTACAATGCTGGTTTACCCAAAGACGATGCTCGCATCGCTGATCGCTTCCTTGCCTCGCTGACCTTATCAGTGCAAACACTGGTAAGAGTTACCATGGCCCGCTCTGGTCCCAATGGGGAGTCCAAGCGTGATTGGACTGTAGAGCAGATCACGCAGATCGGCAGAGACATCCTTGGGGATGACAACAGGCTCTATGCTGAGGCGACCCGATTGATTCCTGGTTCCCGTGGGCAACCTGAGAAGAATAACGAGGAACATCCCAGAAAGAAGCTTCACCACTCCAACAAGATAACCAAGCATGAGAAGACATTTTTCTGCTCGCACCATGGAAAAAACCCGACCCATGAGTCCAGCAAGTGTTTTACCTTGATCAACCGCAAGAACAAAGCCAGTAGTTCCAACAGTCGCAATCCTTGCAGACGTTGTGGTGAAAACTACTACCATGGTCATGTCTGCAAAAGCAAGAACAATGAGCCAATTCTCATGGTATCCCAGTCTCCCGCAAAGGATAAGTCTGAGCAGACGCTCAAGACGATCCAGGACAGGATAGATGAAGACATGGAGGAAATATCATTTGAATGTAAGTACCTACTTGACAGAATTGAGAGAAGAATTAAAGCTAATGATGCGTTTAATCTTGTAACTCCAATCATAATAGAGAACCAGAAGTTAATCGGGATGATCGATACAGGCAGTTCCCGCACGTTTATAAATTTGAAATGTTTAAATAACAATTTACAAATAACAAAAATAAATTCTTCAATTGGTTCCTTTAATTTTCTGTCTAAGAATAGTAGTACAAAGAGATTAGGAAAAACTGATCCTTTAAATTTTAAATATATAAATGGCATTACCTTTAAGCATGCACCAGAGGTGTTAGAGTTTAATACGGGTTTTAATTTTGATATCCTCCTTGGAAGAGATATTTTGGCAAAGATGAATATTGGATTAATTAATGTTGCATATGATATCGAAGGAGAATATGTCCATTCAGATAATGCAAAAGACTATGCCGCCATTTATGAAAATCTAAATATTGATAAAGAGAAAAAGTTTGAACCTGATAATTCGCCAGCTGGCACAGCACAGCAACGAGCAGAATTTATGAGCTCTATTAAAGCATCACTGGAGGAAAATAAGAATATTCCCGTTGAGTCATATTGTCCTTTATCAGAATCTATTATTCGTTTACCTACTAAGGAAGGTGCGACGGCTTACAGACGGCAGTATCCTATACCGCACGCTCTAAGACCAACACTTGACAAGCAAGTAAAAGAATGGCTTGAGACAGGAACTATTGTCAAGTCCAAGACCAACACTTCCTTCAACAGTCCAATGTTGCTTGTTCCAAAGAGAAACAAAGCTGGTGAGATTGTCAGTCATAGAGTGTGTTTAGATGTGCGATTGTTAAATCAGATCCTACCTCCCACATTCAATTATCCAATTCCAAAAATTCAAACAATATTTCAAAACTTAAGTGGAAAGAAATTCTTTACCACACTCGACTTATCCAATGCGTATCATCGTTTCAAAGTTGCACCTGAGGATGTACACAAACTGACATTCACTCACTTAGATGGGCAACAGTATAGCTTTATTAAAGGCTGTTTTGGCTTGAAGATGCTTACTTCACAATTTCAACATGTCATGGCTACTTTATTTGATAAGATTGACTGTGTACAGAATTTTGTTGATGATTGTATTGTTGCCAGTGAAACATTTGAACAGCATGTCAAAGACGTAAAATTAGTTATTGAAAAATTGTCATCCGCGAAGTTGATTCTGAACTCGGAAAAGTGTGTCTGGTTTCAACATTCAGTGAGATTGCTTGGTTTTGTCGTCAATGAGACAGGCACCAAGGTTGATAAGCGAAAGTTGACAAATGTTGACAAATGGCCTATTCCTACAACTGCGAAACAGATTCAGCAATTCATGGGTTTGATCAATTACTTCAGAGATTATATTCCTATGATTTCGAAGGTAGCTGAGCCTATTTCACGTTTGAGTCATGCCAAGAATGTGTCTGGTCAATGGACAGATGAGCAGACGAAAAGCTTTAAAGCACTAAAAGACATATTGCACCAAGATTTAATTCTTCATTACGCAGATATGTCACGTGAAATGTATGTGGCCACAGATGCATCCCTTTATGGAGCAGCTTGCTTATTGTTTCAGCGAGATGAACAAGGGCGTGATAAATATATCAGCTTTGTATCAACTTCCTTAAGCCCATCGCAGCGACGATGGAGCACAACTAAAAGAGAATTATATGCAGTCGTTTTGGCGCTTGAAAAATTCCGTCCATTTCTGTGGGGCCGACAGTTCACAATTTTTACTGATCATCGAGCACTCATTTATCTCCACACTCAAAAAATCGCTAATCCGATGATGATTGGCTGGATTGAGACACTCCTTGACTTTGATTTTAAAGTGGTCCATATTCCTGGTTTGTTGAATAAACTACCTGATTTGCTAAGCCGCTTGTATCCTCCAGAGGATAGTGACAAGCTGGTGGAGGATGATGGATTGAGAAAAATCAGAACAAATGACTTTCAAGCTAAAAACAGAGTTATTGTTCAAAAGAAAAAATATAGTAAAGACAGAGTGCTAAATGTACTTGCAACGCAACTCGTCGAAAATGCTTCAGAGTCGTCCGACTATATGTCACCTCCTGAAGAAAAGCGTAATGGCTTACTAAAAGAAGCACATTCGTTTGGTCACTTTGGAAGTCAAGCTATAGTGAATGATCTTCATTCACAAGGCTTACACTGGACTAATATATATGAAGAGGCTAAAGAGATTATTCGTTCTTGCCCTGAATGTCAGAAGCACAATATTAGCAAGAAAGGCTATCACCCATTGACTAATGTTGTAGCATTCCGACCATTTGATCATATTGCAATTGACTTATGCGGTGAATTCCCTGTATCAGAGGATGGACACACGTACATGTTAGTTCTGGTTGATGTATGCTCCAAGTACATTATCTTGAGACCACTGCCAAACAAGAACTCAACAACAATAGCTAAAGCATTGATAAAGATTTTTGGAGATTATGGTTTTCCCAAAGTAATGCAAAGTGACAATGGTCTGGAATTTAGAAACTCTTTAATGTCAAGCCTATCTAAAGAGCTTGGGATTGATCGAAGATATTCGACAGCATATCACCCACAAGGAAATGGTATTGCCGAAGCCAGTGTAAAAATTGCAGAGAATACTGTACGTAAAATGATGAGAGCGAACAGCAATGACTGGTGTCACTATCTACCGATTGTTCAGCTGTGTATCAATAGACATATTCCTCAAAAAACACTAAGTGCGCCGTTTTCATTAATGTATGCTCGCAGAGTCAATGTGCCTGATGAGTATGGTGACAAAGATAAATACTCTCTTCCAAAAGCCACAGTTACAATTGATGAGCTAGAGAAGCAGATTGATCATATGGAAAATATTATATTCCCTGCCATTAACGAACGTGTGTTAAGGATTAATGAGGAATTAAAAAAGAAATATGATCACAAAAATATCCTAATCGACATCCCCAAAGGAACACACGTTATGGTCAGATTACCACATCGATCAAATAAATTGGCACCTATTTATGAAGGTCCATATACAGTGGTTCGAAAGAATAAAGGAGGATCGTATGAGTTAAAGGATGAGCAAGGTGAATTGTTACACCGAAATTATACACCCTCAGAACTCAAGATGGTCACCATCGATGAATCAACAATTGAGAATGAGCTCTACGAAGTTGAAGACATTCGAGATCATCGTGGTACTGCTGGTCAACGAGAATATTTGGTCAAATGGGCTGGCTATGGCGAACGCACTAATACATGGCAAAAGGCTGAAGACTTTACCGATTCCACAATTGTACAAAAATATTGGAAGAAAGTTAGAGAGTTGGAACGTTTAGAGAATGAGAGAGCTGAAGACTTGATTAACAAAAGTGCATCCTCAAAAAAGAAAATAGTTCACACTTCAAGACTAAATGGTAAAAGTAACAATAACGATGAGCACAAGAAAAGAACACTTCCTACCACTTTGAGTAGAGAAGAAAGATTACACAAAAGAAGAGCAACAAAAAATTAAAATAACAAAAAATGAACACGTAATCCACAAAGCTGAGTTTACAGTGTAGATCTCCATAAAGTACAAAAATTATGTGCATGATTGACTATAATAAAATAAGCAATTGGCCAGACAATGAAATAGTAAATGAAATGTTTTATTGCCGAATCAACAAAAGGTATTGTTGAATCTGGTGGAGGATAATGTTGTGAATGAGTATTGATTACTGCTGAATCTGAGAGTAAGACTGAAGGATAAAATAATATCCTCAGCTATTCCAGTCAAACGGATCTCCCTTTATGATATTATCTAATACACAGATCATCATACACATAATTGATTATTTATTATTATCACCATGACATGGGATATACAAATACATATACATTATATATATGGCATCATTATATTTCATCTACATATTTCTTTTATTATACAAATACTTAATTGAGAGACTACAACTACAACTATCTAATATTATGAAACATTACCCGAGTATCTGGGTCGGAATACTAAAATATTACCAATAGCATAAATGCTCTTCTTTACCAAAACTCTTGGACTGATCTGACTGGAGAAGTATCATATCAATTGGTCTTTCCGGATCTTTCCAGAAGAACAATACTCCTGGAAGATGACTCATCGTGATAAAGATTACTTAAGCACACACTGAATTACAAATTAGAAAAACATATAAATATCAGTAGATAGTTCCGTGTAGAAAGACAATCGAATTTTATATTTCTTTACTTTTCTTTTGAAATAAACAACCTACACAAGTTCTCACGAATTCTTTCGTCTATATTATATTTTGCTTTATTTTCTCCCCACAACACTGTGCATGCTTGTGTTTAGTCCACCAAACAACTTTGTCAATACCTATTGCTAGGCGCCATTTTTTGTAACATTGGTTACGACGATTTGCTGCTGTTTGCAAAGCTACATTCCAGAAGGATTTCCAATGCTTTGGGCGAGAGAGTCAATGTCCAATTGAGCTATTTAATGAGTCATAAATGAGTGAATTGAACTCATCAGTGATAGCATCAATGTTGGGTCTAGTGAGTGGTAGATTCTGTACAATTTCTTGCAAGGTGGAAAGGAGGGAGGTTGAGTTTTGAGTGAAGATATGAGCATAAAGAGCATGGACATCAGGTTCATTGAGGCGTGAGAGGTTCCATGTCTTGCGTAATAGTGGTGGCATATTGGTAGAGTGCTGTAGGTCATAGGTAAAGGAAAGTAATAAAAGGCGATGATCTGATCCAAGGGACAAGTCAGTAGCAATATGAAGAGAAGGATTGATGAGTGGCATATTAGTTATAAAAAGGTCAATAATACTGCTGATTTCATAGTTGTTGCGGAAAGAAATATATGTTGGTATGCACGGTGTAAGATCTGCATTTACAACTGATAGAGATCTCTTTTCTATCCAAGAACATACACTGGAAAAATAGGGTAATTTCATCTGGATCAAATGTACCAAAAATGTAGATGATTGAGCCGATATCATCACAATTTTTGTGATATATCATTTTGAGCAATGGTACAATATCATCTATGGTGCTGATGCGTATCATTATAACAACGGGTACACGAAAACCCAATGTAGAACGATTGTCAGTCCGCAAACTATGGAAACTGAATAAATATTGTAGTTACGCTTTACTCCTATCGAGTCTACCTCTTTATGTGTTATATTTTGAGGTCTATAAAGAGCTAGCGTCCCATATTATTATTTTTACCGGGTTTTTTTATTGGCTGCAGAAATGCTTTAAAAACTATCAAAGAGATGATTGTAGGTTTTTTATACATGCTCAAAGTGATGAAACTAGGTTTTTTATACACACAAAAGCAATGAAACTAGGTTTTTTTACAATGGAAAAGAGAAACAAAGCATGGGTAGATTTTTATAAACAAGCCTCTTTGGTTTGTTTATTTATTTTACTTTTATTTATTTATTTTTTGGAAAAACATTGGGTTATACATTTTTTGTTCAATTTTGTTTTATTTGATAGGAAAATCTTTTCTAGATAAAAATCCTAATTTCGCGACAGTTTTGATACTATAGCTATTATAATCGCTAATACTTCTTGCTCGCTATATATAATTTAAAGCCTTCCGGGAGTAGACATGGAATACATACTTTAAGAGCGGGAATGCTATTAAAAAATGATTAATAGAAAAGAATAATTAGTAAATGATTTAAATTGAAATTTCTTCATAAATACTTACAAGGCGGAGAAGACTTGACATAAACTTGATATAAACATGTTCTTCAGAATTATCAAGACAATACCAGTAGTCTTTGAACAGAGATACATTCTAAAAATGAATAATTATTAATATTGTGCGTAGTAAAGGCGTATTTATTAAATATATTGTAGTTAACTTACCAAATATTACTGATTATACGTCTTCATGCATAATATTAGACATAACTAATAAATCATAATAAAAATAAATATATATCTATGAGGAAGACAAAAGAATAATTTGAATTTTTTTAAGAAAAAAACTTACCATCATGTTCAATTAAGAGATGATGAGACTCAATGGAAATGAGTAGCAATGGCTAGACAAGCAATATGATTGAGTAACAAAGATCTGTAAGAGAATGATATCTTACCTTGATATATCAGACAGAGTATAGCCAAACAAAGAGACACATATTTGGTATTGAACTATAAAAGAAAGAAAAAATTATAAGTGAAATTGTAAAAACATAAGCAAAAGAGAAACAAAGAAAATATCAATAATAAATGTTGTTAAAAGAAAAAAAAAGGAAAAAAAAAGACTTGTCTTAAAATCCAGTTTGACCCTGACAAAATGCGGGCTGTAAAAAGTAATACTCCAAAAGAAGATGACTACCGTCATCTTGAAATACTACTTTGTGCCTCATTGAGTTAGAAAAGAAGTTGTCTAAATGTGGATCAAGTGGTTGGGAGATGTGCTTAAATATCAAATGAAAGGTAGAGAGTTAATCTGCACTGCTTATCCTCTTTACTAGTATGTGAATTTTAAATATGATATAACAAATGTAGTGAATTGTACAATATTAGTTGAAAATTATTAATATTTATTTTATTAACAGAAAATGACAAAGCGTATTCCTACTGCTCCCCGCCGACCCAACCTACGCATGAATGCTGTTCTTAATAGCACAATTGCAGGTGTTATTGCTCCAATTGATACACCAACTCCAGAAGTAGCAGTTGACACAGCCCCTGAAGTTCAAGTCGCTGTGACCCCAATGGATCACGTCCTTACCTTGTTGGCAGCCAACAATGTGTCGATGCAATCCTTGCAAGAAAATGCAAAAGGAGTGACTGATGCAATAACTCATTTGAAGAATGGCCTGGATTTGTCCAACAAGACAAATGAATTTTTGAAGAACTCGGTCCTTCAGCTCATGACTGAAAATGCTGAAATAAAAAAGGCAATGACCAGCCAAAATTCCGTGATGCCTTCTGCTGTACCAGTGGATTCTTCTTCTTCCATGGATGATGATCTTGACCTTGGAGTGAAACATCATCCCTTGATTTCTGTAAGTAAATTGATAATAATAACATTACTGATTAATATATCTAATACTGTTTTTATAGCAACTTATCAATAGTTACATCAAGAAACCGAACTTTGTTAGCACAGACCTGCTCAAAGTTACTGAGAATAATAATAGATCAGCATGGTCAATGACTGGCACGTATGGCGACAAGTACAACAAGACACTTGCACTGGCTCTCTTCAAGTACCTGAGACCTCAAAGATGTTGCACAAATGTGTCAAAGAGTGTCATTATGAATATAATAAAGAATCACTACCAAAATCAAGTGCGAGTCTTCCGGACCTCAGCAGAGAAGATTATGGCTAGAAATAAAGCTGGAAGAAGATGCAACAGAAAGAAGACCATAAGTTTTAAAATAAAGTTAATTTACTATTGATTTAATGTTTTAATACAATACTCTTTGGTAGCTTCTTGACCGTTGTATTATCACGTACCAGACATACACAGAGGCTATTCATGAGGGCATGAATCGATGTGATTGCGGAAATATTCTTTCTATTGACGTGATGTCTGATGGCAAGTCGGATGGAGATAACAAAGTGCGGGCATATCGTCCCAGCTGGAGAACTGATGAGGTAATGTTAAACATCTATTTATGTTTTAAAGAAAATAATAATACTTTATTAATACTATTTATTCTTTAAACCAGCTCCAGACGTTTATTAGTACTATTGATGAACTTACTGTTATCCGTTTGAAGAAAAATTCAGAAAGCTTGAAAAAGCGCATCCCTTATGAGAAAGAAGTGAGCATTCCCAAGAATTTGGCAGTCACTTTACCAGATTGGTGCTTTTCAAAATAAATCATTTTTTTCTTGCCAACTATTTTAGAGTCTTTTTTCTACTTGTTTATGTTTACGGATTAGCATGATGTATACAGATGCATGTATAGCATGCCAAGTACAAACAAAAATTTATAGAAATAATAAAAAATAAACGTGCAGCTATATATATTAGTCTGTATTAATTAATTTTTCTTTTTTATATGTGTTTTATTTTTGTATTTGAATCTAAATATATATTTTTTGTGGCAAAGGAACTACACACATCTGAACTTCGCCTTCTAGACCAAGGTGCTTGCCTACTGCAACTGGATAGCAGATTCTATGCACTGGGAGAATGCTGTTCATGCTGTCATCTTCGAGCCCCACCTCATTCACCTCAACTCCTTCTCCTGCTCTGGGCTGAAGTAAAACTTCCTTGTACCATCGTACATATGCAAATACATGCTGGCTCGCATGACCAGCAAACGAGTTTACAGCAGTATTGACAAAGAGGTACTGAATTTGGCCCGCATATGACTTGGTACTTCTACCATCACTTGTCTCAAACAAGGCTTGCATGAACGACCCACGCTGATTCTTTGTTTTGCTCTTGTAGATTTGCCTAAGAAGATTGATTGATTCAAACTTCTGTATCTGATTGTTAACAAAATTATCGGAATGACCAGCCTGATGATAATGAACAAGAGTTTGATCATCGTATGTCTCGCGATAGTATTCCAACAAATGCTCATACTTGGATTCATCCATGGAAATCTCCCCCTTTAGAGCTAAAGGAAGTGCGGAAGGGGGCAAAGGCTCGTTTCCCTTGACGATATCAAAGTTGATCTCAGGAGAATCAAGAAAAGCATTGATATCGAATTGGAATGAGGTGGCAGTGGAAGTGGAAGTGGCTATGGAATTGGCAGTGGATGCAGTGAGCTCAAGGATGATCGCCGAATGCTCAGGTCAAATTATTGGCAAAGTTTGGCGAATAATATCTCCCTGGTATGCTTCTTCAAGATACTTCTTCATATAGGTTCCCTCAAACCCGTCTTTTCTATTTGTCGCATAGTTTTTTAAGATACCATTGCATCTTTCGAAACTAAAAAGCCAATAGCCATAAACTGGGCCAAAGTTCAGTACAGTCTCTCGCAGATGAAGATGGAGATGCATGTTTGGTGAAAGGAATGGGGCTTTATACAACTTCTCGCACTCTCTGCAGAAAGCCTCCAAAGATTGATGGGCTTCATCAAGGTGAGCCATGGATATGCTTGGCATTGAGAGGTACTGGCATGCATTGACAAACGTTGTCCAGTTACCGAGATGAGCTTCAGGTAGACAACCACGCAGGAGAACAGGAGAGTACACCAAGCACCAAGACTTCCACTCGTCGGCCTTCATGAATGGGAAGCCACGCCCGATCTTTGTCCCTAATGGCGTGTAGTCCTCTGGTAGTACAAGCTTGTCAGCATCCAACTGCATTTCGGCCAAGTGTGCATCTGTGATGAGACCTGAAGATCTCCATTTCTCCATTATCCTCTTTGCTGTTCCGAGGTACAGGTTGTGCATCGGATCGATGACAGTGCACTCCACGAGGTTAAAGTAAACCAGGTCATGCAATTCTGACCATCGGACACCATTTTCCCTCTCCAATCTCTTTCTCTGTGCATCACTGCTGGCCATTCTTCACAACTCAGCATCACGGCAGTTTTTGGCATCAGTGCGAGGCACCCACTCAGAAAACACGAACCCAGAGTAGTCCACAGTATTGGAGTCTGGAAGGCAAGGGAACTGTCAGTTGCACTTATTGCATGCACATGTGCTTGAATGAGAGGTGAACCCACAAGTCTTACGGGCAGCAGGAATGTCGCAGGCAACAAGAAGAAGGGCAGCACGGACAAGAGCACCAGATGGGCATTGTATGGTAGGCATCACCACACCACCATACAACTGGTTGAGTTCCGCGACAAGGGGACGGAGGTAGTGATTGATCTCACTTGTCTTTGCTTCCTTGGGCCCTGGCATGAGACCAACGAGAACAACATTCTCCTTCTTGTACTGTTCCGATCTTGGCAAGTTGTTGATACAAAGGTATATCACAACACAGGAGTAAGTAACCCCATCGAAAGGTTGAAACCAATCGATGTTCATGGTAAGCATTATGGAGCACTCATGATTCACGAACAGTAAACCATTGCTATCCTTCAGACTGTTCCACTTCGTACCGTTGTAAATGTCAAACATCATGCCTGGAACTTGCACTCTGATTCTCCAATGGTTGATGGTGTCTTCGAATCCAGGGCGGCAAAAAAGAATAGACAATGTTTTGATTATGGAGTTATACATGTAGATCTTTTTGGGGATAGTCAAGGCTCTTGATGTTGCAAAGAAAAGAGCGTTTCCACATTCTCTACCAGAGAGTCTCTCGAAATTACAGCACTCTGGAACAACATCAGACTCTTTGTATACTTTGTTACAATTGCCACATGCAACAAACTGCTGGACACCTCAAGTCACATTGCTGAGACCGGTCATAGAGTTGACACCGCTTATACTGAGGGGAAGACGGAAAGACTGTCCAAAGTGTGCCAATACTTCGTTAAGAAACTTTAACAGAACAGCACCACCAGAATTGACAACATATTTGGATATGAAGAAGGCAGCAAAAGAAGCAATGAAAGCATGAGTAGGATCGACTGGCATATTGGATGAAGAAAAGTGCTCTATTTGAAAAAAAAATCAATACTTGTTGACTTTATTGATTTATATGTGCTTTTTGTACTAACCTCTAACATCATCAGATTCATCGTCAGAAATATCCAAAATGGTTGCTTCAATGACACCCTCATCTTCGCTTTCAGAATCAAACAAGGAATCAATGCCAAAAAGAGGTAAGTCTTCGGCTGTTTTGTTAGGTAAAAAAGAATCAAATTATTAGATATTATAAATGATTATAAAACTTTAATAAAAATACTATGCATACCTTCAACTTGATCTTCGGCATCAACATTGTATTCAAAGTCAATCTCCATGTCATTGTCATTCGACATTACTTCTATAACTGAGGCTATATTATATGAAAATAAATATTTAATTAAAATTGTCTCAATAATAATTTTCTTAAATTTGAACTTACAAGAAGATCCTGACTGATATTGTCTCACGATATCCTGTTGTGCATGTCTTCTGAGTGTTTGGGTAGACACCAAAACAAATCCCATGCTATTGGAAGAGCATTTAGAGCACTTGCATTCTGAATTGTTGTTGTTGTTTGACATATTGTGTGCGTATGTTTTATTTTTTAAGTTTTTAGAATTGACAAGAATAGAAAATTGTTCAGGAACACAATTTAATACATATCTTTCCAAATTACACCAGCTTCCAAAATGACATAGTTTATTCCGGCTGTTAAAATGGGCAGTTCTCTAAACAGTAATTGATTGCCTCATTCTAAAATACAATAATACACACTTTTGTTAAAACATGTCGTCATGTACATTTTATTAGCTGTAGAGCATATACAACAAAAATATTTGTAGTAATATCACGACCATTAACCTCATCATACTTATAAATAAATATTACAACAATAAAAAGCTTTATTATCTCACTCAAAAGATATCATTTGGTTTAAGTTTCCTACAACTATTGACTCTGCGACATGGCTACAAGTCCCAAAAAGAAATCTCGCAGACATTTTTTACAAAAAAGAGTAAACTCGTTTTTTTATCCAATAAAACAGACCAAGCATTATCATCGCCGTCGAAAATAAAAAAGACAAAAGTGATGGAAATTTAAGCTACCACTCCACAAATAATAGTACCCTACGCCATAGATGAAATTACCCTATTTTTCCAGTGATAGTGCCAGTCCACGAGAATTTGATGCATAGTCACCAGTAACAGAGCCAAGTCTTGCATTGAAGTCACCACAAAGAATGGTATCATGTGTTAAAGGAATGGAAGAGAGTACATGTAGGACATCATGAGTGGGCATAGTTGGTGGAAGATATAAGCATACAATTCTGAGTGAACCAATTTTGACAGCCAGAGCATATTTGGAGGGCATAGGTATTTGAGGGACGGCATAAGGACAGTGAGGTGATATGAGAACAGAAACACCCATAGAGCCCCTATAGGTGCCAGCTACAGGAGAACCATACAAGTGAATTTGTGACCATGATGTGGGAAGATGTGAGGGAGAGAGAAGCCATGTTTCTGTAATGAAGAGCATATGTAAGGACTGACAGTGTTGAAGGGTATCTTGAATGGCTCTGGGTTGCAGGCCATTGGCATTCCATAATCCGATATTGAGATTACTCATTCAGACATAGTGACTGATGAGCTGCGCTGACGTTTGAACAAAGACCCGCCAGTAGCATTGGTAAGAGTAGTACGTGTTGGTATTTCATCTTCACTGATCCACCCTTCCTCACAAAAGAAGTGACCAACTGGGATAGCAACGTGTGGGTGCAAGAACTGTAGGGCTTGGAGACATCTATCATGGTGAAGCATGGCAGCAGTGTTGGCAAGTTCATGAGTGGACAGAGATGCATACTTGGGATCAGCAACATTATCAGGATCAAGTGGATCAAATGCGTCCAAAATCTCAACAGAAGCAGTTGTCAGTTTGGCCTTAAATGTATCAGCATACTGGACATGAACAAGGATGCCAATGACACCTCTGGCTGGGAAGTTAATGTCCAAAAGTCGAGAAGAATCCACACCAAGAGTGCGGAGAGAGGAACGGACTTCTTTGTGCTTAAGGCGTCTTGATCTTGGAATATAAACATATTCATAACCTGAAGGACCAGAGGGAAGAGCAAACATACGAACAGAAGCTGCAATACGGCGAGCAGAGGGAACAGTAGACATTTTTGGGGCAGTTACAGGAAGAGAAACACTGGCTTTACTAGCCCAAGTGGAGGCTTCCAGACCTGGTTCTTTGTTTTTGTCAGGAGCACCTACTGCGCCGGCTGGGTTCGAAAGTGAAATTTCTGAAAAGTTTTTTTCAGGTGCACTCTGAGATCCTAATTGCTTCTGCAGATTAGCAATTGTTGTTCTAGCATGCTCTAATTCAGTAGTTAGTCTTGCATTCTCTGCTGCAAGTCGCTCCAACTGGTCGGTTCTGTTTTGCACATTCATGATTTGTGCCTGCAATGTTGTCAGGAATGAGGTAAGCTCGGTTGGCAATCCCTGAATGTTGCCGATTTGCAAATTGGCCATTGGGATTGAGAATGCAGATGGCGTGATGTTGTCTGATTGAGCTGAAATTTTTTTTGCTGACAGCTGGGATACCAAGGACAAGGACTGCACTACTTTTGGCAATGGGAGGTACGTTTTTCGTGATGGATGGATCGTTTTGCGTAAAGATGTTGATGGATGGATACACTTTATATGTGGATTCGTCAAAAATAAAATTGTAGAACCAGGTAAATACAATGCTTAAGCGAAAGAGCAGTGCCTTCTTGGCTCAGGTTAAAGATTATTTTTATTAAGGAGATATCGCTGGCGATCTATAGATCATATAGCCTCCCAAGTACAAAAGAAAAAGAAAAAAAAAAGTCCAAAAGGATCACAAAAGACAAAAAAATGAATAGAAGAAGAGAAATAAACAATACTAAGCTAAAAGACTGAACCTGCTCTCCACTTTGCAGCTGTGTAAAAAGTTGTAACAGTGAAAGGGAGGAGACAGAATTGCAGATCTAGAAACCTTTCATGAATGAGAAGACAAAAATAAGAAGAAAAGAAGTAAAAGAAAACAGATATTAAATTATTAGAGCTAGTGCCAGAGAGAACCATGATCGGTTTCATGTGTGTAGTTGCCATTAGGATTGCATAGCATGTCAATATGCCATAGTATTGTAAGAAGAGCTTTCCAATATAGAGGGCTTGGATGTGTAGACGAGATTGGTAGTGCTGATATAGCAAAGTCAATGATGTTGTCTTCATCTGTGGGTGGTGCTGGAAGTTGAGAGAACAGCTGAGATGGGATTGTGATGCAGAATTGGAGATGGCGTCTTGAAGTATGATCAAAGCCACATGCACACTCCTTTGGCTTACCAGGCAACCAGCCCATTCTCCAACGTACTAGACGGCCACGTTCTATGTGTGTAGCAGAAAGAAACAATACAGGATCAACTTCAAGAAGAGGGCGGCAAGCTTGGATGAGAATCTTAGTGTTGGTGAGATGAAAGTGAGCAAACTTTTCTTGTCTAAAAGACTCAAAGTGCTTGGATAGTTTTATGCGGCTGGAGCAATTAAGATCAGGGGGAATGCTGGCAAAAAGAGGGTTTGTGTGAAGAGTGGATAGTGTTGATGCTTGGAGATGATGAGAATGGAGCAGAGAGAGAAGACAACCAGAAGGAAGAGTGTGTGCCCGAAGACAAAATTTTGTTTTGAGAATGTCAACGCGAAAAGCCATACTGGGCAGGTTGCAGATATGTTTCAAGACTGCAGTAGATGAAGTTGCATGGCCACCAACAATCATTCGCAAGCATTTATCTTGAATTTTCTCTAGAAGTAAAACATCTTTTTGCAAAAGACATGTGATTGCAAGACCATACTCGAATTTTGGTCGTATAAAGGTTTTGAACAGACGTGAACTTAAGAGCAAACTGAAACCAGATCTACATGCACCAACAGCAGTAAGAGTTGCCATAGCAGCCAATGCTCCAGAACGACGATGAGTGACAACAGACGGTCCAAAGATGCCTTTGTTACAGAAAGGTATACCCAAGTATATAAACTCATTTACTGCAGGAAGCAACTCGCCATACAGAGAGATAGTAGAACGTGGTAAAGATCGTGAAGGAGGATAGAGTACAGCACATTTTGAAGGACTCCAACGGTAGCCAAGCTGGAAGGAGTGTTGGGCAGCAAGGTCAAGCATACTCTGAACATCAGTGACAGAGCCAAAGATAGCAACATCATCAGCAAAAAGAAGACTGTTAATGGCAGTAGGCAAGTGAATGTGTTGAAAGTCATTCACATCTGATGGGGCAAGAAGAGAATTGTAAGCATCCAATGAGGAAGGAGAGGTTGATGGGATATGTGTTGAGGTGAGTGGTGATGCAACTGTGCGGAGTATTGGTGGCAGAGAGTTGATATAGATTGAATACAAATGTGGACTGAGAACGGAACCTTGAAGGACGCCTGTGGTGGGAGAAAAAGAATGAGAAGAGAAGTTGCCAAGAAGAACAGATATAGAGACATTATCAAACATATTGACAAGAAGTCCAAGTAAAGCTGGTGGTGTGTGACGTCTAGCAAGAGCATCCCAAATGACTCGTCGGTCTACTGTATCATAAGCTGCCTTTATGTCTAAGAATGCAACAACAGGATAATGGTGATGGCGGTGGAAGTGTGCTTTCATGAGGTCATGCAGACAGAGAGCTTGGTCCATGGCACCACGTCTAGGACGGAAACCACCCTGAGCAACATCCAGAGGAGGGGAAAACTTGTGAAGCACTGGAGAAATACACATTTCCATCAGTTTCCGCACAACAGAAGTTAGTGAAATAGGTCGATAGTTAGCAGCAATTGATGGATCTCCCTTTTTGTAAATGGGAAAAACTTGAGCCTGACGCCAAATAACAGGTACATATGACCATTGCCAACAGATGGTGAACAAGAGTGAGAGTAGTGGAGCAATTTGTGGTCGAATTACTTTCAACATTTCTGCTCTGATGTGATCTGGGCCTGGTGCCTTGCGGTTAGGCATAAATTGCATGCATCCCTCTACCACTGAAGAAACAAATGGCGAGTTGGCAGAGGCAAAAGGCAGACTAGTACTGTGAAGAGGAGGAGGAGGACGCTGATCTGGGAGGATACTGCCACTGTATACAGATGCAAGATGCTCACACATAATTGTTGCTGCTGTTGCTGGTCCATCACTATGTTGAAACATGTGCTGAGGCTGCCGTCGGCGTTTGAGTAGCTTGATCTTTGATGTTGCTTTGGAAAAGTCTTGTTCCATTGATTTGCAGAAAGCATGCCATGATTGGCGCTTAGATGATTGCACTTGATGTCGGAATTCTGCCTGCGCTTTGAGATGCTTATCCCACCAATGAATTCTGTCTATACCACATGCACGGCGCCATTTCTTGTAGCAGAAATTGCGGTGCTCTGCAGCTGCTTGAAGTACTGGATTCCAGAATTTTTTCCAGTGGGAAGGACGGGGAGGACGGTTGCCAATTGAGCTACTTAAAGAATTATAAATGAGTGAGTTGAATTCATCAGTTAGTGCATCAATTGGTGGACGTGAGGAAGGAGGGTGTTCAAAGGTCGATTGCAAAGTGGATTTGAGGTTGGTGGAATTAGTGACAAATGTGTGGACATATAGTTTGAGAACATCAGGTTCTTGAAGACGTGAGAGGTTCCATGTTTTGCGAGATGGTGGTGGTGCATGTGATGTTGGATTGATGGCATATGTAAATGAAAGTGAAAGCAGACGGTGGTCAGAGTTGAGTGAGAGGTCGGTATGAATGTTGAGAGTGGCATTGGTGAGGGATATATTAGTGATAAACAGATCAATGATACTGCTTATCTCCACATTTTGGCGGAATGAAATGAATGTAGGTATGCATGGTGAGAGCTGGCCATTGACAACAGTAAGAGCACGTTCTTCTAACCATTGACAAAGAGCAAGACCTCGAGTGTTAGTAGCATAGTCACCAGTAAGTGAACCCAAACGTGAATTAAAATCGCCGCAGATAATAGTGTCATTGGTCAAAGGAATGGATGAGAGAACTGCAAGAGCATCATGGGTGGACATAGAGGGCGGTAAGTACAGGCATACAATTCTGAGGGAACCAATCTTGATGGCTAAAGCATAATTAGATGACATAGGAATCTGAGTGACAGGATAAGGACAAGATGGAGAAATAAGAACAGAAACACCCATAGAACCTCTGTAGTTGCCAGCTACAGGTGAACCATAAAGATGAATCTGGGACCAAGAAGTGGGGAGACGAGATGGGGGAAGAAGCCATGTTTCAGTGATAAAAAGCATATGTAGAGAGTGACAGTGTTGAAGAACATCATAAATTGCACGAGGCTGCAGACCATTAGCATTCCAAAGTCCTAATGAGATTTCACTCATTCAGACATTGCAACAGAGGTACGACGAGATGGTGATTGGAAATCATGAATACCAGCACCAGGACCAGAAACAGAATGGACAGGAATATCTTCCTTAGAGATCCAGCCTTGATCACAAAAGAAATGACCAACAGGAACAGCAACATGAGGACGAAGGTACTTGAGAGCCTTCATACAACGATCAGAATGAAGTTCAGCAGCAACTTCTTCTAGCTCTGAATCAGAAAGAGACTTATATTTGGGATCTGCAATGTTTTTGGGATCCAAAGGGTCAAACGCATCTAAGATCTCAATGGCAACTGTGGTCAGAGTGGTCTGGAATTTCTCAGCATACTGGTTGTGAACTAGGATGCCAACTACATCCTTGGCAGGAAAATTGATATCCAAGATGCGGCCAGTATCAACACCAAGTGTTTTCAAAGAGTTGCGCACTTCTCTATGTGTGAGACGACGTGAACGTGGGATATACACATATTGATATCCTTTGGGACCAGTGGGAATGGCAAACATTCTAGCAGAAGCAGCAACCTGGCGAACAGAAGGAGGTCTTGGAGTCTTGCAAACAGAAAGAGCAGTAGGAACAACAACAGAGTTGTGAGCAGCAGCAGCAGTTGTAGCCCATGTAGAAGCCTCAGTGCCAGGCTCCTTGGGTGTGGTTGGTGCAGATGATGTTGATGCATTTGTTGTAATTTGGCAATTGCCCTGAGATGCTAATTGAGATCTGAGATCAGCAATTAGCTTTTCCGCATTAACTAATTGAGCAGTTAATCTAGCATTAGTTGCGGCAAGAGATTCAAGTTCATTGGTACGTTGTTGTAGTGACATGAATTGGGCCTGCATGTTCCCCAGAAATAAGGCGAGATCGGGTGACATTCCCGCCTTCTTGGCTCAGGTTAAAGATTATATTTTATTAAAGGAGATAATGCTGGCGATCTATAGATCATATAGCCTCCAAAGTACAAAAAGAAGATATAAAAAAGTCCCAAGGGATCACAAAAGACAAAAAAAAGAGAGGGGAAAGAGAAGATCAAATCATACTAGCTTCAATGGCTGAATCTGCTCTCCACTTTGCAGCTGTGAAAATAGTTGTAACAGTGAAAGGGAGGAGACAGAATTGCAGAACAAAGAACTTTTCAGACAGCAAAGGACAAAAGAGAAAGAAGAGAGATAAAGGGAGTAAAGAACAATGAAAAGTGAAGAGCTATGAAAGAAAAGAAAAAGTCTAAATTATATCCAAAGAGCACCATGTTCAGTCTCATGTGAATAGTCACCATCAGGATTACATATAACATCTATGTGCCAGAGAATAGTCAGCAGTGGTATCCAGTAAGCAGGTCGCGGTTCTTGAGATGACAAAGGCAAGGATGTGATGGCAAAATCAATTCTGTGTATCTGATCTTGGTCAGGTTGAGGCAACTGTTCAAATAGTGCCATAGGAACAAGTGGGCAATCCAACAAATGGCGGCGTGAGGTGTGATCTGATCCACAAGGACATTCCTTTGGTTTGCCTGGTAACCACCCCATTCTCCAACGAATCAAACGGCTACGTTCCACACGTGAGGCTGGCAAAAACAAGATTGGATCAACTCCAAGAACTGGGCGGCATGCTTGAATGAGAACTTGCGTATTAGACTGGAGAAAGGTTGCAAATCCAGCTTCTCTAATGCTTTCAAAATGATTTTTTACAGCACTAGGGCTTCGAAGTTTGAGTGTTGGAGGGAGATTGGACAGAAGATGGGTTTTTCCCAAGGAGACAAGTGAAGAATAGACGGTATGATGACGGTGCAAAAGAGACAGAAGGCACTGGGCTGGCAAAAAGCGTGATCTTATACAGAACTTGGCCATAAGAGCATCGGCACGAAACTTCATACTTGGCAGATTGCAGATGTGCTTTAACACAATTGTAGAGGACGTGGCATGCCCCCCAACAATCATGCGAAGACACTTATCTTGAATGGACTCCAGCACTTTGATATCTTGCTTCAGTAGAGTGGAGATTGCCAAACCATATTCAAACTTTGGGCGGACAAAGGTCTTATACAATCGTGAACTGAGCAGCAGAGAAAAACCAGAACGACAAGCACCAACAGAGTTTAGGGTTGCCATTGTAGCAAGTGTACCAGAACGTCTATGAGTGGCAATGGACTTGGAAGAAATACCCTTATTGGCAAAAGGAACACCCAGATAAATAAACAGGTCAGTGGCAGGGAGAACTTGACCATATAAAAGAAGAGAAACTGGCGAGCTTGCACGTGTTTTGGGATATATAACTTCACATTTGGTGGGGCTCCATCGATATCCAAGAGTAAAAGAGTGGTCTGCAGCAAGGTCTAGCATGGCCTGAACGTCTGAAAGAGAACCAAAAATAGCTACATCGTCGGCAAAGAGCAGAGAATTGATGGGTGTTGAGAAATGAATATGTCCAAAGCCATCTACACCTGAAGGAGCAAGAAGAGCATTATATGCATCCAATGAGGTAGGAGAGGGTGATGGAACATGGGTTGTAGTTTGTGAGTGAGCAACTGTGCGGAGCAATGGGGGCAGGGAGTTGATATATATTGAATACAGATGTGGACTGAGGACAGAACCTTGGAGAACCCCAGTGGCAGGTGAGAACGAGTGTGAAGAAAAGTTACCCAAAAGGACACAGATAGAGACATTGTCAAACATGTTAACCAAGAGACCCAAAAGTGCCGGTGGAGTGCAACGTTTTTGTAAAGCATGCCAGATGATTCGTCGATCCACTGTATCATAGGCAGCCTTGATATCCAGAAATGCAACAACAGGGTAGTGCTTATGACGGTGATAATAGGCTTTCATCAGATCATGGAGACAGAGAGCTTGATCCAAAGCACCACGGTGAGGACGAAAACCACCTTGAGCCACATCCAAAGGAGGAGAGTACTTGTGCAACTGGGGGGCTATACACATCTCAAAAAGCTTACGCAGTACAGAGGTCAAGGAGATTGGTCTGTAGTTTGCCGGGTCAGTTGGACTACCCTTCTTGAAGATTGGGAAGACCTGGGCTTGGCGCCACAAACTTGGAACATATGACCATTGCCAGCAAACTGTAAATAATAAAGTAAGAATGGGTGAGACATGTGTTTTTACAGGTTTTAGCATTTCAGCTCTGATATGGTCTGGTCCTGGTGCCTTGCAGTTAGGCATAAATTGCATGAATTCCTCTACAATTGGTGAGGTAAAGGGAGAGTCATCAGAGGCAAAAGGCACACTGTTACAAGTGGTCATTGGTGCTGGTGGTCGGGTTGCTGGAAGTATATGTCCACTATATACTGTTGCCAAATAGTCACACATTGTTGCTGCTGCTACGGCTGGTCCATCATCGTGCTGGAAAGTATGTTGCGGCTGTCTACGGCGTTTTAACTGCTTTATCTTTGATGTTGCTTTGCTGAAGTCACGTTCCATAGACTGACAAAAGACATGCCAAGACTGACGTTTTGCTTGCTGAACCTGAGATCGGAATTCGGCCTGTGCATGCTTGTGTTTAGTCCACCAAACAACTTTGTCAATACCTATTGCTAGGCGCCATTTTTTGTAACATTGGTTACGACGATCTGCTGCTGTTTGCAAAGCTACATTCCAGAAGGATTTCCAATGATTTGGGCGAGAGGGTCGATGTCCAATTGAGCTATTTAATGAGTCATAAATGAGTAAATTGAACTCATCAGTGATAGCATCAATGTTGGGTCTAGTGAGTGGTGGATTCTGTACAATGTCTTGCAAGGTGGAAAGGAGGGAGGTCGAGTTTTGATTGAAGGTATGAGCATAAAGAGCATGGACATCAGGTTCATTGAGGCGTGAGAGGTTCCATGTCTTGCGTAATGGTGGTGGCATATTGGTAGAGTGCTGTAGATCATAGGTAAAGGAAAGTGATAAAAGGCGATGATCTGATCCAAGAGACAAGTCAGTAGCAATATGAAGAGAAGGATTGATGAGTGGCATATTAGTTATAAAGAGGTCAATAATACTGCTGATTTCATAGTTGTTGCGGAAAGAAATATATGTTGGTATGCAAGGTGCAAGATCTGCATTTACAACTGATAGAGATCTCTCTTCTATCCAAGAACATAATGCCAGTCCACGAGAATTTGATGCATAGTCACCAGTAACAGAGCCAAGTCTTGCATTGAAGTCACCACAAAGAATGGTATCATGTGTTAAAGGAATGGAAGAGAGTACATGTAGGACATCATGAGTGGGCATATTTGGTGGAAGATATAAGCATACAATTCTGAGTGAGCCAATTTTGACAGCCAGAGCATATTTGGAGGGCATAGGTATTTGAGTGACGGCATAAGGACAGTGAGGTGATATGAGAACAGAAACACCCATAGAGCCCCTATAGGTGCCAGCTACAGGAGACCCATACAAGTGAATTTGTGACCATGATGTGGGAAGATGTGAGGGAGAGAGAAGCCATGTTTCTGTAATGAAGAGCATATGTAAGGACTGACAGTGTTGAAGGGTATCTTGAATGGCTCTGGGTTGCAGGCCATTGGCATTCCATAATCCGATATTGAGATTACTCATTCAGACATAGTGACTGATGAGCTGCGCTGACGTTTGAACAAAGACCCGCCAGTAGCATTGGTAAGAGTAGTACGTGTTGGTATTTCATCTTCACTGATCCACCCTTCCTCACAAAAGAAGTGACCAACTGGGATAGCAACGTGTGGGCGCAAGAACTGTAGGGCTTGGAGACATCTATCATGGTGAAGCATGGCAGCAGTGTTGGCAAGTTCATGAGTGGACAGAGATGCATACTTGGGATCAGCAACATTATCAGGATCAAGTGGATCAAATGCGTCCAAAATCTCAACAGAAGCAGTTGTCAGTTTGGCCTTAAATGTATCAGCATACTGGACATGAACAAGGATGCCAATGACACCTCTGGCTGGGAAGTTAATGTCCAAAAGTCGAGAAGAATCCACACCAAGAGTGCGGAGAGAGGAACGGACTTCTTTGTGCTTAAGGCGTCTTGATCTTGGAATATAAACATATTCATAACCTGAAGGACCAGAGGGAAGAGCAAACATACGAACAGAAGCTGCAATACGGCGAGCAGAGGGAACAGTAGACATTTTTGGGGCAGTTACAGGAAGAGAAACACTGGCTTTAGTAGCCCAAGTGGAGGCTTCCAGACCTGGTTCTTTGTTTTTGTCAGGAGCACCTACTGCGCCGGCTGGGTTCGAAAGTGAAATTTCTGAAAAGTTTTTTTCAGGTGCACTCTGAGATCCTAATTGCTTCTGCAGATTAGCAATTGTTGTTCTAGCATGATCTAATTCAGTAGTTAGTCTTGCATTCTCTGCTGCAAGTCGCTCCAACTGGTCGGTTCTGTTTTGCACATTCATGATTTGTGCCTGCAATGTTGTCAGGAATGAGGTAAGCTCGGTTGGCAATCCCTGCATGTTGCCGATTTGCAAATTGGCCATTGGGATTGAGAATGCAGATGGCGTGATGTTGTCTGATTGAGCTGAAAAATTTTTTGCTGACAGCTGGGATACCAAGGACAAGGACTGCACTACTTTTGGCAATGGGAGGTACGTTTTTCGTGATGGATGGATCGTTTTGCGTAAAGATGTTGATGGATGGATACACTTTATATGTGGATTCGTCAAAAATAAAATTTTGGAACCAGGCAAATAAAATGCTTAAGCGAAAGAGCAGTGCCTTCTTGGCTCAGTTGGCAGAGCGTCTGCCTAGTAAGCAGAAGGTCGCCAGTTCAATTCTGGCAGAAGGCATGTTACCTACTTAACACTGTAAACAACAATTTTTTTTCTTGTTTATGGTGTCGTTTTCGATCTGGGTTGTTCTTCCAAAGCTATAACACAGCCAAAATTGGTCAAATCCACTGGGAATCATAAAAGATAGAAAGATATAGTATCTCCTTATTTTATCCTACGGAGAGTTTGAATTAGTATTTAATTTAGTTCTGTGGCTTTCTAACTTTAATGACAGACAGTGGCTTTTGCATCTTACACATGGCATTCTTTTTTCACCAAATAATCACTTCCCTCTTTCTTAAAAATAAACTTCATTTATGTTTAACAACAATATAAACAACACTATTTATGATATTTCCACCATTCAACAAGTCTTGATCAACTTGCCTTTGGAAGGAATCAAGATGCTTCCTTTGAATTTGGCAATATTAGTAAAAGCTAGTGAATGGGAAAAGTGTCTGGAGCGAATCAATGTCTTATGCTCAACAAAATGGAATAAAAAGCATAAATATTCTGGAAAAGGTTTAGTTTTTGGAGAGACTAAAAAATGCCACTGTGCTGGCCAATATATAACAAACCGCCAATTACGTCTTGCCCAGAAAGATACGAAGGCATGCTCTTGTACAGCTGCCTTAAAAATCATACAGCATCTCAACAACCCCAATGTTGTTACATTTTGCCAAACAAGGGCACATGTAAACCATGTTCCTGGAGACTGGGACGAAGTCAGAACTCTTCCTTTGCCTTCTGAAGCCATAAAGATTATTGAAGATCAGTTGAAAAGTGGCAGCAGCTGTAGAAGTACAAGAATTTCAGTTCTTAGACAGATTGATAGTTGGGGAGTTGGCGTTAGAAAGCCTAATTATGAAGAAATTTACAACAGAATGAGAAAGGTTTGTCAATGAATATAACAGAGCTTTTGTATTAAATTAATATTTATATATCAAATAAATACTCGTATATAAAATAGATGACTACTTTGTTATATATGTTTGCTTCTGATGAAAATGCATTTATTTCCATCTGGTTAAATGTAAAGCTAGCAGAACAAAACTATTGCATTTTTGAAATCAATCTTTCTGTTTATAATGACGGTAAAAAACAATTTGCCTTTGGATTTCAATTACCAATGCAAGTTTCAATCATGAGAATCTCGCAATCTTTTTGTCTCGATACCGCCCATTCCATTTCGTCCAGAAGCGACGAAGTATTATATACTTTGGTCACTCGCCATTCTCAAACAGGAAAGGGATTCCTTGTTGCATACATGGTGACAAACAACCAGACAGCCATACCCATCAAACTTTGGCTTGACCACCTTCGCATTAAGAGCAGCTTTGTACCAATAAATATCACCATTGACTGTAGCATTATGGAGGTTAATGCAATCAAAGAAGTATTATCTCATGCTACAATTCACTATTGTGATTTTCATGTTCTTCGCGCTTGATAGCACAACCTTGACAACAAGATTAAACTTAATGCCTCTTATACATCAGAACAACTTGGGAATTATAAGACTGCACTGAAGAACTATCTGAGACACATTCTTATTGAGTCCAACGAAGACATGTTCCTAAGAGCAATTGAAGATTTTAAACGGATAGTTCAGGAGCAACCTCAGTTTTTGAAATATTTTGAGAAGAAATGGACCGAGAACGAAGAATTGTTACAAAGATGGAGGTGCCCGTACATTAGCCAACAACATCAGAGATATGTAACAAACAACTATGTAGAATCATGGCACAATCAACTCAAAACAATCTACTTTGGTCGTACACGCATCAGAAGATTGGATCGACTGATTTTTATCTTGACAAATGATGTGGAGTTCTATTTTGAACAAGAGGTTGAGCGTATTCACTTCAACAATGGTAAGATGGGTCCCATTGATAATGAGTTAGCAAGAAATTCTTTTGTTGCTTCAAAAATCCAAAATGACATGCTCCCTTCCATGATTCTCAACCCTTTGGGTGAGACTGGTAACAGCATGGATGATTATAATGATGAGTGGCAAATAAGATCTTTTGTAACAGAAGATAAGTGGTATACTGTCAATATATCAAATGACTTGATACAAAGCTGCACCTGTCTGAACTTTCTGACCTGCCAGATCCCATGCAAGCATTCACATTTGTTGAAGCATTACTGTGAGGCAAAATTCAGCTTCATCGAGCAACGGGAGATAGCAGGAGTGGTATTGAACCAACAAGACGCTGTAAATGCAAACGAGAACGAAGTTGAGAAAGAAGTAGAGCAGGAATTAGAGAGTGGAGGTACTGCTGAAGATAGAGGTGTATATGTCTTTGACGAAATTGCAGCTTATTCTGCAACAATGCATCACAGCTTTGAAGATCTTCAAACTTTGAAGACAATTCCTGGCTTAGATCAAATAAAGACAGATCTTATAAAAAAAGTACTCGCAAATGCTGTGAGGTTGATAGATGAATATAGAAGTGAGAACCCTTCATATTTTAGAAACTTGAATACTCAGAGATAATAATAAAAATAATAAATATATATCATTAAAAGATCTTAAAAGTACAAGAAAAAATATTTCTGATTGATATAAACAAATACAATTCTAATTGAATTTACCAAAAGTAAAACTTGTCACTACCTCAATGGATTTTCAAAATTCAAACTCTCCATCAGATAAAAAAAGAAGATACTTAAAGACGCGGTGGATTATAACAGACCGTTCATTAAGGACAATCAAGATATTCCAAAGGCTTCGTTTTGTACTATACCTGAACATGTTGTGTGTTTGGACACACCAGAAAATGCTACAGCCTTCCAAAGCCCATATTCTATTCCATATAAGATGCAAAGTGTGGTGGATAAACAGGTAAAAGAATGGCTGGACAATGGTATAATTGAAAGAGCATCTGCAAACACACAATGGAATACGCCTTTGACTGTTGTCAAGAAGACGAATGGTAAAGGAGAAATTACTGGATATCGTATGTGTCATGATTCCCGGTTAATCAATTGTCTGTTGAAGTCAATAGATTGTATGCCCCTGCCATTAATTGGTGAATTGTTTGAAGATTTAAAGGGTGCAAATATTTATTCCACTCTGGATTTGAAATCTGCGTTTAATTCTTTGAGGTTGAACCCAAAGGACACACACAAACTTAGTTTCACATGGCGTGGTGTACAGTACAAACCTATTGGTACAGTGTTTGGTATAAAGCATGTCAGTTTACAATTTCAAAGAACTATGAGTATAGCTTTGGAAGGACTATCTTTTGTATAGTTTTTTGTGGATGACATTGTTTGCGTAAGCAAAACGTTCGAGGAACACAAGGAACACTTGAAGCAAGTCATTGAGAGATTAACAAGGGTCAATTTGAAGTTGAATCCGAAAAAATGTCATTTCTTTCAGAAAGAAATTTATTTGCTTGGTTTTCATATTTCACCTGAAGGGATTACAATGGACCGCAGAAAACTTGTTAATGTTCTTGAATTTCCTCAACCAAAGTCGAGTAAAGATATCCAAAGTTATTGTGCGTTGATCAACTATTTTAGAACGTTGATTCTGAATGTATCTTCCATTATGTTGCCACTAGATTCATTGAGAAATGAAAAGTCGATTACCCATTTATGGACAGATAAGCATCAAACTGCATTTAACAACTTGAAAAAAGCACTTTTGAGTGATCTGGTGTTGTTGTACCCAGATATGAACTCTCCTTTTAGTATCAGCTGTGATGCATCTCTTACTAGTATTGGTGCAGTGTTGTATCAAGTCAAGGATGGCAAGAAAAAAATATATTTCTTTTGTGGCTAAGAGCTTATCCCAAAGTGAAAGAAAATATTCTGCGACCAAAAGAGAATTACTAGCGTTAGTATTTGCACTCAAGCGTTTTCACAAGTATGTCTATGGTTCTCACTTTACCTTGTACATGGATCACAAGGCATTGACATATCTTCACACCCAACATGTTGTGAATCTGATGATGATCACATGGATGGACACAATTTTACAGTATGACTTTAAGATTGTTCATTTGCCTGATGTTTCGAATGTGCTCCCTGATGTGTTGTAACATTTGTCTGAAGAGACTGAAACATTATCATATGAACTGGGTGGGGATAGTGTGGTTAGATCCATCATGAGAAATGGTGCTGTCACTATAGAACTGCTAACAGACATCTTGAGTGGTGAGTACTTTACTCCTCCCACAGAAAATAAAAGGAATAAGTTATTAGTTGAAGAACATTTGAAAGGTCATTTTGGTGTAGAAGCTATACTACATGCCTTAAAGAGAAAAGATATTTATTGGACCAACTTGAAGAGTCAAGCAAGTGATCTTATACAATTGTCACTGCAAAAGGAGGGCCAATTCAGTATACTAAATCTTGACCAAATACTGTCTGAATGAATAAAATTCAGCATGAATTCGATCGGAATTTATGATGCCAATTTTTTAAAATTCGTGAGCTAAATGAATACAATTAGTATACTGAATTTTAGGAACGCAAAAAGAAAAAGTGTGATATACTTTTATGTGATATATTTTGGTCGTGAAAATATAGACGCACTTTTATCAGACCGCAGATTTTTCATTTTATATTGGTTTTGGGGTTTTTTTTAAATACAGCACATAACATTCAACATCTTTTTATTACTATATATGGGTTGTTAAAGAAGAGATTTGGTCAAGATTTGGTCAAGATTTAGTCAAGATTTAGAGGTTTATGGGTCATTTTAAAGGTTTTTATTGGTTTGAAAAAATTTTCTTATTGTTTCTAGCTGTTTCTATTCGTCTACATCACTAATCGTCTTCTGTTGCAATTGGGTAGAAACATCACACTCGATGCCGTCATTTATTTTAGTGGATACTATGTTATTCCTTTCGAACATCCATTGGTCCACCCCTGGTGCAATCGACCCCTACTGTATTCCATTGCTTGCTGCGGCACGCCTTCTTGGCCTGTTTGTTTACTTTTATAAAAAATAATTATAGGGTGGATTAGAAAGAATGTTCTAGGTATATTTATTTGAGAGCGACAGATTATTTAAAAAATATGAATGTACTTACAATAAAGTTAAACACGAGAACAGATGGATGTCTTTAACATAAAGATAGATATATCAACGTTTTAGTTAAATGTCTCAATTATAGTAATATTGTCTATAAAAATAATAACTTTTGTTAATACGATGCAAAGTAAATAAGACTATGGTTTGCTTACCAGACAGTTCAGAAAACAGAAGAGTTGACAAACACAAAATACAATGACATTGTCTATAAAATATAATCTTTTATTAGAATGAAATAAAGAGTATCAGACTATTTTTTGCTTACCAATTATTCAATACAATAGAAGATGCAGCATGCGGGAAATGGAGATATTATCTATAAAATAATTTCTTTTCATTAGAATTACATACAAAGAAGTAGAATGATTATTTACTTACTTGTCTGTCTGTAGAGAATAAGAGTCGGTGTATAATCAAAAAAAGAGGACCGAGATAAAGACCAGTGACTATAGAGTGTATGGTATACATAAGAAAAATAATAAATACAAGTTGTATCTTGAAGGTGCACGTTAATACTTATACAACATACCATTTTGTAAACCCTCCCAAGGTATATGTCTTTGTTAACGGGCCAGAAAAATCTAAGCAGAATAATTAATACATAAATCGTGAATAAATATTCAAGTATATTTTTATTACCTTTTTATCATTATTTTTGAGGCAGTTAAGAAGGACTTGGTGGTTTAAAGCATAGTGTATCATGCTAGAATAAAAACAACAAGATGATTAGGTCTTGAAACTTTGATGTGAGTTGATGCTTACCATGTTAGACATTAAGAAAGAAGTAAAGAAGAAGAAAGAAAAAATTAAAAAAAAAAACGGGGGAAATTCAAAATTATAATTTTATGACCGTTGACCCTGAGAAACTGATAGAATCAATGGAGCAAATTGAAAGTCATTCAACCCATCCCGATTGAGACAAGACATTACGTACTAAACCATAATCTCTCACATCTTTGTAATGGATGTAAGCTATTACAAATGCCTTTCCAAGTCGGCTTATAAAGAAAAGTATAATATAGAGAGCAAAATGCTATAAAGAGCATCATCAGAAAAATAATCTTTTGGTGCCTTACTTTCCACCTTTACGTATGTTTTGATTTATTTTATTATTTTAAAGAAACCCGACTCTAATTATTAAAGTATTCACATTGTTTCCATTTCTTTCATTAGCCTTAAATATCTCAATTCATGTCTTCTAATACGCAGCAATCCAAAAAAACGAAAAAGACGACTACAAAAAAGTCTGTTCAACAAACCGCTGGGACAGCAGCAAGCACAAGACAACGGGAAATTCTTCCCAGCTTGACAGTTAGCGCAGAGCTAGATGGTACTGTCCTGTCCACTTTGTCCACCATGAGCACCCGACTGAATGAATCTCATTCACTTCTGGAGAAGGTCTACCACAACATGGGAGCAACCAATGGCCAGAATAACAATTCGAACCATAGTCCCATCGGTCAGGCTCTTACTACAGGAGAATATATAAAGTACCGCCTTCCAACGGTTTCGGTAGGATATATACTAGTAATAGAATATTGCAAAGTTACTTACATTATATTTTGCAGAGATTGATCCGTTCTCAAACACGAGCAGTTCTGGCAACAATGCCATTGACAGTCAATGAGGGCGCCTTCTCGACATCCAACCGTCCCATTGCTGATGTAGTGCAGAGCTACACACATCAGCAAGCTGAAGTAAAGTCTGTTTCGTCTGCAGTTGTGGAAGAGAAAACCCAAAGACATATTTCGTATATGCTTCAAAGGGCAAAAGCTTTGCCAGAAAAGATAGCTCAACAAAATCGGATTTCTCGACGCCGGTCCAGAAAGAGAAACGTAAGTATAGTCAACAGTTTTTGTGTAAACTATTTTAACTTTTTTTTTCAGATTCTTGCAGACTACAAGGCAATTCACTTAGCTGACAAGGCAAACCTTGAGTCTAAGTTTGGTGAGACTGTCGTTGACCTTCTGGACTATGACATGTTGTCTGATATTGAGTCAGATGAGGAGAAAAATAAAACTAGATATACTCCTAGAAATAGACATCTCTTGGTAAGGCTCTCATGATAAAAGTTATTTTTTTTAATACTTCTAACTCAAAAGTATTTATATTATAATGCAGGTGGATGAATACTTTACTGTTTTGAAGAAACAGAGACTTGCTAACAAGGGACCAGACGTCATTGGCAATTCTGTCTATCCAATTATTTTGAGAAACACCGAGTTATCGAATGAGAAAAAGGCACGTGTTGCTGCTTGGATTCACACACGCCAACAATAAATCGTTATTTTGTTTACAAAGTGCATATAGTACTTTAATGATTTTTATTGATTGTGTTGAATGATGTGGGGTGAAGTGGTAAAATATAATCAGGCAGTATTGTCAAGATGAGAAGCAATTAATATATAAATAAAAGGAAAAAGAAAAAGACAAAATCAAAAATCAAAATAATAAATTATTTATTTTATTTTATTTTATTTTATTTTATTTTAAAGCCAATTAATAAAAAAAATATATATACAAAGCAATTATTTAATTATATAACCCTGATTGTTTTATCCTCGTTTTTTTTTATTGGAAATTATAATACCGATATTAGCAAGAATATGTAATAAAGGCAAAGAAAATGGTAAATGTCGGGTATTAAATATACAAGTTTTTTTGTCTTTTATATTATTGATAAAAGCAAGAGAAATAAATAATGGTTTTTACTATTTGTTAATAGTTAAAAAAAACTGGTAATATAATTTACTATTGCTCTTTTAAATACTTAATAAAGAAGTAATGTTAAAACTAAATAAGAATACAGAGATAAATAAAGCTAAACCTTTTTACAGTCAAAAAAACTTCTATTATAATTATTTATACTGGTAACCTAAATAGTTGTTATTTATTTTTTTATGTGACTACTTTTCTAGGCAGTGGAATAACCAGGTGCTTTTGCGTCCCACTCTGCATTTTATGCGTAGTCAACGCAAAGCACAAATGCAGACGATGCACTGGAACAATGCACGAAGCATCTTCTTCCATAAATCCCTTGTCCCACAACTGCAGACCTTGATCAGCTAATGGCTGATGACTACTTGAATGGTAGGCGGGAAACCATTTAATGAATGCGAACGTTGACACTCTTTTGACTCCACCGATCTTGATGGTATGAGTAAATAAATACTCTATTTGACCAGGGAATTCAGATACATCGTCATTTGTTCTCTCAAGAAACAATACCCTCACAAAAGACCCGCGCTTCTTCTTTTCACCACTGCAGTACTCTTGCCCCAGCAACGAAATCTTCTTCACCTTTTGAATCCGATTGTTCACAAATACATCCTCACCAATTGGGATTCTCCCTACCACACAGAAGGAAACACTTGTACTCCGGTAAGCCTTGACATAGAATTCAAATAACCACTGATAGTGATCATCCTTCATCATAGTCAAAGGCTGCAACTTGATTGGCAATGTGGTCGGGGGCAAGGCCTCACTTCCGGTGACATTGTACCATGGATTTGTAGCAGCTTGCTGGAACATTGCTAAGCTAAATGGCAACGCAGGAGGGTGGCCAGCATCCAAATTCAAGGGAGAAGAGCTGTCGGAATTTGATTTTACTTGGGCAACCCCCTCAAGGAACTCTATCAGTGGTGATGAAAGATTGGTAGAATACGCTCGAAGAAAGCTACCAATGAATGCTTTCTCCAGGAAGACTCTCATGAAGGTGACCTCAAGACCATTGCGACGGTTCGTCTTGATGTTCTTCAACTTGCCGTTGTATCTCTCGAAGCTATACAGCCAGAATGCGTATACCGGACCAAAATTAAGCATTGACTCACGCAAGTGCATATGCAAGTGCATATTTGGCGTGATGCTGCTCTCTCCATAAAGAGTCTCACACTCTTTTCCAAATTCTCCAAGGAGCTGGTGTGCGCTGTCAATTTCTGAATATGTGACTGAAGGACCGGTCAACTTTCGGCATGCTTTTACAAAGAGAGTCCAGTTTTTGTAGTCGTCTTCAGGCAAAGCGTCTTTTAGTACCACCAACGAATAAATCAGACACCACGATTGCCACTCGTCTGCCTTCATATACGGGAAACCAGATTCGATCTTTGTTGATAAAATGGCATACCCAGGAGGAACAAGAATACCATCGGCAAGACGTTGCATACGGACGAGAACAGCAGTTGGGAGATACCTCAGGTCTTTCCAAACACTGATCATACGCTTTGCTGTCCCAAGAAACAAATTGTGCATGGGATCAACAATTGTGCATCGGACGGGATCAAAGTAGTGTAGGCGATGCAACTCGGAAAAACGGGTGCCATGCTGCTTCTCCAAAACAGCTCTCTCTGCATCAGATTCTGCGCAGAACCACATCTCAGCTTCGGTTGCATTTTCCTCTTTTGTTCGGGAGACCCAGTTCTCATGATCGAATCCAGAATAATTGATCTTACTTGTTCCAGCAACAACAGTGAAATGACGCTTGCATATGTGACAGGCGTTTGTACTTGCAAATCCTGTAAATCCAGCAGTCTTTCTTGCAGCAGGTATGTCGCAAGCAACACACATAAGAGCAGCGCGGATACTAGTACCATTGGGGAACTCTGGAGTTTTCATAGTTATGCTGCCATATAACTCTACCAGCTCGTCTACCAGAGGTTCCAAGAAGTTGTTCATCTGGTCGATCTTCGCTTCCTTTGGACCAGGCATGACACCGACAAGGATAATGTTTTCTGGCTTCATTCTTTCTTCCCTAGGCAGGTTGTTCATTGACAGGTACAAGGCCCCACTTGCATGTGTACGACCCTCGAACGGTTGAAACCAATCCACATTCAATGTCAACATCAAAGAATGGTCGTGATTCACAAAAGGCTCGTAATCTTCATCAAGGAGCTCAGACCACATTGCACCATCATAGATGTCCAACAAGGTACTGTTTACGGTTTCCCTTGATCTCCATTGAACGATTTGATGCTCGAACCCAGGTTTGGCAAAATGCTGTGCCAATGCATTCTTGAGCGAGTTGTATGGAAAAACCATGAGAGGGACGGCGCGATCAGCTTCGGTGTCAGAGAAAAGAGGATTTCCGCAGTATGTTGGTGGTGTGGTTGTGTATTTTTCGAATGTGCAATTTGGTTGGCGATTGCCTGGTAGGTAAATTGCAAAGCACTTGTTGCAGACAGTGTATTTGATGATGCTTTTTGTCATGAAATTGAAGCCGGTCATAGTCTTTAATGCATCAATGGTGAGTGGGAGATCGGTATCCTTATCAAAGGCAACAAGAAGATGGCGGAAGAATTTCAACATAGCAGTTCCACCTGCTTGAACCAAGTAAAACGTCTGAAAGATAACGCCAAATAGAGCCATAAATTGGCTTATTTGAGACATTTCATGAATTTTCAAAGAAGCAACTACAAAGGCAAGTATTTCTGTTAATTATTTGTAACACAATTTATGTATATTTCTTTTTTAAATGTATGCATACCGGAAGCAACCATGTCTTCAAAATCTTCAACACCGGCAACCTCAACTTCGCTCTCATCTTCAGACTCATCGCTTGAATCAGGATCGTCATTGTCAGAAGCCAATGATATTGTCTCGACATCAGACTCTTCGAATTGAAAAATCTCGTCTTCTCTCAAAAAAGATACACTCTGTACGGTAGTTTCGGCTGATACAATAGAATAATTGTCTTCATCTATAGTAAAACCAGACTATTAGCTATCTAAATTATGATTTATTAAAAAGAAATTTTATACTCACAATCAATCGATGTTTCAGATACATCTACCATCTCAACGTCTGTCTCTTCTTCGACAACTTCTGTATTAACTGATAATTAACAAAAAAAATATTAGATTACAATTTATCCAGTAATGCGCGTACTACTCAAATGTCATTTACCTCGATTTTTTGGGCCAATGTCTAATAACTTATCAGCATTATTATGACGCTTAAAGGTCTGTGCATTTTGCAAAATTCCGCCAATTGCATTTTTGGTACATGATGAACATGTACACATAACAGTGTAGGTTTTAGTTGTAGAATTCATAACAGTAAGAATAATATTAATAATAATAAAATAATAAAGAGGTGTATACTATATTTTATTTTCATCTTTTATATGTCTCTTATTTTTGTCATTAATAATGAGTTGATATATCTTGTTCACTATGTCATTGACTACATTGAGCTTACCGTCCCTATTAGTAAGAATTACAAATGGATTTTGATGCAGCGATCTTTTCTTAAAAAAAGTGTGCCTGATTATTAATGGGGCTTCAATTTAATAATCACTGATATAATGGCGTAGTTTTTCTCTTTCGCGTTTTTTTAACATGACATCAATTCTCGCTCATTTTGGCAAGTGGCCTTTTTTGGATTATCTTTTTCTTGTATTTTTTATGACATCAATTCTTGCTCTTTTTTTCAATTTTTTTTAATATACTTTCTTATTAAAAATAAGTCATATATCATACATTATTATATTCTAATAAAATTCGGTATTTTTTGCAATGCAATAAAAATATTATTGAGTCTAAATTAGGTGCATCTGTAACAACAAGTTTTTCCTTCCAGAAAAATAATTAAATACTACATTTAACATTTAATATTTTATTTTTATTTTTTATTTTTCTGCCAAGTCAATTGAAACATATATTTTTTAAGACAATTGTGCGATTTATTGCCTAATTAATAAATATTTGTGTTTGTATCTGTGTTTATTTAATATAATCAGAAAAAATTGCGAATTCCCATCTCAAGAAAAAAATATATTGAAAAACGATGGTGTTTGAAATATTTTTCCAAATTTTGCCAAAATTCAAAAAATAAAATTCGACCGAATCCACCCTCCTTTTGCAGTGTGACAGCTGATCTGCTATATATATAAGTGGATAATAGCTGATCTGCTATATATATAAGTGGATGACAGCCGGTTTGATATATATATATGTGGATGACAGCCGGTCTGCTATATATATATGTGGATGACAGCCGGTCTGATATATATATAAGTGGATGACAGCTGATCTGCTATATATATAAGTGGATGACGGCTGATCTGCTATATATATAAATGGATGACGGCTGATCTGCTATATATATAAGTGGATGACAGCCGGTCTGATATATATATAAGTGGATGACAGCCGGTCTGATATATATATAAGTGGATGACAGCTGATCTGCTATATATATATAAGCTGATTATAGCTGATCTGCTATGTATATAAATGGATAACAGCTGATCTGCTATATATATAAGTGGATGAGAGCTGATCTACTATATATATAAGTGGATGACAGCCGGTCTGATATATATATAAGTAGATGACAGCTGATCTGCTATATATATATAAGCTGATTATAGCTGATCTGCTATATATATAAATGGATGACAGCTGATCTGCTATATATATAAGTGGATGACAGCTGATCTGCTATATATATAAATGGATGACGGCTGATCTGCTATATATATAAGTGGATGAGAGCTGATCTGCTATATATATATAAGCTGATTATAGCTGATCTGCTATGTATATAAATGGATAACAGCTGATCTGCTATATATATAAGTGGATGAGAGCTGATCTACTATATATATAAGTGGATGACAGCCGGTCTGATATATATATAAGTAGATGACAGCTGATCTGCTATATATATATAAGCTGATTATAGCTGATCTGCTATATATATAAATGGATGACAGCTGATCTGCTATATATATAAGTGGATGACAGCTGATCTGCTATATATATAAATGGATGACGGCTGATCTGCTATATATATAAGTGGATGAGAGCTGATCTACTATATATATAAGTTGATGACAGCTGGTCTGATATATATATAAGTGGATGACAGCCGGTCTGATATATATATAAGTGGATGACAGCTGATCTGCTATATATATATAAGCTGATTATAGCTGATCTGCCATATATATATGTGGATGACAGCTGATCTGCTATATATATAAGTGGATGACAGCCGGTCTGCTATATATATAAGTAGATGACAGCTGGTCTGATATATATATAAGTAAATGACAGCTGATCTGCTATATATATAAGTGGATAATAGCTGATCTGCTATATATATATAAGCTGATTATAGCTGATCTGCCATATATATATGTGGATGACAGCTGATCTGCTATATATATATGTGGATGACAGCTGATCTGCTATATATATAAGTGGATGACAGCCGGTCTGCTATATATATAAGTGGATGACAGCCGGTCTGCTATATATATAAGTAGATGACAGCCGGTCTGATATATATATAAGTGGATGACAGCTGATCTGCTATATATATATAAGCTGATTATAGCTGATCTGCTATATATATAAATGGATGACAGCTGATCTGCTATATATATAAGTGGATGACAGCTGATCTGCTATATATATAAATGGATGACGGCTGATCTGCTATATATATAAGTGGATGACAGCCGGTCTGATATATATATAAGTGGATGACAGCCGGTCTGATATATATATAAGTGGATGACAGCTGATCTGCTATATATATATAAGCTGATTATAGCTGATCTGCCATATATATATGTGGATGACAGCTGATCTGCTATATATATAAGTGGATGACAGCTGATCTGCTATATATATAAATGGATGACGGCTGATCTGCTATATATATAAGTGGATGACAGCCGGTCTGATATATATATAAGTGGATGACAGCCGGTCTGATATATATATAAGTGGATGACAGCTGATCTGCTATATATATATAAGCTGATTATAGCTGATCTGCTATGTATATAAATGGATAACAGCTGATCTGCTATATATATAAGTGGATGAGAGCTGATCTACTATATATATAAGTGGATGACAGCCGGTCTGATATATATATAAGTGGATGACAGCCGGTCTGATATATATATAAGTGGATGACAGCCGGTCTGCTATATATATAAGTAGATGACAGCTGGTCTGATATATATATAAGTAAATGACAGCTGATCTGCTATATATATAAGTGGATAATAGCTGATCTGCTATATATATATAAGCTGATTATAGCTGATCTGCCATATATATATGTGGATGACAGCTGATCTGCTATATATATATGTGGATGACAGCTGATCTGCTATATATATAAGTGGATGACAGCCGGTCTGCTATATATATAAGTGGATGACAGCCGGTCTGCTATATATATAAGTAGATGACAGCCGGTCTGATATATATATAAGTGGATGACAGCTGATCTGCTATATATATAAGTGGATGACAGCTGATCTGCTATATATATAAGTGGATGACAGCTGATCTGCTATATATATAAGTGGATGACGGCTGATCTGCTATATATATAAGTGGATGAGAGCTGATCTGCTATATATATAAGTGGATGACAGCTGGTCTGATATATATATAAGTGGATGACAGCCGGTCTGATATATATATAAGTGGATGACAGCTGATCTGCTATATATATATAAGCTGATTATAGCTGATCTGCCATATATATATGTGGATGACAGCTGATCTGCTATATATATATGTGGATGACAGCTGATCTGC